GGCGCCTAGCCGTTTTTTAATTTTTTCCTTTTCGCGGGCTCGAACCCGCAACCTCTGTACTACCTGCCTGATATGGACACGTCGTTATCTACTGTACGATTAGATTAGATAGGACGGCAGTGCACGGCACAGCTCGGGCCCCGCTGACGCAGCCGCTCTGACTCACCGGCCCCCGGGGCCGCGTCGGCATGCTGCGCACAGACCAGCTGCGCACGGACCAATGCGCACAGCCTGCCCTTATCTCCCCACGTATATAAGCCGGCCTCTGCTGCCCTAGGGACCTCAGTTTCGACCTCTTGTCCCTAGGTCAGTAAGCCTCCATTTGTATCCTTTCTTACATTACTAACTAATACATTTTCTTGTCCCTAGCCTTAGGTTTGAGCGCTGCTCACCATCGCTTCGGTGAGATTTAGTCGGACGCCCCCAGCTTTCAGATCTTCCCCTGTCGCTTGACCTCAAGTCGCGACAGTTTCCCGAGCACGGAACGCGAATCAAGGCGCACCAAATCCTGATGAGACTGCCCGAACGACAAAAGAACAAGAAGACGGCGCTCTCCCTTGGAAACTACGTCACCCGCTTCGAGCAGCTAGCGTCGAAAGCCCAGCTCAAGGACGCCGAAGTCAATGGTGTCAACCGCACCGAGAACGACTACCACACTCTCCATGCCAACTTCGTCAAAGGACTTCCAAAGGAGCTCTATGTCTCTCTCGCAACCAGGGCTGCTAGGGACCGACCCAGCACCATGAAAGCCTGGTACGACGAAGTCCGAAACGCCGACGCCGCTGAACAAGGGGCCCTCACCGTCACAGACACCAGGGACTACGGCGAGCCAATGGATATCGACGCCGCTGCAGTCGCGGCAACCTTTGCCTCCACATCGGGAGGAAGGAAGTGGGAACTAGGAGCAGTTCTCAATGAGGCCGACCGGAAGCTCCACAGGGATGGGAACCTGTGCTTCTACTGCCACATCAAGGGCCACAGCGCCAAGGATTGCCGCAAGAAAGCGGCCGCACGACAAGGGGGTGGGAAGCCGAACCAGGGAGGATCTGGAAAGGACGACTTCCGCGCCAGAATCAAGGCACTCTCCGCTGACGAGAAGCGGGAGCTGTATGAAGAACTTACGATGGAGGATTTTTGAAGGGGCAGGGTGAGCCGATGCAACCACTGCCCGTATCCGTTTCACTGTCCCGTGTAATTCTAGTAGTTTGAAATGAACGCGCTCTGCACATTCCGATTACTGTGGGACGAAAAGACGTCGAGGCGCGCGCTTTCATCGATAGCGGCGCAACTGGAATCTTCATCAGTCCGAGATTTGTCCGAGAACATCGACTTCGGACAGAACCTCTTCCCCAACCCATCCCCATCTTCAACGTGGATGGAACACCGAACAAAGAAGCACTCATCACACGAAGAGCTCTCTTATCCTACAAAATAAGCGGAGAATCCCGATTCGTCAAAGCCTACGTCGCCAGCATCGGCAAGGAAGACATCATCTTCGGCCATACCTGGCTCAAGCTCGAAAACCCCAAGATAGACTGGAAAACCGGACGAGTGGAGCTGAACCTCCGGTGGACAAGAGACGAGACCAGGGCCTGGAAGATGGACCTGTACCAAAGGCGAGTGACCTGGCTAGAATTAAAGAAGGCCATAACTACCCCACTCCCAAAACCAACGGAGGACAAATTCGTTGTTATCCCCACCTCAGAGCACGCAACCCTTCCCAAACGAAAGACTAGCGGCGCAGCAGGATACGACATCTCTGCTGCGCATCAACTCATCATCCCTGCCCGACGACGAGGCCTGGTCGGCACTGACCTTATCATGGCTATCCCCGAAGGACACTACGGAAGAATCGCACCTCGGTCCGGCTTAGCGCTAAAAGAAATTGACGTTGCTGCAGGAGTAATCGACTCCGATTACCGAGGCAAGGTCTCAGTCCTGCTGGTCAATAACTCTGATCTCCCATTCACTGTCAAAGCCGGCGACCGAGTTGCCCAGCTCATCCTTGAAAAGATAAGCACTCCACCAGTAACGCTAACTGACTGCGTCGACGAGACCGAACGCGGGGAGGATGGGTTTGGGTCAACGGGTATTGCGTCCATCGAGGAACAAGTGGAGGACATCGACGATGATGAGTTCATCATTTCCTACTTATCTGGAGCACCGATGATCACCAAGTACAAGAAACAGGAACCCCTGGCAGCAAGGGATGTTCCACTCAAGGAGCGACTCCCTGAACCCTCATCTGGCTACAAACGACTTCACAACGGCATGATCTGGAAGGTCCACCACGACATTAGGCGCGTCACCACTTCCACCGAACTTGCAGCCTCGAACGCCCAAGGCAAGACAGAAAGAACGCTACCACAGATGGTACCATCCTACCTACACGATCTCCTCCCCGTCTTCGACAAAGCCTCGGCTGCGCGACTTCCAGACCACACCGAATATGACCACGAAATCAACCTCAAGGAGGGCTTCGCGGACATGAAGCAACAGGTCTATCCGCTCAACCCGCAGCAATGAAAGGAACTCGACAAGTTCCTCGAGGAGAACCTGAGTAAAGGGTACATTCGCCCTTCGAAATCCCCGTTGGCGAGTCCATTCTTCTTTGTTGGTAAAAAGGACGGTTCACTACGTCCCTGTCAAGATTACCGGCTGCTCAACGAGAACACGGTCAAGGATCGATACCCGCTCCCGCTTATATCCGACCTCCTGGACAAGTTGAAGCACGCCAAGATGTTCACGAAAATGGACCTCCGCGCCGGATACAACAATGTTCGGATCAAGAAAGGGGACGAATGGAAGGCAGCGTTCATCGTACCCGGAACTGATGGCAAACCGCCGCAGCTATACGAACCAACGGTGATGTTCTTTGGGCTGTGTAATTCTCCCGCTACGTTCCAGCGGATGATGAACACAATATTCGCAGACATGCTTCAAGAAGGCTGGCTTTGCATTTACATGGACGACATCCTGATCTTTTCCCAGGACAAGGCGGAACACGAAGAACGAACACGACGTGTTATCGAACGACTTCGACAACATGACCTCTACCTCAAACCGGAGAAATGCGCCTTCGACGTCACGGAAGTCGAATTCCTCGGCATGATCATCCGCCCAGGAGAAATCGCAATGGACCCTGTCAAACTAGCTGGCATTGCGGATTGGCTGGTGCCATCCAACCTCAGGCAAGTACGCGCCTTCGTTGGATTTGGAAACTTTTACCGCCGGTTTATCAAAGGCTTCTCGGACAAAGCGCAACCGCTGGTTGCTCTCACCTGGAAGGACGTCGCCTGGACCTGGGGATCTGACCAACAGAAAGCCTTTGAGACCCTCAAAAAGGCGTTCCTAGAGGAACCGGTACTACGTATGCCGGATCCTGACCGACCCTTCGCCATCGAAACCGATGCCTCAAAGTTTGCCACTGGAGCGGTGCTACGCCAACGCGATGATAACGGCGACTGGCATCCTTGCGGATACCTCTCCCAGAGCTTCAATGCGGCAGAAAGAAACTACGACATCTATGACAGAGAATTATACGCGGTTATCCGCGCACTAGATGAGTGGAGGCACTACCTCATCGGCAGCCCATACCCAGTGACGATTCTCAGCGACCATAAGAACCTCACGTATTGGAAACAAGCCAAAGACATGAACCGACGACAAGCACGCTGGGTGAGTAAACTGACCGAGTTTGACTTCCGCCTGGTGCACGTTCCTGGCACCCAAATGGTGCAGAGCGACGCTCTCTCCCGCCGACCCGACCATGATGACGGCTCAAATGACAACATTGACGTCGTTATGCTTCCACCGGAAGTATGGGTTGCTGCCATCGACATCGACACCCGTGACACCATCCTTTCTTTCAAAGACGACCCCATAATGAAGGAAGGACTCACTGCAGCGCGCACCGGAGGAGCACCACGCACTGGAACAGACTGGTCCATCGATGATGACCTCCTCTTATACCAGGATCGGGTCTATGTACCCCCAGATGAGTCTCTTCGCAAGCGCCTTGTCTCCCACTATCACGACCTCCCCTCCGCAGGACACCCCGGTGTTCAGAAAACCCTCCTCGGTTTACGCCATGACTACTGGTGGCTGAGCATGGCCCAGTTTGTCGCTCGCTATGTTAACGGCTGTGGCATCTGCCAGCAAATGAAGGTTAACACGCATCCAGCCCGACCGCCCATCACCCCCATTCGACCCCGCGCAAATGCCAAGCCCTTCAGCACATTCTCGTGCGATTACATTACCGACTTACCACCGTCCAATGGCTTTGATTCCATTTTGGTCGTAGTGGACCACGACCTTACGAAGGGGGTAATTTTCATCCCATGCAACAAAACAATTGACGCTCTTGGGACGGCAGATGCAATGTACCGAGAAGTCTACAAGTGGTTTGGACTCCCAGACAAGATCATCAGTGACCGAGGACCGCAATTTGCGTCCAAAGTCTTCCAAGAACTGTGCAAAATGACTGGAGTTCAATCAGCCATGAGTACGGCATTCCATCCGCAAACCGACGGCGAGACAGAACGAGTGAACCAAGAGCTGGAGATCTACCTCCACTGCTTTACTGCCAATGACCCGGATAAGTGGGCTGACCATCTTCATACCGCGCAATTTGCTCACAACTCCCGCGAGCACTCCACGACGAAGGCGTCCCCGTTCAAACTCATGATGGGATACGAACCTCATGGAATACCCACCGCGCACCCCGGATCAAACACACCCCAAGCAGCTTATCGCCTCAAGGACTTGCAAAACATCCGCGAAGAAGCACATGCGGCAATGGAGATGGCCCAGAACGTCCTGGCCAAGAGAGTAAAAAGGAAGGGGGGTTCCTTCCGTAAAGGTCAGCTGGTATGGCTAGACTCCCGGAACTTGAAACTGCCGTACCCGTCCAGGAAACTAGCCCCGAGGCGAGAAGGGCCATTCAAAGTCCTAGATAAGATTGGAACAGTTGCGTACAAGCTAGACTTGCCTAGCACCTGGCGAGTCCACCCCGTTTTCCACAAATGGCTTCTATCTCCTTACTCAGAGACGGAGATCCATGGTCCGAACTACACGAGGCCACCCCCTGACCTCATCGAAGGCGAAGATAACTACGAAGTCGAAGCCATCATCGGACACCGAGAGAACAAGAGGATGCGACGCCGCGAATATCGCGTCAGGTGGAAGGGTTACTCAACAGCCGATGACTCATGGGAGCCCGAAGCAAACCTGACTGGGACGGCTGACGAAGTGTTGGCAGAGTATAAGAACAGGAAGGACTTGAGCTGAATCGATAGCAGCTCTACCCAGTCGCTACATCCCCACTCGCACCAACATGTCTTCCACCCTCTCGTTCCTCGACCAGTTCAACGCCCCCTCGACCGAAGGCGGAAAAAGGCTCTCAATCTACACCCCTAAGCACACCCACGTCGGCGACAGCACCTTGCTGACGCTCCTTCTCAGTAATCCCACTGACGTTTTCAACAAACTCAAAGCCCACAACCCCGAGGCAACCAATGCTACCGACCGCGCTGCACTGGAGGCGTATCTCTCCGCCCGCCGCAAATACGATGAGGCTGTCAAGGCAGCCGACGAGGCCATCGACCACCACAAGCGGCTCCTATGCCAACAGGATGACCGCGTCCTCACCGAGCTCATCCGGCTCGACAATCTGAAAGTCGCCCATCGCTTTCAACCGCTCCTACCACGCAGCATCCGAGCACGACACAACAAATTCATCCCGCGCGCCATCCCCAACGCGTACTTACCCCTACCCGCACCCCTACCGACGTCTGCCTTCAGACGCCCCCCGATCCCATCCCCTTTCCTCCAAGTAACGCTGCGGAGCACTACCATCCCGGCCAACTGGCAACCCAACCCTGGTTGGACCCCGAAGGGAAGCTGCAGACGATGCGGATCGTCCCGACACTGGGTACGGGACTGTCCGGACGTACGATGCGCAGGATGCGGAAAAGAAGCCCCTGGACACCTGGAGCGAGAGTGCGGAACCAGGCCGATGAAGCGACACGTATCCGCACCACCTGAAGAACCTGCGCGACACGTGGGGGTGGTCGTCGACAATGTGTTCCTCGAAGGAATCATCAACGAGGCGAAGGAGAGGAAGGAGAAAGAAAGACAGACGAAAGCGATACCCATCCCTCCACCGCGTAGCGCTAACCCCGAACCCCCCGCCAGTCCCGTTGCGGGACCTTCGCGCCCCCGCCCCGATACACCCGTCGTCTTTCGCAAAGTCGATCCCGACTGGACACCGGACACCACTCAATGGACGTGGGACAGCTCCTGGCCGAATCAGAAGCACCTCTCTGGCGAGGAATGGATGAACGTAGGGAGGAACGCGCGTAAGGAGTGGTTTGACGAAGAGGAGGACGACGGCGTAGATTGGGAGTTGTATGGAGATGGTGAGCAGTAAGTAGTCGAATGGGACTTCGACTCTGGTAGGGGGGTAATGAAACATTTGTTTTTCCACTCTGTTTCTTGTACTACTAGCGCCCATACTGGCGCCTGTCTTAGCGCTCACCCGCAGGTTGAACATTATGTAGCTTACATAATGGGGTCCGTGTGCACTTTGTACCTGGTATCGTACCACTACGTTTCTTTCTTCACTAACACGACCACATAGACACGATGGTCCGTGCGTAGTCGGTACTTGTATAAGTAGTTGTACCATTAGTCGGTCGAACCCTAAGTTCGACCTGGTTATTCATTCAAGTCTCTGCTCCTCCTCACTTGGGGTAGTGGTCATTCTCGACTTCCTCGCTCGATCTTCAGGACGACGCACTGTCCATAAGCCCTCGCTCGTCGTCTACGAGTCAGGCATCGATATAGGAGTATAGACCATTGTATCAATATCCTACACTCCTAAATTTCAAGGTAAGCTTTTCCTTTCCATACCGAGCTGACAGGTCAAAGAATTGATGAAGGTGTAGGTCTCGAATTGTATATCGTAGATGTTTGGTAACAATGACCAATGGTGTCGACAGGATTGCTTTACCTAAGGCTTAGCCTCGTGCCAATGTCCACTATCGGATTTATCTTAGGATCACGAGCTCGGCGAATTACCGTGCGATTAGACAATGGTGACAGATGGGTAACCTCGTGGTGTGTTGTATGCACTCATGGTGTCTAGACGTTGATGAGTTGACCCACAGATGACTGATAGCGGTTTGCAGATAGTATGCTTCACCTGCTTGCTCTATCTGTGGGCTTTTGATTTAACTTGTACTCCCCGCGCTCTAGTTCTGGATTGCGCCATCGCCTGGAGCACTCGCAAAGCCGCTGGAAATGGTCGTGAATATCATATTGACTCCGCGAAGAACACAACTGCACACACATTTCGCTCCGGTATCCAAAAAGCAATGTCCCGTTGACAGACGGAATGCCGGGGATGTGCATTCGCCGAACAGACTATCATCCGCTGCCTCGGCGATAGTAATAGTCTGTCAGATAGTGAGTTGACTGACCGCCACATGTACGGAAACTGATCGGGGGTACTCATTACAAAAGATCGCACGTAGTAGCTGGATGCAAGTACACTATCAGCCAATTTCTCTCTGTCTTTGCCTTCTAACATTGAGCCCTATGTATGCCACTCCCTACTCAAAGCCATACTGTCTTATGCCATTCATACACAGATGAGGACTAGACCTTATGCTCCTCACGAAAGCCATACACGCATGGTTCAGGAAACCATGTGGCTACAGGGCGCACTCTTCGGGAATATTGTATACGGCGTCGTATTGACAATGTTCCCGATTTGCTTCAAGCTCATATATCGACAAATAAACCCGTCTAATTACAGGAGTCAGGTCTCCATATTGATCCTCATCGCTATTCTCTTCATCCTTAGCACCCTCAATACGTCGAGTACGATGTCGATGACTCAGGCATCGTTCATCAGCAACCGTGACTACCCCAACGGCCCTTCTGCTTATGAAGTAGACATGTATTGGATCCCAATTGACGAGATCGGAGTGTTTGCTTGGACGATCGGGAATTGGCTCATGGACGCGCTGCTGGTATGCTTGGTGACCTGATAAGCATGAAACATGATCGACTGACCTGTTCTCATCCAGGTTTGGCGTTGTAAGGTGATCTTCAGTGGCGTATCAAAAGTGCCCATGTGTGTTGTTATGGCAATTGCTTGTGGATTGATGCTTGCATCGATTGGTGAGTTGAACAGGAGCTACTTGATCCAGTTCGTAGCTGAATGTCGAGTTAGGTCTCAGCATATTGTATCTCTGGATGACCTGGCGATCCTCCTCATTCAATACCGTTCAATACACTCTCCCATACTTCGCCACCACCCTCTCCCTTAACTTTATTGTTACGTTGATCATCGTATTCCGCCTGCTTCACTGCCATCGTATCTTTGCGCGTACCCTTGGGGCTGGGCATGGATTACCCTACGCCAAGCTGGCTGCGATATTGGCAGAATCCGCGATGATTTATGCAGCCATTTCAGTTATATTTCTGACGACTCTGGCGCTGCACCATCCACTCTCCGACTTCGTTGCACAGTGCATGGCACCTGTACAAGTTGCGTGGCATGTTCAATCCATGCTATTGACTTCTGGCACTAATGGTATAAAAACTTCCAGACTGTCGCCTCTCTGCTTATCATTTTCCAAGCAAAGTCAGTGCCAAAGAAAGACGACGAGCATGTATCACATCTGCTTTCGCCCACCAGTGCTAGGCTACTCCGATCGAGCGACGTCCCCGGTTCAGAAGCCCCCTCGTCTGTCACAAAGCCCAGGATGTAGCAGGTTCTGTGGTCATAGAATGTTGATCAAATCACTATGGAGTAGCCTTGTGGAACGATTGAAAGGTTCACCGCCGACAGAAACCCTAATCCCCGACTTTACTTTATAATTTTATATGTCTTATGCTCTTATCTCTGTTAAGTGTTTCAACCATACATAATTGTATGTCTGGTAGATAGCTTTCTTCAAATTGTGTTGGAATCTCACTTTGTTATCTATTATTTCTAAACCAGACCGCGCACCTTTACTTGCCGTTGAATGAAATACAGCTATGATTGTGCAGCTTTTGTCGCATGAGTTGAGGCTGTCAATAACATACCTTGGCTGAGTTGCATCGACAACAGGGATCTCGCTCAAGAGGATAGTGGCAGCCAGCCGACAATAATTGCCCAGCCAGGCATGCTGGACCAGCGTTTATAAGTCCAGCCTCATCGACGCAGGGGGGGGGGATGCAGAGGACAAAACGCGCACAGCGCACTCGAGAGCTAAAGGTGTGGGGAGCCCCTGGCGTTAGCCAGAGTGGGACGTGGAGCAAAGGGAAGCCGCCGGGAGGGCGGGACACCTGCTGCGCGGTTCGCTCACGAGCGGGCATGGCACGCAATGAGACGCAAGCAAGGGGGGGGGGGGTAAATTCACGCAGGTATGCTATGTCAACACAAACGAGAACACCGAGCCAGTGTGGCACCGGGCTACGAGAAACAAATGAGCAGACCCAAGCAAGCGCAGAGCCGGGGAAGGAAAGGATACGGGGAGGAGGAAATGCAAACACAAAACAAACAAAAAAGAAGAAAAAGGGTGGGCAGGGCCGGATCGAAAACTTAGGATACGTGAGCGAGGAAGGAGGTGTCGCAGATGTTGCGCGACGCGAGGACGATGTGGGAGGAGACGAAAGAGCGAGACGCCTGAAGCGAGGAAAATTTGCTCGCTCGGCCGGACGCTGGGGCCGGCCCCTCCCGGCTGCGCGAGGGATCGGCTGGCCCCGGGCACTGATTGTGTGCATTGCTTCTAGATGTCATCAGTGATGTCACCGACACAATAGTAATTACACTGACTTCAGTTAGAGGCATGGGCACGGGGTGTCTGAGTATCTAAAGCTGGCGCTGGAGACCCGAGTGACGGATTGCCAGTGAGTAGTGCGCCTGATCACATGACCCCACAAGTGTCGGCTGGCAGACGGACTCGACGTCGCTTATAGCTTTCCATTCTGTTCATTGAAACGATTCTTCAAGGCACTCAAATATACCAACTCCATGATATGTACACTCGGGATTGAGGTACATACACATCTCGATACGCTGTTTCGTCGGCGGATGATAGAAATGGTTAGTCCGTGCCATCGCATGATCAGGTTGCATCGAATTCACACCTTACGTGACCAGTTCCGAGGACAAGATAATACTCCATGATTGCCTTCTACTATATAAATGCATCGTCAATACCACTTGCCGGGTAACAAATGTTTATCATCATTACAGCCTCAACCGCTGCGGCTTCTATGCAGCGCGACGTGGCCTCGCATCTCATCAATACCATCCAACGGGGACTTGAAGTGACACCGGTGCATACCACCGACAGAAGAGAGAATGTGGTATGCCTTCAGGAACCAGTTGTCTGACCAATTCCATGCAACCTGTGAGAACAACAACGGAAAGACCACCGGCCTCGTTGGACAGTGATTAGCTACCTACGGCGCGCAACATATGTCCAATTCCCACACCGCGACACTGCACTAACCATGTGCCTCGGGCCAGCGGCTACGCTGCACCCAAAAGCAAACACATCCTTGGCCCGCAACGCTTTCAAGTCTCAGCTCATGATATCCACCCGTGTTTCGATGCTGACACATCACTGTATCTCACAGTTAGTTTTTCAGATGAAGTCCTCGCTCGTTAATGCGAAGCTACCTACGAGGATCTCGCGATACCATCCGTATCGAACCTGCTTGACTGCATTCTATGATGTCAACAAGGCTGCATACGTACAGGACACTGATTATCTACGGTACAGCTTAGCATGAGACGTTTGATCAGTTTCACGCTGTCATTCACCGCAAACATGGGAAGCGCTGGCAGATAACCATACAAAAAGGTGGACACGTTGTGCTAGATGACATTACTCTGACAGCCCATATTAACTCAGAACCTCCCGAAGAGGCTCCGTCGTATGTTTTCTTCTACATTCATCCGTACTCTCAGTGATAAATCACCGCGTAGATGAGCACTGGCCCATATGCCCCACATGAAAGCCACGAACTGATTGTTGAAGAATCCATGTGGCTGCAGGGTGCATTGTGCGAATGCATGATATACGGCGTGGAGTTGGCCCTGTTCCTGATCTGCCTCAAGCTCGTTATACAACAGTTCAATCGTCACGACTACAAACGTCATGCGTTTCTTCTGATCCTCATCACCGTCATCTTCATCTTAGGAACTCTCGCCATATATTCTGATATGGCGATGACTCAATTATCATTCATCAACAATCGGAATTACCCTGGCGGCCCGTCTGCTTACGAAGTTGATATGTACTCGCTTCCAACGAATGAAGTCGCGACTGTTTCTTGGGTGATTGGTAACTGGCTCATGGATGCGCTGCTGGTATGAGTAGCCCTTCTCTCATGAGGTGAAGGCAGTTCACAATTTGTGATCCAGGTTTGGCGCTGCAAGATAATCTTTACAGGCTTTTCTATAGTTCCTCTCTGGGCAGTGATGCTTCTCCCGTGCGCCCTGTTGCTTGCGTCAATCGGTGAGCATCAGGACAAAATATAGGCTCCTCCTTACTTCACATCACAGGAATAGGCCTTGGGATAGTGTATCTCCAGATGACTTGGCGATCGTCTCCTTTCGCGGACATTCATGCCACTGTTCCCTATTTCGCAACCACACTTTCCCTTAACGTTGCTGTAACACTGCTCATCGCGATACGTCTCTTTTACTGCTATCGCTCCTTCACACATATTCTTGGACGACAACATGGATTCCGTTATGCTAAGATAGTTGCAATACTAGCCGAGTCTGCGGCACTCAATGCGACCTTTTCACTCATATTTCTCATTACCCTGGCGCTGCACCATCCATTCTCCGCTTTTGTTGACCAATGCATGACCCCTATACAAGTACGTAGTCCGATCTCGGCCTCAATTGCTGACCCCGATTGCTGAACTATTCCTCGCGTCAAGTCTGTTGCGTCACTACTCATGATTTTCCAAGCACAGTCAAAGACGGCGCAAGATGATGAGCATCTAACATGGCTCCTTCCTCCAGCAAGCGCTGAGATGCTCCGTTATGATGATACTTCACTCTGCACTCCGAGAAATAGCAGATGATGACTCCACGGAAGGTCTGTTACGTTATGATGAAGACGTTATCCATGCTGAACGAGATATATTTCCAGGGATCACGCACAGTGATGAATTGTATACAGTCTGTTTCGCTTATCCCATCGTGCGCCTACCGTTCCAACCATATATCCATTACGTATCGTGTCATTTGGGTTCTCTCGTTCACTATTGTCTTCCCAATGTATGAAGCGTATAGTGCTGCTTTACCGTGCTGAATTAAGCGACTGGTCCGGCAGTTAAATTCACGTATATCTACGTATTTGTACATCTCTATGTTTAAAGACGAATTGTGTTTGCTCTGGGGTGGATTTAGCGTAGAATGGGCAGTGACGATGAGCAAATTGCTCTCATGATCCTTCGAAGGCAAGAGACTCAACTAGGCCCTGTCTCGGTTTGGGGATTTATCACGAGTGCTAGCTATTACACCTCTTGGCGCATAATCTTCTGTCCTAGCGATGATATGCTTCATGTCGTCGTCTTCGCCTACGGCCCCAGCCCATCCATTATCAGCGAGGTATTGCATGAACTTGGCGTCTTCGTCCGCCAAATCCACACCCGTCATGTCCGGCACAAACAAGTATGTGATGATGATTCCCAGTGCGCCGAATATGGCAGCAACGATGAATGTCCACCTGCAAATAGCACGTCAAGATATTGTAGATTCTTAAAGTGAAGATAGCATCACTTTTGACCGAGGTTGGTCTGGATGGGTCCGAATGCTGCTACGCCGATTGCTGCCCCAGTCTTGCCGAGAGCAGCAGAAATGCCGAAGCATGTCCCTCTGTTCAATTCCTTAATATCATAGTCCAACGTGTAGATGGACACAAATCAGTTCTGACCTAATCGGTGTAGGGTACGACCTGAAATATATTCAGTTTATATGCCCATTCGAGGTGACGTGCGACAAAATAAAGACTTACTCGGCACTAGTGAGTAAGGTCATGTTTCCAGGACCCTAGAGTTTCCCGTTGTCTTCCATTCCAGGAATGATCTGAAGCAGAAGCACGCACCATGTTGCTCATGGATGTCATAAGCCCATAGCTATGCAAGACTGATAAGCGCCATATTTGTCGTCTCGAAGACGGAAGAGGGCAGCATACAAAATGACGAAGAGAGGAATGATCTTGGTCACCCTCTCATAGCCGCATCCGATGATGAGGCCTAGGTGGACAAGGGCGGTGGGGATCAGATGGACTGTGTCAGCGGGAGATCCATACTCACCAAAGATAACATAGCCGCAGAAGCCCAGCATCATCTGCAGACAGCATATCATCTTGAGTATTGCGCACACGGAGGGCTAGGCACTGCTAGACGCACTGTGTTCCTTCTACCCAGCGGATCGCATAGAAGTGCGCCGACAAACACGCCTAGGACATGATAAGTCGGCTCGCCTCTCCATTATATAGACATGCGTCGCAGCATAACAAACCTGGGAGCGCGATGGCACTAAGCAAGAGCTGCCACTCCGCCGTAGCCTTGACGCTACCGTCCTTGATGACGCTCGAGATGATCGTGGCCGAGAAGATTCCATTAGGGTAGAAGACCTTTCACGATTCATGTTCCAATCAATCTAACCATCGTCTGTCTATGTGTGGGACTCACGAAGTCGTAGACCATCCTACGAGGTCTATCAGCTTATCTGTGCGGTGCAATGGACCTCGTGAATTGCGCACCAAGCTCCGCCTGTACCAACCAGTGATCTCCAGTATCTCTTCAATGCAAGCCAATATGGCACCCTTCCTACGCATGACATTCTGGGTCACCAACTTGATTGTATTGCGGCACTAAATTTGTCACGCACGTTTGATGGCTCCTTCGCGGAACCTGGCAGTATCCCGAGAATTGAGCTGAGCCTCACCGGCAGGGTTGCGGATGATGTACGTACAGTTTAGAGCTCAGCATACGCATGCGGAAGTAATATACTGTGAGTGGCAGAAGGATGCCGACGCCAAAACATATTCGCCAAACAGTGTTTAGATGGGCATCGCCTGCAGCAGACAGGACGATGAGGAACACAGAAATCACGAACGGTCCACCAAACTACGTGATGATGAACTTGACCACGGCATGCATGGAACTATAAACAATGCTCACGACGAGAGGCAAGTCTGTAATCATAATGAACACTGGAAGCCAAGAGAAGATTAATGTCAGGATGCGACACGATATGATGATTAGTTGCTTACATGGTCCCCTCTTTGTGCCCATCTTCTCATTCACGGCTTCGCTCGCACTCGTGGATGATGCAGGATACTCGCCGCCATTGCCCTCACGAAATAGATTGTGACATTGAGTCAGGCCTAAGGGTGAAATCCGAGCTGAGGATACATACCACACCTGTAATCCCCCGTGCTATTGTCATAAACCAGAATAGACCGTACGGATTCCCTCGTGCACCATGCGCAGCGGTGCACAATGTGGCGCCAATTACAATGAGAGAAGTGGTCACCACTAGGCCAGCTTTGCGTCCTATTCTATCACATAGTATCCCAACAAATATCTGCCCGATGATCTCGCCTTCACGCATATGAGTGGCATGATGTAAAATACAAGCTAATAAATCGCTTACCAACTAGTAGGGCGTTTGATACACGCGTAGAGATGGCAGCGGTGTACTCCGTAGGGTACAATTTCTTGAAAACAACCTCGAATATTCCTTCAACACATGCTTGGAAAAAGGAAGAAACATTTGGCCAACGTTGGTCATTGTCATGAGATTATTGTGATCTGCATATTATTAGTCGCTATCCTGGGACTGGCGTACTCTGAGACCACCACTCACAACCATCCGAGATCAGACCAAAGGCAGATGCTACTATAGCCATATATGCACTCATCACCGCTGTATTCTTCATTGTTGTTGTCTTGTGCCAAGGTCGAGTGAGCTCATCTGTACACAAGGAGTCATCTTTGGCCACACCACGGCTACTGGTCTTCTCGAGCGTGTCCATGCTTAAGTATCGGGTCGTGGGAGGGTGACGGGGCATGTTGACATTAGAGGGGGTTTATGTATGGTATGACCATGGTTCACGATAGCCTACTCTCCAGGCACCAGATGGCTCGGCGCAGGTAAGATTACAAGAAGACATTGGCTTCTCGGTTTAATGACACGCACGTTCGTCCGTAAATATACATAGACTGACAGCGTGCAATTCGTCGAACATTCGGGCGGGCAATAGTTCTTCTACTTCGCGTCCATTGAGGATAGGGATACCTTAAACACTGCTACAGCACTGTAATAGCCGTTCAGTGTCCCTGCTCAACCAGATGCTAAGTTTGTATGCCTAAATTTGGTGATTTGAGCGGAACAGAGTAAGGTGGCTTCCATGTCATGGCGGCTGTTACCTTACATGATGTGTGCCTGCAATCGTCGCAATGACCTAATCCCGCTACCTTCGTGGCAAAATATCGGAGCTTTTCCCGTTCAGAAGACTTGTCTGTCCCGTTACGTCGATTAGAAGGACTACTCAGGCGCAACCTTGAGCTGGAACAGTCGGCAATCCGGTGGAGCTCCATAGGCGCTCAACATACCTAGTGGCCAGCAAGACACAGAATTTCGAGACAAAATATACGCGCGCTCTGATAGAAATCTCAACGCCAGCAGATCTCCAAAATGCGTGATTGTGCCTTCACGCAGTAACGTAGGGGGCGGCGAGCAGGCGCGGGATGAACCACCAGGATGTACGCGCTCCGAAAGTCACTGCAGTAGTTTTGCAGTAGACCCTCCGCTCCCAACACAGCTTTGGGCTTATCCTCGTCCTAATGCATGCTCTCCGAGACCTCGTCGTCTTCAAGTAAATTTCAGTGAATGCAACGTCGTTGGAAAACCATCATGGTTACACACCTGCGAGTCATCCCTGTCTCGAACATCACTGGGGTAGAATAAAAGCTCGCAGTCTGCGACTGTTGGTCCTTCTTGATGGTGTGCGCGACATATAAGGATGAAGGAGAAGAAGCGTGGACAGCGTGCTATTCAAAGCATTTGAATACTATATAGAAGTAGTACTGGAGAGTGAAGCAAGTCTGGTGAGTTTATCTCGGCTGCGTGGCTTGACGTCATGTGATCGCGACAAGGAACGGTCCACGGCGCCATCAGGACCCTATCTCTATGGATGACACTAGGTACATTCGAAATTTCCGCTTAAATCTCGGTGGAAAACAAGCGGCATTTAAGCGTCCAAAAGCAGCGAGCAGAATCTGAGCTCCCCTCCTCGAACAGCGACAAATAAGCGACTGCTTGGCGCAAGCGCTCGCAGATTCTGGCTTACAGCTATGTCACGCTTGCATGATTCGCCATTCTGATTGGCTGATCAGCCCTTCGCGAACCGAGAACGTGATCAAATCACGGCTGCATCACGCTTAGTCATCTGTGACACTTTCAGCGACCCTTTCAGCGACCTTCAGCCACATTTGGGCGCTCAAAAGCAGCGAAAAGTCGCTTGTTTTCCACCGAGATTGAAGCGGCAATTTTGAATGTACCTACTCACAGAACACACATGTAAGTCTAAATACTGCCCTTGCAGTCTTCCTCATGCAGCAAAGGTAGGTTAGATTTGTCGATTGCTGCTTCCCTTGTGTTTTACCCCACACACAAGGCCCCGCCATATAAACCCGAATACCAGGTATATTTTGAAGGGCCTACGCGTGAACGTCCTTGACCCCGACTCAAACACGGAGCGAATGTGTCAATAAGTGGCGCGTTGATGACCACACAGACGCCATGTCTACGGGGGTGGGGCAATGTAGTAAGTTTATCATGACATGATAAGCCCTTCATCGAATGGACGGTGACTCTTATCTTTCACCTGACTGGTAGCAGTCGCTTCCATTTGATGGTGTCAAACCCAAAAAGGGCATGATCGTGACAAGTGAGTTTGATGCATCGCTCAGCTCTTGAGCTATGGGCGGTGTAAGAATAATGTTCGGATATCTTCCCCGACATGCGCACTACGGAACAGTGACTTTTTCTGAAGCCCTAATCAATGCACCCTATATGTATACAGCTGGTATAAATGAGCAACCCAACACTCTACGCCATGGCGTTCCGTATACGGACTGTTTAGACGCAACGAGGCGGCAGTGGTCCGCGACACAGCCATATATATCAAATCTACCTGTCCGCGGACCGCTCGTATATCAGAGGTTTCACGAGCTTCTCCACCAAGCCTTAATCGGCAGGCTGCGCATATTAAAACTCGCAAGCCGCGTGCAAACGTGCTCAGTGTACTGTGGAACGCAAGTGGATCGCTTTGATTGTGAGTAGCGGACAACCTTCCCTCAAACCCACTGTTCGAAAAGGCTAATTTATCTCCAGAAATCAGTGCTCATGGTCAACCCGTATGCACCGGACGAGTCACATCACGACCTGGTCGCAGAGACCGAATGGCTACAGGGTGCCATGCTCAGCGGTATCTTGTACGGCGTGGAAGTAACGCTGTTCATCATCTGCTTCAAACTTCTTGTGCAACAGATGAGGCGGGCAAACTACAAACGGCAGTGCATTCTTCTAGCATTCATTACGACTGTGTTTACACTCGGTACCCTTCTGATGTACAGCATAGCGGACATGACTCAGCTGTCGTTCATCAACGACAGAAACTTCCCTGGTGGTCCTGCGGCGTACGAGGTCCAGATGTACTGGATTCCAGTTGACGAAGTCGGGGTAGTTGCCATGGTCGTAGGGAACTGGTTTATGGACGCTCTACTTGTAAGTTTACCGCAATCAGTCAACAAAAGTCGTTCATCGCATGCCGGCCGTTTGTCAGGTCTGGAGATCACTCGTGATTTTCTCCGGTGTTTCTCAGAGGTCACTACGACTCGTCATGCTAGTTCCCTGCATAATGTTCCTAGCATCAATCAGTAAGCTTGTGCCCCGGAATTCCTGTTTTCACGGTCTGATCGGATTCAAAGGTCTCGGCATCCTATATCTCGTCAAGACATCAAAGTCATCTCCTTTCAACTCGGTTGACTTCACTGTGCCTTACTTCGCCACGACTCTGGCCCTTAATATCGTCGTTACCATCCTGATAGTTTCACGTCTCCTGTACCACCGCTGGCGCTTGGGCCGCGCACTTGGTCCCGCCTACGTGTCTCACTACACCTATCTGGCCGCCATCCTCGCCGAGTCCGCTGCGTTCTACTCGGTTTTCTCGATCCTATTCCTGGTTCCCTTGGTTCTGAACAACCCGCTATCGTCTGTTTTCCTTCAAGCACTAAGCCAGAGTCAGGTGTGTGGCCACACACAAGTTTATATATTTCCCTCCTCACCGAATCGCGGAATTCTGCGCCAGACTGTCGCCTCGCTCGTTATAATATACTATATTGCTTCCGGCAAGACGTGGACGGAGACGATCAGCACTCAGGCGACGTCCGTAACTCGACAGAGGTCGAACACAATCCAGTTTCGCGACCTGCAAACCAGCTCGTCACGTTCGGAGCACGAGTGTGACCTTCCGAAGGTCGATATTACGGTGGTGCGAGAAGTCGTCACTGATGGTGAACGTGCTTCTGTCTTAAATGACCGACTATGCTCAAAATAATCATGGCACTGTACAATGACATCGCGAACGGCAGTAATAGTACCCTCAACGCCAGCGGCGAATCGCTTCGATAATGTTCTTCTTCCCGATGTATCTACATGTTGTATCCCTGTTTCTCACCGGTCCACTAATACATGCAGCGTCTGTACTATTCGATTCGGTCAAATATATAGATTAATGAGTGTTCAAGACCTCACGCGCGAGCTTGCTTTCGTCGGGTTTCTGAAGGTCATTAGAGGGATTCCCCGACATCATGGCCAGTCACTATTGCGTGGGTAAATGATTCCATATGTACAATCACCGCGCCCTATGGTGGCATACTGTTGCATCTATATTACAGGTCCAAAAAAGCTACATTACACGCTATGAGATATATATAGATCCATCGTTCAATGCAAGTGAGATCCGCATAGATGCTGAAAGGGGGGTGGGGGTGGTTCGGACAGGGGGGAGGGGCTATATCGACAGATTGCATACATATCTGCAGGGATAGTGACACGAAACGCAACGCATCTCCCGCGTTCACGCCAACGTGCAGGCCTTTTAGGGGAAGCATCACGAGAGGCGAGACGTTTGCGCGCTGATGCTGCTGGTGACCGAACCGCACCGCCCACGCGAGACAGCTGTCCAACGTGCGCGGGAGGGGCGTTGACATGTACACAGGAGCCATCATGTTCTGCCACCAGACGCGATCGGGCGTCTGGCGCTGGATCGTCGACTAGAGCAATGTGCGTCACTCAAGTATGCGTTGCCGTCTATGGCGGGTATGGAGGGGGTAGAGGAGGTATCTGCCCAGGGCCAGGGCCAGTCCGTCCGCACGCCGTCGGCGCGATGTGGCTCGGATGAGTAAAAAACGGGTTGTCGTCGTATCAGTCAGGGTCGTGGTCGTGGTCGTGGTCGGGAAGACGTTCGGTCATAGAAGTTTCGATGCGCGGAGGTGTTCTCGCACGACCATATCTCGTACTGTATAGTATCAGGACGCCTTCAGCCACAAATCTCGATACATGGGCACACGGACAAGCGTACCGGATGCAATGATGCCGCCAGTCGTCTTTGTGTCCTGTGGGAAAGTGTCCAGATGAGCTCAAAATGATCCCTTCCTCCAAGACGGCGACACAGGGCTGACCGTCACGGAAGTGCAGAACCCGTAGAACTTGCGCGGGATTGGCGAGTACTCCCGGTGTATGGCATTGAACTTGCTGCGGAAGTCTGCGGCGCCCGTAAGAAAGATGAGCGATCACTTTCACGTACGAAAGGATCCCTGCGACTTGGAACACGCACATTTCTCCGCCGTCTCCGAGTCGTTGGCGCGCTCGCCGAAGCTGCGCACATACTTCGCGAGGCGCACGCCAGACGCGAGCTTCGCGGCGAGGATGTCGCACTTGTTCAGGAAGAGCACGAGGTTCACGCGAGCGAGAAGCTTGTTCGCGCACACAGCCTTCCAGAGGAGCACGCTGTCTTCCTGCCAGCACAAGGGGTCAGCGAGCCCGCGATAACAACGCGTCGGAATACAGGTGCTCACGAGCCGATTCACGCTCTTGTCTTCCGCAAGCGTTTGGTCGAAGCCCGATATGGGCGCGAGGAAGATGATCGCTACATGTGACCTTGAGATATACGGCGGTGTCAGGCTGCTCGAAAGTCAGAACGCACCATCAACTGAGAACAAGGGTCTACATCAGCGCCGGCCTTCGCGAGATAACGCGGACAGGGCACGATCTGACACGCACCATCATCGAAGAATGGGACCCATGTTTCTTTCGATCGCCCACACGCTCGCCATCAGCATAGTGCCAACACTGCATCCCAATGTCTGAAACGACTCACGGCGCTGCGCGCACAGTGGCAGGACACAAACAACACGTGAGCACGCACTCGCGGAAATGTACACGGGAACACGCACTTGGCTCCTCGATCCGCCCACGTCGATGATCCGCCACTGTGTCCCCTGCTCCGAGCCCGCCTCCATCTCGAACCGATACTCGGACACGCCGACCGTCTTGAGCCGCGCCTTCAGCACGTCATCTGTACCATCGGTGTTTTCAGCAGCGCACAGACAGCCACGCCAGAGCACGAACCATCCGATGGCTGATAATGCGGCTGCGTCACGCGGTCGAGGTCATCCAGAAAGCTGCGCGCGCACGTATGCATCCACACTCAGCTCACTACACCGCAGGCACAGCAAGCAGCACTCACAACCCCGGGCTCTCCTCCAGCCGGATCTTCCGCCGCTTCAACACCGTCCGCGCCGTGTTGTCCCGCCAGAGCGCCATCAGGTCCGCGCGGCACGCGACCAGCAGCGCCTGCGCCTCCTCCGCGAGCTCGCGCCCCCCGCCGACGCCCAGGCCGCATCCCCGGCCCTCCGGGCGCACCGCACGCTTCCACGCCGCCCCCGGGCGTACGAACACCTCGCCTGCCGCGTCCGAATCCGCGCGTGCGTGCCGCGCGCGCACCCCGCGCCCCGGGCTGCCGTACCCGCCGCAGAGCTGCGCGGGGAGGTACGGCGCGTCCTCGCTCGGCGGCACGAGCGCCGCGATGAGGCGCGCCTCGACGTGCTGCAGCGGCACGAGGCGCGCGCGCAGGGCGTGGAGATGCGCGGGGAGCAGCGCGGACGGCGGGTGGTGCAGCGGGAGCGAGGCCGAGTCGCTGTCGGGGTCCGACGCGGAGTCGCTGTGCAGGGTCGTGCGGCGCGAGCGCATCGAGGGCGCGGCGGGCGGGACTGCGGGGGCACCGTACCCGTGCGGGCGCGGCCAGGTGTGTGCAAAGGCAGGGTCGAGCACGTGTGGGGGGAGGTCGAATGCGAGCGCGGGGGCGAGTGCGAGTGGCGGGGGGACGGGGAGCTCGTGTGCGCGGACGTCGGCGAGCGCGTCGAGGATGATGTGGACGGAGCGCAGGAGGTTGAGCTGGATGATGGCGTGCCAGAGAATACGCTCTTCGCGGAATGCCGAGGGCGTGTATAGTCGCTGGAACTCTGGGGGACGCATGTGTAACGGCAGCCAGATGCACGTAACGAGGAGCACTCACGTCGTAGAGTTGTAGACTTCCCTGCGTGTCATGGAAAGCACGTCAGACAAGCTTTGACATTACATTCTAACAAAGTCTCGGATGTGCTCCTGCGTGGTGACACAGCACCAGACAACATCGAATATTGGAAGCAAGACTGCCATGAGGCAACTAGGCCCATTCCAGACCGTCCGGACACACATCTCTACATTATGTTGCCTCAGCAGTCAATAGCCGAGGCTTGAGCCTGAGCGGCGTAGGGGCGCCGTGCAACCACCAGAGACTTCTTCCAAGGGCATACTGCATTTCCCTGCTAATGGCGTCGATGCACTAGTGCAAGCCGACGAGCGCGGAAGACAGCGCGTACGTACGCGCCGTCCGTCTGCTATTCCGGCAGCTATCGAGGCCACCGCCGTTACACGCACCCATTAAACGAGAAACACGAGCACGGACATGGCGGAGCGGATCACACACCTGACTCGCTCTGGCCCAGCAGTAGCAACCTCACGACGCGCGCCTTCTTTTTCTGCAGCTTTTCCTGGCGTATGCTCTCGTCAATCTCTTGGCTGATGCGATGTGCCTCCGCCTCTGCAGCGAGACGGAATGACTTCTCCTCCAGGGTCTCGTCGATGGGTGGACGGAGGACGGCATCTAGGGGGTCGTTGTCTGGGGGGTCGCGTCCAGGCATGGTGGGGGTCGTCGCGAGGATGCTGGCGGGATCAGGGAAGGAAGGACGAGGGATTCGGGGAGGAAAGGCTGGGGAGCCGGGCACTGGATGGCGGAGCGCGAATGTTGAGTGATTGAGACATATCCTCTGGCGGGCGTCTATCTCGAGCGCATATGCATGCACATGCGTCTGACTGGCCCTTAATATTCTGAGCCGGCCTCTGTCCTCGCACGACCTCGATATTTGGGTTTACTCAGACCCTCGACTTTGGCAACGTAGCCATGCTTTGGGGTCGAGAACAAAGTCCGAGGACCTCAGTGCCGCAGTCAATCAAGGCATCAATCCCGGAACGCCCACACAAGCCTGGCAAGCGTTTGGTGGATCCCTCGCGACACGCCATCTTCTCCCACAATCCCAATCTTCGCCCAAGGACTACCCCGTTTCGCGACACCGCGCGCGCGCGCATATACACACGGTGCAGCGTGTTCAGTGCGCTTGCCCCGCGGAGGTAGACTACCGGCGAGTGAGCGGACACCTGCAACATGAATATGCTGAGGTGCTCATTCTAGATCTACAAGTACTGCAACGTGCCCATCGGCGCACATGTGCCTGGCGGCTTCCGCCGCCTTCGCAGGATCTGGGTCTCGTTTTCCCTCCGCTGCTCCGTCCGTGCCTGATCACGACACCCATAGTCGAAGTGCTTGCCTACCGCCCAGGCACACAGACAACAGACTCCGGTCTATCCACCTATCTCATCACCCCGTTGTGGCGCCGGCATGGTCAACTCGGGCCATGACTACGCCCTGTCTACCAGCATCCCCTGGAGATAGTTGGCAGCAGCTTCCTCTTTGGGTCCAGTGCGGGCGGCCGGTATACTGTCCCGGCTTTGCAGTCGCCGGAAGCCCATGCATCCGCTTTCTTAAATGCCTTTCTGTTGAGCCAACAACTCTGCACGCGCGACGCGGGATGCTGGAGTTAACGCCAGGTGCCCATGGTTGCGGTCCTAAAGCGCACAGCTATGAGCCTCCTCACACGTCGTCATGTCTGTGTCAACCAGCAACCAGCATAGGCCCGCTTTGTCCAAGGCAATACCAATTGCGGATGTCTAGTATGGGGCTGGCCAGCAAACTGTTCACATCTAGTCCGGAAGCTTGCCGATGATCGCAGCACTAAGCCCTGCGCCAGCGTTTTGGCAGCCCCACTCTTGCTTGCACTACAGCCGAAGGAGATACCGATAACGCCCAGCCGCTATGACACTTGGGAGCTTCGCTCAATTGCACCGCGATGGGTACGCCACACCCACTCCCAGGGGCGACTTCTTTTCCTCGGGGTGGGCATCTTCGGGTCTTCGCGCAGCAGCCATCCTGACATCGAGGACCTCAGCGCGCGCCCAAATGCTGGGACGGGTGTTACCCACGGTCGTAATGAAGGTGCATGCGTGCAGCCTGGCGTGCGGCAAGGCCACGTATCGCGACGCCCGCGGCCAGTGTTTCTCTATTACTTATCGCGAGCGTGTAACCGCCGTATCACAGTTAATCATTGCTAAGCTGCAGCCGCCGACATATATCGGGGGCCATCGCGAGATGTCTCACGATGCACGTCGCGTGAGCCCGTCTGCGCATCGGGCGTGCTCATGCATCCACCGGATGGCAGCACGCTGGCTGAAGAGCTCACACTGCTGCGCTGCGACGCCTGCGACGCGTCCTGATGACACCAGTGTTTTTTTTTCCGTCTTACCACGCGAATCTCGAGGGCGCAGGACGACCTGCACCCTGCACGCTCGCCCTGGCCGATCGGTCTTCCCCCGCACAACTCTATCACGCGCCTATTGTGGCGTGCCCTCGCATTCAAATTCACCAGGCACGTCTGTGCAAGAGCGGCAGGCGTGCGCCGCAGGTCAGGAGCCCGCTCCAAGGATTGAGACATCCGGGGCGCAGCCGTCGGACCCGCGGTAAGCATGATTAGGCAGGCCCGGTGGGTGTTGCACGTTGAGGATCATCGAAAGGCTATTGGAGCGGCGTATGACGGACACGCCCCAGGACGCCCAGGGTGTCTCGACGCTTCTCGGCGAGTTCCTGCGAGCGTTTGCGCTGTGGCGGCGCCTTGCTGTCGATGCCTGCATGTACTTGTCTGCGTGCTTCGGCGCACGTATGTATCTCCTGTCCTGGGGGAGCTGGCGCTCCGACTGACCAAGCGTTCCCGCATGGGCGCAGCGCATCTCCACGAGCTCTGGGCCACCCCCATCTCATACCATAGGTGTTCCGCGCGCTCTTGCCTCTTGCGTGCGCCTATCGCAGCGACGGACGCGTCCAGGTGTATACGTCATACCGGGTTTCTTGGTATTTGTCCCTTCTTTACTGTAGACTGCTGGTCCGCGGGTAACAGATGCATACACCCAGGCCGCCCAGGCACACACCATCGATATTTCACCTCCCGCAGACGATAGCCAACGGACACCTGCATAAATCCACCGTCCGTGTCTCCAGCGTTGTTCACTCAGACGCCCGCGTCTTCAGGCCTCGCTCTATGCAACGGCCTTGGAAGTCACACGAGTACGTCGTCATCTCGCTGGCTCAGGGACAGGGACTGCCAGACCGGTCCCGCAGCTCGAAGAGGCCTCGGGAGTAATCGTGCCTGTGGGATTGCCGCCCTGTGCTGAGCACGACCGAGGACATGCGCGCTCATCCGCCGCAGGGGCATCTACGCGCATGCTGCGTATGGGTTGTGGTTCCGCTGCACTGGGATTGGGGCTCTTCCTACTCGAGCGGTTCCCTGGGGATCAGGATCAGCGAGGGTGCCTGTGCCTGCACGCTCGCCGCCGGTGGCATAGCCCCGGATAACGGTAATGCGGCCGTGTGCAGAGCCAGTGGGTACAGCAACTCAGGGTGCAGGGCGAGCGCTGACAGCTCAGACCGGTTGCAAACCTCGCGGAGGCGTGCGCGCGGCATCCGTGCCCTGCCGCTACCGGATCCGCCAACGTGCACGGCTCACTGTGGGCGCCAGCGCGGAGCACTCTTCGACGTGTGATAGCCTTTGACGAAGAAGGCCCAGACACCACCATATCACGGTCGTGCGTGCCTTCTCTTCACCACCCCCTTCCCCAGGGGCATATACGTCTTCGCCAGCATTCGCATCGCACGTGTGTCCATGTGTGTGCATTCTTCGGCTCCCGGACCACCCGAATCCCGAATCCCGACGGACGCGGTATCTGGAATACAAGTGCGCGAGACCGCTCGGTTTCTGCAGACATCCAGGGGCATGATGCATCAGCGAGAGGCTGTGGTGCGTTGGTTACTGTGTGCAGACAACTGACCGTAGCGATCGGTGCCTTGGTGGTCGTGTTCCCGTGTCGTGATACAGCAAGCAAGGCACTCATGCCTAGTTCGGGCGGAAGGAAATTGAGTGCTCCTAGCGTGTCTGGGACCTGATCGCTATGTCCTGCCTCTCGTTCCCATTCCTGCAGTCGCTGTCTCTGGTACATGCGTCCTCGTTGATAGGATTTGAGTGCTTCCAGAGTGATGCGCACCGCGTACACCGGCGTCGTGTACCAAAGTCCACGGACTCAGCTCGTGTCGTCTAGTCCATAACGCGTAGCTATAGTCTGCAGGGACATGGATGCGGCGCCACTGCTGCCCTATGTACATTTGAGAAGCAAACAATGCCGCCGCTAACGGACGCCTTGGCAGTACTCGCCAACATGACGGCCGAGTTCACTTTGGACGAAGAGCAAAGAAGCTGGCCCGTCGTGTATGGCTTTCGGCGGTGAGTTTCTACATTAGCAGGGCAACGAGCTCAGCAGCCTGTCCTCGTCCCCAGTATCCATTAATTACATGCCATTCGGGGTCAAGTAGCATATTAAACACAAGTACAACTAGTAGGCTCCAACTCGAATGATACAACTAGGTTCTACGATTACAGCAAATGCAAACCTAAAGGAAGGGGTGGACGATTCCGTTTGCCGCTTTCTCTTGCGAGGGCGTGCGATGTCTGGCTAAACTGTCATTCATCGCTGAAAGTATCTTTTGTGACCCAACACTCGACCGTGGCCCATCTGTGTGGTCCAGGATTATGCACAATCGGGTTCCGCGCGAGGCAGCTGCGCGGACTGGACAACAGAGTCACGAGTTTCCGACAGCGGAGGAGGTCCACCAATGGCGACTTCGCCTGCCGTTCAGCTGGTGAGTTCGAAATGATACTAGAATCGGCCGACTTGTAATCGTGCGCACCTGAAGATCGCTAAAGGTATTAGGCATGAATGCTTATTTGCACGAACCACGAGCAGCGGCGAAGTGTCTGTCCAGGTGTGAGTGTTATGTGTGCCTTGTGCGCCTGATGAACTGCTCTGAGCAAGAATCAAAGTTCTCGTTCTTGCGACGTACCTCTCCGGAATGCACTCACAGCGGCTTGACGATGGGCGGTGTTTGTCTGTGAAGCCTTGCGATATATCAACCGCTGTCCCGCAATAAATATGTAAGATCCGAGAACGATGGCGCTCAGTAGGCGATTACAGTATACTTTGGCTCGTTGTATCGGAGAGAAGGCAATTCAGCGTTTCCGTGTTGACTGGATGAGCGAGACAGCGGACAATGCAGCGGATATACCAGAGTCATGGTCCTTCGTGGTATGCCCGGAGCCTGCCAGGGACGCATGGCGCTTTTAACCTGAGCACAGTGCGTAGGGTAGTCATGATCAGAATATGACTATGTCCAGTATTGGGATACGGAGTATGGATCAGCCATAAGAAGGGTCCTCAAGGTTGGCTTAATAGGATATGCGCCTGACTCAAGTCAGTAAGTACATCAGATATCACGCTCTCTGTGATGTAGCGACTTTTCGACATCAATGGCCATATGGCCACGTTCTTCTAGACTACTTTCTTGTAAACTCGCCAACCGCTGCAGTTGGCGGCATGTGATCAGAATAGCCACGGTCCAACTGGATTGACAGAGTATTTAGATACCGTCTCGAACCCAAAGAGAACAGTACACACCTCTGCCCCTTGCGCCCTCGGGCCTGATCTGCAAGCAGCTTTGGTGAATCATATTGAGCGCCTTGACAGCGTCGCGCGCGTCGATAACACACGAGATATTGATCTCGTTTGCGCCCTGGCTAATCATCTCGATATTGACGTTCCCTTGGCCGAGCGTGGTGAACATCCGCCCTGCGATGCCGACCATATTTCGCATGCGGGTGCCCACGAGAGACAGAATAGCCATGTCACGGCTGACGGTGACCTGGGAAGTGCAGGGGCGTTGTAAGTAGACGCACGTTGCAGCAGCGGGTGCAGGCTGCTCACCGTTCCGCTTTTGCGGAGCTCCCGCACGACGCGGTCGAGCACCTTCTTATCCAGCCCATCCTCGATCGCCATGCTGACATACACCTCACTCGTGCTGATAAGGTCGACAACAACACCATAGCGATCGAGCGTGCCGAACACGCCCGCAAGGAAGCCGTGCGAGACGCTCTTGCGGTTCGAGTTCACATTCAGCACTACGATGCGCTCTTTAATCGTCACCGCCGTCGGCAGCTTGCGCTCCGTTTGATCGCCATGTTCTCCCCTGGATGTAGGTGCCGCTCCGGGCACTGCGAACACCCCAAGCATGTCGTCCTCGGGGTATGGCGCCGCGTCCATGTCTGCATCCGGGTGGATAACCGTGCCTCCGCCCTGCGGGTTCTCGACATTTTTGATGCGTATGGGAATCTTCCTCCGGATGACCTGCTCCATCGTGAACGGGTGCACAACCTCGCTCCCGTAATACGTCAGCTCGGCCGCCTCCTCCGGGGATATGATCGGGATCAGGCGTGCCGTCGGCACCTTGCGTGGGTCTGCCGTGAAGATTCCGTCGACCTCTTTCCAGATCTGTAATTCTGATGCACCGAGACCAGCGGCAAGAAGCGCTGCGAGGAGGTCTGTGTACCCGCGACCTACTTGCCGCAGGAGCGAACCTGGTACGGGTCCAAAGAAACCTGGTGCTCGCAATGTCAGACATGGTAAGCAGACGATATGAGGCACATACCTGTGACGACGGGAACGCGGGGGCCACATTGTCGAATGCGCTCGCTGACGGCCTCTGCGACGCGGTCGTAGAAGTCCTGGCCGAGTGTCTCGTGCGAGTAAGACCCCTCGTCTTCTGTGTGCGGCACTATGTTTTCTAGGCTGACATATTCCGCATCGATTCCCTGATGAGAGATGAGTTGTATAAATTCTTTCAGGCAGCGTGTTCGTGCTCACCCTATCTCTCAGGATGGCTGTCATGACCTTACACGCTAACCGCTCTCCAAAACCAATAATATTGTCCCTCGATCTTGGCGAGATCTCATCGATGACCTGCACTTGACATTAGCGCTCGCAGTAAGCGAATGTTCATTATGACGTACCTGCGTCGCAAAGAGAAATGAACGTAGGCCATCGCAGTCCCGGTCAATCTCCAGCTCGAGCTCCCGCAGAATTTCTGAATCCCGGATGGCTGCACGTGCAGCGGTGATGTGTTCCGAGCGGATAATATCGACCGTGCTGTTAAACACTGCTGGAGCGTGATTCGCCTGAGACATGCTGAAGGAGCCTCCGGGCGTGAACAATTCCCTGGGCGATGACGTGCTGCGCTGCCGCGGGCTGCCTACTGGAGACTGGACTTGCGAAGCTTGAGAGAATAGGGCGGGCGTCATGCTACCCGGGGTATCTGAAGGGCTGCTCGTACGCTGCAGTGCTTCCTTAGCAGCGCGCAGCAAGAGATTCGTGGTACCGAGCGCCTTAGTCGAGCCCGAGCGTGCTGAGCATACGATTGCGACCTTATGCTGGTCTATGTACTCCCTGAAGGGCATGGAAAGTCACGCGCAGGACACACAGGGGTTGGGAGTGGGGTACGCACGAGATGATATCGTCCGCAATTTTAACCGCAAACTTCCCCACACTCGTACCGCCGAACTTTTGGACCAGCCATTTTGCTGCAGGGTCGATGGTGTTTTGGTGAAGATTTGGTGGTGTATGTGGGAGGCTGGGCGACGACACTGACGATGAACAGGATGAAGAAGCGGAGGATACGGTAGAACGATCAGACATGGCTGTAGCCCTTTCAGTGTTACAGGTTGGTCGTATTATAGCATACTGACATACCACCAAAGTCGACGGCTACTCCAGCTCAGCCAACAGTATGCAGCGCGGCGGAGAGAGTGAATTCCGAGTCGTCTAGGAATGTCAAGCAAACTAACGAGTGGTCCAACTGAAAGGCGAGTCAGAACAAGTCAGAGCAGTAGCAACATAACAACAGACACAGATTTCGACTAGCCCTAAGGTCCGAGTGGGAAGATGGCAAGACAGTCATGATTCGTGTCTTCATCTTGGGAAGGGCTCAGGATGACTCGCGCATTTTCCCAAGATGGAAAGTCCGGCGGCTCTGTTGGCCGACCCCGGATGTGCGATTACATAAAATCGAATTTGATTAATGACAACCATTCAGTTCCATATCGGTCCTATGTTACTTATCAACAGCGTGAGCAATGGACTTAATTTATTATATGATGTTCCTCTCTCTTCTCAGCCGCACATCACAACTAGCAGTCGGAAGCTGAGAGTCGACCAGTTCGCCAGGTTCATGCACAAGGCAAGATGACAGAAAGGACTCCAAGCGAGTGTATCTGCCACGTTGTGCCCGAAGGTGCACAATCAAAGCAGCGGTGTACTTGAAGTAATGAATGATGCACGTAAATTGAAGGATGTCATGTCACGGAAGCCGCTTTAGTTTGTTCCATCTTACGTATAGGGAAACGCACATCCCCCAAGCTGGCTGAACGTTAACATACGTGCCAGTCAGTGCTCAAAGAATGCCCTTTGCACAGTAAGTGCGGAGCAGAGAGGGGCATAAGCTGCAATCTACTACATCTCGTCCTCATTTTCCTTGATGCTCTAGCGTGGTGCACGCTGTCGCCCTATGTGTATCTGAGGACGAACGTGCGTGTACAGAACAAGCATCTATGCTTCCTGAAATTAAAAATGTTTGCCAAGCTATGGAATACCAGAGACTATTTTCAAAATACATCGCTATTCTATCAACTTTCTCTTAGATCAATATGTCAATTTGAATGATGAATCAGTTACCCAATTAGCACGATACAGCTGTACAATATGCCCCATATGTTGTGAAGAAAAAAATGGACGAGAGAACAACACAACTGAAAAGGCACGATACATAAAAGATATCTGGTCGGAACGGTAGGCCAACAATGCCATAAGCGAAACAGGCTGTATACAATCTATCACTGTGTGATCCCTGGAAATGTATCTCGTTCAGTATATAGATAACGCCTTCGTCATAACGTCACAGACCTTCCGTGGAGTCATCATCTGCTATTTCTCGGAGTGTAGAGTGAAGTATCATCACAACGGAGCATTTCAGCGCTTGCCGGAGGAAGGAGCCAAGTTAGATGCTCATCATCTTGCGCCGTCTTTGACTGCGCTTGGAAAATCATGAGTAGTGACGCAACAGACTTGACGCGAGGAATAGTTCAGCAATCGGGGCCAGCAATTGAGGCCGAGATCGGACTACGTACTTGTATAGGGGTCATGCATTGGTCAACAAAAGCGGAGAATGGATGGTGCAGCGCGAGGGTAATGAGAAATATGAGTGAAAAGGTCGCATTGAGTGCCGCAGACTCGGCTAGTATTGCAACTATCTTAGCATAACGGAATCCATGTTGTCGTCCAAGAATATGTGTGAAGGAGCGATAGCAGTAAAAGAGACGTATCGCGATGAGCAGTGTTACAGCAACGTTAAGGGAAAGTGTGGTTGCAAAATAGGGAACAGTGGCATGAATGTCCGCGAAAGGAGACGATCGCCAAGTCATCTGGAGATACACTATCCCAAGGCCTATTCCTGTGATGTGAAGTAAGGAGGAGCCTATATTTTGTCCTGATGCTCACCGATTGACGCAAGAAACAGGCCGCACGGGAGAAGCATCACTGCCCAGAGGGGAACTATAGAAAAGCCTGTAAAGATTATCTTGCAGCGCCAAACCTAGACAAGGAATTGTGAACTGCCTTCACCTCATGAGAGAAGGGCTACTCATACCAGCAGCGCATCCATGAGCCAGTTACCAATCACCCAAGAAACAGTCGCGACTTCATTCGTTGGAATCGAGTACATATCAACTTCGTAAGCAGACGGGCCGCCAGGGTAATTCCGATTGTTGATGAATGATAATTGAGTCATCGCCATATCAGAATATATGGCGAGAGTTCCCAAGATGAAGATGACAGTGATGAGGATCAGAAGAGACGCAGGACGTTTGTAGTCGTGACGATTGAACTGTTGTATAACGAGCTTGAGGCAGATCAAGAAGAGGGCCAACTCCACGCCGTATATCATGCATTCGCACAATGCACCCTGCAGCCACATGGTTTCTTCAACAATCAGTTCGTGGGTTTCATGTGGGGCATACGGGCCAGTGCTCATCTACGCGGTGATTTATCACTGAGAGTACAGATGAATGTAGAAGAAAACATACGACGGAGCCTCTTCGGGAGGTTCTGAGTTAATATGGGTTGTTAGAGTAATGTCATCTAGCACAACGTGTCCACCTCTTTCTATGGTTATCTGCCAGCGCTTCCCATGCTTGCGGTGAATGACAGCGTGGAACTGATCAAACGTCTCATGCTAAGCTGTACCGTAGATAATCAGTGTCCTGTACGTATGCAGCCTTGTTGACATCATAGAATGCAGTCAAGCAGGTTCGATACGGATGGTATCGCGAGATCCTCGTAGGTAGCTTCGCATTAACGAGCGAGACTTCATCTGAAAAACTAACTGTGAGATACAGTGATGTGTCAGCATCGAAACACGGGTGGATATCATGAGCTGAGACTTGAAAGCGTTGCGGGCCAAGGATGTGTTTGCTTTTGGGTGCAGCGTAGCCGCTGGCCCGAGGCACATGGTTAGTGCAGTGTCGCGGTGTGGGAATTGGACATATGTTGCGCGCCGTAGGTAGCTAATCACTGTCCAACGAGGCCGGTGGTCTTTCCAGCGTTGTTCTCACAAGATTGTGTGCAATTGGTTGAAAACTGGTTCCTGAAGGCATACCACATTCTCTCTTCTGTCGGTGGTATGCACCGGTGTCACTTCAAGTCCCCGTTGGATGGTATTGATGAGATGCGAGGCCACGTCGCGCTGCATAGAAGCCGCAGCGGTTGAGGCTGTAATGATGATAAACATTTGTTACCCGGCAAGTAGTATTGACGATGGATTTATATAGTATAAGGCAATCATGGAGTATTATCGTGTCCTCGGAACTGGTCACGTAAGGTGTGAATTCGATGCAGCCTGATCAAGCGATGGTACGGACTAACCATTTCTATCAGCCGCCGACAAAACCGCGTATCGAGATGTGTATGTACCTCAATCCCGAGTGTACATATCATGGAGTTCGTAATTTGAGTGCCTTGAAGAATCGTTTCAATGCAGAGAATGGAAAGTCATATGCAACGTCGAGTCCTTCTGCCAGCCGACACTTGTGGGGTCATGTCATGTGATCAGGCGCACTACTCAATTCGTCACTCGAGTCCTCAGCTTCAAGTGCTCAGACACCCCGTGCCCATGCCTTTAACTGAAGTCGGTGTAATCAATATTGTGTCGGTGATATCACTGATGACATTCAGAAGCAGTGCATACAACTTATAAACGTTGGTCCAGCATGCCCGGCCGGGCAATTATTGTCGGCTGGCTGCCACTATCCTCTTGAGCGAGATTCCTGTTATCGAGGCAACTTGGCCAATGAATGTTCTTGACAGGCTTAGCCCCGCGATTAAGCCACAAAGGCCGCACAATCAAAGCAGAATTTCATTTAACGGTCAGTCAAGGTACGCGGTCTGATTTAGATGATATATCAGAATGGAAGCTCTCCCTGAATCCGCTCTATCCGAAGCGGGATATGATAGCAGCCTCGCTGTTGAGCGGTTCGCTAATGAATTGTAACAGACATACATGCCAATCACGACGTCATTTGTTCAGGAGAAGTGACATCGGACGTGCTTTCGGTGTACTACACCGAAAACAGTCCAACGAGAGATGGGTAGAGATGGGTAGTGGCTACCCATTTCTCGTCTGGACTGTTCACACTCATATCCTTTGGAATGAAGTGGTAATGGTACTTTTGTTTTGTTGACGAACATGCATTCCTCTAATATACAGGACGTAAGTACTTTATTTCCTATACAATGCTGACGCAACGTCCCCGTCGAGTCGAACTTTAGCTTCGGACGGTTGTGAGTGGCTTCAGCATATGCCATTACAGCACCGAGACACTTTAGACACTTTAAAATAACATCACACAAACCTCATGACAAGGACTAACGTTTGGGCAACTATCCTTGGTGCCGGAAATGTTGCACTTCACATGACATCTACAGGTCGTCCTCAAGAAACCATGCCCTACAAAATATACTCCAGCCATTTCTACGCATATATCAAGTGCGTGGCCGATCTATTAGTAAAGCTTGCTTACCGTTGTGAAAGTGGCAATTGTGATTTACTTAGAAGAAGAGATCATAGAGCAACGTTTCGTTGGGCTGGTGTGCGATAGGATTGGGCGCAAAGCTGGACTCGTGTTCACCATATCTCTTATCATAAACGGCGCTACATTATGTACGGCCGCGCATGGCGCGGACGGGAGTCCTGATGGCCTGTCCTGGTTCATGACCATCGCACGGGGAGTTGTAGGGGTGGTGCGTATTCCTATAAACTACCAGATCTTTTTTGTGGGATGCGACAATGACCTCACGATCATGAGGAGAGCGGAGGCGAGTCTCCAGAGTTGTCCACTAGCGCAAGTGAAGCTGCGAATGAGGGAAAGAGCACGGAAAGAGCAAATTGTCAGGCAAATATATACACATCGTTTCGCATCTCCTGATGATTGTCCTCCAGTATTCCTCATGGCCACAAACCTTCCTCTAGTCGTACGCACAACTCGGATTCCGACACTCAACTTCCCTCATGTTCGCATGTCGATGACAACTTGGCTGACCGCTCGCTATCTCCGTCTTCCTCATTGTATTGTCTGCCGCAGAAGATGCCCGCCTCAGCACTGTTTGGCGGATATGCTTTGGGATAGGCATCGTCTTGCCCCTTACGGTGTTTTATGATTTTGTGAGTGCATTGATGTAGCCAAACCGGTAAGCATGTTTCATTAGCATGTGCTCTTACTGCAACAAAGCTCACGAGCGCTGAGTACGTCTGTATTGTATCGTCTAACTCGAGTCAAACCATCTCACATGCTTCTCATAGGTCATATCCCACATCAGGTCTGTATTGGTCTATGATAATATTCAACTCATCTGACTGAATCCGGCCACGTTCCGTCTGCTGCAGGGGACTTGCTTTGGGATTTCCGCAGCTGGCGTTGCGGCTTTCAAGCTCGTTCAGACCAATTTTGGCAAAAGGTGGGGGGTCACTTGCCTGTGGTGTCTGGTTGCTGGCTCATTCGAGCCCCATTACAGGTGGACGTTCATCGTTGCCGCGATATTCGGCGCACTCGGCATGATCGCAACCTACTTTTTCGTGCCGGATATGACAGGCGTAGATCTAGGGGAGGAAGATGCCAAGATCATGCAGTATCCTTATGAGAATGGGTGGGTGGGTGACGTGGGTGAAGCTGACGCCACGCAACCTATAGACCTGGTCATGCGCAGCAGGTCTGGGGTCATGTGTTGGAGACGAGCACACACAGCACCGAGAAGACTTTCAAATCAGGAAGTTCCCACAGTTCATTTGACGTATTGCGTAGGTCATCTGCCCGTGCTTTTCCCAGTGGCATGAGTGTAGTAAATAGAAAGTGCGCCGCAATCTGCAAATAACTGACGCCGCACTGGCAGGTGGGTCAGAGCATGAAATTGATGAATCAATGGACCCACCAGGAAGCGTCTGCAGGCGTCGTTGATACGTGCAGAATGCCTCGATTAGACAAAAGCAGCGTTGGCTTGTCGCCTGACTCCCGAGTCTATTGTGCAGTTTGTATATGTGACGTAAAAGATCCAATCGTCGTGAAGCCATGGCAATATCTCGCTGATTGTATTACGAGCCTTGCGATTGAATTCCAGTCTCGCCTGCCACATGAGAATTCCAAGAGAAGTAAACCGGCTCCAATTCAAACGGCTCGGACAGCTGATACGCGGTCACATGATCGTGACACGACGCGTGCCGGCAGACAATTCACTGCCATCCTAACACTGCAACATCCGAGCCAGCTTTATCTAGGTAATCACTGTGATCGCTGTTCTCTGCATCTCTTTCCTACTTTGCCTCAATGATCTTATTTGAGCCGGGCTGTACAGGTTCAAGAGTCGACAAAATCTGAAGCCGGGTTGCATCACGAGGCTCTCGACTCAAATCCGAGCTCCTGCGTAACCACTGGGTAGATCGATATTTTGGTCACTCATTGCCTCGCGCGTATAGATTGGTGGAGTACTTGATTCATCGCTTTTGACTATGACTAGCACAAAGTGCACCGAAGGCAAAGAGGTAATCGGATGGATGACAAATGAAGCCGACTCGCCACCTGATATGCTCTGGTCAGTCAATAATGCGGTGATACGACCTACGAAACCCTAACCCCTAACCTGGGTGCGACCTAAAGGGACTAGAGAGACGGATTATAGTCTAATGAGAGGGGAGTTAGCAGCAAGGTGTCCCGCGGTTCGAGTGAACACGAGAAACGCCCTTGGGAAAGGTTACGAACAAACAGGTAGGTACGAGGTGGCTTCGACACGTCGTCGAAGCTACTCGGAAGCTGTGGAAAGTTAGCGACGATCGAAGCTCGGCAGAGCTCTTCGATGTATCGTAGAGAGAAGGGACACGATTCGATAGGGTGTACTTAGCTAGGGCGCGGTTCGCAGTTTCTTCGACAATAGTCGAAGTCGAAAGGTTCGTCGAGATGGTATCGACGAGTGAACGCAGTGGACGAGGTTTCGAGGTTACGCAGTGGGGAACGAAGTGACGCAGTTGAGGACGTAGACGCAGGGCGAACTCGACTTATGAGCTCTGAACTCGAGGGGGGGGGAACGGATCTTGTATTTTTAGAGAGAAGTACGACCGATTTTATACTACACAGGACGCTACGACTATTCGAGAGTGGCATACGAGTACAAGGGGCTTTGCATTGTTCCTCAAGAACCTGCCTCACCGAGAGGCACATACCAAGTCCATCGGTAGAATGACGTCATGCCGAACGCGGAGATGAAGGGCAACATATGGCCACTTCGGACCGGTAGCCGTCGTGAAGGCATGCCGCGAGGTTCGATACCCAATCGGGAAAGACCGGCTACTTCGGTGTGGCTTGGAGCGAAGCGCGCGCTTGGCCGAGCGGCGTCAAGTGGCCCTATTGTTCGCCGAATGCGGAAGATGTTCCGAGGTCTACGCACGAGGCATCGGGAAGACCGTGCCGAGCTTCGAGCAAGCGTCGCGCACCGTCGAAGGTGTCGAAGAGCGTCGAAGGCGAAATCGAAGTGTTGGGAGACTGGGTCGAAGTGCCGGGCGGGATGCGAGTGCCGAAAAGAGGTGTATCGGGGCCCAGCGGGGCTCGGCGCCTATCAGCGGACAGACAACTTAAACCACATCAGCGACGCGGACTGATTCCAGCTTATATCAAGCTGACTGCGACTGACCTGCCAGGGCACAAGGCCTAGGCGGCGCCACGCTTCTAATCATCCTTTTGTGATCATATCGAAGGTCGGGCTTCTTGGCCCGCCCATGCCTCTTCCAAGTCACTATGCATCAGTGTGTTCAATCGCGTGCCAAGATTTTCCACTAGCGTTTCATTTGATAACGATTTGTTGCACACGCGCATCTCATCGTAGTGATATATTCCATGTATTTGATCAGGTCAATGACCTAGACTCACTGCACTAGATCATAGGTGTTCCGTCCAAACACCGGACATTCATGAATGGCTATGCACCATATATAGCCGCTTCGCTGTGAATAGGGGAACGTGATGCAGGCCGGATCGGGAAATGTCTGCAATGTGCATCTACTGAACTCCGTGAATGTGCAGTCGATGTGAGTGCAGTTTCTACGTGATATCAGCTGCCCAGAATCGCATGGAGTTTGCATGAAATAGGGCTTTATAGCCTCCCGCCTCTGCCATGCCGCCCTCTATCGCCGTCGATACTGTGGCCGCCGGGAAGAACGGGATGCGAAAGTACTCCCGGCCGGCCGGCGGCTTGATCGGTGCGGCGTCTCCTGGCGTCTTCACGAAGTCCAACTTCGTAATGACTATTTCATATGACTAGGCCAATTCCGTAAATCTCGGAGACGAGGTAGGGCACGGAACCATTGTAATCACAGGTACAGCATGCAGAGAATCACCGTTGCATGTCTATATATTGCAGCGGGGTGCGGCTGATCCGAGTTACAACTTGAACGCTCGCCTTCAGATTCTTCCCTCGATACTACTAGTACTCAAATGGCCACTGCCACAGTCCTCGCGAATAACGACCCTCTGGATGAGGTCAGAATCATTGCTCCGTGAGTTCTATTCATCCCTGTCATGGTGAAAAATGACAATTTGACGCAGGAGTATTCTCGCGATGACATAGCCAGGGAATGTTGGGATATGGCTATGACGCTGCAGTATTTCTCGAGTATTGCGAGAGGCGTCGGCCTCATGCTATCTGCTGTGACTCTGGCTCGACCGATTCTGGTCCCCAAAAGCTCGCTCTTGGTACCACGACGTGTCCGCGCGAAGCCTACGTGCGTGACCTGGCCCCCCTGGTGTTTGCCGCAGTGAAATACAAAATACCCGTCCTCATCGGATCCTGCGGCGGCTCGGGTACGAACGCGCAAGTGGACCTCTTCGCCGACATTATCCGCGAGCTGTCGAACGAACATGGCTATTGTGTCCGCGTTGCAAAAATCTACTCTGAGTTCGATAAGGCTGTGGTCAAGACTAACATTGAGAGTGGCAAGGTCAACCCGTGCGGACCCGTCCCCCCTCTTACAGTCGAGGACGTGGATGCGACGACGGTCGTCGTAGGTCAAATGGGCGCAGAGCCTTACATAGCCGCTCTATCAGCTGAAGAGCCTGTTGACATCATCCTGGGCGGCAGAGCATACGATCCTGCGCCATTCGCTGCTGTGTGTCTCAAGCACGGGATCGACGCAGGCATCGCTTGGCACATGGGCAAGGTACTTCCTTTCATTTGAGTATCCAGTCACTTTTTAACTATACGCCCACAGATTGTACGTATAATACGCCTGCTGCTAGAAACCCACGCTCACTGGTGCATCTGCAGCTGGAATGCGGCGGGACATGTGTCGAGCCGAAGCAGTCGATGATCTTCGCGACCGTACGCAAGGACAGCTTTGACCTCGAGCCGACAAACGACCATTCGCGCTGCTCCGTCACTTCTGTCGCGGCGCACACCCTCTACGAGAAGACGCGCCCGGACCTGCTTCCTGGCCCGGGCGGCGAGCTCAACCTGCAACACTCGACATACGAACAGCTGACGCCGACCATCGTGCGCGTTCGCGGCGCCGTCTTCGAGCCGCGCAAATACCAGGTCAAGCTCGAGGGCGCCAAGGTCACCGGGTTCCGCTCGATATATATCGGCGGGATCCGCGAGCCGGGCCTCATCGCGCAGATCGACGTGAGTGCCGCAAGTCGCTTGCGCCTCGCGGACGTGTTCCCATGTGTTCTTGATTTCGCAGACAGTGCTCGAGCGCGTGGAGCAGTACGGGCGGAGTATGAACCCGACGTTCGAGGGCGAGAACTGCCGCATCGCGTTCCATGTATACGGCAAGAACGGGGTGCACCTCTTTGACTATATGGCATCTTGAACCAGAACACTGATCACACTGCTCAGGTTATGGGCCCGCTCGAGCCGGTCATAGTTCCTGCTCACGAGCTGTGCATCGTTGGTGAGGTACTCGCACCTACACAGGAGCTCGCGCACAGCGTATGCAACACCCTGCGGGTGGCCACGCTGCACTGTCCATACCCCTACCAAGCGCGTGTACCCCCTCTGATCAGCTACCTGCTCCTTTGCTGACACCTCACACCATGCAGATCGCCACGGCCGGGAACCTCGCAGGACCGCTCAGCCCGCTGGAGTCTGACATCGGCGCAGCGTCCGAGTTCTCCGTGTACCACCTGATGGACGTCGACGACCCCGTTGCGCCGTTCCCCATCTGCCACGAGACGATCGGCACGCCCGGGAAGGACAATTCGCGCTGGCCGACGTACGTGCGCCAGGTCAAGGAGAAGTCTACCGCGGCGCAGGTGCTCGAGGCGGCGCTCAAGGAGATGCGGGCGCAACGCCCGGACCCGGTCGCGCGATGGCAGGAGGCAGTGGCACGTGGAGACAAGACGATCAAGCTACGCGATGTCGCGACGGTGCTACGGAGCAAGAACGTGAGTGCTTCCTCCTGGAATGTTCTGGAAGTATTAAGACTGACATTTGTTTTCGCAGAGCGGACCGTATGAGCTTACCTTTGATGTGATGCTACCGAACGAAGAGATCTTTGAGGCGGTGAGGACCAGCCGGACATTGACGAAGGAGATCCTGGCACGGGCATACAACGTCAAGCCGGAAACGGTCCTTGCTTGTCTTTTCTTCCAGCAAGCCCGCGCGTTCAAGTTCACTATTCCAAGGTGTGTTACGACGTATAGTTCTTGATGTTGATAGTGCTAAGTATATACATGACTCCCAGAGTGTATTCGAATGGAAGCTTCGGGGAGACAGATATGCACGGATGTCAGCAGCACATTCCGCTGGGGGACATCGAGATACCCCTACCTGCTCTCAGTGCCTAGGCCCTCAATCCGTAGTCATCTTAATGGGATATTGTACCTGTAAACGGAAACGAGACGTTTCTGGAGGTTTATGCTTACGCCCATACGATCGGGATTTCTGATTCGGCAAGTGACAAGAAAATGATGCAGCCGCTTCTATTACTCAATATGGAAAATACATTGGCGAGAAAAGTCCGCACATATTCTCGAGATCACTCGGGCTCCCGCCAGACCCCTTCTGCATTAACCTGACTCTCCGCGAAGTCGTGTGCACTCTGATCGTCGCTGCCCAAGTAGCTCTGCATGCGCTGCATGAAGTCCGTGATATCTTCGACACCTTGGTCTCTGATTTCGTTCTCATATCCGCCGTCGTGCACTGGCGCGTGCGGATCCCAGCTGATCGGTATGCCACGCCAGCCATTGTTCAACGCGACGTAGTTGAGGAACTTGCGCCATAACGGGTCGATAGACAGAACGAGTGGGTCTCCTATGACGATCAGGAGGGCTTTTGCTCTCGTGATGGCCACTGTTCATAGCGAACAGAGTATCAACATCATGCCCAGAATGCTCGAGTGAATTCTTACCGTTCAGCCTTCGTGGATTCGCCACAAAGCCCAAGGTATGTTTCGCATCGAAGGTGAGTAGTTCCTTGCTGCTCCGGACGGTGGTTAGCATGATGACTCTTCGTTCCTACGACGGCGCGTAAGCGACAACAGCTACCAGCGTTCATCTAACTCACGTCGCCTTGGAATTCCTCGACGCTTGCCACCTTGATGCCAGTTCCGACATTTGCGCGCTTGAGCGTGTCGCGGAACTTGCGCGCCTGCGCGTTGTAAGGCGTGATGATGCCGATCTCTTCATCAGCTAGAGAGGAATGAGATGTATGAATATATACCCCAGCCGAAGAAAGCGAGCACCGGACGTACCCACGACATGTCGACGTTCTGCCTTCAGCTTCTGGATATAATTCTTGCCAACCAGGATCTCATCCGTATTGAAGTACGATGGCGACGACGCTTCTCTTTCGTCCTTGCCGCACACCGCGTGGAAGATTACCGGGAACTTCCGATTGGGGAGTTCCTTCCATCCAACAAAGGAGTCGATGACCCGTTTAGGACCGCAAGCACGCAGATCCGAGCCGTAGAACTGCTCGTTCGAGAAATTGAGGATTGTCTCGTGGGAGCGGAAGTTCCTCTTGAGCTTGACGAGTCTGCAGAGCAACACCATCAGACTCGAGTTCCAACACAGGTAGAGATGGCTCACGTCTTTCCGCTCCCCCTGTGCTCATCGTACAGGTCTCGTTCCATCATGCGCTCCAAATAACTGACGCCCAGCCCCAAGTCGCGCGCGACGCTCGACCTGATGATAGGCCCCAATTGCTTAGGATCGCCGGATAGCACTACTTGCGTGGATGGGGTAGTCATCGCCTTCATAGCTGTCATTGTCTCTGGTTCTGTCGCCTGAGCGGCTTCGTCGACGAATATATGGGTGAAATGGCCAGGTGGTAAGCCCACACCGAAGGCGAACGACGCCGAACCGCAAGTGGAAACGACGACACGGAATTGGGCGAGCTGCGACACCTGAGGGACCGAAAAGAAGCCTTGGCTGTTTGTGTGCGTATGTTGAAGGAGGTTGTCTGGAACGAGTTCTCGACGCCGAGACACAGCATAGAAACGGAAGAGCTCGGTGCTGCTCAAGCTATTCAGCCGCTGTGCTAGGATGTCAGCAGCGCTGTTGCTAGGAGCGCATGCGAGAACTCGCGCTTGCGGATCCCGAGATAAGATTTGACGTATGGTTTCCACTATGGTGACCGTCTTCCCGGTACCTGGACTGTCCAAAGAGCATCAACTGAGCGCGCACGCGCGGAAGGTATATAGATGATGCTCACGGTCCGAAAACAATGAACGGCGCAGCGCCTTTCTGGAGCCGCAAAATGCATCTGATTGCCTGCAGCTGCTCCGCGTTGTCGGCAATGAGCGGATTAAAAGGGACAAGGGACAAGTCAGATACGGTAGGAACCGCCTTCAGGCCGATGTCAGCGTCCGTGGGGAACAAGAAGCGACCAGGAGACTTTGCAAGTGCACCTAGAGCCTGGTGCTGTCGGCGGAGTGGGATACGGTTCAGCTTGAAGCGCACGTTGAACCGCTGACCGTTCGTCGGTTTGAAAGAAGGGTGGAAACCCAGGCCAACGTCATTGAGTCGAGCGACATGTACCCACCCTTCGAAACACCTGCCTTGCTGAGATCCGGACGGTTGTACTTCTATACAATCGCCTAACCGAAAAGTCTTAAACGATGTGCGGAAACCAATGGCTAGAGACACCCTACCTACGACAACACTGGGGCGTTTCTCAGCCAAACCAGGAACTACCAAACTGGATGTGTCAGAGAGACGGCAGTGATGCATATGCGTGGATATCCCTGATTGAAACGTACTAGTACAGATTCCCTTCCTTCGTGAAGACAACATCCGCAAGATCGTACACACGAAGATCACGCCTAGACAGAAAACATATGAGTTCATAACAATTTCGCATACTGCCAACAATACCTACTCCATGCGGTACTCCTCGATCCACAGTAACAACTTGAAGACGCGGCCGTGCGTGGCCGCAGAGAATGTTTTAGGCCATATACCTGCTCGTAATTGCGCTACAGCGTCGGAAGGCACATTCTCGCGTAGTACTGATGCCACCACTTCGGGGATGCGGTATGGGCGAAGCCTTTTGATCCATGGGACAGCATCCATAGCAGGAGGCCTGCGTCCAGGGAAGTACTGCTGACCTCCCCTCCACCGGACCCGTTTGGGTTGCACATACGGCACATCGGCTTTCAGGGCCTGATGATCAGCGGCTTCGCCTATAGTGGCTCGTAGCTCTCGGACGATGACGAAGCGTGTCTGACTTTGATTTTGAAACACGATCGCAAGATAGCCTTCGAATCGTCCACGTTCATTGTAACGCAAGGTGACTCTGATGGCCGCGTTTTTCCCGTGAAGGACTTCGTTTCCGCCCACGGCCTCGGCTTGGAAACTTGCGCAAGGATAATCAGTCGATCTGCAGCCCGGCACACTGATGAACAGAAGACGTACGGACAGGGCATACTGTGTGGTTTCGGAGATACAACAACTTGCACGATCGTCGAACGCGACGACTTACGTGTGGACTTGACCAGCAGATTCTTGCTGACGCCTCTCTCGGACTCGACGATCTCGACGACTCCGAAATCAACGCCCCCAGAGACAGGCGACACCTCTACGCCTTGCTTGTCGCGTTCAGCCTCTTCGGCTGCAGCCCTGTACGTAGCTACCTTTTCGTGGGCTCTGTGCTCACGCGTCGTTCTGTGCACATCCCACGTGCTCTTGAGCACCTGTGTATTACAGACATGACAAAACTTGACATTCTCTGGGACGCTCGCGGAAGTGATAGGAGTTACATCCGCAGGGAGGCCTTGCGAAGCAGCGAGCTTTCGATGGCGAGCACCAGCGATATGCGGCTGCCATATATTCATATTGACGACCTCGACCTTGCAGATTGGACAATACAAATAGCTCGACTTGGGTCGGCCATCCGCCAGGTCCTGATGTTTCTTAGTTAATGCGTGAGACTGATATACCGCCGCGGGTGAACAGATGAGACCGCAGGGTTCGCACAACTTGACATCGTGCTTGAGGGGACAGCCATGGGTTGTGCACCCGTCGAAGTAGAGGACGCTGGGACAGAAGTCGATGTCTTCGGTTGACATTGCAGACGTCAGTAGAGGGGAAGAGAGACTGTGAGCGCGGCGCGTAGGAAGGTGACTTATGTGAAGTTGCTTCAGCTACTAGAAGCGAGCAGCGTGGCCTCGAGTTAACCTCGAGGCACACGAAGAGAAGGTGCCACCGGGGCCCCACGCTACATGCTGCCCTGAAAATTGTCCAAAAGATTTTCCAGCAAGCGTGTCAGTGTGGTGAATAGCACAGTGAGGGAAATGGAACCTTTCGGGCATCTTGTTATCAAACGGCGTTCAGCGCTCACGGGACTATATATGTACGACGGCTCCAGACCTCCCAGACGGGCCACACGAGCGCCTGAAAGAACTCGGCAAGCGAATGATTCTCGTCCGAATAGTCTCAAGCTCTTGAGAGCAGAGTAATAGTCGGACAATTCCTTCAATCTGTGCCGACTCCGGATATTTATGTCTCACCTCGTTGAGAGAGGCTGAGAGCCATTTCCGATCGCTCATCTTTCTGACACTTGCTTGCGGTTATTTGCAACTACTTGCTTTTGGTGGCGCCCTCAGAGGTCGTCGGTAAATTGTTTGAATTCTGCCACATGGTTGCGCTTGCAGTTGGAGGATGCCATCGCATGTCCAGCCTTATCCACGAGCAGATATATCGCAGACACACTTGGCGGCACTTCGAGTAAGTACAGAACGTCAAATCTCGATTGGCTTACCAATGTCCAGTGTCCACTTCTAGTGATACCGGTGCATAAGTTTATGCGTCTGGGTTGTGGAAGACCGCCGACAAGATTGCAAATGTGACACAGCTTTGAGGATCTGAATTCCAACCAATCGCATAGGTTATGCGCTTCCGGCTAAAGTTTCAGCTCATGGTGTCTACCGGTGACACTCTACACTCCGACAGATTTTGTTAGAAGCTCTCACCAGGTTATGCGAAGGCCATGTGCGAGAGAACATGCAACAGCATCCGTATCGAGCCTCCTTGACTGTGTTCTAGAATGTCAGCACGGCTACATACATACACTAGGCTGATGGTCTGCAACCCGGCTTAGCATACGTCGTTTGATTAGTTCGCCGCAGTCTTATCCCGCAGTTTTTTCATGCAAGCAGTCATCCACCCCATACACAAGGAGGCGCCGGAAGATAACCATACAAAGGTGAGCAAGTCGCGCTGGATTTCAACACTCTAACAAGTGATATTGACTCAGAACTCCCCGGAGAGGCTCCATCGTATGTTTTCCCACTATGTCTTCCCGTACTCTCATTGATAAAACCATCATGTAGATGAGGGCCTATACGTATGCCCCATCAGAAAATCACGAGCAGATAGTTGAGGAAACCATGTGGCTGCAGGGTGCACTGTTCGGAGACATCCTATACGGAGTGGAGTTGACGCTGTTTCTGATCTGTGTCAAGCTCGTTTTACGACAGTTCAATCGCCACGACTACAAACGTCCGGCCTCTCTCCTCATCCTCATCACCGTCCTCTTCATCTTGGGAACTCTTACTACGCTCTCTAATATGGCGATGACTCAGAAATCATTTATTAACAATCGAAACTATCCGGGCGGCCCGTCTACTTACGAAGTTGATATGTACTCGATTCCAATGAGTGAATTCGGGATTATATCTTGGACGATTGGTAACTGGCTCATGGATGCGCTGCTGGTATGAGTAGCCTCAATCTCGTGAACGGAAGGCAGTTCACAATTCGTTGTCTAGATTTGGCGCTGCAAAGTGATTTTTACAGGAATTTCTGCAGTTCCTATGTGGGCTGTGATGCTTCCTCCGTGTGGGCTGATGCTCACGTCTATCGGTGAGGCTCAGGAGAAAACACGACTTCTCTTTCAACTAACGTCACAGGGATAGGCCTTGGAATAATGTATCTCCAGATGACTTGGCGATCGTCTCCCTTCGTGGACGTTCATGCTGCTCTTCCATATTTCGCGATCACACTTTCTCTTAATATTTCTGTGACACTGCTTATCGTGCTCCGTCTCCTTTACTGCTATCGAGTTTTCACGCGTATTCTCGGACAAGGGCATGGGTTCCGTTATGCTAAGCTAGCCGCGATACTAGCCGAGTCTGCAGCGCTCTATGCGGCCTTTTCACTCGTCTTTCTTATTACATTGGCGCTGCACCATCCGCTCTCCGCTCTGGTTGACCAGTGCATGGCTCCCGTACAAGTACGTCACCGATCCCAACGTTAATTGCTGACCCCAATTGCTGAAACATTCCCTGCTTCAAGACCGTCGCGTCGCTACTCATGATTTTTCAAGCAAGATCAGAGACGGCGCAAGTTGATGAGCATCTAACACAGCTGCTCTCTCCAGCAAGCGCTGGAATGCTCCGCTTTGATAACGCTCCTTCTCCGCAATCCGAGATGTAGCAGATTGTAAATCGACAGGGGGTCTGTTGCGTTATGTTCATGATGACATCTGAATGTTAAATGAAATACACTTACAGGGACGGACACACAGTCAAACACTAATCACGATCCGTTTTGCTTACGTCATTGTTGGCCCACCGTTCCCACCAAATTGCTTATTACCTATAGTCCCATTTGCATGGTTCTCTCATTCATTACTTGTAATAATTGTAATAATTGTACTGAGCTGACTGCAATGCACCCCTCATTATCTGCGTACCAGGGTATACCAAATTGAAAATCAAGAAAGGACATACAATATGCGCAGTATTAGATACAACATGGGCAAACGACCGATGTTTGTGCGCCGATAGGACGCTCCTCACTCTACGTCTCGCCACGGCCGATCGACGTTTCCTTCGGCCTCATCGTCATCATCCGCAGACATAATACCATCCAACGTTAGCGATTCCATCCTCCTTGCGAAATCATTCATGTCGTCCAGGGCAGACTCCCTAATGGCTTGAGCGTATGCGTCTGCGGCAGCCACTGGCACACTGGTGTTCCAGCTCGGCTGGTTACCCGTCCATCCGCCGTGCCCGTACACGTAGTTCAGGAATGAGCGCCATAGCGGGTCCAAGGCGAGCACCTCCGCGTCACCCACGATGATCAGAAGAGCCTGGGCGCGTGTAACAGCGACTAGACAGAGCAATCGTGTTCAATTGAGCAGGTCACAGCGAAGTCGGCGATGTACCATACCGTTGAAGCGCCGTGGATTGGCGACGAAGCCGAGGGTGTGTTTCAAGTCATACTCGACGAACTCACGGCTAGACCGGACAGTGGAAATGATAATCACGCGGCGTTCCTAACAATGCAAACATTGACAGCCTGAAAGGGACTCGGAAGGGAAGTAGTACCTGTCCCTGGAATTCCTCGACGCTACCAACTTTGACTCCGTCTGCTACGCCCCTCAAGGCTGCTTTAATCTTAAGGCACTGTGCATGGTATGGCGCAACGACACCGATTTGATCATCGGCTAGTAAAGCTTCCGTAAGATGATCATACATCAGGATATGACGTCCTTACAGATGCGTGGACTCCGCAGAGAGCGGAGCTTCTGGATATAGGCTTTGACCTGAAGGGCTTCGTCGATGTTGAAGAACGACGGTGATGACGCCTCCCGATCGTCCTTGCCAGAAATTGCATGCATCATGATGGGGAACTTCGGATTGACGAGCATTGACGAGCCCATGAAGACATGTGTGACTGCCCTGTCGCCGCACGGCTCCAGGTCACCACGATAGAAGCGCTCGTTTGGGAATTGCAGGATGGAGGGATGAGAACGGAAGTTCTGCACAAGTTTGACCACTCTACGTGCATAAAGTTAACATTCCATCGATGGCCTCAGTCACATAAAACGCACGATATACCGTGACGAGCACGTTCCTCGTAGGCTTCTCGTTCCATCAAGCGCTCAATGTAGCTCTTCTCCAGTCCCAGCTCACGTGCGACGGCAGAGCGAACGATCGGCCCGAGTTGCTTTGGGTCTCCCGAGAGGACGATGTTAGTATCGTTGCCAGCCATAGTCCTGATTGCTATCATGACTTCGGGCTCCGTAGCTTGCCCAGCCTCGTCAACGAAGATGTGAGTGAAGTGCCCACGAGCAAGTCCAACTCCGTACGCCACAGATGCAGAAACACAAGTCGAGACGATGACCTTGAAACGCTTCAGCCGAATATTGGGCGGAACTGAAAAGTGATCGGTGGCCCCGGGGTAAGGAGGTGTAGAGTACGTGAACTTGACTAGTTCGTCGGGCACTTGATTTTTGAATCGCGACGGCGCGTAGAACCTGAAAAGCACCTCTTCGCTAAGCATAGACAACCGAGATGCAATCAGATCGGCAGCGCTGTTGCTTGGGGCGCAGGCCAGGACACGAGCGTTAGGATTCACCCGAAGGACCTGGCGAATGGCTTCGACCATCGTAACCGTCTTTCCGGTACCCGGACTACATAACAGTACGTCAAAAACATATGAAATGTACGCAGCAAATCCACTCACGGCCCAAAGATAACGAACGGTGCTGAGCCCATGGGTTTGGCAGCAATGGATGCCACCGCTTGTAATTGAGCGGCATTTTGAGCAATCAGCCGGTTATGGATGTATGGGCGTACGGCTACAGTCGAAGGAGGCGCTGCCGGGACGAGATGTTGTAGCGAGGGGAAAAGGACACGATCTGGATCGAATGCCGTATCGAGGGCTTGGTGCTGGCGCATTAGAGGAATCCGGTTCAATTTGAACCGAACGTGGTATCGCCGGTTGCCGTCGTAGGGGAATGAACCATGGAAGTAAAGCCCAACCTCAACTTGACGAACGAGATGTACATGACCCTCAAACCAGCGACCGCCGTCCTGGCCGTGTGGCTGCACGAGGATCCTGTCGCCTGGTTACAGATCAGATCGTGCATATGTACAGACTGAGTTGATACTCACCGACCAAGACGCTTGGACGCTTTTCTGCGAGCCCTGGAACCTCCAAGCTGCAATCTTGATCAGTTAAAGTACATTCGCGACATTGACGGACTCACAAGTAGTATTTCCCATGCGTCGTCAAACGGGCATCCGGTATATCATATATCTGCAAATCGTGTCTGCCAAGTCAAGAGATGAGACCCGTCGTCGTATGGGAGACGTCAATTACATACTCCATACGATGTTCTTCAGTCCATATCAGTGTCTTCATGTAGCGCCCGTGTGTCGCACTATTCAAAACAGAAGGCATGATCGAGGTGCGGAAGAAGTTAATGATGTGTGACGGCGAGCCACGCGAGAGAGCATCTGCAATCCGCTTTGGAATCTCGGCCTGCGGGAGCTTGACAACATATTTTATAGCGCCCAATGCCGGAGGAGGCACGCCAGGGACGACATCTTTCTCAGGGTCCCTGGCAGTCCGCTTCCGGGGGACATAAGGCGCGATCGGCTTTAGCAAGTTGTGGTCGGCTTGACTCCCAACGATCCCTTTGACAGGGCGCACAATCGCGAAGGACTTATGCAAGACAGTATCTTCGAAGAGAAACTCTATGCGGTCGTTGTAGCGACCCAGATGGTCGTGCCTGAATGTCACAACAACGTTCATCGTCCGCCCGCAGACAAGATTGCGAACAGCGGGGAGAGTAATGGAGAACCTGCAGGAAAAATGAGTCTAACATTCGTGGGATCGACTGCATACTCACGGCGGCGTTCCCCGATGCGACTTCAACGCGAGCTGCGCATCGACGAGCGTGATACGCGCAAGTGGGACAGTGTTCTGTATTTTCACAATGATTTGTACACCTTGCTGGGCATTGGGAACTTCAGTGATTCCAAAATTTACCCCATCGTCGTCATGCGACACAGTAGTCCCGTGCTTGTTCTTCTCAGCCTCCTCGAAAGCGGCCTCGTAGTTAGCAAAGAGCATCCTACGAACATGTTGCGGCGTCGTGAGATGGTTGTTCCATTTGCTCTGGGGGAGTGTCCTAGCGCATACGTTACAGAACGTATGTCCGGGCTTGACGGCTTCCTCCTCCGGTTCGACGTCAGGGCTCACTCCTTGACTGGCGGCCGCACGACTATGGCGTTTGCCCCGGACATGAGGCGTCCAAGATGTTCCCGACATGTTGATGCCGCATACGAGGCAATGAACAATAGTCGCGCGGCCAGATTCGCGATTCCTGTGTCGTTTACCAGATAAATGTGATTGGTATACCCTAGTGCTGAAGCACACAACGCCGCAAGGTCTGCAGATATGTACATCATGGTTCAGAGTACAATCTTTTGTCTGGCAGGCGCCAGTAGCGAGGAGCTGTTGACAGTAGCCCGCCATTTTGCAGCGAGGAATCAGTTGGGGGCAGGAGATAACACGTCGCGCACCTACTGTGCGACTTTAAAGCCGAGGTGAGCGTCTATAGAAAAGTTGGGCCTCGAGGCAGGTGCCTCATTTATAGTGGAAATCCCCAGGCGAGCGGCAAGCGAGAAAAGTAAAATAAGCATTCGTCCTACTTCTTCGAGGTCCACTAGTAAGGGGCACACTAAATATCCGGGCATGCAATTCCTTGGTAAGTAAAGTCGGAGTAAGGCCAATTGCCAGCCGACGACAAAATGATCCCGTATGCGTGCCATATTTGACTCACCCATGTGTACCAGGTTGGTATCGGGGGTTCGATGTGCGTGGGAACCTTCCCGTATAGGCCGTATCCTGCCGTATCCCATCCCATCTCATCCCACGTGCACAGAGTGCACAATAAAGTGTGTCGTAAAAGTAGTCTATGCTTTTCTGTTCTGCGAGTATATGCCTCCAACGCCTTGCCCAAATGCTATCTCACGATTCGGCTGTTTAGGTCACCACACGAGCCTTTGCTTAGCATGCAGCCCTTTGTATAATGTTCTGTGATCTGCCTGCGGTCTCTTTTTTGTCTATATATCACTAGATTGTGTATGAGGAGTCTTAATAAAACCTCGCCCTTGTAGGGCCAGCCCATTGCGGCACTTATTGAATCACGTGCCGCATGCATTATACGCGCCTCTCACAGAGCGTGTCGCGACAATATATGTGAGTGAATCGAGAGTATCTTAGGCTAGTATGATGCTCTATGTGTCCTGCTTATTTTATGTATAACTTCCGCCAGATTCCACATATGTAGACCAGAGGCCCCAAATCCGCCTGTCTGAGGAGGTCACGATGGGATTGGCTGTAAACTCTGACTAGTTAATATACTAACGACAAGGATAGTGCATAATGGAATTCTTATAAATGAAAAATTACGTGTCACAGGATGCAGGTCACAGGCCAAAGTCAATGTTGAGGGCAGGAGCCGCGAGTTCCTTTTACGGACATCAAGCCCATTCCGTGTCCGCATATGGCTGGTAACGCAAAGTGACGTTTGGTCACAGCGCCTCTTATGGTAATATAACAGCCACCACTTACCTACCAGGATAGGCAGGTGAGCCAAATAGGCTACATGTGCGGCCTTGCAGACCGGCAGACTTTAGAATCTGCCTGCTGAGATTTTCCTGAGATCCGAAGCGAGGACGATGGTCAAAAGATTCATTGGATTCGTATGGGCTTCGTCAAACACAGAGGCTCGCGCAAAAGTTGAACACTACTATAAATAACACCAAGCACGATGGAGTGCGCTCGCCATAATAGCTCGCGAGGCCTATGTTTGCTGAGATCTCAGCTTCTTTGACGGACATTCTCGCTTCGCTCACAATAACGGGGTCTTCCAAAATACATAAGCTCACAAAACTGCATGATCTCCCTTCCGCAGGCGAAGCCGGTATACCTATCCCTGGCAGCAGCACCGTATCCGATGCATGCGCGGCGCGTCAAGTCGTCGCAAGAGGCAGTGACACCGAAAGACAGGATGGGATAAAGGCGATTCGACAAGCGACGAAGAAATGCTACCCAGTTCAAAGCGTGTCGATGATACAATGGCAAGAATGATACGTGGGGTCCTAGAAAAATGTTCAAGACTACTCGCGCTCCCGCCAGACGCCATCTGCGTTTATCTGACCCTCCATGATGTCGTGTGCACTTTGATCGTCGTCGCCCAAGTAATTTTGCATGCGTTGCATGAAGTCTGTAATGTCCTCGACGCCCTGCTCTCTAAGCTCATTTTCATATCCGCCATCATGCACAGGCGCGTGTGGGTCCCAGCTGATCGGTATTCCGCGCCATCCATTGTTCAAAGCGACGTAGTTGAGGAACCTTCGCCATAACGGGTCAATCGACAGATCAAGAGGGCCTTCGCCCGAGTGATGGCCACTGTTCATAGCGAATAGAGTATCAACATCATGCCCAGAATGCTCGAGTGAATTCTTACCGTTCAGCCTGCGTGGATTCGCCACAAAGCCGAGTGTGTATTTTGCATCAAATGTAAGCAACTCCTTGCTGCTCCGAACAGTCGATAGCATTATCACTTTGCGCTCCTAACCGAGTCGTTGGATATGTTGCTGAAGACCACCTCCTCGACTCACATCGCCTTGGAACTCTTCGACGCTTGCGACCTTTATACTGGTTCCTATGTTCGCGAATTTGAGCGCTTCGCGAAACTTACGTGCCTGTGCGTTATATGGAGTGATGTCCCCGATTTCCTCATCAGCTAGCACATAATATACGTTAGCATCTTAGCATCCATAGGGTATTTCCAAGAGATCACAAAGACGCACAGGTAGTGAATCGGCGATCGGACTTTAGCTTCCGTATATAATCTCTGCCGACTAAGACTTCATCCAAGTTGAAGTATGACGGTGAGGACGCTTGTCTCTCGTCCTTGCCGGACACGGCATGGAAGATGATTGGGAATTTTCGATTAGGGAGTTCGTTCCACCCGATGAACGAATCGATGACCCGTGCGGGGCCACAGGCTTGCAAGTCTGAGTTGTAAAACTGTTCGTTCGAGAAAGTCAGAACTGCCCTGTGAGATCGGAAATTCTGAACAAGCTTGACAAGTCTATGTCGTCACGTCAGAGTCCGGAAAACGACTAGTTGGAAGATAAACCTACGTTCTACCTCTCCATAGTCTCTCGTTGTAGACGTCTCGTTCCATGAGCCGTTCCAAGAAACTGACACCCATCCCCAACTCGCGCGCAACGCTCGATGTGATGATGGGTCCCAATTGCTTGGGATCTCCACAGAGAACAAGTTGCGTCGATGGGGTAGTGATTGTCTTCATTGCCGTCATCGTTTCAGCCTCTGTCGCCTGACCTGCCTCGTCAATGAATATGTGGGTGAAGTGACCCGGTGGCAGACCGACGCCGTAGGCGAACGATGCCGAGCCACAAGTAGAGATGATGACGCGGAACGTAGCGAGATCAGCTACTTGGGGGACCGAAAAGTGGCCTTGACCGTCCATGTACGTATACCCCAGTAGATCGTCCGGGACGAGCTCTCGGCGTCTGGACACGGCATAGAACCGGAAGAGCTCGGTGTTGCTCAGGCTATTCAAGCGCCGTGCTAAGATGTCGGCTGCGCTGTTGCTGGGAGCACATGCTAAGATCCGTGCTTCTTTATCGCGAGCTAAGATCTGTCGTATAGTCTCAACTAATGTCACGGTCTTTCCGGTACCTGGTCTGTACGAAGGGCTCGAAGGTAAGCCTAACCTGAGAAAGTCTGATAGGCGATACTTACGGGCCGAATATAATGAACGGTGCAGCACCTTTTCGAACTTGCAGTATAGATCTTATAGCTTGAAGTTGCTCTGCATTGCCCGCAATGCACGGATTGAATGGTACAATTGGCAGACTGGCCGCATTGGGAGCTGTCGTCAGTCCGACATGAGCAATCAATGGGAATAGAAAACGGTTAGGTGACGGCGGACTGGCAGCCAATGCCTGATGCTGCCGGCGGAGTGGGATGCGATTCATCTTGAAGTGCACATTGAAGCGCTGCCCTGCCGTCGGTCTGAACGATGGGTGAAAACCGAGACCGATGTCATTGAGTCGGACAACGTGTACCCATCCTTCAAAACAGTGGGCTTGCAATCGTTCAGACGGCTGAACTTCAATTTGATCTCCTACGCGCACACGCTTCAGCATCTAATCCATACAATCATCGGAAAGAACGCACCAACGACTACGCTGGGTCTTTTCTCAGCCAGACCCGGTACCGTCAAGCTTTTATGAAATGTGATTAGGCATCTGCACATGAGCTTCAAGACTTACTAGTAAAGATGGCCCTGCCTGGCGAAGGAAACCTCACCAAGATCGTATGCTCGAAGATCGTGCCTACGGTACACGATGTGAGCGTGCGTGCTTGTCACTTGTGCGGTATTCTTCGATCCAAAGCAACAGCTTGAATAGGCGACCATGTGACGCTGCGTCCAACGCCCGGGGCCACAGCTTTTCTCGCACTTGGTGCACAGCGTCAGATGGTATGTATCCGCTCAGTATAGCTCTGAGCTCCTGTGGCACCAGATATGGACCAAGTGGTTTTGTCCAAGGTACTGCGTCCAACGCGGGAGGACGCTGCCCTGGATGATAAACCTGGCCGCGCCTCCACGGGACCCGCTGGGGCTTAACGTAAGGCGTGGTGGCCTTCAATGCATCATGTTCAACGGCTTCGCCGATCGTCGCACGCACTTCGCGTATGATGACGAATCGTCTATGGCTTTCATTCTCGAATACAATTTCTATGCGGCCTGCATAGCGCCCTCGCTGGTCGTGACGCAGGGTGACAACAATATTGGTTCCTTGATTGTAAATCGCACGAGTGCCGCCTTGAGTAGCAGCACGAAAACTGTGTCAGGAGATGAGATGAGGCCGTAAGTTACAGGAAATTCACTGGCTTACGGGCACGGCATGTTTGAAGGTTTGGCGGAGACATTGATATCTACAATTGTAAGGCGAGATAATGCGCTTGTGGACCGAATGACGAGGGTTTTATGCACGCCATGCTGGGCGCCTGCGAGTTCAACAATCTCGAAGTCAAGGCCTCCGACTACCGGTCGGACCTCCACACCCTGTTTGTCACGTTCCGCCTCCTCGAACGTAGCCTTGTATGCGGCAACGACCTCCCGTCTTCTATGGTCATAAGTACTACTATGGGCAGCCCACGTACTCTTGGGGACCTGCTGTTTGCACATGGCACAAAAGACTGTGCTGCCAGGAAAACCGGCAGCAGTCATGGGGGCCACGTTCGCGTTAAGTCCTTGCTGAGCCGCCGCATTGCGATGGCGCACTCCACGGATGTGTTGCTGCCAAGTTTCTGTCTTATACCCCTCGAAATTGCAGGCCGGACAGAAGAGCCAGGCGGTCGCCACATCGCTAATGAGATCTCGATGCTGCTGACTCTCAACGTGGTTCTGATATAGTGTTGCTGGAGAGCATATTACGCTGCAAGGCTCGCATAGCTTTGCGTCATGCAAAAGTTCGCACCCTTCGGTAGTACAGACGCCTCCCAAATACAAAGTATCGGGGCAAAAGCTAGTGATAGGTGTGGACATGACGGTTCGAGAGGAGTAGTGAGCGGGACGACCGTCGGAAAGATGGTGAAATCAATCCTTATGTATACTGTACGTTGCCGTGTAATCACGGCTTGCATCGTGTTAGCCTCAAGGCAAGCGAAAACGGAAGCATCATCCAAATTGGATTATGCCGCAGCTCCCGAGCGGCTATGCATAGCATAGCTACATGGGCAACGAGACCAGCCACAATCGAGCATCAAAGACAAATCCATACATTACTTCAAAGATCCGCCAAGAGGAATGACGGCGGACAGATTGGTGTTGTAACGCGTGTGTCTTCCTAGCGCCGCTGTTCTATGGCCATTCTTCAAGAAGGCCCACATGACGCTCTTCCCATGCCGGCGGGCCAATCAGTCGGTCGCGAAGAGGCTCGTAGTAGGTAATCCGGGGATCTATCAACCATTCAGAGGCACTGCATGTAGACCACAATCGCCTCCTAAAGCAAGAAGCATCAACTCCCGGCACGTCATAACATCTACGTCGTCTGTCGCATATGCTGATGTCAAATCCTATACTAAACCTGCAAGCTTCATAGTAAATGACATTGCACATCGGCCAGCATCATGTTTATGAGTCTCGCTCACCTTGCTGGTAGACCTCGCGTTGAGCGATGAGATCCCATTTGCTTGACTTAAATTTGGACACGCCATTGCATACTCAAGCAGCGAAGGCATGTGAGTAAGCTCACCGTGGAACCCTTTCGCTCCTGGTACTTATTCTTTGTACCAGCAAATCTTACACCTAGGGATTTCCGTAGCAAGTCCATGACATGAATATAGTAACCTAGTAAAAGACAAACAATATAGCAATCAAGAGAACAGCTTGTTGACAGAAGTGTTCCCTTCTTGGTTCTTCTTAAGAACCTGCACAAAAAGACAGACGTCAGAAATCAATCATGAATACAATAGTGGGAGCAATCCATTCTACCTTTGCCACTGCGAACTCGAAATCCTCTTGCGTAACATGCTGTCTCCGCTCGCGGAGTGCGTACATACCTGCAAAGCAGAAATGAGCGAGCTTCCGATCAGCGATGTTAAGTACATACCTGCTTCCGTACAGATACCGCGCACTTCGGCGCCGGAACATTGGCCCATCTTCTCCGCGAGAGCGCGGAGGTTGATACCTCGTTGTAGGGACATCTGCATAATCGGTTGAGACTCTGTTCGCAAGGTACGCAGTATTCAAACGCACTTTTCGCGAGTGAATGCGTAAAATCGCGACACGGGCCTCAGGACCTGGAGGCGGGAACTCAATCTTGCGGTCTATACGGCCCGGACGAAGCAAGGCAGAATCAAGGATGTCTGCGAAGGCATTAGCAAGTACAGAAATGTATGATAGCTGCAAGCATACCTATCCGGTTTGTAGCCATGATGACCTTGATGTTCTTCGTTGACTCGAATCCGTCAAGCTGGTTAAGTAACTCCAACATTGTTCGTTGGACCTCAGAATCACCGCCACCAGAGCCGCTCTCTCCTCTTGAACTTCCGATGGAGTCGATCTCATCCATGAATATGATACTAGGCGCGTGTTCCCGTGCCATGACGAAGAGCTCCCGAACCATCCGACTACCCTCGCCAATGTACTTCTGCACGAGTTCTGAACCCGACACACGAATGAACTTGCAGTCTGTGTGGTGCGCGACCGCTCGTGCGAGCAGTGTCTTTCCCGTTCCTGGTGGTCCGTAGAGTAGCACACCCTTTGGCTGCGCAATACCGAGCGACTCGAAGAGTTCTGGGTGCTTAACCGGTAGTTCAATAACCTCCTTGATCTCCTTGATTTGCTTGTCGAGGCCGCCGACCATCTCATATGTGCTGTCTGGAACCTTCTCAACCATCATGAGAGATACGAGAGGGTCAACCTTGTTCGGCAGGATCTTGTGAATGGTATACGAGTCGGAACGGAGAGCGACACGGAGGGATGGCTTCAGGGTTGTTACGTCGATGTCCGCATCGAAGTCAACGACTACAGTGTCCGTGCATTAGCATCGATGTATAAAGACGGGTGAGATGCGTACTGTATTTGCCCTCTGGTTGAACCTTTACAAGCACCTTGTTCTTGCCCATGACTCTCACGACCTCTCCGACATAGCTTCCAGGTTCATGCAGGAGCTGGAGCTCTTCCCTGAGTAGCCGTACTGAGCAGATACAGTCAGATATTTCCTTATGAGAACCGAACCCTTTCTCACCTCGAGCATTGAGCGCGTTCCGCTGTGCCTCTAAACGGCGGAGGTTCTGGGTCTTCTGATTTATATCGAGTTCTGCGGCCTCAATCTTGGCCTGATAGTAGGGCTTTATACCTCCTGTCTGCGATGGTGCGTGTACAGCGACTGGCATCGTGTCGGGCGTAAGGGAATGAAGGTTGTGGAGGAATTCGGACTAGACGAAGGCAAGACGAAGTCCTCACGTTACGCGTACGCGTACATAGTCGCGCGTCCGCGGGGTCACGCACATGTCACGCACGGTCACATAATGTCACGACTTACTGAACGTCAGTCACACTTGAACTTATTTCAGTACTAGTATGGCAACTACGGCCTCAAATCGATTCTGGTCCAACATATCTTCCTGCTTACATCTTGTTCGTGATTCACTTTCTTAACGAGCTCACAATATTTGTACTAATACCCGAAGTGTACATTTGCAAGGTAGACATATGTTTAATCCTACGCTCATTGTGATCAACGACTTCACGCAGCCGTGGTACGCGCAGCAATCTTGTGAGCGAACAACGCGGTGAAAGTTAGATGGGATTATTCTCGCGACCATGTCAATCCAATCCACTTGTGATCAGGCCTTCATGCCCACAGTGAGTCGCTGTTTTTTTTGGCTCGACCTTCGACAATCGAATAAGCTAAGTATTATGGATCGTACATGATCGTTCTCATGTTCACAGTGTTGAACATTTTTGACAATGCAAATTGCTGTAACAGGCTTTTACGAGATTCGCGAAGGTTCCTGTGGCATGATATGGCATCGGACAAGCTGGCATCCTATCCACGAGTGAGCATCAGACATGGGGTTTGGCCTGAGCATTACAAACCATTTCAACATTACAACCGACCTAAAGGTCGCCTTGCGGACACCTTTGTTAGCCGCGTAAAGGCTCACCTAGATCCCCCAGGTCAAGCTTCAAACGCCCGCTGATATCCATGTGGGAATCATGTATGACTGCGTACCCAAACTACGGATCGCGAGGACCACCCTGTGCTGCTTGGGTAGACCCGCGGATCTCGTCAGAAGGACTACTGGCGCCCCACGTAAGAGAGCCTTAGACTTTGCGCTCCTCTTGGTCTGCTCCTGCTCCATCAGGAATAGCCCTTTTCCAAAATTACCCCGCGTGACTCCTATCCGTTGAATGGGCTGGTTCTAGCCTTCAATGCTCGACACTGGGTGCCGAAGGAGTCGACATGCCGTATCTTATGACTTCGCGAAGTTAGGCTCATCGTGCGAAATGGGGTTCATGGGCAAGCAAAGTGCGAACTGCATTCCCCGCCATCACACGGCGGTAAGGTACTGCTCGTCTCTCTTTCCATGACGATCAACCGAATGTTCGTCAGCCAGAGGAGGGCACGCCCCCGCAAATACATATCATACCTCCTCCCTGTGTGTCCGCCATCTGCGGTGCCCTATGCTGACACAGCGGCAGTTTTGTTTTGTCACTCTTCGCAAGAAGATTGTCATGACCTAATTAATGAGTAAGGAGATCGTCTTCAATTCATTTCCTTAAAAATGCGCAGGAGTGGCTCACATCCTGTATTTTCGCCTGAGCTCACCCCATCCAGACGCAGCGGTCGGGTGTTGGCGGACGAACTCCACCATGTCCTGCTCTGGTATGCGGTTGATGTCCACCCTATTCCAGTATCGGTTTATTGCGAAGATGATGTCTCGAGCGTCCGCCTCCGCGGCTCGGCTGCGGCCCGCCTGGTTAGCTCGGGGCATGTTGTGAACAGGTGCTACTTAGTCATGACTTACATTGTCCATGCCTTTAATTTGGCTCGAATGAACTCAGAGTAAGCGAGGAAGGGAACCTGACGAATTGTCATCACTGTTGTGGAGTCGAGCCGTCGCGGCCCCACCTCGCCTGCAGGTAATATCTCAATCTGCAGAAAAAGGGTTCAGCTACTACCATCGACGGCTTGAGGAAGCTCACATCAATGGTCGGGATAAAGCCATGGTATGTAACCTGCAAACTAGGGCTTGTTCGGCGATCGTTTATTTTAGATGATAATAGTAGGTAAGACACCCACCGGCTAGCCCATGACAATGTTACAAGAGTGAAGTCGTCACTGCCCGCACAGGCTTGACGAACTCGACGAAACGGGTGAGTTGTCCCGCCTTCAACGATGCACAAAATTTCCTGCGATAGATCAAGCTTATCAAGTTCACCGAATAAGACGGACGTACATCTGAGTGAGGTGCGTTCGACAAAACTGCAGTCCACACATTGCCGTAAAACGCATGCGGCACCTCCAGTGCTCGTAGTACCCGGGAAAGTGCAGCCGCAGCTTGCATCAGCCGGCTCGTCTCATGCATGTCGAAAAGTGGAGCAAGCGGGATTGGCGTCGAGCTGCAGCCATGGTATACAAGTACTCATTCCGATCCCGAGATCAGTCGAGAAGTGAAGAAGAAGGGTGGGGACCCCCTGGCGTCGTCCGGAAGTATTTCCGTAGCCCACACGGATCCATTGCCGGGGGCGTCTGGGGGCTGCTACAGATCTCCCGGCCTAGTCCGCCTGGAGGGACCGCAAGTGACGGCGTGCTACGGGCATCTGTGCGCCGCAGTACTGTACGAAGGAGCCGGCGAGCATCACATGCCCTCCCGCGTGACTGAGGAAATTCCCGGGTCATGATGCACTTGCATTGGGCAATTACGACTGTCCACGTCGTCAAACACAGTATATCCTTCTTGGCAGGCATGCACTACCATAACCATATCCGCTGTACCTCAAAATTAATATACTTTCAATCTCGGAAAGTGCAGACCTCGAATTAAGTCGCATTGAGGCATGACTTGCGAAGCGCTGCCAAATAAAATCGCCTGTGGACGCATATGAGAATGATCCAATGAATTGATTCTCGCATACTGCTTGCTTCTTCATATTCGGCTGGCCCAACGTTCATCAGTCTGAGAAGCCGTTGTTGAGGAGTGTGCCAACCTCAGGCAAGCCGCACGGGCGCTTGGAAACATGCAAATTACGTAACGCAACGCGGTCATGAGCTGGGCACGCGTCGAATTTGCAAGTTGCGGATTCTGCTCGACCACCACCACGCAAACCCTTCGTTTTACTGCGCATGCATAGCGTGCTCAGCAAGGCGGTAGAGAGCCATGTAAAAGGCCTATGCAACAAGTCCTTCCGGCCAAACGTACTCGACATCTCACAGTACAAATCTCGGAGGGTTCAGACATACGGGACATTCGCGCACTGCGTCGAAAGTGTGCCCGCGGCAAGAGGGCGCATACAGAGATGTGGTCTATTGTGTATAAGCCCACCTCGGATGCATAATCTCCGATTGATACCGGTCAGGCATATGGCGTGGCTGCCGAAGTTCAATTTACGACAAAGCGAGCCATACTCTGAGCCATCAGACGGGCAGGAGGAAGCTGCGAAAGTCGCCATATTGGAGAAGGCTATGAAGGGTCGGCAACCCACAGACCTCATGCTGCGCTGTGAGTAGTCATATGCGCTAATTGTATGCTGCGTCTTTCTGACACGGACACAGGCACTGTGTTGGATGCTGAGGGTGTGCCCCATGGCGTATTGACTTGATTATCTATCTCATCTCGCGTTACGTCCCAGGGAACGTGAAAACCATCTCCGGTCAATTCAGAAGGACGGATCTGTGCTCGGAGCACCGACTGAACGTAAGCGAGATTCATAACAGCCCGCATATATCCACATTCACGAGTCGCAGCCGCGTGATCTACGTAAAATCGACTCCAGGATACCAAATCTCGTCCCCACGATTCTCGTTCGGAAGGAGGCCATACTTGTGGGTAGCGATATTGGCGGGTATAGAACGTGTCAGCAGCTCTGATCCCCAATGGAATTTAGGTGAACATTTTGCACATACGTGCGCTTGTCAAGGCCGACGCCGTTGTACTCTTTGATACCTATGGTTCCGCCGATTCAAGATTACACTCGGTTTTCCTATACCACCTGGAGGTGTGTACACACTTGCACGCAATTGTGTAATCGAGATTCAGCTCCTTTATGCTAGCATAACTTGAAGGCGAAGACGGCAGGGCTGCCGTACGAGTTTCGGTGAGCACTGTGGACATGAACAGTTGTTGACACAGTCCCTTACCAGATTCAGCTGCTTTCTTGTCTACACAGAGCACTGGACTCGATTCTCCTGTCCGTATTGAGTGCGCTGGAGGCTGAGATGGTCTTCATCCGAAATCTCATCGGCGGCCTCCTGGCCGAGCTCGAGGACGACATTGATCATGACCGGTTCAAGCGATTGCTGCACTATTCGAGACGGCTGGCGAGTTTTTCAAACCGAGCGAAACTAGTCAGTTTCATAATCTCACTCTGGGTTGTTGACACGTTAGTGACCGACCCAAAAATTCCTGTCTGTCATTAGGTACAAGAAGCTTTGGAAGAAGTCCTTGAACAAGGTGACTAATTTGATGCTTGGTGTTCTATGTCTACTAAAAGTCTGCGTGACCAGACGAGGACCTAGCGGCTATGTACCTTAGCGATAAGAACAACGGTATAACCCGCAAGCCCAGTGACCATGAGGACCTCGAGGTTCTGTTGGAGTCCTTCTCGAAGCAGGTTGAAGAAATCGTGAACGAGGCAGAGAATATACAAGTAGGTGTCAACCAGTTTGTCAGCAATGTTGATGTGCTCAATAGCTACGCAGAGCAACGTGCAATCCACTCAAGAGATTGTTGAGTTGCTTCTCGATTCAAATCGTAATGCACTATTGGCGCTCGACCTCAAAGTAAGCCGTTGGCGGATAATCATCCATGGAACAGGGTCTTTGAACTGCTACTCGATAGATTTCCATACTCACCATGGGCATTGGCATTGGGACCTTGGTCGCTGGTGTTTTCGGGATGAACGTAAGCGCCGAAAGGATGTTTGTCCGATGTCGTAAATTGACATTGACTTGTAACAGCTTAAAAGTCATATGGAGGAGAACGAGTATGCGTTCCTTGTGATGTCGGGCTTATCAATGCTCGTAGCATTTGCATTCTCATACACTGGACTAAGACGGTGAGCGCCGATTCCGTATATTGTGAGTCCGTATTATTGACGTCACCGGATGCAGATTAGCGAGAATACGGAAAGTCGGGCTTGCTACTAATAACAAGAAGACCAATGCAAGATATCGTTGGCTGGCGCATTACTGGCGCAGCAAACGCGACGGCTGGCCATGACGTTGACCTGATAGACTACGCGTATGTGCCTCTCCTATTCTTTCCACCCTCATCTCCGCCGTTACATATCTTAGTACTCTTCATAGACATCGTACATGACAGCATAGCATCTTAATCTATTTCCTCGCCTCGCTCTGACATCGACATTAAGCATGTCTCTGGCAATGTCGCTCCCGGGTACACAACCGCACCGCGTAGTCCATGACGGGGACCCACAAGTGATCGACATTTCGGCTAACGATCGAGGTTTGCTTCCTCGGTTCATATGCACATCTCGGACGACGCACATTACCCCTCGCATGTCCTGCTCCAGTTGCTCGTCCTCTACTTGCTACCCCTCTCCTGTGTTTCGACGAAAGGTGGTGGAGCTAACATGCATCACACCAACTTCAGGGCAGGCTTCGTAGGAGCCGAACGCGCGCTTGAACTGCGGGCCTTGCCGGAGGTCTGCTATCCTGGTGACCGATTACAACCAGCTGTGAGTATCGGTCCGCGTCTTCTCTTCTTGACTGGCACCGATTTCACTTTTATCGGCGCGTCCACCAGGAGAGGTAAGTGTCAGCGCTTTCTCTCTGCCGCATTGACCCATGCCCTGCCTCCATCACCCACTGTGATCCTACGCTGACCGCTATGCCAGCAGGGCTACTTGAGCGTAGCGGTGTCTTCCCAGGCCGCAGAGGGATCCTCCTGACGCTCCCAGGCTCGATTTTGTCGTTCAATCCCACCACGACCTCGTCGCAGCCTATCAGTCTCCCCCTGAGTCGACAGCCGTTCTCGACGATTCCCTCATCCTTGTCGACGAGCTCATCGGTCTCATCGCCGACAAGCACCGCACCGGTAACGCCGAGCTCGACCCCACCTTCGTCTGTAGTCTCTTCTGGTACGATATCCTCGAGCTCCTCTGCCTTCACGCCCTCATCTTCGGCGCCATCGCCATCTTCTATAACCTCAGTCCCTACTACTTCGAGTCCCCTTCCCACCTCGACGGTATTCTCGACGTCAGGTCTGACATCGGCCACACCAACCTCCATGTCTTCATCCCCAATCTCCCAATCCTCCTCGAGCTCCAGCGTAACGCCGACAGTGGTTGCAGCCGTGTCGTCGTCCCACACGAATGTAGGCGCTATAGTTGGTGGCGTGATCGGCGGTGTCGTTGTGTTATTACTTGCGTTGGCGGGTCTCCTTTACTTTCTCCGCGTCAGTCGCCAGGCGTCCGGCCATACGCGCGGCCGTTCAGCCAGCGAAAACGACTCTCACGGACCATTTGCGAAGGCGCAGTGGAATGGCCTGTCCTCTCGAGAGTCAACTATGGACCCCGGCGTTCGCGGATCTCGCTTCCCGTCGAAGATACAAACCGCTAATGTCAACGCAGTCGGCATGATAGTCCCACATTCGACCGAGAGTACGGACCACGGGAAGGGCGTCGGATTAACAGAGGGCTCCTCTGAGGGGGATGATATCACGTCTCTTGGCGAGGAGGTCAAGGTGAACGGCAGGCGGTCGGAGTACATCGAGACCGTCCCGCCGCTTCCGTACGGTGTTCAGGCGAGCCCACCGCCTGACACATCAGGCGCGTTCCGCCGTGGCCGCAAGTCTTCGTCTGGTCAGGCACAAATCCACCATGCCGTCGCCCTCGCTAGACTGAATGCGGGTTCGCCGCCTATATCGCCGAACCTTGCATCTCCCCCCATGGCACTACAGACTTCCGTCGACCGTAGCGCCTACATGGTGAGCCCGTACGGGACGTCTGCCCTCCCGCTCTCCCGCCCGACGCCATCCTCGCCGCATTCGCCGCGTTCGCCCACCTCCCCGCTGTCTGCCGAGGCGATGCAGCGGATGCCCTCCGCCGGCGTCCGCCGGAAACCTGTGCCGTCGTACCACTCGGCCGCGTCGGCGGGCACGGTCATGCCGACACGCACGATGTCGACGAACACGCACGCTACGGACACTACAGTGAGCGGGGGCGACTCCGGCGCGAGCACGCCCACACGGGACACGACGCCCTCTGTCTCTCGGGAGGACGTCGCGCGGCGCTTCAACGTACCGGAGCTCAGTCACAAGTCGAGCTTCGGCGACCCGCGCCAGGTGCACTACCTGGTTCCGGACATGCCACCGTCCTCGGGAGCGCCGCGACAGTCAACACGCAGATAGCCAGAAAATGTACCACTAATGGCGTGCGGTCGCGCCCGATGCTCCATATATATTGCTCTATATGTTTCGGTAGCCTTGAAGTCAAGGACTACGTTCATTTCGTGCTTCCGTGCTTCGAATTCGGTGCCACGCTAACCCTCTTCCTGTTACGACCTCCCGCTAGTGAAGCCAGTCACCACTTACGAAACTCATTAGCCGTATAGTTCATCTCGCTCAGCGGGTACGCCCATCTTTTGCCACCATAGATCGTGCGATTCGCCAGTTTCACTGTACCCATTCATGCTGTCACGATCTTGGTTGTTTTAGTATACCTCGGCTTGTAGTTTTCTGTTGTACCTTGTCCTAGGATCGCTTTGGAAGGACGGATTAGCAACACGATGGATCTTTCATCACACTCATATACTGCGCATGACAGTATCTTCTCGATGAAGCGGACTATAATTAAACTCTAACAGATGGCGATAGATGTAGCGGAGTGAACAGGTAGGCTTTCATTTCTCGTCTGATGCCTGCTCTACTTCAGTCAGCTGCTTCCCGAGGATCTTCGCGCTGACCTGTGTGTATTGCACAACGCGTCAGAGACGTCATAACGCATCAATGACATGAGGCACCCACGTTGCGGATATGGACCGCTGCGCGTTCGACACCGAACTTCTTGCTGCGCTTGTATTGCGCGAGGGCATCTTCAAGGCGGCCACCTGTCATTGTGGGTCAATAGAGTGTGTGGAGTGTGCGGCGTTTTGCTCACAAGCTTCAAGGACGGCTGCGTAATTGAAAGCAATCTCCGGGTCTTCTGGCGACAGAGACGATGCAATACTGCGAGTCTCATTATGAGCAGGGAGCGGGGGGCAGGTTATGAGACAGCGCACCTGAGATGGTGCAGAGCGAGGTCTGGTCGGCTCACAGGAGAGATGATATATGCGCTTGCCAGGTCTGAACGCGGTATAAATGGGTTGGCCAAAGTAGAGTGGAACATAACGCACTGGTGTGAGCGTCGGCGCTGGAGGGCTGCAAAGCTATTGACTCTTTCCAAGCAGCAATGGCTTCGTCATACTCCTCTGGATAGGTTAGCTTTCCCGACATTTACTGACGAACAGAAAGCGCATACTCAGGTGGTAATGCGTCACCCCAAGGTTGAACAACGAGCTCGCGGTCCGCTTGATGTCTACGCTGCGCTTGTATAGCTCCTAGCAGGGGCATAAGTTCAGGGTGTAGAATCCCGAGGAAGGTCTCACCGCACACCTTTGCGGAATTCACGTCGCCTTCCTCAAGTTTCTGTGTACCCTCTTCCAGGCATTGCATGGCTTCGACCTCCGCTGGATCTACAGTACTCGAGTGGTCTGTAGTCGAGGTTGCCCATCCTGCATAGCGTCAGAAATGATCCATTGGTGAAGTCTTGGAATACAGCTCACGCCGAAATGGCACTGACACACCCACTCGTGTTTGGCGTGGATGACCCGACGTCGCTAGACGGGTATAGATTGTTCGTGCTTGAACATTGGCGAGGCAGATGAAGCGTTCCGTCGAGCACTTTCTCAGACATGCTTTTCCAATGTTGGAGAGCATGTTGGCAACCAAGTCGGGATGTGAGGTGACTGCAATCTGCAACACTTGCCGCCTAACAGACAATAGGTGCACGTGATCAACCGAGGTTAAAATAGGCGCTCCGAGCTGATCGCTACACTTCTGCGAGGGATTTAAAAAGGCTTTTCGCAGGTTGCAGCTCAACCAGTCTCAGTAGGAAAAATAGAAAATATACCGCTATCAACTGCGGATGACGACAAAAGTAGTTCAGCCTGGATTCGAACCAGAGTCCCCTTAAGCGCGCGTAAAGTGCGACAAGTGCGATTACCACTACGCTACTGAACCTTACGTTCAGAACGAGGCGCAACATATGTCTATTTTACATTAGCAGAGAAATGCCAAAACTGGTTCAGCCCGGGTTCGAACCGGAGACCACCTGTGGGCACTCAAATGTGAGACAGATGTGATAACCAACTACACCACTGAACCCTATTTATTCTTGCCCAGTATGATGTAAGCGTATTTGTCTCACCACCACTACCTTCACGGCATCGACCAGTGGCCTGCAACGTGAAATGCAGTCCCTAGTCATATCCGCTCAACAGAGTGAAGGCGCAATACGCTGGAAAGAACCGGTTGTCATCCTTCTTGTTGGCCTTGTCGGGTCGGGAAAGGTGTGTTCAGGACTCACGCCATCGAGTGATACTCATTGTCGCTTTCTCAACTCGTGCAGTCCACCTTTGCACAGGCCCTGGAGCACTATGTCCCCGGCTTCCGGAGATGTAACCAGGACGACCTGGGCAACAGGCAGAATGTAGAATCCCTTGCACGCCAATGCTTGCGAGACGGACTTTCCGTATGCATTGACCGCACGAACTTCGACGCACGGTGAGTTTCTCGCACTTATATCGTGCTACTTGTCATGAGTGACATGCCCATACCCCTGCGCTACAGGCAGCGTGCGACATGGATCAATATCGCACATGAGTTCCCGGACACGCCCGCGTGGGTCATTGTCTTCGATACACCCTACGAGGCGCGCCTGAGACTGAGTTCTGCTGCGTTACACCGGACGCTTACTTTCACGAACACAGGTGTGCGCACAACGGCTGCGCGAAAGTATGTATGCGTCTCGTCTGTACAGTGTCTGCTTGTTTATACCTCATACCTTGCAGGGAAGGACCACCCCAATATCAAGACTCCCGAAGAGGGTCTTTCTATACTTGCGCGTTTTCGCTCGCAATACCAGCCACCTTCGGCTCACGAAGGTTTCTCGAGGATCTTGTACCTCCGTCCATCGGACCACCCTTCGCGCGAGTATACACAGAGCGATATCACGGAGATCCTCCGTCGCGTTGAAGCTACGCCACCTCCGACAAATACAATAGACACGTACTTCACCCCACAGAGTAGCCTGGGACATAGTGGTCGAGGCTACGGTGGCTTCAGGGGGCGTCGATATCCAGGTTTTCGCGGAGCCCCGGGTCATGTAGGGTATGGACGCGGTGCACCGACGCCCAATCACCAGCCACAGCCGTATGGTCAGTATGACAATGACACACGAAGTGAGCGTTCAGATTGGAGACCGCAGCCTACCTCAGGTTACAGTGGCGGAAATGTCAACAGTAACTGGAGGCAAGCCTCTCAGAAATGAAGTCTATGTCGTGCTGCTCTGTCCAATAGCTCTTGGTTCTTACTGTTGTACTATACGTATAAGTTGTGATTCTATACATGCTCCGAGCAGCCTAAACTATACAGCCACGACATTAACGCGACGGCCACCAGAACACAAGCGGTATACACACGTCGATCGTCATCCCACTGGCGCAGTCAAGGCCATCCACACCTGCTCTGCAAACTCCCGTGCTTTGACCTGCAGCTTGCCCATCCTGCCTTGCTCGTCCCTGACAAAGCTCTTATTCAGCTTCCCTGCGAGCCTGCGCACGTTCTCGTCCCCGCGCGCCCACTCGCCCTCTGTGCGCCCGCGGTCCCACCACTCGCCCGCCGCCGCACGCAGCGCAGGGTCGCGCATGACGGCGCTGCGTGAGACGCGCAGGGAGATGACGCGCATCATCGTGTCCTGCAGGACCGCCTGCGTGGCAGCGATCGTGCTTGATGGGTCTTCTGGGAGGGCAGAAGGCGGGAGCAAGTATGTTATGATGGGGAGGACGAGGAATAACGACTGGCGGATCGCCCAAAAGTAGTCGTGCCACTAGAGTGCAGTGATGAGCAATGAAATGGAGGATGTGGCTGTAAGCCCATTACAATCCGGCGCTGACACAGTCCTTCCTTTCACCTACCGTGGTTTCAGGGGTGCCTGAACCCTAACTTAGCAGGTAGCCTGCGGTGGGGTTTCGCGTAGCAAAGGTATGCAATCCCTGCGTACAAGTTATATATCGTGTAATCCGTGGCGAGGCGTGCTGTTCAGACAACCTCTCCATAAGGCGGTATTGGCAATTCCCTTTCGCTACGCATTCTGCATGCCGAGCTTTAAGTCCAGAAAAGAACTGAAGGTCTCATTGCAAGTCCATATTACACATTATGAAGAGGTTGGCTGTATCACACTATTGCAACCAGGGACGAAGGGAATGGATAATACTGTAGCCACGGAGCACACCGGATCGTAATGAGACGCAGGGAAGAATTTCACGCACCATAAAGACACCCATGCCATTCTCTGGGATCTTGACTGTGGCGGTTATGATCTGATAGCCCTCCAGAATTGCGGCGCAGACAAGCGCACCCAGAACGTATGTTCGCCAGCGCGTACGACCACTCTGATGGACGGTCAGGAGCCCAAGGACGGCGGCCTCTCGGATATACTCCAGAAGCGCCCCAGGGAGTGCAAAGAGTGCAAACTCGTCAAAAGTCCTGCAGTGCTCACAGTCTTGCAGCACGTCTTGGCCAAACCTGCATTGAACAATGTGGCGTGTCAGTAGGGATAAGCGAGAGAGCTATAAATGCAAGCAAGAACCTGACATAGAGCATGCGCATTTCGAGAGACGAGATTCGAGACAATAGCGTCTCTAAGACTCTCGGTAGTGGAGTGTCTGAGTCGAGTCTGACGTGTCTCCGAATCGCCGTGCGCACGTATTCCGGGGCCGCGTTGAGGGGTACATGGAGAGACCAGAAGATATTTGGCGGCCGGCATAGAAACAGGAAGTAGAGGATGTAAAGCGTATGCAGAAGGAGCAATACAAGAAATATATCTATGCCAGAGTCTTGATGTTTACGAGCATGATAGATAGTTGCGGCGAGGATGAGAACTGAGGCAGAAAGGTAGGCAGTGATAGACGTGCTGATGATGACCATAACGAGACAATAGCGAGCATAAAGATTCTACCCCGAGTCAGATGACGGAAAAGAGTGAGTTCTGAGCGTAAGACGAAGCTCTATTTGCCGACAGATGGCTGTAGCGACTAAAGAGGATTCCAATGGCTGCGGATAATGAGCGGGTGGCGGCGCCTCGAAAGGGTTGCACCGGCAAGCTCCGAAACATAGAACGGCGCGCCTAAGACAAGTACGAAGCAGTATGTGCCTCTGTAAGCTAGTCATCCCTCTCTCATTAGCAAGCTTTCATCATGAAATGCGAGGAAAATCTGGTCTTCCGTCCTTATGCTTGTCTAATAGACAGTGGGAAGTTGACATGATTTACGTCTAACGCTCATCATGGAGTTATATGGCTTTCCTTTTATGGCGTTCATACTACCTTTCCGGGCTCGTACGCCAGTCATGACCAGCTGCAAAGAACGGCCGTCATTGACAATGTTTGTGTCCCCGAGGTATCAATGCCCATACGTCAATTTACTTCTTTGCCAAGAATATGAATATCTGGTCCGCAAGCTCACTCTCTTGTCTTTTGTACTTTGGTTCTATCCAACAACCAGTCGTTCGTTCCCAAGCGGCAACCCTCTTTCCGTCCCTCTTTCCATCGCCAACTCCCTCTCTTTCACCATTCAACATCTCACTATGACGGGATTTTGCATTCAACGCGTTTTCCGACTTGAGGATCAACACATCGCAATATTACATCAATGGTTTTGAGACTGGGCAAGTTAATAGGAGGTACGTATTCCTCGCGAATTAACTGAAATATGGAGGCTCAGCGAGACCATGCACAGCCTTGCGTGCTGCACACCATGGGTGAGTTTAGGCGTTCGTCCAGTAAAGGAAATGGTACCTTAGATTATCCGAGCATTGGGCGCTAGAGGGATAGTTAAAGCATAGCATCTATCCGCTACCACAGCCGCGTACTTTCTTCCGCTGCTACCATGCCCCCGCCCGACAACGACGACACTCAGCTCGAGGATGACGCTGCCTCTCAGCCCATCTCCGTGCCCGACTCCGGAGATGCAGGCGAGAGCGGCAAGCTCAAGATGATCATCTCTCTCCTCAAGAAGTGCCTCGGTGTCAAGGACATCGCGTCCATGTACGTAGTGTTCTCGACCGTCCTACAGCCGCCACTTCATGCCCTCGCAGGCGACTTTCGCTCCCTGCGTCTCTGCTCGAGCCCATTCCCAACCTGGAGTATTGGCACTACTTAGATCGCCCTGATTTGTTTGCTGCGTAAGTTCTATTCCTTTGCCCCACAGGTCGCCATGCTCATAATACACAGCATCAATGATTCCGACGACCCGTTCGAGCGCATGCTCGCTGTTCTACGCTTTACGTTCTCCAAGGATCTCAAGTTTATTGTGAGTCCATCTGTGTTTCGTGCTCTCATCGTCATACTTAATCAGCGGCGCAGCGCGGGAAAGTGTGCAAACCATACAATTCCGTTCTCGGAGAGCATTTCCGCTCGCACTGGGACGTCCTTCCCGTGGAGTATCCATCAGACCCGACGGCCCCGCCCATCCAGCACCTGTATCTCACACCGCCGGCAGCCGAGTCGTCCTACTCTTCGCTCGCCCTAACCCCCGCTCAAGCGCCGCGTGTTTCGGTCTCTGAGACGGCGAGTCTCAGTGGGCGCAGTGTCAAGAGCGGAAAGAGCGGAGCGAGTGGGCTTAGTCTCGCGTCGCGGGCTACGTCGACTGCAGGCAAGAGCACACCGGCGACATCGCCGAGTCTTGGTGAGATGAACCTGGATGCAGATATGTCCAACCTCAATCTAGCAGACGATGCGTCGGAGGTCACAGAGCTAGTCGAGGCAGATGACTCGCCCAATGCGAAAGGCAAACAGCGCGTGCGGATAGCATTCCTCACGGAGCAGGTCTCCCACCACCCACCGGTTTCCGCTTACTATGCCAAGTGCGCCAGTAGACATGTCGAGCTGGCGGGGATCGACCAAATTTCGGCAAAGGTCTCGGGTACGACGCTCAGGATCGTCCCTGGCTCCTACAACCAGGGCTTGTTTGTAAAACTCACAGGCGGACCGGGCGCTGGCGAGACGTACCATATCACGCACCCCATCGGATCGGTGAACGGGATGTTCAGGGGCAGCTTCTACATCACAATGGGCGAGGCTACAATCATCGAGTGCACGGGCGGGAATGACGACGAGGAGCAGCTCCGCGCGATCATCGAATACAAGGAGGAATCGTGGATCGGCAAGGCGCATTTCCTTGTCGAAGGCGTGATACACACCTACAAGCCGGGCGAGACACAACACGAGGAGTGGACGCGCGTGAAACATGTTCCGCGTTCCCGCATACTCGCGACGTTCGACGGGTCATGGAAGCACAAGATACGCTGGAAACGTGTCAATGCACCTAGCTCAGAGTACGCGACACTCATCGATCTGTCGACGCTGCATGTTATACCCAAGTCGGTGAGGTCACTCGAGAAACAGCTTCCTGACGAAAGCAGGAAGCTGTGGGATAACGTGACTACAAGACTACAGGCCAAGGAGTACGGAGAGGCTACTAGACACAAGTTGGCGATAGAGCAGAGGCAAAGAGACGAGGCTGCGGAGCGGAAACGGAAGGGCATCCAGTGAGTTTGCCATGTGCATCTGTTGGAGCGTTCTAGAGCCTGGTCATGAATCCCCTCCGTGTAGGTTCGTTCCGAAGTACTTCGAGAGCGATTACGAAGCAGGACAGCCGACCCTTACCAAAGCTGGCCGGCTGGCATTGGAAGAGGAATTACAGGAGGACATCGTATACCCACTGGAGGACTCTTCGACACCTTCGACACCTTCGACACCATAAGCATTAGACGGATACCTGCAGTCACCGACGATCTAACGACCTATGTACTATATACATGCTTGATCCCTTCACATCATCTTCCCATCGGTACACTACATATCTGTTTACTTTTCCTTCTTGAATTGATGGACAATCCATGGTTTGGCAGCAAGCCAACAGATTGATTTAGTTACACGGAATATCAAATTTGATGACGACAGCTGCATTTGAGTTTAGAAAAAATGACCTGAGCCGGGATCGAACCGGCGACTGTTTGTGCTCCTGGCTCACTGCAATGGTGTAAGACAAACGTGATAACCACTACACCATCAGGCCCTAACTCGTAGATCTCAGGATACAAACCTCATCTGCGGGTGCAAACCACATAGGGAACTTACCACTCGCGCGGCCTCAAGCTAGCTGTTCCCTGTAGTCATGCAAAGCCACAATGAAGTCCCTCGTTATAGCGTAAATATTGAACTTCTTAATGCTCGAGTATAGGCTCACAGTTAAAGATAGGATGGTGTGTGATTTCTTTCATCCCAATGCTGGTGGGGTAGAGAACCACATCTACATGCTCAGTGCGAATCTCATCCGCCGGGGACACAAGGTATGTTTCTGCACGTAGTGCATCGTCATTCTCGACTGCTCCTGATGCGGCTTTGAATCAGGTGATTGCCATAACACACAGCCATCCTCCGGACCGAGTCGGCATACGCTGGCTTTTACCTGCCCTAAAAGTATATTACCTCCCCTTCCCCACCATCGCTTCTTCAGCGACCCTGCCGAATTTTTTGACGTTCTTGCCCTACCTGAGGACAATCGTCCTCCGTGAAGGCGTTGAGATCATACATGCGCACGCCAGTCTGTCGTCGCTGGCGCACGAGGGCCTCCTGCACGCGCACCTGATGGGCGTACGCACTGTGTTCACAGACCACAGTCTGTTTGGCTTCGACGATGCTGCAAGCATATTGACGAATAAGCTCCTTGAGGCGGCGCTAAGGAACGTTGATGCTGTCATATGTGTATCACATACGGGGTATGTCATCGATAACGACAGTGAAGCTGGAGACGAGCCTAACTAGTGAACCTATAACAGCCGTGAGAATACGGTTCTGAGAGCTCGACTTCTCCCTCAAACAGTACACGTCATACCCAATGCCTTAGTGGCTGACCAGTTCAAGCCCATGCCTACCATCCGCTCGAACGACAATGAGAGTACGTCAAGCTTCTCCTCGCCTTGCTACATTACTGATAGGAAATACAGTCACCATCGTCGTCATATCACGGCTGGCGCACAGGAAAGGCATTGATCTCCTTGTGGCAACGGCGCCTCGTATTTGTGCTCTATTCCCAAATGTCAAGTTCGTTATAGGTACGGAACGTGTCTGCACCAGACGCGTCACCGGAGTTATTTGACCTGTCTGGTCAGGAGGCGACGGCCCTAAGCTGATCGACCTGCTCCAGATGAGAGAGAAGTATATGCTCCAAGATCGCATCGAGATGCTTGGGCCTGTCCAACATAGCGATGTTCGCGATGTAAGACTGCAATCGACCTCTCCAACGTGTCAACGGCCAGTTGAGGATGCATTCCCACAGGTCCTTGTCCGCGGCTCTATATTCATAAACACCTCGTTAACAGAGTCATTTGGGATTGCTATCCTGGAGGCCGCCTGCGCAGGTCTTTATGTCGTTGCAACTCGCGTAGGTGGCGTACCGGAAATTCTCCCGGAGGATATGATCTCCTTTGCAAATCCAGACGAGGATGGTCAGTCCTGCACTCAACCTCAATCTTACTCAAATTGTGAACATGTGTTCGCTAGACGTGGTTAGAGCCATGTCAGAAGCCATTGACATCGTGACGGCCAACAAGCACGATCCTATTCGCGCTCACGAGCGCGTTCGGAGCTTTTACAACTGGTGTGACGTTGCTGAACGCACAGAGAAAGTGTACGACACCGTGATGCAACAAGAACCATACGACTTCTGGACGAGATTGCGACGGTATGTAATTTGTTCTATTGATCAGCCTATCTGACGGTGATAAACAGCACTCTACAGCTCGGGCAATTTGCGGGGCCCATCTTCGCGATAATCCTGATTGTGGATTGCTTATTCTTCGTATTTCTTGAGTGGTGGATTCCTCGTGATGACATCGACAAGGTCGAAATGCATTGGAACCAGGATGACTTCGTCGAGGTTTGGATGTTCATCCTGATTTGCTCGTTTCGTACTGACCAGTGTATTTAAACGATAGCTCGTCGGTGAGTATGAGAAGCAAAACGCAAACATTCAGGAATCACATGGCACGTAGCCTCAATAATGATGGCAGCAAACGACAGTGAGGTAAAGAGCATATTCGACCGAGCATATGTAAAGGTCCGGATGGCACTTCGAACGCGTTGGATGTAGGGCGGCTCCGCGCGTTGCTCTCTATGCATGCGGGACTATGCCCAATAGCTCTAGGACTGTTATCGCAGTCCCACGATGTCCAACGTCATCCAGCGTTATCTCGACACCCAGGCTGTCCGCTTGTGTGATATGCACATCGCGTACAAGTATACTCCGGTCATGATGCTTCAATTTTCCTACACGTATCGATCCATTACTACTCAAAGCTGAGTCTCTAGTCCATTAGGGCTCACTCCCTGGTGCCGAGTTCATATGGAGACGGCGCTTAAATGTCTATTTTCTACGTTCCTCAATGCTATTGTGACCAGCGTTCAAACATTCATCACGGAGCCACGCGGAGGTGATCCGCCCATCGTGCTATCTTTGTACAACTCACCACGTGATGCTGGTACCCGGATTATTGAAATAGTTGACCATCTTTGTACAAAATGAACGGAGTCCCCCATTGCTATCGGTTGAGCACCCCCAAGCCGCTGGGTCAAACATGGAAACACCGGAAGATGAGAAGAAATCCGAGATCGCCACTCAGGACTCCGAGGATGTGAGGTCGTTGCGATCAAAAGCGAAGCAGTTGCGCGATCGCGTGAACCACTTCTTCTCTCGATGGGGTATCGAAACCAATGGGTATGTGGTGATCATCGAATACAAGGATATACTCATTTAGAAGGGTTGTAAAAGGATCGATCCCATTCCACCAGCGGAGAGGACAGATACCAAACTCTATCAGATGTTTTTCGTTTGGTTTTCTGTAAACATGAATGTCCTCTCGTGAGTACGCATAAGAGTATCGGCTACATGACAATGACGTCCTTCATGCAGCTTTGGAACTGGATCCGCGGGTCCAGCTTTCTATGGGCTAGGCTTGCGACAGTCATTGATCACGCTATTGATAGTTGACCTGATGTGCGTATTGAAAGTAGTGCTGCTGAGTCGTTGCATTGATTCTTCTTCCATAACACACAGCTCTTGCACGATCCCGGCATACTTGTGAGTTGATGTGCACGCGGATGTGATGTTATCCGACTGCTTCAATCAGTGCTATCTTCGGTCCCAAGCTCGGCATGCGGTCAATGGTTCAAGCACGTTACACTTGGGGGTCCGTATAGTTCATGGTGTTCCCTAATAGCTGATCACTGAGACCTCAGCATTGATATAGGTATTACGGAGCAATGCTCCCAAGCGCTCTGAATGTATTCTCTATGGAGGGGTTCTTGATCCTCGATTGTATCATTGGAGGCCAGATGCTTGCTAGCGTCTCAAATGGACATCTAAACGACACACTGGGAATTGTCATAATAGGTGTTATCTCTCTTGCTGTGAGCTGGAGTCTACATTATGCGCCAGCCGTCGTTGACTCGATCGAGGCAGGTCACGTTCTTTGGCTATCGGGTCATCCACTGGTAGGCACTGTCAATGAACCTCCCCAATGTGTGGTTCTCAGACTTATTTTCAGGTATGAGAGTGTTGCGTGGATACCCAACGTCATCGCCTTCATTATTATGCTTGGCGTTGGTGGGAAGCACCTCACGATCGAACCCGCACCTGGTCCTGTAGCACCGTCTCAAATCATTACGTTCGCTACTGTGGTAGCTTCCAGCGTTATCAGCTGGTGCACGATGACCCCCGATTATGGCGTATACCACCTACAGAATACCTCAAGGTGCTCTTTACGCTGTCTGGTAGTATATATCAACTGACGCGCAGTTGCAGAATGCGGGTATTCATATATACATATCTGGGGTTCTTCGTGTCAAGTGTGAGTGTATATGTGACTCTGCGCATTGGCCTATCAGCAGCAGACTCACAATTTGTAGATCACGGCACATATGCTTGGTGCTGCTTTCGCCGCCTCAGCTCTATCGGATCCTATTTGGGAATCAGGCTTTGACAACGGCAACAATGTTGGCGCCCTGGTTGAGGCAGTGCTTTCTCCTGCAGGGGGTTTTGGCAAGTTCATAACAGTCTTAGTCGCGCTCTCCATTCCAAGCGCATGTGCACCTACGATGTATACCTTTGCATCAAGTCTCATGACTATCAGCTATTATTTCGCAAAGATACCAAGATACATTTTTGCTATCATCTCAACAGCTATGTCAGTCATACTTCCACGCTCCTCACAGTATATGCTGAGACGTATTCTTCTACCAGTCTGATCCCCGTGGCCATAGTCGGCGCCACCCGTTTCTACGCAACCTTCACAGACATTCTCAGTGAGTCCCAGAGCGGCAATGTCTACTTATCTTTATATCTTCCCTTGTCAGGTATAATTGGTTATTGGAGCGTCATCCACGGCGTCATGATCCTTATAGAGCACTTCCTCTTCCGCAAAGACAACTTCAACGCGTACGTATTGGAGGACTTCGACAAGCCTCGCCGCTTAACTCCCGGAATCGCGGCGTTGCTCGCATTTTTCTGCGCCTTCGGGATAATAATCCCCTGCATGAATCAGGCATGGTATGTCGGGCCCATCGCCAGAGCGGGCAGTGGAGACATTGGCATCATTGCGGGTAGCTGTGTGATTTGTTTATTATATCCTAAATTTAGGGCGATCGAACGAAGGTTTTCTCGAGAAAATAGAGCGCAATGAACGAGATGGGTTTATAGGATATATGTTTTGTAGTTCGTCTCATAGCGGGGAATAATATTTCCCTGGAAGACAATACGCATTCAATCCTTGATCTGTGAGGCATTGTCCACCAAGAGCAAGAGCCTTGCATACAAATATGCATCGAAAGGGAACGAGGTGAGATTGAACAACCATGTCTCTCCAAACACCTTCGTTGAACAGACTATATCAAAGCTTCGGTTCTCTCTGACCATCGCACAACCGAACATTTGAACGGCCGTGGGTTCATTTAAAAGCATCAATAATGAGCAAGTGAAACGAATCATTGTGCACAGGCCTGATTGAACCCGATGTATACACAAGCTCAGGCTCGAAGATCGGACTTTGGGACATCACTGAGTGCTATATTGGCGATATAGCAACGGCATAGAACAAGATAGAGATATTTTTGCATTTGAAAGATGCATGCCTAGACATAATCAGTCCAAGTTGACATCCACACGTAGCCACAATTACAATATCGCTAGCCACAATATCGCTAGCCACAATATCACTAGCCACAGTCAGGTACCTCTCTTCACAATGACTTCTATAGCGAGCTTGTTCGAGTCCAGGGTTACCATGAGCTGCCCATGCATGATGACTGGTACAATACCGCCCACATAGAATGAAAGCCTCCTTCAAATGCACAATCATGTCTCGGGTTGCAACTCACTCCATTGATGTCTTCCATGGCTGAAACGTAGAGAAGTTGAATACACTCACAATAACAGGCTACCCCGTGGGTCCTGGCGGGAACGGCGTTCTCGAACGATTGATCTGACTATTGTTTATAGGGGGCGCCTAATAATTGAGGTTCGTGTGCTGCAGGCTGCAGCGGCTGAACGTCTTGCACTTGCACGCTCTCATCCGAGACCAATCGCTGGAAGGCATTGTGCATTGAAGTCAAGTCAAAGGGGCGTATCTCGAAGCATCCCCGTACCAGCGGTGAAAGCGGTGCAATGCACCCATGACCACAAAGTTGCAAAGCAAGCATTCAATGATCATCGAGTGTGTTGGAACTTGAGATTGTGGCGAGCGCATGCCACCGTATTTGGCATTGTTTGTAGTACCTCGCAGACTTTGCGCGAGCCGTCCTGTATGTTCCTTACGCGTTTGACAGAGCTCAGACAAACGCGATATATCTTCGTTGATCGTTCTCGCTTCGGGTCTCGGACGAACTTTAACAGAGTGTTCAAGTGTGACACCAAGCCTGCAACCGTGAACTATGATCAATCATTGTACTTCTAAGCATAGATGCAACAGTGTTGCATTTATTCAGATGCAGTCCATTAATAGGAACCTCGCATGTTGGTAATTGCATCATCAAGGATATGGCGAGTGCGGACTCTAGGAAAGCGATCAGTTAACAGCTCAGAGCATACGTGGCAGCGATGATTGACTTGAAGCGCGAAGTAAAGATGAAAACTTGAGCTTTATTGGCGGGATTGAAGACAGATACCATACAGAGGTGAAACACGATGTAAAGAGTACTCAGAAGGTCCGTTATATAAAGTACATACATACGCAATGTTCGACAGAAACCGTGACAAGCCTTCGGATGACGGCGATACCAAGGTTGGGCCCAGTATGCAACGGGAGCTAACACAGTGTAGCAGAGGCTGCGGGGTTGAGGACGTGTTTTGAGCTCGGAACTGATGGCGACAGAGACCGCGGCAGAGTGGCATGCAACAACCAAGGTGAAACCAGACAGAAGTCAGGCGCGGGACTTAGAGATGAAACAATGGTGAAATGGACCAGTATGCCATGGTGTGTCGGTCTCGAGGCGCGAGATTTGCAATAAAGACGGCTTGATAGACCGGCTGCATGCGAGTTCGCAGTGATGTGGCTCCCTAAAACCACATTCGCTTGCAAGCAAACATCCTGCAACTTTTTGCGTACTGTATACATAAACGAGTAAGTCAAGCATCGCCACATATGTATAAGCAGAATGGTTTAACAAACCGGCATGATTTTCTCGCATTCTGCCATATATTTGACGATGAGCTCATTGCATTTGTCGACATGTACTGCCCATGCTTCTTTCAGCTCGATCTTTATCCTTTCCAAGTCGGGCTTGTGGTAGATATAATGCCCATCACCCTTCAATTCTGGACAGTGGTGAGAAGACGATGTCAATTTAACTTAGCTTGCACTAACCTAGATTCACTGGGAGGAGGTGACCATAGTACACATTGCGCGAGAGGCGGCCTAAATGCTTCCTAGATTTAACGTCGATCATCCTGTCAAATTGGTAAGCGTATGCTTTCTTCGAGAGATGTACAATGTCTTACATTTGTGCGCTACAATAGCCACAGTAGCGCACGTTGTACTCCCAGTATGTCCATCGTCTGGGCTTGAAAACTTTGGTGCCGCACAAGTAGCACTGTTCGCCGAAGGCAAGGTCCGCGTATTGTGGCTCAGTTAGCCACTCGGGGCATGGTGGGAGGTAGGGCGTTTCGGCAATGGCGGCCGTCCAGATGGACCTTGACTCGCGGTGCATGAGCGTGCTTCTGAAGGGCTTGTTTGTTCGCGCCAGGATAAGAAGATCACCAGGGTCGAGGAAAGAAAAGATCTATAGAGCGGTGAAGAAGGTCGTCTGAACTGTGCATTATGCAGACCAAGAAGACTCACTTGCAACAATATGTCCAATGGAAGATCTGTTAGCGTCATCGTGCTTCCTACATGATCTTCATGAGCCTCTACCACAGCCACAGATTGACTGCTCTCTGCGTGATCTTTGGTATCCTCGACCGCAGCCACAGGCTGACTGCTCTCCGCGTGATCTTTATTATCCTCTGCTGCAGCCACAGGCTGAGTGCTCTCTACGTGATCTTCATGATTTTCTGCTGCAGCCGCAGGCCGACGGAAGAGACGCGCGATGATATCTGAGCAGATCTTGAACATATCCCCGATACTCTCCGGGCCCTCTGTACGACGGCGTTTGATGAGATGTTTTAATTCAAGGTGGAGTTCGGTCTCATCGTCTTCATCAATTCGCTTTCGCTTATTGTACGCGCGAGGGTGGAAGTCCATGAAGGGAGTACTGGTGTCTTTAGAAGACGTAGCCAATGCGCCGTCGTCCTTTGACACGGTGATTTCTTCGACTATGGCCATTGTTCTGTGGCGACGACAACTTCACGGTGATAGTTGAGATGATGCTTCAGACTTCCACAGCCAATTCGGTGGCAGACCCTCACAAGACCCAAGAGCAGTTGCAAAGATGATAATGGGCTAGTGTTCCTTAGCGAGGATTGTAGGTATGCCGAGTTTCGTTCAGCGCGAAGGTGAGAAGTAAAGCACCGTGGGAGTCATTTTGTCTACTGCCATATCTGGTACAACGAAGGGTCACACAAGTCACGCTGAGGCCCACTCCATCTCTGTGGCACTCTACTGAACACAAACAATGATCTAGAATGTGGTGAACTTATGAAAGGTTGCTTTCTAAAAATTCTGTTTGGCTGATGTTTGTCGCAGCGGCTTAACTGCATTCGCTCACTAGCACATTCGATTGATCCGCGTTCCTTGAGGTTCAAACGCATCATTCATACCAACGCGTATTCCATTGGCTCACCCTTTTTCTTTTTCTTATAAGCTTCTTTCAACCTTTGACATCCAGCGCGAACCTTGCCTACATCAACCACCATTCAGATTATCCTACTAGTATCAAAGCGCGACCCATCTGAATTTCGGCCCAAGAGGCCCAATCGCAGAATATCAAGGCTATCAAAAGGATCTAAATAATACGGACAATGAGGTATGGAAGGTAAACTCATATTTCTATCGCTAGCGACATCTGGACAGAGCTTCGTGACACCTGGAACATCTCAACAAGGAAGATCTGGTCGAAAGTGATACCACCATCGCCCAGTCGCCAGACGTCCGGGATGCATGTGGTTTGACGAAGTTCCTACAACATACTTAGGTCGTGCAATAACAGAGACGCTCTAAGCCATTACATACATCGTAAGCGCGGCGTAATTCCTCTGCGAGCATGACTGCTGCTCGAGCCACACTGAATTTGCCGCGTGTTGTACGAATGGTCATTTGGTGCGTCCACGGCCTATATCCGAGAATCTACACATATAACATGGGTGTTAGTCATTTTCCAGCCTTATTGATATTTTCATACATGCATTTATTCTGACAGAAACCTTGGGCCCAGTCAGCCCGGGGAATGCAGAGTTTCCTGCACCTTGCAGGCGAGCCGCAACGGAAGGATCAAGCACAAGCGCGGCCAACCGTACCCCGGAGAAGGTGCTCCCTCGTAGACGAAATCGCGCAAGCATACGACGAGTGAATTCTCGGGAGGGGACGTAGTCTCGCTGCTGCAGTAGGGTTTGCTGCATGGTGAAGTACTGGGCGGACGTTTTGCGGTGGGTGGTAACAAGTACGGAGCATTGTGATGCTGCAGTATTTGTAGTGGAACAGCAAAGGGTGAGCGCTGCTTCTATGAGACTCCGTGCGCATAACTAGCTGTCGAAGGTGGGCTGTGGCTCGTCGAATCTTCTACATACAGTCGGCCTCTTCTCTCTTCGGAATTTGCCTGACGTTAGCGCCATCTAATTGTATCTTGCAACTAGACGCCATTCTAACTATCGGAGGTTGCCGTACAGCCAGGTCCGTGGTACACGAGCAAGGTGAAACCCGAAGCTTTATGGCATCTATCTCGGACCAGGCATTCCACCGGGAACGGGATTGTGGTGCATGTACACAGAGCGCATCATCAACTTTCGCCTTGTTCCGCCGCATATCCATGATTCCCCTACCATCTGTGGTCTCCGCTGATGCTCGGCACATTGCAGCCGTTTCGGCCATCTGTGATTGTTGAATTACACTATCTGCGCTTTCTTCTTGTACACTCTACGAAACATGGACCCTATTATATGCTGCTTACTGGCGACACCGCGAGAAGGTGTATGCACTGGCCTAACATTGTTAGGTCAATATCTTGACCAACGCAGCCACTGTCCTAATAGGCGATTGCCGCGCCACAGAGGCTAATATGCAATCCCATGTCGACACACAGAGATATCACTGACCGGAGATGTCCAGGTGCTGCTGCGCTGTGGACAACGGCTCTTACGGCCGCTGCCGGCCGCATACTACGGTGAACAGGAGTAGTGATTCGGAGCGGCTGATGCCGTTTACCCGAGGGAAAGAATCCTAGTAATTCAGCCGAAGGTAATGATGCTCCATCATCCAGCAGCTGCCTTGCCTGAACCCATATTTCCCGCTGGTGTTGCACTGGCTAGGAGACAAGATGGGTTAGACAAGGGGTGTACGATGGGTGTCTGTGCCTCGGCCATATGCACGGTGCGGAAACCCATCTGAGATAACTTGCCGGCCGGGATGACATCCAGGATGTCGGATGACGACTAACTCAAACACAATCGGTGACTCCGATCGAGATCGTCCTGTCTACCGTAGTCAGTGCACGGGATCTTAGTACTGGGAGGGATGAGCGCCCACTGGCAGCGAACTGCACCCGAGAATCAAAGGGACCGATTAGCGTACAGTAGAATCTGCGTTGTATTGCCACGAGTAATACTCAAGGTACAAGGTACAAAAACTCCGCGCGCGCACTCTGACGGTGAGCAATGATGATGCGACGAGACTCACCACACAAGTGCGATCTCAAACGCTCGGGTGGCACACGAGTCTACGCTTTAGAGAAAATGGGATAGAGATTTGGGGGGACCATGTGAATTGAGTTGCTCTGAGACATCCCAAAGTATCATGTAGGAAACAGATCCGTATGACAGGAGCGATGCGACAACAAAGACGATGTCATAGACGCTGAGAGAATTGGGTTGTACGTGAATGTCCAGAAGGGGTAAAGCACATGCTAAATTGAGACGGGAGCCGCATCCCCGACAAGACATCGTGTTTCGTGACATGCTCAAAAAAGTCTCATATTGCCCAGATTGGCCGTGTTTAGACTTATCACATCTATGTATCAGGGGCGTGGCATCACCAGCAGACGAGAAACGTCTAATACGACGAGGGTCATCTAGCCACAAATACGAGATACAGAATTACAGCGTGCTGGCATTAGTGTTGATTAATTTTTGTGACAGTATAGTGAGGAAGACTAGCGGAGTGCGTGTTTGAAATATCTGATTCGGCGACCCTGGCTATCATTACAACAGTCACCTACTCCGTCTCCCCGGACTCGAAATTACGGCAAGGGGGATAGATATTGAGTCTATGATTGTTTATTAGCAAAATATAACGGAACCAAAAAGAACCGGAACGAATTCTTCTCGCAGTGCCCTCAGACTCGTATATAGCGCGTCAACATCCCCTTGTGCCGGTCGCTGGGCGACTTAAACGTTGGGTGAACCGTGGATGATACGTTTGATGTTCCGATGATATCCTGCTATGCTCTCCGAGTCGTCTGATTCCTACCTCTTTCGTCCGGAGCAACCGTCGTGTTTGTGGTAGCTCTTAGGCAAGCGGTGTTCGATGTCTACCCGGCGTTCAGCTTCTTAAAGAGTAAGCAGTACCTCGAGTTTCATTGTTGTGCCCAACTTCTTGATTGTGATACACTGCGTGAGCACATGAGGACGAGGTCCGCTCGACCCCAAGCATGAATAATCGCCTTCCGGAGTCTAACAGTCTCAGGGCCATCCAAGTATCCTCCCACCCATTGCACACCTCGTTCAGGGACGACGCTCCCAAGCCACATCCTGCGAAGTCGTGGTTTCATTTTCTCAATACAAGGGAGCTGTACAACAGTGTTGCGCTTGAAAACTGAAGCCGCGCCGTGGAATGAAAATATCAATTTCATGAGGGTCTGGCAATCCTCCAGAGCAACCCAGTCCTGCCAATCATAAACGAACCGTGTGTCCCAGCCCTTTGGAATCACATAAAGGGTATATCACAGCATACCAAAGCAAGTCACGGTACGGCGCGCTAATTCAATGAGATCTCTTCAGTCTCACCCACATCGTCGTCCACCGTATCCGGCATACTATGCGGGGCCACCTCCTTGTCGACTGGCGGCGGAGGTGGGACCTCCACGCTTGACGGCGCGACCACGCCTACCGCTGTCAATGCTGCCTCTTCCGCGTCCTGCGCCTGCGGTGTGGGCTGGGGTTCTGGCCGGGTCTCCGCTTGTGGCGGGGAGCCGCCCTCACCCGCGCCCGAGGGCACGGGCGGCGGGGTAGGCGGCGCCGGCGGCGGGAAGCGGAAGTTCTTGCTCATCGTGCCCTTGCGCACGTGCCCCGTTCCCCGCGGCGCCGCCTCTCCCTCCCCCTCTTCGTGCTCCTCGGGCGTCGGCTCGAAGCGCCGGCCGGGCGCGGAGTGCGGCGACGAGGACGGAGGCGACGCGGTGGCGACGCGCTGCGGGGGCATGGACTGCCGGTTCGCGACGTGCTTCTGCTGCTGCGAGGGCGATGCGCTCTGCGTCTCGCGGGAGAGGCTGGCTTGCGACATGGACTGCGGGCGGGAGTAGGTGGCGGGAACGGGCGGATTCGCACCGAGGTAGTACGGGTGGATCGGTACCATTCTACGCTGACTTTAAGTCACTGAGCGATGAATGACCATGGAGCGCTCACTTTTTCGCAGAATGACACGCGAGAATCCAGTGTGGCTGCACGACCGGTATGCTGAGCTGCAGCGCTTTCTGATACTCGACCCCCGGCGCGGTGGTTATACTTCCGGACGCCTGCGCGCCGCTGGGGGTCGCCGCCGGGGTCGTGCACACAAAGTGCGTCGTGTCGATCTGGATCTTGTCGCTCCATTTCGCGCCCATCTCGCGCAGCGCCATCCTCGAGTTCTCGAGCAGCACAGAGTCCTGCACGTTGCCGAAACAGACGGAGATGCCCGACGTGTCCGTCATGGTGTGCGTGCGTATGCGGAGCAGGTTCGATGGGTATACGCCCGCGGTGGTGCGCAGCACGAGCTGGAAGGTGTACTCGCTGTCGATCTGCAGTCCCGAGAGCTTCGTGGAGGTGTTCGTGAGCGGTGACGGGATAGATGCGAGGCGCTGGCGGTTGCGGTAGATGTCCAGGGAGCGCAGCTTTGCGGTGGCAAGCTGCAGAGGCGGCCACTCGAGTGTCACAGATGTCTGAGTGACGTTCCTGACCTGTGCGGTCATGAGTCGGGCACTGCTGAGGCAGATGCTGTGTACGCACCTCGAGCTCGGGGTTCTCTGGCGACTTTGTGCCATACATCTGGAGCACCTCATTTTGGAGGGTCCAGAAGTCGCTGTCCCGCTTCTTTTCCTCGGCCAGGTTCCGTTGCACGGAGATGTTCACAATGGATCCGGTGGTGGCGCCTGGTGGTAGCAGTAGGGATGGGAACTCGATGAGATGGGCACGTTCCCCTAGCAGAATCTACACGGCGTTTCAATGCTCAGGACACGTCTTTCAAGTAACGTTCAGCTTACAGCCATCCCGGCATCTGCACACAGACGGTCATTTCGCGTGCCAGAAGCGACAGCCCGGACACGAACCTAGCTTGCCCACTGTAAACATAAAGCTCTCCTGAGACTGCGGCATGTTGTACTGGTCGACTCGAAGAGCTGTTCGCGGGAGGGTATGTGATGATCGTGGTCGTGGTCGAGCAGACCATTCGCGCCGACGCGCACTGCCGCGCACGTCGTCGCGATCAATCACGTGCAGTGACATACTCGACGACATTCAGCAACGACCACTGCAGTAACAAGTTGAACGCTATGAGGAATCGACAACAGTACATTGCTTCCTAACGTTCAGAGAGGCAGTCCCGGGAGTACAACAAGCAGAGGTTACAACGACCAAAACCGGACAACACTCAGCCACTAACCGCTACCCAGCTTGTGCCCACTTCCCCAACGGTGTCCCTGATTTTCCTCCCTCACGCGCCTAGGCGGGACAACATGAACACCCCCCGCTGCAGTCCCACCCACAGACGGCGTACCAGTGTCGCCCAGCAGCCTCTTCAGCCACAGCGGCGCCGTTCCAAAGTTGCGCAGCACCCGCGTGTCCCACACACTCCACCACCAGAGGTGCCCAATGACAGCGCCGGAGATGCTCATTGCCGCTGCGGCGCGCCCGCCGGACATAAGGTCGAGCACGATGAGCGCGAAGGGCAAGTAGACGACGGGAAATTTCACGAGGCCAAAGAGAGACGTTTCGGTACCAGGTGGTGCGAGCTGTGAGGTCATGTAGACGAGGGCATGGAGAAGCGGTCGGCTGTGCACTATGGAGTGGAGCGGGATGTTGAGGGCCTACAATAATAGACTATCGGTTGGGCGGTCGCCGCGGCAGGGTATGTCTTACCAGGATAGCGGCACCTGCGAATACCAGCTGCCATGCGTAGTCTGCTGATCGGCCAGTATAGTAGATGGTTTCCATCTGGTTTGAGTGTTGGCTGAACAAGTTGCGGATATCAGCGCACGGGTGGTGCATTCAGATGCAGACCATACGCAACTAGAGCATGACAAGCTCGAAGATGTAACTGATTCCAGTACCTATTGGGTGGGATATTCAGCACGCACGCTTGACGTATACACCCCGACGGGACTTACTACCGAGAGAGAAGCTGGTAATCACTCTCCAGGCCTGACCCCAGCCGAGATGTCATTGCGGTACATGAAGCCTGCAGCGCGAGCATGCGTACCTCAAACCGCTTCATCACCAGCTCCTTCACGAATATATAGAAGTACGGAGACACAACCTCCAGCATTACAGAGCTCGTGACGAGTAAAGAGGACCCGCACAGAAAGCGAGTTACTGGGGGTATCTTGCGGATTTCCTCGACGAGCGACATGATGCGTCACAATGTGGGTGGTGCAGTGAGCGAGAGGCGAGCTTCCTCGACGAGATTGAGAGACAAGACCCTCTGAATTGGACGATATCAGGACAAGATTGAAGGCGAATAAATCAATTACAAGGTGGATGTGGTCAAGAACATGTTAGTAGACGCGTTGCAGACAGCGCTGCTGGTAAAATGTTGGGCGCTTCGGGGGCGGCCCTCCTTCAATCATTTCATGAACCGTCTTTCAGTATCTTGGCAGCGCAATATCTGAACTCGACCATTCAAAAACTGAGCCCAGGATAACAAGGATAATCGCAAACACATTTTGTAGCTTCCATGCTGGAATTGTGCCTTCTCCAAGAACTGAGCCGATACAATTTACGTATCATGACCTTCGGCGCCGTCACTTCAACCCATCCCTGGATCGCCTGAACTAACAGTTCTGTAGCTATGGTGCAAGCCTCAGCAGCTTCGAATGTCGCTTTTGTGACTCGCGAAGGTTACAGCAGACGGTTGACTAGCGAGATCGCTATTGTCCTCACGGTATTGTTACCACGACTATTGTGTCCGGACAACACGAGGCTGGGCCCGCCTTGCTTCGTTGGTCCTCGTCTGAAACAAGCTTTGACAGAGCCCATAGTGACGGCTGACATCGCGATCTGAACGCTTGTCCTCGTGCCTGGGATTGTGTTTGGTCTGGATAAAAAGCTCAGGTCTGCACCTGCTACACCACCTGCCTCCCAATCCCGACGCTCCTCACGACCTCTGAGGTTCCTTTCTTTTCCTTCTCTACCCTTGCTACTATTGCTTTCATTCTTCAGCATGCTGTACATGCTACCACTTACGCTGCTGGCTGCTCTGCCTCTCGTTCCAGTATGGGCTGCGCCCTACAAATGTTCCTTGAAACCCCAGTCCGGTGTCTCAGCCGCCGCATCGAGCACAGGCTCCTCATCGCCCTCTGGTGGGGGCACCGGTACCACCAGCAGTGGCGGAATTCCTGCTTCAGATCTCGTATCGATGAGCTGGTTCGCCGGCTGGCACGCCACGGCCGATCCTGCTTTCCTGCCCGCGAACATCAGTTGGTCCAAATACACCGCCGTATCGTATGCGTTTGCGTGAGTACCTCATGATTTGCATTTGATCTTCTTTATTGATCCGCCTGTAGTGTGACCACTGAGGACCCCAGCACGGTCTCGCTGGGGGCATCCGACGAGGTATTGCTGCCGCAATTTGTCCAAGCTGCGAAGCAGAACGTAAGCAGAATTTCTTCTGATCTTACTTCATGTCTCATCAGTCTTTGAACAGAATGTCAAAGCGATGCTCACTGTCGGCGGCTGGACCGGCTCGCAGTACTACTCAACCGTAGTCAGTACACCCGAGAACCGTGATACGTTCGCCAATGCTGTCCTGGGCCTCGTCTCCAAATACGACCTCGACGGTCTTGACTTTGAGTGAGTGTCACAGTCCTGCGCTCTATAATGTCTTCTGACAGCGTGCTCCAGCTGGGAGTATCCGAACAACGTCGGCATCGGCTGCAACAACAAGTCACCCGATGACGCCGCAAACTTCCTCTCCTTCCTGCAGACTCTCCGCTCACAGCCCGCGGCGAAGAACCTCACCCTGTCCGCCCCCGTAGGCTTGAAACCCTTCGTCGGCTCCGACGGCTCGCCCATGACCAATGTCTCCGCGTTCGCCGACGTGCTCGACTACATTGAGGTCATGAACTACGATGTCTGGGGCTCGTGGAGCACCGCTGTCGGACCCAACGCACCGCTCAACGACACGTGTGCCCCCGCCGCAGACCAGCAGGGCTCCGCCGTGAGCGCCGTAGCCGCGTGGACCGCCGCGGGCTTCCCTGCGAGCCAGATCGTGCTCGGAGTGCCGTCGTACGGGCACAGCTTCACGGTCGAGCCGAGCGCGGCGCTCGTGAGCGGGAGCGAGAGCACGCTCGCCGCGTACCCCGCGTTCGTGGCGTCGCAGCAGCCGCTCGGCGACGCGTGGGACACGAACGCGACTGCGGGCGTGGACCAGTGCGGGAACCCCACGGGCGGGCCGTCGGGCATCTTCGACTTCTGGGGCCTGGTTGAGGAGGGATTCCTGACCGACAACGGCACCGCGGCGCATGGCATCGCGTACAGATTCGATAACTGCAGCCAGACAGTGAGTGTGCTCTGCTACAGATAAATGTTCTGGTGGGCTGATTGCGGGTCCCCAGCCGTATGTGTACAACCCCGACACGAAGGTGATGGTGTCCTTCGACAACCCGCAGTCCTTCGGTAAGTATATTTTTGATGTGCGAGTGGGTCGTTGGCTGAATCAAGGTTTGCGGCAGCTGCCAAGGGGAGCTTCATCTCAGATTCGGGGCTTGGAGGCTTCGCCATGTGGGAGACTGGTGGTGACTATGAAGACATGCTGGTCGATGCAATCAGGAAGACTGCCGGCTTCAGTAGCTAGATCCTTTATGACCCAAACGAGAACTACATCTTTGTATCTACTAATTCAGGACAATTTGTAGCTGTTTATGTGCTTGTAGCGAGTCGATGTCGTTGTTATGATGTTCAGCACTCTGATAATGTTCATGTTAAAGGGGACCCTTGTTTGCAATTGACTCGAGCCGTAAGAATACCCTTGAATCTACCACTACGCCTTGGAGATAGAAAGTCATCTGAGAGATGAGACTGCAATCAGAAGGCTTGGTTTTGTCTGCTGGTAGCACTCACCGCGCTCTCAATTGAGCTCGCCTTTGGTCATCGGGTCATAAATAGTCACAGACGGCGAAGTACCCTTGCTCGCAAATGATCCTCTGACAATGAATACGCAAATCAATTTCATTGACCAATACACAGATTGTAAGTTACACAGAGCTGGCACAAGTTGAGAAATACGAAATAAGCTGAGTAACAATACGACCGTGACGTATGGAGGTCTACACGCCAAACTGGTGCCACCACAGACAAGCAATGAGCAATAATTGTCAGAAAGATGAGCGACATTTTCGACGGACATGGCCTTGCTCTAGCGAGCAAGGAATACTTTTGTGGGCGCCCTGCAGTTTACGCCTTCTGACTTCATGAGTTTGGCTTGTCCCTAATACCTGCTCGCAAGTACTACGGACGCGGAAGCGGGTCTTCTGATGTGGATATCATCCAGTACTCAGCTTACAAATGCACTGCTGAATTAGCTTGTCTACGATATAAAACGACACACAACGCGTCGTTGTACATGGGGTACGAACACGTATATAGTGGATGAAGAGGTGCATAATAATAATCTGCAATAGGATGCGCACGAAAATTGCCGCCATGATTTTGACCCAATGAAACCCCAGTAACCCAGTATAGTGAATAGAAAAGAAGAATGCAATGCATTTCACCAACCAACTCGCATGTGAGCAGCAACATCGGCGCGGGGCTTAGATACGCGTTTTCGAAGACAGACTCGGCCCATTGCAGAGCTCCGCGCCGACCTTTTGAGCCAGATGCATCCCGAGCGGCTCCAGGGCCTCTCGCCACGCCTGCGTCCGCCGCCGGCCCTCGAAGATGGCCATCGACCGCTCGCCCACTTCGCCTTCCGGCCCGAACACATACACCTTGTCCTCAGCCCAGGGCGCCTCGCCGTGCGCAAACGCGATCCACCGCGCTTGCACCGCGTCCCGCACGCGCGCGTACGTGTATTCGTCGACCACCGGCAGACCCCAGTCGTCCACGAAGCCACTGTCCGTCGACAGCGTCGACGACGACTCTGCCGCGTCCATGTCGGCCTCGCCCATGAACACGCCTTCGTCGTCCGAGTCCGCGAGGTCGAACGACTCGGGCATGTAGTCCGCGGGTAGCTGCGAATGAGACGACCCAGGCGACGACGACGACGGCTGGGGGACGTTGTCGAAGAGGTAGACGAGGTCGACGGCATGATGCGGGACACCGCGCCCGGGACCCTCCTGGTCGAAGACATACCGCCACACACCGTGCCCACCACGCTCGTGCCGCGCCGCAGCTGTGATGCGCTCTGCCGGCCAGGCGAACCGCGTGTCGTTGATGAGTTCGAGTAAGCGCGAATGCAGTTCATCAGCAGGGATGTGTGGATGGATGTCGTACGCGCGGAGTAGCGCGTTCGCTTTCGTGAGCGACTGGCACACAGCACGCACACGCCGCTCGACACCCGTCGCACTCCACATCGAAGCCGGTAGTGACCACAGCAGCGCCTCGTCGCTGCAGTCACCGATCATCATTGGCTGGCGCGGGCCGTGGCTCGCGTGGACGTGCTCATGAGGATGACGTGTACGGGAGCGGGAACGGGAGGAAGGTCGGAGATGACTACGGTTCTGTGTCCAGTGAGAATGCCGCACGGCCGTATCGGTCGAGGAGGATCCCGAGTAATCGTCGAGATGATTTTCATATCGGTGATGATGTGCGTGATGATGTGCGTGATGTTCCGGCGGCTCATCTGCGACGATCGAGCCCGTGAAGTGCTTGCGGAAGAACACGCCGTCGTTCGTGGCTCTCATGTGTTGGCCGAGAGTGACGAGTTTCTCAGGCTCGACTGCACGCAACTCATCAATGGAGTGTACGTGCAGCGCGCACATGATTCTTGACAGCTGCCAGCCCGCCGAACTCACGCTGGGGATCTCCAAGTCCATGATGGCGCTCTGGATGATCGTCCGCTGGAATAAGGGCTGCTTCTCGTTTGCAGCAGAGTGCAGATGGCACAGGATGTCAGCAGCACCCGAGGACGCGCCGAAAAGCGTAATGTTCCACGGGTCACCCCCGAAGTCGGAAATGAATCGATGCACCCATTCAAGAGCTCTGCGCTGATCACGAAGACCTGTGAAACTACGTGAGAAAGTGTCCACGGTACCCGCGGCAGCAGTTAATGACGCACCGTAGTTGCCGACTCCCTCGTCACCTGCAGCCTTGTTATCGTCGCGCAATGCGTTACTGGCTGCAAAGCCGAGCAAGCCGAGGCGATAGCTGTAGATGCCAATGGAGACAAGCGTCAGGAAGGGACCACAACAGTGGAGACTTGACGACCACTTACTTGAATGTGACCATGATGACGGGCTTACCAGCCGTCATGCTCTTTTGGACAAGGGCACCACCGTCGTAGATCCAGCTCGAACCTGAACCACGGTGACCGCCCCTGTCTCGCCTGTCAACACAAGATGCAGTGGTAAGGGAGATCGCATGTTGCCTACCCATGAATCCATAGCATAACTGGCAAGCGCGAGTCCGGGGTTGCATCGCCAGGACAAGTGATGTTGAGGTTCAGACACTCAAATTCGTTCTGCTTGAATGTCTGCTGGGGGATTACATCTTCGGATACCCCGAACAACTCTGCTTCCATGCCCGAGTGATTATGTTGAGGGCATATTGGGCTACATTCGTCTGTCAGTTCGGTCTACGATTGCCTCTGATACTGCACTCACCCATAGTGTCTGGCGTCTACTACTGGAGGGTACGAAGTGAACAACTGGGACTGGCGGAAGCGGGCATGTATGCTGGCATACTTGAGACCGCGGTACTGGTGAACGGGCGCCTCTGACGTGGAGAGGGGGTGTACGATGCCGTTGAACGTCGTCTGGAGTTCTCTGTGCGAGACCACAGGCTCCGCCGTTGTGCTAAATTTCGCTATCATCGTGTTGACGACAGAGTTTCAGAGCGTATACACGCGCGAGATTGGACGAGCTAGCGTCGCGGCAAGGGGTGGAGGACAAAATGAAGGGGAACAGATACGGGGGCCCATGGGGAAACGTCTGGAGCGGCTTTGTAGGACTGGAGCAGGAGGGCGGGGCGCGTGCGCATATCGATGCACCCGAATGTGGACACGCAGTTCTTGCTGAAAACTGGACGGGTGTGCCAGAAGAGGCAAGCCCCGCACGGCCAGCCCATCGCAGGCGCAGCCCAGGGCGTACTCTGCCCCTCCGGCAATCGCCGAGGCGCCCAAATAACCGTCACTCCCGTTGCAGAAAAGACTGGAACTCACTTGGAACCCAACAGGGGCGTCCACGGGACTACTGCCTCGAACACCGAACCCATCACGCTTGACATCACGCATGACGGCGCCGGGGGCTGTTTCGCGTCCTTGGATCCGACTTTGCCCGGCGTGTATTGCGCCCGCATACGTGTAGCGTCGCGCTTGAAGGTAAGCGCCTGGGACAGCTGATGTTGGTGAAGCATTCAGTTGTACCGCCCGCGCCACAAAGCACGGGATGCTGCACAAAGTTGCAGGATCGCAAAACGAACACGTACTGGTAGGCGCAGCAAGCATGCAAGGCTGTGTGGTGTTCGCGAAGGTACACACGGCCAATGGCAGATTCACCGCCCGCAAGTTCGTGGTGATGGTAGCTTCTCTGATCATACGTGGCAGGCCGGTCGAGGTCCTCGACAGCCCATCCATCCGATAAGGTCAGGCGTCGTTGACTTATGGGACGATGTTCATTGAGCGAAGAAGGCGTTGAAGCGTGCCAAGGAGACCGTGCACGCTTGACAAGCTTTCATTGATTCCGACCGATCATCACTAGGGTGCATGTTGAGCGTGGACACGGCCAACAACAACTCACCAGGCAAGAATAACAATTGTCACGAGGCTTTTGACAACATCTCAATGCAAATGCTTCCGCAATCACTGAGTGTTGGCAGTTCCAGAATCAGACATTTTATGGCATCCGCATAAGCAACCATGTCGTGTACGTGTACTCGCTACGGTACATGGATCATACAACGGCGTAGGATTAGACCATATGTATGTTGCATGCCCGGTAGCCTGGAAGCGAGACAGCATCTTGAGTATAGCATCCGAAGGGTGGGAGGAAACAAGACACTTACCTTGTTCCGGAGGCCAGGGCGGACGTAAGGTTGCCTTAAGACGTAACTGATACCCCATAATAGTGCATGCCTTGCCTAAAACGGCCGCGCAGCAGACTTCCTGTGGCCCAAAGTATTACGGGACGAAAACAGAGATCGGTTCGTTCGCGTCGATAGGACGATCTGTACCCGCTATTCATAGTTAAACTGAGTTAGACACCTCACCGTGAGTTGATTATACTCGCAACAGCGAAGTATCACACGCATATACTCTGTCATGAGACTAATCAGCCTGGGAGCGGCATCTGCAATTATTCAATCTCATAATGCGAATGGTCAGAGGGCCTTCGCAGTGTCTTAATCGCGATTAACAAATAGCGCAAACAAATTCAGAAATGACCTGTATATCAAGCTATGTCCGCGTGTTCAAAGAGCACCACGCTCACACCGTTGCTAAGTCTTCTCGCACGTAGAACTGCACCTGTAGTTGTAAAAGTTACAAATGAGAACATGCCCTCAAACGCACAGAGAGAGACCTACCGAGCCTTCCGTATTTCATGCATTTCGAACTGCACCAGGATGTGCGCAAGCCTTGTGCGCACGAAGTCACTGAAAGACATGTTCACGATCGAGGGCGACTTCGGGAGCACCGCGTCCTGTGATAACATCGAATGGTGAGAGTTTACACGGCAATGCCGGCCCGTTTGCATCGCTGTACGTCCTCAACACACTTGATGCCTATTCGCAGGACATAGTACACGCGTTGCGGCCAAGGATACCAGCCTAGATGAAGGCCCGTCCACAGCACAACCTAATTTGACCAGAGACCAAATGCTCGAGGATCGAGCACAGTGAGTAGTAGCAGGCGGCAGAAGCGGTATCAGACTAGGGAGCAGAGAACAGAACAGCGTTCAGAGATAGCATGCAAGACAGCCGCCGCACTCGCAGGGCTGCGGTCGCTATATACCTGCGCCCCAAGCTAAGCTCCACCCGATATGAGGGGAATGCCGCAAGGTCCGTGGATTACAGCGCGCAAGAAAGTGGTTTAAGGGTGCCCTCGACGTGCAGCGTGACCAATTGAGAAGAACACGGAGGTGTAGATATGGGATAATGCATCAGATATGAAGGCGTTTTGTGGAGCAGCGTTTGGTCCGTGAAACGGCCCATACAGCGAAGATGTACTCTCTGAGTCAACACCCTACATCGAGGATGTCGAGGGCAACGAACCTAGATGGCGGTAATGGTGGTCGTGGTGGTCGTGGTGGTAAAAAGAGAGGCGTTGGCGAGTCGTGGTCACGGCGGGCAGAAGTCACATCGTCACGATCGTTTGATATCTGTCACAGATCTATAGTACCCTGTGTGTCACAGCGCGCTTGAGCACTTGAACATCTCGGCACAACTTGGCACAAACCAAGGAAGATTATTACATCACAATTTCAGGTACATAAGTACACAAGACTTGATTGAACGTTAATGGAAATAAAATTTAGATTTTAGGCATCTCACGATATCATTTGGTGCACTCGATTATACCTTGAACTGATGCCTCACTAAAACAGTGTCCGATGTTCAACGTGCATACCGAGACTTATGTCTCCTCACGCCCTAGCTCCAGCATTTTCTGTTTGACCACACGCCCCTCGGACTGCACGAGCGAGAGATCTCGTACCAGACGGGTCGAAGGCTGTGGTGGAGAGGATGACTTACGTCGACAATTAGGATTCCAAGTTACATGTACCGTAGCGTAGAAACATTCATGGAAGCCTCTTGCACGATCTCACGTCGTCTAGAATTGTCTATGAAATTTTGGTCACAGGTCAATATAACTGAGAGTGCAATGAAGAGGATGTGATATATGTTGTACAGTCGATCAGGCTAGCGCGTCATCAGTGATGAGCATTCCGTGTATGCTTCATGGTGATCACGCTTGTGAGGACTCACCAATCCGTCCGGCGAAAAAGAGCTGCGTAGTTCAGGGACCTCACCGTTAATATCGAGGCTTGGAGATTGGCGATGAGGGCATATGCTTGCTCAGCCATATAGTCAGCTATATCAATTAGAGACACCGTCGGCGTCGTTTACTCTGGATAATGCAGAAATGGAAGTGATATGAGGAAGATGTTCTGCGTCTTCAGGACCTCCAATCAACATATCGGCGGTGAGAGTAGGAAACGTACTTCTCGTGGGCATCGTGCGAATTTAACGGCGACATGGTCAAGTCGAGGGCTCCTCGTGAGCGGTCGTGTGGCCACAAAAGCCGTCGTAAATAGCTGGACCGAGCGAGCATTATGAAACGCATGAGCGATGATGCTGAGATCGGTGACATAGAAGGGTAGGGTCACCTGTGCATTGAAGGAAGACAAATATTCTTCAGCAGATAGGTCGATCATTTGGCATGGTCGTCAAGGACGTGCAATGTATGGAGTCTGCAGGTGAGCCGCTCTGACGAGAGGGTGGTGAACGGCATATCGCGATCGGAATCAGGAAGCTCCCACCTCCACCGACAAGTAAGTTCCTTGAGCGATGAAGTCACCCTGGACAGCATCTGTGTCGCAAGAATTCCGGGGTATTTGGCCAAGACGATCGTCCTAAGGCATCCGCCAAGCACGGGTGGGCTCCCAGGATGTTATCCATGTCGAATAGGTCCAGGTTTTTGATCCCCACAGCGTGTCGTAGAACATTGGAAAAAAGCGGAGCAGACGAATAGTCGTGCTCATACTTCATAGCATTTAAGCAATGGATCGACCGCAATATCCGATTGCCGTCGGAGTCGTCTTCCACCACTATTAATATCCCGGGGGCGCAGGAATGTAAGACGTGATAGCTTGATAGATTTGATGCATGGTGCGCGTCCAGTGATGTCCGCCAAAACGAAGCGACAGAAAGCAGAAAGCTGTGTAGGATAAATTCTAAGAGGTCCGGAATCGATGTAGTCCCCTGCTTAGGTCCATTCCGCTTACCAGTAAGGGACTAACCGACCCGCACGTGCGCCTCACATGTTCATGATGATATTTGTCACTCATCAACGGAAAAGGGAATGTTGGCGAGATTGTCGGATGCATTGGTTTTTGGCTGCGGAATCTTCTGTCCGGAGAAATCAACCTGAGAGAGCCAGTGGTGTGCGGTCAATGCCCGTGGTCAATAGTCATAGTCAATGACCGTTGACTTGCCATTGACCGTCAATGACCCTGGGACAATCATGACTCCGAGGTAAGCCCGGGGTCCTCGGGCATAGTGGTGTTCGAGGTCGAACCTCCTTTTGCGGTATTGGAAGATCGTCGTCTGCCCAGTGCACCGGGCTTGACTGAAGTGCTAGGCCAGCGCTTACTTTTGTCAAAAACAGCCATAGTAGGCCCTCTGATGCATGTTTGGACATCATCAGGCATGTATATGTGTTATGATCATGCAGAAATAATATAGTGCTCATATAGTGCTGTCATCAATGACAACCCGACACCTGGTGGAAATGGCTATAACTTCACATGTACACACTGGAGGGCGGCCGTAACAGCTACTTCAAAGACTATCTAACGTATTGGTCACTAATATGCTGACACAAGAAAAGGCCACTCTTATCAGCGCAGGGACACCAGCTGAGTTTACAGGTCTCTCTGCCACCCGACGTACAAGTACTACAGCCACTGTCTGTCGCTCAAATTGGCAAGGACACGAGACCGTGGGTAAAGTCATCGCACCGTGGGTAGAGTCACGGTCATTCAAGTCATTTCCCATCAATAGTCAATGACTATGGCAAGTCAATGACTCGCACATCACTGGAGAGAGCATATGCACAACAGCAACGGGATAGAATACCGATTCACCGAAAGGAGAAGCTATAGCTTTCAACATGATGCTCTCCACATAATACTTAATTTTCTCATGACCTTGCAGCCTGCCTTGAGCATAGCCATCTTTCATGCAACCTTTCGCATCTTTATCAAGTTCAGATATGCCTTTCAAAGCACTTCCTCGAGCATGGCTTGCGAGGTGGTGGGATTCGGATGCGGTGGGTATGGGTACCAGTGTTGGGCCAGTCATCTGCCAGTCGTCCCAGTCGTTCCCACGACTGGGGCGATTAATCGACGACTGTACGACAGTCGAAAAGTCGCGGCGACTTTTCCCACGGCTTGCGCAGACACGGCCCGATATTCACGTGCGCAATTCTGGTATGCAGGCGCCCGAAGAGTCCCAAAGAGGCATCGGATCAAGGGATGAGGGGGCCCAATGACTTTACTTGGCTGCCTCTCTCTGTCATTGAGAGATCTATTCGACTTCACCGCAAGGATGGAAAAGAGGGTTGGACATATTTGCAGGATGAAGTTGAGTTGTATGAGCTTCTCGACTTCTCATCTTCAATGCAGAAGATAGTATTGACTGAGTGCTGAGTCTCTGCCAATAGGATATACATGTATTTTCATTTACATATCTTGCTAACATCACATCCTGTTGTGTACATTATTTTGTGGCCAAATCTCCCTCCATTCCCGCATCACCTCTAATGTCAGGTGTGACTGAATGGTCGTGGGAATAGTCGCCGCCGTGGGAACAGTCATCGTCGTTTGTAGTCGTTTCGACCGACATCATGCGACTAAACGACAGTCGCACGATCATTCGACGACTCGCACAACACTGATGGGTACAGGACAACGGAAAACGTGTTTGATCCGTAAAGTCCGGAAACACCGAGCTAGAGGATCAGGGAGGAGGAAACCAGAAGCAAGTGCAGTCGCGTGGACGTCAGTATATCGTCGGAAAAAAGACCGTGACCTTGTAACGCATTGCCATGTCACCCAATGCCCCAGCACGATTAGCCTCTGAATATTATACTTATCACAGCAAGATGGTCAATCAGAGACCGGAAGCAAACCATTGCAACTACAGTCCCCCATGCAATGATCCAGACTGACCGCAATGTGACGCAACGGCTATCAACGGAGTTCCAATATGTCCTCATTGGAATGTGCCTCGGAAGTGTCCGATAGATCTGCTCTTGCCGCGTTAGCATGCGGTGCTCAATAAGTACTACACGCGGTTCAAACTTCGTACATGCTATCCTCATAAGTCTCCAGAGGATTCACCTGCTCCCTCAGCTCCAGGGGATATTAAGCATATTATTCTCTCTGTCACCATGGTCTACCACAAGAAGACCAGTGGTCCAGTAGCACTGGACACGGGCAACACACAGGCACCAAAGACCTAAATATGTTGCAACGGTCACATGTATGGTCCTGGCTTCCTCCTCTGGCTCGGTGTTTCCGGGCTCTGCGAAACAAATGCGTTTTCCGCATCATTCTGAAATTAGCGGTAAGCGTCCTCTGATCTCGAAGCTGGACAGGATCACCGCAAATCGAGTAGAAGATCGCCCGCCGCCGAGGACCATCAGCTAATAGTTCCTCCAGCTATATAAACCACTCTTGCGGTCGTATTTCAGTGCTCCAGTCCGATCTCCCCCCCTTCGTATTACCACACTCATCATGGCAATTGCATCCAGAGTAGCCGTCGTTACAGGCGCAGCACAGGGTATCGGCCTCAACATCGCCCTCCGCTTGGCTGACGATGGCCTCGACGTTGCCGTAAACGACACAGCGTCCAAGAGCGAACAGCTAGAGGAAGTCGTGTCTCAAATCCGAGCCAAGGGTCGACGAGCGATCGCCGTTTTGGCGGATGTAACGCAAGAAACGCAGGTCGAAGACATGGTTTCTCAGGTTGTCGAGCAACTCGGAAGTCTCGATGTGGTGGGTCCACGCTTGCGTGATACGTTGCTTGGAATGGCCATACTGAATATTATTGTTCTAGATGGTTGCCAATGCGGGCGTGCTTGTCGTTCAGCCCATCATGGAGGGTTTGTAGCACCTTTTGATAACGAGATTGCCACTGCTCACTTCACCCAGTGTCAGCGGCGGATTGGGACCGGGTGATGGCGGTTAATGTCCGCGGCACCATGTTGTGTTACAAATACGCTGCGAAACAGATGGTGAAGCAGGGACGAGGTGGCAGAATTATCGGTAGGGAAATTTCAGTTCGCTCTCCTGGCTATTTCACATATCAGCTATGCAGGTGCATCGTCCGTCGCTGGTAAAAAGGGTAAGAAATTGGAGCACACCACCGTGGATATTCACTTATGCTTTGTACAGGCTGGGCAGGAATATCTGCGTATTGTGCATCTAAATTCGCCATCAGAGGTCTCACTCAAAGCACAGGTTTGTCGACATGCGTCATATCGATTTGCAGCTGTCTGACTAGGATCTACAGCTGACGAACTGGCGAAGCACAACATCACAGTGAACACGTATGCACCGGGAATTATCAAGTCTTCGATGGGTACGTACCTATGAGTGTGCGCGATGGCAAGCCATACCAAATTTCACTTGCTTTTTGTTAGCACAAGCCTTGGGTGATGGACTAGAGGTGCGTGCTTACCAATGACGACTTGCGTTGTTTTTTCCTGAGGTCACATCAGGCATGCGGTATGCCAGCGGATCTGCCGTTGGCCGACCCCGAGGTGGTTGCTGCTGTGGTCTCCTTCCTTATCAGACCGGAGTCATATTTTATTACCGGTACGTCGCCTTGCTTTCATCAGACTGTATGACCATGTGGTTTTAAATTGCCATCAGGCCAATCCATATCACCGAACGGTGGAGCCGTCTTTGATTGAATGTGGCAGCCAGGCTCTTACTGCTCATATCGGAGGCGATCCGGAAAGGTAGTGACTTTCTGTACACGTTAGACGACTTCATTGTAGCCTCCGCCAAGGTGTATGTTATATAAATATCACCTTGTATTCGGAACCCAAATAATGTCGTCTCATGCTTGAGACGGAGCGCTGACACAGAGGATATCGCGAATATTGAGGGATTCGATGAGCAGGAATGTCCCCCGTGTGCGTGTATATCGAGCCCTTTCGCATCCTCGCGCCAGAACAAGGTGGAGCTAAATGTTCTCGCATCGCCACGCTCTACTGTGATCATCGGTCTTGAACGAGCTGGCTTCTGAGGTTCTAGGCGTGATACATCGGCGGAGATCATACTTGAAACGAAACGTACCGACTCGGAGATGCTGCGGGGGCACGCTGGGCCTCTTCCCGGGCCATCAATCAACTGAGTCCAGCGAGGACGACATTGCGTGAGTCGTGAATTCATCCCATTTGCTTATCAGCCGCCTCAACACAAAGGCCATGTATATGCTTGAAGGTTTGAAAGGCAGCTTCGCCTCCCATTCACGCAGGACTGGGTGCTGGGCCTTGAGAAATGTTGCAAATCGCCCACTTCTTCATTGATTTAAATAGATAGTTTCCTTATGCCGTCATTCAGGACAGCTGCACTAACAAAGCTTCATAATCAGTCTAGTATATTCATCATATTGCATTTATTCCTATGAACGCTCTGCGACGCGACTAAACCTAGCGCCTACCTTGAGCTTCCTCGCAAGGTGCCTGGGAATGATGTGATCTTTGATCGCCTTTTAGATACGGTACTCACACTGTCTTTGTGTAGGTTTGCCCCGACTACGGAACATTGAGCGTGGGCTCTAGTAAAGGATGTCTGACGAGTTGTGGTAGGGCGGGTATAGGTGATCACTGACGTCAGGAAAGCTTGAGGGCATTCTCAAGCGTTTAGATTGACAAGCACAGCATAAGTCCCTTTTTACCAGAAAGGACACGCAGGAGTGGGTACCCCATGGAAATTGAGACAATCACGCCCGAAAAATGCCCAGCCATGTCGAGACTCAGCAGACGTTCGTATCCGAGTAGAACGTCCGAGTGCGGCCTCGTACGTGTCGCATCTCCCCGCAAACCGCTGAACGCTTGTGTGATGACCCTTGCCAGACACAACTACAGAGTCGGCAGAGGGGTAGAGCTCACTTTATTTGCATGAAGCCATAACTCGCGGCCTGGTTTTAATTTCAGAGTGATAGAACCAGATGGTGTGACCTCCATGCGTTGGAAAATTCGGGTACTTAACGATTGCTAAAGAGCACCCATCTAATTCCCTCATAGATCACGCCCATACTGGGCGCAGCCCACTTCCTAACAGAGCGCGGGGGGCATCCGACCGGGTCGTCATAATCTACATCTGCATAGGTAGGAATGAGTACGGCACTCACTGTTGAGAGAAGAAACAAATGCCACGCACTAACCAGCGCCCGCAGTTCCCCTTTCCTTCTTCTCCCGCAGCGCCCGCTCAAACGCCTCAAATGCGTTTGTGATGGCCTCCCGTGGGGACTCTTGCTTTGGCTCTGCCTGGGCGGCCGCGTTCTTCGCCTTTCTGCGACGAATGCCTTCGGGCCACTCGCGCTCTGGAATTCCACGCTCGTCCAGAGCAGCACGAAGGGTATCGACGGCGCGCATGTAGTCCTCACGCGCGGCCTCGTATATATCGTACACGCAGACCGCACAGCCAGACATGCAGCATTCTAGCATTTATGACGTCAGGGTTGAATGCGGAGGGAGGGATAGCGGAACACGCACCGTCTGACTGGGGCTCCTTCGGCTTTTCGGGCACGACCAGACCATGGAAAGTCGGGGGTCCGATATTCAACGAGGCAGCCAAAGCATCCGCATGCTCAGCGTCTTCCGTCTGGTCGACTAGCGTGTTCCTGTGGGCTCCGTAGGCCTCTTTCCCGCGCAGCGAGCGCTCTAAGCGATGGCATCGCTCAGTGAGATTCTGCCCGCCGCGCCAGCGATCCTTTTGCCGCTGTATTCGTATCTGTGTTGGAAGAGAGTTGGGCAGCGGTGCCGTCGGTCCCGGTAGCACGTTAGAATCGAGGTTCGTGGGTGACTGAGTGAGCGAGGTCGGGGACAGCGGTTGATTTGTATAGCATCGACATTGTAGACATGATGCGCTGTTTATGTACTCAATGTATCGCGTGTTTCTTCTGGTGCCATACCGCTTTAGAACGTCGGCGCAAACGAGGAAAGAACGTGAGGGAAGCATTCACAGCGGACCATGTCGCGGTGGAATTCTTTGCGAAAGTAGGCGCCCGTTGAATTGGTGGGCGTATCTCGATCTCCATATATTCCCACGCCTCATTCACCATCGCCTCGCTCTCGCGCCAGTCTCCTTGCCTGAGACTTGCGCGTTGTCTCCGATGGCGTCCTCGTCCAGCACAGCATTCAAGACATTCTCGCTCACAAATGACGTGGTTGAAGTCTCGCCACAGGACGAGATCTACCGCTTCGATCCCGAGGCGAACCGCACGCTCAACCGCGAGCAGCCATGGGCGCGTGAGTGAGTGAAATGCCGGTGGCGATGGCTGCATACACGGGCAGGCCAGGTGTACAGCGGACGATGTGATGCTAACAAGGTCGCTATAGCCCTCACTACTTCAAAGTATGCAAGATTTCCGCCGTTGCATTGATCAAGATGGTACGCCTATCCTATCTTTGTCTCGAACCTCTATCCTGATATCTGCGCAGGTGATCCATGCACGCTCAGGTGTACCACACGAGATCATGGGGCTGATGCAAGGCAAAGTCATGGACCGAGCGCTTGTGATTGTTGACTCGTTCGCGTTGCCCGTGCAAGGAACAGAGACGCGCGTAAATGCCGCTAATGAGGCGAACGAGTATATGGTGCAGTACATTCAGGGCAGCGAGCGGGTGCGTCTCTCCTCCTTCTCTCATACCGCGCCACTCAAACCCATACATATAAATACGCACACAGGTCTCCCGGCAAGAGAACGCGGTCGGGTGGTATCACTCGCACCCGGGGTATGGCTGCTGGCTGTCCGGAATCGACGTGAACACGCAAATGACGAACCAGAAGTTCCAGGACCCGTTTGTCGCGGTTGTGATCGACCCAAACCGTACGATCTCCGCGGGGAAGGTCGACATCGGCGCGTTCCGTACCTACCCCGAGTCATACACACCGCCTGACGCAGGCTCGTCCGAGTACCAGTCGATCCCCCTCAACAAGATCGAGGACTTTGGTGTGCACGCAAACCAATACTACCCGCTCGAGGTACAAGTATTCAAGAGCAGTTTGGACTCGGAGCTACTTGGGCTGCTGTGGAACAAGTACTGGGTCAACACGCTCAGCCAGAGCGCACTGATTTCCGTAGGTCAATGTATGCTGCCTTTTTGTGGAGGCGCTGAGTCATCCTTTGCAGAACCGAGCATATGCGGCATCCCAGTTGGCTGATCTGGCACAGAAGTTGACCAAGGCGCAAACAGCCATCTCGAGCACGAAGGCACCAGCGCCTTCACTCAAAGACGACAAGCAGGCTAGGGTGTGCCACAGTTGTCAATTGTCATGCGATGATATACTCACTGTTTTTGATATACAGAAGGAAGAAAAGAAGAAAGAGGATCAGAATCAGCTACTGAAGAGTGTCCGGGATAGGTATGACATATTCTCAATGGCGCTGAAAGTCACTCATCCCGCCCGATGTCGTAGCGACAAGATCGCGTCGGAAGGGCAGCATGGCCTCATCGCTCAGGTGCTGAAGGACGTCATCTTCTCTATGCGTCCACAGGATGCTGCTCGAAGTGAGGTCTCGGAGATCATGGATACGACCATGGCCATCGGTTAAGCATCCAACATACACCGTGCCGAGGGGTCTGCAGTTCCGGGAGGGAGCGACGTTGTGTATATTAGTGCGTGCCTTGTCTTTGCTATTGACAAATTGTCAGATCACCAACAATGTATCATATGTCCGAACAACGTTCAAGGGTTTTACGTGCTTCATCGTGTCGTGCGTTTCATGGTGACGTGAATTTATTCGAACCTGTCTGGACCGTCTGGCTTGCACGAACGTTCTACTCGATAATCGAACATGGATGCTATATGCGCCGCCGCAGACTGACAGTCTAGTCCTGAACCCTTGTCATCACCGGAGTCCTTACACAGGATATTCACCTACGCTGTGGCGTGACAGTGGATCAGCCTCCAATACGACATGTGTATTATTAGCGACGTGTCAGTACATGGCACACAAGTACATAAGTCGCAGATGTAAGTAGCATTGATCTCCTAGAGCTTTAAATTGTAGGCAATACTCTTGTCTCTATTTCAGTAGCACTAGCCACAAGGCGTAACGAGGCACTTTTTGTCGACGTCGCTTGGACTGGATCGGATTATCTGTGAGTATGACGCGGACTATTGATGGTTGTGGAAGAGAGGGAACCATTGCCCTTCCCTGTGCGATGATTAATGTCAATTTGGCTTGTGCACAATACTTCGACGGCGTCAAGCATACAGGGCCACATCGGCTGACACCTTCTCCTCAAGCGCTAGTGCTTTATTCGTCCGCTTTGGACAGTTGGATGTACCGGTGATCCCGACGCGAGATATGGCAGAGCCGTTGCCTCAAGACGTGACGATCTTGTTCGATTCGTCAAACAGGGCACGGTCAATGGCTGCCAACGAGCAATCTGACTCTGCGTGGTCATGGCGAGTGACTGTGGTGCGCTCTAGACGAGACTGCTGGCTCGAACAGACGACACAGGACGGGGCAGACAGAGTTATCGGAGAGTAAGACATTGCGCCTCGCTTTGATCCCCTCCGAGTTGTCGAATGACGGTGAGTCACCAGTCTACCTTTATCTTTGCAGCCAGTGGCGAAGTTCAATCGGCGCCTGTTGTTAGGGTTGTGTGCACGAAGAGGGACCTTGAGCACCGCAGTTGTGTTCGTGACCAACGCGACTCCACTGAACGATGATGTTTTCGTACTGATAGACTCTGTTTTTATTGAGCGTTGAACGTAAGTTCATCACGGAACGCAGATATACAGAACCTTTAACGCTCTGTTTCACACTAGGTGCGCTACGAAAGATGATAGGACTGGCAGAGCAAGCACTCGAGGTGCTCGCAAGGCGCAATGCGTTACTGGCGCGATTCGAGGTACAAAAACCGACAAATGACGATGATGGTGCGGTATACGAAGGCCCGAGACCTAGTACATCTGCCGCACAGCAACAATCCGCCAACAGGCCTATCATCGCCCCCGAGGTGGTTACGCCATCGGATAAAAGCCAGGCGGCGTCCAGTAGTAACTCTTTTTCTCCTCGACCGTCAGAAACCCCTTCCCAGAGCGCCCCTCTGTAGTGGTTAAGACCACTACACGGCCATTGTACGTACAAGAGGATCTTTACTTACCAATGGCCATTCGTAGATAGCGATCTGTTTGTATCGCGAGCGTGCACGCGCGCCGCGCTGGTTCCTGTTACGGTAATATCCCTCTCCCGCTCTCCCCCTGTTTTAGATCACTATCTCCATATGCACAGGTACCCTACGGTCTCGATGTAGTTACCGGCTCGTCCATAAACCTGTTGTGCGTACGCTGTGTAGTCTCGTCGAATCAACGCCAGTATCGGCGCCCCTTTTGTTCGCGAATCCTCGCTTGTCTCTTCGCTCGCCCTTGACAGTTCGACGTCCGGATCCTTTCCGCTACGCGCTTCGCTCGACGTGCCCGTTACACCCTCCATCCGGATCTCCATCCCGTTCCGCACCATTCTCACCTTGTCCGTCTCCATCCCGGCACTCCTGGTCAATGGAGACAGACTAAAGCAATGTCAAGCAACCCATAATTTATACAGTGACGATAACTCCATGGTTTCACCACCGTAAATGGACTTCTATACCCCATCTATACAGCCGTCGCATACGTATTCTCAATCTGCCTTAAAATGGTGAGATTGTAGCATACTTAGATTGTTATTATCTTATGTCCACAGTAGTACGTCAACTACGAAGAGGATTGCGTAGATGATCATCGCACTTGGCATATGCAGGAAGTAGACCCAATAGACAATCATCGAGCCAAATCTGGATTTTGGGCTTGCCCTTCTAGCTGTTCTCAGACTAATTGCGACTGACACGAATTTGGTTATGTTGCCACGGTATACAACAGTATAGCTCAGGGCACGTACGGATCGCGGGTGGTAGCTATGCATCGATACTGGCGTGCATAGAAACGAAACTGGCATAGAAGAGTCTTCAGAACGCGAGCTGACATGGTCGCTCACCAGAACATACGGTAAATCTGAGTGTGTTTGTTTCTGACCTATTTTACTGTATGGATGGCCTAGAACTAAGATGAACGGCGCCGCAACGCCGCCCAAACCCAGGCGTCACTTGAGGGTGTGGATGAACACATTGGGATCCTACACGCGACAATCGTAGTATAAGGATATTAGGGTAGGGAAGCTAACAGGTAGTACCCTCCACGTATCTCACGTGCCTTGATGTCATCGTGGTGTCGATAATGGACAGGACATTTGCTTGCGCAATATCCGAGGTCGGGCATTCGTTCTCAAAACACTATTGTGGGCCCTGAGAAGCTCAAGAAACCAGTATCAGTTGTTGCTGTCTGCGATCTTCTTGACCACGGCGTCTACGTCGATCGGATCGAAGAGTCGGCAATGCAGTGGAGGCAGGTGCAAGACTCTACTTATTCCAGATAGCGCGAATTATGTGTTTGCCCTTCCTGCTGGGGTATAAATCTCAGCTTGGAATTCTCGAATCACAAGAGAAGTAAGCGCCAGAGGCGGAAAAGCTACTGTAAGTACCTGGGCAGATTTGCCAGGGCAGTCGGGTGCCAATGATGGTATGATCAATACAGTACCGGAATGGATGGAAGGGGCACCACAACGGCGATTACAGTCGTGGTAACCGCGATGAATAAGCTAATCGATTAGAGGGGTCGCAAGCCCGGCAAAGAACAAGATGAAAGTGACCTGGAAGAGCAATGGCACAATCGCAATCGCATCCTCGACTCCCCAGTTAATCAGACCACGGTGTCGGAAGCTCCAGATGCGGACGCTCTGCCGGGAGGTCTGCGGCCCCATCGGCATGGTGCTGTAGCCAATGCCAAGCCAATGGCTACATCATCATGCCAAGGGGGCATCCTGGCTGATAGCGAGGCAAACTGATGCGACTTCAAGGCTGAGGATGAGGGTAGATCTACACACTGGTATTGAATATTGAAGTCGACGACGGCGGGGGCCATGGAAGATGAGGTTGCGGACAGAGACATCGATTAATGAGCGACAGTCACGTGCCGTAACGTAATAGCACGTTACTTGATGGACAAATATAGACTACCGTATAAAATAATGGATACATATAGTCTGCATTGCTAACCATACACGGAAATGGGAGACAGTCGATCCATGTCTAGTATATGGGATACCTACGATTCAGTTACCGCGCGATTGAGCGCCCGGCCTTATTAGGACGGGCGCGCAAGGACGGTCGGAAGCTAAGTTGTACTCTTACCTCGGTACCCGCACGTCTCTAATATGGATAATATGGAGATTGGTGCAGCATACCTCTGGTTCGGGTGAGAAGTCTCACACCTTCAAGCAACCACCCTCACTCCACGCAACCCAATAACCCATGATAGTCTAAAGCCCACGATATGATACGTACGACCATGTATTATCCGGCACAAGTCGTCGCCCTCCGGCGGATATCAAGCTGGATTTAGAAAAACAGTAATGTACACGAGAAGGACTCAGGCATGACCTGCGCCCATCGAGCTGGCTCTGACCAGATCTGTCGACGGCACTGAAAATTCGCGCAGTCGGCGTGCAACGCCCCTTACTTCACGCCACACAGCCCAAGTGATACGCCAAGACAGAACGCCACAACAGCCGGTCACACGCGCACCCCGCCCCACTGCCCATCGCGCTACGATACGATACAATACAATACACTGTTCGAACACACCTGGAATAGCAGCGCTCTAAGCCAGCTCCACACCCCCCGGCGGCGCCAACCCCGCCTCGCCCCCCAGCACGAGCGTGTTCAGCACCGCGGCCAGGCGCACGCCCGCCATCGCCAGCAGCCGCTCGACGACCCACTCCGCGCGGATCTTCCCCGCGTACGCCGGCGTGTCCAGCTCGAGCAGGTCCGGGTGCGGCCGCGGGTGGCCCGCAAGCCCTTCCCCGCCGCCATCCGCATTCTCGCCGTGCGCGCACCCGTGCGGGGCCACGCCGTCTCCGTCTCCCGCGGCGGCAGAGAGGGAGAGCCCCGCGGGCCACACGGGCAGCGCGCAGTTCAGCTGGTGGATCTCGCGCGCCCACGCGTACGGACAGAGCGCGTCGGTGTCCCACCGCTCCTCATCATGCCCGCCGCGCCACACGCGCGCGAGCGCCCCCCAGGCCCACCCCCACAAGTCACGCTTGGCGGGCGCGAACTTGGGGCGGGACGCGCGGTGGCGCTTGCGGATGCCCGCGTTCCTCTTCAGAGACAGCGTGGGGTGCTGGGCGGTGAATGCTGATGCTGCGTCGGGCAGCCATTTCCCGCCCGCGTCGCTGTCGTCGGCGGGGCAGTCGAGCCATTCCTCGACGTCCGTGAAGCGCCCGGCCACGGCGTCGGTGCCGAAGCCTTCGTAGATGATCCTGCGGATGTACGGATCGTAGATCGCACCGCGCAGGTGCGCCTCGACGCCGCGCATGTCGGGCAGCGGCCAGGTATAGTTCGGGGGCACCGTGCGCAGCGCCTGTGCGATGAGCAGATTGTCCCACACGCTGTGCAGGTCTACGATCACGCAGATCGTTAATGTCGGAACGTATAGTGGAGAAGTGGAGTGCGATCACTCACTCGAGACGCGGCCATCATATGTCACCTTCGCACCATTGCCGCCGCGCTCCTTCCCTGTGAGATGAAGCGGCATATGCATGTCCCCCATGAAGTGCACGAGATATTTCAGCGCCTCCTCGCCCTCGTGCAGGCCCGCCTCGCCAGAGAGGAACGCGGCCACCTGGCCTGTCTTGTTGCTCACTGCCGCGAGCACATTGATGTTGTGCCGCCCGGCCCAGCCGTTAGGACCGGGGAAAGCGCAGGAGTCTGCAGGAGCATCGTCGACCGCACCGACGTAGTGCAGGGGAGCAGTCCAGCGGTATGCAGGACTGCCGCGCACGCGGTCGGCCCAGGCGGCGATAGGGGCGAGGTGGCAGGGCGGGTAAGCACTAGATGTCGAGGCCTTGTGAGAGGAGGAAGAGGGAGGATAGAGTATGTCGCAGAGGACCGGCAGCACGGAGGGATCGAGGTGAATTTGAGCAATTGTAGCGACTATCTCATGGCCAGCAGCGCCCCATGCCATCGCACTTGGCAAGGAGGCGAGACCCGCGAGAGTGCAGGCGAATGTCTGTAGCTTCATCTTGGTGTGCGGAGCGTAGGAGGTGAGAATCCGCGTCTGCCCAGGACCCAAGCGTTATGTAGGCTTGTGGTGGTGTTGCCGCGTTAACCAAACTGGTGTTTGCGAGGGCAACCTGGGATAGCAGAGAAACAAAGGCGGCGACAAGCGGTGGTCAGCCTGGCGAGAACCCAAGCAGAGCTGTGCAGGACAATTGTACTGCAAGCAGGACGCAGCAACGGACAGCGCCAGGAGAACAAAGACAAGTCATTTTAGGAACTCTCCGCGACCCTGGCGTCGCGGAGATACGTACACAACACAATAGACGCCCCGATCAGCGAATCGCGATCGACTGCTCGACCACGTGATCGTCTCGGATAACAACGGCGATTTAAGTTGCAGCAACAAGCGACTTTTACGTGAGCGAGGGGAAAATAACGGCGTACTTGGGAGCAACGTCGGTATCGTGGATGTAATACCCAAACCTGCGCGGTCTACAAGCGGGTTCAGCTCATAAGCAGTCACTGCCTACGCACTGAGTGTGTCTAAAAGTCTGACTCCGAGTCGTTACAAGCCTCACTGAAACGAAGTCAGCACGCATGAATCGTTTGAACATTCGCTAGCATTTACGGGTCATGTTCAAGTTCTTCTGACTATCATTTCACTCGCATATATTCATGTGAACAATGACACATCTAAAATTGAAGTCACAGCGAATACAGTGACTTCGAGTTGTTGACAGAGATCTGACTCTGGGAAAACCCTCAAGAGGGGGGAGAGGGAAAGGAAGAAGGAAACGCGCTGGATGGGATCATCGCTCGGTATAACTGTATGCATGGCACCGGTAAGGTTAATGACATCATAATAGTCCGTATAGGCATTGACATCGAAATTTGTGTCGCGCATGATGGGGCCGATCATGCCGGATGGAGGGAAACCCTTGTTATCATATTTCAGAATCTACCATTAATCATTCTCACACAGACGACGACAGCCACCCGCACCTTTATAAGGTTAGTTTCAGAAGTAAGGGTTGCGGGCAATGAGTAAGGGCGTCGCTGTGTGGATGTAAATCACCCAAACAGGCGGCGTGCTCGCAAGTTCCGCAAGCTCGGACGCTCGCGCCGTCAATTGTGTTGTATTTCATCTAATGAATCATGACAGGGGCGCTCGCCAACATGGGATGTATATATACCGTGCTACTATCACAAAGGCCGCAACGATTCAATGACAACTGTTGCATGGGTTACACGACACGATCGTTACTTGAACACAAAATGGCCTAGACGCTGACGTAGTAGTAAAGAACGGGTTGAATGCTTGCGTGCAATACCCGCTTCACACCAACGAGGTAAATTTGCTCGAAGGAGATACCACCGGCGCCGATCTTCAAGCTGCCTTGTATACCTGATTTTGACATGTCTGCTAATCGTGCCGGGGTGAAATGTCTTGAACCTGTGAAGGGCGAATTGAGGTCCCACAGGAAAACTTGCGACTGGACGTAATCAAAAATCCGAACATTCTGTCAAATATCAAAACCCACGGAGAATATGCAAGTTGTATGTTACAGATCTCTACGGCGTTGATTAGGCCTGATACAGCCGAAACTGTAACAATAGACACAATCTCAGGATTCAAAACCTAGCCAGTAATGGTATACTGAATGACCAGAAAAGACCACAGGCAGGCCACAAGCAGCCATGATTAAGGAGCCTCCAAGGCGTCGCGCTTTAGCCGTGACTTGCGCTAGCGTGGTCACGCACATCTCGATCTAAAGGGACCCACTGGGCCCACAGCTACAAGGGGGGCTGAGGTACGATGCGGGGCTCGCAAAGCATAATACTACCCGCTGAGGGGGAACAAAACCAATGTACCCTCTAAACAGAGGCCAGTAGTTCCGTGATGAGCAAGGGTCTGTCCTCGTGTGCACACAAAAGCTTTTGTGATGTATTAGAACATCGTTGCGACTGTACGCTAATGCGAAAAATATTTAGACGTCAAACTTGTCATCAGAAACAATGGCTTCAGCTGTACGCACCTCAAACCTCATCTTCTCCGAATGGGTCCCAATCTTCCTCGCGTCCCTGCCCAACCCACTGCGTGCCCATCTGCGGGTTGTGCACATCTCCTTCACGTGTATCTTCTTCTGCCAGGGCAACATCTCCAGCCTGCCCCGGCTCCAGTTCTGGCACCTCGCTCGCATCTTCGGCGAACAAGACATCGCCATCGAGCTCGTCCACCTCTTCCTCGCTACCGCTCATGTCTGCGAGCCCGCTTTGCGTCAGACGCTCCAGGCGACGCGAGGCACGCGCGACGCGACGTGCAAGCGCGGGATGTGCTGGTCCGGGTGTGATCACAGGCAACGCGGAGAACGCATGTGCTGATAGTGAGACGGCAAAGCCGCGTCGCGCCGAGTACGGCGATGCGGAGCTATATGCGGAGCGCGAGGCGCTAGACAGCTGGGGCAGCGTCGCGGGGCTTGAAGACGGCGGGGAGGACGGGGGTAAAGGTGATAATTCTCGTCTTCCAGCCACAGCTTCGGGTCGGATAGGCGAGCTGTCGAATGGATTCGACGTACGTGGTCTCGCAGGTGAATTCCCTCGTAGAGGTCGTAGCAATGCACTTTCGCGCTCGCCCTCACGCGCCAGGAACCGCGCGAAGGCATTACGTTCGTTCCACTTCCGTAGACGCTTCGTGTCACTCTCAACCTCATCCTCAAAGATCTCTGATTCTAGTACGTCATCGCCGTCGCCCCGGTCATGGGACAGTATCCGCGAATTCTTGGGCACGGTATGCGCGATGCGAATAGCGCCTCGCGCACTCCCCCGCCAGCGAAAGACGAAGGGCTGATTGCCCACACCCTTACGCGGCGGCACGCGCGCGGTGTTTATGGTAATATGGATCGAGATGCCGGGGAGGTGGTGCTGGATCAGGTGTGTCAGCACAATGCAGCAAGTCGGTCGCATTTGAAGACATACATATATGATGCCACGCGAGAGGTCAGGCCCATCTGGCCACACCTGTCGAACCGTGTAGTCATCTTCTGCCTCCCACCTCCACTCGATCTCGTCGCCATCGTCGTCGAAGCCGGGAACCTGCGTGTCTGCCTCTGCCATTCGTAGGCGACTTGAGCTGGGGCTGCCAAAGATATCCTCATCCGCCACCGGCTGGCGGTCGTCCGGGAACAGATCGGGGAACAGCTTTCGATCGCGTACGCTCGACAGGCGGACGCGTGTAGCCCCGACATATGGTTTCACGACGCCCGGCTTGTATCCGCTTCTGTATAGCGCGATGTCATGACGCACCTCGAAGACGTGACCAGCCCAGTCCTCCGGGACCTTCGTGGCCACTGCTGGTTTGGGTGGATTATCCATCCTTGCTTTGCCCTTGTCCTGCCTCCTGGGTATCAATCCTGGGCCCGGCGCACCCACAAGCATTGCGCGCATGTACGTTGACGGTGCGCTACGCAGTCGCTCGCTGCGTCTGTGGCGTGTGGGCATCGTGGTACCAGGCGGCTTCTCCCAGTGCGCGTCACACGCAAGTAGGAAGAGAATGAGTTTATGCAGGTGGCGGAACGTGTAGTTCGTCGGCACCTGCACGATGCGGTACACACCATCGAGATCCGCCGACGGCTCCTTCGTCTGCGCCTTCCCTTTGCCCTTCTTGTCCTCGTGAGCCAGCTGGAAGCGGAGCGGGAGGTGCTTCCCGAAGCCGGTTGCCCGTGGCAGCGTGAGCGCCGCCAAGGTGCGTTTGAGGCCAAACGGATTGGACGGTGAGTCGGATGGAATCGAATAGGCGTAAGGTGTGCTCGGAAAGTGAGAGCCGACATAAGGAGAAAGCGCAGAAATGCGAGGACGCGTAGGACTGCTTGTGCCAGGGTCGATACGAGCGCGCTTGCGGTTCGAGGGCGGGGTTATGGACACAGGAGTGTCGTAGATATCTCGTGCACGCTTGATCATCACGTGTGGCGTGTTGGGCGTATGAATAGTTTGGTTCGTGGTTATGGAAAATATGAGAGCTGAGCGGGAGGATAAAAAGACAACGCGTTGTTACGACAGAGGGCGGGGATATAAAGTTCAGGGCGCGCAATGTATTCAACAAGACACGATCATGTGACCGCGCGACGCATCTCCAGCCGCCGGCTCGATAACGCCAGCAGTTCAACGGCTTGCAAATATTGTCTATGTATATACACGAGCGCATTGGATAAGAAAATTGTTGCTACAATACACAACCAAGCATACACGGAGCTTCTAAAACATATTGGTACATTTACAGCGAGAGAGCGACCCTACGTAGTGCCAGCAACGAAAGGGACGACTGTACATTGACTTCAAGATAGGCTGAATCAAGCGAAAATAACGAGTTTCATATGCGCATTACGCATCCGGGATTTTAGTGCGCAGCGTAGCCGTCATGGCGTGATACTTCTCGTCGGTGTATGGAGGGTAGCGGTCGCTGAGCTTCGGCTCCAAACTATGGGTCATGTCAGGCAACTGCGACAACATGATGAAGGAGCACATACGCAAGCGGGATGTCCACATAGCTCCGCAAATGCGTGAACGCGTCGAAGGTGTACTTGCTGTTCCATGTGCCGTCTGCAACGTTCGTGAGTACAGGCGGAATGATACGCATGAGTGATCAGTACTCACGGCCAGAATCGCCCTGGCCTCCAAAAGGCATCTCATATACTGTGTGGTAGTCAGTACATGGAGCTTCAACAATGAATCAGGCAAGAACCTACCGGCTAGGTGAGTGACCGTGTCGTTCATACACAAGGTGCCGCTCCTGGTCAGCTCGAGCACTGTCGGAGACATGTTAAACAGCGAATGGCAGTCGGCCGGTCTACTCACGTTTCTCCTTGACGACCTCGTCACTGGTGAAAGCGTAGATGACAAGGGGGGCAGGCCTGTCACCGAGCTCAGAGGGTGGAAAGTACCAACCAAATAATGTGTACATACTGGGTGCCGATGAGATGAATGGCCTCTTCAAGATTGTCCACTGCGATAATAGGGAGAATGGGTCCAAATAGTTCGCTAGAGAATGTCAGCACACTGTTGCGGTAAACTGGAAACGATAAAGGCTCACTCTTCCATCAGAGCATCGTCCAACTTGACGTTCTTGACAATTGTAGGCGCTATTCTCTTGTCGCCATCGAAGTATCCGCCGATCACGACTTCGCCTTTGGTTCGGTTAAGCAAGCTTCTCAGTCGGGCGTGCTGCGCGGGGTTCACAATGTTCCCCCAGCGGGAACCCTCGTGGAACGGACCATTTGGCCAGAACGTCTTGTACATCTTCAGTAGCGCAGCTATGAAGGCATCCTGCTTGTTGCGTGGGACATACACATGGTCAGGTGAGACGCACAACTGAATCTCCATAAGTCTGAGCAGCACACATATCATTAGGGACAGACTCGCCTGGCCCGAGTTTTGTAGTTTGCCATAGAGCACCCTCTTCGCGGCGATCTCAATGTCCGCATCATCTGCAATGACTACGGGGGACTTTCCACCGAGCTCCAATGTAACAGGCGTAACATGCTTTGCTGCCGCCGCTGCGATAACACGTCCGGTCTTGCTGCTACCCGTGAACATGATATGGTCCCATCGGCGCTCAAGCAAGTGCGTCGTCTCTGGCACAGCGCCGTTCACGAATGCGTACGCGTGAGGGTCGAGGTACTTGGGAAACAGGTCGGCTAATAGCTGTGCCGTCGCGGGCGCAAGTTCCGATCCTTTCACCACACAGGTACAGCCAGCCGCGATGGCTCCCATGAACGGACCCAGAGTGAGAATGTATGGGTAATTCCATGGCCTAAAAGTGTGAACAGGGGTCGGACTGGCAGGCCGAAGGGAATGCAAGGAGGGGGACATACCCGATAACGAGCACAAGACCCTTGGGCACCCTGTACACGGTAGTATCCCAGTCACTCCGCCATGCCGCTACCTGGGGCTTTTCTGGCTTCGTCCACTCCTCGAGATGGTCCGCGTCATAAAGACAACAATTGAGGACATTCCCGAGCTCGGCGACCGCGGCCTCCTGTCGCGGCTTGCCCAGATCCTTGAAGACCGCGTCCTCGAGCGCCGTCGCGTTATCTTGCACGAGACGCGCAAGTTGGAGGAGCTGGTGCCGGCGGTAAGGCAATGGTTGAGTGGTGCCCGCCCTGAATGTCGTCAACAATCGCTCGTGGATCTGTATATCCCATCAGGATCAATAATCTTCAATTTGCCACTCGATCGAGCAAATGACGGATTGCGTACCTCGTCGATTTCAGCGGGGGTGTGGTAGGGCAGGGTGCTGCTGGGAGACATGCTGGAGGACGACGAGGTACCCATGTCGGCAGGAGTGTATTTGTATTGTATTATACCACAGTTGTCAGGATGTCAGCAATAAGACGCTAGCGGCGTGATGCGAAAGCCGCAATAAGAACGGTTTGCTGCTAAGGACGCGGGATGCCTGGCACTTCTCTATGATTTTATCCCTTCCGAGCAATTCTTCCCAGCAGGGGATGAGTAAGGCGAACACCGGATTGCCATGGAAGTTTGGGATCAAGGGAAAAATGATGGTGATATGTTTAGCCGGCTTGGCATAATTCAGGCGTGAAGAGCAGATGCCTTTCCGCGAACTGAGTCCGTCCGTTGAAGGGCGGAAAGTACTATGGTTGGACCTCTCTTTATATATGGGATTAGTGGTGATAATTCGGTCCAGCTCCCTCAATATATGACTGATAAGCCTCAGCCTTCTTAGACAACCTCTTCGCCACATTGGCTAGCCCGCCGTCTGGTTTGATTGTGGAAGCGAAGAACCATAGAATATGGCATGCGATATGCCTGCTTTTCGGCGTTTCCGAACTGAATAGTACTGCCGCAAAGGTAGATCGCTTGCTTGGAGAAAGGCGCGGACTGAAGGGCGTGATATCATGGCCCTTCGGAGGATATTTCGTTCATTTCCAGGAGATCCTTACGCTTGTTTTTCTGAATTTTATGAATGCGTATTTTGGGCGTTACGTATGTTCCATCACCAATCTCATCCATCATTGATGGCTGCATTCAACGTCGCTGCATTCGTCGCACCGGTTGCCGTTTCGATCTATCCATCAGCTCGGGGGCAAGGATGCTGACGCGAGCTACCCGATAAAAAACACTGAGCGCCCACACGTGTCCTTTTTCTTTCACCGAGACTTAACCTAATACCAACCTAACCGAACATAGCCAAATTCCCAAATTCTAACTGAACATAACCGCAACTTAACCACAACCCAATAGCAAATGTTTGAAAAATGATTTCGAAGTTGAAGAAGATTAGAAATCGCAGAAGTAATCATGAGGATCAGAATCTCCATCTAGGGTATTGCGGAACTGTTCGGGGACATTGCAGAATCATTATATGGTCCATGTGCGCAATCTGGAAGATCATCAGATTAGATCAGTTTCGTTGGGTCAATTACATTTACAACCATCAGTGGCAGAATTCATAAACACTGGTCCTCATGCATCGGTAGACATCACTGTGTAGTTTAGACCAAGGGGTAGGCGTATCGTTGATTTTTCACTCCAACCCTCGTTAGTTAAGTACCGGACCCCGGTCACCGATTGTATGGGGCCTCCTCCTTATCTCTGATTATATCGTGCCCACAGTACACTGCCTAATGGTAAACCGCCTCACTGACTTGCGCGCGGGTCCTCCTACTGAGTTCGAGACCGCTCGCTCACGTCCCCCCTTCAACACCTCATGCTGGACCTCAATATCGTCACTGCCCAGGATATTGTTTTCCTCCCTCCGCACCGTTGTCGGCTCATCCTCTGCTTTCGAGATATGCATGTCCACGATGAGTTGAGGAGGAATTGCTGGCATCGTCTCGTCCACTGCGTGCTCAAATCCATCTATTCATATTCCAGAATACATGAGTCACGCTGAAGTCGCGGACTTCGCAGTATAGTATAGTACGAGCCTAGGGAGAGATCAGACCAGATCGCGAACAAGACATGCGCGCGCAGGAGGAGACAAGCGCCCAAGAGCTGCACTTACTATTCCTCACCCGCAAAGCACTGTCTATCGAATCGACATTGTAGATGCACAGAGACTAAATATATATCGAGTACATAACACTACGAACTTCCAGAAGCTCAATTCGAGAACATGTGCTTGTGAGAAGTTGTTTACGGAAATCAGGCTGGATAGTGAATTTTGGGACCCCGGTCACCGGTTGTAGCACTACTACCACTAGGGTTGATATTGGAAATCAACGATACGCCTACCCTTGGTTTATCCTATCCCTAGACGAGATAGATGGGAAGATAGAGAAGGAAAATCCACATAAAACTGTCCGTTCCAATGGTCTTCAGATGTGAGCATGTTGAACAATATGCTGAAGCCTCACGAAGAGGGGTCCAGCCATGGTAGTCGTCCCACAGAGTCGCGGGCGAGAGCACAAGGGCTGTAATTAACGAGATAGTATGCGGATCCATGGCAAATCCACAGAACAAAACGATAAGTCATTATAAAGACCTTGAACGAGCTAAATTTGCGATGCGTTGAACGACTCGAGACGGGAAGGAGGATACTGCGAAAAGAAGTAGCTTCGCCAATGCCAATGTTATGTCGCTTAATAGAAGAGCCTCTTACAACTGTTGGAAACATTCACAGAGGGGAGCAAAGTCGACACAAGACTTCTCGCAGTAGGGAAAGCAGAGGCATCAAGTATATAGTCGTATTTTCAATACTGACAGAAGCACAGGCCCGCTTCATCGTAGTTCCGAAGCTCTTAGCATGGGAGTGTGGTTCACTCTTGTCCAACCTTATAAGACGAAACATTGCACGATAGAACATTGTCGGCAAGCTTGTCAGCAGAAGTGAATTTCGTAGCACGCAGTACGCACCTGGATCTCACACATGTTCAACTAAAATGCATGCTCGTGCAGTTCTGTCTCGAAGCCGGTTCTCGTCGGAGGTTCGAGATGAGAACGCACAAGATAATAGCAAAAGACAGATGACGCTATGCAAACACATTTAGAACAGAGACAACTAGGGTCATGCAGACCGTAGGGCATTTCCTCTACGCTCGTCGTTAGCCTGCGCGTCTGACACCAGCAACACCGCACGCACCTGTTCATCATCGCATACTTGTGCACCTCCTCCTTCTTCTTGTATGCCGCACTGACCTCGTCCAGTTTTACACCCGGCTTGCCCATCGCTTCCACGATTGCGACGAGCTCCTTCGCGAGCCGCTCCTCCACGTCCTTCCCGGCCCGCGAGTCGCATGCTTTGAGGATCCACTCTATCGCGATTCGTGTCCGCTGCTTCTCGCTCAGTGCTATGGGGTACACGACCGTCTTCCCGGCATGCTTGTTGCTGATGCAGCGCACCGCCGGCGCAATGTTTTCGATCGCCTTGCGTAGGATCGGCAGGGGCGGTGCACGCGTGAGCGTATGAATGTGGAGGAGCGTGCGCGCAGTGATGCGTGCGGCCTTTTGGCGGTGTCCGTAGCTCTGGAGACAGGATGTGAGGTAGTGCAGCAGTGGGTCCTCTGCCGGCGGGATGTTGATGACAGCGGGCTGCGTCGAGGCAGGATGTCGAGCTGCGGATGGTGGCGAAGATAGACTTGATGCAGCGTTGAAGCCTGCTATTGAGTCTATGACTGAATAAATTTCGCCTTCGGTTGCACTGCTCCCCGCCGCGCCCGCTGTTGTCGCCAGTCGCCGTCTTGCTGCTGGCAGGGTTCGGAGCGCAGCATGTCGTGCACTGGAGAACATGTCGCCTCAAGAATCTGTCAGAACGAAAGTAGATAACCCGTCGCAGACAATACACACCGTCGTTGCCGAACTCGGTATGAAAGTTCGAATCCGACGAGAGGTTAAGCAGGAGATGGGTGTGACTCAATGTGACCATAAGACATGTAGCAGTGGGTTACACCGTCACGCTCGGACAAAAGCAAGATACCCTCTCATGACAAACTTACAGCGAATAGATGTTCGTATAGAATAGCTTCGAGTCCGTAGAGAGAGAATAATCAAACACAGCATAAAACCACAAAATCAACGTGGCGAATGGCTCCCGCTCCGCAAGCCTTGTCGCCGCCGCTCGTCCAAGCGCAAATGAGTCCGTTCATCCACACCCTCTAGCTCATCGTCTTCCCCGACCTCAGGCAACCGCGAGAGGCCCATACTGTCTGTGATCTCGTCGTCGTCGTCGTCATATGCGTTGAAGAGCACGGGGTTCGTCCGTACGTTTGCTGACCCGCGCCGCACGTGCCCTGGCGTGTGTGGTACGCCCCCAAGCGGCGTACCCGCAGTGCCATTCCAACCATCGATCGACATGCGCCCCTGGATGCTCAGCCGTGGGTTCATTATCCCACTCTCGAGCGCGGAGTGGTGTCCGTTCGCGGTGGTGGGGAGCGCCTCGGGCTTCCGCGAGATCTCGAGGAGATGCACGCCGAGGAAGGTCGTGATGAAGCCCGCGAGCAGCGAAATTGAGTTGGCAGGGTCATCCGTATTGAAGCCTTGGAACATGATTACTGACGCTACAATAGTGGCGGTGGAGAAGCCGACATAGTACATGGGGTTGACGCTGTGGGAGTCACGATGTGAGCGCACTGTATGCCTACACGGGTCATGTGGACCTACACGTTGGTTGAGAACGTATCGAGCGCCTTGTTGAAGTAATTCATTTGCACAAGGATGCAACCAGCTACTACAATCCCAAACACGTATGTGCTTGGGTGCGTGAACTGGTTGTTCCCGGCGAATGTGAGCTTCACCGCAATCCCAAACCCCTTGATCGCCATTACCGACACGGAGCCCACTAAGGAGCAAATAGAGATATAGACCAGAGGATTTGAGCGGCCATACTTCGGCACTACTGCGTAGATCATGACTGTGCTGAAGACGAGTACAGTGAAGCAGTATAGCATGAAGCCTGCGCATTCATGTAAACTTTCATGATTCAATGTAAATGGATACATTTGACGTACCAGGCTGGACTGCGAAGTGGAGAATTTCATCGACAGTCTCAATTGGCTTGTCTTCTGGTGCATGCAATACGATGATCAGGGAGCCGAGTAGACATAGGGTGCAACCAACACGTCCCAGGTGACCGAGTTCTTCGTTCAACAAGAAAGACGCGAGAATAGCTCTGTAGACAAGAGTGAATCGCAGTAATATTAGATCAGTGCAGCATGATACACACCCAATGATCACGCTAAGTGCTCCAAGTGGGGTTACCAGGATTGGTGGGGCGAAGGTGTAGGCGGCAAAATTGGCAACTGAGCAGTGGCTAGCTGTCAGACCATGCGTACAGACAAACAGCAACACATACTTTCCCCCAAGACCACTGAGCGTTATCGAGTCGGTCAATAGACTACGTGCAGCCAGTCATCGATGTGCTCACATGTTGATATTCCAGCCCACCATATGGGGCTTTTGAAGTACGAATAGCTATCTGAGGCTTGCGCATACGTTGACCGATTTGCGGCGTCGTTCAGACCCTGGAGATGAGGGTTGAGTCGCGCTGTGTGCACGCAGCGTGTGCGTGAGTCCGCGGTGACCCTACCTTTTTCGTGATGATAAAGCTCGTCCCGATTGCCAGAGAACTAGACACGGCGAGCGCAAGTCCAATATACTTGTCGTCAACCATGGAGTATTCTCTTCGTCAGGAGTCGTCCCGATGTAGTCAAGACTCCGTCTAGGAGGGTATGCTGAAGCGAGTGGAAGGACCGTGGGTAGTGGTCGAGGTGGGTGTACTCCGGTCGGCGCTGGGAGATATGTACGAGACCGTCTGCTCCAGCGCTGCGGTCCTATGAACCAGCGTCGGGACACGAGAAATCGCGTCTGTCTGAATGCGGGATGGAGGAGAATGGGCGACCGTCACCGCAGCGAGGAACTGCAGTGCATGTCTGGCTAAGCGCCAGTGACCAATGTTACATCCATTATGATTCGTCACGCGGTCACGCATACAATGTTATCAAGAGCGACTTAAATCTGCTGTGTCACAATAATCAACGTGACTACTTCGATTGCGGTCTTCCGCAAGTCTTTCGACTTGGTTATTCGCCGGACGTGCATGTTTCTGACTGGTTTACGTGTGTTTCATCGCGCCGGCATATACAGAACTTGCCCCCAAAGGCAGACACGCAAGAGCTATAGCAATATGTCGCCGGCCACCCAGACGGTCAACACTACGCAACGACTGCAGAATCTCAGACAGCTGATGTCGAGACCGGAATACAATGTTGAAGCTGTCGTTGTACCTAGCGAAGACCAGCGCAAGTACCTCTTCACGCTCATTTTTATGTTTGGAGAATTACAACTGCTTGCGGCAATGCCACATAGACTATAGCGAATACATCGCGAAGTGCGATGAACGGCGTGCATTCATCTCTGGGTTTGATGGCTCTGCAGGTACTATAGCATTTGCAGATGTACTGTCTAGCCCGGATGCTGAAGTCATGATGTACATAGGATGTGCCATAGTGACTTTGAATGACGCATTCCTGTTCACGGATGGACGATACTTCCTCCAAGCGGAAAAGCAGCTTGACCAGTGCGTCGAACCCCCTTGTCGAGTATTGACAGCGAGATACACAACGCCAACAGGAATTGGAAGCTGATGAAGCAAGGTCTCCCGGGTAAGATTTAGTGAACGATATACGTTCATCCGCCCCTTCTGAAGTTGTCAAAGAGGTCCCTAGTTGGCAAGATTTCCTCTCAAAGGTTAGCGACAATCTGCTATAGTGTATTGCCCAATTCAACACACCGCCGCTCAGAATCTGGACAGGAACGCGCGAATCGGAATTGATCCCTCGCTGATCACAGCAGGTAGCTGTCAGCCCCGACACAGTCGTGTCGCGTCCCTGAATAGCTGCCCCTAGCCGATGCCGACGCAATCAAGAACGCACTCAAGCTGCGCGACTCAGAACTTGTCTCGCTTGACCGGAATCTCGTGGATTCTGTGTGGGCGGACCGTCCTCCGCGTCCCACCAACAAGGTATTTCCTCTTGACGTTAGATATGCTGGTGCGTCCTGCTCGAAATGTGTGGGCTTCCTTGTTCCTATGCAATTTCTCAAATCTAGGCGAATCGCATGTGGAGAAAATCGCGAGGCTGCGTGCGGGTCTCATAGAAAAGAACCAGCGTGCTATGGTCGTTAACATGCTCGATGAGGTGGCGTGGCTATTCAACTTGCGCGGCTCCGACATCGACTTCAACCCTGGTCTGCATGTCTTCTCTCGCGTTCGCGCTAGACGCCTGATTCCGAAACTTAGTGTTCTTTGCGTACGCCATCGTGACATTGGACAAGACCCTGCTCTTCGTCAATCCACAGCAGGTTGATGACACCATCCACACCCATCTGGGAGAAGAGGTCGAATTCCATCCCTATGACTATTTCTTCACGTACTTGAAAGAACTTGGTGCTGAAGTTGGGCTTCATAAAGAAGCTGTGAGAAACGGAAATGATTCTGGTTCATATATCCGCTTATCCGTCGAACAGCAGGTGTTGGTCGGGGACAAGGCTAGCTTGGCTATCGTAGAAGCTATCGGAGTTGTGCGTGATCTTTTATGTCCACATGCATCGTGGAGTCACTGCGGGGGGCGCTTTCGGCTGATGCTAGATGTCGTGCGATATCATCAAGGACCACATAGTGATCTCCCGCTCCCCGATCGCTGACTTCAAGTCAGTCAAAAACGAGACAGAGATTGAAGGTAAGAAAGAAGCCTTGCATTCGCTATAGTGTAAGGCTTATAAGACTACTGCACGCAGGATTCAGGCAGTGCCATATCCGCGACGGTGCAGCGCTCGTGCGGTATTTTGCGTGGCTAGAAGAAAAGCTAGAAGCTGGCGTGCAGCTGTCGGAAAGCCAGGCTGCTGATCAGCTTGAGAAATTCCGCTCGTAAGTGATGCTTGCATTTTACTCCTCATGTTGATTCGTAATTTGGATATTTGTATAGAGAACTTGATTTGTTCCGCGGTTTGTCCTTCACAACGATATCCTCGACCGGGCCGAACGGCGGTACGTCTCGCGACGGTTGCTCGTCTTGGACTTCGCGCTCACTATGTTTACTGCAGCCATTATTCATTACTCGCCCGACCCCAATGACTGTGCCATCGTTCGCAAAGACCAGGTGAAATACATAGTATGCTTTGAGGCGTTTGCTCAAGTTCTGCGGATAGATCTACCTCTGCGACTCCGGCGGGCAATATCTAGACGGCACGACCGACGTCACACGTACTCTGGTGGGTACACCCGTTGTCTTCACGAGTATGCAGGCTTGAGTCTAGATTGCTAGCACTTCGGCATTCCTACGGCAGAAGAACGGCGTGCGTTCACACGTGTCTTACAAGGCCATATTGCGATTGACTCTGCGGTCTTCCCCAACGGTACTTCTGGTGCGTATTCACTGTCGTTCCCCACCCCTGTCGAACTTAACGCGAAGTGTCGCAGGGTACATCATGTAGGTCGACTCCTGTGCACATGTAGTGTATGTACTAAGGGGATATGTTGTAGCGACTCCTTCGCGCGGAGGCCATTATGGGAAGACGGGCTAGGTAAAAACATTTCCCCGTCCTAACACCGCAACTCCGCCATACTCACCGAAACACGCTCTAGACTACCGGTGAAAATAGAAGTCTGTCTCAATCACATCGCAACCACTCATCTTCCTTTCTATGCGTCCCAGTCATGGCACAGGTCATGGCGTCGGTATGTTCTTCGTCATGCTACTACATACTCCTCAGCTGACTTCGCAATTCTTGGCTAGGGCATTTCTTGAATGTTCACGAAGGTAATCTCTTGGCTGAGTCACTCACAGAGAAGGCTCGGTTGGACTGATATTCAGACGGCAGGTCCGCACGGTATTGGTGTCCGCATCAGTACGTCTTCTTAACATAGACCGTTCCGAAGAAGCCGCTGACGTGCCTGGGTCCAGTCTATAACAATACACCTTTGAAGCCCGGCATGACGGTGTCTAATGGTGAGTGGAGCAGGTACTTCCGAGGGTGCTGCCCTCATTCATTCCTTTGTATAGAGCCCGGCTATTACGCGGACGGTCGGTTTGGAATCCGCATCGAGAATGTCGTTGTTGTGCGTAACGCCGATACACCGAACAACTTCGGGGACAAGGGCTATCTCAAGTTTGAGCACGTCACTTTGGTATGTCTTATGCAAGGCGGATACACTTGGCGAGGTCACACCTTTTACAAACTGCTTCCAGTGCCCTATTCAGAAGAAGCTCGTGGATGCTGCCTTGCTTAGCGAGCGAGAACGAGCGTGGTTGAACGCTTACCATGCGGAGATTTTAGGCAAGGTCTCCCCTCTGCTACAGGATGACCGGCGTGCACTCAGCTGGCTCGAGCGTGAGTGTTCTCCATTGGTACAGTAGTATTACACATGCGCCAGACTAGGGTCCAGATACCCCATGATCATGCCCAAGTTGTCTGAGGTAATGCGACGTTATGCACTTGGTCCGGGACTGGTGTGCTTCTGCTTCCGATGATAACACCGCTGCAGACGACCCGCGCGCGAAGACCAGCGACGAGGGCCTCCTTGAGACGATCGGCGATGCACTTATGCGTTGCAGGCATGAGCCCGTCCAATTGTAGTTGGAAGTGGAAGTGAAACGTTACGGATAGAAGCGGGCGTGTTTTGCAGAGTTCAGCGAGGATCTCGTCCAGACGTGCCCAGTCGATGAAATTTAGGTCAAAGTCTGGGGCGCGGAACAGGCTGAATTGCAGCTTGATCTCGCGCAGGAAGGGGGACGTGATTCGCGAGAGGCACCCGGGCACGGAAGGATACCAGACATCACGCCGTCCCGGGGCGTTCTGTAAGCCAATGTCGAGGTGCGCCAGTCGTACGTTATTTGAGAGGTCTAGTTCGGCTAGGACTATAAGGAGGCGAAACGTAAGATTAACGTACAGAGTATGAGGTCACGCGCGCGCTTACAGTCTTCATCCCACAACGTAAGCCGCAGGTGCTCGAGTGATTCTTCAGCCTTTCGGAGCAATTCCATGAGGATTGGACGCTGGGGGTACTTTCCGCTTGAGTCCCACTCAAACCGCCGTAGCCGCAGGTCGAACGGCGGCCTTAGCAGCCAGTCCAGCACGACTGTAGGGCCGTACAGATATGACATGCTGAGCTGCTCGATGCGGATCTTACACTGTCCTTGCTCGAGCTCGAGCTCGGGAGGGGGTGGGTGGCTTGGAGAGGGCGAGTGATCGCCCCACCACACGAGGTACGACATCTCAAGGGTTATGAGCTGCGGGAAGGACGTGATCGTCTGCAGGAGCGCGTCTGCGGTAGCGAACATGAGTGAGGAGAGGTGCAGCTCCTTGAGGTTCGGCGAGAAGCACAGGATGCAGTCCTTCGTGCTTTCATTGGCGGCAAGGAGCTCCCAGTCGACGTGCTCGAGGCGAAGGCAGTTCACATGACAGAGCTTTGGGAGCAGCTTGGGCATCCAGTAGCAGAGCCAGCGACTGCCGCCTTCCGCGGGCTCGCCACCGGCGTCGACGAACTCAGAGGGCGGCGTGATGATGCTGAGGTCGCGGATACAATCGGCGATGGCAGTGGGCGCGGTGCCAGACGCGTTCAGCGCCTGGTGGAGGCGCGCGCAATCGTGAGGTCCCTTGAGCTTTACCGCCTCAAAGAGATGCAGGCGCGTCGTGGGGACCCATCCACGGCATGTCAGACTGCATGCGATGAGAGCGTGGGGGTCGTCCCAGAGATAGTCAATAACATGGTCGCACAGCTCGGGAGGCAGCTCTCTGGGGGACATCTGCAAGGACTACTGTCAATGAAGAGGGTTTCTGCTGGAGTTGCCTCCTACTCACCGTAGTTTCAACGGACGAGAACATAGTGCAAGCACTAAGACGCGAAGTCTAGAATTTAATGAGACGCTGCAGCCTTGGTACTGAGCAAATGGGGAGAGGGAAGACGTATGTAATGTAAGACAAGCGTGATCCATGGACCACGGAAGCTATTTATGACAGGTCGCCACTCGGCATAGATGTCTGTGAGAGATGTGAGGGTATCCATCTGAGTCCATCAGCCTGCGCATACAATACGGCACGGCAACTACCGACCCATGCGAAAAGCGAGAACTCGAGAAGTGACGGAATTCGAAGCAAATAGCATTCAATTGAATGATTCAGAGTATCCATCCAATGCGCGATCTTCTAGCTACTTACCATAACGCCGTTCGTGATCGTTCGACGCTTGCTGAACTTGCGCTCTTTCTCCGCCGACTGCATCTCAGGTGCAAGTACTTCCCGTCGACGACTCGAAACAGGAGATTCTCCGTCCGAGATGCTGTGCGTCGACCTCTGTTCTTCTACCAGGCTCACTGTGGCATTGAAACCTAAGGCGAATTTCTCGAAGATGGAATGCTCACCGCCGATCTACAAAGTGAATTTACTAGGCCATTGCAGGATATACGCCTGAAATACTGTGAAGACCCCTTTTGATTCCTTGAAGGATCACTAGTTGCAATAAAATGCGCCACTAGGCGTACACCATGCATCTCAAGTGATGCTTGATGCTTACTTACTTGGGCGAATATACAGGAAAGTGACCGATTTCTAAGTAAAGGTAAGCTGGGGCTTATCAAACAGGTTTGTGTGGGAAGTCCAGAAAATAAGAGACTGTACTAATCCCCGATAGACATTATTATTGCATTACATACAAGTTACTGTGAAAAAAATTTGATGCTCATAAATACATGCCCGCGCGTACAAATTAGTGTGCGTCGATGGATGTGAAATTCCCTTTTATTTATTTACTCGTTTTACCCTGGTCGGTGATTTCCATATGCTACAGCAAAACCAATATTGATAGACCTCCCCTCGCAAAGTATACACATCAGCAAAGTGGGGCAGAAGCTCGCGGCAGGGGTCGGCAGTGGTGCAGATACGTCGACGAGCGGCCGATGGGCTACTGAGGATCGTGAGGTAGACGCTCGGTGTAATCCTCTCGTCCTCTCGCCGTCATTGTTAGGATGGGCGATATATCCATCCTCAGAAAGAATTTGGTGTATAATACATGTCTGACTCCATGACTAATGGCCAGATTAAGGAAGCTACTGGTATCGCAGGGTTTGTCGCTGTCTACCTTTATTTGCAGAAGTAGAGAGCGACGATGTAGACCTCGACCCATAGACGAATATCGAGACATCGGCGTGGGTTACGACTATTTATGGCTGCCGTGAACAACACTGAGATCTCTGGGGGATGAGGGTACGTCACCCCCGAGGTGCCGAGCACCGCTATGCTCCATGCGGCCTATCTGTACTTTTTGCGAGGGAGGTCTATCAATATTGGTTTTGCTGTATTGTAAGTGTCGCGCAGCTTTCCCTGATGCGACTTGATGCGTCTCTTTCGCATCATTCAAAATAAGTATCCCTGTGAGAGTAAATTCTTGCGACAGATCTGCCTTCCCTCTCTCGGGACACCAGCTGACATGTGGGGTTTAAACTTTTGCATGAGAAAATGAGGATGTCGCTTGCAAGATCTTGTCGAAGACTTCTATTTGAGCACTATTCGCCTGCAGAGCGATATTTTAGTGTTGCCGTAGGACGTTGTAGCAAGAATGCCCACTTTCGATAGTGAAATCAAGCGCCGATTACCGCCGACTGTCTCCGGATATTGCCGGCTAGCAGAGAATTTGCCCGTCATCATTTCAAGGTCACTTGTGGCGTTGATACCTGAGCATTGACTTCACGCATCATGCTGCTCAACTCAGGAATCTTTCACAGATCTCATTGGCACAACTTGACGTATACTCACGATGCACCTGCATATGTCCTCAAGCATACACAGCCATCATTTCCCGCTCTGATAGCATAGGCTGCTGTGCCCACGTCGCTCCATATGATTCCGAGTTGACAGGCTCCTCGAACTGTACTTGGCGGAGGTTCAATTCATTGCACGGCAGGTCATGTGGTATCATTTGACGATCAGAGACTCCGCGCGATAGCATAGATTTCAGCTATCTCTTCTGTGATGCAACAACCGCGAATGGTAAGGTCCACGCCAGAACGCGCCGCACACTTATGGACTAATTATCGACCGAGCGATAGTCATGTCTTCTGCAGTTTCATTGGCGCGCCCTCGCGTGCAAAACGGGATATTTGAGAATGTCACAGTGACCTTTGCCCTCTGCCATCCCGATCTCACCGGACTGGCGCCACACATACATGTCAGTGCCTCGTACACTTAAAATGCAGTATTTTAGCTGACAGTGTATTATGGAGTCTAGCTGGTCAAGATGGTCATGTAGAGCCTTTGCAGCGCCGGACAGATATCGGAGCTTGATAGAATGCTTCATTGATACGAGCGGCGAGAAAATGTTTTCATGAGATACTGGAACAAATGAAGAAGATCGCCGGTTCTCGATTGGGCGTCTACCTTTAGCGTCTTGGCTACAGAACAAATCTGTCCAATCAATATTTAAGTGTCCTCTGAGTCCGAGGCTGGGAAGCATCACCGCGAATCGAGTAGAAGACCGCCCGACGAGAATAGCCCCTCCAGCTATATAAGCCACCCGTACGGTCGCACTTCAATGCCGCCGTCCGATTCCTCCCTCTGCCACCCCTCCGTATCATCACTCTCATCATGGCGATTGTATCCAGAGTAGCCATCGTTACAGGCGCAGCACAGGGTATCGGCCTCAGCATCGCTCTCCGCTTGGCCGACGATGGCCTCGATGTTGCCGTGAATGACACAGCGTCTAAGAGCGAACAACTAGAGGATGCCGTATCTCGGATCCGAGCCAAGGGTCGACGAGCGATCGCCGTTTTGGCGGATGTAACGCAAGAAACGCAGGTCGAAGACATGGTTTCTCAGGTTGTCGAGCAACTGGGCAGTCTCGATGTGGCGAGTCTACTTTTGCGTGATACGTTGCTTGGGATGGTCGTACTGAATCTTGTCAATTAATGTTCTAGATGGTCGCCAATGCGGGCGTCCTAGTTGTCCAGCCCTTGATGGAAGGTCAGTAGCATCTTATTCAATGATGAAATTGCCATTACTCATTTTCCCCAGCATCAGCAGAGGATTGGGACCGGGTGATGGCGGTAAATGTCCGCGGCATCATGCTCTGTTACAAATACGCGGCGACACAGATGGTGAAGCAGGGACGAGGCGGCAGAATTATCGGTAGGATATCTCAGCTCGCACTCCTGGCTATCTCACATGTCAGCTATACAGGCGCGTCGTCCGTCGCTGGCAAAAAGGGTATGCAATTGGAGCACACCACCGGGGACGTTCACTTATGATCCGTACAGGTTGGGCAGGATTATCTGCGTATTGTTCATCTAAATTTGCCATACGAGGTCTTACTCAAAGCGCAGGTTTGTCGTCATGCGTCATATCGGTTTAAAGCCGTCTAACTAGGAGGTTTCAGCTGAAGAACTGGCGAAGTACAAGATCACAGTGAACACGTATGCGCCCGGAATCATCAGGTCTTCGATGGGTACGTGCTCATGAGTATACGCAATGGCAAGCCATACCAAGTTCTACTTGCCCCTTGTTAGCAAAAACCTTGGCTCTTGGACTGGAGGTGCGTCCTTATCGATTTTTACTGCGATGTTTTGTCCTGAGGTCGCATCAGGAATGCTGTATGCCGGCGGATCTGCCGTTGGCTGAGCCCGAGGTGGTTGCTGCTGTGGTCTCCTTCCTCATCAAACCCGAGTCATATTTCATTACCGGTACGTCGCCTTACCTGTATTGACTCTACAAATATGGGGTATTGACTTGCCCTCAGGCCAATCCATATCGCCGAACGGCGGAGCCATTTTTGATTGAATGTTGCGATGCACCCGGCCTTTGCTATTCATATTGGACGCGATTCGGTAACGTAGTGACTTTTTGTACATGTTAGACGGCTTCATCGTATCTCCTGCTAAGGAGTATGCTATCTAAACCTCACCTAGTTTTTGTAGATCAAATAACAATGTCTTATATACTAGGACCTCCTCGCTTGTACCGCAACAGTCATGGCTTGAGACGGAGCGCGGACACATCAGATACTGCGAATATCAAAGCGTTCGGTGAGCAGGAATGTACCCTATGAGCGCGTATCGAGCCCTTTCGCATTATCGTGTCAGAACAAGGTAAAGCTGAACGCTCTCGCATTGCCACACTACTGTGATCATCTGTCTAAAACGAACTTGCTTCTGAGGTTCTAGACGCGATATATCAGCGGAAGCCATAGAGCGAATAGTTCCGAGATGCTGCGGGCGCATGCATCGCACCCTCGGCGATCAATCAATCTCATCCGGCGAGGGCGACATTGTGTGAGTCGTGAATTCATCTCATTCGCTTATCGTATAAGCTTCACATGCTGATTGTGCGCGATCCCCTCGTTCAGCATATCTAAGCGCATACCTCCCAGGACGTCTTTTTTTGCGTCCCGCATCCTGCGCTCATGTCAGAGTCAAGCTATACTCCGTGTGTCGCGCTGGTCACTGGCGCAGCGCAAGGCTTGGGACTCAGCATCGCGCTACGGCTTGCGGACGATGGCTTCGACGTTGCGGTCAATGATCTTCCTCCAAACGAAGAAGCGCTCGCGAGTGTAGTCGCGCAGATCAAGGCCAAGGGCCGGCGAGCTGTGCCATTGCTTGCAGATGTCACCAAGGAAGAAGAAGTGAGGGACATGGTGTCGGGTGCAGTGGACCTGCTCGGCGGTTTAGACGTGGTGAGCACGGAAATTGGCTCAGCGAGTACCGCGCGCCACCCTCATCTCATGCGGCGTGCTCAGATGGTCGCCAACGCGGGGATTGTCTTTGTCCGTCCGCTCACGGAGAGTCAATTGATTGTGATGCAGTGAAAAATCTGCCATGGCTTGTTGATATGCATACAGACTCTGTCGAGGAGTGGGATCGAATCATGTCCGTGAACGTGCGCGGCGTAATGCTGTCGTATAAATACGCAGCCTTACAAATGATCATGCAAGGCCGGGGTGGACGGATCATAGGTAGAATCAATGTTCATCCTTGATGGTATGGCAGACGCTTAACTGCATATATTTTTAGGTGCGGCGTCCACTGCTGGCAAAGCAGGTTGTTGTAATCTAGCAGTGCATATCAAACCAAGTATTTACTGATATCATTCAGGTTTTCATGGTCTCTCGGCGTACTCCTCCTCGAAGTTTGCTGTGCGGGGTTTGACTCAGAGTGTAGATATGTTGCAGTCCATCGCGCGCGCGAGAGTATTTGTTCCTTGACTACATTATCATATCAGCTTTGGAGTTATTGCCGCACAAGATCACCGTAAACGCATATGCGCCGACTATTCTGAGGACTCCCATGGGTATTTCCCGCCTATTGTCGAGCTGTGTAGTTGTACGCCTGAGTTGACATCTTTCGTGTTATAAGCCTCCACGTTGGTAGCCGGCTGGGAGGTAAGAACCGTGTACTCAGTTGTCGTTGCCTTGTCGAGAAATGGTTATGCAGGCATATAATATCAAGGGCGGAGCTCCAGCCGCTGAGCCAAATGTTGTCTCCAGCCTGGTGTCCTACCTAGCGAAACCAGAGGCCTATTTCATCACTGGTACGTGCTTCAGCGCAACCATTCTTGCCATAATCTGTACAACTTGAAATGCACGTCCACAGGTCACACAATATCGCCTAACGCAGGCGCACTCGTGGACTGAGATGACATGCGGAAGCATCTATCGCCATAAGTCACAGAGGTACATAATACTTGAACACATCGTATTGTTTGTTCCGGATATACTCTGCAACCACTGTGTGGTGCAACGACCGCACGTCAGTGTCGTCGATCTCCCCGAATCGGCAAATTGCTATATTCTGCGCCGACACTAAACGGCAAAAGGTGGCCATCGAGACACATGAAGCTTTCTAGTAGCCTGTGGATAGTATAAATATCAAAGTTTAACGAAGAGACACAGAGGTGACACAACACAAATGCCTGAGTCACTAGCAGTCTGTACTAGCAGGCTCAGTGGGCAATTAGCTGTCACGCTTGAAGTTAAACCACTACGTTTCGTTCTGCTAGATTTAGTGTTCACTCTCCAGCTTGCCTTCGTCAGTGCCGCCACCTTGGATCAGCCAAGGTACGTCCGTCACACTCAGCAACAGTAGCATGGCACTTGCTCACCGCAAGGCATATACTGATTATATGCTGCCAGCAGGATTGTTATATCTTCGCCAAGCAGGTCCCACCAGAGTGGTACCAGCTATCTGGTGCACCACAGCGCACGGGTGCCTATAATTGTCAGCTGCGAACAAGCAAAAGCCGGTTTGTTGGTTCATGTATCTCACCTTCTGCTCATGCATATCAAATGCATACAGCCAATTCACGACCCTTCCATTCTTATGGCTTCCTATCGATACTCCTAATATTAGCAGGCGCCCAGGTAAGTCGGGACAGAGTTTGCCTCTTCGGTTGTCATTCACCGAGCGCCTTACCTTCCGTCATGGATAGCTACTAGCACATGAGACTTCACCGTCTCTTGTAAAAGGTATCATGGCGGTTTGCAACATTGGCAAGTTCGTTTTCAGGCCTATTACAGTCGAAATCTGTCAGCGAATAGAAGTCGCGAACTCGAAGCAACATCATGTGGCCGTCGTGCGATACCTTCCGTCCAATTCAAATTCAATAACTCCTGTTCTGCTTAAGTACCACTACCGTCGTGCAGTGACAAAGCGCATTGAGGTCGGTGACCCCAGGCTCCGCATACCCTCTAAGCCATGTAACCCCTCACCCTTGTGACCGGCGCCGCATGAGGGCTAGGGTTGAGCGTCGTTCTACGTCTTGCGAGTGATGGCTTCGATGTCGCGGTCAACGATACCCCGCCCAACGCAGAACTGCTCGAAAGCGCTGTCTCTAAAATACAAGCCAAAGGCAGGAAGTCATTCGCAGTACTCGCGGACGTTACACAAGAATCGGAGGTCAAGGATATGGTAGCTCGAGTGGTATATGTTCTAGGTGGCTTGGACGTGGTAAGATTCTGACTCAAAGGTAGCCCAAGTAGGTCAATGATCCAGATTTAACCCTTAAATCGTATAGATCGTTGCAAATGCAGGCATGACCTTCGCTCGTCCTCTGATTGAGAGTAAGTCTGGGCGCCGATGATGTGGAGTACAAGGTCACAATATTGTACATATGCGAGCAGCCACAATGGAGGATTGGGACCGCTTGATGGCGTTGAACATGCGCGGCGTAATGCTGTCGTACAAATATGCTGCCATGCAAATGATCAAACAAGGCCGCGGTGGAAGAATCATAGGTATTGATTGGATCACTCCCGGTCAGTTGCAGGTAATGTCCACTAATCTTGAGGCCTATAGGTGCAGGCTCGACGGCATCAAAGAAAGGCAATGCTATACTCGTTATGCGGCTCCAAAATCGAGCTGACATACACTGGTATCTCAGGTGCAGCGGGATTCTCGGCCTACTGCTCATCTAAATTTGCTGTGAAAGGGTTGACACAGAGTGCAGGCTAGCTATTTATCCTATACTTCCAACTACTTACCTCTCAAAGCAGGGTTGTAACAGCTCTTGAACTCGCGGAGCACAATATCACAGTTAATGCATATGCGCCCGGTCTTATCAACACTTCAATGGGTGAGTGCTATCCTCGCGTTCACACAACACGACGAATTGCTATACCTTGCCACCGTCTAGCACCCATTGTCCTGAAAGGCCGAAAGGTCATTCATACTTTGTGCGGCATGGCTACAATACTGAACTGTTCTCAGGCATATGGATCTAAGCACAGCGGTGTAAACATCCCGCTCGCCGAACCGGAGGTTGTATCTAGCCTGGTATCCTATTGGTGAAGCCTGAGGCCTACTTCATCACCGGTACGCATGCCATCACTGTAGCAGCTATTACACCCATGCGCTGAGCAACTCAACGGTCCGTCTCCAGGTCAAACAATCTCACCCAACGGCGGTTCGGTCTTAGACTAAAGCATGCTACTGGCTGCACCAACCCCTTAACCGGGAGTTGGTTCGGTGTCTTGAGGCTTCGCACCCGCCGCTTGCGCTTCGTTGGGAGAGACCGTGCTGTATAACATACCACTTTGTGCTGCCTTCAAGTTTCAACCAGCGATGCAAGAGGTCTCTGCTACGTCTTTGCATCTTGTACCTATATGTAACAAATTGAAGACGATGTCCAGACTCCAATCTCAGTTGATCGCGTGTCAATGATGCGGATTTACGGTTTACCTGTAATCGCGTCACGAGAACATCGCCATGTGAACGACGGGATCGTGTTTGGCCCGTGACAATTGCCTAGTCATGAGAGGAGCTCAAATTCAGACACATCTTCCCAGTGCACCTCGGCAGATAGGGTCTGGTACGTGCGTGCTTTGGGTGCTCATCCGTGGTGATGCTCCCATGCATTACGTAGCGAGTGTCCTTCGCCAGTCAGAGACCGGCAGTCTACACTTCCTCCCTCACCGTGCCTCAGGCTATGTCTCCCATCCGCATAGCGATAGTGACTGGTGCTGCTCAGGGCTTGGGGTTGAGCATTGCTCTGCGACTCACAGACGATGCATTCGACGTTGCTGTGAATGATATTCCACAGAAGAGCGACCAGCTTGCAGACGTCGTGTCTCAGATCGAAGCCAAAGGAAGAAGAGCAGTGGCACTGCCCGCGGACATCTCTGATGAGCAGAGTGTGCAAGACATGGTGCGAAGTGTCGTCGAGAAACTGGGTGGACTAGACGTTGTCCGTTGAGAGGTTACCGAGATGCATAGCAACCCTACTGACACTGCTTGATCATAAAGATGGTCGCAAATGCAGGCATTGCCCTGCATAAGCCTTTCATCGAAAGTGATTGGACCACAAACATTCTGTGGGGCTAAAGCGTTGAGAGCATCATTTGCAGCTTTAACTGAGGAATGGGACCGTATCGTTGCAATCAATCTACGGGGCGTCATGCTCTGCTACAGATATGCAGCATTACAGATGATAAAGCAAGGCAGGGGCGGAAGGATCATCGGTAGGCCCACCCACTTACTACGCTTCAGCGATCCTGTGCGCTAACAACAGTCTGCAGGTGCAAGCTCTCAGGCCGGAAAGATAGGTATGATGAGTAGCCCACAGAACCAAAGCCAGAGAATGAACAAAGCGACAGGAACGACGAACCTTTCCGCTTACAGCGCAACCAAGTTTGCTGTGAGAGGCCTCACGCAGAGTGCAGGTGAGCCGTACTTTGCTTCAAGCGTGCACGAGTCGCAAATGTAACACGATCGCAGCCCTGGAGCTTGCCCCACATGACATCACCGTGAATGCTTACGCTCCTGGGTTTATAATCACAGACTTGGGTGAGTAGCCCTCTCGAAGCAATTCCTTCAGCCGAGTCGCTTCAGCGTTGAGACGACTATGGTTCAGCTAACCATCCCGATGATGCCAAATACGGCTTGAAGCCTGGTGCAACCGTCAAGAAGGCAAGTGTGGACGATCACCGACAATTCACAAGGCCAATGATTCTAAACCCTGTATCAGATGTTCGGTCTGCCGGCGGACTCACCGGAAGCTGGACCAGAGGTCATCGCTAGCATTGTGTCCTATCTAGCGAAGCCCGAGTCGTATTTCATCACAGGTGGACTTTCACAATCTTGGAGCCCAGAGCAAGAAATGCTGACGTTCAACAGGCCAGACGATCCTAGTGAATGGCGGCGTCATCTTTGACTGATGATAGAAGTACTATCATAGTGGCAGGCCAAAATAGTCTGAGGATCTATGCATGATGTCCAACTATCAATCGATATATTCGTACCAACATCTCCGTTCGCTGCGATAGAATAAATTACAGATGCACAGATCGTCTAGCAATGGAAGCCCTATGAATTGCGAGTAAGTACAGTGGGTCGATCAGTGAATCATTGGCAAGAAGCGTGCAATTCAAAGGGCAGGTAGGTAAATGGGCGTATACACGAACAAAGGAGGGAAATCAACGATAGCAGACAGCACAATCACGACTTAGCGTCAATAACATATGGTGCAGGTGTCGATGATCCTGGTGTAACAGGGGTGATGGCTCCCTTCACATCGCTGATCCAGGTAGCCGGTGTCGCGAGCCCTGGCGTTACTGGTCGCGAGGGGTTTGGCGTGTTCGCTTGGGTGTTCGCCTGTGATCGATTATGTGCCATGTGGGCCCGCACGAGATGGCCGGCCGCGAGCGCGCTGATGAGCGACAGCTCGCCAGCCATGACAGCGGATGCGATGATGCGTGCAAGCTGCTGTGCGTTCTGGCCCGGATTGGTAGGGTGTGCGCCTCTTAGGCCGAGCAAATCCAGTACTGCTTGTTGTGGGCCGAGAACTGTGCCGCCACCAACGGTCCCGACTTCAATACAAGGCATAGTGACGGTCATGAGCAGATCTTCGCCGCCGTTGGTTCTAAACCAGAAGGTCAGGTTCGCATTCAAAATGACCATTACAAGAAACTCACGGTTCCATTAGCGTCATACACTGTGAGCTCTCAACGTTCTGCGCCGGGTCCTGACCAGTGGCCAAGAACATCGCCGTCAAGATGTTGGCAGCGTGCGCATTGAAGCCACCAATCGAGCCAGCCATTGCACTACCAACAAGGTTCTTCTTGGTGTTGAGATTGCAGAGCGACTCGACAGTGGTCTTGAGCACGCTCTTGACGATCTTGCCAGGAACGACAGCCTCCGCAACAATGCTCTTACCGCGACCCTCGATCCAGTTGATAGCGGCCGCCTTCTTGTCAGTGCAGTAGTTGCCCGAGAGCGCGAGAACGACCATTTCAGGGAACTCCTTCGCCATAGTGTCGAGCGCCTTCTCCGTCGCCTTCGAGATCATGTTCATGCCCATGGCGTCACCGGTCCGAGTCGCGAAGCGAACAAAGAGCGTCCTGCCGGCCATCGCGCACTTGATGTTTTGGAGCTTAGCGAAGCGAGACGTCGACTCGAAGGCCTCCTTGACAGTGGCGTAGCCCTCTGTCGACTCCACCCATGCCTTAGCTTGGGCAGCGAGAACGATCGATGGGAAGTCAATAGCAGGACCACGTGTCATGCCATCGTATGTGAGGACAGTCGTAACACCACCACCGGCGTTGAGAGCCTTGCAGCCACGAGAGGTCGAAGCGACAAGGGTACCCTCCGCAGTCGCCATGGGGATAGGGTAGAGCTCACCGTCTACCTTCAGGGGACCAGCGACACCGAGAGGGATGGGCATGTATCCGATGACGTTCTCGCAGCAGGCACCCATAACACGCGAGTAGTCGTAGTGGCTCATGGGTACCTCCGACGTCTCGAGCGTTTTAGTTTTTGAGGCTCGCGCTAGATTAAAAGCATTAGTTGATTACGTCATAGATCGAGCCTGCATGAGACTTACAGATCAGAGCACGGCGGACCAGGACAGCCCGTTCAAGGTCACCAAGCATCTTCTCCAGAGCATACGGCGCGATCTTGCCGTTCTGAGCGAGCAAGATGACTTCCTCGTCATTCAAAAGCGAAAGCGCGACCGTGACAGGGCGGGGACCGTTCTCGAAGATATCGATGCATTCTTCAAGCGATCGAACGTTATCGCGACGCGAGACCTTCTTGTCATCGCCCTCGTTGTCGCTGCCAGGTGACGAATCGCCGGGAGTGGGGAGCAGGTGCACCGCAGCCTCACGAAGCTTCATGTCGACGCTCGCGAGGTTCAACGGCTCTGTGATGGCAGTATGGACAATCTCCCTCTTCGGAGCAGGAGCAGGGGCAGGCTCCACTGCAGGCGCAACAACGACAGGAGGGACAACAGCCGGCATGGCGAAAATGGGTGCGGAAGGTACATGGGCTGGCTCGTCGTCCTCTTCCTTCTCCGGCCTGACCCTCGAACGCACTCGTGAGCGGAAGCGCACGCCTTTGTCTCGTACAGCTTTCAGCGCAGCCATGCCAGAACCGGCGGCGATGCCCTTCAGCAGGTAGCCGTTAAGCGCGACGCTGATCGCGAGGAGCAGCACGATCCCCTTGGATACCACAGGGTCGCCAACGAGGGCGGTCCATGTCGACATGAAGTTTTCAAGCACCTCTGTCTTCGTAGACGAAGAAGTGGAGGCCGGAACAACACGCAGGTAGACGGGTGGGGCAACTTTCACGATCAGCTCCGAGTCTTCGCCTGAAGGCACACCTGCCTTCTCCGCTGCAGCAAGACTGGTCAAGATGCTAGATATGGCGGGGTTGGTGATGTCGACTAGGGGTGCAGGGGGAATAGCGTCGGCGGCTGTGCGAACCGAGTGCTTGTTGTAACGCCCGGCAGCGGTGACGGGAGTAAGGGGAGTGCACCAGTTGAGGATGTGAAGCGTCAGGAAGGATGCGATCTAGGGAACAATTAGCTACACGTAGAACCCCAAAGCACAATAATACTCACCAGAAGAAGCTTCAATCGGCTCATCGGGTTCTCATCCACAGCATGCGCCTTGTGACCCTGCGTCTCAGGAAGTAGAGAACCCTTGACCCCCAACAAAGCGGCCTTCACGCGCTCGCTAGGGCTCTTGCGGATTACCTCTGACCTCGCCGAACGAACGAGGGCCGAGCGCACACCGTTGCCAGAACCGTTGACGACGGCGGTGGTGCGGGATCGCGACATCTGGCGAACAAGCTTGACACGGCGTACCTAGAAGAGAAAACAGGAGGTCAGACATTGCAACGACGACAATTAGATGGTCATGAGCCGAGCCGGAAACGGATCCGCCGTCATAGGAGGCCCTCATGGCACGTGAGGGTCACGTGACGCCCCCAGGTGACGCACTATGACCCACAGCTAGAACAGCATCAAAAATGGTGAGGATCGCCAACACATACCTCAATCATGACAGTGAGCATTGCTGCATAGAGCGTGCAGAGCATCAGGCAGTCCATAGTCAGCGCGATTGTGGCAACGGAACAAAATTCCTTGAGGCCGCCTACACCGCTGTTAACTCCGACGAGGAGCACAGCAATCTCAAGCGCGTAGTCCCTTAGGATGGTGTTGCCGACCCGATCGAGCGCCTCAAGCACGACATCGCCAGCAGGCTTCAGACGGCCGTCTTCCTGGGGCTTGAGCGTCTGCGGGTGCGCGAGGACCGCGCGCGCAAGGCGGAGCGGCTTCTCGAAGCCAACCGTACACACCAGGAACGGGAGCGCCTCGGTCATCGCGATCGGGTCAAGCGGGATGTCGAGATACCGGCAGAGCGGAAGGGTGAACAGGAACCCCGTCACCGAGGAAAGGAAGATACCCGTCGATAGCCAGAAGTTCGAACCCAGCGCGCGCGAGGACAGCCAGAGGCGCAGGAACGTGGCGTGCATCAATATGTAGCCGAGCAGCACCACGATGATGTCCATGGAGTCGGCTTTCTGTCAGGCCGTCAGAAAAATGACGATATTTTCGGATCTGAACGAGGCTCGCGTACCTTGGTGAGCTCCCAGAAGCGCAGGAACGCGGCACGGAGGGCATATGCCACCCACTTACTGCTCTTCATTTCGCCGATGGTTTCCTCGCGCTTCGCGCCGTGTAGATCGTACTCGAGGCCATCCACGGTGACAGACTTGACATGGCGCAGAGCGGCGAGCCAGTCTTCCCTTGCGCCGGGTAGGAAGGAAAGCGTAAGCGTAGACGAGGTCGAGTCGGAAGACGTGGCGACGAAGCACGGCACAGATGAGAGATTCGACGCGGGGTGGTAGCAAGCAGAGGTGTAGGGCTCGTCAGATAGCCCAGTGAGCTGCTCCGGCAGGTGCTGCGTGATTTGGGAAAGGACAGAGGGCTTCGATCCGAGCTCCGGCACGGCTTTCTTCCTGCCCTCGAGCCTGAACACGAACTGCTGAAGCTCCACCGCCTTTGTTTCATCGCCAAGTTGTTTCCACTCGCGTGGGCTGACACCAACCCATTCGTCGCCATTGAGTCGGGCGTAGGCGGGGCGAATGGCCGTAGGGTAGGTCGGGGCGAAGAACGACGAGTGTTTAATGCCGTTCAAGATGTGGAAGTAGGCCAGCATGCCCAGGACGAAGACGAAGACGATGGACTCGATAGGGAAGAAGACATTATGGGTCGCGAGAGGCCGGACGAGGGCGCGCATCTTGGTGCGACGGGGGAGGGATGTCGAAGCGGAATATATGTGAATGGGTACCAATTACCAGGGGTGCCTCAATCTAAAGCGAGCGTTATAAAAAGCATGCAGAAAACGCGGCGTATCAGCGATTCCATCCCACACGTCGTACGAAGAGGTATGGCAAGCGGGGAAATGCTGCGGTTTTAGAACTCACCGAGACCGCCTGTCAGAACTTATCGTTTGCTCTATGACAAAAATATCCCAGTCCGAGGCACGTCTGCGAACAAAGAACGACGACGACGACGAGGATGGCGGGGGTCGTCGCGGGTGCGGGAAACGGTAGTGACAATGACGGGGCCAACAATAAATACGCTGGGTTTATGGTCGCATGGGTGGAACCACTTTTCCCATTGGCGCGCGTATTGCTCCGGGACTGGCACTGCTCTCCAGCGCTAACCCTTTATGGAAGTTCTCCTAGCAATGTCTCATCATCTCGGCAACGTGTAATTTATCCCAATCTCCGAACAACTAGTACTCAAACCCCCTTTTCTCCGTCTCATGACAGAACCAGTCATAGGATTGAGTCAATTGTGTCTGCAACGTCGATCCTCGCAGGTGCAGTCTAAGTACTATGTCTCTCCGCGAATTAACATCACACCCGGGACGGACTCATCCCCATCACAGTAGCGTCTACACATCAGCGTTCCTGAAGTCAACAGTCGGAGCCTATGCTCAATGGACATAGGCCGTATCTCTATGATATCTTAGCCATATCACTCAGCGGCGACAAGGCGCCGCACAATGGCACGATGTTGTGAGCGGTAAGCTTTTGTGACGAATAGAGTCGTGTGCGGATAGTGTCCAACAAGTGTCGCGGTGTGCGATTGCGTGCGGACTGACTCCGGACATAACAGGCTACTGATGATAGCGCGATCTCCAATACTCCGTCATCCACGCAACATCAGATGGATGGTCGGGGTGTACTGTAATTGCAAACAGTCGCCTCTCCATTCCTCGTCGGAAGGAACCGTCTCCGTCGTCGGAATGTGTCTCCTATTGTGGCGTGTCAGCCAACATTTTCCTCTGCACGCCACGCCCAATGGACAAACCGCCGTCAGGGCGGGCGTTCGCATCTGCATTATGGCAGATTCGTGCTTCCTTCCCCGCAGCTTCTGCCCCTGTTGCATGCGAAGCCTGATCGGAATATTTGCGCATTTTTGCCTTCGTTCCTTTCCAGAGCTTAGAGTTCATCATGATGACTGTAAAGGTCACCACGGGCGGAGAAACGTTTGGCACACGCCCTCGGGTCTAGCGATCATCACATGAAGGTACACCCAAGATTAGACAGGCAGCCGTTGATCGGGAGGTGCGAGCGACGGCGTCTCATCGTACCGGGCCATTTGGGTTTTGAACGGCGCTACCCTTGCTTCTAAACGACCTTGGCCTTGCATTTCTCGCGCATCCCCAGGAACATGGGAACATTCTCGCAGCATGCTTGCACCTTCGTTTCCCCACGGCCTCCCACCCTGCGGCCTGGCTCTCGCGGGATGAGCTATTCGTTCTTGCACCGCTACAAATGGCCTTGGCAATTGCGGCTTTCCAACGACGTTCCAGGCGCTCCTCTTTGGCGCGTCATAAGCAGACACCGGTTTGGAGTCGCTGCTTCCCATCGTCAGCGTCCCATTTCCGACCGGGGTAATTCGTGCCCTTTCTTGCGCAACGTCATTTCCTGCTAAGGGTCGCTCGGTGCCTTGCACTGCGCATATCATTTGCCTGCCTAGCTGCTCATGTTTGCCGCATGCAGATGGACGTCGAACCATCACTGGGAAGCAAACGAGTGCTTCGATCGTTATCTATCCCCGTGTCTTCTATGCCCTCTTAATTATCGCTTCCTCGAGATGACCTTTCTCGGGCGCCACATGAGCTGTGCTTCATTCTTTTCGGTAGCGAGAGCACGAACTGGCTCGGGACCAGCCTATCTCTGGCGTTGTTCTAGTGCAAATGCTAGCACGACGCCTACATCCCGAAACCTGCAGGTGCTCTATCTAGAAGTATTCGTTTGACAAGCAGAACACATTAGTTCGGTCGCTGGCGGGACATAACTCGGCGAAGACTATGTTATCTTCCGGAAATGCACATTCCTTTGATCCTGCATTTCGCGAGTCGCCCGTGTCAACTTGGATGTTGCAAATACCGGGTTGTGATTGGCTGATACGGGCGCTCCGTTGAAGGCGGTTTGCGATTGCGGTGGGAATATTTGGCCTGGTGATGGTGACAATGCAGTCTGTCAATGTCGCCCGAATAAACATCAGTCGTGGGACGCTACAATCTGAACATCATGCGGCATGACGACTCAAGCACAGTCAATATCTATGTCTGTGGCTCAGGCCGCAGTCACTTCCGTTTCCAAAGCTTGCGTCGAGCGGACAGACTTGGTTCAGAAGTATCCGAAAGGCGATGGACCTATACGATTCAAGCCTACGGCCGCACGGTGATATGGGCGCCGACGTGCGATCGCAACCATTGTACACACGGGTGGACACTCAGGTACGTGCGATCAAGCATTCCTTGTCAGATTCTGACGGAAACGATCCACCGGGTTCTCAGGACGTCCAACTGGAGGCTACTCCCGCGATTGTGTCCAACCTGTCCACTTGTCATGCTCTTGCAATATTTGACCACAACTAGCGAAGCGGTACATGCGCCCTCCCGGTCGTGGCCATGCAAATATGGTGCAGCAATCGCGCAGGTTTGCGCAGTCCCTAACGGCCTACATCTCTCTCCCCGCCCCTCCTGACAAGAAGCCTTAGTATCCCGAGGAATTGATCTTCACTTCGCCCATTTTGCGTTGACCTTTGCAATCCCAAGTATGTCTGCTGTTGAAAGGCACGGCACGAGGATGCTTACTGATGTTATGGATTTTTGATAGTTGGGTCGCTGCCCATGCGCTCATCATGCATGGTGTAGTTCGTGCAACCTCGTGTTCTCTGATTGAGGTTGAAGATAGGCCTACCATGGGAGAGCTCCGACCGAGATGTTACGACACACAAGAGGACGACTGTAACACTTCTTACTCAGACCGAAGGTACCATTCTCTAACTTATATTGGAGACGTGTGGGTACCGAGGTAAGAGTAGGCGTGTAGGCGTTAGCTCCCAACCGTCCTGATAAGGCCGGGCGCTCGCGCGGTCATTATATCGTATGTATCCGTATTTACTAGTTAGTCTATATCTTGTTCATCAAGTAACGTGCTATTACGTTACAACACGTAATGTCTCTGTCCGCAAACACATCTTCCGTAGCCCCGCCGTCCTCGACTTCAATACCACTGTGTACTTCTACCCTCATCCTCAGCCTTGGAGTCGCATCACTTTACTTCGCCGTTAGCCAGGTTTCCCCAATGGCATGGTGATGTAGCCACTGGCTGTTCATTGGCTATAGCACCATGCCAATGGGATGTCGAAGACCGCCTGGCAGAGTGTCCGCATCTGGAGCTTCCGACACTGTGGTCTGATCAACTGGGGAGTCGAGGATGCAATTGCCATTGTGCCTTTGCTCCTCTAGGTCACCCTCATCTTGTTCTGTGACCTTCTTCTAGTCGATTAGCTTTTCATCGCAGTAACCACGACTATAATCGCCGTTGTGGTGCTCCTCCATCCATTCTGACACCGATCATACCATCATTGCACCGACTGTCCTGGCAAATCTACCCAAGTACAGTAGCTTTTCCGCCCCTGGCGCTTACTTCTCTGGTGGTTCGAGAATTCCAAGCTGAAGTTTATACCCCAGCAGGAAGGGCAGCCGTCAGAAACCATGATTCGCGCTATCTGGAATAAGTGCAGTCTTGCACCTGCCGCCACTGCATTGCCCGACTCTTCGATCTGATCAATGTAGATGCCGTGGCCAAGAAGATCGCAGACAGCGACAACTGGTACTGGTTTCTTAAGCTTCTCAGGGCCCACAAGAGTGTCTTGAGAAAGAATGCCTGACCTCAGACATTGCGCAAGCAAATGTCCTGTCCATTATCGACACCACGATGATATATCAAGACATGTGAGATACGTGGAGGCTAAGTGCGTACTACCTTTTAGCTTCCCTACCCTGATATCCAAATATTACAATTGTTGCGTGCAGGATCCCAAAGTATTCATCCACACCCACAAATAATGCCTGACTTTGAGCGACGCCGCGGACCCGTTCATCTCAGTTCTAGGCCATCCATACAGTGAAATGCATGTTTATAGGTCAGAAACATACATACTCAGATTCACCGTACGTTGCGGCGAGCGATTATGACCTAAAGATGTCAGCGCGCGATCGAAAAACCCCGCTAGCCCCTCCATGCTAGTTTCAATTCCATGCACGCCACTATCGATGCACCGCTACCATGAACACCGCTTGTGGTCCGTACGTTCCCTGAACAATGCTATTGTAAATCATGGCGAAATAAAACGAAGTTCGTGTCAGTGCCTATGAGTCTGAAAGCAATTAGAAGGGCAACGCCGAGATTCCGAGTCGATGATTGTCTATCGGGTCTACTGCCTGCATATGAAGGTGCGATGACCATGTTCGTGATTCTCTGCGTAGTTGACCTACAAGTATTATTGTGGGCATAATATAACGACAACATCAGTATGCTAAAACTCATATACTATTCTAAGGCACGTTGGAAGTACGTATGGGTCAGCTGTATAGATGGGGTATACAAGTCCAATTGTGGTAAAACCGTGGAATTGTTGTGACTGTATAAATTATTAGTTGCTTCACATTGCCTTAGTCTGTGTCCATTGATCAGGAGTGGCGGGATGGAGACGGACTGAGTGAGAATGGTGTAGACGCGGATGGAGGGGCACTCTGGGAAGGGGTTTCTGACGGTCGAAGAGAAAAGGAGTTACTACTGGACGCCGTTTGGCTTTGACTCGATGGCGTAGCCACCTCGGGAGTGAGGATAGGCCTGTTGGTAGATTGTTGCGATGCGGCAGATCCGCTAGGTGTAGGACCTTCGTATACCGCACCATCATCGTCATTTGTTGGTTTTTGCGCCTCAAATTGCGCCAGTAAAGTATTGCGATTTGCGAGCACCTCGAGTGCTTGCTCTGCCGATCCTATCATCTTTCGTAGCGCACCTAGTGTGAAACAGAGCGTTAGAGGTTCTTTATATCTGCGCTCCTTGATGAACTTACGTTCAACGCTCAACAAAAATAGTGTCTATCACGAAACACGCATCATTTAGTGAATAAAAGTCGATCGTGGATAGAAACAGGAGGACGCACATTTTTCGCATCCTTATCTTGTAAAATATCTCTCTTCACGCGTTCTCCGATACCCTCTGACCGAACGATCTCATCAAGCAGCTTCCTAAGCTCGTCCGGTACGTTTGTCTGGGGGCCTTCACCGGGAAGATCCCTACCGCGCCCACCGGCAAAGTACTGCATGTAGTCGTGAAACGTCCGTGCTCGGTGAATGATCTCGTGGGGAAGCGCTTCCAGATGTCGCTGGGTTTGAGCTTGGACCTCTTCTAGTTTCGACGCCGTCAAGACGAGCCCCGAGGAATCAGGCTCTGCGGCTTCTGCGGCTCCCTCTTCTGCCGTCATGTCGCTAGCGTTGGTGACTCGTTGGGTGCTGTGTTCCGCTCGGGACGCCGCCTTTGTCGCTTTCAATGCCGCCTTTTTGCGATACTTCGCAACGGCTTTGTCGAACGCTCTTGAGTGCATCGCGGCCTTGTAACGCGTGGACCCCGCGTCTTCGATGACTGTAGAAGCAGCGTGCCATTGACAATACGTTCAAGCATCCACTATACGACCGCTTACCAGCAACGAGCATTGTCAGAGTACCGACTCCGAATAAGGCCCAGAAAACGAAGACGGAGCGCCCCGCAGGCGTCGCCGGGGCATAATCACCAAAACCAGCTGTGGTGAAGCAGATCCAGCCTGGTGTTGAGGGTCAGTGACCGTGATGCCGGACGAGGCGTTCAGAAGACTTACAGAAGTACAAGGCAACGCCATAAGTCCATTTCTCGGTTGCGCTGAAGATCGCCGCCCCTGCCTACGGTACTGTTAATCTAGCCCTGGCGTATAACGGTGACACAGCACAACTCACAAACCAGAACACGAAGAACACGGTCCACGCGACGGAGAGCTGCAACAGTGAGAGCCCTCAGCGATTGCGACTGGGTAATATGGGATGTCATGACACCAACCTTCATAACATTTGCGTTCTGTTCCTCGTCCTTCATATCAACCGGGATCTGAGTCATGTTATCTCACGATCGCTGCTTGAGGAGGGCGGTGGCATCACTCACCCACTTCGACTCAGCGGCATACCCCGCAGAGTCCGTGGCCTCGCCCTCGCGCTGCACGATCGCATCGTTAGCCTCATTCCTACGTTGTTCATCTCCGCGATTCGCATGCTCTTCCACAACGGCCGCTCGTGGGTTGCTCCGGTCCTGCGCCGACGGGCCCGGTAGGCGGATGTCCCGTCCGCTCATCGCCAAGCTGACCTCCGTGAGCATCGCAGCCATCCGGCCGACCTGTGCGTCCGTCGGCGTCCCCACTTGCGCCGGCCATCCGCCATCTGGGAGGGGCCCCCGCCCCGTCGGACGCCCGCCGCTCGCCGCGATCTGGCGCGCCTCGCTGACCTCAGTGAATTGGTTCAGGGGCACCCCTGCCTCGAGCGCAGCCGCCTCCAGCTCATTGTGCGTGAGCGCATTGATGTTGAGGTGCATCCCGCGGGGATGACCTGGCACATGCTGCGCCGGGCGCATCGACGGGTCCGACGGCGGGGGGTCCCGCAGACCCAGCGCCTCGAGCGCGCGTCCCAACAGCGGCTCGCGTCCTCCACCACCTCCGGGGCCGCCGAGACCCACGAAACGCACCGCGTCGTCGCCGTGCTGCCAGTCCGTGTCCGGCACCCACACGGGCTTGCTTTGCGCGCGGAGACGCCACACAACCGCATCGCGCCAGCGCCGCTGCCAGTGGCGGAACCGCCGTGCGCCCGCACGCCGCGCTCGCATGTTCTGCAGCCGCTTGCGGTAGCCAACCTCGAGGCCCTCCAGCACTGTGTCGCGCGTGATCGAGATGACCGTCCCGAGGATGACCATACCGCATGCGATGTACCCGCACACGAACACACGCGCGCCCGTCGACCGCGGCACGATGTCGCCGAAGCCGATCACCTCGATGCAGACGGTCGAGAAGTAGAGCCCGTTGATGTACGAGATCCCGAGCAGCTCTGCATTGATCAGCGCGCCGAGTGCGAGGTACATGAGCAAGATGATCACGAGGATCACGAGTGAGCGCTGCTTGCGCGTGAGGCCGCTCCCTGGTGGGGAAGATGAGACGGTGCCATAGACGGTAGATTGCGGCCAGCCACACGTACCGGAGCGCGCAAAGTCGCGTACACGAGCATAGTCCATCACCAGGTTGATGTTCGTGATGGTCGAGACGATCGTCGAACACAGCGTCATCCAAAAGGCTTGGCCGTATGTGTAGCCGTCGTTCTTCGCGTGCACTATCCCGAAGCATGTCACGGCGGCAATGTTCACCCCATCTGCGGCCATGACTGAGACTGAGACGAGTGCCGAATGAGAGTAAGGACCACGCACCATGCACGGTGAGGAACAGGATGCAGAGCAACGTCGTCGGCTTCACCCACCTCTCCGCGAACCGCATGATCAGACATATGTTCGCAAACACGGCGCACGCAATCGAGATGCCCATGCCTGCGTTCAGCAGCGCCGGATTTGGGCGCGAGTCAACTATGTTGTTGCTCTCCGTCATGATATACCAGTGTTCCGTGAGGCCGGGGACCTCGAGCAGGATGGAGAACGGGATCAGCACCCCGGCAATTATAGGCGAGGAGCGGTAGGTCGGGACATATTGCTCGATCTCTTCTGGCTTTGGGTCCCGAGGAAGCAGGAAGGACCGCACCCTGGCCAACCAGCTACGCGTAGAGGATCTTGAAGAGCGCGTGAACGTCGTGAACGTCGATCCCGACGCGAAAGTGGTGAATCGCCTCATACGGCGCGATCGCGATTGAGCAGCCCGCTGTCCCGTCTCCGCGTCATCTTGCTCGACGTCGTCGACCTCCTGCACATCCTCTTCTTCTCGCTCCTCGTCCTCGCCGTCGTTGTCCAAGTTGACGTCTTCCGTTCGGGTGCCGTTCGCGAGGCGATCATCTAAATTATCCAGCGCGGTCACTTTTTCAACGTCGTATTCATCCGGTGTGCGCCTCCATTTGCCGAGGAGCGGCCTCAGATGCATGGCTGCTAGGATGGTCGCGAGAGTCATTGGTCTCCCGCCCGAACGGTCACTGGACTACTCCCTGCTGTTGTGCGTCAACCGCGACGGTGTCGACGATGCGTTGGAGTAGGTACATGGACTGCCAGGCGGGAGGAATCCGTCAAGGAAAATGCCTGCCGTTGCGCAGATGGTCGTGGGTCTCCGGTTTGTTCCCGAATCAAGACTAAAATTAGACACTTGGAGCGGCTTATTGTTTCGTAGGTCCCGATGGGCAAATACGCAGCGCGTTCATTGTGGACTCGCTCCTGTCTCGAGAGGGCTGAGCAGTATAAGCAACCTGGCCGAACGAGGAATGGCCAGGAGCAGGACTGGGAGTGAATTCTCACGTTGAATTTGATTGCCATTACCGAATTCGGTGTGATTTTGACTGTTCTCAATCAGGACGATAAAGGTAGGTAATTTTCCGATAACATCCTGCCCCTAACGCCTTTTGCAGATGTCGCTCGAAGAATGCCAAACCCAGCTCATTGAGCATTCAATGTTGGTTGGGGCCTTGAAGTTCGGCTCATTTACACTGAAATCTGGTCGGCAAGTTGCCATTATCACTCGCCTCGCATCCATTCAGCTCAGTACTTGTCTGGATTAGGGTTTCGCCATACTTCTTCAACGCCGGTCTGCTCGCAGATGGACCTGTTCTTGACACGCTGTGCTCGGCGTACGCTGCTACCATCGCCGCCTCGCTGAAGGCCTCGCCCGGCTTGCCGCAATTTGACGTCCTCTTCGGGCCCGCGTACAAGGGGATCCCCTTTGCTGCCTGCACTGCGCTGCTCCTGCACCGCGACCACGGGATCGACGTGGGCTTTGCTTACGATCGGAAGGAGGCGAAGGACCACGGCGAAGGTGGCATCACGGTCGGCGCGCCGATCAAGGGCAAGCGCGTGCTCGTTCTAGACGACGTCGCGACCGCAGGTACGGCCATCCGCGGAGCAATCGACACGGTGAAGAAGGAGGGCGGCGAGGTCGTTGGCGCCGTGCTGCTGTTGGACCGGCAGGAGGTGGGCAGGGAGGGAAAGAGCATGATCGAGGAGGTGGAGAGCGTGCTGGGCGGAAAGGGCAGCGTGCCAACGATCTTGCAGATGAAGCATTTGATGGCGTGGCTGCAGAGCCATGGGAAGACAGACGAGCTCGCGAGCATGGAGGAGTATTGGGACAAATACGGCGCAAAGGGCGAATCACAGTAAACATGTATGTATCAAATAGGTTTTATGAAGGGAATCGAAGGATAGACAAGCTATCATGTCTGTGCTCAGTCCATGTGAGTGCTGGTCACCTGTCTCACCCGCGTTCATGCACTTATATAACGTAACAGCCTCCGTTAATCTGTAGCGTTCACACCCGCCATATAGTAGGTCTGAAATTGTCCCGTGACACTGGAGGCCCCGAGCACCGGAACTTGGGGCAAGGAAATACCGCCCTTAACGGAACCGTAATACCAGCAGAGATCTGTCATGCCAGGCTTCCCGATCGTGATCTCAGAGAAACACCTATTATGCGGATCCACGGAGGTCCGCGCCGCGAAAGAATGAAAGTCGAAATGACCTTATCACGGTTGTCGATCTCGATAGCGCGCCCACACCCCCTTACCCCACAAACACCCATGTCCGACGCCATTCGCGTTCTCTCGCGTCGCCTCTCTGCCGTCACCGCACATCTCACCACGCCCCCTATGTCCCGCCCCAAGGTCGTCGTCGCCCGTAATCTCGGTCCAGATGTGATGCCCCTATTCAACCGCTCGGACCTTGATGTGCGTGCTCGCGTCGTTCTCTGGGCGGCGATTGATTGATCTCTTCCGGGATGATGCTGCTCCTGCCAGGTAGTCGCCTGGCACTCCGAGACGGAGGCTTGTGGACGCAAGTGGCTTCTTGAGAACATTGTGGGCGCATCGGGTGTACTGGTCATGCTCGCGGATAAGGTTGGTGTGAGTGACGTCAATGTATACCGATCTGAACCTTCCGTAGGTCGACAAAGAGTTCCTGGACACCTGTATGTCGGTCCCTGTGTGTTTTATGCGTGAGCTTACGATTCAACTGCTCTACAGCTGGCCCTAAACTCAGAATTGTTTCGACAATGTCTGTTGGCTATGGTAAGCTACAGACATATGTGCGAACATCAATATTCACTTGCATCGCACAGAACATGTTGATTTGCAGCAATTAACAGATCGAGGCGTGAGACTCGGTTACACCCCCGACGTCCTCACCGACGCAGGTAACAACGCCCGTGTCGTCTAAATGCTCCTCCTGATGCCTTGCTCAACCAGTCGCTGACCTGTCCATCATGCTCGCACTGATGGCCGGACGCAATTCCCGCGAGACCATGTCAGTGGTCCACAACGGCGAGGCAAGCATCTCCGCATGCTCCATCTCCCACACGCACTTACCCCCACACAGTGGCCCAGCTACCCGTGGTCGCCATTCGCATTCTGCGGGCCCCAGCTCAGCGCAAACTGGCTGCACCCGACCCGCACGGCGGGCTTTATTGGCTTCGGCCGCATCGCCCAGGCGACGCTCGCGCGGCTCGTGCCCTTCGGCTTCACGCACTGCCTGTACACGGGCAACCCCGCGTCCGCGCCAACGCCAGAACGCGACGCCACACTCGCGCGCACCCTCGGCGTAGAGAGCGTGCGCCGCGTCGCACTCGCGGAGTTGGCGCGCGAGAGCGACGTCGTGTTCGTGCTGGCGCCGGGCGCGCCGAGCCTCCGACACGTCGTCGACGCGGCGTTCCTGCGCGGGATGAAGAAGACCGCCGTGCTCGTCAACACGGCGCGCGGGACGCTGGTCGACTCGGACGCGCTCGCGCTCGCGCTGCGCGAGGGCTGGCTCTGGGGCGCGGGGATCGACGTCGTGGAGGGTGAGCCGCACGTCGGGGCGGACCACCCGCTTGTGAAGGAGCCAAGGTGCGTGCATCTGCGTCTGGACGCAAGCTTTGATAGTCATGCGGAGACCCTTACAGGTGTGTTGTGCTGCCTCATATTGGGAGTGCAACGACGGAGACGCGGTTGGGAATGGCTACAATGGCTGCGAAGAACCTGATTTCTGGTGTCCTCGGCGATACCATGCCGGCAGAACTGTCCATAACACGGTAGAGGACAATCTTTTTCAGTGTTCCCTTTTACATGTGTCTGGCGCCATTGGGAAAAATGGCGAGAAGCTTCAAATGACATTATCAAAGATCAGCAGGCGCATTGAACATTCACCGCTCCGTGACACTGTCCAACGGCCCGCAAGTGCCAGGTCATTTGTCTCATGGTATTGGCTCAGATGGTAACTTTAGCCTCTGCCGAATCACATGAATGAGAACTGCGGTAGAGAGGGAGTCTAAGGTTCAAGGCAGCCTGATGCTGATGTAGGCCATGGACGAAGTTTAATTGTCCTCCAACTCGGCTGCGACAGTCCAGCTTTTGGTAATGTACCATATGCTGGATGTCCTCTATTCCGTAATTCTGGGCCCATCGCGCTGAATTGGATAAACAAGCGTCTTCACTGAGAATAGCTTGCAGACCTAGGAGCATTTCTGTGCTGCACATGTGCGACCTGATTCCCTGTTATGCATTAGTCTGGCGGGCTGTGGTGGGAGAGACTCGTAGTCCAGACAGCTCCCTGACGCTGACAAGCTGTACTTCAGATGCGCCGTCGTACCGCTGCCTATCTTGATCCAGGGCCATCTCAGATCACGCGGCTAGTTCTCTGTCCAATGATCACCGCTGTCGCCATGAGATTCAGATCTGCTGGTAGGTCGACGTCGCTTCGGCAGGACAAAAGGACACGACCGTGGACATCAAAGCACCTTTTACCCCTTTCATTTGTTCTGGGCACAATATCGAGCTCGGATGGTGCGTACGGTGACCTGAGCCCATACACAAATTGGCTGAATTGATCCAGTCTCCCGTCGTTTTGCAATGATAATTATGCGCCAAGCATGACACGCGCTTCCTCGTCATATTTCATCAGACGTATCGCGTAAGCGCAGCCTAGAGACATCTGTTCTAGCCCTGAAAGAATTAGTTCATGACCTCCTCGATATACCTCTTCTCGGACAGAAGGCTTGGATGGGAGCAATCGTCATCGTCTTTGTTGTAGTTGTGTGTGTCGATTCGGAGCTGACAGGAACATCATTGCGGTTCGCAGGTCCTGCGTTGTCAATAGTAGATGTATTACGCTGGCAAACATGGGCATCGAATCCAGTTGGACCATGATTTGACAAAGCTATTTACAATTAGTAGCAACATCTGGCATCAAGATATTCCTCGTGTATTCAGACGGCACACAACTTCTGCGGGACTGCGTTCTCTTCTTGCTTTAGTACCTACCACTGACACAATGCCGTCACCAGCCGGCGATTTTATGCAAGCATTAGAGTCTCGAGTATGTTAGCGAGTGAGCAAGTCCTGAATCATACACTCTCAGTCACATCGATTGGATATCAATGCATCAGCCTTTTAGTCATTGAAGGTTTCTCACTCGTTCCCCAGGCTGCGCCTAACGGCTCTCATGCTTGAGTCTACAATGTATGATTCGATGCAGGCCGAGTGAATGGTCGATCATGGTCGTCGTATCCGGCTAACAGTCGGTAAGCCACCTACAGAATCATCGCAGAATCCTTGCGAATTCCTCTCCTGCTCATGAATGATACGATACTCATGCGGAGCTGCCAACAGGTCCAACTCTTATCACATACCTTTCAGAAGAGCTAATACGAACTATTGTGAGCGAAGTTACGCAAACGTTGAATCGGAATTGCAATTGACTTTACGAAGTCGCTGATGGAGCTAAATTCGCAGTATGCTGTTGTACTTTTCTAGTCCCATTATCTCTGTTAGGGCTTCGAATCGTAACCTTGTAGGATGACTACTGCACTAGCGAGATGCTCATTTCGCCAGCGCATTTCTAGCGTCTTCGAGGTCCAGTCTTGAACCCGGTTCTGAACCGCGGACCGGTTAAACCGAGCCTAGGTTCAATTTCGGTCAGATGCAGGTTCGGGCATTAGGGCAGCAAGTCCGGTTCAGGGTTCACGAACTGCCCATGGGGTCTTGAACCCTAGTTCGAACCCAGACAGAACCGAGAACCGGGTACACTTTACACTTCCTTCATGTTCACGATCCTGACGCACAGCATCGCGAAAGGCGCCAGCAACGGAGACGGCGCCAACACGTCGCACAGCAGCAGCATGCTCTTCGTGTCCGCAGCATGCTTCCAGTGCACGATCCGGTCGTCGAACAACGCCTGCACGCGCTGCTTCCACACGATGTCCATATTCGCGAGGCGCTTCTTCTGCTGAAGCGCCGCGAGCAGCTCCGCCGTCTCCAGTGCGTGGCTCTGCAGGAGCGCGGGCGCGCTAGTTAGGACATGCGGGAGCGCGAGCGACTTCCAGCCATCCCAGCCGAGGCCTGACAGCGCCGCGCACAGGTCTAGCGTAAGAATTGGAAATTCCCATACGCGATCGAATACCATGCGGCCGGGACCCATCCAGAGCGCCATGTCACCCGCAGTGGGTGTAGCTATCGATCATTTGAGGATGGCGGGATGTAGGAGCTCATTTAGGGGCAGCAACCCGAAGTGAGACAGCAACGAAGAGAGGTGGCTCGCTGTGAACGACAACATCAGCGGATGAATACGTGGCTACGAGAACAGGAGCACTCACGATTCATCCTCGAACCCTGCTCAATTGAACAAGCGACAGTGACTACTTCGAGCACCCGGCGGAGAGGCTCCTTGTCCTTTCCATTCCGTCCAATAACAGTACGAATCCGGACCAAACCTGGACCGAACCTGCTGAACCCGTTCGCCAGGTTCTGTCCACGTTCAGCTTCAGTCTGACGCCATTAACAGGTTCAAACGTTCAGGTTCAGAGCCTGGGGGGATGAACCTGGACCGAACCGAACTTCGGAGACCCTACGACGCGGCGTTTCCTCTGTTGTTTTCTGCGCCACCTGGAGATCACCGTAGTTATACATCTGCCAAAGAAGCTGGGAAGCTCATCATAATACATAATGAATCACATTGCCTTGTTCAGCGCCTGCAATGACCCACGTAAGCTAATTTGCTATGAGCACCTTCGGCGTCTGCATCGCCACCCACTTCGCAGCGCAAACTTGAGCTCTGTCAAGCGCAAACATACTGCTCTCATACAAAACCTCCATTTTCTTCAATGTGAGTTCTTGGATTGACCTAGTATCATGGTGCTGGTGGGTAGACAACATAAGTCAGCCCACCATAGGAAACTAGCCTCCCCGACGGGTTTTCAGAGTAGTCGTCCATCACGCACTGATCTGCTGCGAAGGTTCTAGTCAAACGAAACGAGACTGGCGTGAGCATCTCATAATGCGTTTCCCTTGACTTCAGATTGCAGGGATAGAACGTTGGTCGACAGCACTAATGGACACTTTGAAGCGCTTCGCGGGACTCGGCGCCTTTCGGAGCCTCTGGCGCCACTGCGGCCGCGAGATCAAGATCTTGTCGTTTTTTCTTTCAAATTCCTTAGACTCCATACGGCGTAGGCACATGCAGAGTGAGATCGAGCCATAAGTAGCTGCTAATAGTGGGCTCCACGCCCTCGTTCGGACCGGCACGGTGAAGTGCAAATCACACGGTGTCGTCGCCCTACAGGTTTCGGGCCGACCAAGAGCCCATGGCGCAGGGGGCCGTCCTCGCGCAGCGAACGCCGCGTCGGCGGTCCGACAACGAGGCAAATGAACAGAACGGGGGGCGGGCAGGTGGCGCTCCCTCCGACCGTTAAGCATCACGCCGTACGAGCGGCGTCCGGAGGGGGGGGGGGGGGGCAGTGGATAGCTGGGCATCACGAGCCAGAGCGCGCTCCTCCCACAAGATGAGTAGATTCTCCGCGCGTGCTTCCACGTCGCACCACTCAGTGAAATCCGCGAAGTCCTCGCTCAGGGAGATCTTGTCGTTGCACCTTACAAACACCTGACAGCCGTTTGCAAAACTCATCTCATGCCATAATTTGACCTTGATAAACTGATAATATCAACCACCGTCATAAACGAGAAAGAATGCTCCAACCAGGTTTTGGACCCAGTCACCCAAGGAGATCTGTTGAGTATGTCGCTGCCTCTTACAAGATCTCCCAAGGGCGCGTAGATATCCATAAGACCCGGATGCCCTGAGCGCACGAAGGGAACTCATCGTGGGCGCGACTGGAGAACATCTACCAGGCGTCCAAACTTCTCCGTGGCAATGTAGACTCTTCGACGTCTCGCAACACTGAGCACTACAACAATCGTTTTCGAGGGCAGTCAGATCAGCTGCCTTGCTGACAAGACTTTGAGCTCAATGATATTTTGCAATCGCGCCCATACCCCTGCGGAAATGCATCCAGTTACGAGTCTGACTGATCCTGCGGCCACGGGTGATCTATGCAACTCAGCCATTGAATGTTTTTACTGTTTATGCAACTTCTCAGGTTCCCATTCTTCAGCGGGACACTTGTTCTGTTGCAGTCAACTCATATACTATTAACTCATCGCTAGTATCCGTATAGCTGTAAAGCTGCCAGTATTTCCAATCCTTCGGCGAACAGACTCTATGTCCGGACCTGCAAGCGCAAACGACGATGTCATCGCGTGTCCTTGTATCTGTGGTGCGCCAGCCATTGGCAGAACCTGGCGGTAGTCTTCTAAAACTTATAAATATAAAGCTTGTGCTTTGCATACTCGGGGAGGCAATTTTCATGGTCTATAGGTATCGGCGTTCAGAACATCTGCCCCGAGTATGTGGATGCAAGGCGGCATCATACTGCGCAGTTCATTGATGATCTCCTGAATGTGGGAACTCGAGATTGTGGCGAGCGCATGCCACCGTATTTGGCATTGTTTGTAGTACCTCGCAGACTTTGCGCGAGCCGTCCTGTATGTTCCTTACGCGTTTTTTTTAAATCGACGGGTTTATACTCCATACAGCGTAGGTACATGTAGAGTGTGAACGAGCCTCCGGTAGCTCTTAGCAATGGGCTCCGCGCGTTCCTTACGCGTTTGACAGAGCTCAGACAAACGCGATATATCTTCGTTGATCGTTCTCGCTTCGGGTCTCGGACGAACTTTAACACTGTACCGCCTAAGGCGCCGCTGTCTACATAGTACTCATACGTTTCATCCCCGGCCCGCATCCCAGTTTCATCAGCCGTATTGGGATGTGGAATATAAACGGATAGCTGCGAGACCAAGGCGCCTGATAAGGCGTCAGATGGCGAACATCATTAGATTTCAGCGTTACTACAGCATTAGACCCCGTCCGCTAGCGTCAATACCTGTAAACATTCACGCTGCACGTAGTGGTCAAACGACCGGTTTGGCTTGCTGCAGCAAGGTCATGGATCTCAGTCGGTAAGAACCTGGGATCCCTCATCGCTCGAATGCCGTCCTCAATGCTAAGCTCGTACGTCCGGCGCATTCTCTATGATCCGCTTACTACGTTCTAGATTACATTATTTGACGGGCAGCTGTCCATTCTCGGCGATTCGTAATTCGTACCAGGGAGCACGCGAGATAAATATGTGGCAATGCCCAAAGATTACAATGACAGATACGCAGCCTGTTCAGATCTTAGCTAACCATTCCAGAGGCGCTCACGTCCTCGGAGAAGCGCCTCCTCGAAAATCGCAAAGTAGCGCCTCATGAATACGGAGCGTGTAAGCCATTCTGTGACGCCACGGCCACCGGCCGATATCCTACTGTGTCCTCATGTAATGTGCTGCCACGGATGGAGACATGCGGATTGGATCCTATAAATGTAAACAAGTCACTCGACGAGTGATTATCCATCCCGCACTTAGACCTTCCAACATCCTTCGTCTACACAAGACAATCGTATGCACTTTATTCCCGCCTCTGATTGCCGTTCATTGACCGTCATTTCTTCCGACTTTCAGATGGACCAGGTTCTCCTCCAACAGTTGGAGTACACTGCACCCGGTTCGCGACCGTTCGGCACCTCCACTCTCGCGCTCTTCGGTCTCCCCGGCGCACCCTTCGAAGGGGTGCCAGTACACTCTCTCCTGCTGGATGGCTCTTTGGCCGTCTGGCTGCGAGACGCCCAGCAGCGTGCACTGCCTGGAATGGACAGCGTCAAGGTATCTGTCCGCATCCTGGTGAGCGTTTCACTCCGAGGTATGGAGTGATAGCTCACCTTTCCAACAGATACCGGGATATACCGAATGGACCCATCAGATGAGGGTACGCACAGGACATCGGACAACCACGCCGTTCACAATCGAACAGGCGGCAAAAGCGCTGGCCACCGAGATACACCGCGCGTACAACGTGCGTGTGTTAGCATATATTTCTTACAGTTCCTGAGTCGTACAGCAGCACCTCTCTCGGCAAGAATGTGCATACAGCGGGTGGAAGTTGGGCGCGGACGGAATTACTTTCGAACAGATCTTTCTCGCTGGAGTACGGCGTGTCTCGCACGCTAGCATTCAACCTATCCTCGTCATCCAAGTTTGAGTTCGATTCGTGCTATTTTATATCTAATTGTGTTGCTGTATCATTATGACTCATTCAGGGTTTGTCTGACTCATAGACCCGGAAAGGCGTCTGTTATGTGACTATTGGAACCGGTCAACGCCGCGCGGGCCTCAAGACGAACATGTCCGCATTTAGGGTCGATATTGTGGAGCGTTCGGCATTGTGCAAGGTTCAAACTTCACGAGCCACTGAGCCACTTCCGTCATTCGACGCAGACGCTGGTAGTATGCCCATACCCCGGCCGAAACTAAGAAACCACTATGAATACACCTGATGAAGGTCTTTAGTATACATCTACAACCAGACAATGTTGAAATGCCCGGATGGGCCGGACCATGTTGAAGTCCGCCTATTTTCAAAATCTAGCATGTCCCCTCATATCGACCCTCTCCATGAACTCGGTCCCGTATAAGCGCCTTCTAAATAACCTAATCATCCTCTTCGATCCCGGCGGGGCGCTTAAGCGCCGAGACGTCCACACCAGGCACCGGCCAGCGTCGCGCAAACGCGCGGACCTCACGTCGGAGCTCGCGGACCTTGCGCGCACCCTCCTTGCCTTCTTCCTCGACTGACGCCACGCGCACGAAGTCCTTGAGCAGCTTGCTGCCGGCCTCCTTCTGCAGCACCAGCGCGAGTTGCACCGCGCGATGCAGGAAGTCTGCGACGACGCGGACGTCCGCCTCGAGCATGTTACGCGACGTGAGCGCAGACGTTCCGAGACGAATACCTCCCGGAACCTGCGCAGACGCGTCACCAGAGACGGCGTTTTCTGAGTTTACACGTGAGCTATGCGTGAAGGGAAAGGCAGGGCAAGGGCACGCACTGTTGATGGTGATGCCGACCAGGTCGCACAGCTTCTCAAGCTTGCTACCCGTCAGGCCGAGCGGGCGCAGGTCCCATAGGACAAGGTGGTTGTCTGTGCCCTGGGTCTGGAGCTTGTAGCCCTGCGCAACGAGCTCCTCGCCGAGTGCCTTAGCGTTTGCAATGACCTGCTTAGCATACGCCTTCCACGTCGGCTGGCAAGCTTGCAGGAGCGCAGTTGCGATACCAGCAATTGTCTACGGGATGTAGAGGTTATTGACACTCAAATAGAACTTGGTTAATGCGTACGTTGTTGTGTGGACCACCCTGGCAAGCAGGGAACACCGCATCGTTCACGCGCTTCTCAAGGCCCTTCGCCTTCTCGCTGTCCTTCCTGAAGAAGATCAGACCGGCACGGGGACCGCGAAGTGTCTTGTGCCTGTTTAAGCTGACAGTCAGCTCGGTTCCGGAACACACATCAAACGCATACGTCGTAGTGGTGACAACGTCACAGTACTCGAATGGGTCCGCGAGCTCACCAGCGGCAACCAGACCGCTCGTGTGTGCGATGTCCGCCATGAGGAACGCGCCATGTTCGTCCGCAATGGCACGCAGCGCCGCGTAGTCCCAATCGCGCGGGTACGCCGACGCACCACAGATGAGCAGCTGCGGCTTGAAGATCTTCGCCTGCGAGGCAAGGTTCTTGTAGTCGATCAGCTGCGTCGCCGCGTCAAGCCCATACGGAAGCGACTGGAAGTAGATCGACGAAGCAGTCATCTTCTTCTTGGCGGTCTATAATTATCCACATTAGTCTCTAGATCAACAGGACACGGGCGCCCCCGATGCCTTGAGGTGGCGGAACGGAAGAGCAAGCGCGGCCATCCGAGAATAGGACGTACATAGTAGCCGTGCGTCAGGTGACCGCCGTCGGGCAGCCCGAGACCCATCAGTCGATCCTGGGGCTGGAGGAGCGCCGTTAGAGCGGCAAAGCTGCAGGACCATTAGCGGCAAGTTACAGCGTTGTGTGGAATGCATACTTTGCAGTCTAGTGGGATAATACATATCAGCAAACGTTGCGGAACATAGGGGGAATGCATACACTGCCCGAGTACGGCTGCACATTGACGCCCCACTTGGCGGAGTCAAGGTGGAACGCCTGGAGCGCACGCTGCTGGCAGAGGACCTCCAACTCGTCAATCCACTCGTTTCCGCCGTAATACCGCGCAGAAGGAAGGCCCTCCGAGTACTTGTTTGTGAGAATGGAGCCGTTGGCCTCCATCGTCGCCCGGCTGGTCAGGTTCTGCCATGTCATCGTCAATAATGTTGTCTACACAACAGGAAATCAATGGCGCACCTCCGAAGCGATGAGTTCGAGCCCAGAGAACTGCCTCCATGTCTCCTTGTCGATGATGTTCTGCACCTCGGGGTCCACCTCGGCGAGAGGGGCGTACAGCGCCTTGTTCTGTCGCACAGGTCAACCAGAGCCTTCGAGAACAAACGGAAAAATAAGACATACGAAGTCGGGGATGGAGGCCATCGTTCTGCGAGCGATGGGGGCGGCGGAGCGAATGGGGCGAGTCAAAAGGCGCAGCATCGAGAATTTAACTACCCCGAAGTGATTGACCGGTTTGGGAAATACCGAGCGCCCTAGGTACCCATGAGGCGCGTCACACGTGACCTTTACACGAGTCATTCTGACGCGACGCGCCCAGTCACGTCTTGGCGGTCGTGCCCAGACTCGTCCGAGTGTTGGTACGCTATGTTCACCCCATCGAAGAATTATGTATTGATGAGAAAAACACGTCAGAGTCGTTGGATTGAACAGTAGGATAGGAAAACGACGCGCATACAGCGCGTCAAATAGCTTACATATGAGACTTCTATGTCGCATAAACCTCCCCCCAATTGTGTGAACGTATGGGGTCGCATCCTCATGCGTTGTAGTGAGCGTCGACGAGAGGGCCAGCCAGTCCTGTATTGACGTTAACGCACGCGCGTGAAGCGGCAAGAGAACGAGGGGGTGCGTGTAACTTGAAATCCGAACCCGCCGGGAGCGATGCCTGGGGTCGGACGGCCGCATTTGCTCACATGAGACAGGATGGAGAAGTGATTGTGATTGATTCCGATTTGGTCGTGGTCAAGAGTCGAGATCGCTATATATGTGCCGCAAAAGCCACGACAGAAGAGAGCCATCTTACATGGCATCTAAGTACGAATGTGCACAGTATCAATATATGACAAACAAACGCTTCCGGCTCTAGTTTGAGATCGCCTATGATGGAAATTGTGGCGTCTCGCCACAGATCGCCATAACGTTTCGGACATTTCCGCAGATAGCTCAAACTCTATTTTCTCGTAATATACGTGTAGCGTCCTATAAGTAGCCCATTTATTCAGGTGTTGGCAACGACCGCTGTGCCATTCCTTCAGCCAGGACAAACGCTTTCGTGTGATGTGCGCTTTCCCTGGTACATCGTGTGGCGATGAGCTCTGTATAGGCGAAAGTCAAGATCAAGAGCCGTTAGCATCACTTCCGCGTAACGTGTATGTCGCGGACGATAAACGTGGATGTCACTGCAGGCACAAGACGAGGAAGATTATGCTTCTTCCGAAAGCTCGTTTATTCGCATCACACCCTTGCTACTGAACGTTCTTGTGACGTCGGAGTGCAGGGCATGTCTCGCGCATGTCGCGAGTGTTGAGGTATCATCGACAAGATGGGCAGGTGTTATGCCATATGGAGAAATATACATCTCAACACGTCCTGAAAAGGACTATGTCTGACCATCCACAGTCGACTAAGTACTTCCCCTTGCAATGCCTCTGTGGTCTCGTGCCCAGACCCACCGTATCCGCACTCTTATTTCTGTTGCATGGAGACGTTTGCGTCCAAGGCAACACGCGACGCAGTCCTCCCCTGTTGCGGTATGTCGTCTCCCGTCTCTTTGGTTGTTGTCTAACGATCACGTCAACCACACTGTGGGAGACCGGTTGTGCATGTCGCAGGTGAGCTGATGACTTCATCGATTTGATCAAAGCAAGTTCACACAGCCCGGAGAATGCCGAGAGTATTTACTCCCTTCAAGTGTTTTACAACACTTCTTACAGAAGCAACAATTATCCCTTGCTTTCTTCGAGCGCAGCAACGAACAGCTTTGATGTTGCATGTGTCGTTGCGAAGACAATGAGCTTCGTTTTTGTAGAAGCAGTCGGATTGATTCTGCCATAGGCTAACGGACTGCGCATGCTCCACGAAGGTATGTGCGCTTGTTTGCGCGGAAGGAGCCAAGCCTCTGCATCGGTTCGGCAAACATCTGGGGTACAATGGCCGACCGCTCTGCTAATACAAGCGGCTCCAACAAGCCCCACCTCGCTATGTAGACCATCGCAACCAGCTCCGCGCGAAGCGTCCCAGCGGCTGCTGCGGTCAGTGGCCAGCGCTGTATTGTATCGCTTCCTGAAGGTATATAGGCCGTGCACCCAGCCCCGGTACGTTAACATCGCATCTCTCTGCGAAACTACAGAGCCGGGAGCTCTTGACGACTTGATTTGTCGTTTGTCTGATTGTCCTCGCTTTCGTCTCGTACCCGACACGAACTCCCTCTCGAGCTTCGGACCCGCACTCGTTCACCATCCTCTCCTTACACCAGCTGCTTTGCACTCTCGCCCCGTATCCTCTGAGCAACATGTCTCGTCTGGCCCTCATCTCCCTCGCCTCCCTCGCGCTTCTTGCGCCCATACATGCGGCTCCAACAGACTTCCAGAAGCAGAATGCTCTTGATGCCCAGAAGCTCAACGCGCAGTTCGCTTCCTTGGCATCGTCATCCTCCTGCAGTGGTACGCTTGCCTACTCCTTACCTTTTCTACATTGTCTCATTCTGCGCAGAGGGACAGCAGGCCTGCGTCTCCTCCGCCTTCGCCCAGTGCGTCAGCGGCGCTTGGCAGACAACCGCCTGTGCAGGAAACACGACTTGCGTCGCGCTCCCGCTCGTCAACAAGGCCGGCACAAGCATCGCATGTGATGTTCTTGAGGACGCACTCGAGCGCCTCGAGGCTGCTGGCGTCAGCGGCGGGCTCACTGGTGATGGCTCGAACTCTACTTCGTCATCCGGCTCGTCGTCGGGCAATGCGACTGCCAGCGGCGTCGTGAGCTCCGTCCTCGGCACAGACACTGCGCTCCCGACGGCGACCTCCGTGGACAACTCGACTGCCGACCCCACCGGCATCGCGGCGTCTCTAACCGATTCGGTTGCGTCCCTCCCAACGGGTGTGTCCTCGGGCTCGGGCGACAACTCGACCAGCGGGGACGCGCCCTCGACCGCTGATGGCGTGTCGGCCACCGCTACCGTCGCCCTGCCCACTGGTTCTGCAAGCGATGTGTTCCCTTCCGCCACTGACGCTGGCTCGTCTAATGCGAATGCTACAGCAGTTGCCAGCGCTGCAGCATTCGACGCCTCCAGTGCTGTGTCTGCCACCGACGCGTCTGCCGCCCTCCCCTCCGCCACCTCCGTGTCCGGCTCCTCGGATTCCCCGAACCCTTCGAACAGCTCCGGCTCCATGTCCTCCGGCTCCATGTCTTCCGACCCCCTGAGCGGCGGCGCCGATAACTCGACCTCAACCTCTACCGGCCCGTTCCTCGCTGAGCGCCACCACGGCAAGGACCACAAGGATGGCAATGGTAACAGCACGGACAGCGGCGCGGGCGCGCAGGCCTCCAATTCCACCGACCTCAACTCCACCGCAGCCTCCGCGACCGCCGCTGCGTCGAGTGTAGCCTCTGGCACCGCGAACGGCACTGATGTGTCTGGTGCTGCATCTGGCGCTGACTGCACCGTCACTGTGACTGTAACCGTCGGTGCAGGCGGCGCGTCTTCCGCAATCGCCACAGGCACCGCTGCGGCTGGCTCCGCCGTTGCGACCGACTCGGCTGCGGCTAGCTCCGCCCTCGCGAGCGCGACAGACGCTGCCTCGTCGGCTGCTGCTTCTGCCACCGATGTCGCATCCGCCGCCGCGGCCTCTGCCACCGATATTGCATTGTCGGCTGACGCGTCCGCGACTGACGCAGCGTCGTCTGTTGACGCTTCCGCGGCCGCCGCTGCAGCCAGCGCGACGGACAGTGCCGCTGCCGTAGCCTCTTCTGCAGTCTCTAGCGCCGACTCTGCTAGCGCGTCCGCGTTTGCTTGAGGGAAGCCGGCGTCCGCTAGATGTGGATTATGACCTATGCTCACAGCAGCTCTCGGAGCTCATGGTATATATTGTGTAGCTGCGCAGAATGCAATTGTACTGCTGTGATGTATATAATATCGCATTGATTCGAATGCGAGGCCATTAGTATACCCTTGTTTGCTCGACTGTAGGATTCAACAGTTGCCGTTGTGAACTTCTCAGGTGGCAGTCCAAAATCAGTACCCTGATTGATATTCACATAAATTATATCAGGACAGGTCCACCGGGCCCAGAAATCAGTAACATCCTCATTCCCGCGTTGAGGTTCCATATGAAACTTTAACTGTTCAATCGTAAATGAAAGCACGACTCATTCCTTCCTCATATTTCTCTATCAAGCCACAGCTCGCGTAAGGATTGTCTAAAGCACGTTCTGGGCAGTCATTCTCGTGTGTTTCGAGTGATGTAGCGTATGCATCTACAAGGATGGACTGCAAACGCTACATCCTCAACTTCTCCAGCGAACAGAGAACGAGTTAGCGGGTCGCTGGTGATCTTGACTTTCATTTCGTACCTCAAGCTTCACAGCTCAACGTCTGTCCTCCAGACATTGAAGACCAATTGCACCTTGTTGAAGTGTCCTATTGAACACTGCAGCAAGACAGTGTTGATATGGTTCAAGATTCTGCCGAAGACCGCATTGCTTCCTCAGCCTCTCGTGGATGCCACTTAGTTAACGGCTCAAAGGGTATGCGAAATGATTTTTGTCTGCACTTATCGTGACCGTGTATTAGTGCAAATTAGTGCAAATGTTCGCAAGCGCTACACTAACCTAATCCTCGCATGTGCACGTGTCTTTTTATGTTAATCTTATTGACGTTGAACCATACTCAGACCATGTATGGCAGTCCCGAGCCTGGAACGCTCCCAATGCTTGGGTGCTACATATGTACAGTCCATTTATCCATACTGCATCTGATTAAATAGCATCATTTACAGTTAGGGCTTCTATCATCCTTCGATCGCGGGCTGCGGGCCGTGTCCGGGGAGTGGTCAGCGAGAGAAGAGTAATGAACAAGTTTGTTGAAGCCACCTTCAGTTGCTCCAATCGTGAAAGCACAGTGCCTGCCTGCTGACGGATACTTTCCGGTTCCGCAGCGTCATTAGCAATCTCTTGCACCCGGGATACTAATTCCATCCTCCGAGCGGTTTTGGCCAGAGCGACGCGACCGTCATCTGGAGCGGGAGTTAGCTACCTTACCGCTTCGAAGTGTCAGACTCACCATATTCAGTGAGAACTCCCACTATCCGAAGTAGTGAGCCTGTAACGACTCTCTTCGGCTGAGAAGTTAGGTCGAGTAGCCAATCCACGGAGTTCCGTTTCAACATCTGATCACGAAGCCCAGCTACAGAAAAGTACCATGAAGTCTAGGTTGGAAAGAGGCACAAGTACTGCACGCACAGGATCGAGCGAAGGTCTCCAGCACCATCGAAGCCGTCCCCCATAGTTCTACGTTTGTGCCTTCCAAAATAGTCATGGGGGCATTGAGTACACTGTCCTGTAGGATGTCTGGAGTTGAATCCTCTGATGTACTATCAGTCGCATATTGCGTGCATTCGAGAGTGTAATAAACATACCATGCGCCCCAAATTGCATCAGACTATGCAGCAAATCAACGCATGCCCCAACTTCAGTATGTCGATTCATCTTCAATTGCAAGGACCTCGAAAGTGCGCGTATGAACCCCGCGCTGCGCAGCTCTTGGCGAACACGATCTATGCGAGATGTATAAATTGCGTTAAGCGAGAGCGAGACAGTGTATACCGTTGTGTATTGCTTCAGATTTGACCAAGCTCGAGACGACAAGATCCGAACATGACCCGCTGACAAATTGTCTCATGGCATCGATCAGACCACTTGCAAGGATTCGGTCGCGAATATCGTCTACTCGCGAAGTTCTCAGTAAGATTTTCAAGTATGCAAAAAGACATTGCCACGGACCATGTGTTCCCGCTAGCCGTATGAGAGTACTGGTAGCAACTACCTGCGTTTCAGTAGCACCCTTGGGAAACTGGTTACATATGACATCAAGAACGTCCATCCAGTGTTTATTCTGACGTAAGTGGTCTAGAGAGTAACATCACATCGCTAGGTGAGATGCACAGAGATTTTTACCCATTACTCCAACGCACCGTACTCCATAAAATGAGAGAATGTTGACACAAAATACCGCGCCGTAGATCCGCCGCCTTCAACGAGTTTTGCAAGCTGTTGAGTGAATTCAAGTCGCGTGCAAATCCGCTCACGAATGTCCTCTATTAATCAAACACCATGCATTCAGACCTGACAGCGGATTTTTATGAAGTGCATACTGAGATGACGTAAACGTAGAACCAAATGGAATGCATCGACCGTGATTTCGAAGCCCTTGGTACTGAATGTGCTGACAATGAGTTGTAGATAATCAAGCTTCACTGGTCTTTCCAAAGACGAAACTACAAATATAATTACGTTAGTTAACATTAGAACTAAGTGAACACACAACGTACAGAACAGTGACGCCCACAGTAGTACATCAACCTCGCCGAATGTGTGCTCAATGTTAGACGCCCCCAGCTCATGGAAAGCAGTTCGTATGAATTTGGAGAAAGAAGCATTCGTTGGATTGTTTATTAGGGTATCTGCATTCAAATCAGTCTTCAACATCTTGCAAACGACAATGGGTTGATGATGCCTCGCCTTCTCCACGTGCTATCTGGCTCAGCACAGAAAGAATTGTGGAGCATGACTCGCGTAACGCTTCGCGAGATTTCTGGTACAACCAAAAAAGGAAGTCCGGATGGTATGTGCGACTGCCTGTACCTGATTCAAAACGACGCTTGACGTGAGTGTCTGCGACTATCACTCTAAACATCGCACGGTCGCTACGTACGGCCACGTACCAAATTCATGGTTCGGGTTATGGAGATTCATGAAGGAAGCATAGTCGGGCACCGCGTTCTTCGTGAATATTTTGCTAATCAAGGTATTGACGGCGGGTCCTATGATTTTTTTCCCAATCAGCATTGTGCCTGCAGATAGGTCGGTATTAATTATACGTACTGTGCGCGGTGTCCACGGTATCCACGACCCTTCTCAAAGTGAAACCCGCTTCAGCAAGAAGAACCTCCAGAAAGTCTGCTTGGTTTTCTATCACTATGATACGAATTGTCACCAAAGGCCTTAACTCGTAAATGGCATAGAAATACAGGAGGATGCTCCCTTGCGAGACATGCCAGCGTTGCGTCCGTGGTCCCTTGACGATTTCCACATGACGTTGCTGTATTCGGGAGCTAACAATGAGACCTGGTGGTAAATTAAAGGGATGAGTACTCATAAGGCGATTGACGCACAATGTAGTTTGGGATAGCTGGGTATCTTGTGCAGTGTGAAGTCTATTGCTTGTTTGTACTGTTTATCAAAAAGGTACAGCAGGGCACGCATGAGCTTTTCTATTGCGCCTGGACCGTAATACCGTGGAGCAAAATGATCATAGACTGAGAGAATGTTAGGATGTTCCTGCGCACAAAGAAAGACCCTTCACCGTGCTGAATATCACTGGACAGCTGTGCAACCGCCAGCAGTCTGATATTGAGAGAAACGGAATCATCCGCGAGAAACAAGGATATTTTATCCAAAGCGATATCCAGATTGTACCCTAGATTCTAGTTATAAGTCCTGATAGGAGTTGTATTGACGGAAACCCGTGCTCACCGCATTTTGTCACAAAAACGAACAATGCGGAAACAGCCAATTGAACATGCTCCGTGCATAAAGAGGAGACTACTATGCCCTCGGTTTCGACCGAGATCTCGCATTCTGGAACAACCTTTCTGTCCGTGTACAGAAGCAAAAACGCCTGTATAAGCTTTGATTTGAATGATGGTGTGCAAATCTCCGACTTGTCGATAAGGGTTGCTAGGCGAGCAGGTATATCATCTTCCCACAGAATAGCCTTCCCATATTCTGTAGCAAGTTCACAATAAGTCCTGGCTGCGTGTATCTCTTTGGCGGGGAATCTCACCATGATCAGCGAGCTGCATCACAGTATCGAGTGCAGCATTAGACATTGCCTCTGGGCTTTCTCTGTCGCTGAGAATTGCAAATAGGCGTAAACCGATGTGATCGTCCGCTTGGGTAATTGCGGAAGTCCAGGAGGCTACATGGATCGAGTAAGTTCCGACATGCTCTGCGATAGCAGTATAAGGGACGCACAGTTGTGAACAAATAGTGATATTGCATCAAGGCCTCTCTTGATCGAGTTTGTGTCTGTCGAATATAGTTGTCGTACGAATGTCTTTGCCACAGTAATGTCGTAAAAATCCAACTCAAAGATGTCCCGCGACAGACTCGAATCTCGCAGAATCGCCGACTCTCGCAGAAGAACCAAGTTCTCGCCTGCACCTTCTGAATCGAGTATATAACTACCAATGATTTCCTGCCACGAGCGTTTCGCATATTCAGGTAAGAATTGCGCTTTCGGAGAGTAATCATGCTGAAGCGTGACGGATAGATGAATCTTTTGACCAGGATAAATAAAGCGGTGGGCGCCGAGGTGCGGTATGATACTATCGAAGGGCATGAGAGCACGTAATACTCGTCAAACTGTGGCTTACCGTGGTTGGGGAGCTGGGAAGTCCTCGGATCGACTCAAGTAAGGAATGAGCTCAAGGACCCACCATTTTCCCCTCAGGGATTCCTTTGGCAGCAAATCTGTGTGGATGCGCTCTTGATCCCAACCACCGTCCGGTGCTGATAGAATAAGTCCTTTTGCCTGCGCCTCATTTGCCATCCATATCGCTGGAGGTCTTTTTAGCGATAGTTTCATGTTCGGTTCGTTTCCTCCTCCCCTAAGAAATGCTTTAAGTCACGCCGCGACAAAGACACAACAAATGAAAGGAGGACGGACACATCGGAATGGCACCCGGGAAACCACACTTCCTTGACTCTGTCAATCTGTTCCTCATCCTGAGGATATGATAGGTGACTGGAGGCAAGCAAGGAAGTGAGTGTCCATTAAGTCTATGTCTGATCACTGTTCCACTCTCTCATGATACACACCTGACTGGCGTATCTGTGTGAGGCCCTTCACTGCGCCCGGCTCTGATATACGCAGAGCGACAGACATCTTCCGGTGAGTACTTGACCCTTCGTTCATCCAGTGCCAAGGCATGTCGGAAGTAACAGACGTGATCGGTCGTGTGCGTTTTTGGCAGATCCTTTGAGGAGCGGAACACGCCGATGGACGAGACTGTATCCCTAAGATAGCAAAATCAGCATTGTTCAGTATGCTATTAATGTACAAAGCATACCACACGCCAACGAAATGGACCTTCACTCCGTCGCGTGAAAATGCTTTTTTGAAGACACTTGCCCGCTGTCGGTTCTTTTGTAACCTGTTTCGTTCCTCTTCGATAATATTTTTCTGCCTTGCGGAGAGACCGCGGTTCCCAAGCCCGATATGTGTCCTATGCATAATGGTAAAGCATCAAAAGGATTCATGAACACGGGAAACGCACAATTTTGAATCCTCGGCAGAGGCGGCGTATAGTTCGAATGCACTGTGCCATTGCAAATGAAGAGAGGCCACATTTGCAAGATCTTAAGACATACAAAGGTATCTGTTCCTCGTTTCCGGCTTGGATCAGACCGACCTTCGCAGTGGAAACAGTGTCAGGTGTTGTTGATTATATGCTTCTGTTGCCCTACCACTTCTATCATCCCGGATAGAATCCTGGCTTGATATGCACCGCGTGAGAACCCTGTTGATTATGTGAGCGTATCAATGCCGGCAAGAGTTCAGCACCAACCGAAAAGAAATATCTGATCTCCCGGCCTGTAGTGCTCCGACAACCAGCGGTATGCTGCCAGAATAGGCTTTTCGAAGTCCCTGTGCAGACCGTCAAACGGGCTCCACAGTTCTAGATGATCCAAATCACCATCCAATCATGACTTCTCTCCAGCTCCTGAGATATCTCTTTGTAAGTCTCCACCACGACGTAGACGCCATATTCGCATAAGTCCCTATTCCGCTATTATAGTAAGTGAGTTGATTGTCGACCTTCTCTATCCGAGCGTATAGCTCGACAACGTTGGAGTTCTGATACGTTATTATGATGTTATTAGGATATGAGTTCAGGAATATAAAGGTGAACTACCTTAGAGCCGAACTGATTGGAAGTTCCATCAAGGGCTACGACGAGCCTCCGTCCGGCATCGGTTGCCCCACACATGGAGCAAAGTGTCTTTGTCTCCGCCTCTTCTTGGCCATGATATGTCGCCCGGTATTGCTCTGCCGTTCGGACCTGCTTGATCTGTTCGAAGTGTGAGCTGAAAAAATCAGCTCGAATAGAAAGGTGGGAGCGTTCGACATAGACATACCGCAAGAGACGATGAGCTGAATCCTTTGCTTGACCATACGGCATGGCTAGGTACGGATCAGACATGGCCATTCCCAACAGGAATAGAAGGAATAGAGTAACGATGAATCTTGTCAATGATTGCTATAGTTGATAGAGGGTCTATTGGTCATGTTGTCCACACACCTTGGGCCTTCAATTTATAGCTGACAATCGGGCGATGGTTCTGGACAAGCGGATCGCCGGGCCACTTCCCATGTAATGGAAGCGACATGCGATGCTATACGAGACCATGATTTCCCACAAGCTGTAAATATTTCAAACAGAGCGGTTACAAATCGCATCCTGTAACGGATAGAAGGGGATCTTGCAGCAGACCACTTGACTGGACATGGGTTAGTGCTGTAGATACCAGGCCTTCGGCGTCATGCAATGACATGTGGTTCTGATGACGACCACCGAATGAACCTGATATAGTAGAAGCAATCACACAATGGCGGCAATGTGGTGTGTTGGAAGTGGTCAGATGTTAGTGGCGGACATACAATGGCCGACGGGATTAATTTGGGAATCTTGCTGCCATGCACGACCCTTTGCAAGATTAATGTGCGAGTGGATAGATGGGATCACTCCTTGACTCGCGCATTTACTTTTCGACTTGAGCATCAATGCGGAGACTGTAGAATGTGCTGTTGACGTTGATCATAAGTAGAATTGGTCTACGAGCAGCTACTGTATTTCAATCAGCAACATGAGCACACTTGCGAGTATAAGGCGACTATGAACATACCTGATATTTATATATGGAATACGATCCAGCGCACGAGGACACGTAGCCATAATCCAAAGATGTTTCCAATGCTAGATGTTGTGTTTTGGAGAAGCTCTGGGTAACAGAAGGAGCCAGCATGCGGCGTCAATGTGCTGTTGGCAATGAAGTGTTAACGTTGCGGTTGAGTCGAAAGAAGCATGTCACTTCGCACCGATCTTCCAGTGAACGGCGATGACTACTTCCGACGGCATCCCTTCGGTCAAGTTCATGCCTTCAGCAAACAGAACTTCACGCACTTCGAAGTTATTGGGCAACGTTGTTTTGTAGGGCCTCGGTACCAGCCACGACTCGGAGCGGTTCCACTCGATCGATCGATATTCAATGATCGCTCGTTGCCACTCCGCGAACGTAGTCTAATACAGACCTTCGCTTACCTTATTTCGATATGCAAATTCATCGACGCACCGATGCCTGAAGAGTATTTGATCAGATTTGTGTATTCGGAAATTGCGCGAGACCGACCATCAACTATAAGTGCTATGCGTATGGATGTACGTGGAGAGACTACTGATACAAAGTTGCGATGGTGCAATGCGGTACTACACGACAGTGTGGATGGAAGGTTGGAATTAATGGGGCTGGATGGTAATAGTGGTATGCGATGACGTCGAAAACAGATGCAGAGCGAGGAAAGCGCGAGAAAGCGAAACTGTAGAGATGGTCAGATGGTGACTTACGGCAGGATTGAGACATACTAACAGAGACGGAAGATCGATAAGCTCGATGCGGGCGGACGGCGCCCTCAGGCTGCGATCGCGAGCGTCACCTGCACCGACGCATGGGATACGCGGTGGAGCGAAACGAGGAAGAGATCCTTGAACGCGATTTTTTCGCACCAGGCAGGTTCGCCATCGCGCACGCGTAGCTCCTAGAAAGAAGCTCAGTTTGAGCAAACAGTCGCAGCCGCGCTCCGAGCCTATTTCTCACTTTGCACGCTCGTTTCATGAGTCCAGTCAATTTGACGGCGGCCTCGCCAATCGTTAAAGGTTTCCCGCCCTTTCTAATCCGCATCTGGTGTCCCCACGGCTCGTATCCCAGAATCTATGTATCGAAACGTATTGCTCAACACTTGGCCACTCAGGTGACGACTGAGCCCTCGTACTTCAATTCGCACTGAAGCCTTCTCGCTATCCATACCAGGGAACGCCGGTAGGTCTGCATCTACGAGTTGGGACTGCACAATCCACGGACATTGTTCAAGTAGTTCGAGGCTTATCCCGAGTGCGGGGCAGTCTGCGAGATCGAAGCAAGAGAGAAACTTTGATAGCTGAGGTCCCTGCCCTCCCTCGTAAGCCCTTTGCGGAAGCAGCTGAGCCATCGTATTCAGTCGTAGTGCACGGTAGCAGATGACTGCCAGCAGGCACTTGGGGGGGGGGGGGTGACAAGAAAGTCGGGGCGAGGGATGCATACCCGCTCCGAGGGATCTTGATATAGCATGAAAAGAGGGTATGATGCTAAGCAGGGAGGGGAATGGATATGAACATGAGGTATGGTTGATGGACCCCGGGAGCCAGTCCGGAGAGAGTGGATAGATTTAGACACCCCGATTTGTGTGCCAATCGGTGGACTCGCTCCTCATTCAGGTCTAGGGCGGGGATATAAGCAAGGGACGACGTGGGCCTGCCAGAAGTAAGCAGGAACAATTTGGATATCGGAGTACACACATTTGCATGACACCGGACATGCGAGATCTACCAGGTCTGCTAGAACTTCAGAACCCGGATCTAGAGACTATTTCAATCATGATCCAGATGCATTTCCAGATTCCTGGGTCGGATAGCATATTCCGCGACGTTGACGAGGTCGTGGGACAGGAATTCTGAATCTCACCATGGACGGCATCCAGGCAAGGCGTCCTGCAGCCAGAAAGGGCGCATCAACTACGAGAAAGTCGTGGGTCGCCTTGCCATGGGGTAGAACGCAGCGGTGCTCGGGGATAGGGCTCTGGCAGAGTATACGTAGACGTATCGGCGAAGAGGTCGCCTGCACAAGCCAAGCGCCTACCCTGAGAAAAAGAGGGCTGGAAGCCTTTTCTTCCTAAAAAGGCAGTCAGCCGAAAGTCGGAGACGGATGCACCTCTATACCTTCCACCTTTTTGGGTAGATACTGCCCAATGCATATCTCGGATTCATGATTTCTGCAGCGCCACGACGGAACACAGGCAGATGACGGTCTGGATTTGCACAGAACTGGCGATTTGGAATTCTGGGTGTGCGACGCCCGATAGCAATCCCCACATGCATGTGCCAGCGCTGTGCCAGGGATCTCTACCTTACCCTATGTCCTCCGGCATGTCTTGCTTCTCAGCCTTCTCTATCTGCCGCCCATCCGCGCCCATGTCTATAGGTCGTCATGCCGCCGGCTGCCGCTCTCGGGGTAGCGGATCGGTCATACGAAAACAGACAGGACCTTGCGTGCAACGTGTATCAGCGAGGTCCCATCTCTGTCTGCTGTGGACTTCCGTGATATCCAGCTGCAACAGATGATCCACGTTCTCTCGGTGTCGACAATAATAACGGCTTCATGCTGGTCGTCTACTCAATGCGGGCATGCACCGAACTAGCGGTAGACGGGATGGGAATGCAGCGCGCTGCTTGATTGGCTGATAGCGATATGGGAACTCTTGCCCTTCCCAATGGCACCTGGCTGCGACGGATGTGCCGCAATGTGCGGTTGGACCGAGACCTGCTGACGTCTCCCCGATGGCATGAAACCGGTGCGTGATCTTGCAGCACCCTGAGAGACATGAGGCGGCCCCTCTGCACCCCCACCAATCCGCAGCTTGCATGTGGAAGGCTCGAAAGCGTTGCTTGAGCAGCCATCCTCTCACACCTGAGCTATGATGGACACAGAGGGGAGGACTGGAAGCTGTCTGCCAGTGAGTTGTATCCTTCATCACCAGCGAGAAAGAATGAGCTTCAGCCTCTGTCTTATCGCACTTCGTAGGATGCCCTCCGTTTCGATCTTTCATATAGTGAGGAATCGGTGCTCTAACACTGATCACGCCTTCAGTCGGACACTGTATGTATACAGGAAGCCAGCGCCTGGTGGACGAGATCCCGCCGGAGCCGGCATTGCGCCTTCTTCGTCGGTAATCAAAGACGTTCTCGTCCGCGCCTGTCAATGTCGCAGCTATTACCAGGCTGCAGATCCTTCTCGCATCGCGATAGGCGGTTTGTGGCAGTGATTCGATCTTCGCGTGGGTGCATGGCGATCTGTGCGATTCGCGCTGCGCCACAGTATTAACATACTCCGATATCGGGATGAGACCTTAGTCGACAACGCCGTGTGGTCTGATCCCTGAGCGTCCCAAGCGCTGCCACAGCCTCCGGACGCTGCTGGTCACTTTCTACCGCTCGGGTACTACGGGTGTAAACAACGCTTCGTTAGGCAGCACAGCCTCCCTCGGCTACACTATCGTCGCTCTCGCTCTTCTCGATCTCGCAGTTCTCATCATATATGTGACCGGGATCGTCGGTCACACCACGTCCATGTTACAAATGTGGCGCTGGGTCATGTGCGCAACTGGATCGCTTCCTCTTCACTATCTTCACTGTCTTCACTGTCTTCACCGACGTCTGTGAAACCATCACACAGCAGGAGCATACTATAAAATCTGCGAGACTTGCGAGACAGGGATGCTCAGACACACGAGGTGAGCAGTGTCCTGCATTTTTTGCTACCAACGACTGACTAGCGTTGAATCCAAACGTTCTGTCACTATTGACAGTTGGCATAGACTTGGTCGGGGTTGATTCGGACGCATGACACTGTAACATATTGTCCAACAAAATCGAGTGGAGGGGACACCACCGTAATTATTGTAATGCAAGGGGAGGTTTCTCAATATGAAATGACTCTTGCCTTCCCAGCGACGAGACGTCAAAAAGAAAAAAAGCGGCAAGCTCACCTCGTTGTACAACGACTATTACGAAGTCACCTTCCACGTCGAAGACAATTGAAAATGAGCACCAAAATTGCTACCATTCGAGATTGATCACAACTTGCCTGGATTACACGCAGGGGAGCCTGCTAATCGAGACCTCCATCGGCATCCCGAACTTCGCCAATATGCTGGCCCAAGCTGCCAATAAGCGTGAGACTCAACTTCACATATTCGACCTCAATATGCACCATGGTAACCAGTTGGAGTGCTGGGACGCCTCTGATGGGCAACTTTCCGCCAACCAGCACGGCAGCACACACTACGCATGCCCACGGCGAAGCCCTGGCTACATTGCGACAGGAGGACGAAGATAGCAATAGCATCAGCGCCCGAGATAACATAAAGCCGCCGGCATGAGCCTCCAACGTAATCCACTGATATAGCTTAGCAGAGAACTGTGGGCACCAGTGTGTGCATTGTGTACCCCCGGGCGTATCAGCTAATGATATATGGACGGGGTATCGCCGGGCTTGATGGGCATGTGATTTCACAGAGTCTGATCGACCTATAATAAGGCATCGTGTGAGCGCCATTTCATCGTTTCCGGGTTTCCGGCGAAGCAACGCGATAGCCTCATGTCGTCTAGGCGCCGGGGTGCGGAGGCAGGAATGAGCAGACACCCAAATTGAGAAGGACAGATAGCGCGAGAGGACGAGACCTGCATGCTGAACACATCCCGTGTACGCGTGCATCATCTGTCCAGCGCTTCTCGCGAGTGCGGGGCTCCATCTGGATGCTACTCGAGCGGAAAATGGGCCTGAAAGTGGCGGTCAAGCTCGTACGCATAGCTTCAGTTGGTTCTGGTCGGGAGCTTGAGGGAGCTGCCAGTAGAAGGGGAGAGCAGTGATTCGCGGGGGACATACGCGAGTGCTGAGCCAAAAATCTAAATTGCCTGCTGCCGCGATATCTTCCTGCTGTGCTACCGAACCCATGGCTCACTCCCACACTGGCTTATCGCACCCCTGGCTCTCCGTTCTCCGGTGACATTCTGCCGTAAGTCCTGAATTCCATAATCTCCTTCCCTCAACAGAGTCATATTGCGGTACCCCAGCTGATGTGCCCTGACCTTATCCAACGCCGTACCCAGACGTGTCTGCCTCTCATCGTCAAGGGCATTCAGTCCATCATTATCCAGCATACCCAGCTCGCTTTCTATGCACGTTTTGAGTCGGCCTGACTTTACGATCTCTCGTCACCCCGTTTCCTTCGTGGCACGTACTGTTTCCCCTGTCAGACGTCTTTCTCTTCGTGCCGGCGTCAGAATCGACTATAATGATCTCCCTCAGAATTCAACAGTCTCAATCGGCGTCGCGGCAGAGAGCACCCTTTCCCCCTCGAGTTATCACTCGACTCTTTTCCAATGGGCACTCGGTGTCAGCTTTGCCCTTTTCTAGGAGCAGCCCGGATGGCCTGGCTTCTGACGTACGCGCATCGCCCTGTGTTTCCCGGTGTGACAACGAGAAGATCATCTATCCGAGTCCAGTCACAAAAGGGCCATGCGTAGAGTGACGTATTTTGACGAATAGATACGCGGGTGTCCTGGGTGAGAGCATCAGATGTGCGTGAACTCGACCAGGGGCACCTACACGATCGCAGAGGCCGCGGTTTAACCTAGCAAAGGTTCTGTGGTGAGCATACGACGTACGCGTTATGGCAAGGGTCTCCTTCGGAAGTATGTCTGAAGTATCTTCTCTTGCAGATTCTGCAGAAGCCGAAATCCGCTTCCAACGCGTGGCAGCTCTGCCCACATAGGATTAGGTTCGGCAGTACACTCTCTTCGTGGAGGTGTATAAAGTGTCGCAGGCTTCCAGTTAGTTGATGCTAGCAACCACGGCCGCGAATATCCGAGTTGTGAGTACTCCCTACAAACAGAACAGATGCGTTTCGGTGCATTTCATACCTTCGCATATCCAAGACAGTCGTCTGATAAGGAGTAACTCCCCTAACGCTGAGCTTCGTGCTTTGTACCACTCTTTCCATCGTATCTAGTCATCGCCATTCAGTAAGGCACCATACTATCAATGGTCTCTTCCGCCACGTACGCACACGTATTATTGCCAAGACACATATCGCTTCCGTGCAGTGCCTTGAATAAGAATTGCTTCCGTGTTGACGCGGAGTTGCAAATTGTGTGCTATGATGTCAGCGCGGTTCCGTCGGTCGCATGCGGCGAGCGCGCACCCAACGACATTGATCGACGCATTGATCGACCGCCCCATGGGGTTGTACCTTGTGCCGAGATTAATTGCCGGAGAAACCAACCGACAGCGCCTCCGCTTTGATAGCCTCGATCTACGCGGACATTCTTCCGATGAATGAGGCGAATCGCGGGAGCTTCTCATCGCCGCTGTCCAGGATTGGCGCGAATCTCTTCGATGTTAATCTTCGGAAAGAAGCATGGCATTGATAATGTTAGGAAAACTAATTGAAGCCTACGCACGCTTCGGATCCATCTCGGTTCGACACAACATCGTGCACATGATCTTCGCAGCCTGAGAAGTATAACGAGGGACCCCATGTGTCTGATGCTGCAGTGACAAAAACATTGAAGAGAGGCCTGGAAATAGCACCTCGATTAGATTATGGTTTCAAACAAAGTCAATATCTACGCAGAGTCAGTAGCAACGGACGGAGATTTGCAGGAGGAACATGCCATCTAAGGAACAGCCGAGTTCATTGCTTTGGGAAGCTTAAGCGACCGCCGATTGGATCTCAAATGTTGTCAAGACAACCCCGAGGGGCGACTAGGAACGTCAAGATCATCGATTCAGCCGGAAGAATGTGACGGCATTCGGTCGATGTAGTGCGTCATAGACGCATATGGCGATCACCAACATGCCTGAGAAACTGACAGCAGGGGCACACAGACCACCTTTGAACGGTGATTTTCCACCCAAAATTGACATCGCGGGCGCAGATTGCTATCTAGAGTATAGCAAAGATCTGTGATAAGCGGCTTTTTCAAGCGCGTAGTGGATCCTGGAGGTAGCCGTAAAAGGCAACAACATCACCTCGATAGGGAGACATCCAACCATGAAGGAGAGATGCCAATGGAAACATAGAGGAGTCTCAAGGCCATACGCTCCACAATCAACCCATCGAGTCAAAAGAAAACAGACGTACCCGCGCTGGACTGCATACAAGCAGGCTTCGCTACGCTGCCCACCTCTTCAAGTTTGAAACTGTACCTTGCGAATATGGGAGGCACGAAGGCAAGGCCTACTTGCAATCTCACTGAGACCAGAATTTAAATGAAGGTAGGGGGTGCCTTTACCCGCGTATGGTACACACACTAGAGTGTTTATAGCAGGAAACCGTCAGCGGGACCAGTAGCAGCGGAGCGTACATTGACCGCCTCAGACAGATGGACTCATGCCTATTCCACCGGGAAGGGCCAGCGCGGCGACGGGAAAAGGGCATTGTCCTGGCGCTTACCGGTCGGAAAAACTGCGGCCCGCTCATGCAAGCGCTCGTTAGTCTCCGTCGTCTGCATTTCACCTTCCAAAAACGCTATTCATGGCGGAAGGTCTTAGGTGTCCAGAGCGTGTCCGCGCTCCGGACAGTGAGCACTGCCCGCGGCGGTGATGGAATTCTCGTTCGTCTTACCCGTCCTCGCCCATTTCGAATAGGTCAGGTCAGCAAGCGTTATACGACAAGCCTGAGCCGAGGAGAAAGTTAGTACGTTATATACGCGCATAGTGCACCATCTCGTCTACGACAGCGATCGTCTATCCTTGCTGTATGAAGACAGTTTCACAAAAGGGGCGAATACAGCGGCTGGGTGGAGTTCAAATGCTCATGTGATCGACTGATACAGGAACCTCGGGACAGGTTTATATGTGCTCCCACCGCCGGATCGCGCTCGCACGACAGGAACAACAAGGCAGTTTGAGATATTCTACAAGACATTGGCGTCCGGCGCTCCACAGTCCGTGCCGCATCTGCAGTTCAATCACACGACCAATTTCGTATACAGAGGATGAAGACTCAGACGAATTCTCGTGTACGATTGGCCGTTTCTCTACCACGACCATCGTTGATGCAACGGTGGCTTCAAAAACCTGAATGCGCCGAGCAGGCGGTCTGGCAGTCTTTTGAGATTGCCGCGCAGAAGTTTCCTAGTTGAGGTTTCCTGACTTCTGACTCCTCAAACAGATGACCGCTGAGGGAAGAGCGCACGCGACGCCGACGACAAGGACCATAGGAAACAGTAGTGTGCATGCGCAACCTGAATAATTTTACCCACGCGAAGTCGGCTGACGGCTCGTGAGGTGCGTACTATCTGAAACAGGTGAAATAGATGCATCCTAACTGACATTTTACTATTTCTTTCAATGAAGATAGTCATATAGGCCTCTCATGCGGGGCTTCCGTCCTGCCGGGGGTCGAAGAGTGTATTTCCTGTGAAGCTCAACGTCCACCTCTGTCTTCTGTTCCTGTCTGTCCAATTCTTGCACATACGTTCGGGAATATCATATCACCCTCGTAGAGGTTCTTTCAGTCGACTACGAAGTATCCTGGATCGCACTGCTCACTCATAAGACAGTGGACTACTATATTTTACACAGATTCCGGCTATTTGCTTCGCCTGTGGTGTGCGCACCAACACAGCAATTGATATCATCGAAACGCTGGGATTTCCTCGCAGAACGACTAAATAAGACAATGGAGTGCCAATGAAGGTTATTGTCCGAGTTAAAGTGATACACGTAGTGCGTTGAGTATAGTGCTTATCTAGAAAGTGCATCATTTAAGTAACAGGGTTGTCAGGGCACGAGCTCAGTGCCTGCGCTCAACTGGCGGCTGTACGTGCAGTTGTCATCTCCTGACAACACGAGCGTCTTACACATATGGGCCATGGCGGCTGTTGAGTAGCAGTACTTCTTCCATTGTGAGCATGTTCACTGATCAGTATAGAGTCCTTCTGGCTGTCCCCGTGCTCTGGTAAGCGAAACATGAGAATCACGTAACCGGGTTCTGCGACCGAGGAAGTTCTAACGTCACGATACTCGTACACGGGCAGCTGAGAAGCAGGACAGGGAAACTAGCAAGGTGACGACATGTAGCAAAGCAGCCGGGATGGGACACAGGGTAATATGTAAGTCGTGGAGACACGTCATGCTAATGTCTCAAATGCTAGGGTGATTTGGATGGAGGCACTCGAGACCTGGTGCACCTCGACGAGGTACAATTGCTCAAAGACAATTCCCGTCGGCCCAAGCTGGACGCCGCCCGGCATGCATATCATTCCGACGTGGTACTGCGAGGAGAGTGAGCAGAAGTAGCGTGCGCATGACCTAGGCACAACACGCACATTGTAGGCTCGACGAATGACCCTGGTGAGGGCAATTGCGGCTTGCTCTATAGTAAGCCCTCCGCGTTCAGGGTAGACGTGCATCTGGTTAAACCACGCTCCGTACCCGACAATCTGCTTGCTCATATATTAATACTAAATTGTGTCATATGAGGAAACTGCACACGTGAACGCGAAACGACGGCCTTGTCATGCGCAGACCGGGAAACGCAGGTTGTGCGGCGTGTTGCAAGAATGACGTGATGGAGGGATCCTGCTCGATGGATGCAAGGTGGATGCCGGCATTCGCGCTCCCTAGGATAGTGTAGCGAGATAGCAACCTGTACATAGTAGGGCCCTGTCGTGCGATATATTCATTTTGTGGAATAATATAGCGCGTCATTCCGATGCTAGGATGTGCAGCGAGTGTTGTGGCGGACGAACAGTGTGCTGAGGGGCCTGAGCGAAGCTGAGTGTATTGGTCCTGGACGGTTGCATCGGTGCTCTTAAAATGAATGTACCCCAGGCCAATTGCCAAAAGCGACTGCCCGATCAGAGTCGCCCTCTCAGATTTGAGATAGACGTCCTGAGATGCTTCTCAGCGTGATGCAGGGTGGTCATGCAGGGCATCCGGGGCACTGCCAGCGTCTCGGGGCCCTATGCGTCTAATCTGACGTTCCTTAGCGGATCCCGTCGAGACGTTTGCCTATAAGGCAGTCGGCGTCTGTCCTTATCGGCAAGCTTCTCGACGAGATCCGCATGCGTTACCCGGCGTTCCTGTGTCAACAAACTTGCTTCTCATCCTATCAGAATGACGCGCTATATTATTTCACAAAATGAATATATTGCACGACAGGGCCCTGCTATGTACAGGTTGTTATCTCACTATACTATCCTGAGGAGCGCGAATGCCGGCATTCACCTCGCATCTATCGAGCAGGAGCCCTCCATCGCCTTGTTCTTGCAAGACGCCGCACAACATGCGTTGCCCGGTCTGCGTGCGAGAAGGCCGTCGTTTCGCATTCACGTACGCCGTTTCCCCATATGTCACAGCCTAGTATTGACGTATGAGCGAGCAGATCGTCAGGTACAGACCGTGGTTTTTCCAAATGCACTTCTACCCTGAGCGCGGAGGACTCACCATCGAGCAAGCCGCACTTGCTCTCATTAGGTACATTCGTCGAGCCGACAATATGCGTGTTGTGCCTACGTCGTGCGCACGCCGCTTCAGCTCACTCTCTTCGCAGGATCACGCCCGAAGGATCTCTCTGCCTGGGGCCATCCAGTTTGGCCCGACAGGCATTGCCTTTGAGCAACTGTTCCTCGTCGAAGTGCACCAGGTCTCCCGTGCCTCCATCCAGCTCACCCTCGCGTTTGAGACCTTGGTATGACTCGCCTCCGCTTCTACCCGAGAGGTATGACCGTCGTTTCAACCTGGAGAAACGCAGACTGACTCACTTGGATAATTGTTCAGGATTCGCCTGCTCTGTTGAACGTTGTCTTCCTTGTTATCTTCGTTATCGTCCTTCCTCCCTGTTGTCTACTACAATGGATGCTATCATCATGGATCGATATCATAGAGCAGTCTGAGACTCAGAACACCATCGTATAATCAGCGAGAATGGTGACAGACATGGAGCTGAAGACGCACAGAGCATTTACGACGCGCCGTATGCACCCTATGCTGCAGGTCAGCATATGACGCCCCCTTCTTCTTACTCAGACCCCACGGAATAAATCCAATGCTTCATTGCGTATGAGGGCAGCCAGTATATTTTATGTAAACCATCGTATATTCTCCACAAATGAGAGCCTCTATTCTGCAGGGTGACGCGCCAGCGGCTCTTGTTCCGCTAAGAGGTGATGACCGTGCGTGCAATTGCTAGTCAAGCACGGGCACCAGCCCCATGCCCTGGCAGCTTCGTTAAATTACAAACGGATATATTTTGTGAAATTTGACAGACCATTTACTGAGCAGGCAGCGCGATCAAGGATACTTTGTGATCAAGACAGTAAGCATCCACGAGGTCACGAAGAGTTCCCAAGAGTATGCGCAAACATTACACATACAGGGCCAGCGGCGGCGGACTTTGAACATCGTCATCAGAAAAGCACTCTTCGAACCCTGACGAACACAAATTTCACGAGAGAGTGTTAGATTTTGGGGCCCGCGGTGTCGAGCGGGCCGACCCGACGCGCCCTGTGCCTAGCCGGGAGAACGATCGCAATATGATTGCCAAGCAAAATACATCGATACCGTAGAGTACTTGTACCGTAGCGCGGCCGTACTTGGCCCTCACGCGTTTGTAACAATTCCACCGATTTGCTCGCTCGTGTCCGCGCTCCCACTCCCCTCGTCTCGTCCCCGGGCTAAAGTCAACAGAGAGCTCGGACAAGATAGAGTAGTCTGAATGCCCCTACGTTGAAGGAGAAAACAAAACACCAGTGAGAATATGCCCCCGTATTTGGTTCAACGTCTTAGAACAACACGTACTTCGTGATCCGTCGGCTACCTTCATGGCGGAGCGGGTGCGGATGACTGGCGCGCTCTTTGTCGCGCTTCGTGGAAGTCGATTGCATTTCGCGAGGGATTGTCACGAAGGTCTCTTACGACAACTAGAGACGCCAGAGTCATTGTTTTTGCCACCAGAGATGCGACGGCGTCTTGCGGATGTCGTGAAAGATGTAAGTACACGACGATCAATGATTGCCTGAGAAGCCGACGAAAACGACGCATAGACCACCCCTGGACGGTACAGCTCACGGCTTCAAGGTGCGATAGCGAGGGTAGGATGTTTTCTGCAGTCTCAGAATGACGTGCGCTAGCCGACTTTTGCAGGTGCACACAAGCCCCCGGTAGTAGCAGTGCTAGACAACAGGCTCACGATATCACCTCGATTAATGGATAACCAGCGATGATGGGCAGAGACAGCAAGTATAGGAGCTTCCACAGAATTATATCCACGATTGATACATCGAGCGCAATGAGAACAGACATGCCTACTTTGTGAACTTCCACTGACGGGCGATTCTTACATACAAGCAGGCCTTGTCAAGCAGCCGGCCTCTTCGACTTCGAAGTCGAGTCCGTGCAAGGCTGGAGGGTATCAAGGGATCCTTGCAGCTCTACTGCATGCAGAGTTAAAAGATCAGATGTGGAGCGCTTCCGCTGCCGCAGGGAAGATACGCTAGTGTGATTTCGGCATAAACCCGTCACCGGCAGTAGCATCAACGTCGGTCGTCGTGCTAGCATCTGCAGGCACTCTCTGTTGCTGTATGCAGTCCGCCGGTGTCCGTACACAGCCATGAAAACGTCAACGCGAGACTAGTATGTGTTATTCTTCTACAATCATGTACCAACGGAGTATGCATAATACATATTGGCGATCGGATAGCTGAAGACCGTTGGGCTCGCCCAAGTACGAGGAGGGTGCTCTGTCGACAGAAGACGCAGTTCTTAGACTTCGCAGAGTATAGACATTTCCTCCAGCGAGAAGCAGTCCAAACGTCCAGCAGTGAGGTGGCTGGGGCATGAATGCAGGATAGAGATGGGCGGCGGAAGAACGCGAAGTCGTGCTAGCGCTCATTCGTCGAGAAGCGCTCGTCGTTTCCAGTCCAGATGGTTGCATTCCTGGCCGGTCTTCTTCACATCGACAATGTGAATCGGAAAGGTCATAAACAGTTTCTGCCTAGGGAAGACTGACACCGAACTTCTCTTTTCACTGTCGTTGTCCTGGCTACACATAACTTCTGGGGAATTCGCCTCTTGCACCTCACGGCAGTCTTGCTAATCGTGGCATCCTCATATGTTTGACCTCGATCTCTGCGAAGGATCTCTGACGATCTCGGCTGACGATGCCTCAACAAGAGAACGCAGTAGATCGCACAGTGTTACATGTGACGTGAGGGGGAACCTACTAGATATCGTCGGCGCGCGTGGCGCACACCAGCTCGTTGGCGACGGCATGTTTACTATGTGAAGGTTCCACAGAAGAGGTGAGCACATTGGCTGGCTTTAATCTCATTCTTGCTTAACGGTCCAAGGGTCTTGAAGTCGATTAGCATCAGACCCTTGGCACATGTTCTAGTTATACATGCCTACCATGGGATTGTGCGCGCACAACATGGATAATATGTCAGTTTAGACAATTCGTGCCGGATGTGCCGATGACAAGGTTTGATCAGTCGCGTATACAAAATAGAGGCTGTAGACTGCCAGCAACTTAAGAGACCCGGCGCGCTTATGGCTGGAATTATAGGACAAGTCACAATGAGAATGATACGCGACTTCTGTAGTCTCACTGACACGAAGTAGGCACAGATCGTGAGGTACGTGTCATCTCAAACGGGTGAACTAGATGTGCGACGTATCATCGCTAGTATTTGAATGTTCCATCTAGCTTCGAGGTTGTTATGTCAACTTCACCTCCCTCGAGCTCTCCCACAGATTGTCCAGCCTGTCGGAGATCGAGGAGTGCAGTTCTGATGATGTTTACGATCAGCCGCTGCTCTAACTCTCTGTCCTTGCAAAGCGCAGTTTTCGCACGCGTTCGGGAGCTCCCCGTCACCTTGTAGACGCTCTCTGCGTCGATTACAAGATGGTGGATTGAATACACGTTGTGACTGGAAACGGCCACTTTCTGATGCGGAGGAGGGCGTGGGGGAAAGCAGATGTTAGACATGGATGTCTGGGACCTGTTGAGGTTTGAAGGCGAACTCGACGGTGGACTACCAGACTTCCTATGGGTTGAGATGCCCGTGTGCCCTCGCCGGCTAAGTAGTAGAACCTTGATTCTATTGACATATCTCACCAGAACGACATCACAGTAAGATCATTCCAATTTCATTGATTTGTATTAGGGAGAGGACTATACGCTCTCCCGACCTGACTGATTTTGGAAATTGTCACTCGACCCAGTCGACGTTCACTGGCTTACGATTCTCTCCACAGTGCATTTATTCTCAAAGTAACTTATACTCCTTCTTGGATCCCCTCACGGCTTTGGCGCCAAGGCCTAGGCAGTGTTTCATCTCGACAGACGCATGCAATCACCCGTCACCAATTGCATAAAGGCCGCCAATACGTAACACATAATCATAATTAGGTTTCGCATTGTCTGATGGACCTTCTTGTCAAGATATTTGGGTTGACGCTGCCGCCAGCAGATCGTGCTTCCATTTTGGCCGGTCCTGGTCTACCTGCGGCGATCCAGCGGACTCTGGCGACCGACGTAACGGCCTTTCTCAACATGCCCAAGGATATGGCCCCTCTGACCTCTTTCTAGCATCGACGATCGAAGCGCCTGCCCATGTATAGCAAAGTTGCACTCCTGCTTAGCTCGTCCTGTAATATCACTGCGACATCGTACAGTAGCGTTCGGCCAGTACACACCGCCCCATGAGATGTAAGTGCGTGTACACTACGCGCGCTCATTACGTTGACCACAACGACAGCGGTGATGTGGCTCCGGCTGACATGGGGATGCCTAAACATAACAACGGGTACTATCGTATAATTTATGGGAGAGGAGCACAAAGCTGGTCGCTGGCCACGGTCAGCGATGAGAAAGTACGTATTTGCGTTCATTCCAAGTACAACCCAGGCTGGAGCCTGGAACGATGCGCAAGTGACCATGGTACAGGATAATGCACTACTTGACAGTGGAGCGAGCGTGCCATGGGAGGTGCGTCAGGGCCTTCATCAATGCTTTCCCTAATATCTCCGCTCAGTATCGGAGACATGCCCATCCAATTTCAAATCTATGTCGTTTCTCACATTCGACTTTGAGTTATGGTAGGACGCTGTTATGGTAGGGCGCTATGCAGTGCGGGCATTCAAGGACTTGCGGGGTGCATTCGCTGTTGTATGCAGAGCCCGCAGGCCACTGCCGACCTGCGGAATGTTCGATGCGCTCGTTTCCGGTCAGATGAGGGACTGATATCCGAGTTATCCGCGATGTGGTTTGCGAAGCCTGATATCATCCTTACCTGTATGCAAGGCGCCACAGATGAGTGTCGCTAAAGATAGCCTTGACGCGCGCCGTGTCTCGCTCTCAGAGACCACGCCGTGTCCCGCTCTTCATACGCTGCTATCTGCCCACAGGCATATACCGGCCCTAGGTGCGCTCACTCGGCTAATCGGGCTCCGTGACGTTAATTAAATCCTAGGACGCGCGAGTTGACGATATGTAATCAATTGTGCTCATAGCCCTCTCGTGTCCAACAGATTACGCTGCGGGCGAGAGCGGTCTTTGCCGGCCAAGATAACAGTCAGCGAGACGCCATACTACAAACGCCGGGTGCGAACGAGCCACAAGTAGAGCTCGCCTGGATATCGTACGTTCGAATTTATCTCCCGTCCCTGTTTATCGAGAACAAGATTCTTGCCTCTATGCAGTATGCCGTCGATGTGCAGAACCAATACAACCCCCAAACATTCCGTGGTCACATGCACGAGGCGTCAGACTCGACCATCTTTCTTGAGGTTTCGCTTACAAATAGCGGGAAGCGTCGATAACGTCTCCAGGGCCGCAACCTCCCGGTCGCGATTCTACACACCTTGCGTGCAGTTTCTCCAATCGGTGTTCAGATTACCGCCTCCTCGTCGCGTCGGCATTTCGAGTCGTTAAGATTGTGTGGTGAGCACTTGGTATATAGCATTTCAGATATTCCAGATGGGGGTGGGGACAACGCGTAGTGTCTGATCGCGGGCAAGATCAATGCTCACATTGCTTAGGACCGTCCCTGTAGGGTGCAGCATATGCTGGTTAGTGGGGCATCTATGCTTAGAAAGTATGTCTCGTAGAAACGACGGAATCATCTGCATGTACCTAGAAGCATGTACCTAGAAGCTTACAACGAAGACTTACTTGCCCTTGAGGGCATCGCCATCTTTTCCTGGAGGTCCTGATTTGTATCCGCTCCGCACAATTAGGACAACCGAGCTCTTGAGGTACGTGACAATTTACTTTTCACGACGTGCGGCTTCATTCACCACCACGCAATCTCACACTCCTACTGACTCACTACTTCTCAAGAGCTCGTTCTATCTTCTTTTCGCGACGAGGAGACACAAAATGTGTGTTCCTGTTGCCTTGACGTTCCGTGCCTCACTAATGGACAGTAACCTATGGTCAGCCAATTGCCCATAATATGACCGCCTGTACGGGCCGCAATATCTTGAGCTGTGAAGTCTCAAATGATTGTACGTGCCTGAGGAAGAAATCTTGCATTTTGGGTCATTGGAGTAGCTCTCACGATCACGAGCACATTGACAAATGCGATCAGTCAACTTGGTCCACTTCGTCCTAAATGATACTGACCATTTTCATAACACGCTTCCCTCTGAAGGCAGACTAGAGAATGGCCAAAGCCAGAAGAGGACATAACTCAAACCCTGTGGGTGCGAGACTGGGGGTGCGGAACTTTGAAGTTGCATCGATCTCCATCTCGGTTCTACCGCCGGCCGGCGGTCCGTTGACATCGTTCCGGATTTGGAAAGCTCCGTTTTCGACGCCCACAGCCACCGGTAGTACTTACTATCACTACTGCCTTTGCCGCAACCTCAGCTTCAGGCATTCGGATATTGAAACGTTGAAGGCCTCCGAGTCACGCCCAGATAGTGCGGGATTGCCTTCTAATTCCTATGCCAAGACATCCCGCGTTTTCTGCGATCTTCTTTGGGGCCGGGAAATAGGAACTCGGCAATGTGTTTGTCTCCGATACGCTATCAGCCTTCGCGATACTCTCGGCTAGTGTACACTCGGTATCAATGCCCTGGACGAAAGACACAACGCGAGCATGGTCCTTGGTGAGCTGAGGATACTACATCACTGTTCATACTCTTAATTTATAACACTACTATTACGTTGCCCATGGCGAACATTTGTCGTTGCTTAGCAACATTCCAGGACTCACAAAATTGATCTGTATCACATCCTCGACGCATGTTGAATGTGCTCGTGGCATCATATCATGGTCGGGCGATTTGTACGACACGTCAATCACGAGCATGAGTCGGGGGCTCCATAACGCGTGCTCGGTCTGCAGATCAGAAAACCCAATTACACGGCCAATCTCACATGCAGGACATTGTGGACCGCCAAAAACGTGAAGGACCCAGATGACCCGTCGTACGTGGCTGCTAGTGGTCGCTTCACTAAGACAGTCATTGAATACTGACCATGCGGTCTGGCAGAGGTGAATTTTGTCCCCTAATCCGGCGACCTCTTTGATCAAATCAAGGTTGCATAGATGTTACTCACGGACCTCCTATCTCCTCGAACTAACCCGCCACTGGTGAAAGACAGCACACCCAGAATAGAGATTATAGAACAAGGTGCAATAGCAAGCATGGGTGATTTCTACAATCTCACTGACACGAAGTCGATGGACAGATCTTCAAGTAAGTGATTTTGCCACCGGGAGAACTGGGTGTGCGAGCGTGTTCTCTTTAGGGTGTTGATCTCAGCCGCAGGCGCCCGTCCAGGCTCTCTTACAAAACTTCCTTTCCGTGCCGGAGATCGTGGAATGCCGCGCAGGCTTCTTAGTGTTCTCCATCAATCAGTACATGTTTTGTGCGCCGATCAGGAAGTATCTTGACTATGCTCCTCGCCTGTCGATAACTTTAGCATATCACTCGTCGGTTTTCTTGGTCCAATGGGATGCGCACTGGCAATCTACTGAAATTCATCCACGCACAATATCTCCTGCCACGGCGACTGAATGCAAGCGATGGGAAGCAGCTAACAAGAGCTCTTGTCAAAGGGATTGTCATACAGTCGGTGCATTGATTATCATGCATTCACTTGAGCATTAGTCAAGTAATGGAGCTCAGTGTCTGCGCTCGACTAGCGACTGTATGCCACCTCAGGACAGGATACATCCCTCTTACGCTAATTTGATAGAATATTCCTACAGTTATCATCAGGCTCGCTGACCATTCAGGTGACTGCCTGGTTGTTATTGCGCTCTTGGAACCGAAACACGGTAATTATGGTATCAGGACGTTACTGCTTTATGACGATTAATGAAAGAGCCGTAACGTCACTAGTCATTTACAAAAATAGCGGAGAACAAAAAGAGGAACGATTGCGCAGATAGCAAGACACATAGCATATAACAAAACAGCCTGGATGGGCGATTTAACATTTACTGGAAGAACGTAAGCTATAGTCAAATCGACTCACATCTTTCTGTTGTTAGTGGGGATTCTCATACATCACGTTGAAGTCTCATACGCGAGAGTGAGCCGTATGGAAGCGCGCGAGACCTGGTGGACTTCGACGAGGAACAACTGTTCAAATGTGATACCCATCGGTCCCAGCTGGAGGCCTCCAGGCATGCAGATCATGCCCACGAGGTCCTACGACGAGACTCAGCTAATGTGCCATAGGTATCGCGCAAGTACATCACATACAACGTGCGCCCGACGAATGACACTGGTGAGCGCGATAGCAGCCTCCTCGACTGTGAGTCCTCCGCGCTCAGGGTGGGTGTACATCAGGTAAGACCACGCTCGGTAGCCGACAATCTGCTCACACGTGTATCAGACTAACCCTATCGCACGAGGACATAACTTACGTGGACACGCACTGAAGGCCTCGATGCCCGTATGCCGGCGACTGCAGGCTGAGTGGCGCCTTGCAAGAGCGACGCGACAGAGGGGTTTCGCTCCATGGCCGCCAACTGAACGCCGGCATTTGCGTCTTTGGCGATGGTGTACTGAGATAGAAAGATGTACATGGGAGGGCCCTGCCGTATGGCATATGGCATTTATGGGATAAGATAATGAGCCATGCTGCTGGGATGTGTTGGCCAAGGAGCAAGGTGCGCACAACTGGTTGTAGCTGAGAGATCTGGGGAGTATGGCACTCAGCTGGACGCTTTTATACAGAGTGCACCGTTCTAGCCATGCCACAGAGTATACGGCGTGCCATCAGGGCGCTCGTTATCCCTTAAATTTTGCGCCGTAATGGGCACGGTCGGGTGACTTCATACAATGTTAGTCAAGATCTCATTCAATGTAGACTGGATCAATATCACGTGTTATGAAACCCAGCATCCTTCCTCCGACGGCAGGTCTCCCGAGTGCTGAAGAAGCAGCATCATAACAGAATACTTACGTGCGCAAGTCTCGGTCACGTACTGTATGTCTTGACTCAGGACACGTCACTGTCGTTAATCGCCGCGGAGCTGACCTCGGTTGGCGCTGGCCCACCGTGGACATTCTAAAGGCTAGTCTCGTGTGAACAACCTTGTCTAATACTCGAGTTTACTCGCCGCTAAGATAAATGAGGTTACTACACGTGTCTCGTATCAAGGTGTTTGCAAGTACAGAAGGCGATGGTATTTAGGAGGTCGCAATTTGGATTGTGCGCTCGAGGGGCCTACATTCGCTCGTACATGGGACCGGGTAACATGGAGACAACAAATTACACGGCATTGGGAACAGCGATCGGACAGGGCGAAAGAGGGCATCTGGATGGATATTAAGTGACCTTCTATTTCATGTCCACGAAATGATATCGCGCTTCGATATCAATTCTCGGAGTTGATTCATCTTCATCTCAAAGCTCGACGGCAAGGGTCAGCTGAATGGAGCCGCGCGAGACCTGATGCACGGCGACGAGGAACAGCTGTTCAAAGGCGACGCCTGTCGGGCCGAGGTGCAGTCCCCAAGGCATGCATATCATTCCCGCGAGGTCCTGCGATGGGGGTCAGGTGGAGAAATCAAAGATAATCTCATCAGGATACATGCGTTGTATGCCCGACGGACGTCGTTGGTGAGCGCGATTGCAGCTTCCTCGATTGTGAGGCCTCCGTGCACAGAGCGGACGTACATTTGGTACGACCACGCTCTGTAGCCGATAATCTACGCACTGACATATCAGACTGCATATAGCCGCAAGAGAAGGCGACGTACGTGAATGCGCACTGACGGTCGCCTTGCACGGATGCTGGGGAATGCGGGCTGGGCGGCAGCATACAGAAGTGATGCGACGGCAGGATTCTGCTCGATAGCTGCCAGCCGAACGCCGGCATTCGTGCTGTCTGCGACAACATACTGGGAGAGAAATCTGTGCATAGGTAGCCTCCGTCGCACGGCATAGGGCTCTTGTGGAACAATGTAGCGCGTCATTCGAATAAAACAATATGCTGCAAGCGGGAGAACTGTGGAGAAGACGATCTCAAAGAATCGCAGACGGGTAGCCTGCAGGAAGCATATGTGGAACATGGGTGCACATTTATACCGTGTGCTGCACCGGACAGCGACGTGAATGGGCTGAACATTGGACATTACTTCCTGCATCAAATCGCGCGTGTGGGATGCGCCTCGCATCACATCGCGTCGATCGCCTGCTACATGAAATCGCGCCGGATCGTTGGGCTCGGAGGATGCACCAGATCGTGCGCGCACGTATTAGCACAGCAACTCACTGCATCAAATCGCGGTGCCTGCTCAGGCAGGACGCAAGGCGATCAATCGGACATTCTCTACACTGCTATAGGCAGGTCAATACACGATCTTGACGGGGAGTCTGACCTACCTAACTACATGGAATCGCGCACATGCAACATATCCTGGCCCACAGTGCATGCCACGTTGGTCATAGCTGTCGGCATCCTATCCACTCAAGTATACGGGCGTGGCAACGGCTCGTACTTGACTCTGTCCCAGGACAGTCACTCCCGATAACGGACGATATTCGAGACCATGAGTTAGCGAGGGGTGGCAGGACGTACAGGTGCGCAAACTGCGCAGGGCTGTTCCAGCCAACACAGCAAGCTCGAAACAGAGAGCTGCTGCGGTCGTGCGTTCGGAAGCTAGTGGAAGGTGCCAACACAAGATCTGGCCCAGTACAGCTGGGCTTGTAGAAGACAGGAGGGCAACTGAAACCGATTCATACCAAGCAGAAGACTCCTATGACGGTGCTCTAGTTTCAGTGTTTCCCATGCAGAATTGCTACCTCAGTCACGGGGTCATAAGGCATGCGCGCTACATAGTGTCGTTCAAGTTGTCGCTATTCAGTGCCAGGTATTTCTGCCCGGCAGAAGGTGGCAAATGTACTTCCAAATATGGTATACGCCAGCTTTAAACCCTATTTTAGGGTCCCTTGAGTGTCTCTTGGACCCTGTTTTGGAGTTAACTCCGCCATATTTGGGAACATTCGGCCCATTATCGCTGCAAAACTGCAAAGACTACATTACCACATTAGTTTGCTGCGGAACAGTGTCACCACATCCACAATTGAGTTTTAACTCCTCCTTAAACCTGTCATGTTCTGCTAGAGGTGGCAGAAGTCGGCCTCCGGGAATTCTACCCACAACACTAGCGCTAGAAGAACGACATGACATGGCGCTTAGATATACAAACCTAGATCTAGTCTAGTTCGAGTCCAGCACTCAGTACTTACCATGCATCTATAAGATCTCCTCCACTTGTCCGTGTTGTGACTCCTCTAGCACGACCAGCCGGGATGTAGATGCATTGCATCCTTTCCAGGCGTGAGGATCGAGGACCCTCATCACAATTCTCAGCAGTATACCAACCCGCCGTTTCCTCGACGTCCGTTTTACAGCTGCCGCCGTCGACACAATATATCGAAGCGTTGAGGATCTCTTATAAAAGGCAACCCGATATGGACAGGACGAGAACCATGGCTCCTAATGTGCCCCCTATCTAAGCTCCCAGGGAAATAGACAATAGCCCGCCGGGACGGCTCCTTCCCGCGGACAATAAGCAAGATCAAACCATAAGCCCCCAATTGTGACGGCATTTCCTGCAGGGTAATCCGCGCCCTACCGAGAGGGCAATGTGCAGACACATGCCCCGCTCTGTGCTGATTCTGTAGGACAGAGACAATGGCGCAGATATCTCCACGAGAGTCCGCGACAAAAGGTGGTGCTCTGCTTGGCGACCCAGGGTGAGAGTCATGGAAGGGCCAGGATGTATATATGTCGAGCTTGGGTGCCCTACGATCGCCATACACCAGTGTCAACACCGTGGCGTTGCATCACTCCCCGTCCTAACAGATTGTTTCCCCCATGCTCTCTACTCCCACCAACACCCCGATGAGCAGTCGCGCCGCAGGGAAGGCCCGAGCCCCAGACGTGGGCATTCGCGCCCGCATCTCCGCGGCCCAGAAGGCCCATGCTGGTGCGCACTTCGCGAGACCACAAAGGGGCAGCAGCACTGACGACGCCGCAGCTACCCATTCCACACACAGCCGGCGGCTGTCCGCCACGCTGCTCGTCCCGCACTGCGTCGACCTGCGTCCCAACGAGATCCGCGAGGCGCTCAACGCGAAGCAAATGGCGTCTCTCACCAAGCCCGTGCGCAAGCCCCACGTCCGCGGTCGGCCCAACGAGCAAGAGCTGCACCACGGGAATGTGTACGTGAACTGGGTGCGGAAGGGCGTCCTCGCGCGTACGTACATCGCCATATCCGGTCGTGCACGTTCGGACTGGGGACGCTGACGCACACGCTGCCAGGCATGCCGCACATGAGCCAGAAGGAAGTGCCCGCGGAGCAGACGACAGAGTACGAGGCGACCTTCGACGTGCTCTGGGCGCACGTCTACGAGGTGGACACGCTGCTGCCGCTCTACGCGTGCTGGATGACCGAGGACAACATCCGCCAGCTGATCGCGATCGTAAGTCCCAGTCCGTATTGATCTCGAGGTGCGGCCGCGTCCTGACTTCGTGTCATTGGCACACGCAGACGACCGTCGTGAAGCAGCAGAAGACGTCGATGTCGACGAACAGCCCGCGCTACTTTGTGGACCTGGAAGCCATGATGGCGATGATACGCGCCATACAGGGCGTGCAGCAATCTATCGCTGATGCGCACAGGGCCCAGCAGCGGTCTGCAGGCGCGGACCCCTCGGTGCCGTAGATGGGCCATGCAGCGTGATCGAGGAAGCTTGGGACGATCTTGATGGCGAGCAGTGCTCGCGTCGTGAAGCGGCCGGCTGTCGGGTCCCTGGGAGGATCTGCGTATGCACCTCTTTTGATTTTGAATCTGCGCGTGATCATAGTGATTGTCAATTCATCGCATGAGATTCGATGCTGCGGTTATTGGATTGGATGTTCAATATAATGCCGTTATCTCCAAGTGCCATCGTGCACGCGACGTGGTTCAGCGCATGATCAGGGTACCCAGAAGAACGCATCAGATTCCTCTTTACTGCAGTATTACACACAGAATCTGGTATTACAGCACCTACCCGCTAGCACTCATTGGCGGACCCTCACGACCTTTCGCTTTCCTTTGCTGCTTCCTCCGCCTACACCAGGTGCCGCCTCTTGCGCGTTAATACCAGCCTTTATTGTCTCTATAAGCACGCCAGATGGCAATGCCGGAGAGTAAGGGGACACTCGGCTCGTTAGGGGTGGATACGGCTGAGGGGGACTCGGCGGCTTCGGTCGGCGGTTCTTCGACTGCACGGGTGCTGCTGAGCTGATAGTCGCAGTCGCAGATGGTGTCGTTGCCTTCGACCCCTTCGCCGGTGCGGGCTGTTTGCCTTTCGTAACTGCCGTCGCCGCGGGCTTCGGGGTCGCCGCCTGGGCCGACTCCACGCCCGTGCTTTCGCTCTGCGCCGAGTTGTACGGCGGGCGGGGGACGCTGTCGGGCTTGACGAGCTGGATCTGCTGCGCGATGCGCTCGAGGAGCTGTTTCTCTGTGTGCGGCAGGGCATCGGCATGTCATCCGCGGGCACTGCGACGGCGCGCCGGCGCGGGGCACGTACTGGTTCTGATGCTCGGGTTCATGAGCCGGCCGTCCTTCCTCCACTGCACGCGCACGCGGCCGGGGTTCTCCCAGTCGCGCGGGTGCGCCTTGCCGATCTCGTGCAGCGTCCCGAGCCCGAGGCGGTTCGTCGCGTCCGCGATGTCCTTGCTGAGCGGCCACCAGACGCTCTTTGCGCGCGCGATGCGCCGCTCGCCGCGCCCGGAGGGCCGCTTGGCGTCGATGTAGATCGGGTAGACACACGTCCATCTATCGAAGCGGACCATAGGGGCGCGGGCGTCATGTGGGTGTGTGCGAGAGAGGATCTGAGCACATACTTCTTGTACGGTGTGATGTCTGTCACTGTCCTCCCGTTCTCGTCTGGCACCGAAGACTTGAAGTGCGTCTGGGAGGGCGACGCAGGCCCTGCGGATGAAGGAGCGTCGTCGTCGTCGTCGTCGGTGTCTGAGAGCTCCTGTAGGATGGCGCCCCGTGTGCCGGTATTGGCCAGCGGACGGTGTGGGAGCGCGAGGTCGGTGTCGTCGTCGAACTCCTCTACGATAGCGGCTCTGCGAGACATTTCAGGATGTGGGGATATGTATGAGTTCGCTGCTGATGATGGTCGAGGAGTGAGAGAAATCGACGGGCGACTGTCGGGCGGTGCCAATCAGGTGCAGGCGCTCATATTCGCCGGCGGCTTTCTCCCGGCCATGACCACCGACGCCCTCCACGTACCGTCATCTGCTGGCCCTATCAGCACTGTTATGTAGCATGCAGATCAACTGGAAGACATGGTAAGATACAAATATTGCCTCGTTGAAGTATATAGACCGAGCGCAATCACAGGTTTGTTGTGTCGTCGCTCGTCAGCGCTACCCTCGGACTTCCGCCCTCCGGCCACGGAAATGAGACGGACCTCATCTGCAGACCGTTTGGTACATGTGAACCATGCCCAGAGGATGCGGTGAGTGCGCATTGTACCTCGGTTTAGTAGGTGCGCTCATCCGAGCAACGTCAGCTCCACGAGCCCTTTTGCCAGCCATTCGGGAACCGCAAACTAGTGCACTGCTACCCGGCTTCCGCATCCCCGTCCAACTCTCCTCACTTCCAAGACTATGTGGGTCCCGAGCCGCCCCCGCTTTACGATGATCAACCGCCGCCTCGCCCAGACCCCGAGCCGACGCAGGGTGCCATCCCCGCGTGGGAGTCTTGCGGGCGGATCGTGGAGAAAGAGCGCGCGGACTTCTACGAGTTCCTCGCGTGCAATTTTGCTATCGCCATCGTTGCCCTCATCGTCCTCTTCGCGCGGTCAAAGCGTCTGCAAGCAATGCATGCGCGGCAGCTGGCGGCGCGGATTGGGCTCGTGCGAGGCGCACCCGGGGGCTGGACGAATGGCTGATCGCGGGCGGAGTTGGCGTGTAATCTTCTACACTGTTCGTGCGTAATGTCTTGTCTTTACCGAGTACATGGCATGACTAAAGCTCGCCTGTTCGATCTCTGCCGCCTTACAGACGCACATAGATACCCATGAGTATGCTGTTTTACTTCTTTTTACGGCGTGTCTAAATGACAACGACCACGTCATGTCGACTGCAATTCCTCATGAGTTCTCCAAAGGGGCTTCTTCTGACCTTGAATCAGCGTTCGAGATAAGAAAGAGTATACGTTTGCTATAACGCGCTTCAATGGCGAAAACATCTTGCTATCGCGGGGAAAGTGAGATAGACCTTACATCAAGCACCTTGTCCTGAAGAGATTCCGTCGTGACGGTGCGAACCGTGGCCGTCTTCGGCACAGCCGGTGGGATCGTTCACGCTCATGAACAACTCGACCCGCCATCGAGCGTCGATCAAGAGTGCTGTAGACTACATCAATGCTCACATGTATCTCACCCACGCATTCTAGCACTATGCCGCATAGAATGCAGGGCCATATCATTTTGAAATGGGTTCTATATCGAGAAATACGCAAAAAGGTAAGTGTGTAGCTCGTTTTGGAAAACGCGCGCCAGATTTGTAGTCTTCATAAAGCTTGTTCCGGTATGTAGACCAACCCCCACGGCACTTCCGGCTCGCATGAAGCACTTTTTTTTTGCGTAAGTGCACCTCTCATAGAGCGGGTCGCAACACTGTACATGTATCATTAACGCCAACTCTCGGGTCTGAGATGGTGCAAGATTATCGGCTCTCGACGTCAGCTAATACATCTTCTGGTGACGGCGCTGAAAGAAATAGGAACATATCGCTACAGAAAACAATAACCTAGAGCGGGATACAGAGTGACTAAGCGGTGTCGAAGTGATGGGACGCGAGAGCAAGGTGCCTTCGCCTGGCGTAACAGATGGCGAGATTAGAGAAGGGTTCTCTGCCCCTGTTTTTTTATACATCTGCTCGCATACGGCTGACATTCGGGTAGGGAACGGCATTCCCCAGGGGATGGCGGGGTGCACATCGCGACACAGCTCGGATAACGGTGCGCACTTGCCCAACGGAGAGGTTGCTCGAATAGACTTATGAAAATTAACCTCAGATTACTGACAGAAGCCCCAAATCCGCCTGACCCTGGCCGCCCTGTTTGAAGAGGCGTTGATATGATCAGGCTGCAGTAACAATTCCCTTTCTGGACATATTGTGATGTGGTTAAGTGAGCGCGCTGTCTGGCAGACCATATTGGGTTCGACTTACTCATAGTGACATGGTGTGACATGGGTTGTCACATTTGCCATGTTAGAGACAATAGATGACAACACTGCGTGCCAGTAGTTTACGAAAGGGAGAACCATTCTTATCACTTAGTCGAGGAGTCTGCGGTAGGTGTACGACTTGCCTTATGACTTGCAAGTGGTTTGTCACATTTGGCACATTTGCCAACTTCCGAGCCAATTTTACCACATATGGATCGACGGTCACGCATGTCCGCATATGGGCAATGGTACAAACTACCATATTTGCTTTTGTGGGTCCACACCATGATGCGAGGGACGCACGCATGCACTGCCATTTACGACTATTGACCTCTGTTATGATCTGTCGACATCCGTGGACACATTCTCATGATTGCAATCTGTTGCCATCCGCGTCTTCTTCGCCTCTGTTCCCGCGTCCATCATCAAGTCCCGCCGGTCATATATAGACCCCCGCCGTCCGCCGTCATGTCCTCACCAGCCCTCCGCCGTCCAACGCGTCTACACAACCACCAAGTCATCAGCCAGCCATTCCACCTCATCACTCGACGACAATGTCTGCCTCTACCTCCTCGACCTTCGTCATCCCTGCCATCTTCGGCTCCCTGAGCCAATCTCGTCCCGAGTACGACCTCGAAGCGCAAGTCATTGTCGGCACACATGAGCAGCAGTCATTGCCCACACCTCCATCGGCTCTCACCCACGCACCGCGCTCCCAATACTCTCCAGTTGACGAGGGAACGAACCCCATCGACGACTTCTTCGGTGTCGTGCGCCCTTCACGCACTCCCCGCGGCACACAAGACAGCCGCCACGACGCGATGTCGCTGCCTGTGCACCACGATGACGCACCGCCGCCGTACTCGTCGACGGGAGAGCCACCGGCCTACTCGCGCTTTGCGGAGCACCCGACGCTTGCGATGTATCTCTTCAGATTTGGTTTCCGTGAGTCTTCTCGTGTTCCTTGGCTTCTCGAACGCGCCTAATCAATGTTGTGTGCAGTATTCCCTCTCTTCTGGCTCGCCGGGGCCCTCATTCTCTGCTCACCACTGCGCGCCCCGGAAGATTGGGAAGTGTCAAAGACGGAGGCAGAGCGGGAGGAGCTGATCGAGAACATGAGGCGCACGGAGATGAAGTGGGCGAAGCGTTGCCTCGTCGCGTTCTCTCTGTTTTCGCTGGCGATCCTGGTAGCCGTCCTCGCTGCGGTGTTCACCATGAGATCATGAAGAACCCGCACCACTCATAATAACAATCCATCTCACACCACGTCGAACACTGCTGATGCCCATTCCGCTCCCTTCATTGCATACATCGCAGGCCGACATTCGTACCATCGACCATTCTTTCGCGCATGACGCCGAGTCACTCTCGCAGCAAGCACCCTCACGTATATTATGATATTTTATGCTTGTTCTCGCATACGATACAATTCTGTAGCTCTAGCAAAAGTGTAATACATGGAAGCCGACTTCATCGCTATCAAGTTGTGCAACAAGCGCCTGCTGAAGCAAGCGTATATAATCCCGATGTATTAAGCCGTTCGTCCAGAGAACCGGGCCGCAGAGGGGTAATGCTTTCCAAGGCTGCCAACGACAGCGCTTCTGGGACGCCCGGATATGCGCGAAGTGATACAGTGTGTAATATTTTGAGCTTCAGTATTATGATGTGCGTAGGAGTGCATGAACTCATGCATAAGAGGAACTATCCATACCACGTTGTACGAGCATTGCACTCCCCACACCCGCTCCCTCACTCGAGTGGTGGCCTTAATATGGCTGTCGAAACGTAGATATCATTTCGAAACTAGTGGAGATAGCTCCATGACATTTTCCGACATGGAACAGACGCGTCGTTTGAGAAAGCGGTGAAGTTGGCAAGCATCCAGGTCTTCTGGAGAGCGCGCATGCCCCACACTGGCCAGCAGGAGATCTACTCGCAGCGTTGCAAGCGCGTCTTCGCGGGCGTGTTCGGTGATCTTGTTGAGGGGTGCAGCTAGGAGACGGAGGTTTGTGAGCTCATGGTGAGACGCGCCCGTGGCTGCAGGGGCGTGTATAGACGCCCAAACGCGGTCTTCAGCTCTCTCACTCGACCTACCCTCAACACACTTTTCTTGCCGGAGCACACTGACTTCCCTTCATCTCCTGGCGATTTAGCCCTTTTCTTTTAGAGAGCGCAGCACATCATGCTGCAGACGGGCTTCATTTCCAACGCACACAGCGACCTCGTGACGGACGCGTCCTACGACTTCTATGGTCTCCGTCTCGCGACCTGTAGCCTTGACCAGAGGCACGTATTGTTTACTTGGCGGATTGCAAGGCGCGTGGTGCTGACGCGTAGTCCATCTCTAGGATCAAAGTCTGGTTTCTAGATGAGAGTGAGGGCAAATGGAAGGTAGAGGACGATTGGAAGGTATGCCTCCTGCACCTCGCCGCGCGCAACCGCACCTCACGCGTATATCGCGTTTCCACAGGCACACGATGCGGCTATCTCAAAAGTCAGCTGGGCACACCCAGAGTTTGGCACCATCCTCGCGTCCGCGTCCTTCGATCGCACCGTCAAGGTCTGGGAGCAGACTTACACCCCCGACGCGGATGCAATACAAATCAACGGCGGCGCAGGTCCTTCGGGCCCCTCACGATGGGTAGAGCGTGCTGTTCTTGTCGATGCAAAAGGCACCGTTCGCGCGGTAGAGTTTGCGCCACAGCGTGTCGGGATGAAGCTGGTGCGTCCCTTGTGTTCTGCCAGTTGATTTCAGCGGTCTTACGCGACCTGTCCTGTCTCTTATAGGCGACTATCTCGTCTGACAACTACCTGCGGGTGTATGAGTGCCTCGAGCAGCCGTCGCTCACGACCTGGCAGCTGACACATGAAGTCGACGTCCTGTCCCTCCCGTCTACTTCCGCGCCACGTTCACTCGGGCAGACGGTCACACAAGCGACACCAACACAACCTTCGGCCACGCTCGATGGCGCGTCCCTGTCGCTTGCCGCACACGCTGTTCAACAGCAGCAGCAACAAAATCAAGCGCCCAGCAGACCGGGACTAGGCCATAGAGAAGTAAGTGTGACGCGAGCTTTTATATGTCTCATAGCCCTGAAATTCGCTAGGCTGACGGAGGCTGGTGCATATCTTGGTGCAAAGACCGCGATTGGGGCGAGGTAATTGCTACCGCCTGTGGAATCAACGGACTTGTCAAGGTACCTCCCGTGCCCCTCCTCGTTGAAACTCCAGTACTAAAACTTATCTTGGTAGATCATACAGCTTAACCCCGCACGACGCCCTTCGACACTCCTCACATTGGACCCATCACCGTCTAACGGGGCCACAAACGAGGGCAACGTACGGGGCGCCCAGACAGCCACGGACGGCGACAGTCCAGCGCCCTACGCGATTACCTCTGTCGCTTGGGCACCGTCGTGTGGCCGCTCATATCAGCTAGTCGCGACGGGCGGGCGCGACGGGAATGTGCGCATTTGGCGCATATACCCACCGCGCCCATCGCCACTCCTGCAGCCCACGGTCGCAACCGAGTTACAGGCGCAACTTGAGGGCGCGGGGAATGACGAGTGGTCTGCCACCATCGTAGGCGAATTTGACGATCACAAGTCAGTCTGCTCGCTTTGCGGTCTGTGTCCGGGGTACACTAACGCATGCCAACATCATCCAGATCTGCGATAGGAAGAGTGGAGTGGAATATTACGGGGTGCGTTACTCTGGCGTCCTGCTCAGCTGTGTCGCTAATCGAATATCCATGTCGCTCTTCATAGGACGGTGCTGTCGTCGGCTGGGAACGACGGTCGTATACGACTGTGGAAGATGACCGCAGGCAGTGTATGGCGTCCCGCGGGGCATATTAGCGTCGAACAGGCAGAAGAGCAGGCGGACGTTGATATGGACAACGCCGCCGATGACTAGTGTTTCGAAGTTGCAATGTAGTCTTTCTCAGTCTCCGGTTGTGCTGGGAATTCCTCCGCTTCGCGATCTTGTTGAGTTGAATACTTTCTGCTCGGATAATTGCATGATACTGACTTCTATGAAGCTGCCCAGACACAATTGGGATGATATAGTTCGTTACGGCAGGCTGCGGCCACTACTCGTCCAGTATCCACACGCCAGAATATTCATGTGCTCGTTAAACTCTACTTGGACTGCGACCACCGTCATGTCAACCAAAATGCGACAACGGATTTGGGCGGTGTTCACGCATTTGAAACTGGGCTCCTCGCATTCGCTGACGCGTTGCGACTCGAAGCTTAGCCTATAGCGTCAAGCACGGCCATGACCGGTTGCTTCAGCACGAAGGTGGGCTTAGCTTTGCGTTCTATGACTCATGACGTTACAGCGTGGTCCGCTTAAAAGTCGTCATCCCGCGTAGCCGCGATCGGTTCAGAAGCAGCCGGCGCCAAGTTCACTTTCGATCCACGGTCGCCGACCCCGATGCCTTTGGATCGTAGACTCCTGCTCGGTAACAGTACCTCATATATGAATTCTCCTGAATACTTGAGAGCCGTGTCTCTACTTTTCTACCTGTTGATTTCGGGGGTTGAATGATTTTCGGTGCGTCTCAGTTCAATTCGACTGATATTTGGGCGCCGGGGCGCGGCTCTCAAGTGTCCACATGGGGTGCTGACACTCCGGCGCACCGGAACCGCGGCCGTGGTCCACGATTAAAAGGCCTCGGGTAGACTTGGTACAGGGTGGCAACCGTAACCGTCCTCATCGTGACCGTCGTGCTCATGCTGTTGTAGCAGGAACATGAGGCTGAGGTTTGTCATGACTGCTGACCAATATGCTTCATGGATGAGACGAAATCTCGCTTAACCTCCTTGTCAGAAACGCGGCGGAAGTGATCTAGACTGGTTAATCAGGCACTGATTTGTATATGGTGCCCCGCCGATCTGGAAAGGATCGCCGATGACGGGGTGCCTATTCAGGCAACTCTCGTAGATACAAGCTGAAGATTGCTCCCTGTTTCAGCCACCATCTGCCCTTTATATAATTCCGGCGTGTGGCCCTCAGGCACCAGATTTCATACTATTCTGCTGCACTTTACGTTGTTATCCCTGGTGTATGTTTTATTCCTGTAAGGGCGTTGTGGCCCTCTGACCCAGCAGCTTGCCTGCCGGCATGTCGTTCGTTAACTCATATCGCGGTAAGTTCTCAGTGTTTGTTGCGGAGGCGGATGCTGATAGACAGATAATTCTCGCAGTAGTAGCCACCATCTGCGCGTCAGTGGGGATTTTCTCCACGCTACTGCGCCTCCTGTTCAGATGGCAACGGAAGCACGTGGGTTTCGACGATGCCTGGGCGGCATTTGCTCTTGCTGTCGACTTTGTCCTCGTGGGGGGAGCATGGCTCAACACCGATCCCACCGTTTCAAATCACCAGAAAGTCATTGGCTACTATGTGTACGACATAGCATTCACCTGCGTGTTATGGTTTGTCGTCTGATATATCTTAAAATTGTTCGAGGAGCTCACACGAACCAGGTCGGCTCGCATGAGCATCCTTGCATCAATCCTGAGGATTGTCCCGTCTATCATGACGTTGAGGCGATATACGCATGCTTGTGCTTTCCTAATGCTGTGCATGTGGATAGCAATGCTCGTGCAAAAGACGTATGTCTGTGAATACGACACTGCCTGGAAAACCGCGCCGCGCGTGCAATGTTTCCTAGGCAAGCCAGTTGCCGCCGTCGAGTTCTGTAGTATGTGTCCATTTCGCCTCCTGATCACTGGCCTCACTGCATGCTGCGGCCATCTAGCGGACATCACCTCGGACGCCATGCTAATAATACTCGCTTTACGTTTGATATGGGGCGTTAGTATTCCGTATCCGACGAGGCGACTTCTCAAGGTTATCTTCTCCGCAAGTTTCATCACCACCATCGCAAGCGTCACACACGCCTCTTACTTACTAGGGCCCGACCGCAACGCCGAATGCATCACAGCGCATGTAGAGGTGCGTATTATCGCTATTGTTGCATCCTTCATCGCTGTGCTCACAATACCTCGCCATATAGGCCAATATCTCCCTCCTGATTTGCAATCTCTCGGTGCTCGCGCCTTGGGCAGCTCGCGCAGTCTCGCACGAACCCGCCGCTGATACCCTCACTTCAGCACCGAGCAGACGACGCAGAGGGGTACGTGAGATACAGAATTCGACGTTACACTTCAACCGTAGGGTTCCCGTCGTGCTGACAGCGGTTGCTGGGCAAGATCTCGTTAGCCGGTCGGAGGAGAGCGATAGAATGGCCATCGAACTGTCCGTTGTCAAGTACGTCCATCGCATGGCGGTGGACCCGGAGGCTGTGGCATCAATTTTAAAGTCGATGGTCTGAGCTAATTTTCACGGACATATTTAGCCGCAGCATCGTGTTACATACTTGAGTCCGGTTGATACCTGAGCATGATCTGCACACGTGGGACAAGGACACTGTATTGTACGTAATATGTATTAAAAAGTCGACTAGTCATTCTTTAAACCTACGGACACTTTCGTTAATAGCTGTAACTCACTTAATCAACGCCCATCAAACTGCTCTCCTGGGATCGTCGGCTTCGTTTGTACATCGACATTAGTCACGCAGCAAGGTAGGAAGTCATTTCCAATAGTCTAATTTATGTGTACAGCACAGTCTGTCGGAACGTCTGAACTTCATCAAGCCTTGACAGCTATCTTCAAAGCTCCACGGCTGTTCATCTTGTCCAACGCCTTCTGGTAGTCTGATATTGAGTAGACGTCTGTCACCTGCAGCGCCGCGATTTGATGTTAGAAGCACAGTACGCCCTAGATCTAAGGTGAGCACTGACCATGCCCTTCACACGAATCTTGCCGCTATCAAGATACGCAACAGCGCGAGGGAAGCAATGTGTTTGCGCGAACGAGCCGATGATCTACACAAAATGCATCAGAAAGTTGTAGCTGTTTGCTTATGAGGATCAGCGAACCTTTATCTCGTCTACAAAAATCTTGGAGGGTGGCCAGTGGACAAGCGCAGAGTTGTCGTAGACGCCGTAGACCATGAGTGTCCCCCCTCGGCGGACATAATTGATGGAGTCGTTTGCTACTTTTTCCGAGCCTGTGGCCTCGACCTGCGATCCATTTTATGTCAGTCCTTGGATATCCTTCACTTGAAGGTCGCCGCACGAGATCGACCGATTGCAGGGTGCACAACTTACGACGACGTCAAATCCGTACGGATTCTCCTGTTTAAGCTTCTCCCACTGTTCCCCGGGGTTCACTCTGTCGAGCTCGACATACTCGTGGCCCGCATCCAGCTGCTTGGCGATGTCTGTCTTGATACCTTTATTCGCAGCGATGACTACTCTCTGCGCGCCATTCAGTTTGAGGAGTTGTGCAAGGATCAGGCCAGTTGGCCCCGCGCCGATGACGAGTGCTTCTATGCCAACGGCTGTGCCGAGCTTGTCCATGCCGTGAATGGCGCATGCAGCAGGCTCGATGAGAGTAGCCTCCTCGTCGCTGAGGTTCTGGATCTTGTATACTTTCTTTGCTGCGCTAATTAGGTCATGAGAAAATAGCACGGCCGAACAGGCGAGAGTTCGAACAATGTGATGTATTCACTGAACCCGCCGGGTTCGCTTGCGCTGACACCCTTGCCCTGGAAATTCTCGCATAGCAAGGACTGGCCACGGCGACAGTAGAAACACGCTTCACACTGCAAGTCAAAGTCAAGTTTCGTTGAGCACGCCACCGGTCTCTCGGGACCTGCTCACCGTTACGCCAGGATCAGCGACGACATGGTCACCTTTCGCGAAGCCAGTCACGTTCTTTCCGAAAGCAGCTACTTCGCCAACAACTTCATGTCCAGGGATTAACTGAAGCACTGGTTAGCCGGTGAGCGCGAGGCAAGACTGACGCTATTCACCGGGAACGATGAGATGAATTCCCCTGCGTGGACATGGCCATCGGTACCGCAGATACCACAACATCGGACTGATCCCATACCGGATAAGGAACATCGTCAGCCATCGCATGATAACAGTCGTGTGCGAGCGTTTTACCCTTGAACAGTACATCATCGTCCCCTACTTGAGGTACAGGCACCTCCCGGATTTCAAAATTTCGGGGCTATTGACACGTTTATTTCAGAGGCGTGTTAGTAGCATTTTCGCTTTCTGAATCTTACGGCATGATAGTAGACAGCCTTCATGGTGGTCGCCATTTCAAGTCAGGTTAGCAGTGAATGCAGAAGTCTCAGAAGTGGGGACCCTGTCGCAAAAGCCAGGTATGCGGAGGGACTTAAGAACATTTCTCATGGCCGCACGGAACTCCTTTAGCAGCGACATTAATCGATACATTCAAAGATGGAATCAGCTGCCGGTTCGCTAGACCGGACCGGCGAGCGCGACGACGGTGACAATTGCGATACGCCCCGAGCTGATAAAAACGTGACCGTGTCTTGCCGTATCATCCTCACGGGTGTGTGAGGTTGCTCCGCGAGTTAAAAACAAAGTTGTTTGGCACCCTAATTCTCGCTAAAAAGCGTCTGATGATGGTCTTACGCAGAGCTCGTCGCGCGACGCGTCGGGCAGCTTGTTTCGCGTGACAAGACGTGACAGACGCGTCTGGCCACTGGTGCCGCAGTGACTCGAATGTGACCAACCGCGTCTCGGCGCTTGCGCGCTTCAAATTGCAGACTTGCGTCTGCACCACCACGGCCACGATCTGCAATGACCAAGTACATTCTCGTCTCCGGCGGTGTCGTCAGTGGCATTGGGAAGGGGGTAATTGGTACGCCTTAGCGTATCTTATTTTCCACCGACAAACTGTGTTCAAGCGCCACCATAGCCTCTTCGACAGGCTTGCTCCTGAAGACGGCTGGTCTGAAGGTGACCGCCATCAAGATTGATCCGTACATGAATATAGATGCAGGAACCATGCGCCCGCAAGAGCATGGTGAGCTATGCATATCTACAGGTCTGAGCGTATCTAAGAGCGAGAGCATAGGTGAGGTCTATGTCCTGAACGACGGCGGAGAAGTCGATCTCGACCTCGGAAACTATGAACGCTATCTGGACGTTACTCTGTCCCGAGACAACAACATCACGACAGGAAAAATCTATCGCGAAGTTATTGAGAAAGAGGTTTGTCTCAATATATCTTTTTTGTTAAATAAGGCACCGAGCACGATTCAACCCTAGCGGAGAGGAGATTATCTAGGAAAAACGGTCCAGGTGCGTTATATTAATCTTGCACCAGATGAACACACCTGGCGTCCCATCATGACGAACTGATTTTTTGACTAGATTGTGCCTCATGTCACTAATGCTATTCAAGATTGGATTGAGCGAGTGTCAAAAGTTCCTGTTGACGAGACAGGAGAAGAGCCTGATGTTTGCATTGTCGAGGTGTGTAGTATCAACTGAACGTACGTCTTCTAGTGTGCTAAAGAGCACCCGCGTGCCACAGCTAGGAGGCACAGTAGGCGACATCGAGTCGGCACCGTTCGTCGAGGCGATGCGACAGTTCCAATTCCGCGTTGGATATGAGAACTTCGCGCTGATTCATGTATCACTCGTCCCGGATATGCACGGCGAGCAGAAAACAAAACCCACGCAGACTACAGTCCATGCTCTGCGAGGACTTGGCCTCCTCCCCGACCTGGTTTGTCTCATGTTACCTTTCTCGTACTGCAGTAGAGCAAAGCTTGATTCGACGTACCGCAGATCGCTTGCCGACTGGTCGTCCAAAAGCCCCTTGAGCCGGCAACGAAGTCAAAAATCTCCATGTTCTGTCATGTTGCGCCCGAACAAGTCATCGGCGTGCATGACGTCTCGTCCGTTTATCACGTTCCTCTCCTGTTGCAGTCGCAGGGCATTGTAGAATACCTGCACAAGCGTCTGAATCTCGCAAGCATCAAATTGACATCGGAGATGCAGGAGCGCGGCTCTTGCCTTGGGGTGAGATGGAAAGAGCTGACCAAACGGTAGGATATTCAACAACAAACCTATAAGGCGGAATGTCTAATTCTCTGATCTCTGTCTCCGTCGATAGACAAGAGCGGGTGTTCGATGACGTGACAATTGCGCTGGTTGGGAAGTACACTGACCTCCAGGACTCTTATATGTCTGTCACTAAGTCACTGGAGCATTCTGCATTCCGCTGCAACCGGCGACTGATCCTGAAGGTGCGTTGCTACTCGACATAAGTCGCTAGACAATTTTCTGACCACGCTTCTATTCTTAGTGGGTCGACTCGTCACATTTGGAGCCTGAAACACAGACATCAGATCCAGCCAAGTATCACGACGCGTGGAGAGCTGTCGTTGCTGCAGGGTACGAGGGACCCTCTCTTTTGATACAATCATCTCCTCCTAGTTCTTCGTGACCGGACGTACGTTGATATTTCGTCTAAAGTGGCATCCTCGTTCCAGGCGGCTTTGGCGAGCGAGGATCAGAGGGCATGATGTTGGCAATCAAATGGGCTCGCGAGCAGAAAGTTCCCTTCTTGGGTATATGCTTCGGGTTCCAGCTGGCAGTCGTGGAGTGGGCGCGGAATGTCTGCGGCCTGACAGGTATTCCATTATGAGTCATACTTCAGACAAGGACACTGATCATGAATTCGACCCTATAGGAGCTACATCCGGCGAGTTCCATCCCGATGCAAAGGATCCGATCATCATCTTCATGCCTGAGATCTCAACAACGCACATGGGGGGGACGATGCGTCTTGGGCTGCGTCCGACCGTCTTCGAGCCCGAGACAGAGACCCGTTCGAAGGTGCGGAAACTCTATGGCGGCGCGGGCAAGATTTGGGAGCGGCATAGACACCGCTATGAAGTCAACCCGGCATACATCGAAAAGCTCACCGCGAGCGGGATGTCCTTCATCGGCAAGGACGAGAGGGGGGAGCGGATGCAGGTCCTTGAGATGCCTGGTATGTCGCGTTGCCCCCAAACAGAGCGTCTGCGCCGTGATTGACTTCTGCCCTAGATCACCCGTACTTCGTCGGGTTCCAAGCACACCCCGAGTTTTGCACGAGACCTTTGAACCCTTCGCCTCCGTTTCTCGGCTTTGTAGCGGCGTCTTCAGGCCAGACCGTCTTGAACGAGCAGCTTGAGTACCAGCTTACGCACTTCCACCCACCGCACCCTGAAGGCTCGATGGTAAGCGAGGCGGAGCTCAGACGGACGGGGACACCACCTCCTGGCGTGGAGAAAGTTCTGCGCTCCGAGTAAAGGGAATGTGAGGTTTTCAGGGCAGCAGAAACTCCGTCGTTCTTGGTTTTCTTCCTTGTGGTCATGCTAGTCTTGCTTTGTGACGCTGTGTTGAATGTAGACCTGTCGCAGTAAAATAGTTGTGGAGCACTGTATCCCCACATCTACCAGATCAATTTGAATAAAGTGTTCTCGGGTACTGAATGGATTGTAGATATGATGCACTGCGCGGCACTTTCATCGTATCGCAGCCCTTACCTGAGCGCAGCCCTTCAAGTAAAATGATCGACTACATTCGGTGGAGGTAACCTCATAGACACGAGTTAGGTCTTACGTGTGGACTGGCGTCACAGTGAAAATAAACATAACTCCCTGCAATGCACAAGGATCCAAATGAGCCCATAGATTCTACGACTCCCTTCGAGGGATCGGCCAGTCTTCAAGCGAGTGCCCACAGAACGGGAGAGCAGGCACACACATCACGAGGAAAATTACGTCCACGAGCTACCGTCACTTGGACGCCGCGCTGAGGGTCTTCTCCGCGGAGACGCCGACACCATTGCCCACCTTCTCAATAATATCCTCGACAGCGGCCTCAGCCTTTGCGAGCCCAAAGCCTTGCCCGACTTCTTTGTGGCCTGCAATGACCCGCTGCCAGCCCTTTCCGTCGCCTTTCTGGTGCTCCACAAAAACTTTGCACACGCCCTCGAGCGTCGTGACGCTCCCGTTGTATCCGAGCCCGCCCTTCTCGGGCGGTGCGCGCGCCCGAGAGTCGTCAAAGATCAAGTGCACAACTGTCAGCGCGAACATGGATGGCTGCAGGAACACAATGTCGCCGTTCAGCCCAGGCAGGAGCCGTCCGAGCAGGGCGAGGGGCGACTGCAAGAGGAAGTGCCGCAAGAGGTAGTACGCTTCGATGAGGTGCGCGAGCCCGAGCATCGTCGTGCACGAGAGGCGCGGGAAGACGGTGGTCCCGCTGGTCAGTTGCGTGAGCGCGTCGTACACCTCGCCATAGGTGGGCGCGGGGCTCGCGTCCGCGACGCAGAACGCCTGCCCGCCGATATCTGGATTATGCCCGCCGGCCTGCAGCTCGAGGAGACGCTGCTCGTAGCAGAGGTGCGCAAGCGAGCAGTTCTCGACGTAGATGAACGACTGAAGGATGTTCGGGATCCACGTCGGATTCGTCTTCTTGGCAAGATACTGCCCAACGAGCAGGTCGCCGCCGGGACCATAGATGCCGTTACCGGGGCGTATGCATCCTGTGCGGATGAACCCCTTGCCGGAGGGCGTCTTGTCCGCTGCGCGCACGGCCAGCTCGGCGGTACGCTTCGAAACGGCGTAATTGGAGAAATAGTCGTCATGCCGTTTGGGTACCAGGGTGTCGTCGTCGTTGATGGGCTGCACGAAGTGCACCGGCTCCTTCTCCCAGGGCCACAACCAGAATCGGGTCCTCCTCACAGAGATAGAGCCAGAGGATGTGTATATGAAGGTGGTCACGCCGATGCGACGTGCCGCGTCCAGGATGTTCTGTGTACCTTTTACGTTGACCTGCTCTGAGTATTGCAATAAAGCCTGATGGCGCTCGAAGAAACGTATCGTTGCTGCAGTGTGAAACACGGTGACTTCGGGCTCAGGCTCGCCTGACACATCGGAGGGCACAGGCCATGACTTGCGGAAGGCAGCATCTACCGCCTGCGCGTCGGTCACATCGACCTGGATGAAGTCCACATCCTTGGCAGCACCTTGAGTGAGATCGTTGCGGATGGGTAAGCGGATGTCGACCACCCTGATGCGCCGCGGGTCCTCGCCGCGGGCGAGAAGGTGCAACACAATCCATCCGCCCAGGAAACCAGCCTATCAGATACGCGTTCATATCCGAGCTCGAGACGCTTGATGGCCACTCACCCCGCCTGTCACTATGTACCTGCGGCCAGTTTTGGGGGGTAAATTTCCGGCAAGCAGAGACGCTTGCGAATTCGCCAATTCCTTTGCCGTCTGATCTACTGCGTCGGATTTCCATCGGTTTGGAGAGAACGTGGTTGCCTCTGGTGGCAGGCGCGACAGCTTGGAATCATTGTTTCGAATGTAGAGAACGACTACCAATAGTGAACCGAGTACTACCCATATCAAAGAAGTCATGTTGGCAGCTCTCAACAAGAGCTCACACCGCGAGGAGAGCGGTGTCGTCCGTGACGACTCTCGAGTTGTAGCAAGAAGCCAAGTCGTCGCAATTCGGGACGGCGGTGATGCGAACAGAGTCGCACGGTATCTCCTCCAGATGATTCTCAAGCAGGACGATGTAGCTCAGCCTATTCCGGGAACAAGCATCATTGTTTTCGAAAGTGAAAGCAATTTCAGGTGCACGGGTATCAATCAAACAAGTTTCGGTTTAAATCGCCTGACGGATTGCATCTGCAAGAGAGCAGAACGAGCATTCATGTTCTGAATAATTCTCAACACTCAAGGATCGCGAGAGAACATATATATTGGACAGCAGCAGACAAAAGAGCATACAAAGACCTTACAACACTTTTCCATAGACCCTGCCCATAGCTCACTAGATCCGACGCAACGATACGACACACAGTGCACACATATGTGTTAAGCGGGCGGAGGAGGAGGAGCGTCAGAAGGCTGTTGTGCAGCAGCCCCTGCAGTGCCGTCTGCGGGTGGGTACCCTTGCTGAGCATAGTACTGCGCATACTGCTGTTGTTGCCACTGCTTAAACTCGGGCGAATTGACATCATAGCCATAAGCGGCCCTAAGAGAATAAGTGTGAGAATTGACCATCAGAATTGAAATGAATATGAATCATACCAGTAAGCAGCGTAGGCATCAGCGTCATTTGCGTTAGGCGCGGCACTAGCCTGGGCCTGACCCGGGGAGCCCTGTATACCCGCCGCAGGAGCACTGCCATCTGGGGGAGGGGGAGGGGGTTGATCACCTGGAGGCGGAGGAGGTGGTGCTGCGCCAGGCTGTGGAGGAGCATATCCCTGGCAGATCACACCATGTCAGCAACCCACACAGGAATGATACATGCCCAGATCAATATCAATATCAAAGTCGACGTCAAGCCGCGGCGACTGTCGTATAAGAAGGACGAGAGAATGAGTGGAGCATACATACGGCGTAAGCACTGTAGGCGGCGTACTGGATCTGGGCTTGATGCAGCTCCATCTGTTGCTGCTGCACAACGGCCTTCACTTTCGCATGCTCCTGGCGGACGACCTCGAGTAGGTCCTCCGTGAGGACTTTCGCGCGTTGAACCTGACCCTCATCAGGCCCGCTGGAAAGTATGAGTACGTATATATGCATGCCGGATAGACTGCACGTACGTCACATGAATGAACATGGGCTCATCGTGTTCGTGACCTGTCTCTTGGTCAACGAAACCAGAACCGATACCTTTGATCTGCACCCGAGTCCCCGTCTCTTGCTGGATATACTTGACGAACATGCCCTACATGCCAGTAAGACTCGTGCATCATGCGCAAACAAAAGGAACATACCGAGGGACCTACAACCTTTGCGCGCACGTTGAAGTTGCGGATCGTATCGATACCTACAGGAATCTTTTCCTCTGGCCACTTGCGCTGCAAACAACCGTTCAAGAAGTAGACTTGATTCTATCGACTTTAAGACATACCCGTTCTCGCAACCGGTCCTTCTTGTCCTCCACCAGCGACCCCATGTCCATCGAAATAAGTTCATTCACTTTATCGACGGCTTTCTGCATGATCTCTTGCGTCGTGGCAGAAATGTGGAGATACAGAGGAGGGTCCTTTTCTGTAGCTTTCGAACGGTCAGGATACCATACACCTTTAGTGCTGACGGACGCTCCGGTCTCCTCATGGATCTAGCGAGAAGTAGATATTATTCATTGTAACTCCAGCGAGCTCATTGAGATTGAGGACTCACCTGTGTCTGTGTCGAGCCTTTCGTCAACAGATACCGATTGCGTACATCGTTAATGTCAATGTCCTGCGTAAAATCTCCATCATGTGGATCCTTTCCCAATGGCGTCCCTCCTCCGGCTCCGGCATTCGCGAATTGGGCCGCAATTTTTGCAGCGATGGCGGCTGCGGCTGCAGCAGCCTCGGACGCCGTCTTTCCATCTTCGCCCTTCATTGCTTTTGTGGGTGTTTCGCCCTCTTCTGGAGCAGCCTGGTCCCATTTGCGTTTGGAAGACATTGTTATCGTAAGGCCGGCGTGCGTCGCGGAGTAAGATCTCGAGAGCTCGGTGAGGCGAGGAAGTGGGCCAGGGAGTCTCCGGAATACGGCCTTGCTGTCAGAGTCACGTGCCGTGCCCCATACTCCCAATTTTTTCGGAAGCGCGAAAAGCACCTCTGCTCTCTCTCTACCGCCGCGAGCCTTCCACAGCTCGAGACCCCATGGCGGTTTCAATATGGACGAGGGCTGCTCGAGCGTCGGCATCGACGCTCAGCACCATCTCTCGGACGAGTAGATGTGCGCGAACACTGCGACCTGGTATGTTGCTGCCCATGCACGCTGGAATCACGTTTAACTCTTTACAGTTGTTATCTCAGGTCAAGGCACCACCCAGCGATGGATTTCATCTACATCGGTCAAGATGAGTGAGGAGGCCGCGCTCAAGGAAACAGCGAACAGCCAGCAAGTGACGGAACCGAGCACTCTTCCTGAGGCAGAAGAGGTAGACCGGGCCTCGTTTGCATCGTTGAAGGATAAGATCTCGCTCCCGACCTGGACGGCTATAACAGAGAGGCCCTTCCATCTCAAGACCATGTCGCCTGTCCAAGAAGCTGTCTTGCCTCTTTTGCCGCAGCTCGCCGAGCCGTTCGTGGAAGCGGGCACGGGGAAGCGACCGGCTCGAGACTTACTCGTGCGGGCCAAGACGGGAACCGGAAAGACATTGGCCTTCCTTGTGCCTGCAGTCGAGGCGCGGCTGAAGGCTATCGAAGCTGCTGGCAACCAGGGAGTGCAGGACGCGGGTCTCGTTCAGGACAAGAAACTGGAAGTACGCGTGCAACGGGTGTACGCCCGCACCCAAATCGGTACAATCATCATCAGTCCTACGCGTGAGCTGGCAACGCAGATTGCGAATGAAGCCATGCGGTTGACGCAACACCACGACGGCTTCGAGGTCAGGTTGTTCATCGGCGGTGCTAGCAAGGTTCGCCAGATGCGGGACTTCATGAAGGGCAGACGCGACATCGTTGTAGGGACACCTGGCCGACTTCGAGATCTCCTGGAGAATGAGCCGGAGTTCACCAAGGCTGCATCGCAAGCTAACATGGTATGTCGTTGTGTGGATGCGTGACTATATGGTAGCTTATTACTTTTCTAGCTGGTTCTGGACGAAGCGGACACACTCCTGGATATGGGCTTCCGGGATGACCTCGAGGCGATCATCAACTACATGCCAAAGCAGCCACTGAGGCAGACGTTCATGTTCTCGGCTACGGTCTCGACGGAAATTCGGCAGATTGCACGCGCGGCGCTGGACAAGAACCACGTCTTCATCGACTGTGTCTCCGACGACGCCCCGCCCACACACGCACACATCCCGCAGTACCACACCGTACTCCCGAACGCCGGGGAACAGCTACCTCACCTCCTCCGCCTGCTTGCGCATGACCAGCTGACCAATGAGAAGTCGAAGATCATCATGTTCTTGCCCACCACAAAAATGACGCAGCTCTTTGCGACCGTCATCCGGCAGCTGGGGGCGACGTGCTTACCCTCTGGCAAGCAGACGAAGATCTTTGAAATACACTCCAAGCGTAACCAGGCTACCCGTGATAACACATCCAGAGACTTCCGTAATGACAAGTCTCGTGCCTCCATCCTGATCTCGTCAGACGTGTCTGCCCGTGGCGTTGACTACCCTGGCGTCACACGTGTAATTCAAGTTGGTGTCCCCACGAGCTCTGACCAGTACATCCACCGTGTTGGTCGCACCGGTCGCGGTATGAACACGGTTGGACGTGCGGACATCGTCCTTCTTCCATGGGAGGTCGGCTTTGTTACCTGGCAATTGACGCATATCCCGCTCAAGCCACTCACCACAAACGAGCTCAAGAAGCAAGTGACGGAGCTCGCTAAGACGTACGATGCGACCGCTCCTTTGGAAGTCAAGGAGCAGCGCAACGTCTTGGACAGGAGGGGTTATCCGATGCCCCAACCCATCTGGCCCTACTCGCCTGCGCACGAGAAATTCAACGAGTCCATTACGTCCTTCGTCGAGAAAATTGACGAGGAAGCTGTCAAGGAGGTCATGATGTCGAACTTGGGCTACTACATTGGTCGCAGCGGTGACCTGCGCGTACAGCGCAACGTCGTCGTCGAGGGTGTCAAGGACTGGACCGTCAAGACCATGGGTTTGCCTGCTCCTCCATACGTCTCCCCCGCCTTCCTGGCGAAGCTCGGTCTCGCTGGAGGTGATGAAGGGCGCAACAACCGTAGCCGAGACTCTCCTTCCAGCTTCAGCCGTCCCGGCCAGCGTTCTTGGGAGGGAAGGGGCTCACAGCGTTCTTGGGAGGGAAGAGGCTCACAGCGGTCTGATCGACGAAGTGACGATCGCGAACGTGGCGACAGCCGCGGTCGTTTTACCAACGACAGACACGACAGACGTCAGCAATCGTCGGAGAGGGACCGGCATTCGTTTTCTGACAGGGATCAACGTTCGTTCTCAGACAGGGATCAACGTCCCCAGTTTTCCGAAAGGGACCGACGTCCGCAGTTTTCTGACCGACGTCAGCAACCGTACGAGCGGGAGCGCAGGCCACGTTCTTTCGGTGTGGCGGAGTAAGCCACCGCAAAATCTACGACAGGCCGATCCTGTTGTCGCTTGACAGGGTATACGGATTCACGGGGACATTGACATGAAGTCGCTCGTGCTGTTGTGTATGCTGCTCCATCGTGCTGCATTGTATAATAGTATGGTATCCACGCGCATGCATGTAATCTCGTCGCATATCTTTTGCACATAGACACGACTCCTTAGTAATCAGCCTTTGTGACTGGTTCAGTGCTGCCACGACGAAGATGTGAGAGCAAACATAGGTATGTCTATTAGGTATATACAGCGTCGTGATATATGTGTGTATGTGATGAAGTGACAGATGGTGACCTAAAGAGTGCCAAGGAATACATGGTCAACGTGAAACTAGACTAGATGTGAACAGATGAACAGTCGTGCATCGCACGCAAAAGCAAAGACATTAATACTGATTCTACTATATGGTGTTCTGCGGCCAGTCAGCTTGCATACGGACATGAGGGCGCACACTACTCACTCAAACTCAAGCAGTCCTACAGTCCTCGTTAGCATGCCGTGTCTTCCTTGGCTGTTGGCGTTCCGTCGCCCGACCATACTACGCCGCGATACGGCTCGTTTGGGCACGCCTCTGGGTCACACTCCACCGTGACGCTGTGCCCGACTTGCACCTCTACATCTAGCTCCACATCGCTCAAGTTGCGCACGATGTCCGTGACTGACAGACCGTCGGGTGCGGGCGTCCGTGAGAGGTTGAACTCGTCGTCCGTGCTGTCTTTGGAATCAAATTGCGAGCGCATCGCGTGCGAGACGGAGCGTGGGGAGTGGGGTGGTCTTGAGACTACTTGCGTGCTGCGATGGTGGTCGGCGGCCGCGTCTGGCGATGAAAAGAACCAAGCTCAAAAGTGAGCTTGGGAGAAGGAAGTATATGCTACGCACCTCGTAAATGAATGAGGATTTTCTGGCTCATTATCCATGTCAATGCCTCTCCGAGACATGTTCTATATGCTAACAATGAGTGCTAAGGCATAACGATCGCCACAACGATGACTAACCCAGATGCCTGAACACGGAGTCAGCCGAGCCGTTCAGGAGAAGAAGACGTGACTGACCTGTGTCAACTTATCGCTTGTTCTGAACAAAATTAGATTGAAGACATTCACGGCTGGTATCATAAGTCACTTCAAGTGTTTAATAGGACGAACAATAACGTACCAGTCAGGATCACGAAAAATCCTAGGCCGTCAAAAAACATCCTGCGAGCATCACAAATGAGAAGGAAATAACGGCGAATTGATGATAAGCCACTGACAACTTCACCAGACGGGTCATCCTGCATTTTGGTGTTTATATTGCGACTCTAAGAGGACAAACGACAACGCACCTGCCAGACGGTGGTGTGTACCGGAGTAGATAGAATGTCGAGGTGCAAAGCATGACGAAGTCGTAAGACATTGCGAAGACGTAGAAAAGCCAGACGGTTGAATGGCTAGATGTCTCCGCTGCTTGACAGCTGTGATAATGGCCACTTTAATGTCTAGAAATCGCCTTTACGAAACGATTCACCAACTCACTTGGAGTTCTATGATTGCATGGTAATTTGACCACGGCGTCAACACACAAGTTGAAACAGGCAAGGTGCGAAGAACTTTACATAGTTCTGTACATCTGCAAGTAAACACTGAGTACGCGTGTACTATCATGCATATACAGGGATGTTACTTACCAGAGATATCAAACAGATTCGTAAACCATTCCGCCTGCGTAATTGTCAGCTGTTCGTCCTTAACGAGCATACTGAACAAACACTGACAATTGTGATGGTCACAAAAATGATTAACAACAGAGATGTCATCCACGGAGAGCGCCCGGAGATGTTGACCGTTCTAAGTTCAAGGTTAGCCAAAGCATCAAGGATTGGCTGGGGGTGCGTGTCTCAGATGAAAATTAACTATGTGTACTACCGAACTGTTTACAGGGATAATACAAAAGGAACAAAGAGTATCAAACACACCTTATTCCCAGAATCACCTGTGACACTGATGATTGCAGAACTGGCAAGAATCGCATCAGTTCGCTTCGCCCAGGAGTAAAAATGCCACGATCAATTGTGTAGAACTAACGTTTGAAAATGGGCGCGAGGAGGTAATACCTGCTGCATTCTTCTGGCGAGAAGCTACCGAAATATCCTACAGTGGTCACAGACATCATGACGATACTGATGTATCTGGTGGGAGAGTTGAAATTGGCAATGCTTTTGACTTCGAGTTGACGCTCGGCTCACCTGATGAGAATGAACAGGATACAACCTGGACTCAGCCTCCAGGACTTCTGGTTCTTGTAGAAGCGCCATTCTGCAGGCAAAGTCATAAAATAGCTACCAATAAAGCCTGAGTTATGATCCTCGCGTGCGCACAGGATCCCCACGTACTCGTATGCAGCAATCGAAATAGCCGTGATCCGGATGTAGGACGCTGCATGAGTGCTCACGGAAGCCCAGTCAAGGTGCTCTATAGAGGGGTCATGGCTGTACATGGCAGACAGGCTAGCTAGCTGTCGACAGAGGCTGGAGGGCTGTGAAAGACATGAACAGTCACCAGCCGTCGGACATTGTAGTGTAGCTGGCGGTACGAGATGAAGCAGTCCTCTCACACTCACGCCCGCCGGCGCTATCTGATAACTTATTAGCGGCCCATTCTCCGACATCAATATTCCGGCCTCGACAACCGAGTCGGCGGAGATATATCATCGGTTCCGGAAATAAACTAATGATGTTATCCCCGTGCAGTGGATGAAATCAGATATTCGTCTATAGTATAGCATTACACTAGATTTTACTTCAGCTTCTCTACACCCCGCTGCGTCCTACTGCTCGTGTCGTGGGCCCGTCGCCCAAGTCCGGCAGCTTTTTCTCGGCCTCGGCCGCCGAGGGTGGTGGGAGGAACTCGGTGCGGACTAGCCACGCCAAGTATCGGCCCATCAGCTCGTCATCCACTGTCCTGTTTGTTTCGTGAACATGCGGTGCCAGGAGCGCCCGCATGTTCGTGTCATTGAGTTCCGGTGCCTTGGTGCTCGTCGGCAGATCGTCAAGCACAAAGTGCAGCAGAGGGAACAGCGCGTTATCCTGCACCTCCATAACGTGACGCTCGAGCTGACGCCGCCAGACGAGATACTCGCACCGCTCGGTCGTAAATCCGTACCGAGCGAGCGATGAGAGGAAGTCGTTGAACGTCGGGCGCGGATGTGCAGCCACGTGCAGCACGCTGAGTGTATCCCGCGGGGATGGCAACGGTGCTAGCGCAGCAAGGGCCGTACAACGTGCGACGTGATCGACAGGGACCATGTTGACGGTGTTGTTGATATCAGGCACAAGACCCAACTGGATGCAACCCTTGACCATCCGCCAGATGAAGTCGTCTGTGTTGGTAACTGTGATCGTGATCCGCTGATTAGGAGACACGTGCATAAATATAAGATACAGGAACGTACCCGCAGACAGTGAATCGCCGACGACATAGCCAGGTCGTAGAATATGGCCGTTCAGGCCTCGTCGACCAGCCTCGAAGAGGAGCTTCTCAGACACCCACTTGCTCTGCCCATAACCAGTCTTGAGATTTAATCTAGCACCTTCAAGGTCATCGTCTTCGGGGACACCACCCAGGCTATTTTGCTCTCGCGACAGAGAGTCAGAAAGCTGGACATAATACTCGGTGTCGATTGCAGACGTGGAAGACACGAAGACGAACAGCTTGGGCTTGCTCGTCGCGGCAAGTTCCAATGCGGTCAATGTGCCAATCACATTCGCGGGTCGCAATCTCTCATACGGATAGACCCAGTGTACCTGGTAGAGACTATCAGCATCAAGTATTAGGCATCGCTGATGGATTATTACATACCAATGCGCCGTTGTGAACGACAGCGTCAGCCTCATTCGTGATACGAGTCCACGTAGGTCGATCCAAGCCGAACAGCTCCTGATCGAGGTCACCTTTGACCGCCTCGAGCCTGGACTGCTGTATCCACTCCTCGTCCCAGACACCACGCCCACTCGCTGCATCGCGGAGGCGCTCCAGGGCCTTGCCCGAATCGGGTGCTCTGACGAGACAAATCACCTTCCGGACGCGCTCAGGACGTGAGAGCAAATCGCGCAGAATGAAGGCGCCGAGGAAACCAGTTGCACCAGTCAAGAAGATCGTTAATGGACGGCTCGTATAATCTGCCGCAATTGAGAGGTACGACGAGCGCAATTTGGGCAGCAGCACCTCGTAGTCCTCGCTGTATGTCAGCTTCTTCACCGCAGCGGCACGCTTGAGCGCCGTCTTCAAGGCCGTATCTTCCGTCACAGGCGAAGACTTGCCGCTATCCTGAGCCCCGAAGCCGAGATCTGCGTTGCGAAGCTCGTCGACGGCAGAAGCGAGTCCGCTGATAGTCGGCTTGTCAAACACAAGACCAAGAGGTGCTTCCACTAGGAATGCCTTCCGGATCTCGAAAATCAGGCGAGTCGCGAGAATAGAGTGCCCGCCGGCATCGAAGAAGTTCTCGTCGAGAGGTAGTGGAGAGGGCGGGTTCGGCAAGATGCGGGACCAGATTGCTCGGATGGCTTCTTCGGTGGGTGTTGCGGCAGGACCACGGTGCGAGTCGGCTGGAGCCGCCTGAGCGGTATCGGGGAACGGCAAGGCTGGCTTGTCAATCTTCCCGTTCGGGTTAAGAGGCATGCGCCTCAAGGGGACGAACACTGAGAACGTGTCAACGATTCCGATATGTGACTGCTCGAGAGAAATAGCTCACGGGTAGGAACACTGTAGCTAGGCAGTTTCTTCTTAAGGTACTCCCTGATATCCTTGATAAGCCTCCGGTACCGCCTCATACCGCTCACCACGCCCTTCTCGTCGTCGCCGTCGGGGATATCGCTCTCATACTCATCCAGCGCGGGACCGCCGACGGGTACAAAGTAGCTGACGAGCACCTTCTCCTCATCCTTGTCTCGCCGCACAAGAGTGACGTTCTCCCGGATGAGCGGATGCTGGCTCAGGTACAAGTCAATCTCGCCCAGTTCAATACGGAACCCGCGGATCTTGACCTGATCGTCGGCGCGGCCGGTACATTCCACGATACCTGTGGGCAAGTACCGTCCGAGATCCCCGGAGCGGTACATCCTGTCGCGAATGCCCTTCCAGAACTGCGCTTCTGGTCCCGGCTGGGCGCTGTGCGGCTCGCGGATCGTGTCTTCGCGCGGTGGCGACTTCGCGGCGAACCAGTTGGTGACGAACTTCTCCGCAGTGGCGTCGGGATCGGAGTAGCCCTCCGCCAGCCCGCCAGACCGCACGTAGATCTCGCCGACCTCGCCCACGGCACACGGCACATTCTTGTCGTTCCGGTTCACGACTAGCAGCTGCACGTCGATCATGCCCTCGCCCGCCGGCATGATCTCCTTCTGCATCGCGAGGAACGTCGGGTCCTCCGCGACGCTCGGGATGAGGAAGTACGACACCGCGCGCTGCGTCTCTGTCGTGCCATACATGTTCACGATCCGCACGTTTGCCGCGAGTGACTGCAGACGCAGGCAGTCGCGCTTCGTGAGGACGTCTCCCACAAAGAACGCGTTGCGCAAGGAGGGGATCTGGCGCGTCGCCTGTGCGGAGAGCAGCTGGCCCATGGCGGGCGTGAGGTGGGTCACGGTCACCTCATTGTCTGCCATCCACTCCGCGAGCCGTCCGGGTGTGCCGATGTCCTCGGCGGTTGGCACATACAAGCGTGCACCGAAGAAAAGGGGTGTGAACACTGCAGCTCGATTGTTAGTGAAAGCGGAAAACAAAGGCGAACGAAACCTCACTGTCGCGCTGAATAGGGTCGTGAGCAATGCCGCTGAGCATCGTGAACTTCGAGTCCTCTCCGAGCCCGAACCGCTGTCCCATCCAAGGGAAAAAGTGCGTCAGACTAAAATGTCTTCCGCGCACGCCCTTGGGAATGCCCGTACTGCCGCTAGTAAAAGACAGTGTGCCGACACTGTCCGGTCCCAATGGAATTTCAGGATCTTTGCTAGCTAGATGTGTCTGGGACGCCAGGACGTCTTCGTCGTTTCCATCACGACCACCGATTACTTGCCCGCCAGCCGACAGCTCAAGTGCAGGCACCTCGACGCGGATCTGCAGCTCGTTGGAGATGAACTCGCGCACTGACGGGTTGATTGTCCCGGCACCTTTGAGAACGACAAGGGCGCGAGGCTGGGCGACCTGAAGGTAGATAGTCTGTCTGGACGGAGGGTACGCGGGATCTGCAGAGAAAGCAAGTATGCGAGTCTGGCAGTGAGTTTCGTATCCGTTCTGTCTTGCATATAGGCAAACTACGCACCGATGACTGAGAACGTCGCGCCCGCTTTGAGCACCGCCATCACTGCAACGACGAGCTCTACGCTACGGTAGGCGTATACCATGACCACCTCTTCCCTTTGCACACCGCCCTGTACAAGGTGATGCGCGAGGATGTTCGACGCATGCAAGATCTGGCGGTAGCTAAACGTGCGCTTCTCCTGCGGATCATCAAACTTGTCCGGACTGAGGCATTGGATGACACAGGGTCGGTCTGGCCATCGACGCGCGTTTCGCGAGAACACATCCGTGATCGCACCCTTCCAGTCGCACCAATTCAGATCCGCGGTGGGGTCCGGAAGAATTGCACGCTGGGCAGGTGTGAGCAGTGGCACAGAGCCGACAGGCGCAACGGGATTTGCAGCAATTTTTCGCAAGAGAATGGAGAGCTGGTCCACGATGCAGGACATACGGGTAGGCGTGAAGAGCAGGGAATTGTACAGCAGGCGGAGGGTGATGTGGGGAGCGACCGAGCTGCGACTCGTCTCGTGCTGCCGGGTGATGAAGACCGTCAGGTCGGACGTCAGGCTGGTCGAGCGCAGGAAATTCTCCTGCGGTGTGTCAGTCTCGTCGAAGAAACGCACACGGAAAAGCGGGCGCGAGTTCTCCGCTGTGTCGGCCTTGTCTTTGCCCAGGGCCCGCACGATCGCCTCGTACGGCAGCGCATCGGCCTCGGCGTCGTTCTCTGCCTGCTGCACCTTGCGCACGACGGCCCAGAACGGATCATCAGGGTTTACGGCTATTCTGAGGACGAGAGGATCGCGTGCCAGAGCTGACGAAGAGCCTATGACGAGGTCTGTGTCGCCTGTGTATCTGTGCAGGAGAACAGAGAACGCAGCGAGAAGCAAGTGGAAGGGGGACGGCGGCTTGCTTTCGGATGTGCCTTCCTCGTCCCCGTCTTCGCTCTCGTTGTACAGAGCCAGCTTCAGTAGCCCCAGACATGTCTGTGCCGAGAGATCAGCAGAGTGCGCCGCCTCGACTAGTCGATTCCCGGCTTGTCGTGGATAGTCTGTCGGAAGAGAGATGGAGGGTAGATTTTGCAAACGAGCCACGACCCGAGCGAGACGCTCATCCGCCATCTTTTCCTGCGGTCAGACACAAGTCGGGGATACGACTTGAGAGGTCTGTCTTGTGAACTGGCGGCGGCCTGCAAGATGACTCGAATTTGTGCTCGAGTTTGCAGCGAATTTGACTCCGTTGGCGCTCAACGCGTCGGCCATGAGGTCACGTGGAACGCGACGTGCTCGGCATCCGCCGCTATCAATGCTGAGAATCTAGCAAGCACAGTGTTATCTTCGTGAGTTTCTTACAGTGAACATGTCCCTTGACGATTTTCGAAGGTCGTTTTGACAAGTCGGCTTCACAGAATGACATACCACTTTGAATCCGTCTGGCAGCACATCTGTCTGCGTTGGGCATGTAGTCACCCTGTTACATCTCGGACCTGGGATCTCGGTCAACTTGCAATGGTACACGTTCGCTATCCATTCAAGGCACCGAGGGCTTGAGCAACGCGATCTGAATCGGTGATCATGCAAGATTGGGGCGGAAAGCCATCACAGGAACGCGCCGCGATGTCGTCAGACATAGGTATCCGTAGCCGACGCAGCTCGATGTCTATTCTGCTCTCAGGAAATTACCTCCACAATCTGTTTCTTGCATTTGTGTTTCCGACATACTTCAATCTTGCGTGTATCAACAGTATGGCACGGCGACGATGTTGTTATTACAGATACAGATTTACAATGCAAGCTATCGATACAAGTGTACAGCGAAATTCAGAGGGAAACGGCTAATAGAATGAAGCATAAAATATCATATCGGTTGTGAGGAACGTCCGAACGAAGGAGGGTAGAGCGCAGATTCCGCTGCTGTGTTTCGGTCCAGTGCGATGTTGTCGAAATCGAGGGCGACGCGCAGCGTCCGTTGTCCGAGAGCTGGAATGGACGAGGAGGATGTGACAGGTCGATGATTAGCGAGCCACGCGATGGCTGACCAATGTCGGATGCGTGTGGTTTCATGGCTTCATGATGAACACTGCAGCGAGGACGGCCACCAGGATCACCAGCGAAAACAGGGAGAACGCGACGAGGCAACGCTTCGCCCACTTCATCTCCGTGCGCCTCATGCTCTCGATCAGCTCCTCCCGCTCTGCCTCCGTCTTTGACACTTCCCAATCTTCCGGGGCGCGCAGTGGCGAGATGAGAATGAGAGCCCCGGCGAGCCAGAAGAGAGGGAACACTGCATACAACTTCGATTAGGCGCGTCCGAGAAGCTAAGGAACACGAGAAGACTCACGGAAACCAAATCTGAAGAGATACATCGCAAGCGTAGGGTGCTCCGCAAAGCGCGAGTAGGCCGGTGGCTCTCCCGTCGACGAGTACGGCGGCGGTGCGTCATCGTGGTGCACAGGCAGCGACATCGCGTCGTGGCGGCTGTCTTGTGTGCCGCGGGGAGTGCGTGAAGGGCGCACGACACCGAAGAAGTCGTCGATGGGGTTCGTTCCCTCGTCAACTGGAGAGTATTGGGAGCGCGGTGCGTTGGTGAGAGCCGATGGAGGTGTGGGCAATGACTGCTGCTCATGTGTGCCGACAATGACTTGCGCTTCGAGGTCGTACTCGGGACGAGATTGGCTCAGGGAGCCGAAGATGGCAGGGATGACGAAGGTCGAGGAGGTAGAGGCAGACATTGTCGTCGAGTGATGAGGTGGAATGGCTGGCTGATGACTTGGTGGTTGTGTAGACGCGTTGGACGGCGGAGGGCTGGTGAGGACATGACGGCGGACGGCGGGGGTCTATATATCACTGGCGGGACTTGGCGATGGACGCGGGAGCAGAGACGAAGAAGACGCGGATGGCAACGGATTGCAATCATGGGAATGTGTCCACGGATGTCGACCGATCATAACAGAGGTCAATAGCTGTAAATGGCAATGTGTGTGTCCCCACACAGACAAACATAGCACGCACCTTCCACAAAAGGAATCGGAATACACTATTTATCTATCTACTTTTACAGCAAAACCAATATTGATGGACTTCCCCTCGCAAAGTATACACTTCGGCAGAGTGGGGCACAAGCTCGCGGCAGGATTCGGCAGTGGTGCAGACACGCCGACGAGCGGCCGATGGGCTACTGAGGACCGTGAGGTAGACACGTGGATTACATACTATATATGGCTGCCGTCAACAACACTGAGATCTCTGAGGGGTGAGGGTACGTCACCCCCGGGGTTCCGATAGCTGTCTATGCTCCATGCCGCCTATCTGTACTTTTTGCGAGGGAGGTCTATCAATATTGGTTTTGCTGTAATGGCCAATCAGCTTGCAGGTCACCACGTGATCGCGTCAATCTCACGTCGAGCGCTTCTCGACTTGTAGTATCTCGACTCTTGCCGCTCGACAGCCGTTCTCCAGCCTCAGGGATATACTTTCCTTATCAGCAACTCTCGCTGCAGTCCTTGACGCGGACTGGTTGAGAACGATGTCGGGCGATGCGGACGTACTCAGCGAGCTGCTGATCGCCCGTATTCTTGAGGAGGAAATGCTCGCACTCACTCATGCCCAAGAGGCCGAGAAAATCCAGGTGGATCTGATGATTGATGAGTCTGATCTGCTGGCAGGAAAGGGAAGTGGCAAGCATAAAGCTGTTGCACAGGATCCCATCAGTGATAGTGATGGAGATCTCGTGCTGAAGATGGTAATCAAGGAGCTTCGCATGAGCAGCGATGCAACACTTGCACAGGCGCTGCAGCACTCCGATGATGTCACAATCATTGCCAGCCAACAGCATGCACAACGCCTTGCAGCAGCAGAGAAAAAGCTGCTTCTTGATGCTGAGTTTGCAAGGCGATTGCAGGCTGTCGACGACAATGCGAACGCCGATATCGATACCGCAGAATATATGGATGCCGAGACGTAAGTTCTGCTTTGAGGACGTTCTCTCATCAAGATACATATGCACTTGTACGCAGCGTATTGGGTCGAGAGACCATAGAACAGCTACTGGTGAGTGTCTTGTTTCGCTCGTGAGGTACACTCGACTAGATGCATTGATAGGCTTCGGATCCCAACGATAAAGGAAAGAAGAGTGTTACTGGAAAGGGAAAAGGGAAATCGCCAGTGTCACTTTACAATATCAAGCAGTCTTCACAGGATGACGAGAGTGCGTCTCACACAGCTATTCACGCGCTATGCAGCTCAGACTTATTGTGCTGTTGATAGCCGTGAACAAGGATGTGGATGTACCATCTGTCGCCTATCCAATCTGCGGCATCTGCATGGAGCCCTTCCAAGCGACTCACTCTCCCCTCGCCTCCTCTGCTTCCGCCAATTCATCTGCACGCCTCAAATTTGGCTTGCGCTTGCCCTGCCCTGGCGTGCACGCGTACTGCATGGGTTGCCTCGGCGACTACATCCGCTCAAAGCTCGATCCGGATGGCGACGAGACCACGAGCATGAATCGAGTCGTCTTTCCTATACGCTGCCCGGAGTGTCCACTGATTGAATGGGCGGACGGAATACCAGACGAGGTTGCGACGCGGATCCTACCGGAGAAGAATATGGTGCTTTGGGTGAGCAATACGTTTATTCTTAAGTATCGCTGACGGTCGTCTAACTGTGTATACAGCACCACCAGAAGCTTCTGGATAGCATGCCGCGATACTATTGTCCAAACCCTCGCTGCTCGGCGTTGGTACAGGTGCACGACGATCCGGACGATCCCTTGGCTCAATGCCCTTCTTGCAATTTCCGCATATGCGTCCCGTGCAGGGTTGTATGGCATGAGAGTATGTATTCCGCGTAGACTCTCAAGCTTTTCCTCATGTAATCCTTGGCAGACTTGACATGCGAAGAATATCAGGTTGGGCGTATGCTTAGTAGGCACCTGAACCATTCTTGATACATATGGTCTCCAAGGCACTACCGCTTGATGAGCGATCACCGGAAGACCAGCAAGCCTTGCAACTGATGAAGGTGCAGTCTATACATAACAGTGGATGGGAATGACCGCTCACTGACCCACTTAATAGGCCCAGCACTGGCGCAGATGCCCGAACTGCTCTGTATGTTTAACCTCCCTATTGTCAAACGATGTGCACTCACAAACGATATAGTTCATCGTGGAACTGACCGTAGGATGCAACCACATCACATGCCGCTGCAAGACGGAGTTCTGCTTTCGCTGCGGATGTGCGTCCAGTTTTCTGCTGTTGTAGTCTATTTACTTACGCAAGTCGCGTTGCTAGCGCTGTGGGACGTCCGGCGCCAACGTTGTACTCGAAACCCAGCATGCGATCTCTGGGATGAAGAGATGCTCCTCGAAGAGCGCGAGCGCGAGCGGGATCACCGTCAGGACCGCGTCGCCCGCATGTTCGCGCCCCGCGAGGAGTCGCCTCCGCCCTACGAAGCGCCCCCCGTCCCTCCTGTGGGTCACGAGGAACCCGATGATCACGGGACGGATGGTGGCGACGACCTCGAATACTGGATGGATCCCGAACCCGGCAACTTCGACTGGTATGATGATACCGGCATCTCCGATGGGACGGATGATGTCGGCACCTTCGACTGGATGGATGATCCCAGTGCGTCGGAGTCCCCATGAGTCCTCGCCCAAGCTCGCCACTGACTGACCCATACATCTGCATCTGGCAGATGTCTTCTGCACGCGGCACTGGTTCACGACACAGATGATCCAGACCCTGACATGCGGGTACTGCGATGCGAAGCTGAACTCGTTCGCGGATCTGCGGTACCACCTGGGCCACGTCCGGCGGCACGACGTGTTCGCGTGCTGCGGGCGGTTCTTCAAGCGCGAGAAGGACCTGGAACGGCACCTCGATGCAGAACCAAAGCGGTTCGGGCGGCATGTGCATACCGTGCGTACGGATCGGTGAGACTGCTTGCGCATAGTAGTGTATAGTCCGTACATGTTGGTGCATTGTACACGATGATAACCAGAGCACAATGACCTGGCAGGCAACTGTGAACCATATATATTTTCTCTCTATGTTCCACGGCCATATTTTGAAAGCATGAAGATGCAATAGCCCGAGCATCCATTAACACGTCGACATTTTGAGTGATGACTCTGATGTTTGATTTCGTGTGGCGTCGCAACAGTCGAAAAATTGGCCTGTCCATTGAGATGAATATGCATAGAAGGTGTATCACCTGTTGTCATCTCTGGTCGTATATCGGTTAGTACACGCGCTTGTCATGTAACCGTGCGCGCGAAAGCGGGGTTCGACTCCCCGCCAGAGAGGCTGGAATGAATTTTCCTTTTACATCAGGTTTATTCAAAATTTTCGCCTGTATCTCGCTGGAAAACAAGCGGCATTTAAGCGGCCAACAGCAGCGAGCAGAATCTGAGCTCCCTTCCTCGAACAGCGACAAATAAGCGACTGCTCATCGCAAGCGCTCGCAGATTCTGGCTTACGGCTATGTCACGCTTGCGTGATCCACCAACCTGATTGGCTAGTCAGCCCTTCGCGAGCCGAGAACGTGATCAAATCACCGCTGCATCACGCTTAGCCATCTGTGACGCTTTCAGCGACCTTCAGCCACATTTGGGCGCTCAGCAGAAGGTCGCTGCTTTTCCAGCGAGATTTAAGCAGCAGTTTTGAACGTACCTGGTGATGCTTTTGGTTTGGTTAATTAACACCTGCAGCGAGAGTTGCGAGGACGTTACCGCGTGTCTGCGTCTGACTCGTCGGACGTTGCTGACGCCGAGTCAGCGACGAGCGATGTTAGTACAACACGCGTTGCTCCTTTATCAAACGCTGGTGGAGACAATCGTCGTACAGCTCATCAAGACCAGCGTCTTCCAGGGGATGCACTCTGCGAAGACGCACGAGCTGTAGCCAAGTTCTGTAATCGTATTCATATAAACCGCTGTGGTGGGGGAGAGCGCGCTGGGCTTATAAGATTGTTAATGGATCCGGCCACTGTTGATATATCCACCTTCTATCCGTCAGGAACATTTGTGCTTGTGAAACACGCCCGTCGCCGAGCTAGTGTAGCGGTCAAAACCGCTATGCGGCCACTGCAGGTACCAACAGACAAATCACTTACTAAAGGTCTCGTAGATACAGGCTCGTCCCTGCCAAGATCGTTATTACCGTTTGAAACCACAGTATTGTGCCGCATATCGCGCATATCTATATCAAAGCGTAGCCCTTTGATTATCCCCATCATTTAGCTGTGAGGAACTTGCGGTTACTGAGGTCTCTTCCTCAACGCAGCGTTCATCAGCTTTCTGCGTGGCGAATGACAGCGCTGCAAGGCCCCGGACGTAACCTCATTCGTTTTACATATTACATGAAGCATACAACTTTCTAAATCGACAGCCCAGACACCCTAGTACGACCGCCCGAACATGGTCCACCGTTTCGCATCCTTGCCGCAGGCCGGGCACTTCGTCTTGCCCGGCTCAATTGCTGGCCAGCGCGATTGGTCGAACGGAATGCATAAGGACTTGGCCCCGGCTGACGGAGCGCGCTCGTCCGTGGGCTCGGCGCTGGTGCCACGGAGCAATCAGCACTTTGATCTATGAACCCAGCTCGAGAAGATATTGTGACTCACGATTTTGCGCTGCGCTCCTTGATGTCGTCCTCGCACGCCTCCTCCTCGCACCAGGGGATGACCGCGACGCACTTATCGTCGAGCGTTGGCACGACCTCCTCCCACCTGGTGACCACGCGCAGCCGCGAGAAGTACGTGTCCTGCGCGCGCCGGAACATGTCTGCCTGGATGGCGTCCAGGAGCTGGGGCACCGATGTGGTGATATCGGCGAGCGGCAGCGGGGCCTTGACGCCAGTGTCGCGGCGCACGCTGAGCGTCTGGTCCTTGGCGAGGTCCGCGGGGCCGATCTCGAGGCGGAGGGGCACGCCCTAGGGGCGGGAGGGACAGTCAGTGTGGGCAGGCACACTCACACACTCATGATCATGGATGAACGCGCACGCGACGCACCTTCTGCTCCCAGTCGTTGAACTTGAATCCGGGCGTGTAGCCCTCGCGCAGGTCCGCCTTCGCCTTCACGCCCGCCGCCTTGAGCGCGGCCGCGAGCGCCTCGCATCTGTCGCTGATCGCCTTGCGCTGCGCGTCGCTCGTCTTCGCTGTGACGCCGCACGGCACGATGACGGCCTGGACCGACGCGACGCGCGGGGGCAGCACGAGGCCCTGGTTGTCGCCGTGGATCATGACCATCACGCCGATCGTGCGCGTCGACAGGCCCCACGAGTTCTGCCACACGTACACCTTGCCCTGGCCCGTGGGGTCGTTCGGGTCCTCCACGAAGATGTTGAACATCTCTGGGCGCGAGAAGTTCTGCCCGAGGCAGTGCGACGTGCCCGCCTGGATCCCGCGCCCCGTCGTCGGCACGAAGCCCTCCACCGTCGTGGTGTACAGCCCGCCCGCGAACTTCTCCTTCTCCGACTTGATGCCCTGGATGACTGGCACCGCCAGCAGGTCCTCGTACACCTGGCGGTACAGCTCCAGGATCTCGCGCACCTCGACGTCTGCCTCGGGCTTTGTCAGATGTGCGGTGTGTCCCTCCTGCCACAGGAACTCTCGTGTCCGCAGGAACGGCTCTGCGGTGATCATAAGAAACGCCCCACTTCCGAAAAGTGTCCGCACTCACGAGGGTTCTTGAATTCCCATCGTACGACGTTGTTCCACTGGTTGAGCTTGAGAGGCAGATCACGGTGGCTCTTAATCCATTTTGCATAGTCTGCACTAGCATGAGTGACGCAAACAAAGAGGGATCCGGAAATCACTCACACGGGTACATGACCGTCTCCGACGTCGGACGAACCGCAATAGGCTCCTCGAGTTCAGAGTTCCCGCTAATGCAAAGTCAAGGCCTTATCCAGTCATGTCCAGAATGTCACGCACGCTCGGGTTACCCATGCGACCTCCGGCGAGAAGCCCTCGATGTGGTCCTTCTCTCGCTCCAACACCTTCGCAGAGACGAACATCGGGAAGTACGCGTTCTGCACGCCCATATCGCGGATGCGAACATTGAACCAGTCTACGCTAGCGTCAGGCTCACCGCGGATGTTCGACTTTGCGACATCACGCACCTTGAATGACCTCCCAGATGCTGTAGGACCATGGGCGTAGGATGTAGCATCCGCTGACATTGTAGTAGTCCAGCATATCTGCCTTGATCAGAACCTGCGAAGGGGCATCAGGAGCTGTGTGTAGAATTCCTGCTACGGCAGCATGCTCACGTTTGTGTACCATGCCGCAAAGTCCACCTCTTTCTTGATGCCAATCGCGATTTGAATCGCACCCTCGATCTTGCCATCGTCTTTCTTCTCCTTCGCGGGAGCGGTTTTGGCCTGACCGGCCGGGGCATCTGCCTCGGTTTTCAATGCCTCGAAGTCGATCTCGTGCAGGGGCGATTCCTTCGACTCGAGCCGTCTCAGATACGCGTGGATGTCCTTGCCAGACAAGAAAAGTGTCGAGTCGGACGCGAGAGCGCGCACGGCAAACAACGAGTCGGATGAAATGATCGAGGAGTCTATGGCGGTAGTGACCTTGGGATATGTCTGTTCAGTGAGTGCAAGGGGGGAAACTGAGCGCGAATTAAGCGTATAGCATGGACGAAGACGAGGCACGAAACTGACGTGAGTTTTTGTCTAGAGAGAAGAATTCGTTCAAGAGATCCTCAGAGCCAAGGCGCAGGTCCTTGAGACCGAGCTTCTTGCCCACGGCGCCGGAAATGACATCGGTACTTTCGCGTGCAACAATGATCAGTGGAACAGGAGTCGCAGTCTTGGCAGTTTTTGGCTTGTAAACTAGGGTTTTGAGGAGCTCGAATGACTTGGGGGCCGATGGAGCCGATTCCAACGCCTCCCGCCATGTCGCTGGAGAGTTTGTCGTGCAGTGAGAGACTACACCCTGCGCTTGGATGGCGAGTGCTGCCAGAGACTGGGTGATGTTGTCCAACGACATCGTAGTAGCGGTTCTGAAAAGCCCCAAGGACGAAGAAGCGCTTTCTGGACGTGACTCGAAACGCCTGACGGGCGTTATCAGATGGAAGGGCCCAATGCGTGGGTTGAGACTAGCAAGTCGAGTTAATTGTTTCGCCGCATTGCGAGAGGCCAACATACAGCTTGTACTGACTCACAACCACGACAAGACGGCTGGCAGGGTCAGGACACGATCGACTCGCAATTTGAGCGCGCTAACTCACGCGTCGCGTCCCCAGGCGCCTGCGATCGTGAATTTAAGTAATAATGTGCTCAGTTCTTCTCGCTCGCTCGTTCATTCGCGGAGCGCTCACCTTTTTTGGTAGGTATTTCCAACCCCGACTGATCCCTCAGGCGCCCGCCATCGACGCGAATCGAGCAAGTCTACAACTTCGAATCAGTACTGGTATGAGGGAACAAGATGAGACGAACATACCTCAGCCGTAGTGGTACTAAGGAGAGAAGTGGGGAGCGGGGGAGCGAAGTATAAGTATGTAGAGTGGGTATCACGTGGAGGTAGACAGAGAATGAGCTACGGTATCAGATTGACATAGGGAGCGCGAAGCGCGACCGCGGACGTCAAGCATCCCGGGGGAGTCGGAACCCGACACAGATGTATTCTAGAGAAACAAACTTCAAGCTTCAAGAATATACTACAATCAGCTCATATGTTGCAATTGCAGGCAGTCACAGTTGTCTAGATCATTCCTTGGATACCTTAGTCTTGTACAAAGCCGCACCATTGGCTGTATGAAGTAGTATTTGCATAATCGTCAGTAACTATGAGACTTGCGATTGGAGCTCGCCGTGTCGCTGTCGATCGCGGGTGGCTGAGGATTCAGTCGGGGTTTAAAACATATACCAAAAAAGGTGGGTGCTCCGCGAACGAACGGGCGAGCGACAAGAATTAATCTCGGTCGCGTCCACGATCCTGGTTGCTATTGGATGAGATGTAGTGCGTGCTCTTAGCCCATGCGTTGTCCTTTGAATCCCTGCATCTTGCTCTCGATGTGGGTGATGCATTAGGTTTCAGATATGATCAGTCGCAAAGTGCAGCCCGCGTTATCCAGACATGGCTGCGAGAGACGTTGCACAGAAAAATGCTGCTACTTTACGCGCTTTGGGCGAACGCACGAAGCATGGAATACAATCTACTCCATTTGTTCATATCATCATATGTATGTGTTGTTGTACAAAGCAATGCTGCGTATTATGACAACTGGGGAACTTCATAGCTCATATTGTGGGACATGCAGGTTGTGCAGGGGTGGTGTACGTACCGGGAAGGGTTAGGAAGTGAGAACCAGCTAACAGGACGACAACACACCGGGTGAAGGTGAACAGAGGCGAGATAAGAGAACAATGAAGAATGCGAGGGTATGCAAGAATATGCAGTCCGAGAACGAGTGCAGGGCGGTCGGTGCTACAGGATGAAACGAGCCAGGAGGCGGCAGAGGTCGCTACGGGATACACACAATTCGTTGTCCTATGTGCCGTGCTGGTACCGGTCATCCACATAGTAGCGCATGTCTTCGCGTGCTGCAGCTTCTGCCTCTGCCTCTGCTTCTTGACGTTCGAGCTCCGCATTCTGCTCGCGAATCAGAGCCTTGAGTTCTGGTAGGACATCAACCAGAGAGACTGTAGTGTTCTCATTCCACTTGTCCAGTGCCCACTGCCGCACCCAGATGCTCGCCTGTAAAATGTCAAACATACAAATCACCGGATGGGCAGCACATGTGCACGCACCTTCAAGAACTTCTTCGATGCATACTTCTTGAAGAACGACTCGTGTCGGATCGGCCTCAGCACGTAGTTGAGCATGAGATTCGCCGTCGGCACGAGGGCGTGTTCCGGATATGATGAATAGTGCGCCAGGTTTGGCGTCTGGGTGGGCATCAACAAAGGCGAAGCAACTCGCGACAAGTTATAACGTACCCAATCCAGGAAGCCCAGAATAATACGTGCAAACCAGATGGCGGCAGCCGAGAGCAGCGACGGCGGCGCAGCAATCAGGCGCCACTCGAGACATTGGATCTCCATCAGGTACTTGGCTATCGTGCGCACCTGGATGTTGTAGTCGTCTGCCTTGCTCGTCCGTCGCAGAAAATGGATCGGGTTTGGGTAGCTGAGGTTCCAATCAATCGTCTTCAAGACGTATCGCTCCGCCAGCAGGATCTGGTTCTCAACGTAGCTAGCGTCTGCGCAGTAAAGGAAGTTCTTCGCGCTCGGCGCAACAATCTCCTCCACCTTGGCCGCAATAAACATGCAGGTGACACCGACTAGCTGCAACTTGGCCAGCGAGACGACGCGCGCGGAGAGAAACCGGTCAATGATGTTGACGCATAGGAACAACGTCTCTGGCAAGAGCTTGAAGCGTGAATGCACTTGGATGAGCCAGTCGTTAAGGATTCCCCGCATTTTCCATGCGAGGTCTTTCTGGTTCTCCATGTAGTTCGGATTTGGTAGGGTCGTTTGCTGATGATGACGTCATATGACCAACCCATGATCAAGCATAACTGGAGGTCCTCACCTCGACTTCCTTGAGATAGTCGAAAATCTCGACGACGTACTCACTGACCATGAGCGGATCATCTGCATCGCCCGCATCGAGGTCATCCCAGTCTGGCCCTTCTGGATCTGCCTCTGGGGTCCCAGCAAAGCCGACCACCTCCTCGACCTCCGCTGCAGCCGCCTCATCCGGTAGATCCGACGATGTACGACGCTTCTTGAAGACACGTCTCGTTTCCTCGTCATCTTCGTGCCGTACGATGACTGGCCGGGGAATGGAGCGTCTCGGAGTTCGACTATCGCGCACCACAGGTTGATGGGCTGTAGCCGCGGATCGTCGTGCGGCCGTAAAACGCTTAGGAGAGGGTACGGGGACAATCGGTTCATGATCGACAACCATAGCATGGTCGCTCTCTGGAACTTCCTCCTCCTCCTTGACCTGTTCCAATTGCGCTTGGAGCTGTGGCTGCTGCTGTGTTACAGCAGAACTCCTCGTGATTCGTCGTGTCGACGAATTTGGGACGGCCACCGTTCCACCAACAGTGCGAAGCGGACGACGCGATGCAGCAGTGACAGTAGTTGTCGTCGTTGTCGTCGCTTTCTTGAGCACGACTCCCTCGAACTTTTCCTTCAAATCCTTGACCCGATCCTTGCCCTTGACCGCAGAGGGACCGGGTCCGGCATTTGCTGGCTTTACAGCCTTGTTTTCTGGTGGCTTCGGTACCTCACCTAGTGCCTCCCTTTTGCGCTTCTGGGGCGCTGGGTCTACTCGAGACACTGGCGGGGCTACAGACTTAGCCCTAGTTGCCGCGGTAGACGTGGTGGCGCGCGCGATGCCCGTTGGCCTTGCATTCTCGACAGCATTTGCTGTAGATGGGGGTTTCGCACGTGTCGTAGTAGTTCGATTTCGAGTAGAATTCTCCTTATCCCTGAGAATAGTCGTGCGAGTTGCCCGCGTCACACGCCGTGTCTAGCGTAAAATATCAGCATTTTTGGGTACATTGCACGTCCAGCAACTTACGGGTATGTTCGATGACATACGGAGCACTGCCCAATGTCGGAAATATCAGAAATAAAATAGGGAGAAAGAATATTTGCGAGGTCGTGGTGAAGGTAGCGCGCAATGATCACAGCTCACGGGGCGTTTTGTTCAACTGATGCCACAAACAGATGTAAACAATACGCTCACGACGCGGCGCGTTGTACACGTGACACGCGTAGCGTGGATGTGCTTGCGGTCCTCTCACTCACCAGTCTAGCTTGGAGTCTTCTTTGTGGTGACTTTTGGGGCTCAGGAGGGTGCTAGGGGTGTAAATGCGCTTGTGGCCCAAGTATGCACTGCCGCGGGGCATTGACTTGCCAAATTGCCTGACTCGCGCGTCATCTCGCTGGCTCTCGGGGACTGCGTCGTGGCGATCGGGGAACACGACATCTAGCGATCCGGGAAAAGAGTTCTCAAATACTCTCCTATTGCCCAAGACCAAATTTTCCCTCAGGGACGACCCGTCTAAGAATGAATTAATCCGGTCGAGAGCGTGTGACGAGCTATACCGATGGCAGGTCAGGTCTGAAGGTGCAAGTTGACAGCTGGACTTACCGGACTTCGAGTAGTGGAGGAATGCCCAAGGGCCTCTCTTCGTGTTCCATGATGGCCCTCCATACGCTAACGGTGAACTGCATATCGGTACGGAATGTAAAGTGGTCGTCCTGGACATATCTCACGTCCCGCAGGACACGCCCTGAACAAAATTCTGAAAGATATCATAAACAGATACCATGTGTCGTTGGGCCATCGAGTTCAGTACGTGTTCCTGCCACATTTACGCCATGCGTACTGAATCAAATCGGTGGCAGTTACATCCCCGGATGGGATTGCCATGGTCTGCCGATTGAGAACAAAATCTTGCAGAAACTTGGCGTAGGTGCACATGGTTGGCACTTCACTCTCCACTCACGGACATCCAGAAACGACCGCAAGAGTTAGAGCCAGATGTCATCCGGAGAGAAGCAGAGGCATTCGCAAAACAGGAGGTGAAAGTGCAACAGGACCAGTTCCGACAGTTTGGGGTTATGGCAGATTGGACGCCAGAATCGACTTATCGCACACTAGGTAAGTGATCTAAGACACATCTGCGCAGTATGCATAAAGGCTGCGTTCCCGGAGGGGTTTCGGTCCAGTTGCTTCACCCCGTAGCAAGTTGAGCTAGGCTTTCCTGGATACCGCCGTCTCATTCCACTAGTGTTTTTGCCGCCTGGTTCAGGTTTAACGAATAACCTTTAGCACCACATCTGTGGTGAATGTGTCCGGACGAACAACCTCTCTGTATGGGCTTCGCGGAGTCAACTAACCAGCCTTCTTGGCACCCAACAGATCACGACTACGAGATTAGACAACTACGCATCTTCCAGAAAATGGTCGAGAAGGGTACGTCCCTCCTTCAGCCATGCAGTCAGCGCGCCAACTCCCTGCCAGGTCTCATATACCGGCATTATCGTCCCGTCTACTATTCGCCATCCTCGTCTTCTGCTCTAGCAGAAGCAGAGCTGACCTACAATGTCAAGCATGTCTCATACTCCGTCTACGTTGCCTTCGAACTGGAGCCAGATAGCCCACAAATGAGCGCGCCGCTGCGTACACTCATCGCGGGGCGAAAAAGCGTGCGCTTACTTGTATGGACGACGACGCCATGGACTCTGACCGCGAATATGGTACTGTACTTCCTATACTGCAGATCGCAGCGACTCTGAAGGACTGTTTTACTCATGTACCTACTCGCGGTAGGGAATCGCTGTTCACCCGGAAATGATGTACAAGGCAGTGGCCGCGAGTAGCGACCCAACAGCCCCCATGGATATATTCGCGGTGGAACGTGAAGAAGCGTTGGCGAAATATCCTGAAGTTATGAGTTCCAAGATCCCCATCGCCGAGTTCCAAGGTGAGTCCATTGATATAATGACGGTCCTTGCTAGTTCATCAAACCATCACAATCATAGGTTCTGACTTGGCTGGTTCAACGTATCGTCCCATCTTCTCGTCGTTGCATGGGCCGTCATCATCCTCGCCGCTTCCCATTATTCCCTCTAGGCACGTCACTTCGGATTCAGGTACGGGCCTTGTTCACTGTGCGCCTGCACATGGTGCCGAGGACTATACGGTCTTCCGGAATCTCGGATTGCTTTCGTCGTCTTCATCCCTTGGTGATTTGCTGTGTCATGTCGACATACAGGGGCAGTTCACAGAGGGTGTGCAGGATGTAGTTGGCGAAAAGGCCGCACATGCCCTGGTTGGTAAGGAGGTACTGGGAGAAGGCGGGAAAGCGATCGTTGGGCTGCTAGAGAATGCTGGAGCGCTGAGAAAGATCGAAAAGATCAAGCATCGTTATCCGTACGATTGGAGAACTGACAAGCCCGTTATCGTCATGTATGCGACATTCCCCTCAGCTGCGGCGTTGTTCCCATACTGACTGTATGCGATCTCAGTGCCACATCTCAGTGGTTCGCTAATATCGACCAGATCAAAGAAGATGCCATCGCCGCGCTGCAAGACGTATCGTTCACGCCTGCTCAATGTACTTTATTCTGCCCCAGTATGCGACTGACACTGACAGCATCTTTCTGTAGCACGTAATCGGCTCGAATCTTTCGTTCGTTCGCGCTCAGAGTGGTGCATCTCCAGACAGCGTGTGTGGGGGGTGCCTATCCCGTCCTTGCATCACATTCCCTCCGGCCGCGCCGTGCTTGACGCCAACAGCCTCAATCACATACTCAGTATTCTCCTGGAGAAGCGCACCGCATATTGGTGGACTGGGCCTGTTGAGGAATTCGTTCCTCCGGCTCTCCGTGACGGAATGGATGCGAAGCAATTAGCGGAAACCTGGCGCAAGGGCACGGACACCATGGACGTCTGGTTCGATAGTGGTACATCATGGTCCATGTTAGACGACCTGTACCAGCACGATGGCGTGCAGAGCGTCGACGGGCGGACATATGGTGCCAACGTATGCCTGGAAGGCTCTGATCAGCATCGCGGCTGGTTTCAAAGCCAGCTTCTGACGGCAATAGCATCTGCCGAAATTGGGAAACCCAAGAGGGCAGCACCCTACGGAACGCTGATCACTCACGGCATGGTTCTTGACGAGAAGAGCAGAAAAATGAGCAAGTCGCTTGGCAATGTCATCAGCCCTATGACGATCATTAACGGTGGAACGGTGCGCCGCGTCTCTCGATATTTTTGCACTGACCTGGCCTGACCGGACGTGACACAGAACAAGAAGAAAGACCCTGCATATGGCTCAGAAGTCCTTCGGATGTGGGTAGCAACCGTAAAGTTCACTGAGGATATCCAGATCGGGCCACAAGTCCTCGCAAATTGCGCGGAGGCTTTGAGAAAAATACGGAATTCGGCTCGCTTTATTTTGGGAGTCTTAGAGGATCAGCCGCTCACGCACAAAGTGAATCGAGAACAGTATGGCCTTGTAAGTCTGACTGAGATATCGCATCCCTCCTACTAACCCTGAAAAGGCCGAACGCTATGTGATGCATGAATTGCATAAACTGGACACGACGGCACTACACAGCTATGCATCGTATGACTTCGCAAGAGGTGACATTATTCACACAGCGTTGTCTGCTTGCTAATAAGCGTATATCAGTGGCCAATGCGCTGTTGTACTTCGCGAATGTCACCCTCTCTTCGCTTTATCTGGACATTACCAAGGATTGCCTCTATGCGAACGCGCGAGAGAGCGTCGAACGCCAGGCAGTGGTCTCGGTCCTTGAACGGGTGTGTTAATCCCGACTTCTAGCCAAGTGATGACTGACTGCTCTGCAGGTTCTGGTGACAATGACGTCTGTCATCACGCCAATCCTGCCATATCTAGCGGAGGAAATCCGTACAACGTGGCACGGAGTGCAAGACAATTCGGTTTCAGCAAAGATATGGGTTCCAGTTGTATGTTTGGATATCTCCAAACTCAGCTACAATGGCTCACGTTTCTGTAGAGCGCAGAGTGGGAGGATACGCAGGCTGAAAGCGACATGAGCGAGCTTATCCGCGTACGGAATAAAGTACGGGTTGCATTAGAGCGTGCCCGGAGGGCCAGGTAAGCCGGTACATTGCTGAGGTAGATTTGACGAAGACTCATCTGTCCATAGTCAGCTCAAGAGCTCTCTGGAGGCGAACGTGATACTGTCCCTGCCTAAAGGTGCTATGCAAGATGCTCATGGTCTGGTCTCTCTCTTGCGTCGCGAAGGTGATGTCAACATACTGTACTTTGCGATATTGATATTAAATGACTCTTGCAGAGCACTTCCTGAAGACCCTGTTCATCGTCTCCGACGTCAAACTAGCTGACGGAAGCATTCCCACGTCTCATCTGGGATCTTGGCACTATGCAGAATCGATGCCATTGCCAGGTGGGCACCATTCTGTGTGCAGTGTAGCTGGAGGTGACTAATTTATGCACAGACCGTGAAGGCTCAGTTGAGATCACCGTCGTCCCTGCCGCCCAGAGCAAATGTCCGCGTTGTTGGACTTTCAATCGAAAAGAGGAGGACACCCTGTGTTACCGATGCTCTGACGTCCTCTCCGCATGACCACTCTTCTGGCATATTTGTAGCATAATCTGTGGAATGATAGAGGTTTATTAACGGTGCACCTTGCTCACTAACTAGACGAATCGATCACAGAACTCGCGGTGTACGGCTCGAGGTTCCGGAAGAAGCGGGCCCACTTCCCTCCGTCCCACTCGCTGATCCTCTCCCACCCCTTCTCTGGCCCCGAGAGTTTGAACCAAATCATTGTGGCGCCGAGGACAAAGTCCGCGTACCCAGGCTCGCTTGTTTTGCTGAAGAACCACTGCTCGCTGTGCTCGATACCGTCAATGTACGCGCCCAGTGCGGCGAAGCCCTCCTTCAGGTTCGCCCACATCTCCTCCTGCCGCTCCTCCGGGAACATATCATCCAGCTCGACACCTAGTACACGCGTCAGCGACGGCCAAACCACGGCGCACCCTTGCAGCAACTGACCAAATATTCCCTTGCGGGTGTTCAAGTAGTACTCCCTTTCCCGGCCCTCGAGGAGGCGGGGCGTGTTCGGGAAGACCATGAAGCCCATCCTGCTGAGCACGTGTTGGCTGACGGCACCCATATGCTCCGTCTGCAGCGCCTTCGCGCCGTGGTATATCGACGGCTCGGGGTACGTCCGCTCGAGATAGTCCGCTATGAGGCCAGAGTCGGACATCACAACGGCGGGGCTGCCCTCCAGCTCGTCCACGATGGCCGGAACGGTATAGTGCGGCACCGCAGCGCGTGTCGGGAGCACACCGACGGCGGGCAGGACCGTCTGGACGTCGGGCAACGGCATCCATGTCGTCTGGTAAGGCAGCTTCTTGTAGTTAAGGATGAACCTGGGCGCGAGCTCAGTACGCCCGCCAGGTCTGCCAGCAGCCTTGGTGCCTACCTCGTCCGCCAGGTGTGCGGCGACCACGCGGTGGAGTCGAGCTTGCACTGGATGTCATACAGGGTGATGAGGTGCGACGGCATGGTGTTCTTATCCGTTGATGAGTGCCGGTGCGCCTCTGTTCAGTCGTCAACGACAATGCACGGCAGCTTCGCTCGAGCGCATGGATTTAAGTAAATCTGCCTTGCCAGGCCATATTCTAGTGAGTACTATTTGCATAACATGAGCTATAGTCTATGAGATGTACGTACGATTGGTGTAGAAACGAGTGTCGGCGTCGGGTTCGGACAAGCGAGCGTGAAGGTTTACGGAAGCGAGCGGCGCGGGAAAAGATCAAATACGAAGCGGTTTGTCTCGTCCTCGGGGCGGGGAGGCAAACGCGCGAAGTAATTACATGCGAGAACTCGGCCTAATATAGTAAACACTTATCTAAATCAGGTACAAAGGAACAAGGTACTATCGCGCCGCAGCGCGGCACGTCGGCGAGCCGGTAGTCGGGCATGCGCTCGCCCGGTTGTTCCAACAATTGGAGCTTGTTGTGTCGCTGTGGATCGCTGGTGGCTGAGGGATCAGTCGGGGTTGGAATGACCTACCAAAACAGTAGGCGCTCCGCGAACGAACGAGCGAGACAGCGAAGTGAGCACCCCTACTATTTGTTGAAACTTTTCTCCTTGCCGTTGGACCAGATAGATCAGGTACACGGAAGTTACGGAGGCTCTTTGTTTGTCATTCCAAGCACAATATCAAAGGATCTTGTGTTACCCCTCGGTTTCACTGCTAAGTTGGTGTGCAATACTATCCTACTGGCAAGGCACGATGCGTACATGATTCGTACATATTGAGACTCACGAGCCTGAGCTTCAGCAGATGCAGTACTAAGTCACTGCGCATCCGTCACCATTGACATCAGCTTAGAAGTTATGAATCTATCAGCTGTTGTGCGTTTCTGATATATTCATGTTCCATTCCTCGCTGAAGGCACGTTCGTTGATTACTAGGTGGACGTACTATGCACAGGCTACAGGCACGTCAACAGGCCTGTCGTATGATGGGAACTGGAGACGATCCGGCGTTGCAATTCGCCGTTGAACACACGTAATAGCAGGAGAAACCACTCGTGTGTTTGATGTCGCCGGTGTGGTACCACTGACAGCGCTTTGGGTGAGAGTCGTTTGCTCGGTATATAAGCGCATGCGAGATGCTAGTGGAGACTCACGACTCGACGAGCATTGTGTCGACTCCTCAGCATGGCTCTTCTGACCTCTTTCCTGGTTGCACTGGCAGCATGTCTCCCTGTGGTACGTCATGTTATTATTCTATGATGAACAATGTGACGTTCATTTTGCCCATCACAGCTTCACGTAGCTAACGCTCAAAGCTGGGTCTCTATCGGCTGCTACACGTCCGCTAATTCTCCTCTGTGCTAATACTGACACTGACTGTACTCTCTTTAAAGTGATGCGCCGATTGCCACACTAGCCGGCCCGTCTAGCGACATCACGTCAATGACCATTGACTCCTGCATTGAGTTTTGTCAGGACCAGGATGACGTGTACGTTTATGCAGGCGTTGAATACGGGGACACGTGCTGTACGTACCATCGACGCGCATATTCGCTTGTGGAACTCCGTTGACATAATCACTCGTGAGAACAGTTTGCGGCAATGGTATTGACAACCAAGGCGTACCGGCGGATTCTTCGAACTGCGACATAGCATGCACTGGAGATTCGAGCGAGACCTGCGGCGGTGATTGTGTGTACCTTGGCTCGCAGCAGTTGTTGCCGAATGCTGATGGTTTCGCTATTGCTGTTATGATCAAGACTACTTGGATATCTACTGGAGCGGTGATCCGCCGCCGCCGCCGCCGGTCACCGTCTACCAGGTTGGACATTGGGTGCTGCTGGGCTGTTACAGGTAGATTTGTGACATCTGCGAACGTTCTGGAGGGCCTTCTTGATTCACGGACCGAACCGTAGCGACGCGGACGGTGCGCGCACACTCACCACTACTTCCGATCTTGCGCCAAGTTCCGTCACCGTCGAGTCTTGCACGTCCTACTGCTACGATGGCGGATTCAACTACGCCGGAGTCGAGTACGATCAGCAGTGCTGTACGTCTCCCCGTAATATTCACACTGTCGCGCCGTTTGTTTCTCACCATGGCTATCGTGTCTGCAGACTGCGGCCTCGCCATTGAGAACGGAGGCCAACCGATCAATTTGGGCAACTGCGACATGGTCTGTGCAGGCAACACCTCCGAATATTGCGGCGGCTCTTATACTCTCGATGTGAGTGCCATGTCGAGACGTCGTATGCAAACAGCACTGATAGCGCCACCAGCTTTACGTCTACACCTGATGTGATCACTGTTCGTTCTGCATCAGACCGCATCACCCCTTTACCCTACACCGTGCAGGGTAAAGGTGCGATGCGTCGACCGGCCACTGATGCAGAACAGGGTGACCCTATGACCTGAATTGCACCATCCTCTCGTTCGTTTACCGCGCTTGGTTGTTTAAATTTCCGCAATGTATGCAGCGTCGTTCTAATACGAATTTCCAAAATCGCCCAAATAATGCAGGATCACACTAAGAGGAACTCGAGCTCACTTGTGACCTAATCATATTCGGTGACAGAACATGGCTTGCGCAGGGTGCGTACCCAACGTGGTGTCTGCATCACTTCGACTGGAACGTCTCTGGCAGACTTGACATGACGCATTGCGAACACTGCGAGCCAGCTGCACCTCTGAGGGCTCAATAAATATGTAGTATTAGATTGCAAATTGATACAACGTTGGTTTTACACACTTTTCTACTTCGTCGCGACGCCGCCGATGCCCTGCCTACCGCGGCCTTCCTGCGTGCGACGGTGACCGCTCCCGCGCACTACCGACCGGCCCAAGCGCCGCCGCCGACTTTGCTGGTGCGAACGGCGTGCTCCCCGGGTTGAGCTCCAACTTGCCGGACACATGCCCCGCCGTCGAGCCCCCGACGCCGACTACGGGCTCGAACGGCGGCGCAGTGCTCGACAGATTCGACGCGCTCGCGGCGGGCACGGGCGCGGGCGAGGACCCTGAAGACGAGCCGCCCGAACCAGAACCCGACCCAGAACCGGAGCCGGAACTCGAGCCCGCCGTCTGCGCCGCAGGAAGACGGCCTTGCCCCGGGGCGCCCGGCCGCTGCAGGTGGATGACACCGGGACCCGCGCCCAGCTCGCGATGGTTGGGGAGCGAGAGCCGCGCGCCGTGGGCGGGGCGCTGGATCGGCGGGATGGGCGCTGGATCTGCCGCAGGGCGGCTGATGGGTTTTGGTGGAGGGAGCGACGGAGACGCGCGGAGTGTCTGTGTCTGTGCCTGCGTCTGCGTCTGCGTCGGTGGGTTAGCGTGCGGATGTGAATGCCGCTTGCGCGTATGCGGGTGATGTCCGTGAACGCCATGATGTGCGCTGTGCGCGGGGGAATGGTGTTGCGGATGTTCGTGCGGATACTCTTGCCGCGCAGGCTCGTCGTCGGGCTCCCGCGCACTGTCCGTGCTGCCGCTCGTATTCCCCGCCTCGCCCTCGTACCCCCACGGGTCCCGCTCGACCCGCTCGCGCTCCTCCTCCAGCCGCCGCAGCCGCTCCTCCAGCTCGCCAATGACCCCCCGCGCGCCCTCCCCCTCCTCGCCGTCGGCAGCGCCCTCCAACCTTTCCCGCCGCGCAGCCAGCCTCTCCAACGCACGCCTCAGCGCGCCCTCCTCGCCCTCCTCGCGCTCGCGCCGCGCCTTCTCCCCGCCCTCCGCCTCCTCCCGCGCGCGCCGCGCCGCCTCCGCCCTCGTGCGCACGCGCGCGAGCTCGCCCTCCGCATCGCGCACGCGGCGCTCCAGCTCGCCCATGCCGCCCTCGAGCGCCGCGCGGCGCGCCTCCATGTCCTCCGCCGCGGCCTCGAGCTGGCGGCGCGCCTCGCGCAGCGCGAGCACCTTCTGGCGCGCCCGCGTCTCGTGCGCCGCCCCGCGCTCCGCCGCACGCCGCAGGGCCTCAATCTCCGCGCGCACGGCGGCGTCCGCCTTCTGCGCGTCGCGCCGCGCCGCCTTGAGCGCCGCCGCGAGCTGCGCGTGCTCAGCGGTGAGCAGCGCGAGGGTGTGCGCGAGCTGCGCGTGCCGTTCCTCGGGCGTGAGGAGCGGCGGGGGCGCGGGCACGGGCGCGGGTGTCGGGGATGCGGACGCGGACGCGGACATGTTTGTGGGAGGCGAGGGCGAGGAATGTGCGGTGGCTAGGTTGGATGCGTGATGGGACGTGCTGGCGGAGAGCGAGGTGGTGAAGCCGGGGGCATCGTCGGATGGCAGTTCGCCCATTGACGAATCGGAGTTGCCTTCGGTATCTGTCGGATTGCTTGGTTAGCGTGAACGAGGTGCAGCCCCCGTACTCCAGAGATGCTGTGCCCTGTATCGATGAATGTACCGTACGATATCCTTCCGTCTCAGTTCTACGAAGACGTATAGCATGCGGTCAAAAGAGCAGGACCAGGCACAGGAAGTGCATTCGTCGCCACATGAACCACATATATGCGCTTCCCGCTGCTCGATCCACATAGTCGGGTGCACCATCAATCCGCACTGCATTCGTTCCTGCGCCACACCATGGTCGTAAGACCAGGTATCAGACACGATGATCCCAATTGCTACGTGCGCCACAGGTAGTGCGCCACAGGGGCCATAGCCCACCATCGCTCCGACAATATGCCACATTGACAAGTCGCCCTCATCCCAGTATGTCGCTCAGACTCCGTGATGCACAAAAATCAACCCGGTCGCGTCACCGTTTCCGCCGGCCAACAACGAGAACTGGGTTACCAAAGAGGTAGCGAGATCCCGCATCGGCAGGTCGGCTGAGAAGCTGAGACCGCGCTGATAGTAATCATATATGATGGCAGTGGCAGCGGGCAGCCTGGCGCGGCACCAGGTCTTGCAAGAATAAACCCCCGGCGGAGGAAGCCAGTCCACACAGAGCCTGCACCCGCCGCGGCCAAGGAAGCAACGCCCCAAAATCGACCTCCCGGGTGGACCTTGGGTTTTTCAGCATATCTGAAAAGGAACCCGCGTGTTCCAATTTTTCTGCCATCTGCAGAGTCCTATGAGTAGCGTCGGTGGCGGCTTGGCTGGGAGGCTGCTCCGGTGGCTGGTTATCGCGCAATTCACCCGTCAACGTGGACCACGACGGTGCAATCCTGCGCACAGACCAGACCATCGGCATGGACAGCCTGCACACGCATGCCCGCACACGCAACAATGAGAATGAGGGAAACCTCCAACGCGCGCAGATTCGCACGTCCAGCGTAGAGACGTCCCCAGCTCATAGACCGCTATGAACAAGCTTGTGTGACGCGGCTGCTGGCCGACGCGAACACCATATTTGCATTCACCTTTTTCAGGGTGACGGACCCTAGAGACATACATACTCGGATGAGGGGGGGGGAGGCTGCTCCGGTGGCGGGTATCGCGCGGTGCGCTCGTTGGCGTAAACAATGCGATCCGGCGCACAGGCTGGACAAGCTGCACGAGCAGCCTGCACAAGCCATGCCCGCACGCGCAACGACGAAAAGTGGAGGTAATTCCTACCGCCCGCAGATTCGCACGTCCAGCGTAGAGATAGTGTTGTTGGCAATCGCAGCGCCTGGCACAGCAATTGGCGCAGGGGTAGCGAATGGCGATTGCTGGCGCAACTCGGAAGGGTCAGGCCTGGTCCGGACTCCGAGAAAGCGGGATCTGAGGTCACTGCTATCGTCTCTCGGTCTGTGGTTGCGCTGTGCAATTTTTCTCGCCTCTGAGCGTGAAGAAATCCCATTCAGCAGTTGCGCCACCCTTGCCAGATATCGCCATGGGCGGGTGTCGCACGATTCGCCCGTCGGCGTAGACCATACGGTCTTGAGCACATACCGGACAAGCCGCGCAGACAGCCTGCACACGCCACGCCCGCATGCGCAACAACGAAAATGAAGGTAATGCCCGACGCTCGCAGATTCGCACGTCCAGCATAGAGACGTCCCCAGCTCATGGATCGCTGTAAATGAGACTGTGGTGCGGCTCCTGGCCGGCGCGAGCACCACCTCTCCACTCACCTTCGCCAGGATGACGGACCCTAGAGACATACATATCCGAACGTGGGACACAGCACCTCTGAAGGACAGGCATCGGCAAGCAAGACAAGGACTGAAAATGCTCACCTGTGGTGATGAGGCCCCTCATGGACCGCTCTCTGGGCATGACGCCGAGCTCGACATCGTACTGTCGCCCAGGCATGAGCCCAAACAGGATGACGACCGCTTCGTCGACCTCGTCGTCCATGCGGATGAGGACGCGCTGCCATGGGATGCCGTTGACCTTCACGGACAGGCCCTTGTTGAGCACGTCCGCGACGATCTGGGGCTGCGCCGGGGCGGTGCCAGCGCCGGATGCGCTGTCGGAGTCGTCAGAGTCGCCATCGGGCTGGGCGTGGGCGGGGTCGTATCCGTCGTCAGAAGAGGCGGGTGAGTCTGCGGCGGAGTAGGGAGAGGAGAGGATGAAAGTGACGGAGACGGAGGTGATTTCGCGGACAGACAAAGCGAGAGAGGGTCTCCAGGGCCGAATGGAGTGCCAGTCGTCCATGGCCGTTGCTGCGAACCTTGCCACAGTCCTCGGCCAGGCTCGCGGGACAATCGTAAAAATGACAAAAACACTCTCTGGCGGGGAGTCGAACCCCGCTTTCGCGCGCACGGCTTCGCATGACAAGCGCGTGTACTAACCGATATACGACCAGAGAACTGAACGTTTCGCCCTTAGATACCCTTGTTGCACAGACCGCGCGCTGTTCGAACGAAACCGCACAAAAAATCATAAAACTCCACATCATCATAAAGGGAGGTTACGAAGGAGTCCGCACTATTGAGCGCTTGATATTTCATAGGGAATCCATGGCAAATGTGCAAAAAATATCACCAGCCTGTCAGTTCGGATACGGGGAATTGAACCCCGGGCTATCGCGATCAAACAGGTGAGAGGCGATAATGTTAGCCACTACACCATATCCGATATTGATGGCGGTACTCGCGGACAATATCAGAAATGGATCGCTCATTGACGTCATCGGTAGTACCACTGAGGCTGCTCATTTCGAGCGTTCGTTAATAGTCCCACTGCTCATCGTCCCTAGCACACCAAGATGCCCTCTGCACTCATCCTCATCGCAGACGGAACAGAAGAAATGGAGTTGTAAGTCACCGTCTGGCGCAGCACACCCCTCACGCCTGACCCACCGTCGCCTCGTCCCGCGTGCGATGCAGCACCATTACTTACGACACCCTCGTGCGCGCCGGCATCGTGTGCACGTCCGCATACGTGCCCGCCCAAGACGCCCCCGAGGCGGACAAGACAGCCCTCTCGTTCGCGACGTGCTCGCGCGGCCTCAAGATCGTGCCCGACACGCTCTTCTCGCCCCAGGCGGCCGTCCCGGTGCGGCGCGCTCGGCATACGCTCAGCTAACAATGGTAATAATAAGATGGCTCGTTTTGCCGACACGCGCACAGGAGCACTACGACCTCCTCGTGGTCCCCGGCGGCGCGAAGGGCGCGCAGACGATTGCGCAGAGCGTGCCCGTACAGCACCTCGTCCGGCGGTACCTCCAGGAGGAAAAGTACGTCGGCATGATCTGCGCCGGTGCGTCCCTCCGCTCCACCCCCCACTCCCGTGCTCATCCGCGCCCACCGCTGATGCGGCGCCAGGCAGCCTCGCCGCGCAGACGTCCAAGCTGCCCCGGCAGCCCCTCACGTCGCACCCGAGCGTGCAGGCCGAGCTCGAGAAAGGTGTGGCGCCGCGCACAATATGCCCGGATCCTGTTCCACTCACTCATGCACGCGCGGCCAGACTTCGAGTACTCAGACGCGCCCGTCGTCGTGTCTGGCAAGCTCGTCACAAGGTGCGTGCGGGCCCGCGGTCTGCGCCTGCTCATGTCAACTGCACGGAAACTAACGCCGCCCACGGTGCCGCCCCCTCGTGACCCCGCCCCTCTTCTCCGTGTACTCTGTACAGCCGTGGTCCAGGTGAGTGTCCCTTCGCTCAGTTCAGTGTCCATCTCTCTCTACGCCCCGTGGGCGCGGGCGCGCTCTATGCGCCACACGCAAATCCTTCTTTCGCGGCACGCCGAGCAGCATCGCGCTGACAGGACTGGCGCACAGGCACCGCGTTCCCGTTCGCGCTCACCCTCGTCGAGCTCCTCTGCGGCGCGGCGGCGCGCGCGGAGGTCGCGGGCCCGATGGTCTTCCCCGCCGGCACGTTTGCGTGAAGCGAGCGCGAGATACTCAGGATGGGCAGCGTGAGTGCGCCAATCGAGGGGCGGGCGGGAGGGGGAGGGGGAGGGGGAGGGGGAGGGGGAGCACGCTGATGTATGATGTATGTAGAAAGCCACGACCAACGTCGTGTAATTGTACAATCAGATTCCGTGCATGCAAGCTAGACACCGCTGGCTGTCTCAGATCGGCAGAGCATCGTCTCGCCACGGGCGCCGGATGGGCAGCTCTGAACAGGCCGACAACGGCCGGGCTACTGAATCCGGCTACGCTGAGGCGTACCGTCTTCGGTCCTGGGGACTGTCATATGAGCACGCCAGATGAGACTATGATGCACCCTAGGCCTTCTCTCAGATATATGCGGTGCGCGTGCCACGCTGCACCATCTTCGCGCGGAAGTCAGTGCAGAGTCGGCTGTGGCTGCTGTGGCGGCGGCACCTCGTCTCATCGGCCCGACACCACGGATCGTCGTCTCCGACGCATCGAACATCGTCAGGCCGTGAGCACTAAGCTCGGACAAGATGCTCGCGAGCTCACTTCCGCCAGTGCTGCGAGGACCGCCGTAGTCGGCATCGTGCGGCCAGGGGACTTTTACGTGTCCGTACTTACTAGACTCAGGGTATGTACTTGCAGTGTTTTTGGACATTCTTGGGTTGCGCCACTTTTGGTTTGTGCACGCCCACCAGACGCGAAGACATCCGGGATTGTCTAATGGGAATTGACCTTAGGACCCAGTGTTATAATTCTGGTCACCTAGCTCTCTCAATATGTCACAAATATAAACCTCAACTTGCACATTGGTGAGTAAGTCCTGTGCCACATTGTCTAACACGCGCCGTTTGAAAGTGAAGAACAAGTAGAATATGTATGGTATGCTTGGAGAGCACTTTAGAATAAAGATGCCTGCTTTCCGGTGTTTCCGACCTTCGCAGCCATCAATGAAGTATGGCTGCCGCATTCGTCGCGCCCGTTGCCGTTTTGGGATCATCAGTGACAGAAATCGTAACCCCTGTTCTACCTGCATCGGTGGACAATCGTGGACATCCGAGTCCTGTGTAGTATACCTTAGCCCTAGAAGAGGTAGATGAGGAGATAGAAAAGGGAAATCCACATAAAACTGTTTATTCCGATTGATCAAGATGTGAGTGGTGTCGAGCAATCTACAATATACTGAAAGTCTTATGGAGGGCCGTTAGTCGTTGATGGCGCAACACAAGGTCAGAGAAAACGCATCGAGTACGTAGCAACTAGCTTCGAATTGCTCTGACATCACCGCCGCCGATCTCGTCGCGGCAGATGCTCCTGCAACACGGCTGCGACGCGAAGCAATGGGGAGGCCAGTGCTGCAGCTTTATGCGAGACTCTGGGGTATCTAAGCAATGACCTACGCACAATTGAGACTACTCATAAACGACGGATACTAACAATAACCTTGTGCTTTAGTAGCTAATCGTCGTATGAAACTAAATACGCGGTCATGTGATCTACTACCGTAAGTTTCGACTGTATATCCAACAGCTACTATACATCTACCTACTTACTATGATACACAGTGTCTTTTAACGTTGCTCCATACTCGATGTAGATCCCATGATCAGCCACTGTACATAAGTCGCGAGGAAGTAACCAGCCATGGCTTGAGCCCGAGCCAAGCCCGAGCCAGGCCAAAGCCCGCGGCCAGGGCTCTCTGAAGTCAGGCCAAAGCCATGGCTTTCTAAGCCAAGCCAGGCACAACACTATGAGGGATCAGTCGGGGTTGTAATGACGAGTGGGGACGCGAGCCTGAGGCAACCCTCCGGAGTAGTCCAATATTGATAGCGTCGGGGACAGAGTGGCTCGACATGTGTGTATCCCTGAAGTCGGCGGCCACAAAGGCTCCCAATGCTTCGAATGCGAAGAGAAAGACACACACATACAACATCAATGTTATGTTGATAGCTTCCTGAATGTGGTCTTACTTCCGCTTCCTCGCCATCGTACCTTGTCCGTTGACGGAATGAACGAGACTTCCATGCCGCCGTCCGCAGTAGGCTGTACGTCTTGATCATGTGCTGACGCCCTACGTTCACGCTTTGCATCCCCGAGCGTGGCTGCGGCGCGCGGGGGAGGAGGCGGAGGACAGCGAGAAAGCAAAACGCGAGCGCGAGGAGCGCGAGGAGGGCACGCTAAGGCGTGCCTTGGATCGGAGGCTGGAGGGCACAACTCCTGCTGCGGACGTCTCCGTTGTTCCCTCCGCACAGACCCATCGGCCGCCCTGCGGACCCTGCGCCGATCCCGCCCATCCAGCGTCCTGCCCACGGCGCGCGGCTCTCGCTCCCCAACCATCGCGAGCTGGGCGCGGGTGCTGGCGTCATCCACCTACAGCCGCCCGCCGATGCGGGAGCCCCGAGGCAAGGCCGCGGTAGGCAGAGCAGCGGCGTCGCGACGGGTGTAGAGAAGTGTGTGAAACCAGCGTTGTATCAGTCCGCGATCTGCTACTACATGTTTACTGAGTCTCGGAGGCGTAGCTGGCTCGCCGTGTTCGCAATGCGTCATGTCAAGTCCGCCAGAGACGTTCTAGTCGAAGTAGTGCAAAATAAACATGGGGTACGTGCAGTTCGCACAGGCCCGTGTACAGCCACCCTGCGCAAGCCATGTTCTGTCACCGAACTTGATCAGAACACGTGTGAGAACGAGTTCCTCTTAGTATGATCTTACAATATGTGGGCGATTCCAAGGATTCAACGTGGCGTTTGTATATAGAACGTCGCTGCATATATTGCGGGAATTTAGACAATCAAGTGCGGTAACGAACGAGAAGACGGTGCAATACAGGTCATTGAATCACCATGTTCTGCATAAACGGTCGGTTAACGCATCGTCCCTAGACGATCTGGCGCGGAACGAACAGTGATCCCATCAGTTGAAGACGTAAAGCTGGTGGCACCATCAGTGCTGTTTGTACATGACGTCTCAACGCGGCACTCACATCAAGACTATCGTCGCCACCGCAAAACTCGGAGCTGTTGCCGGCACAGAGCATGTCGCAGTTGCTCAGGTTGATCGGGACGCCCCCATTCTCAATAGCGGAGCCGCAGACTGCAGACACGATAGCCACGTGAGACATGAACGGCGCAACAGCTTGCACATGGGGAGACGTACAGCACTGTTGGGAGTACTCGACTCCGGCGTAGTTGTAGCCATTATCGTAACAATAGGACGTGCAAGACTGGACAGTGATGGTATCTGGTTCAAGATCAGAACCAGCAGTGAGTGTGCGCGCATCGGGCGAGTCGCTATAATGTAGTTCATCGGTCAAAGGCATGCCCTCTAGAACTTTCATAGATGTCAGGAGTTCACCTGTAGCAGCCGAGCGACACCCAATATCCAACCTGGTAGACAGTGACCGGAGGCGGCGGGGGTGGAATGCGGCTCCAATAGATATTCATATAATCTGTATCGTGAAAGCAATGGCGAAACCATCAGTATTCAGTGACAACTGCTGCGGACAAGAATACACACAATCACCGCCGCAGATCTCGCTCGAATCTCCAGTGCATGCCATATCACAGTTTGAAGAAGCAGCCGGTTCGCCGAGGTTCTCTATACCATTGCCGCACCCTGTTCTCACGAGTAACTATGTCAATGATGTCTCACAAGCGGATATGCGCGTCGACGGTACGTACAGCACTGCTGCCCGTCTTCAACGCCTGCATAAACGTACAGACCATCCTGGTCCCCACAAAATTCGATGCAGGACTCGATGGTCATCGACGTGATGGTGCTAGACGGGCCAATCAGGGTGCGAATCGCTTCATCATCCCTTCAAAGAGAATAAAGTTAGTGTTAGCATGAGCATAGAGGAGAATTAGCGGACGTGTAGCAGCCTTCAGAAACCCAGCCGTCGACGCTCTGAGCGTTGGCTGTGTGAAGCTGTGATGGGCGAAATGAACATCACATTGTTCATCACAGAATAATAACATGACATACAACAGGGAGACATGCTGCCAGTGCAACCAGGAAAGAGGTTAGAAGAGCCATGCTGAGTAGTCGACAAAATGTTCGTTGAGTCGTGAGTCCCTACTAGCATCTCGCATGTCCTTATATACCGAGCAAGCGACTCTCATCCAAAGCGCTGTCAGATTACCGAACCGGCGATATCAAACACACGGGTCGTCTTCGCTGTAAACCACTGGTGCGATGGCAGGGATGGCGGTGAGTTTCATGCAGCCATGGATGTTCAGCAGTGAACTGTAATGTTGGCCTGTTTACGTTCACATCAAGCGTCACGCCTGCTTATAGCGTGTGCCTAGCACGTTCGCCGGTTCTGACGTCCTAGAGAACCAATGAATGTGGCTTCAGCATTACTTGGAACATGAACATGTCAGGAACGCACAACAGCCGGTACACCAACAGCTTCCAGGCTGATGTCGGTGATAACACTGATGCGCAGCGTATAGCTCAGTCGCTGCATCTGCTGAAACTCAGGCTCGTGAGTCCCATTAAGAACGCGTTGCGCTTTGCCAGTAGGATGATACTGTACACTAGCTTAAGCAGTAAAACCATAAGTAGCGCGAAACTCTTGATGTCGTGCTCGGTATGACAAACCAAGAGCCAGCGTAACTCCCGCATCCCTGATCTTTCCGGTCCGACGGCGAGGGAAAGTGTCTCAATAAACAACAGCGAGCCGGACGCGAGCCTTGAGCGCTCACCGGTGAGGCGACTCTCCGGAGTGGCCACCGTCGGCAACAGAGTGGCTCAACATGTATGAATCTCTGAAGCCGGCAATCATAAAGATTCAGAATGCTTCGAATGACAAGACAAAGACACACACATACAAAACGGATGCTGTGTTCACAGCTTCCTAAATGTGTTTTTACTTCCACTGCGCATTCCCTTCCTCCTCTGCATCCGTCCTTTCCGTTCGCTCTCACTCATTATCTTCTCGGCGTCCTCACCTCCACGTTCCATCCCTGCCCCGAAGCTTTCTACGCCCTTCCGCTTCGCTTTCTCCTTGCCCTTCGGGTTCCTAGTACCGGCAGGCGCCTCGTCGTCGCCGATCATCTCCTCGCCATCATACCTTGTCTGTGACGGAATAAACGAGACTTCCATGCCGCCGTCCGCAGTATGCCGTACGTTCGCGTCGTGTGCAGATGCTCTACGTTTACCCTTGGCATCCCCGAGCGTGGCACGTCGCTGGCCGAACGTAGCGTTCCTGCCGACAAGACGCGCACCTGATGCATCCGTCTTGGCTTGCAGGGGAACAAACTGGACCTTTGGCTCTCGGCGGCGCGGTGGTGGACGTGCACGGAGACCACTGTCGCGTGCCGCCATACGCGCACGGATGTCATCATGCCATAGCTCTGCAAGGGGACGATCAGACATGAGGGAACGACGCGTATAAGATGAGAACGTACCACCAGCGACATCGCTGTCTTCGCTGCTATCACCATCACTCTCCTTCTCCTCGCTATCACTAAGACCGTCGGAAGATGCCTTGTCGCTCTCTTCTTCCTCCTCCTCAACTGCTGTCTTCGTCCGCCTGCTACTTGGCGTCGCTCGGTTGTGCTGCTGTGCAACCGTCGACGGGTTAAGTAATGCAAACTCTCTCGTTGTCTCGTCGACCTGGAAATCGGGATTCTCGAATAGCGCCTTGAATCGCGGATCTGTGAGCAGGCTCGGCTTCTCGCGCTCCTTCTCCTTCTCCTTCTCCTTCTCGTGCTCGTGCTCCTGTTCTTTCCTCTGCTCAGAGCCACTTGCAGCATTCTCCTCGTCAACCTCCACTGCGTCCTCCTCGGCCTGCTCTTTCGCCGCGCGCCTTTTGAGCTTGCGCTCTTCCCTCCGCCGCTCACGCTCCTCCTCCTTCCGGATCTTCTCCGCAAGCAGCTTGTTCACCTTCACGTTCGTCTCCTTGCGTGCACGGATGCGCGTCTCCGCGAGCTGCTCCACCTTCGCGAGCACCGCGCGCTCGCGGTGCTCGGCATATACGTACGGGTTGGCAATGACACGCGCGGCATCGTACAGCGGCAGCGAGATAAAGTAGCCGTGCATGTACGGCTTAAGCGCAGGCGTACCAATGAGATGGTCGAGGCCCAAGCTATGGGACACATTAGCACAGATAGTGTGTTAGGCAGATAGAAATAGACATACATCGTGAGCTCGCTGCGCTCCACGAACTTGTAGTCTTTGTATGCGGTGCGCGCCGTCTGGTCTTCCATCTCCTCCGTGAGATGCTCGAGGAAGCTGCACCAACGCGGTGCAGGCCCGAGTTGTGGGATGAAGAAGGTGGTCATCTGGATGCCCTCGTTTGCGAGCAGCAGCAGGCCACTGCCTGGCACATGGTGCACATCGTTAATGTCCTGCGCGGGCGTGATGGACGCAAAGTTCGTCTCAGGCTGACAATAAACTGTCATCAGATGCATGCAACGCGTCTCGGAATTTGAGAATACACACCGAGTGCCGATCCCAGATCTTGATGACCTTCTTGTCCGCACTAAGCACAAGGCCGTCGCCCGCCATGCGGCTCCCACCTTCGATCCAAGTCACCTTCTTCACAGGCAGACCGTATCCCTGGTCCTTGATAGCCAGTGGCCGTCCTGACCGGATATCATAGAGTAGCGTATGCCCGCTAGACGTTCCAATAGCATACGAGAGCCCGTCCAGTCTCGATGATATCGCCGTGACGGACAACGCCCGCAGGCTCCCCTCGTCGATGCCGGGCAACGTCGGCATAGAGGCAGCGCCCACAGACATGAGCCGCTCGCGCGGAAGCCGCAGTATCCCGACTTTCGCCCTCGAGCGCGGGTCCCAAAACTCGACCGTCCCATTCCCTTCCACGCCGAACCCAAATAGCTGATGGGCGGGGTTGATGTCGATCGTGTTCACGCCTGCGATCTCCTCGCCGCCTGCACCTTGGAGCACGAGCGGATTGAGGAACCTGCCCTGGTCGAGATTCAGCCGGAAGACCTCCGGGCCAGAGGCAGCAATCAACGCATCACACGAGGGGAAATGGTACGCGAGCGCACGGCCAAAGCGGGGTATGCGCGTGCGGTAATGGAAGCCGCCTTGCGTGTGCAGCTCAACCGACCGGTCGTTCTGCAGATGCACAGACTTTGTCCAGTCATCCGACAGCATCTGAAGGCGCGCGAGGTCAGCGCCGCCGCGGTGTGCTCTGCAGCCAGAACAACTTACTCACAACAAAGTCGACATTTTCCGCATCCGTATGCCGCTCGAATTTCTGTGACAGCTGGTCGAGGTCCCAGACCTTGATCTGCGGCTTGTATGTCCCCGTTGCCACTGCATGATGCCCGTCCGGGGTCGTTTTAATGCGATTGCTCGCCTCGGGGAACTCGAAGTGCTGAATGAGTTCAATGCTACCCTCGATCTGTTCGCGGATCGCCGCGCGTTTTCCCTTGCCTTTGGCTGCGCGTTTCCGAGTAAGCCAGTCCGGCAGAGATGATGAGGAGCCCGAGGCGGCTCCGTTGACGGTGTAGACCTTGATGGAGGTGGGGTCCGGCAGGGCAACCATCTTCCTGTACAGTTACGGTGAACGTTTCTGCACCAAGAGATCTATGTCCTCGAAGCAAGCAAGCAGTAGGTAAATAGAGTCAATCGCCGTCGAGGACAAGACGAGGACGAAGGGGGCGACAGACTCAGACTGAGCGTTGTTCTCGACTTCAAAGTTATCGAGCGCAAACTGCACAAATTTACCCGATCTAGATCTGCACCGATCGCACGTGACCCGGGGTTCCCGCCGGCAACTCGATTAGAGACACGATCTGAGAGGCATGGAATAGCGATCTAAGGGGCACGAACAAAGGAATGAACTGTAACCATACTCATGGTACTTGTTGAATAATCACTTCCATAATGCCGCTCGCCATGTCATCGCATTAAATAATCAAAGGGTTTCCGCAACGCCAGATTTTGAGACATATAGGTTATACAGAACGATAATCCATCCATCCTCGTCAAGACATCCGCAGACGTCCCCACGCCCAGTCGCTCGGCGTACTCCATGGTGCAGTCGAGGCGCACGAAGAGGCTCAGTACGTCTTCTTTTTCTCGTCGACGGAGAGACCACCAGGGCCCATGTTCACGAGAAGGATCAGACCGCCGACGATCGCTGCGGCCATACGTCAGCATTATGTAGCAAGGTCCGTTCCGAAAGACCACGTACATAGCGTCTGGAAGAAATCGTACTTCAGGAAGTCCCGCTGCGGGTGGGCAGAGTGCACGCTCCACCAGGCGTTGATGAAGACGTTGAAGACGGAGAGCATGATCACGAGGAACGCAGCCGACCACTTCGCCTTGAACCCGACGGCGACCATGATGCAGGCCGCAAGTCCGATGACGGACACGAACGCACGCCCGATACTCCATGTTCCGCGCAGCATGAAGCCGAGGAACAGGAAGATGAGCAGCACGCGGCCTGCGAGCAGGAAGCTGTCCGACCGTCTCATTACCTGCGGCACGCAAGAGTAGAGGGCCACTCACTATTTCTTGCGATCTGTCTCGCTGAGTGACGGCAGACCCGCAAAGAGCTTCTTGCGGGTGTACATGGAGTCGCTGAACACCATGAGCAGGCCACCAATCACACTCAGGTTGCGCATGAAGAAGTTCAGGTCGAAGATGAGGCCATAGCCGAATGCTTGGAGGATGACAACTCCAAGGAGACCACCGACAGCATACTCAGAGTGCTTTTTCAGGATGACCGCTCCCGACCCAAACAGCATCGTCTAAGCCACGGCAATACGTCGGAACAGCCCAACAGTTCAGCACAAACAACGAGACTTACAATGACGTTAAGCAAGAGGAAGAGGTGGGAGAAGCCCCACCAGAAATGCCGGTGTCTGACATGTCGCTCAGCCCGAGCGCGCTGCACCGCTGGCACAAACATGCATACCTCTGCAAGTACCACAGCTGGTCGCTCCATTGCGTGATGATCCGCAACGAGTCCTCCAGGAAGGTGACAACAATGAGGAACCTGCCAATCGCCGGCAGGTATGGCTTGAGAGGCTGCGTGTAAATCTCGACGTTATCCTCGACCGTCTGGGCGAACGCGCGCAACCGTTCGCGCGGGTCGTCGGAGTTCGCTGCGCGGTAGCCAGACGACGGCCGGCTGTTGGAGAAACCGTGGGGGTCCGGGCTGTAGCCTCCAGAGGCTGCTGGCGGACGCGCGAGCGAAATGCGTGCGGACATGGCGAAACGAGAGAAAGATGAACTGGTCGGCGAGCAGGACGATTGGGACGACGTGGCGTGTCAGACGCGTGGGAACCGGTTTCCTCATACGAAGACACTGCCTTGCACCGCTCGATCGCGGTGATGGCTTTTCGCAGCGAGATCTGTTTCAGGAGAGCCTAATTCACGTTTCATCGACAGCACGAACACAGCAAAGCACTCGTACGAAAACCAGGACAGCTACTCTTACGAAGAAGAAGAAAAAACATTGGAGAAGTTGGGTTGCAAGGGGCACGGAAGCATTTTGATCGGCTGAAATAAGTCAACTAACGTCAGTTAAATGCCCAGCCACCGTCCGGCTGTAGCGCGCCACGACGCGTCTTAATCTCCGAGACGCGTCAATATCGCGACTTCTAGCTGCGGCCACCACATTGCACACGCACCCACAATTCAACCGGGGGCGATGGCCAGAAAACGCCCGCAGGACTCGGATGCGGAATACAGCGACCGTGACGGCGATGAGGACTACGCCCCTAAACCTTCTGCGAAGAAGAGGGCGTCAGGCGCGGTCAAGAGACGAAGACGCGCCGACTCTTCATTCAGAGACGCGTCGAAATCCAGCGATCAGGACACTATCGTGGCGGAGTCGGCGCCGCCAAGTTCCCATCCGGCTGCATCTCATGTCATCGCAGAACCTAGCCCGCTACGTGAAGCGCTACTCGAATGGTACGAGGGGGTGCACGCTGCCCGAGGGATGCCCTGGCGCAAACCGTATGATCCATCAATGAACAATGACCAACGCGCCCAACGCGCGTACGAGGTCCTGGTTCCTGATTCATCGCAACCGCAAAACCATTAACCCACGGATAACTGTCTCATCTACAGGTCTGGGTATCTGAAATCATGTTACAGCAAACGCAGGTGGCCACCGTCATTCCATACTATAACAGATGGATGAAGAAGTGAGTGTACTTGTGTGCTTTTCTGTTGGATGCTTCTCGACCTGATCGCCCTTACGCAGATATCCGACCATCAGGGACCTCGTATGCTTTCCCCCGGTCTAATAGGCGCCGCTGTAGTATGACACTCACCTAAACCTTCGCAGGCAGCGTCGGATATAGAGACGGTCAATAGCATCTGGCGCGGGCTCGGATATTATTCGCGGGCGGCCCGACTGCTTGCGGGCGCCCAGAAGGCCGTCAGGGACTTTGGCGGACGCCTCCCGGATAACGCGAAGGACATGGAGGCAAACATTCCCGGCATAGGCAGGTACAGCGCAGGCGCCATATGTTCCATTGCTTACAACGAGTGTGTGCCTGTTGTGCGTGCGTCTCCGCCTGATGGCTATTCAAAGCTGAACTGCGCGGGCGCCCGACTGCGTGGCGTGTTACTTCTAGTTGGATGGGAACGTGCATCGCCTTCTCAGTCGCATACTCGCAGTCCATGCGCCCCCGAAGTCGAAACAGACCCTTGATATCCTGTGGCAGGGTGCAACAGCCATGGTCGAGGGGGGCACGCGCCCGGGTGACCTCAACCAGGCGCTCATAGAACTGGGGTCAACGGTATGCAAGGTCCGCGATCCTAGCTGTGGCTCGTGCCCTCTGCAGCCCTGGTGCCAAGCAGTCAAATTGGCGGATGGCAAGGTAAGCGTCGGGTGGTATAGGAGCCCGCAAGAACTGTTCCCCCGCTGATAGTCTTCCCTGCAGGAACCGGAAGGAGCAGCATCGAAAAGTGGAGCCGAAGTGCTCGACATTGAGGAAATTTGCACGCTCTGCGAACCGCTGCCTGTTGGGCGTCCGGTGACCAGCTTCCCTATGAGAGCGGAAAAGAAAAAAGCTAGGGAAGAGCTGGATATAGTGAATGTTATCGAGTGGCGCAGCCAGGCTGACGGCGGGGGGCGTTGGTTCTTGCTCGTCCGGCGTCCAGAAGGCGGTGAGTAATCGCGCGGCTTCCATTCCTTCATCTGGAAAACGACTATCTATGCTCTGCCTCGCATATGTTGACTGGCTTTCCATTCTCAGGTCTGCTGGGCGGCCTGCACGAGTTTCCCACCTCGCCTGCCGTCCCCGTGACCATATCTGCTGCAGCGCAGAAGAAGGTTCCGTCCGCCCTTCTGCGTGATTTGTTGACATCCCCTCCCGCTGGCGAGCACGGCGCAAGAACCTCGGGGGATCAGGCTCGCGGGGAGATATCCGGCGCAGAACTAGAACCGTCGACGGCGCTACGGATCGTGCACGTCGAGCCGGCTGGAGATGTCATACACATCTTCTCCCACATCAGGAAGACTTATCGGGTACAGTGGGTGGTGCTGGAGGGTGGCGGTGGCACGCCGCCAGCCCTGGCCGCACCCTGCCGCGGCCGTGTTGTCGTCAGCGGTGCTGCCACGCAGCGGGCCAGGGCGGGCGGCAGGACGCCGAAGACCAGGGTGGGTGTATCCGAGAGCCTTACGGCAGCGCCTGGGGACGGCGATGATCAGCTGCACGCCGCGCAGGCGGCGTGGGTGCCCATGGCCGATGTCGCCAACGCAAAGTGAGTGCATTTAGCCCTCGGCAGCGCCGCCCTGCGAGCACATTCTGATCGTCGTCGCCGTCGTCGCCGTCTTGCGGCCATCAGCATCGGTACGGGCGTGCTCAAGGTCTGGAGGCGGGCGTGCACGCTGTGGGCCGCGTGAGCCGCCGCCGCGCGCGCCGGGACGGGCAGCAATCTATCTATTTGCGGCATGAGGGGGGCATTTGCTGCGCGGGAAGCATGTGCAGCGAGCCGCGTACCGCGTACCGCGTCCGGCGGGGGCGGGTCTTCCGTTCTGCCCGGCGCCCGCGCAGCTGTCGCGGGAGCGGAAGCCTGTGCGCTACTAAAACGCGTATCCGTAGCACGGAAGAGAATGTGATCGTCCTGTCCTGTTTGTCTCGGGGTTCTGCGGCGTGCGCAGAGAGTCGAGCGGCTGCCAGCCCAACATCCGAACGCAAGCGGGAGGGTCAAGTCAAGCGGGGCAGCGGTCGGACCGCGCGCGCTCTCGCCTGGGGCAGCAGCGAGCCGCAACAGCATCCGAGCGCATTAAAATATCAACGCATGCGTATGTGGTCGGTCCGGCCCAGAGCTGACAGAAACTGTCCCGCACCACGAAACTCATATAGCCTTATTTGTCCATCCGGCGTGGCGTGGCGTCGTGGCGGCGATTAATGGCGGCGATTAATACCGCAGGCAGCGTTTAATACAGCAATTAATACATTATACAGGCGGGCTTACCAAGGGCCGCACTAGTGCTAGGGTAGGCGTAGGCGTACAGGTACAGGCGGACAGCAGCTACTTAAACACCGGGGGCGGCAGCGCGCGGGGCAGGCGCGCGATGTAGAGTACAGGGTACACAGTGCTTAGATAGACGCAGCTAGGAGTGTGATGCATGTAAGGGGGGTATCCATATAGTGCGCGGCTCGTGAATCGGTCGTGAAAACGCGTATACTACCGCGTCCGTGTCCGGGTGCAGTGGGGCGACGTAAAACGCCTGCCCGAAGGTGAGGGAGGGAGAGGGGGCCGATCGCGCGCGATCGAATGTATTTTGTAAAGCAACAGGGCGCGCGGCGACCGGCGGCGGCGGCGGCGGTCACACACACACACGCGCGACAACACCGTCATGTGCGCAAATGCCCGTAGAGCCCCTCGACGCCATGCATGATGCCGCGCCCAGGAGCCCCCGCGGGCGCGCGCCATCAGCATCCGCGCCTACCGCTCACGACTCACCACTCGACGCTGATCGGCACGCGCGGCTTCGCCTCCTCGCGGTCGAGCGCGCCCGCGCCCGCGCCGACGCCCGAGGACGCGAAGCGCCGCAGGAACTGCTCGTCGACGGGGTTGCGCACGGGGCGCGCGAGGCCCTGCAGCACGTCGAGCGGGACGAGGTCGCGCGGCCCGCGCGGGCCCAGGCCGTCTGCGGGCGTGAGCGGCGACGGTGCGAACGCGCGCGGGGAGCCGTCGGACGACGCGGACGACGCGGCGGACGTGGACGCGTCGGGCGGCGACGCGTCGCGGTACGTGTACAGCCCCGCGGCGTGCAGCGGCGGCAGGCGCGGCGTTGTGGCGGGCGCGGGCGCGGCGTAGTGGTGTGGCTGCGGCTGCGGGGTGAAGGTGTAGGGGCTCGCGGTGGGCGGCGCGTGCATGTACGCCGACGCCGGCGCGGGGGCGAGGGCGCGCGGGTCGTGCGGGATGGCGTCGACGGAGAACTGGGCGAGGCCCTGGCGCGGGGAGGTGGCCTGTATGCCGAGGCCCCAGGGGTCCTGTGCGGACGCGAGCTCGTCGCCGGAGGAGGTCTCGGCGCGCTTCGCCTTGCTTGCGCGCGCGCTCTTGAACCAGCCGTCGGGGACCATGACGTCGCCGACGCCGAGGATCTCGTCGATGGTGCTGAGGCTGTCGAGCGTCGTCTGGCTGAAGTACGCCGCTGCAGGAATAGGGACAGAAGGTGAGTAGGAAAATAGATGGGGGAACGGGAGAACGGGGGGGAGGGGGGACGCACTCAGGTGCCATTTACGGGTGGCATTGCGCGGGCGGTCTTCGGGCAGGTAGACGTGCACGCTGTAGGTCTGCTTGATGAGGCGCTCGGTGTCTGTACGCGAGTATGGGTGGCCGCCCGGGCGCGTGTCCCGTTTCCTGCGGCAGGGCGTCAGCGGGCAAGAACAAAAAGGCCCTGGGCAGAAAAATACCTCATGATGTTTGCCCACCCGGCGGACGGGTGGGAGGGGTCGTCGTTGGCCTCGTTCTCGCGCTGGTGATAGAAGAGGAATTCCTGCAAGAACAATAAGCGGCGGCGGTGCCTGGTTGTCAGCGCGGACACTCACATCGCGAACCCGGCTGGGGCCCCAGCCCATGCCGTCGGTCCTGCAGAGGTGCGCGCGTGAGCACATGAGCGGCATGGTAGAAGCGCACGCATGACCGACCATCGTTCCATGCCCATGCCGGTGGCTTCTGAGTTTGCGCAGCGTTCCTCCCAGATGTAGACGTTCCCCGAGCAGATTCTGGGGTGGGGTGGGGTCAGCGCTGCGAAGACCGGGGGGGCCGGGTCGCTCACGCTCGGCGTTCCTCCGCGTCGAGGCGGCGGGTGGTCATGGGGAGGACGCGGCGCGCTACGGCGTAGAATATCTTGTGGGCGTCGTGGGTGGAGCGAATGCGGATGTTCTGGAGGGTGGGCTGCTGCATGGCTGGTCGTGTGCGTGTGCGTGTGCGTGTGCGTGTGCGGGGGCGGGGGCGGGGCGGTGTGTCGGAGGGGAAGATGGGGGAAAGGAGAAAGAGGCGGAGGCGGACAGATATATGAGAGAGGCGGAGGAGGCGCTGATATGGTGCAGAGGAGCTGGAGTACCTTGGGCGCTGGGGGCCAAATAGAGAAGGGGATCCCCGAATCTGAAGAAGCGGCGATTGAGTTTGCATTGAGTTTGCCGCATGCAGCGGGCACTGAATTTGGCCCCTTGCCGTGCCGGCAGATCGGGGCCCTCGACGCGAATATCCCATGGGGGGCCATCACATCACCCATCACGAAAACAAGAAATCCTGCCTGCACGCACGGATGGCTGCTCTGATCTGATGGATGCATACCGCCGTCTGCTGGTCAGCCTAGCCCGTGCACAGCAGCGGGGGTGCAGATATCTGCATCTCCAGCGCCGGGGACACCCAGTCTCGCGCGGAGACCACAGCCTGCGCACCGCACAGCGCGCTCCCAGCCGTGCACGCGCACGCGACGTCGATGGTGTCCTAGCACCTGCCCGCAGACGACCGCGAAACGTATCTCCGACGCAGTTTCTTTGAGCAGACGAGCCCAGACACAGCGAGCTAAGTCGACAGGGAACGACTATCAGCCAACCAATGCGGACGTGCTGATTGCCGCGCGGTGTAGGGCGATTCCGTGGGGGAAGCTGCAAGGCCCGCGCTGGGACGGAAACTCTAACCAGCTCAGCTCAGTAATATGATGGACCCCATGATAGCCGCTGCCCATAGAAATCGGTGGAACCCCTGCCCGAGCCCAGGCCCTCCCACCCGCATCCGGCAGCTGCCTGCCCGCGCGCCAGATAGACTAAACGATAAATCATTTATCGCCCTCTCCAGATCTCACCCCCTCCGCCGAGCCAGATCCCGCTTAGCCAACGTTCCTCCCGCGAATGTCACACAAATCACTCGCATAAGACTGCACTCTGCTTGCCTGCCCCAGCCAATCTCACCGAAGCCCCTAAGGTTTTGATAAGATTGCACACCGTGGGAGCCCCGCCCGTCCCTCCCCCCATTACCGGCGGCGCACCCGCCGCGATCTCGCCCACCCTCCATCTCGCAGATGCAACGCCTCCTCATCTTCAACGTGTTCTGCATACAACAACGCTCGCCCTGGCTTCGCGCTGCATCTACGTCAGGTCGGATCCCATCCCCGGGCTCGCAGATCATCTGCACTGCCCCGCAGATACCCCCGTCGCCGGGGCTGGGTCGGCCAGCTCATCTGCACTCGGCCGTGGAAGATCAGAACTGGACGCCACCGCTCGCATCCGGGTCCCAGTCCGGGTCTTCCCCGACCGACCGCCATAGACATCATACATATGCATCATGCCCCGCGACCAGCGCACACACAGTGCATATCGGGGCGCCGCGCGAACCGCCAGATGCACGCGGTCTCGCTCCGAGCTGACACGGGCGAACTCAATCAGTCTCCATGGCAGATCACGTACGGCCCGCCTAATTTTCTGCACGCTAATTCCACGTTCACTGGGCACATTGGTCATCGCACGCACGCTCTCCTTCGGTGACAGGAAAGCATCGCGGGAGAACCACGATGCCCCCCCTCTCTCGACTGCCGATAGCACCCGCGCACGCCGTCCCTGTGGCGGGCAGCCAGCCCCACGTCCGCGGCGACACCACACGCCGCGCGAGCCCAGGCCGTGGAGATTGCGCGCAGCGAAGCCCTGCCCGCGAAGGCAGAGGCGTCATCCGGGGGCAGACGCCACCCAGGGGGGCGCAGAGCGTTCCCGGAATGCCACATGCACTGAACCCCCCCGCTTCGAGACAGAACGTCCGCGCGCGCATGGCGTGCATGAAATTCGCACAATGAGTAATGTGTGGGCCTAGAAGACGCCCTGCGATTCGCTTGTGAAGCCAGGATAGCGACAGCAGCGACGCCCACCACTGCCACTTATAGCGTGAAAGGGGCCCCTGCCGGCGCACCCCCGGCGAATATCACAGAGATCCCGCGCACCCAGATATATGACGCCTAGCGCCGGTGAAGTCATACTCTGTGTTATTCCCGCACAGTGCGACAGCTGAGGGAACGGATTCTCAGGCGACGGCGTTCTGCGCTGCAGCATACCTTATAAGTCGCGCAAAATGAACTTCTGGCCTGGTCGTGGCGAAAGATAGACCCGCTGCGCCCAGGATCACATCGCGCTGTAATCTTCACGTATGCATTGGTCAACGCCCACCGTCGCGTGTGCGTATGATCTCCGGCTCTGCGTGCCCAAGAACGAGCATCCCCGCGCAAACACGATCCGACGACCCTGAGAACCCCTCGACACGCATCTGCGCGAGCTACGAGGCACTTTGGGGGGCACCACGTTCCATCACTATCACTTCAGCTTGTCGGGCACACCTGCTAGTCGCATGATGTATACGGGGACAGGGCGACTAGTGGGCACCACTTCGACAACGACCGTGAGCATAACCGGCGCACATGACCCCACGGCGACTGCACGCAGCCGTTGTATTCGTCGAATAAGGGCAACGCCGAGTCCTGACGAGGCAGACGACACTTGACTTGATGATCTCTGTCTGGCCGCGACCGTGTTCCTGGACACCCACTGCCGAGGCGGCCGCGTGGGGAGCAAATACAAATAGGATGCATTGGGTCGTCATGTTTCGGGTAGCGGCGTGCATGAGTTATCGGAGCGGGGGTCGTATGTATATACTTTGTACGCTTAGCAGATCTCCACGGCTGAGACGAGCGCCGATGCCCCGACGGTGGGTCCCGCATCAGCGGGATCGAGATTCCTCGTCGCACCAGATGCAGCGCGCAGACGCTTGTCCGCATCTGCTCAATCAACGCGGTGCTCTGTTGCGGTGAATCGCCGATGTCCGACGGGGGGACGCAGATGTCAATTAGCATTAGACGGGCAACAGTGACGTGAGAACGCTGCGCAGGATGACATACCTTCTAGGGGCAGGACAACCGGCATCCAGTCCGGGATCTCTGCATAATGTGAGTACCCACAGAAGGCGTAGCGGATCCGGAGCGTCTTCGCGACTCCAGGAGCAGGATCATAGAATCCCTGCAGCCCGGCCTATCAAAGCACGAGACACGCATGAGTAAGTCACGTCACAGGGAATCAGGCTACGGAACCAGGCAGCTGCATCCTGCATCAGCGCACGACGCGGAACGAGCGGAAACAGTCGTCAATACAATGGGACCCTGGATTCTGTTACGAGAGGTGGTGCGGGTTTTCATGCGCGGACGCCCTGGGGGGCATCGCAAGGTTAGGACACACACCGCTGGTTATCAGCAAACTTACGCCGTCGCCGTTTTAACCTCGACGATCGATGCAAATTTGCTGCACCGAGCGCCGTCCATGCCTAGGGAGCACGGGCAACGGGGCGGCGCGCGCCGCTTCGGGAGATGAAGACAACAAATGGGATGAACAGTTACGCGATGCGGGCCCTTTCGTGCATGCCGCAAGACAGCATAACGACCGAGGCGTCTGGAGAAGGCGATGAAATAGCTCGTAAGGCCACCCGTCAGGTCATGAGAATAGGGCGACGCGGGCGAGACCCGCATGTCGGAAAGACGAGCCGCCGTCGGGGAAGGCGACACGGGCGTGAACACGCTGCGGGCTTCCCGCGCGATGAGAGAAGGGCGCCTGTCCCCAATCTTAGCGAAACGCGGAATAGGAATGCGACTGACCTTGCTTCGCCTCCCAGGAATGTACAACTGGCTCCTGTGCACCAGGGCCTGGAGGGGCACTGTGACGTCTACGTCTAGGCCCGCGGTCGCTTCGTCGCGCTCTGATGGGCCGTAGGAAGCTTCCAGTATAACGAGGCCTGCAATGATCAGGCACGAGATGAGCCACGAAAACCGAATGGGTAGAGGGCATGCCGGATTTGTACCGTTGCAGGAGGCCTCTGTCTGCATGTGGCGGCGGGCAGCATCCTCTAAAAGGTGAACCGTCTCTTTGCTCTCACGCAGCAAATCAGATTTCTCTTCGTGAAGCGTGCGCCGTGCTCGCCGGAAAAACCTAGCATAATTAAAATGACTGATGAATGCTCAACCCGGGACCAGAACGCGCGAAGAACACACTCGAGTCGCTCCCTCTGTCTCCGGGGTCTGAGAACAAACCAATACGTAAATACCAGCGCAGTCGACGGCATGACCGTGGTACAGAGTGCCAAGCGCATGTTGTGCTCGTCTGAGAGTACGATGGGAAGTGACACCTGCTGTCCAAGGAATCCTGCGCTGTAGATAGGAACTAAGCCTTCCACTAATGAAATCTGTCGAATAGACTTACTCCAATCGAAGTATCACACCGCGCAGACCAAGCGCAACGCTAGAACCCAGTGAATTATCGCCCCTTCTCCACTCCCCTCCGAAAGACCAATTCAGCCCGGCGAGTCCGAATTGGAATACGATTTTCAGTCGTAGTCCCAGCTCCGAGAGGACGACGCCCCATTCCGCGCCAAGACCGGACATCAAGCCTGCTAGTGATGCTTGCACATTCCAGAATGTGGTACCGACGGAAAGTCCGTCTTTGGAAGGTGGCCGGAATGTCGGGTCTGTTCCCAAAAGGGCGGGTGGAATGGACGCCTCAGGAGTGTGATCAAATACGTGGCCTGAAAAGAGCGAGACCGAGAGGATAGGGACTGTGGAGCTGGTGGAGAATGAAACTGTGCCCTCGAGCGGCGAATGGGGAAAGAGTCGCCGGGAGAAAGCAAGAGTTAGGGGAGGGGCCCGCATACGAGCTGTCGAAGATGAAATTGCTTGGAAGAGGGCACGGGTAAAGCCCATTTCGCATACAACGGTGTTTTCTTCATCTCGATAGATTGTCTTGAAATTCAGGTCGGAGCCGTGCAGTAGGTTTGCTGTCGCCTGGATGTTGTGAAATATGGGCTGTCAGGAGAGCTGTACCGAGCGGCCAGCAAGGAATGACATCTTACCTCGAAATTCAAACGAGGGGAGAACTGATGCCTGACAGTACCCAGTACGGCAGTGCGGAGAGGGTTATACGCGTCGTCTACGTCAAGTGAACCGCGAGAAGAAGCGCGGCCGGTTAACACGAGTGATGTCCTCTCGCTGATATCTGTCTGATTTAGTCTCAGACAGCTTGATTTATGTTCGCGGAGTGATTATTTCACCTCGACACTATGCCGAATACTGGAGCTCGTTTGACGGATGCCGCTTAGTCGGTCAGTTATGCCATGATACGAAGACCAATGTTCGTCGTCATCATAAACGTCATCGCCCTCGAAAAGTGATCGTGCATCTATGGTGGCAGTTATGCGGCCTTTCGAGCGGACGACTTCCTCAGCGCGTTCTCGCAGAAGTTCGCGAGTCTTTTGTATCAAAGCAGCGTCGAACTAGAGAGACGCATATGAACGACATGGGCTAGTACACATTTGATGACTCGAACACGAACCTTCGCGGGAGGCACCTCACTCAAATCTGCATTATGGACCGTTTGCAACCCTTTGGGACCTGGACTGACGGCTCGCTCAGTCTTATATGTGTATTGGAGCATAAGTACAGACCTAGCAAGTCATATGCGCGGCTGGACCGGAGGATCAGTTTGTGAGTAAATGCGAGGGGAACGGCGACGTACCGGTTGATGGGGTCGGAGAGCACTGAGGGCGGACATCCATTCGGGACACACTACACATTGAGCGAGTCATGTCGCGCACCTTGATATGCCTTTTGCACCTCCAGAAACCGCTTCGTCGCTGTCTCCTTCGTTTGCTCCTCCTGTTGTTTGTCTGGGTGAAACAACACAGAAAGTTGGCGGTAGCGTTCTCTTATTTCATACTCCGACGCGGTGGTCGGCAAGTTAAGTACTGTACTGACATTGTCGTGAGCGCAGCGTGGATGGCGTCGGACAGTCGGACTCACTACAAGAATTCTCGGTCGTCCGGGGACCCAGGGATGTTGTCGAGGTCAGGAGTTCCAGTTGACATTCAAAACAACTTCCAATTCTGTAGCTTTTGTGGACGTCGTATTTCAAGCCTTCGACACTGAGAGCAGCAGTGAGCAAACCTCCAAGAATGCAATGATGCACGGAGGAGCAGGCGCACAGTCCGCGGCGCCGTCGGGGAATAATTGATTAACCGAATTGAATCGACAATATGTCCTCCTGCCTTATATAGGATAGCCCCGCTATCCCCGCGTCATCGACCCGGACTTTGCATTTCGACAACATTCGCCACTCTATGCTCTACCACCATGTCCTCAGGTCAGCCTAGTCAGAAGGCTGTAGTCGTTGCTGCAGCAGAGCCCAAGGCTCGTGGCGCGAATAGGTCGACGAAAGTAGCCGGCAAGTTGAAGGTGCTACCCGACCAGGTCGAGCCCGTGCTGCAAGGCAAACCCGTTGAGCTCGTCCTGAGCCCGCCGCCGCAGGACAAGATCGAGGAAGAGGAAGAGGGTGATGAAGCAGAGAGCGAGGATGATAATGGAGACGATGAGGAGGAACCTGACGATATTGAGGTGCGACCATCACGCTCGATTCATCGATGGAACTGACTTGCGTCTAGGTCTACAACCAGATCGACCTCATTCCTGCGGGGACCGCACGAAGGGATGCCTTGTGGCTTACCAAAAAAAAGGCGAAGTCGCTTCCCCGCGTTACAGCGTACGCCACTGCAAGGTCAAGTGCACCTCACCCTAGTCTAGACCCATTGAACGCTCATACCGTGTCCAATCGTAGCTCCTATCGATTTCCAGAACTCATGAAGTTCTTCAACGCTCGTCGTGCCTCTTATCACACCAACCCCAAAATCATCGATGAAGTAATTTACACGCCATACGCATATGAATTATCCTCCGAAGACGGAATCGGGTCCCACCGCCAAGTCCGATTTCAAGGTCAGTCTCCGACACAAAGTCAGACTGGAGACCTCCTTGGCGTACCCGAGTTGGCGCCGGAGCATGCACACACAGATGGGGAACAGCAGGTACCAAAGAACAGGAAGAACAAATTTCTGTCTCGCGAGCGTCCGCGGGAGGCCGAAATCTTTCTGTTCAAATATGGCACAGTCGTCCTATGGGGCATGACGGAGGCACAGGAAAAGCGATTCCTATCCTCTATGTTGGTCCCTGTCAATGTTTACGTCTCAAGCAATTTACTGATTCTCTCACAGCAAGCGGTTCGAAGTAGACAAATTGCGTACGGTCTCGACTGCTCTGCTGTGTGAATGCCGGTGCTTAACTTGGTCCTGTCTAGCACCAGAAGAAGTGGAAATGGAAGACTTGAACTACTATTATGCCAATTACAGCCGGTACCGCTTGTCGTTCCCCTTGTTGTGCGGAAACTGAACTCCTTTTAGTATCTATAACGACGTGATTACACTGCGAGTTGGGTCTAGCTACATGTGAGCTTTGGCGGTAGAACGGTCAGCATAAACAGATTTGACACTTGTCATGCATAGGACGAAGCTCTCCCTCTCACACGCGTTATCGCAGTCTGTCAAGATATCACTGGTGAGTCTCTGAATAACATCTACGATCCTCATGTCTGATTCTCCTTGTATGAATTGCGGACTTAAACCCCCCTCTGGCAACTTCGCACTCGTGTAGTTCGAGGAGTTAATTTCTTCTACTATCGAAGAGACAAAAGACATCCCGGAAATCATCAGCGAGACGGGAAAGATTGGCATGCCTCATAAAGGTACTTTTCTCGTGCATTGAGATTTGTCCTGCTATTCAAATGGTTTTATCCAGACATCATGCGAAAGATTGGTGAACTATTTTTGTTGAGAACAAATATCAATTCTGTGGGCTCTGTTCTCGATTCCCCGGTACGGCGCCCTCTAAATCGACCTTGGGTTAACGGTCGCTAGAGTTCTGACCGTTATTTTATTGTGAATAGGAAGTTTTCTGGGTAAGTAGCCAAATCCCATGACGACCCTGTGATCTGTCCAGTCAGCGACCAAATTTTCTGATATCTAGGCAGACATACCCCGATTTACAGCCGCTATATGATGCGGCCCGAGACTACCTGGAGATTCCGCAGCGGATTGACCTGCTGAACACTCGAGTGGAGGTCAGTGTGTGCTTGCATGCGACCGCTAAAGATTTTAATTGTTCCCTGTCGTGCTTCTCGTAGGTTCTACAAGACATGCTCCAGCTATTGAAGGAAACTGTCTCAAGCCGACACGCGGAACGACTAGAACAGATAGTCATTGCTCTGATCGTGGTTGAGATTGGTGCGTCCTGGCGCCTCCCATACAACGTGCACCCACACACTCATCTTTTCTGGAAGTTTTGGGTATTGTGACCATCATTGTTGACCTCTTCGCCTGAGCACAAGGACCATTTTCATCCGTATCCGTCTTAATTACACACATACCGTACAGCCATCTAGTCATACCGTACACGGGATCAATCACGTACCTGCAAACTTCACAAGATCACGAAATCTCGTTTGGTGGCAAGCCCGGTGTTCCTCATGAGAATGTCCGACTCCACTTCGTTCACGACATCCTCCGAGCTCCTATCCTCATCAAGCCCCGGTCATCTGGCCTTCTCCCGTTACTTCTCCCGTGTCTTCTCCTTGGTCCTCGTATTGGACGCACTTTTATCCCTGGACTTTTCCTTTGTCTGCCTGAAGCACAGGAACTCAATGCCAGTGGCTCGTCGGGTATCCGCCAGAGTCTTCTTCACGCCGTCCAGATGGGTCTGCAGGTTTTCGTCTCCGGGCCGGCGCGCATATGCTTGCGAGATTTTGGTATACAGATCCGAGAGGGTCTGGTCCGCAGACGAAGTGACGTAACGCGAGAGTGTCTGATGTAGAAACTCGATTTCTAACGTAGCCTGGTAATCGCATTAGTCACTCGTGTGGACACCAAGATGAAGGTCCAGGAACAGGGAGACGTGTGTACGTACCCGAAGCATGCCGCCCATGCCGAATCGCTTGACCTGGCGGAAACAGCGGAGGGCTTCTTCGGCAACGTCCTCCACTAGCGCATTCAGGGTACGTTCCAAGAGGGGCGCTGCGACCGCGCTAACTTGTGCGTGCACTCCCACAAGGAACATCAGGATTTCGTATACATACGGGCGGATCTCTGCGAGCAGACAGCCTATTTTGAGACGGAATTAGGATGATGATAGAGTGAGACAGACCTCTCGGCTGCGGTGTCTCGTACCAATCCATCTCTGGATCTAATACCCCGTCCCGCATCATGCCCATCAGAACGGCCGCCTTTGGCTTAATGTAACTCTCAAATAGAGTGTTGTCGAGTTCTTGCACGATGGTCATCAACGTCTGGCACCGTCCGGACAATTCAGTGAGATGACTAAGATTGCATGCAATCTGCGCGGACACTTACACGTTGATCTTCCTCGATGGAAATACCCAGGGCAGTTCCCAGCTCACCAGCCATACTGGGTATGAGCGAGCGTTTCAAGCGGTCAATATTTGCCACCACCAGCAGTACCCGGTTGTCCTGTGAAAAGATACGGCAGCAATAAGTTCAAGGCCTAGAATAGGTCTTAAACTCCGCACTCACTGCATCCTGTACATTCACGAGCTCCAAGGGATTGTTGCTTGTTGCCCCTGACATGTCACCGATGGCCGGTTGCACTAGCATCACAGCCGGAGACTCATCCGATGCGAGGTGCACCAGTCCATCAAGTACAGCGAAGAGTGAATCCAGGAATGCTTTCGTGATTTTTCCTGTATACTCAAGGGCGACCGCCTTCCGCTTGGATGGCCGCGAAGAGAACATAGTCGATGAGGTTGAGAGATCAGCTCCGCCGGCAATCTTGAACGCGCATGTGGACATTTCTTTCTGGAACACGCGCAGTTTGGAGAGGTACACAGTGGTGAACGGATCAACTGTGGACCCTATCCAGTCCTCCAGGTAGTAGAAGATGTTGGCGTCTACATCGCGTGTCTTAGTCCGACCGTCGGAAATAGCGATTCATGTCGTGCGCGCTTACCTCTGATCCACGCATGGATGAGGATGTCTTCAAATCTCCACCGCGCACTCTCCAGGAGACCCTTAAGGCTAGACGTCGCCTCGCCCGAGATTTCCATGCTATTGATGTCGTTGACGCTGTCCTGGATTTCGCCGATGATTCTCATTAGCTGGTGGCCAGTCGCAAGCGCGTTCGAATCCATTGGCAGCAATGGGGGAGTCACATCGCCGGCGCCGGTGGGCGGTGATGACACGCGGCTATCAGAGAACATGAAGAACTCGGAGAGAAGCAAGATGTAGAGCTGGACGATATCGAGCGCCATGGTACGGCATTGGGAGGGACTCCGGCGTGAGGCACTGCCCGGGCTCTGGTGGAACCATGAATCGCACACACGCAGACGAGCATAGGCGCACAAACCTTCTTCAACTTTCCCTCCAGGAAGCCCTTTGCAATCTTCCAAAAGTTGGGGAGGGAGGACAGCATCACCTCGGACACACTCTTGACCATCGCAAGGACAGCCTGCCAGACCTCGTTCCCCGCAGCCTGGGCTGTCCATCACGCATCGACGGGAAGAAAATCAGTTTGTGATTTTCCCATCGACGACAGAACATACACACCGAGGATGGCATCCGCCTGCTTCGCCTCTAGCGCGGCGATGCATGTCTGGAGCTGTGCAGACAAGATTCTGGGCAGTATATCGGGACCCCTGATCTCTGGCTGTGCCCTCTCGCGGGTAGCTTGTGCACCATGAGCCAATTGGCACAGCCATTCCAAATCCACCGAGCGCTCACCATTGATAGAGTTAACCGCTGCATCGTAGACTTCCCGCATATGCCGAAGTATATACTGATGCTGCGCATCAAAGTATGTCCAGACCGGGTCGTCGGAAGGATTGAGTTCAAGCAAGATTCTGAAACGCGGTCAGATCAAGGCAGTCAATGGAAGTCCTTCACGAACTCTATTGTTTTCTCTTGTTCATCGACGCTGCGTGTGGGCTCCTGTAGCTTCGCAAGCAGTTGACTGCGCATTTCACCCATGATTTTCTCTACGGTGCCCCAAACCTTCTTGAGGATGCGCCTTTGCTGCATTTCCAAGTTGTGCCCATCCTTTGCCGATCCTACCGGGAGGATTTGGCCTGGGCGGGACTCGAGTAGGAACTTGCCCTTCTTGTAATCGCGCATGGCGACATCGTAACGGCCCTAAGTGTGATGTTACATTGAGTATTTGGCACTGATCAGAGTTGGTGGTCTAGAGGCATACCGTCTCAATGGACTCGATCAGCGAGCCAGGCAGACTGAAAAAGAACTTGGAACGCTCAAAGACGCCTAGAGTAGTGCGTAGTTTCTGAGCTTTGAGAGCATTCTCTAGCACTGGGAGAAATACTTGATCTGCCTTCTGTGCGGAAACTGTATTTGCGCATGATTTAGTGAATATCGACAAATAACAGTGACCTGGTACAAGGATAGCATACGCTTTAAGTGATCCTTCAGGGGCCTTGAGGCGAACTCAGTCTGTCCTGCCAACAGGCCCTCCTGCATTTCGGCATATAATGCTGAGAGGATATCAATGTTGCCACTGCAAGTTGGGGGTCAGGTAGAAAATGTACCATCTGTAGATGCCTTGACGGCGACAAATCGGTTGAAGTTCTCCTCAACAAGCACCCTAACGGCCTCCGAGCGAGAGTCAATAGAGGCACGGAGATGTGAGATGCCAGCCGCAAGGTCTTGATAGGTGGCGTTGGGATGTGCGGCAGACAGAAACGCTTTCGGGTTGAACGACTTGGATGATATGAGGACGGCCGTCTCTGCGCCATGCATGTATGAACGGCTTTACACTAACGACATGAACGTGACTGACTGGTATCCAGGTCCATTTCGCGTACACTAGTACAGAAGCTCAATATACTCTGAACCATGCAACTGAGATGCACGCGACGCACTCGATGGTCGCACCCAGACCAAGTGGATCAGGCTCGCCCTCCGCATTGTTAGCACCAGTCAGGGTACCTGCCAGCGTGTCATCGTTGTCGTAGTCAATGACTTCCCATTTCCTATTGTGTATACTATTCAGAGGCTGATGGAATAATTGAACAGCCATGTTTACTTCGGAGACAGTGAGGATATGCCGTAGGCCTTCAGTAGCTCAGCATCGTCGACTTTGAAATTAAGCTTCGACATGCCAGAACAGCAGACAAGCAGTGTAAATAAACGAAAGCAAGATGTGTTACAGTCGAAACAAACCCGTGGACTTGCCGCCGCAGTGTCCGCACTGGTCAGACCATAGGCAAGGCGCTAATAAATAGCGCCCATCACATACGGGGTATTACGCAATTTCCTAGATTTTCTCAATGCTTTCATAACATAAAATCCGTATTAGACTTTCCGAAACAGCTGCACAGTAAGCCATAATCACTAAGTCCAAACCTGTTCGCCTTCATTCAACCTTGCTCGCACCACCTACTTGTTCGTTTTGAATAGGGCTTGTATTGCGGCAGCTTCAAAGACAGAAATCTAGTATAAGCCTGGTGAATTACAGTAATTATCTTCATCCGGCAAGACGGATCACGTCACCGAGGGGGTCAGGCGCTGTCCTGCTAAACGAAAGTTGTCTCGGTCCAAGCTTGTCCCAAACCACGAGCTCACGTCGTCCAGACCGTCAACTACGCGCTCTCGAATCTACGGGGCGACACGGCGCGACCACCAAGAGGGACACACCATCGTGTGATTCCGCTTCGTAAGGACATATAAGTATAAGAGAAAGATTGATTTCGGCGCCCGCTCTCCCACTCCGCAGCCACCATGTCGAAACGGATTCGCATCTTCACCGCTGAGGACGTCGCGGCGCACAGCAACACCTCGAGCTGCTGGATTACCCGTAATGGCAAAGTTTACGACGTTACGAACTTCTTGCCCGACCATCCGGGGGGCGACGACCTGATTTTGAAGTATGCGGGGAATGACGTCGAGGCAATCATGCGGGACCCGCTTGAGCACGATCACTCCGACTCAGCATATGATATGCTGGAGGAGTGCTTCATTGGGCGGCTTGGTACAAGTGAGACAATTGTGAGCGACGGTACGTTTCCGACATTGATGAAGAAAGGGGCATGTCACTGATTCACACTATAGACTGGGTCGCGGAGGACAACTTCGAGCCGAACAATACGGATTTGGCAGCGGACTATGAGAAGAACCAGTTCTTGGATCTCCGCAAGCCTCTCTTCCTCCAGGTTTGGGAGGCAAACTTTACGAAGTCCTACTATCTCCTGCAGGTCCACCAGCCGCGCCATACTCCCGAGTCACCTCGTCTCTTCGGTCCTGACATTTTAGAGGTGCGTGCAAGTATCATAATGTTGCAGTCGCGCAGCGCATTCAAAGGTTTTCTGCAGATGTTTACGCGTACGGCGTGGTATGTCGTCCCGACAATCTGGCTGCCGATCGCAGGTTACCTCTTCGCCCGCTCACTCGTGCAGTTCACGCTTGGGAACAATTCGCTGCCGTTATTCTCTGCCAATCCTGCAGCGCCGCTAAAGCTGCTCATGACTGTCGGCATTCCCGTATCCTCGGTCTTGAAGACGACACTCTGCTTCTTCTTCGGCAACTTCGTGTGGACTATCTTGGAGTATATTTTCCATCGGTTCCTCTTCCACATTGATGCCTGGCTCCCGGACCATCCCGCAGCGCTTACGCTCCATTTCTTGATGCACGGTATCCACCACTACCTGCCTATGGACCGGTGTGTAACGCTAGAGCTCCAAAGCATCGCGCATCATGCTAACGGTCGCACTGTAGGCTGCGACTGGTGATGCCACCGGCTATGTTTACCTTCCTGTCGTTCCCTATGACACAGCTGGCGCATGCTCTCTTCCCGACTGCGGCGGCCAATGGCATCATTGCTGGTGCATTCGCCTTCTGTACGTTTCTCATTACCTTCTGCCGCACACCTGCTCACTTTCAATGTCAGATGTGTTGTACGATTGCATGCACTACGCGTAAGGTCCCGTTCGCACAATGCCAAGGACATTCTCGCTGACTGCACTCCGTTTAGACTGCACCATACCAAGCTCCCAGCGTACATCCGCGAGATGAAGAAGTACCACCTGGCACACCACTACAAGAACTTTGAGCTCGGGTTCGGCGTGACGAGCAAAATATGGGACTACGTGTTCAACACAGTCTTGCCGATGTAGAGCGCCTGCAGTCTGCGCAATGGATGTGCTATCTTTGTTTCTGGAGGGTCCGGTGTTGTTTCTTAATTGTTAGAACTACACTACACACCAATCTGCTTCCAATGCTGATTATGTTCACTTTCGATTGCACGTCTAATGCACAGTCTTCGTATTCCCCGCTCCCTTAAAGTTATGTGGGTTCATGAAGACATTGTTGTACACACTGTAAACAGTGATCAACTACCATGTCGCGTTGTTCGGTTACTGCGCTTCACAGCGTTCAGCGCTTTCATGTTGGGTTTGCTGCTTTGCTCAAGGAAGAGTACATACAAGTTGAACGTTCTGGCCAGCCATTCTGCAAGAGAGCGGTTCTTCGATTCTAGAACTACCACGCGAGCCACCGGTACCTGTTCGATGCGTCACTCCTCGTTCACTCCAATCGTCGCGCTGCTATTTCTCGTGGTCGCGACGCCTGGGATCTCCAGCATACACACAGCAATGAGCAGTCCAAAGGACGCAGGATCCAGTAGCTCGCGCGCACATAGTGGCTCATCCCCGCTCGACGTCGACGGATACCCGGTCGCGCCGCCCGACCTCGAGCTCGCGCAGGTGCACGTCTACATCAGACATGGTACGTCTCGGCTTCTGTCCGCAGACGATGTGCTGACCATGGGTGGTGACCCAGGTGAGCGCGCACCAGTGGGCGTGCGTCTGACCGACCCGCCCGCGGGACTCCCAGAGCACTGGATGTTGTGCCATACTGCGCGGAACTTCCAGGCGGCGGTGGCGAGCGGAAGTGCGGCCATCCCCGGCGCCCCGCGGGTCGTGGGGTGGAGCAGTAGGGGCAAGGGGGAGTCGCTCCAGACGCGGCGCGTCGTCGAGCGTGTAGACGGTGCCGCTGCTCCTGGGGAATGGTGAGTAACGCACGTTTGTGTGGCTGCCGACGCGCGGCGCGGGTATGGGACGATACAGAGTGCTGACTATGCTCCCTGTCCCTCCGTCGGACTTCGCTTATGCGTGCACACAGCCTTCTGGGCGAGCTGACCGACGTGGGGAGACAGGTACGCACACCGCGGGCTTCTGTGGTCTTCCTTAATGAATGCAGGACGCACGCTCATTTAACCCCCACCCCCACCCGGCTCCGCGCTCCGCGACTATATTGGGTGTGTGTCATTACAGACGACGTACGATTTTGGCGTTGCTCTGCGCAGGCTGTACATAGACAGGTGCGTCTTCCATTCCAGGCCCCGTGAACCTGGGTGACGTCAAAATTGGTGTTCTCGCGAGCCATATACGATGGTTGCCGCGTATACACGCTCGGTTCTAAGACCCTGAGCGGAGTCATATGCTCTTCATGGTGTATTCCGTTTCATGTGCCTGCTAGCGAGGGTCAGTGGGGCCTTCACTGGCACGTCATGACAACTCTTTTGTCCTGTAAAACTTTATGCCGTGTGTCGGCAACCATTGGCAATGATTCGCGAGGAATGCCGTATTGGCGCGTACATCAAGAATTGCACCCGCGAATTGCTCATCCGGAACTGTGCCCATGTAGACTCGGGTTCCTTCCTGACGTCGCTAGCTTAAATGAAGAGGTCTATCTGCGGTCGACGAACGTGCCGCGAACCGTAGAGAGCCTCCAGCAGATTACACACGGCCTCTATCCCGAATCGAAGTCCGGGGGCTTCGCGCCGCAGCTGAGAATACGGTGCGTGCATTTGCTGTGGACCCTCGTGCGTTCGAGATTGAGAAGCGCAATATAGGAATGCACGCGACGAGAACCTCTTCGGCAACACTGGGGCGTGCAAGCAGCTGGAGGTCCTGCAGATTGGCTTCGCGAAAGGTAGGTATCACACACGTTACGGGTCATTGAAGTCTGACGCGCGGGGGAACGGTTCAGCCGCGGCGAAAGAGTGGAACGAGTCTCTCGCCGGTCTGGACCACAAATTGTCGAAATACCTGGGAGGCACGGGGCTGAGGCTGGACGGGAAACCCAGGGCTTCGGGGGTTCTTGACACGGTGCGAAGGATGTACCTCTGTACAGCTTTAGGAGGTATTAACGGACGTTCAGATAAGAGCAGCAACTGCACATGGTGTTCCTGTCCCGTCAGAATTCAAGGAGCCCGAGGTAATGGGGTTGATAGTACGTATGTCCCTAGCACGATTTTATGGTCTGCGACTGACACGCCCACGCTTGATAGGAAAAGGCGGTCGTTCATGAATGGTTCGCAGGTGTGTTCGACGGTCTGATGGTTGTTCGATTTTGAAGAACGCTGACGAGATGTGATGTAGGGTGTGAGACGCCCGATACCCCATCTTAGAGGGAACATATTCATTGACATTCGGTACTTTCAGACAAGACGGAGGAAGTCAGGAGACTCGGCATGGGACCGCTTCTGGGCGATCTCGCGCACAAGTTGCACGCCAAGGCGGCGAATGGGGCGGCAGATCCACTCAAGATCCTGATCCATAGTACGCATGACACCAGTCTGGCTGCGCTGTGTAGTACGCTGGACGTCTTCGACGAAAGGTGTGTGGCATAAAATGCGCAAGGAATCGCGTTGAACTTTGCGACATCGAAAAGGTGGCCTGCCTTCTCTTCCTCGATCACTTTCGAGCTCTTCCGAAAACGTCAAGCGACCGAGGCGCAGCCGTCGATATGGCAGAGCGTGATGGCGCCCTTCCAGAAGCAGCGCTCAAGCCCTTCGTCTGAGCACTGTGCGTACGCCATGGCATCAGTATCGTCCAAACCAGCTAACGCACAGAACGCACAGACATCCGGATGCGTTATCAAAATCGAGATTTGGCGCTGCCGGTTTGCGCTGGTGAGGGAAAGCATTACCCAGGTGCGCCGGAGTTCTGCACTTTGGACGCCTTCCGGGAGCGCGTCGAGCAGCTGACGCCGGTGGAATGGGAGGCTGAGTGCACCCCACCGGCTTCGATATGACGATGAGTAGAGATGATACCTGCTAGAATACGTGCTTGTTTATTGATGTTTTAAGCTCGGTCGAACATCTACTTTATGATATTCTATCTCCAGTACTACGTAATTCCATTCCGGGAATAAGATAACGAAGGGACATCTGGCCCTTGAGAGCGTCAAATCTCAATGACCGGACGCGTCGATGTATGGGGCCATGATCACGGGACCGTGTCGTGGTTGAGAGCCAGATGTTTCAAACTTGAGCTTTGTGAACAATTTTGTTCTTTCTCCCCCTTTGACTGAGTTCTGACTGAGGGCAGAGTACTGAAAAACACGCTTTTCCCCCAAAGTACGTTTGGTTTTGTCCATGACTAAAGTTTGAGTTCGCTTTCAAACATAGACTCGCAATAGTCTCTGCTTCCGAGCCGACGTAACATAGTAGCACTATTATGTGACGTCGGCTCTCAATATCGATATTGCTCCTGATGGCGACTCGGGAACCCAACTTGAGCAGTTCGACGAGAAGGCGTCTGGCCTCTTGCTTAGTTTTGCGGCCAGTGGGTAAAGGTTGCCGGGCACGGCCGATGCCTGGCAGGTCCACGGCCCTCAACTATGCTCTCTGGCCAACTCGTCTATCATTTCAGACTATCGCGCTCACGGCATCCTGAACTGTGATCCGAGTATAATACCCGAAAACAAGAGTGCTCCTTGACGCTTCGGCCCGCGGGTCACCTGAGGATCCCGGGTCGGTCTCATGCCATCCTATAATTCATCGAAGTTCTAAAGCTCCCTAGCGAGTGTCTCGCTGTACACCCTGATGCCGTTCTTTCTGCGACGGCCTTGCCTGACGCAGTCGTCGGCACTATGGCGTTCGCGACGCTCTATAGCCTTGTCTGCGGTACAGGGCCCCTCACACCCCCCGCTTGTCTCTCAGACGTTGCCTGCATACTTCGCACAGGAGGTCCTGGCCAAACATGGCTCCCGTCCGGCCCTCGTTGCCAGGAGTGAGTCGCCTCGCCCGCACGGGGGCCCGCGCTCGCGCAACATGGAACGCACCCACCACCTCGCCTGGGACTATGAGGAATTCAACGACAATATCCAGGCCCTTGCCCGGGGACTCCTGAATCTGGGGGTGAAGAAAGGTGACCGTGTTGGAGTCGTGATGGGCAACAACAGGTACGCACGGTGTTGCTAGACGCCTCGAAACGCGTGGGCGAGATAAATGGTTGTCTGGCAGCGCGTATGCTTCGCTACAGTGGGCATGTGCGAGCATAGGAGCAATCCTGGTGACACTAAACCCGGCCTATCGTCTTCCTGAGCTTGTACGTTCGCTCCGCTGAATTATCGATCCAGCTTCGCCTGACACGGTGCAGATCGCCACGCTCAAGCTCGTCGGCGTGAGCCACCTCATTGTCGTCCCTCGCATCCGGAGTTCTGCATATGTTTCTATGCTCTCCGAGGCCTTGCCTGACCTGCGCAACTCGCCTGCGGGCAACATCCAAGAGCCAGCGCTGCCTGAGTTGCGTCACCTTGTCATAGTTGATAACACAGGGGATCTGAAGCAGTTCCAAGAGGAGATCGGCGATGTCAAGTGTGCGGTCGACTTCCGTGAGATTCTGGTATGGCGGGAAGACAGCGCGGAGAGGAGGCGTGTCAAAGACATCGCTGCTGGGCTCAACAAGGATGATGTCATCAATCTGCAGTTCACAAGGTAATACGCGCGACAACTTTGGATTATGTTCCTAATGCGGCTCCCATACTATAGCGGTACGACCGGATTACCAAAGGCGGTCTCAGTGCGTATTCGTTACATAGCACCTGAACGCAGCACGACTCAGAGATCCTCCAGCTCACACACCGTAACCTCCTGAACAATGGGATCTCGATAGGGGAGCATATGCGACTGACGCCGTCTGACATCCTCTGTACGCCTCAGAGTTAGCCTGACACGCTGTCCCCGCTCATACTGCAAGACATCACTCCTCTCTAGGCAACGTCCCTCCGTTGTTTCATTGCTTTGATATGTGCCTTCCCTCGTTCGCCGCTTTACGCGCTAACCTCTTCGCCGGTTCATATATACACGCCTCGTCCTAGGCAACCTGGCCGCGTGGACGCACGGTGCAAGCATCGTGTACCCGTCCCAGATATTTGATCCCCGCGCAATCGTAGACGCGCTTGTTGCGGAGCGCTGCACCGCGCTGCATGGCGTGCCGACACACTTCCTCGGCGTCCTCGCGGAGGTGCGCGCGCGCAGGGAGGCAGGCGAGAACATGGACATGAGCACACTCAGGTACAGGCCGTCTGAGCGGCACGTCCTCGATCGCGGGCTGGGCGCGCTGACGGTGTCATGCGCACAGGACAGGCATTGCAGCAGGGACGTCTATACCAATCGAGCTTATGAAGCGGCTCATTGCGGACCTGAACTTGACCGAGCTTACGGTTGCCTATGGGATGAGTGAGTTGTCACTTACTTGTGTTGTGTCGGAAGCAGCAAATAACCGTACTGTATTACAGCGGAGACCAGGTATGTAGTTTCTTCCAGGCTCGAATGGGAGATGAGCTGTCGCTTTTGCCCGGTTATAGTCCGGTATCTTTCCAGACGACCTGGGATGACCCCGTGGACAAGCGCGTCGAGACCGTCGGGCGCATTTTGCCACATGTCAGGGCGAAAGTTGTGGATGTTGAGGATAAGATTGTGCCCGTCGGCACGCCGGGCGAGATCGTAGTCTCGGGATATTTGCTGCAGAAAGGGTAAGTAAAATAACGTTTTCTTGCGTTCAAAAGACCCCTTCGCCGACCCTGTCTGGAGGTATTGGGAGGACCCGGAACAGACTGCGCGCGTAATGCAGAAAGACGGAGATGGTGTGCTGTGGATGTATACCGGTGATGAGGGCATACTGGACGAAGATGGCTATCTCAGAAGTGAGTCAGAAAGCTCAGATACGGTATCATCGTAGTGACAGATTGTTGATACCCTGTTAGTTGTTGGTAGAATCAAGGTGCGTGTGCACTGTAACATAATATGGCAGTTCAGGATAATCTTTACCGTCATATAGGACATCATCATCCGTGGCGGAGAGGTGCATCAATATTCAAATGACCATTACCTCATACTCATCACCTCCGCGCAGAACCTGTTCCCGGTGCAGATCGAGAACGTACTCACCGCGCATCCAGCCATCCGCGAGGCTGCGGCGGTCGCCGTGCCTGACGAGCGCTACGGCGAGGTTGTCGGCGCGTGGGTTGTGCGTGAGCCGACCGCACTGTCGACACTGACGCGGGAGGATGTGCGTGCCCTTGTTGCGGATAATATGAACCCACAGGTACCGCTTCCGGCTGATACTCTCGGTGAATGTGAAGCTGATTTTCGCTACTGCACTTGCTAGAACGCTCCGGCGTGGGTATGGTTCGCGGGCGAGGACGGCATACCGTCAGATATGCCCAAGACGGCGAGCGGGAAGGTGCAGAAGCACATCCTCAGGGGGTGGGTCCGCGACCTTGCGAGGAAGGGTGTTGGGTCCGTCCGTATATCTAAAGCATGACAAACACGGCGCCGCCAAGTGAGCGAACGGAGTGCCCGGATCTCTCAGATTCTGACACCGCGCAGATAGCAAGAAGCTATGTCTGGACTAAACAGAGAGTACTCATCTCGTTCACGAGACTAAGCACGTATACAAAATAGTATGTCATCGTGCCATCTCCAGACTTCGAATGCACCGCAAATCGTCGTGTTCTGTGCTGTTCCTGCAACGCAAATGAACTGAGTCAGCCTTCTGCGCCGCCGGATCTTACGAATGGTGACAAGTTTGGGGTATGTATGCGGTATATGCGGCATCCTCGGTCGAAGTTGGGGTGCTGATATGCAGACTCGATATAAGCCCGCGGCTGCGGAAACGGTGGCGGATGGCCCGGTATAGGCATGACGCGCTGTGTCACAGAGCACGGTGCCTGCGTAACATCACACCGTGGGTGACAAATACCCGTTACAACTCACCGGTGACGTCACAAGGTTTCCCGGGCCGCCCGGTCGCGCTCGATGTGCAGCAGATAAATATCAGTCTTGCCTCCACCGCGTATCTCTGCACCATCTCTCTTTCCCCACAATCTCCATAGCACGCCCACGAACACTATCCAACATGCCCGAAGGAACGATGAAAGCGCTGTACTACAGCAGCGTACGTGCTTTACCTGATCTCGGCGCGTGTCTCGACTCGGAGATAACATCGACTGACGGATTTGTATGCATGCATCCAGCCCAGGCACTTTGAAATCAAAGAAGTCCCGATCCCGAAATGCGGGGACGATGACGTTCTTTTGAAGGGTATGTGGGATCGACTCTGACATGCGCGATGGTCCTGATCGCCGCAATCTAGTGTCTGTATGCGGTGTTTGCGGAACTGACGGGCACATTCATGACGGTGAATTCATCGCCAAGTTCCCGGTGCGTGATCATCGCATGCAAGTAATTCGCATTGCCTAATACCTTCCCGCAGCTCATTCCAGGCCATGAGGCTATTGGCAAGGTGGTCGAGAAGGGCAAGAGCGTCAAGGGCTTTGAGTTGGGCGACCGCGTGGTAGCGGATGTCGGCATTTCAGTGGGTATATGCGCACTTCTCTGGTTGTAATGGTGTCTCAATCACCTTGTAGTGTGACAATTGCTTCTACTGTCGTCGAGGTGAAGCAGTCCTGTGCGAGAACTTCAACGCACGCGGTGTCACAATGGACGGTGGTTTTGCCGAGTACATCGTCTAGTGCGTGTCCCTGTCCCGTCCTTCCGTCCCTATACTGATCATTCCTTAGCCACCAAAAGAAGTGCTATAAGATTCACAATCTCACGGACGAGGAGTCAACGCTACTCGAACCGGCAGCCTGCGCCATCCATGGTCTGGATAAACTCAACCCACCAGTCGGCATTGACGTTCTGCTTCTGGGCGCGGGCCCCACCGGTCTCATCCTCGCGCAGCTGCTCAAGCTCAACGGTGCGCACAAGGTCACGATCGCGGCAAACAAGGGTATCAAGATGGATATCGCGAAGCAGCTGAACGCGGGCGATGTGTACATCGAACTGGACAGGCAGAATCCCGGCCCACAGTGGGAGCAGCTGAGGAAGGACAACCCGTATGGCTTCGACGTTGTGGTGGAAGCCACTGGTGTGGAGAAGATCGCGCAGGATAGCATCAACTACGTCCGCCGTGGCGGAACAATCATGATTTATGGCGTGTACGAGAACAAGGCGTTGGTGCACTGGCCGCCATCAAAGATCTTCGGGGACGAGATTAGAGTATGTATGCGCCATGCTGCAGAAGAGTCATGTCGCTGAGCCTGTGTGCAGGTCATCGGCTCGTTCTCACAAGCGTACTGCTTCCCCCGTGCTGTCGCCTACTTGGACGGCGGCAAGGTCAATGTGAAGGGCATGGTATGTCGCTCTACGCACTTGCGCTGTCTCTCACCCTGTTGATGGACCGTACGCGACCCCAGGTCACGGACGTTTTCCCGCTTGACGATTACCAGGGTGCGCTCGACAAGATGAACAGCCGTGGGGCGCTCAAGATCGCGATCAAGCCGTGAGATGTGATGAAGCGGACGAACGAGAAAACGGACCGTAAGCCGTGGTGACTGTAGCATGTAGCATACCCTTGGTCTTCGACCGTTCTCGCAATAGACATTCATGTGTGTTACATGTGCGTGCATAGAGTCAGATATTATTACTGCATGCGATGGCGGACACTTGAGCTCAAAGCATTGTGAAGCGTTAGATGAATATGCGAGCAACAGCACTCAGGCACTTTTACCTATTCCCACTATCCACGGAGAATATAGGAATATGTTGATCCTGTACAAGTAATAATCGCCTGCACGAAGACCAGACGACCTCCAGCGAATACAAAACTGGATTTTAAGATCAAATAATTAATTAATAAAAGACCAGACGAAGCCCAAGGCGATGAAGTGGAATCCCCAGTCATAATTATTGCATCGTCGAGCACTATAGCTGTGAATAAAGATTCATTATTATGGCATTGCTCTTGTAGGAGGATGCAAGGTCATTATGCATTATGAGCTATATCTTGAACTCATCCACAACTGGCTGTATACGTAAGGAATGACCGTGTAGACCCAACCCTTACCGCACAAAAGCTTAAAAACATCGAGAAGATTATCTGCGATCCCAGGACCCGTCAGCGAGCTGGTATATGTATACCATCGTGACTATTACTAGACAGTAGCTCGTCAAAAACCAATCCCTCCCTGGCGGGGAGTCGAACCCCGCTTTCGCGCGCACCACGATATGACAGGCGCGTGTACTAACCGATATACTACCAGGGATTATAAATATTGACTAATCATTAACTATGGTCTGCGCGTGAAGTCTTGGCTTCGTTCACTCCCTCATCAGTGGCGCATGCAGTCACTCATGGATCCCACATCTGACTCTGAAGACGACCTTGACTACGTCCCACTAGAGGACACAGGTGATGTTGTTCTTCAACCGATGCGGAAAGTGGGCTCATTTGATGGAGATTCCTAGACATAAAACATTCCTCTGACTCTGACCAGGAACCGGCGAAGAAGCGTGCAAGAACGTCTGCAGCTCAGCTCAATGAGCTAAAGGACCACGATGTTCAATCCAAGTATGTCTTTCAGTTCTCAGACAAGACGTCATGATTAACACGGTACCAATCCAGAACGCGCGAAGCCCTGTGGGCAGAATTTCAAGACTCTCTCTCCAAGCCAGCCACAAAGCCACCCGACTCTTCACGTATAGTGAAGATTGAGAAACGGTATCGTTTCGCAGGTGAAGATGTCATGTAAGTCTTCATAGTCCATCCTCTAGATCACCTACGCGTTCTATCATCTTGAGCCCTTGGTTCACAGAGAGGTGAAAGAAGTGCCTGAGGACTCCGAAGAGGCGAAGAAGTGGCCAAAGTGGCAGCCTGCGCTGCCGGAGGCAATACAATCCTCGTCCTATACTCCAGTTGAGTCCGCAGGGCCATCCGAACTGCCTGCGCCGTCAACTGCCCAGGCTACCACGTCCGCGCAGGAGCTGAAACCAGCTGCCAAGCGTCCGGGGCCTCGGAAGCCTAAGACGAAGCTTGCTCCTCTTCCCGGCACTCAGAAGGCCAAGAAGCTCACGACGCTCGACAAGTCTTCCATGGACTGGCGATCCCACGTGCAGACCGGGGCGTCTGATCTCAAGGACGAACTAGAGGCGAATCGCCGCGGCGGTGGCTACCTCGAGAGGGTGGAATTCTTGCAAAGAGTAGAGGATAGGAAGGTAGATGCACTCGACGCCAGTAAGTCGAAGCGGCGGAGGGGGTGACTGCCCGTGTCATATTCACCATGTACTTCTATAATGTATAATTCTTGTTTCCCTCTGACCTCGTTCGCTATGTGTCATTACCCCCAGATGTCAACGCAAGGCACAAAATGTGATGCCCGTTTAGCTCAGTGGTAGAGCGCGCCACTCGTAATGGTGAGGTCGGTTGTTCAATCCAGCCAATGGGCAATTTTATCTTTTTGTTGGCTACTTATTCACTGAGCCTGAATTCGATTACGCGCGCCACAAAGGGAGGCTTTCGTCTCGTCACTTGCACAACCTTTCAGTGGCCACACGAATTACAAGAAGTCATGCCGAAGCAGGTGTCGCGCCGTAGCACGACATACACCATTTCAGAATCTTTTGTTGATGACATCGAAAATGCGGAGGGATGGAACCTGATTGTAACAATGCTCTGCGAGCACTTCAAATTGCCAGGTGCGCATATAGTCTTGTATTCGCGTCTCATGGACAGTCTCCATCTATTTTGAACACGTTTGTGAATGAGCGGGTACCACTATATGGATAATTTTATCCATAGTTTAAGTGGCACTCAATCATACCTTGTCCGCATCCGTGGAGTAAGCTGACGCTTACTGTAGACATCACTCGCCGGAGTGGACTCAAGAAAGTACATGCCCACTTCAATGAGATCTACAAGAAGCTCAACGACGTCTACACTAAAAACCTCGGCAATGATAAAATTCTGGGAGGCATTGTCGGCATTTGGGCAAAGATGTCCGCAGACTCCATTCTACGTGACAGGCTGTTCAAGGAAGGTGTGTCTGCCCCTCTCCGCACAGGATTGAATGTGGTAAGGAACCAATGCATGCAGGGCTTGTCTCGAAGATGGTACCTCTTCTCGACATGCCGTCCACGCGCCACATTGGCTTGCAGGCTCTGTCTACCGTGACCCACCATGGGGGAATAGCATCGCGCCAGGAAATTGCGAAGCTCACGCCCAAACTCTTGCAGCTCATCAATGAGTTTTCAGATGACGCCGTGGTCATGGAACTCGCAACAGTAACGATGGCACACGCCATCGGCGCTGTCGTCGGACAAGAGCAGGAACCCGACCACCGGCTGCTCGCGTCTATCGACATCCGCAGTGTATTGAAGCTGACTGTAGACAACCTCCGCAAGCCGTCCGCGTCGCACCTGATGATCAACCATGCAGTAGGACTACTCACCAGCGTCACTCTGCACTGCTACAAGGAGTGCAAAGCCATGCCGCCCCTCATTCAGTTCCTCACCGCGTGTTTGCGGAGCAGCGACCTGACGACGCGCTGTAATGCGCTAGGTGGGCTCACTCGCCTTAATGGGCTTGAGGCGGAGCCGAACAAGCAATTCTTTGACCCACGCAAGATTATGGATGCGGTGTCGCGCCGCTTCCCAGACAACCTGACGGATATCATCATGGACTACGGCATGGACCGCTGCGACACAACGCTCACGCTGCGGTCCTCGGCGGACTTCCAGCGCGCGCTGATGAAGTGTGTACAGGACCACGACCTATATGCGCTCGGGAAAACGATCGCCCAGCTCGTCGTGCGGACGGAGTTCTCTATCACGGGTGGCGCGTACCAAACCATGAACGAACAGACAGGTCAGTGGGAGATAGTCAACACGGGCCTGCCGTTCACGATGTGGGGCGACGCGCTCCCACACTGCGCGCGCGCGCTGCGCCAGAAGGGCACTAAAGAGGATTTCGACGACGCTGAAATTTGTGAGTTAAAGCATCATGTCCTGCAACAGAACATACCGGCGGCTATCAGGGCGGGGCAAGAAGTTCTTCAACGCAATCCGCAATTAGCTTATGCGCACTATGTGATCGCGTTAGGCGCGGACAACACCCAGGGTCTGAAGTCAGCCAAGAAGGGCCTGAAGTGCAAGCAGATTACGCCGTTTGTGCGTCACTACTTGCTCTGGCGCGCAGTAGAACACGCGGGAAACCTGGGCCTAGTTGTTCTGCAGCAGGCTACTGAGGGCGAGAAGGACTACGGGGAGGGAATAGCTTTCCTTGTCTCTGCGTGTGAAGACGCGAAAACGTTCATCTCCGAAGCCCCGCCGGACAATCGCCACATGGAGACCGTCCTCAACTGGTACATCATATGTTCGATCGCCATCCGCGGGCCTGAATTGAGCAATGACATGCGGGAACTTGGCGTAAGTATCCTAGAGCTACAAGGTATGGCGAAAGATCTCACGCAGACACTGGACAGGACGCGTTGGAGAAGGTAGCTCTCGCTGACCAGTTTGCCAATTTTCTCGAGCACCCGCCCAAGAAGACGCAGATGCGCCTGACACGCCAGCTCATTGTGCAGTACTACCAGACGGCGGCGAAGAACTGGGGCAGCGTCGTCGAGCGCTTTGACAGGATGGATCTGTCTTCCGAGAGCTGTAGCATCCCCTCGCCGAGCAAGGCAGAGGATGATCTCGCGGCGTGGCTCGATGACCTGCACTTCGATGACGACGAACACGAGCATGCGCAGCGGTGCGCCCATCCGAAGATTAGTATAAACTCAGTCTCGCTATACCGCTGTTCGCACTGCGGGAACCCAAGTGCCGTGCTAAGAAAGTGCGGTGGCTGCGGTAAAACGAGGCACGTCCTTCTCCTGGGAGCTGATGCACATTCTTATAACCATGTCTTAGGTACTGCGACCAAGGCTGTCAAAAATCACATTGGAGCGAACATAAACGTGTCTGCAAGCCGAAGACATCGTGAAGACTCCGTATGTATATTCAACGCAATCATTGCACTGTTAACTGCATCTTGACGCCGCATCCGGCCCAACTGACTATATCCACGGACTGTAACACATCTCGTCATTCAATCTTGCACGAAAATCATCCTCTTACTATTACCTGCTTCTACATATCATCACAAACATGCTTTTGTACAGTACACGATTCAAGTATACATCTCACAGGCAGTCGCAAGGCTCTTGAAAATAGTACAATGGTATATTGGCCGCATTAGTGCATACAAATAGTACATATTGTGTCTAACAAGCCCGCGGCCGGGACGCCATAAATTAGGTATACGATACAGCAATGTCCGACTCTAGGAGCCCACCACCTGTGCATCGGGCTCGCAGGCACTAGAACTGTTCGTCTCAGCCCACACAATGGCAAGTACATACATATCGCGGCAAGAAACAGGGGGCCCTGTCATATGCGCTCATACATACATATATACGCCTTCGCTTTGAGCACCTCCTCGAGCGTCGTGAGGCGCACTACAGTGTCGCTGATGTAGGCCCACTGTCTGTGCGGCTTCGGAGGCTTGACCACGCCTTCAGCAATTTCAATAGAGGGTTTATGAGCGCTAGGCGTATCAGAACCTGACGAACCCCCTGGCTTTGAACTGCCTGCTAGTGGGTGCGAAGGGGGCAAGGCGGTGTATGCGACGTAGTGGCCACCCAGCTGCAAGCTACTCTTAGCATAATGTTATTCGCGGAGCGAATAAACACTCACCATATTGCCGATGTGGACCACAACTGCATACAAACGATACATACACCGGGCATCCTTGCCCGCTTCCTTAGCCTCGGCCCTCGTCGCCTTGTCATCAAGTCCAAAATCCTCTCTGCGCGGCGCAAGATACGGAGCAACATCGAGATATTCGGGGAACGAGACAAACTCGTCGAGCTTCTTCACGCCGCCCGTGAACGTGACGGTATGCGTCCGGCCTGTCTGCTGGAAGCGTTTCAGGTGAACCACGAGAATTGGAGGAGGGTCCGCAATTAGATAGCGTTTGTACATCCGACGGAGGATGACTTGTCTGGAGCGCGACACCTTCGCGGATGAGGGATCGGACGGGGCTAGCTTCGGTCGCTTTTCTGTCGGCCCAACAGTCTGCACGTTCTCCACAGACGCTCTCGGTGAAGCGACAGGAGAGGCTGCGGCCGACGCAACAGATGAACCTCCCGAGTAGACGGACGTGCTACCTGAGACATCGCTGTCGGAGTCATACTCGTCATCGGAGCTATCACTCTTCATATCCTCTGCGCCCGTGCCGGCCTTCGAACGACGTTTCGGCTTCGGTGTGAGTAGTGAGTCGTCTGAAGGCGAGACGCCCAGTGGGCTGTCCGACCTCCGGTCTGAAGATTCTTCACCAGTCTTGTCGATGGGCGAGCGTCGAGACGTCGCAACTGGGGATTCGGGCCCTGTCGTCGAAATCGAGGGGATGGGTAGACCGCCATAGGTCGTGGGGCGGGTCGGCGACACTAATGGCGGATAACTCGCCTTCTCAATCGTGGCTGTCACAGAGCCCATAGTGGTCGGTGCTGTCATCGACGTCGCATCAGACATGGTGTCCGAGAAGGATGTTACACTCCGGATGGCAGGAGTGGACGCAGGCGAGATATACCCGTTTGCGTCTGGCGACGAGGACAAAGTCTCACTAGAAGGGCTCATAGGCGGCTCCCGCACGGCTTCAGGAAGCTTGTCTCCTAGAACTTGGTCCGAGGGGCTGCTTGCTGTTCCCTCCCCATTGCTACCGGCGTCGTCGTCATCATCATCATCAGCAACCACACCCTGTCTTTCGGGCTTGTACTTCCCGTGCGCGATCTTCCAGCACCTGTGACATCCAACCATGTTCTCGCCATCCAGTATCTCGACGGATGTGAACATGCGGAGGCATTCCTCGATACCCGGGAGGTGTCCCAGCTTTGCCCATGCAGCCTGCGCAGCAGCAGCGGGCGGCGTGCCGTGCGTAGCATCCGAGATCACATGGTGCAGGACGGAGAACGGGTTTGCGTTGGACGCATGCACGTCTGCCAGCAGCTGTCGTAGGTATGCTTGTTCTTGACGCGAAGGCTTAGGTGCGTGCGGGGGCTTCTTCCTGCCACCAAACGTCGTCCCGGGCTTGACCTCTGGCCGTGTCGGCGCGCTTATAGGCGGATTGGCGAGAGGTGAGGTTATAATAGGCAGAGGCGACGATGTGCTTCGCAACCTGGAGACATCTGGATCGCTCATATCAGACCCACTATCCTGGGCCTGCGCGGCAGTGATCTGTGTTCGCGGATGAGATTCCCGCTCACTATCCTTGGAGGTACGCGCCTCGTCACGGTCTTTGGGTTGTCCCTTCCGTCCCCTCTCAACAGACCGAGTCGGGCTACCAGGGTCCAACGCCTTCATCCCTTTCTTGACCGACACACTCAGGCGCCGTCCGAAACGCCCCCAAGGGTCGACTTTGTCCTTGTCCTTCCTCCTGGCCTTTCCTTTTTCATGACCAGCTTCATCATCAGCGCTACCTCTCTCCTTGCCCATTCCCTCAAGACCCTCGCTCCCTTCTGGGCTCACCTCCTGGTCCTCAACCGCCGTTGACAGCCGTGGAGATGTTTGCCTCGTCATCCCCTCAACGACGTCACGCACTTCGTTCATCTCTGCTTCAGCCTCTCCGCCCTCCGCGACGTGGTCGAAACTCTTCCGTCGAGGGCCCTCGTTCACTGGTGGCTCTTCTTCATGCGGTTCAGTCTCAAGGCTTCGCCGGGCGCGGTCCGCAGGCACAGAAGACGAGCGCTGTGTGCTTCCGCTTGCAGGACGAAACGGACCACGCAGCTTACGTGCGAAGCGCTTGAAGCGGTCCCGCTTCCGACCCTTGGCGTAGTCTTCAGGTTTTATGCTGAGACTCAGGTCATTGAACTCCTCATATGTCAGCGAGACCTTCTTGCACTTCTCGCACACCAGGATGCTCGCAAGGTGGCCACCGAAGATCATATCCACGAATGACACAAGTTGCTCTTCTGGCGCAGAGGGCGGGCCGTTTGTGGACGAAGAACCGTCCGCGGTGCTCGTTGATGCAACTGGGGAGTCTGACTTGCGGTGCTTACGACCGCGTTTGCGTGACTCCTTGGGCGGGGGCGGCTGGCGTTGTTTGATTATCTGTACAGTGCATGTGAAATTAGTTCGGTGACGATCACTATGCTTGGAGCGACATACATCCTGCTCTTCCATGCGCATGGCGTCCAGCATGTGTCGCAGGAATTCATGTGCGTCTTGCTGCCGGAAGTCTAGATACTGATCGTACTTGCGCCCCATGGTGAAGAGCAGCTCCCTGTAAGATCAGTCCGTTGAGTACTGAGTGGTCCCTACAGACCAACGTCACTCACTTTGGACTCATGGTTTCCCTCCGATGACTCTGCTGAATGTCCCAGGCTTTCCGCATGACGTCAACGAACACGTCGCCCAATGGCATCTCATCGACTCGTTGATGCTCGAACTGACCGGCCAGCCCGTGCCCGTTCGTGAGCTGCGGCGATCGGTGCGCAATGATTGACCCTCCGAACTTGCTCTCGACGGACGGAGGGATGGGCTCAAAGAATACGAGATTGTGTAGGAGCTCTGTCGCCATGAGCTTCAAAGTGAAGAGCCTGAGGTTGGATGTACGGAGATGACCACGCAATGCTACTCACCCCCTGCAACGTCGAGTTCATAAAGCAGGTATTCCCATGGTTTATGAGACCTGGTGGCAAGTTTGCCTCCTTCTCCTCTTCCTCGCGCTGCTTGCGCGCCTTGTAGAGGTCCTGCGGAGTCGGCTGATGCTTCCTCTTGATCATGGTGTGAAGGTAGAGTGGGATCTGCGCGAGCGATGGCAGTACACAGCTGTAAAAGTGGTTCTAAGGAGCGGCAGCCTGCGGACGTCAATGCCGCAGCACTTCTATAAGGTCGAAGCTCAGACCGAGAACGCGAGAAGGTGGGTGCCGGATGAGATCCTTGCCTGAGGCTGAGCAAGCCGACGCCAAGGTGAATTGTCGAGCAAGGAACCACCCCGCAGAGGATCGATAGGGTATGACCTCGTCAGCGGCCAGAGAAGCCGCGTAATGAGCCCTCAGGAACAGGAAGGGAAAACAAAACTCAGAGTTAGAGCGGACCGGTACTTCGGTTGAGCTGTCTCCTGAAGACGAGCATGTGCTTACATAATCCGCAAGAGCGTTCACTCAAGTAAGTCAAATACTTCTTAGAATACTATAGACAGGACCGGAGCAGGTGAGAAGATGACGGAGGACAAGTGTATTATTTGCGCTCTGGCTGATATCATACAGGAGGAGATGTGAGATTCGTCCTTAACTTCCCGCATACAGTGAGAACGCACCGTGGGACTGACAAGTCCGAATCGGGATGCCGCGATGGTGTGCCAGTGCGGACACGGTCTTGTATGTAGGATACGAGGCTGGAAGATGAGACAATAGTACTTGAGGGTAGGGTGGGATCCCGATGAGGTACAGGCAATCCACCAGTCACCCAGGCGAGGTCATGAGTGGAGGGAGGAAAAAAGGACACAAGTCTGTCGACATCTAGGCCCAGTATTTATACCAAGGTATTGACTGGCGAAGAAGCGGAAACACGAGATTCCAATGCAGATCGCTAGTGAAGGGTTGCCCTCGAGATCCGAAAAAGGAAGGCAGACTACTGTAAAGGGTTGGGCAATGCGTCATAGCCGTTCTTCGTGCGTGTGCCATGACGACATTGATGATCAAAGCTGAAATGTAAGTGTACCTAGACGGAAGTGCAAGCCACAATCAAATCGGGAAGGCACGTTTCCATAATGGGCCCAACCAAACCGCAACTGAGACTTGAGAATATTTAACAAGCGTTGTCTTGACGTATCAGAACCTCTACAATTACCGCTACAGTACAGAGCACAAGCTACAGATTATGAGTGTGTATGCCAAGTATCACAATTTGCGTAGCAACTCCTCGAACCTCTTCAGTACGACGGTGTTCTCCTCCTCGCTGCCCACCGTAATCCGGAGACACCCAGCACACCCGGGTTCGCTCCCGCGGTATCGGACCACAACACCCTCCTCTTCGGCAAGCGTCTTGTATATCCGCTGCGCCCGCACATTGTCCGGCCGCCCGTTCCCATTCTTTTCCAGCACAGGGATCATCACGAAGTTTGCGTGATTGCCGCCAACCGCGGGCCCGATCCCGAGTGGCTGCAGTTTCTCGAGCGCCGAGAGCAGCGCGCTACGCTGTGAGATCAGCTGCGAGATCTTCGCACTCATGGTGGCGACGGCGGGCGGCGAGAGTGCAGAAAGTGCAAGTGATGCGGTCGGGGTGGAAATATTGTACGGCGCCTTGGTGTTCATGAGGATCTGCACAAGTGCCGGATGGGCAAACGCCATCCCCAAGCTGCGATGTCAGGTTTAGCAATTGTTGATTGTTAACTTTATCCGCACTAATTAAGCACTCACCGGATGGCAGCCAGCCCAAAGCTTTTGCTCAGCGTCTGCATCACGCAGAGGTTTGCGAATTCCTTCACTAGCGATACTGCGCTTGCGTCGGCACCCGCGAAATCAATGTACGCCTCATCCACCACGACGATGCCCTTGAACTTCTCGTATTCGAGCAGTTGCCGCAGCGCAGACAGCGAGATGAGTGTGCCGGTAGGGTTCCCAGGTGAGCACAGCATTATAAGCTTAATCGACGGGTCCACAGCGACCGTCTTCTTGATCTGCGATCCACAGTGAGCACTTCGCATGCCGTCACGGAAGAGCTACGCCTCACACCTCCTCGACCTTCAGCGAGAACCGGCCCTTCTCGCCGCCCTCGCCGCCCTCGTTCCCAAGCTCGAGCGGGACCTTCACCACGCCCACATCGTTCACCTGCGCGCACACCGCGTACATCCCGTACGTCGGCGGGGTCGTCAGGATCTTCTCGCGCCCCGGCGCGACGCAGACGCGCATGAGGAGGTCGATCACCTCGTCCGAACCGACGCCCAGGAAGACGTAGTCCGGGCCAGGCAGGCCGCGCATGGCCGCAAGCCGCTCGCGGATGGGGTCGTTCCGCGGGGACGGGTACCGGTGCAGGTCGAGATCGAGCGTTGCCTGCAGCTCGGGCTCGAGGTCCGGCGCGGCCGCTTGCTTCGCGGACCCGTTTCCGTTTATACGGGGGATAGAGTGCCCAAGGGCATTCTCGTTGGCGTCCAGAAGGATCCCCTCTGAATAGTCGTCTCGAGCGCACCGGTATGGGTGCAGAGTAAGGATGTTGGGCCGGATGACATTCTCGATGTCGAAGTGAGCGGGGTGCTTTGGGTATTGTGTGGGATCAAGTCCGAGAATCGTCATTTCGAGAGATCGCAGTGTGTGCTGTAGAATGTATGATGCCCAGGAGGGCAGAGGAACAGCACAAATGACTTTGCGGCGGGGACAGTGACTCGAGTACGAGAAAGAATGGCTAGATTAGATTAGATGCCTCTCGAAAGGGTAGCCACTAGGGCTGATCAAATTCACCGATGGATGAATTCGAGTCACCCCAACACGGTTGAGCATGGACGAAGACTTGCCGGCTAGCATCGTGCTCGTCGCACAGCTTGAGGGTGAGTCTGTGAGGCCTCCGAGGATGGATCGGACTGAGGAACTTCACAGGACACGATGACTGCGCATGGCACGTCGCATGGAACCCCGCTAAACCCATCTTAGCGTCGTGTTCAGCGGACAAAACCGTTCGGCTGTACAACTACCATTCTACTGTCCCACCGGACGCCGGTGAAAACACTGACAAGCCAACGATAGGCTTCTCCCATACCACCACGATCCCAACTGGCCATACTAAGACCGTCCGAGCGGTCGCCTGGTCTCCTTCCGGCACAACGCTCGCCACCGCTTCGTTTGATTCGAACATTGGCATCTGGGCCCAGGAGGAAGAAAACGGCGGTGATAGCGGCGATGCTGCAGTGGGTGCGGGGGAGTGGGAATGTATGAGCTTGCTGGAGGGCCATGAGACCGAATGCAAGAGCGTAGCCTACTCTAGCTCGGGCAATCTACTCGCGAGCTGCAGTCGAGACAAAACTGTTTGGGTATGGGAAGGTAAGCGATTGATCATTTGCTGAGCAGGAACATGGATATTTAGTCTTGATGCAGTTCACCCCGACTCTGACTTCGAGTGCATGGGCGTGCTCATGGAGCACTCGCAAGACGTCAAGTGCGTGGTATGGCACCCCACCGAAGAGGTCCGTGTCCATCATTTTCACACCCTTCCGCCGTCCCCCTTACCACCCATCCTTATACCAGCGTAGATCCTCGCCTCCGCTTCCTACGACGACACCATAAAACTCTATGTCGACGATCCCTCGGAAGACTGGTTCTGCTTCCAGACGCTCACAGGGCACAGTTCCACTGTCTGGACCCTCGCGTTTTCCCCAAATGGCCGCTTTCTCGCGTCGGGCTCGGACGACAACACCATACGCATATGGGAGCGTGTACAGAACCACAAATGGGAGTGCGTCTCGATCCTGAAGGGCCACAAACGGAGTGTCTACTCTGTGAGTTGGGGGAAGGGGAAATCCACGGGCGATGATGAGCTCGGCTGGCTCGCGAGCACCGGTGGCGACGGGACGATCTTCGTATGGAAGATGAGCGTGAGTCTGGTTCCTGCCCTCAATACATTCCATACACGCATTGACCATCGCTCGTCGTCGCAGGCAACTCCTTCGTCGGCTGAATCTGGAAAGAGCACCGTTTCCCACCAGTTGATTGCACAGCTATCGTCAGCACACGGTGTCTCTGATGTGAACACCATCGTATGGTGCCCACGATCCGGCTTCGAAGATGTCTTGGCCACCGCAGGCGATGACGGGTTCGTCAAGGTCTGGAAGGTGGGACCACGGTAGCGAACGACACACAGGCTGCGCCATTACTGGAGCAGGAATATGGTCATGGAACCAAATTTGTATCGGTATGTACGACAATGATGTCAATTCATGTATAGTGATACACATGATTCATCCAGTGTAGAGCCTAGTCCAATTCAGCATATTCCATTACATGTTTTCTTAGGCTGTCTGAAACTCATTTCTTCAACGCATCGGTGGGCGCTGCTGGCTCGAGCGGGCGGGCGTTGTCGTCGATTGTGTACGCGTTGTTTCCCCCTCTGCCGGCACGGCGTGCCTCGTGCTCTATAGGCTCCTTTGATCGTCTCGATCGTGATGACTAGGCCAGACCATGACCCGTCGGAGAAAGTTCGGATGCTGTCCTTCGTGCCTGACGTCAATAGAGTACTTTGTCCTGGCCATACCTCGGCAGTTCCCTCACACAGCGGACCGGTGACTGCATCTCGTGCTCGTCGGGGCGCGCATCGATGTGTCGAGCTCAGGGCAACGGGTACCATATATATAGACTTGCAACGCCATGGAAAGTGGACACAACGCTGTAGCAGACACCAGAAACTTAGTGAACCGGCAATGGAGAAATTCCCAAGTGACTTTGTCTGGGGTTATGCAACAGGTGCGTCCACCTGGCTATGGGAATTTCACCTGGGAGCGCATGTCTACATTTTTGTAACGACGGGTTCCTGGATTCACAACCTTCTGACGCGGCGCTGCACGACAGCCAGCTACCAGATAGAAGGAGCGGCAAACGAAGGCGGTCGCGGGCCCTCCATCTGGGACACATTTTGCAAGGTCCCCGGAAACATCCGTGACGGCTCGAATGGCGACATCGCTACCGACTCATACCACCGGTACAAAGAGGACGTGGCGCTTCTGAAATCATACGGTGTCAGGGCGTACCGGTTTTCTCTTTCCTGGTCTAGGATTATCCCGCTGGGAGGCAGACAGGACCCCGTCAATCAAGAGGGCGTTGCATTCTACAGAAGCTTAATTGAGGAGCTGCTGAAGAATGATATCACACCCTATGTTGTGAGTCGCCCCAGAAACAAGAAGCCTAAGGGAGATTAATTGTGCCTTTGAGACGCTATATCACTGGGATTTACCGCAGGGTCTCCATGATAGGTATGGAGGATGGCTCAACAAGGAAGAGATTGTCCAGGACTATGTGAACTATGCGAAGGTATGATGCGTTGGCACCTTCTTGGCTCCTAGGATGTGCCTTGACCATGAAACGCCCAGATCTGTTTCACTGCGTTCGGGGATCTTGTGCAAAACTGGTATTGTCTCAAGGATTACTTTACGGCATCTGTTTATTCTGACGAGTCCGGTATGTCAGGATCACACACAACGAGCCGTGGTGTGTATCGTGCTTAGGTTACCAGAAGGGCGTGTTTGCTCCCGGACACAAGAGCAACACAGAGCCTTGGATGTACGTAATAACCCAATCACTGATCACCATTACGAACCCTAAAAGTGTTATTATCCTCAAATGTATAGTGTAGCGCACAACCTAATTCTGGCTCATGCGTTCACCGTAAAGCTGTACAGAGACGACTTCAAGGCCGTACAGAAGGGCCAAATCGGAATCACGCTAGACTTCCATTGGCCTATTCCCTATGATGAAACTCCAGAAAGTATGACAAGTTTTTTAAAAAAGAAGGAAGAAGACTTGACAGTGCATTCCAGATGTCGAAGCAGTCAAGCGCGCGACAGACTTCAAACTTGGTGAGTACCTCAAAGCACAAGGAAGTTAGTACCTCATCATGTGCCGACGGCATGCAATAGGGAGATTTGCGGTAGGTGTAGTATCAACATACATCATATGCATTTCCACATGCCGGAAATAGGATCCAATATACAAGGGATACTACCCAGCTCGCGTCAAAGCGGTGATCGGTGACCGTCTCCCTGAATTCACCGCTGAGGAACTCGCCGTTGTCAAAGGCTCTTCCGACTTCTTCGGATTCAACACTTACACTTCGCAGATCATTCGTACGTCTAGTTTACCAATGTCATCGGCGTGCCACCAATTACTGATACAAATAGAGGACGGCGGAGATGACGAGACGAACGGATATGTCAAGGTCGGGCACACCCGCGCCGACGGTACTCAACTTGGTACCGAAGGTTGTATCGCTTATTGTATATCCTTCGATCTGGCTTACTGATCTGTCGGATATCAAGCTCATTGTTCATGGCTTCAGTCTTGTAAGTCAACCGCTTTGCAATTGACTCGTGCTGCTAAAGTATGTGCAACTGTCAGATCCGCCCGGCTTCCGATCGGTGTGTTATATGTTAGCATGCACGAGTTAGCTGACAACGTAGTCCACGACAGCTCTTGAACTACCTATGGAAGGTCAGTTCTCATCGACAAGGATCCGTGAAATCATGAGATGCTGACTGACGTTTCACCAAGACATACGAGAAACCGATTTAGTGGGCTTGCATTCCCATGTCCACCCTATGTCTTCTGACATACATCTTGACAAATCAGTGTCACCGAGAATGGGTTCGCTGTCAAGAACGAGAACGTCCTCCCACTTGAGGGTGTCGTACTCGACACCGACAGGATCGATTACTTTGATGGGTACGCAAACGCAATGTTGCAAGCGGTGGTCGAGGATGGCGTTCCTGTGAAAGGTTACTTCGGCTGGAGTAAGTCTCCGATTTCCAATCGCGCTTCTATCACCCTGACTAGGTGCCTTAAGGTCTTCTCGACAACTTTGAGTGGTGGGTTCGCGATGTATACTCACACGTGTGACGTCTGATCTATGTTGGACAGGGCCGATGGATATGAGACACGGTTTGGTGTCACGTACGTTGACTACAAGACACAGAAGAGGACTCCCAAGCAGTCATCGCAGTTCCTGAAAAAGGTATGTGTTGCGCATCCTGTTTTCGTACCGCTGGACCCACATACGTTTATCTCTTTACAGTGGTTTCCAGAGCACATTGCTGCATAGTTTGACGATCATCAGTCCGTAAAATAGGTCTATGCTCACGTTACATGTGTCTTCTATGGACTTTCCAGATAGGAAATGCGGATCGCTCAGTAGTGGTGTCCTTCTTCTTTGTCCTGCTCTGGGGTTCGTCCAAGCTGTATATTTGCTACTTAAGAGCCTGCCGACGAAGGAAAGAATCATTATAGTACAGGCGCAAGCGGCATACTTTCTCATAGTATTGTTCAGGACCCAAAGCGCTACTTTGGGCCGCACTTTTGGCCACCGGGCCTGGCTTCATAGTCAATCCAGGCCTGCATACTATGCTCTGTGGCCTCTTGGAGGACTTTCGATGACTTGTGTTGAGCCATAATACACCTCAGCCAAGCAGGGTCCGGCGGGCTTGGGCCTCAAAGCCCGATTGTGAACATCACTACTTTCTCATTCCCGACAGTGATTGGTAGAGGTAACAAGTTACTCTCCGGCCCTTTGTCTGGCCGGCATAATGTGTGCGTGTTTGTATATTCCTATGCACCCATCATTGAATCCCTGCTGATTTACCAATGACGTTTCAAGATCCGAAATACGGGTGTCGGATCTTCCATTTGCGTTTGTGCGGCTGAACAGTCACCCTGCTTCCCCTCACCACGTTCGCCAGTGTCTCAGGATGCTTCTGCTGCGTCCCGATAATCCGGTTGGATCAACATCCTCCGGTAAGACCACTGCAGTCGGAACGCTCGGGTGGCGTGACTGCGCGCGAAGGTACAGTGCATCCCATGCTCTCGAAGCATGGTCTTATTGAAGTGTCTGTCGCGTGTCTTATCACCGGTTGTGTATTATTGTCTGGAAGGAGACCTTATCAGCGGTGTGCAGTGGCCTTTTGAGGGGTACGCTCGCCGTGTCATTTAGGCCGCAGGTCATGGCAATAATAACGGGTAGTCTGTCATTCAAAAGAACATTCTATGGATACACAGTTAGACTGTACGATATAGGCTGTTGTCATCAATAAACTCGACACAGAGGAGGGAAAAACAAAAGGTGATGTTAGGTGCAGAACGACCTGCGCGACCAAAAAATAGTGTTAGAAATAAAATTAGGCTCTCTTGCAGGCAATCTCCCGCTTGTGGCGAGCTAGAGTGTCACCTCTAGCAAACGATCCACCACAATCAGGGCAGATTTGTCTCAAGGCCTTTAGGTGAACCTCGGCGATATGTTTCCCCATATTCTCGTACTTGATCGGGTCGTGGCTGCGGCAGTTGGGGTCCCAGAGACAACGACCTCGCTGGCTATTGACCCATGGGTTGTCGCGAGTGTTGAAGTGGTACTCCTTAAGGTGCCTATTGATTCCAGCGGCAGATGTATCGTCCAATTCTTGGCCGCAGCGACCACCCCAGGTGCATCGTGTGCGCGTAGTGGATATGGGGAAAACTACGGCTTGTGGAGGGTCCACAGGGTGACCTTGATCGTAGCTCTGGGAGTAGTACTGATGACTTGCATCAAGTGGGCTGACAGAAGTAGTTAAGCTACCAGCTGACTTGGGAGACGCGGCACTTACATGCTCTGGTCGGCAGCGTAGCCCGTGTACTGTCGATACTGGTTCTGTTGCAAAAGTCTGTTCGGATGAATGAGTAAATTACAAATTGAGCAACAGAGGAAGCGACTAACCCCATGCTGTCTGCTGCAGTATATCCGGAGGCGTAGGGTTGTTGATGGGAGATATTTTGAGAATCTGACCCGTCCATAGAATAACTTCGCAAAAAGTATGCTCAGTTACGTAGGGACTGCGAGACGAACGTGGGCACTCACAATACCCAGTTTCCGTTAATGTCCTGATACATGTGGCCGTGAATGGTTGGTATGTGATTTTCCCGGTTCGATGCAGGGTAGGAAGAGCCGCGTTGAGTACCGCTCTGGCCCTGGGAAGGCTGATAGCCATAGGGATTGTAGGACATGGCGGATGTGACTAGGGACCGTTGGTGAAGCGACTCGAAGGAGAGGGAATATCAACACAGAACGTCGTTGCGGTTCAGCGGAGATACCAGATCATTATATAGGATTGGGTCTTATACGGAGTGCCAGAAGACAAACTCGAAGTCCTGCCACCTATGCAGTGTATGGCACCAACCATATGGAAGGTGGTTGTCGCCCAATGAATGTTGGCTACGGCAATTTCCACGGGGCGGACACCCTGTTCGGAGTGCAGAGACACTCTCCCCATATTCCAGCCGTCCGGCCATCATAACATTCATGAATGTTTGCCTGCTCTCGCTGGATAACACAGGCGCGCGAACAGTTCCGACCGTCCAAGTTGTGCTGGCGTCTACTCGTGGACAGTGGAACAGTCCGCGCGGACAAGGACAACAAGAGCTTGTCGTAATAGATCCATTCCGCTGCTGTAAGCATTCCTCATGAAACACTGCTCGGTCACATAGGCTGATTACAGCTCCTACGTGTGTATATCGGCAGTCACAATTGAGTGGCTTTCGTGTGCACGTCAACAATCAGCATAGCCTGCCAGCCGGTGGTTCAGGAACACGGATACTGTATGCCACCGCCCATAGCGGTGCTCACGACGCCCTGCGCATAATCATGAGGCACCCCGCGCGTGAATTGTGATGGAATATCTACTCAGCGGCTTTTGGAGGATGTCATGTGCTCAACCTACTTGCTACGAGAAGCATGCAAAATTGTTTCGCTTGTAATCACACCTTCAGGCTGTCCGGCTACTCTTGGGATTGGTAGGGATGTAGATGTCGGGCGGCCTCGAAACACTTTGGCATCGCGGCTGCGCTATTCCGCGCGGGAACCGTACGTTTGATAGCGAGAGGCATAGCATTCACCGCATGACAATCGTCAACGATTCTGGCCTAAGAAGCTCTAGCGACTTTGAAGAGCAAATTTTTGCCACTCCAAGAACTTTGACCGTCACGTCGTGATTGCCCGAGTTGAGCGCTAGCAGGAAATTTAACAGAATGACTAATTCCTCGTTTAATGAAAAGCGTCCGGAATAGGATCACCGCACCAAGGCGTCGGGGCCACATGTGTATACATCGCCTCCGAATCTGTCATCGAGCGCATCGAACTACTGTCTTCAATTCTAATAAGTTGTCCGTTCAAATTGATGAGCATGATAGCCCCGAGAAGATCGTCCCGTTGCGACTACGCGCAACGAATTGCATCTTCGTGCATTAAACAGTGTAAACGTACCTATGCGGGCACCAGTGGCGGTTTATGGGTCTGACACACATATGCACACCGCCACCAGTATTCCAAATTCCGGGCCTCATACAACACGGCGAGGATGAAGTGCTAGACGGATCAAGACATAGGGCGGTCCTAATCGATGACGTCCCGGACACCTGGATTGTTGAGTATGTGTTCGAGAGAATAACATGGCTCGGTACAGAACACCAAACCGAGTGAGATACTCTAGCCGTTTGCAAAACGATAGGTTGGGTTTGAGATCTCAACTCTCAGACGGCCATCGGAGAGCACAGGAAGTTTGACTGGTGATAAGGATGCTCGGAGCGCCCGCCTTTTTTTGGTAAGTATTTCCACTGGCTGATTCCGCACCCACCGGCGATCGACTGCGGCACGGCAAGCTCTGACCGCAAGCCTCTTAGTAACTCATGGGTATGCAAATGACAAGTGCTGTGGCTTGATGCAAATTTGCATGATTCTGAGATATACACAGCCGAGATTGTCTGCGAGTGACAGATACTAGCGATGAGTATACGAGTTGACTCTAGTATAACCCTAACAAGGCTATTTTTCTCTGATACATGTGTTCTCCAGTAGAATGCGAGCCGATCAAGTTGCGCACGATAATGTTGGCCGGGTCGCGTCGATTGCAAGTGGCTGAGGGATTGATCGGGGTTGAAAGTACCCACCAATCAAGGTGGGCATGAACACTTACAAACCCACATGCAGGATCCATACACCTTTACAACAGGGGAAGGGGTGGTGAGACCAAATCTAGTGGTTTTCGTAACAGCGCTGTTTCTTGTACAATGCCAGAGCAGCGCCGGACGTAGAGAACTGGACACAGTTTATTATCTCATCAACATTGCAATATCAGCGCAACGTGTTGACGTAACAGGCCCAAGGCGAGTATACAAGGATGCTCAGACTGAAACAAGTTAAAGCCGCCCAATAAAACACATTACAAAACCACGACTATATGCCGCGGAGCCACGCGTGCAATTGCAAAATAAGATCGCTTCCCCTCGCACTACCGACGGGTCCCTGGACACGTACAAGTACACACTGTCAGGGCAAAGATCTGATAATTGAATGTGCGATCATCGCCGCCGTTCGCTTCTGTGGCTTGCATCGGCGGCAGACCTGTATCTACGCAGCACGGGCTGTGTTCTTGCTGGCGGACACTAAATTCACTGAAAGCATGTAAAGAGCGACGTGCAACGTCAACGTTGACAAGTATTTCTGGGAATGAGGTCGGAGAACGATTGTGTCTCCGCCTCCTATTGCCCCATATCGCAATGTGACGATGGGTCTTAAACATGCCGAGGCCGGCCCGGGGGTTGTGTGATTCAAGACACGCCACGGTATGTATCGTCAAACGTCTATTGATGAACTCATACTTGAATTTGCATAGCCAAACACTGCATTTCGACAGACATCCGTGGGAATAGTCATACACGATCACAACAAGACAGGAACCGGTGCATACATCAAAGGTCGTGACATGAGGACAGACACGATCTGCAAGCGAATTTGGATAATCAGGGTCAGATATGCGTAGCCGGGACAGGCGGTCAACCTACCAGCAGTCATCGAAGGGAGGACACTGCGGGCGTTGCGAGCAATAATTCTTGATGTGTCGTTCGAGTGAATCGCGCCGACCTAGTTCATGTTGGCAATACGGGCAACGTGCTGCAGTACTGCGAAGGTGTACGGATGCGATATGTTTGGCGAAGCTCGCATAGTTCATGTCTCTACGACATTCGCCGTCCCAATCCCACCACTCGCACAACCCGCGGTTCTTATTATGCCAGGGGTTCGCGCCAGAGAGATCATCGAAATGGTACTCCTTTAGGTGGCGGGCGATACCCGAAGGTTCTAGGTCGTCGAGAACAAGGCCGCATTGGCGCCATCTGCACAGTATATGGTTGCTTGTGGGTTTAGGCTGTGGCACGTGGGGTGGACTGACAAGGGTGGCTGGTGGCGGATGATAAGAATATGTCTGCACCGGCAGCGTCTCCTGGACGTGTCCGGATGCCATCGCGGGATATCCTTGCGCAATGGTTGGATAATTCTGAGTTATCTGGGGCGCAAAGTTGACATTCGACGCTGCTGGTATTGCGTAATGACTGTGCTGCATCGTAGATTGCTGCGCTGCGAATGTGGGAGGCGCCTGTGCATATTGATTCTGGAGAGATGCCTCATTGTACCTAGCGAATCCGAGGCTACGTGAAAATTTATGCATTCAATACTAATGGAAGCACTTGCGGGTAAGTATCAGCGACGATCGCTGAAGTGAATTGAGGATACTGGACGCGGTGGTCAATGTTCCCATGGGAGAAATGATCCTGGCTGTAAGACGCGATCAGGTGTGAGATTACCGATGGTCGGAGGACGCGACACTAACTTGTACATTGCGGGTGTCGTGTTAACTCGATTCGAATTGTGGATCGAGCTAGATGGAACATCCCCGCCATCGACGCGACTGTAACCCCATGCCCCGCCCTCGCCATCGTGACTTTCCGCCATGATCAGGAGTGTTTTTGACAGTGCTGTTACCGGCTGACGGCTGACGGCTGTACACAGAAGCGATGGGACGTCGGAGCAAGGAAGACCGGAGAACACTACTCGTGCTGGTGAGAGCAAGAGAGAAAACAGTGCAAGCGCTTTGTAACGGCGCCCATGGCCAGCTAGTGCGCTATTTACCAGGGCGGCAGTGCCGGCTATGGCACCATCCCCTTTTGTACCGAATCAGATGCTCCAGACTTGGCGGTAGCTCACACAGCTAGAGACCGGCTTGAAGCAGTCAGGCTGAGCAGCGAGGATATGTAAAAGAAGCGTGCAAGTTAAACCGCAGCCGTTTGTGTCGCTGCAAGCGAGTTCCATGGGAATTCCCCGGGGGGTAGCGCTCTAGGCCAGCGGTCAGCGCTTAAGCTCTATCGGGCTATCTTGCAGCACGAATCTGGAGATGCGCCAATCGCATCACGCTCGCGGATGCATCTCAGGGATGTGATCATCCGCTTTATAACGACATAGTCAATGCAGATAACATGTCAGAAAAAAAAGCAAGGGACGACAGCGGAGCGTCCATTGCCACTGTGGTCGTGATCGAGTCACAGCAGTTGAGATGTCACTTGCCACTGGTAATAAGTGGCGAGCTCGCGAGAAGGGGACCATCGAGGATAACAGCCGCCAGAACGGTCAACGACTTCCGAGAGAATGTCCGTCTATGGTTCCGGTGGCCACTTGCCCATGTGATTTGCAATGCGAACGGACAAAGCCGTGTTTTTTTTTTCACCGTGCCTCCGCACGGCAAACATTGAAGATCTGTCATTCTTTGCCGCTGCAATAGATGAATGTCGCGTTAATTGAGCGCCCACCTGGGAATAACCTTGGTAACGTATAGAACGAGGAAGCATGTTTATCCATGATTGTAACGGAGAAACAACTTACCGACCCAGCCTGAGCATCTGGCAACAGGCACTGGAACTCATGGTCGTGAAATGTCAGACAACCGGCAGCAATGCAAGCTCCGGCTGACAGTTCGAGGGCTTAACTTCTGCTAATGGGTCCGTCAATACCAACATTCCAATAAGCTGTCCTACACGCAGGAGCGGCTGAGGGGGATTGGCTTCGCCGGAGGTAGGCAAAGTCCTTGACAGTATCTTTGGGAGATTTTACACCAAGTGTCCCGATCTTGCTCTACAGGAGTGTATCAACGATAGAAGTACGTTCACACGATTACTCATGAACTCACCGTGTCGCTTGCATGGAGAAGAAACAAATGACTGTCAGTGATTATTGTTACAGACTGAGGTACATGAAACGTCCGCCCTGCGCGGAATTCAAACAATCTTCATTATAAGGAAGCGCGCATGCGCAGAAACACACGGTCTGCAACCGGTATGTCATAGCCGCAAGTTGGGACAAGAGCCCCAAAGAGACTTGACCAACGCCAATAGCTGAGGTCCGTCTAGGGACCCACTAAGTCCGCACTGCCTGCATAATGGTAGCAACAGTCATCTGACTGAGCATGATCGTCAGATATACACAGGGTCCTCGCCACATTGGCACATTGATAGGTATACAGCGCAACGTGCACCACCATGTGCAACCACGATCCGTAAAGTTCAAGCCGCTCAGCACGTCGGACGACTGGATTGGGCGTTTAGATGGTAATATCCACGGGAGAAATACTCAGCGACTCACTAGCGAAGTGGAGCGTAGAACAACTCATAAAGCAGCCATGAAGCACTCTCCGTGCGGTTGCGCCCAACTAGACATTGAAATAAAATATTATAACGACCGCCCGGGGTTGTTTTGTTGACTGCACAAACTTGCCGCGCAAACACTGACCGGAAATTGATTAGCATTTCAATGATCCAAACGAGTAGACCGATCAATGAAATGCCCCAACCAGTATCATAATCTTATGATGGCCCACAATTTTCACTGGGGATACCAGCGAACTCAGGAATACCTGCCGTGACACTCATAGCTCCCGTCCCTATTGTAAATTGAAGCAGCTTGAAGCCGAAGTTGTCGGACAAACACAAAGTATCCGAAGAAGTCGGCAACGGCATCAGGCTCAGAGACGTGAAACAGACATTATGTGTTGAAGGTAGAACACTTGTCTTCGCGCGTGGACGATGGCACGGTCAGATCAATACGCCTGATCAAAAGGGTTTAATATGCATACCTGCGATTACTGTGTCAAGTGAGAAAAATCGACAAAGGTATATCGTGTTTGTCTGAGTTCTGTCAAACGCGGAAACAAAGTCACACAGAGAGGCTCGCGCAAGATCTGCCAAGATACTACAAACAAGGCCAAATATGATGGGACTCGAGACTGTGGCGAGCGTACTACGTACGCGCTGACCCGAGCGATTGAGTATCCATATGCTCTTGAAGGCCTTGAAGAGCTACTCAATGCAATATTCATAGCTGGTCTGCATAACGCTCTTTTATTTTAGACATAAACCCATCCCGGGTACGTCGCTGGAGAAAGATATGACAATCGGCAATACGCCGCGCGAACTCGTTTTCTCATAATAGTATGTCTTTCACACTCGAGAAATTTGGCTCAAAGGTGACCATCATTGTGACAACACGGTTTTTCAATCAGAAGTTAACATGGCGGCGTATAATCGCGTAAGGCAGGACTTGGCCACGCAACCTTTACCTATGGAATTTGATAAGTGGGAGGACGAACCGTATCTAGCCATAAAATCGGTGGTCAGGTCCACAGAATTGCCTTTTATCGGGGCATTGTAATGATTCCTAGAAATGTGCTGTCACTGCATGCGACAGAACGCATGTTTGGGACAACACAACCCGCTCACATTACGAAAATCTTGATCGACTCATGGCAGATAGCAGCCCGGAGGCCCAAATCGCTCATGATGCATTGTCTCCTCAGGAGCCTGAGCCGCCGTGTTGATGTGATGTGCGACGCCACTACTGAGTATAACTGGTCAAGCGGATAAGCGCGAGAGCTGTCTGGTCCGCATCTGTCAAAATTCATCTTTAACTTTGAGCACACGTACCAGTACCACGAGTTCTCTTTGGGCAAAAAGCGCGCCATGGCCATGCTACGCTGAGTATATCAGGTTGACCCAAGAGTGAACAGCTGCTTCGACTCGCCCGAGAACTGGTGCGCTGCGGTTGGAGGGTGCACTTTTGGAGCCCATACATTAGACACGAATGAAAGCTGAAGCTGAAGCAATCATATAGTACCGAAATACCAGAGGAACGGCTACATAGATGACATATCGTCGAAGATAACGTACAACCTCTCATTATCGCCCGTGCTTATATCTGCTCATGAGGTGTGCGAAGACAAACTAGGCTCACATTCAAGGATATATCTTGTAGCGAATATCTGGACGGACCACAATAGGCTCGCTAGTTTTGTACTATGCGCATCTGCAGTGTCAACTACTTGACATCTATCCCACCTGCCGTTGGCCAGGACAATAACGCTTCTCGTGGCGAACGAGAACATCCGGCCGAGAGAACGTCTCCCCACAATATCTACACTTCTCCGTCGTTGAGCGCAGATGGACACATGCTACATGCTTCCCGAAGCTGCCGAAGTACATGTCCATGCCGTTTCTGCATGATGTTCCTTCCCACTGGCATTGGCCTCTGGCTCGATCGTCCCAAAACTCGAAGTGGTGCTCCTTCAAGTGGTTACTGATAGCCGTGGGGGTCAGATTGTGCAGGATGGCACCGCAGCCAGTGCCCCATCGGCAGGGTGTGGCGCGTTGTGTGTTGGAACCAAATATAATTTCTGAGCGCTCGAGGGTTGTCACCGTCGAAGCGTTGAAATCCGAAGTACAATGTAGATCTGTGTCGTATACGATGTCAGATGCGATAGGCGTGGGCAGATAATGATCATCTCTGCTTCTCGTTGATTGAGTGAAAGATGAGCCGGTGAAGTCATCGGTGTGGAAGTGGGTTGATGAGCCGGCATAATGATACTCTTGATAGTGCATGAGCGGATCTACTCCAGGAGACGGGATGAAGGGCAACGAATCGCCCGCATCGCTTGAGATACGCACATCAGTATCAGAGAAACTTCTGTTCAATTCACAGCTCACAAAGGGGGAAAATCCAGGCTTTCAATAGCTTGTTCACTAGTTTGTTTGTTTCTGTGAGTTTGAACATGGGCACCGCTATAGGAGAAGGTTGCGTCCGTGGGCCAATGTAACAATGATAATGACGGCGGCTCAAGCGTTCCCTGAATGTCCCCTTGAGCATGGTCACCGAGCATCAGCTGGCGATCAGTGAGCATGTAACTGAACTGTTCTGAGCGCGAAGTCGAAGGTGGAAACTCGGGCATGAGGCGATTGTAGTCCCTACTGTGACTGAAAGTTACCGGGAGCGAGTCCCGTCGGGAGTGCAGAGTTCGTCGCTGTTGTTGATTCCGGTGAGCGGAAATGACGGTGATGTTCTGTACAGAAGAGGAGCCCAGCACGTTTGAGCTTGCCGACTCGGAGATGAAAGGACAGCCAAAGTTAGTGTCCGAGATTATTTATATGCGTCGAAGCTGACTGACGCCGGGGCCCATACATTGAATGTGGGAGATCAAGCTTGGCAGCCAGTGTTACGTTAAGGCCGCTGTTGAAATTGGTCTGAAAAAGCCCGTGAGATACAATTGTGTCTGTTTACGATCGTTCCATGTGCGCTGCTAACTCTGTTCGACGTCCAGCCGCGTCTTCAATCACAGGATCTTACCGCATCCCGGGATCGCGCCCGACAGGTAGTTCCATCCCAAGCTTCCGCAGGGCTCAGGGTGATCTCACACATCAATTATCTTCGAAGGTAGTAGCTGTATTATTATTAGCCTTACTCGATGCGCAGGACATCTTTCGATCAGTCTGTATATCACCACGTTGTTGATGCAAAGAGGAGTTCACGGCATACATGTGCTTGAGCTCACCGTGAAGGGCGCCTCAGGCCCCGTGTAAGGTTTGTTGAGCCCCAGCCCTCAGTCGCCATGCGTCGGGACCCAATCTATAGTGAGTACCAAAGCATACAGTGCGACAACGAGGATATAAGGCTAAAGGAGAGGAGAACAGGTGCTACCGGATATGTATGGACAGACCCTATGTTTTACTAGACCCCAGGGTACCTGTAACCTACGCGTTACACCCCAAAACCCTGGTATCGTGATACTCGGGGCCGGCGGCGATGATGCCAAGCTGTAATATCTGGTCCGTGGAGCTTGTCATTGTGGCGCAATGAAGTCAAGTCTGTTGGGACTCACAGCTGAGGTACCAAGGTATGAATGTCTGTAGATCTACTCATTGACTCAACTCACCGTCGAGAATCATCGATGACTCTTATGTGTATTGGCGCGCGGCGCGCAAGATCTAATAATTAGAGTGGATCTCCGGTTTAGAACTCCGCGGCCAGTGATCGATATTCGGTGGTTAGAGCACATCTCAGCGGAAGCAGGCCACACCACCGACCAGGTGTACTCCTTGTGTGATGCCACATCATAATCGCGCTTTGACATAGCCAAACCTGCCTTGCTACCTCTGTTCATGACATCGCATCCATGATCGGAAGCTACAAAGCGATACAAAACCAAAGATCAATGCTTCAGCGTTCATCACTAACGAGCTTCACGGAGCGTTGTAAAAGGACACAAAGCTTGAGGATACATGGGAACCCACGGCAGCCATCTAGCGGCCTTCAGGCCAAACCGAGAGACCTAAGTAGTCATCTCAGTATACATTTGTGGAATCAATGACTTTCGCCGAAACACCAACGCCTGATGGTCACAGGCTGACATAGGGGACGCGATGGCAAGTGAGGCTACGATCATTGCTACGTATTTGTCGAGGACTTGAGACGTTCGATGAGCGGTTCGATGAGCGTGCGGTTCGATGAGAGATGCCCCCTAGAGTGCACAAGCCTAAAGAGCTCACGGCGGAGATGAGCAAACCCTTCGCATACGATCACGCGGTAACGCACCACCTTCGACCGGACTGACATTCGTGTGAATCTGTGCCGTGTGTCAGCAAGGAGTTGAAGTGATGCAGCATTGTACCAGATTTGATTCGTGGCGTCTCGATATCGCAGACTCATAACGGCATGACAGATCCGTAGACTGTTCGGCTTTACGACGACACTGGATTTACTTCAGGGTCACGGGTTAACTACCTGTCTGAACAAAACACCAAAGTATATCTCTTTATCTGAAGACTGGCGCTACAAACCGCAATTTGCTGCTTCGTCTGTTCATTCTTACGCTATAGATACATGCGCATATGACCGCGACGCGTCCAGTTCTCTGCCGCATGAGTTGACGGACCTTTGCGGGCCGCGGGCCGCGGGTGATGATAATGTCGTGACATGCCACAGGTAACTTCTCCTCGCGAACGACATCAGGAAGCGATCCGAAGCTTAATGATGAAGACCACTCTCGGAGATTATGCGCTTCACTGCTGGTAGCTGAGAAGGTCACGTTGCAGAGTCTACCATTCCAGTGTCAGCGGTCCCGTGCCAAATACCCTATGGAGGCGGTGGTCATACCAATTCGCCACGTGGGCAGTGGGTCTCCATTATACACGTTTATCCCCAAGAGACGGGCAGTATCGTTTGAGATGGCGGTCGAGCGTATCTGGTCGCACAAACTCACGATTGCACTTGGGGCATCGCCGCGAGATTGTTCCTAGGTGCACAGCAGCAATGTGCTTGCCAAAGCTGGCGTAGAACATGCGGCGACCACATGCGTGCGTATCGTTCGACCATTCGCAGGATCCGCGGCTCCGTTTCTCCCATGTCAACAAGGTGTCAGAAGACTCGGCAAAATGGTGTGCCCTCAGATGTCGGGTGATGCCCGCCGGGGAGAGGTCATCGATGATCATACTGCACTCTCCGCCCCATCGGCAGGCGACTTGGCCGCCGTTGCGTACCTGTGCTACCGTCGAGGGCCCATGATATTGGCGATCGGACGTTGAGGGGGTAGGGTCTGCAGTATGGTGTACGACCGCGGAATTATGGTGTGATGGGTACGTTGCGTCTATGGGCCATGAGGAGTATGGGTGCTGAAGATAGTCCAGTGAACTAAAGCCATCGGCCATATATCGCTGGGCTCTGAATAATTCGGGTGATCAGGTCCTGAGATCATATCGCGATCAAGACCTACGTCTCGTAACGACTTGTCCAGGATTCGGCGACTGGTTCCAGGGGCATTTTGTCTTGCAGCCCGACATTGGTCGAACTGGAGGCATCATAAAGTCCTAAGGCGAAATTCCAAGAGCGCTACACTCACCTAGGCCCAGAGGGAACCTCCCAAGATCGGAAATTGTAGAGGTACGGAGGTTGGTCCGGGCTCTGGACGTTGTATGAATACATGACTATGCTTCGCGGTGGGGCGAGGGTGTGGGCAATGAATATGGGGATATAGAAGCGGTATCGGGGAAAGCGGTGCCCATGGAAGGGTGCAGAGCGGGGTACAAACACGTCTTGGTCTTATGAGCTAGATGGTTTGATTGTCACGCACATGGCACAAACTGACGCCTTATACTCCAAGAATGGTATCTGGCTCATCGCCTTGCAGAAAGATAAACAAATACATTGATGGTACGTGCCACTTATGGCGAGAACCATCGGAAGAGAGCGTAATGGAAGCGGCTTTCAAAAGGCGCGTAAGGCCTAGACAGTCCGGACTCAAATACGCACCTCACGTATTGACACGAGTTGCTCATCTTGTCCACTGATATAGGTAAGTGCGGTTTCGGTCGCAGTACATACTCCATGATCGTGGGTGGTAGCCAATGAAATACATATCGTGGTGAGGTACAACTGACCTCAACACATGTGTTGCCTTTTCAGTGGGCGCTGGGTCTCCGGCAGTTAAGCTCTGATGTGTCCAGGAGTCAGACAGCATCGGATGTAAAGTAAAGAACACAAAAGCCGGACTCAGGTAACTTACCGGTAGATGTTTGTACTAATGAAGGCCGGCTATCGCGGCGAGTGCTCATGGTAAAGCGAGAGTATGAGTCCTGTTGTCCCAACAAGAGGTGCGCTCTGCCAAGTTGAAACATGCTATACTTGCCCGCCGCCATAGTGTGAGAGATGGACACGAAGACTTAGCAAGTTGCAAGGAAGACAGTATTCGTTCTTCGTGCGCAAAGCTCTTCAGACTCTTCATGCACAAGCGGTTACGGAGGACGGTGCTAGATTGTGCCCACTTTAACGGTGAATGATCGCAACTTGAAACACGGCTCGTTAGCATCACAGAAGCCCGACTAGGTTGAGAGCAACCACAAGTAAGTTCCCAAGGCCTTTAAGTAAATTGCAAGTGCCACCTAAATTTGAACACGTAAGGATGTCAGTGTTAGTGGTCCTACATGAAAGTCACTGGCGTCTTCTAACTCAAGAGCTCGCATGCTAGCATCTAGTTTTGTTTCTAGGAACCTTCGTCAATGCTCTGCTCGCGCCCTTTAGCTAATTGTCGTATTTCGTTGCTGACATTTACATTTACCGTATGTGCTGAAGAGGTTTTGGGGGACAGCCGCTGATGAATACACGGAGACTGAAGTATCTCCCTATGACGGAGATCGAAGTGTCTCCGGCATGGGGAGATATCTCCGGCGTGTGGAGACACCTCCATCAATTTTCCGGCGCGGGGCGCTTGCTTCAAATTATTTGTGTCCCCTTTGGAAGATCACGTGACTGGCTCACCATCGCCCGATCTCTTCATCGGCTTTCGGTAAAGTCCGGTCCTTTCTCGTTATCTAATCTGAGACGCTGCCAAATCAGGCTAACTCAGATTAGGGTTAGAAACTCGCGTTTTACACGCTTTTTACATACTTTCCCGCACCCCCCTGCCTTTTCCGGCGCTCGCCATGATAAATGTATTTCCATTAGAGGCCGAAAACTAGCCATAATGAAGCTCCCCGATACTATACGAGACAAAATCTTGGTCACCACCCAAAGCGGAGAATGCACGTGACTTGGGTATTTCTCTCGCACTGCACGTGATAGAATTTCCGTTCAGCGAGCTAAGCGCCCCTCAGAGAAATATCTCTTAGACGCCGGAGATATCTCCCCATGCCGGAGACACTTCGATCTCCGTCATAGGGAGATACTTCAGTCTCCGTGCATTCATCAGCGGCTGTCCCGTAGCCAGCTGACAAATCAATGCACTCCGGCACTGTACTTTGCGCGGGCGCTTAGGACCAAGCTACTCGGCTACCATACTCGTTCAAACTACCGCATGCCCTGGATATTACTCCGCTAGCAGTTGTTTCAGCGACTCCGTGAATAGCAGAAGTCTTTCGGAAGTCCTCGCACGCCAGACGCGCGACGGAACGTCCGCCTCGAGTAAACGGATTCCGACGGCGTAGAGAGTAATGGGCTCTGAGGGCATTCAAATCACCATCCCAGGTATGTACCTACTTCTATAGACCCATCCGACATCTGCTAACCTTCACAGACTTTGACGAGGAGGACTATCATTCAACACCGATCTTTGGACGCTCACAGGGGGGATTATGGGGGGCATCGAGCTCAGGACAGGATTCACCCACGATTCTGACCCCACTAGCTCTCCCAGAACGGGCTGAGAAGTCGTATTTTCATGCGCGAGGGGATTCTATCACTTCCGATGACTCTGCCCATTCGTTACAATACAGCGCCCGCAAGGTCAAGTCCCCGTTCGCTCACTCCGCGCAGTCATCCTTTGCGACGACCACCACGGGCGGTTCCTCGTTCACGAAGAAACCGTCCTTTGCATCGCTTCGCAATGCGTTCAGGAAAAACACGGAGCCTGCTCCGCCCCTACCACCAATCGAGCATCAGGTCTATCCTGCCCTGAAGAATCCTTTCAGTCGGTCGACCTCATCGCTCGCACAGCATCCATCGATGCCACACAGGCAGCAGCCCTCGATGCATGCGAGCCCACCTCACTTCCGACCGTCTACGCCTGCCTCGAGCGAATCTAGGACCCGGGGAACACCGTCCAGGGCGAGAGAGCATGCATATGCACGGTCTCAACACTCTCATTCAGGCTCTATCTTCTACAACTCAGATGCGGGAAGCGATCAGGGATTCCACACTCCTTCGTCACCGCCACCAGTTCCTCGCATGCCAGCGATGTTCAGTCCCTTTGGGCACCCGGATGACCCTCGGACACTTGCCGACTTGGAAGACAAGATCACGATGGAGCCGCGCACACCGTCTGACTACGCTCTTCACGCGATATTCATCAGATTCGCTACGACTGCGGAGGGACACATAGAACATTTCTTGCGGTTAACTCTGGTGTGTTGGGTTGAAAATGTCGCGGATACATTTCTAATACTGGATTATAGGATCGGGAGCCTCTCCTCACAGATTACATGGGACCAGGCGTGGACCCCAAGCTAGATGAACTGCTCCTGTCACTGGGCAAGATTGCCCAAAAGCATGCGAAGCCTGTGGTCGAGTCGGTGATGCGGTGGCGGAAGTCGCATGCTGATGTAGGAGTGAGCCCAGAACTGCTGCGCGGGCACTTGGACTATGCAGCGACTAGCGGACGCAACATCCGGGGACAAGACGTATCTTCTATGCTGAACGAGCGCCGGTCGCTCGCGTCGATCTACGTCATGTGCCGCGCTCTCATCGCTGCTACGCAAAATCTGACGAAGGACGGACTCAGTGATGCTGTGGGACATAGCCTTGAGGAGCTCACATTTGATCAGTTCCGGAGGCCAGACATCAAAATGCTCACACAATCGGCCAATCATCGCATCAACGCAGAGCTGTATGCAACACTGTTGGGTCAGCTGGCGAACGTTCGGTGAGATAGACTAGATCTATATAGTACTGGTGCTGACCTTGTGTCAGATTCGAGAGCGTCACCGATCGCTTCCTCGTAGAATTGGGTCCCGTAGCTGCTGGTCAGGTACCCAAGGATGCAGATTTCAAGTACGAGAACTTGGTGAGGGGGCTCAAACACGTACCGATCAAAGTCTGGCCTCCGGAAGCCTTCGAGGAGGGCGCGGAGTTTATGGCGTCGCTCGCGAAATCCTTCGAGAATGCCCACGGAAATCGGCTGAAGACAACATTTGCGGAGACTCTTGTCCACGTGTTGCATCCGATCGCCAAGGTACGGCTTGATTCAGTCAGATTATCTCTTGACTCATAAAGTTCCGCTCAGACTGCTCAAGCCGAGGTCAATCATCCAGACTGGGCGAAGGCCATCGACGTGATCTTCCCAAGGGTGCGAGACATGATGGCGAAACCGAGATACTGGCACGTTGCGTATCCTCTCGCCGTGACGTCACTCTGTGTCGCACCGCAAGAGATCTTTCTACGCAACTGGACTTTGATTTTCGATGCTGGCCTCGGCAAGCTGAAGGTAATTTCCGATACTACAGCCAGCCAGCATACAAATTGCTGACACACGGCTGACAGGAAAAGGTGCACCGAGTACCAGTACTCAACGGAATGCTTCGTCTAATGTGGACGTATCTGTATCGTTGCCCTGAGCCGGCTTCAACCGTAGCCGCGAAATTGGATCCACTGATTCGACACTTCTTCCCTCCGAATCGATCCACGATCCACCCGCAAGAGGATTCCATCGAACCGTTAACATATATGCTGCACTATGTGCTGTCCCGGCATTTTGACTTCGGTAGCGAGTTGTGTCTGGAACTTCTGCAAGAGCGTAGTATCACTACTCCATCCCCCAACATGGCAGTCCTACTGGCGCCGGAGAGAACCGTGATCGCCGCTCAAGCAATTCTATTGTCTTTGCATGCAATCGAACGGGAAGAAACCACTCCCTCATGGCCTTCGAGCTCTGATTTCACTGTGTTGCCCTCCCGCACCGATTTTTCGACCTCTTCCGAATTCTTCCCACCATCAATGCAACTGAAGGCAGGCTGGACGGACCTGGTGGATCGCTCGAGCACATGTCTGAAAGCGTTTGCGATGTACTGCTACCAGGCGGTGGGGACATGGTCTATACTGGACGATCAATGGTCAGCGGCTCGCCTCACTCCTACTTACGAGGATTCGCACGGCTATACCACTCGTGCTCATCCGGAAGCTGTGGTGGCATATTCCAATCAATATCTCCCTCAGGTCAGCATGCTGCGGACGGTGTACCAGTCGTGGCCTCGATGTCTCCATCCGTCCATGGCCGTCGAAGACGCATTTGATATGCTCTTACGGGGCGTCGTCCACGTCGAGCCTGCTGTTGGTGAAGCTGCAGGTCCTGCACTGCAGCGCTTCATGGCTGATTCTGCTCATGCAACAACATTGCTCTCTCGTTTCGCCGTATTCCTCTTCGATCCAAACGCCATGAGCACCGAAGGATCGGGTCTTAGGCTAAATGTCGAGTGTTCTCGCTTGCTCAACCTATGGCTCTCTTCCGTGGAACAGTGGGTACACGATCTTACTTCAAGCCCTTCCGGTTCGCTCGAAGCCGAGCATCTGGAGCGGGTACTTGCCTGCATCGACGATATTGAAAGCGGCGCGCTATTTCTTTTGGCACACGATAAGCAAGGAGTTTATGCGGCTGGTGTCAAAGCGATCCGCCTCCTGGCCACACTGGAGGCATCCTTGCAGGCTGAAGCCACCAGCGCTATGCGGCAATCCGAGGAGCCTTTCCGACTCGTGACCGCTTTCTTGGGCAAGGTCGATTATGGTCGGTACATGCTTCGTCACGAGGACATGCTGGAGCCAGATGAGGTTCTGCGTCTCGCGAAATGGAGAAAGGAGGCATTCCCTGACATGGCGCTGCGTATAGCCAATAGCGACTATCCGTTAGATCGAGGTCTTTGGAGGCATCTCTACCCAGCATTACTGCAAGCTTGCATGGAACAGTCATCTAGTGTTCTTTCTTCGTTCAGGGCTAAAGTGATTGCGGCTGCAAGCCGTTACCATTCGTTGATGGTACAGCTATCCGGAATCAATAATCGAACACTACCCAACCTCCCACAGAGATCTGGTTCTTCCGGAGACAGAGACGCTTCTCGCGTGATCAACGAACATAGACCACATATTCAGCAGTGGCACTTCTGGATGAAGCTTATCTGCGCCACCGCCGAAGTGTCGGATGTACGGCCGACAGTGAATTACCCCATGCGTGACCATTCTCGAGCTCGATCGGAGGCGAACTTTGAGCGCGATCAAATGGTAACCACTCGCGATCTCTTCAAGTACCTCAGCCAATTCCTAGATTCCGACCATACATTGTTCCGTGACGTCGCTGTCTCAAGCATCAGCTCATTTCCTTCCCATGGGTATTCACAGCTCCTTGAAGATCTCAACGTCCTTGCCTCCCGCCAGCTCTCCGATGATCCCAGATCGAAAAGCACCAGTGCTCCAGTCATAGGCCGCGCTCGCCGTCAGGAGCGCTTTCACACTGCTGTCGCACGGATCTATTACCTCACTTCTCATGCGTTACAGGACCAACGATCCGCAAGCAAGCAGACCGCCCTGGCACATGTGCTCAAGTACATCCGCAGCATGCATGCATACCTCGTCACCCCCGACCATCGTGACCTCTTTACCCTTCAGAGATTGCGACGTTATTTCTGCGGGACCGTGGAGCGCCTGTTTGATGGCTTGGCTACGCTCAAGGACTCGGATCGGTTTATCCCCCCTCACATGCACCTTGCCTTGTTCAGGCTCTGTGAAGAATGGTGTCAACTCGGCAAACAGTCAGAGAACATGACAAAGCGCCTCATTACAATGCAAACCGCTGCCGCCAAATCTCTCAGCGAGCCAGCCGATCAAGCAGAGATTATACAGCGTTTTCAAACGGAGACGCGGAATCTATCGCACGCTGCTGTGGGTGCTATGGCGGCTCTCTGTGTGAGTAAGCTACGCACGGTAACATCTCATGTCTAATTGTTCTTCCCAGCACAAGGCCTTTTACCCTCCTGAGCACGCATCTGCCTCGCCCACTGATAGATACACATTAGACAGCAATCATAAGCCTTTGCAAGCGGCACCGACATTGGACCGTTTGACTGCCATCCTTGCGTCCTTCCAAGAACCAGAACACACTGCCGGAAAGTGAGTGAACCAGGGCATTAGCATTCTTGGGTTTGCTTGACGCTGCCGAGTAGGAAAGCGCTGCGATCGCTACTCCTTCATACTCCGTCTGATGGAGTATTGCTGGATGAAGCGCTTAGAAGGGCCTTGGTGACCACGCGACAGTTGGAGACCAGTAATGCCCGCTTCTTCGAGGTCGTCGCGGATGTCATATGCAACGCATCAGGATCCCACGGTTTCAGCTTCAGTCAGATCGTATGTCTTGGGCTGTCCAATTTGTGTCATCCCCTCCTCCCAATACGTCGGCAGGCTTTCAGCATCCTCGAGGTTATACACGAGCAGTCCGGGGGTATCATATCTCTCAATCAGTACGAAGCTGCGGTGTGCAGCTCAGCGCCGAGCGCGTACTTGCACGCGCACCGCTCAATTACGATGGTACTGGCTGGCGAGCACCCCAAGCAGGCTATCCACGTCCTTGCTCAATTCTCCGGATGGATCACACGACTGTTCGACGGGCAAACAGATCGAAGCCCTCTCCTCTTGCTCCAGAGTCTTGAGCACTGGGTGCCACACATTACCCTTCTTGATGACAGCAAGTCCGCATTATCGCGGGAGGGACGCTCTGCCATTTATCATCTGATGAACCTCACTGCCCGCTACGTGGAAACCTATGCAGAACAAGTGTTGGTTCTCTGGTCCCGTGCTGTGGACAACGAGTATCAGTTGAATGCGTACGCGACGGTGATGTTCCTCCTGGAGCAAGCACCCAAGATCGGCAGTACTCTCTTCATCAGCTGTGCTGCGAAGGTCGTCGCTTGCCTTTTTCAGAGTGCGGCTGGCATGAAGGTCTTCGACGAGATGTGTGGTCTCCTAGACCCAGTTCGAATGCTCCCATCATACGAGCACAAGGTGACTATTCCAGCCGCCGACGAAATTGAAGAGTGGTCCGACCTCGACGTCCTGTTCTCCGAATCGCCGAAGCTAACGCTGACACAAACACAATTCGTTCTCCTCTTCTTATGCGAGGCAACGATGGACCGGTCATGGCCTCTCGACAAACATCTACCCGCCCTGCTTATGGCCATCTTCATGCACGTTTCAGACAAGCAACCCTTCATTCGAGAGCGCTCCCGACACATGCTCTTCCAACTGTTGCGTTCCTGTATGCCTGGATACGACGACTTCCTCGACCGTCCGTTGGCTCGCTCGCGATTGGAGCTCAAAGCCGCCATACAAGTTTTGGAAAACGAAGCTGAAATGCGACTCTGGGTTGACGACGATTCAGCTGCTGAAGCGACGCCTAAACTCAAATGGCTGTCGTCCGAAGTATTGGACCTCTTGGAACCTTTATACCCCGACCTACGCGCACATTGGGGCTTCTGGACTCTGCGGTGGGGAACGCAATGTCTCAAGAGAGAAATGGCCTACAGGTCCCTTCAGCTACATCGAGTACTTGCAGCACCAGTACTACGGGAAAGTGTTGATATGCTGCTGGGCCGTCTGGCGCACACTATTGCCGACGAGGATGCCGCCATCCAGAACTTCAATGTCGAGATCATCCTCACATTGACCTCTATGGCAGCATCTGATACTCTACCACGGACCCTGCTCCCAAAGCTGTTCTGGAGTACTGTTGGTTGTCTTTCGACGACTGTCGAGAACGAGTTCCTGCACGCCTTGAGTCTGCTAGAAGCATTACTTGCGCACATCGATCTCGATGACCATGTTACCGTTGAGATGCTTCTCGAAGCAAGGCCGCCCACTTGGAGTGGTTCGTCATCTCTGCAGTTCAGTCTCTTGACTGGCCTGCGTTCGTCGTCTACGTCGGAGCTCACCCTCAAGGTCCTAAGACGGCTATCCGGGATCAGTGATGCGAGGCTCGTGGATGCTTCAGAAGGACGTGTACGCGATCTCTACACATTATCCCTCCCTCTGTGCTTGCACTCAATGGCTTCTGGTCCTCCTGACGATATCTCGCAAGATTTCGCGCTGAGCATCGGGCGTCTAGCCGAAGAGGAGGAACGGCCGAGCATCGATCGCATCATGACCTCTTTCGCCAAAGGACGATTCCGTACCAAAGAGGACTTTTTACGGGAGTCTGTTGCAAGTCTTCGCGAGCACTATGGCACCGATCACTGGACGGAAGTGATCACTTTGCTCATGTCAATGGTATTGAACCAGGAGCGGTGGTTGCGCATCTACACGCTGCAGATCCTGAAGTTGCTGTTTCAACAGCGAGAGACGCGAGATTTGCTAGTGTCGGAATTGCTGATGCCGCTGCTACGTTTACTGGAGACAGATCTTGCACCTCAAGCTTTGGATGTTCTTGATGAGCCGGTGGAGATTTCGGGTGGGCCTGCCGCAAAGCACATACTTCGCATGAGCTTGTTCCATCATCTTGATGCCGACGCGAAGGAGGTCGAATCAGTAGCTGAAGTATTCGGCATTCCACAAGAGTCGGGCTGGTGTGTTCCTCGATCCGGCGCTGTTCGGGATATATGTCGCTCAAACATATTTGCCCTCACCGATTCATACGACACCAGCAGCAGCACTTCGCATTTGAGCTTCCATCCGGAGCCAGAGGAGGACGAGGCGGACGATGCAGATCCCTATGATGACCTGGGAGACATGGTGCAGAATTTGCACGAGCTCAGCAGCTTCTTCCAGGAAGAGAATTCAGTTGCTGCATTACCTCATCCACAGTTAGAAGCACGAGTGGCCGCTATTCTGGCGAAATCCAGAGACGTAGCGCAAGAGCTTCCACAGACCTCCTTCGTTGGCGTTTTCGATGTTGGAAAGGCGAACGCCTACGAAGACTCGGACGAGTCCGATTACGACAGCGGGTCTGACCTTTTCGAATTTGATTCTCCCGCTATATTGCGGTTCACTTCCACTCGTTCACGCTTTCCATAATAGACACACTTTACACGCTCATTCTATTCCGTTATTCGATTTTGCATGACCCCTTGGCATTGTACAATAGACGCATCATATGTATCGATATATATAGAGCAATCTTTATTCGACTTGAATATCAGTATATGAATGGTCTCCTGGTCCATGATGATTATAATGGTGAGTCTGCATCGCTGCGGCAGTGACGTTATCTTAGGGAGGTAACTGAGAGTCGGCTTGCGATGACGTTTCAGTGCATGTGCATGTGGCAAGGAGCGAATACACTGTAAAATAAGAGGGCTGCCTCATAGTAGTAGTATTAAGACTGGCAGGGAGAGTCGCCAAGGGAGTAGGTGCCTCGAAAGGTGATAAAGATTAGCACCGCTCAAAAATACGATACAGATCCGGTAGACTGGCGACTTGCACGACGTCTCTGTCGAGAAGCGATTTTGGAGGGACGAGGTATCTAGCCGCAGCAGGGAAGAGGACGTGTTGGATTTGCCACTTGACGGCCTGCTGTTCAGCTCTGTCGTCGTCGCTCTTTGGTTCTGGCACTGGGGACAGAGGCTCTGGAACGTAGAAGTACGCGAGTTCACGCAGGAACGTCTCGAAACATTCTTTCTCCGACGTCCAGTCGACCTAAAAGAAACGCTCAAGGTCTGTTATCACTAGAGGTCATAAGGGTTTACCTGAGGACCAAGTCGCATCAGAAAAAGCGGAAGCTTGTCGAGATTCGGCGTGTAGTCTCGAAGCAGCATAGGCAGACTCTGTACAAGTCCATCTGAAGTGATACAAAGAGAGAAGTATTCCCGAAGCATCTCGCGACGAGTCATCAGTGTGTCTACTATTCGCTGCAGTAGGATGAGAACATAAGAAGGTGCATTATTGTGGCAAGATAGAGGACCGACCTCGACGATCTCTGATATGGACATACTACTGCGTTCGGTGCCCGGCTCGGCATCGATCGCAAGCTCAACCAGCTTGCGAACAGACGGGGCAGGATCAAGCTTGAAACGACTCATGTCACCGAACTGTCGCAGTCCGAGCTGGTAGAACAATTCCTCTCTTCTCACGGTCAATCTCTGGAGGGAACTCTGATCGCGACGGAAAACGTACGTCAATGCCCCATGGTTGACGAGATACAGCTCAGTAGAGTGTTGGAGGAGTGATAAGCACCGGTTGACGTCCACGATGCCGACGAACGTATGTTTCTGAACGATCTCGCTTAGACCTTTAGCATAGCGTATCATGAGCGGAACTGCTCAACGTGTAGGCATCTTTCAAAGCCTACGTCTATGTCTGCCCTTGAGCACAGCTTGCCGCAAGTCGCGAACAGACGTGAGGAAACATTCGGACTCCTTGATCTCCCGTACTCTTGGGGTACCTGGCGTCGCTTCTTGGGCAGTCCGATTAGTTGTCCCCGTCGCTGCATCACTGCTAGGCTGCTGAGAGGGACTGATGACCGGGAACATGGAATCAAGCGTGCGGTCTGTTAAAGATGTTCGCACTTTGTGCTGTGACAGGACTTTCTTCTTGAGTTGAGTTGAGGCTGTATGCTATCCGTCAGACCATGCCAACGCGGACTGTGCAACGACTTACGCGCCGACATCGACGAATCATCTTCGCCCTCCATAGGGAGATCAATCTCCCTCTCTTTTCCTTTCCCCTTGTCTCGCTGGACTTCAGCAATGCCGCCTGTAAGAAGAGTCTGAAACCGGATATAATCTCTTCCTCATGTATCAGCAATTGGCGACACATACCTGATATTCGAATACTCGAGACTGGCTCTGCCCCACGAGCTTCTGCTGTAATGCATCTGCTATCCGTTCAATGATGACATCCTCATCGAGGAAGTGCACTTCGCGCTTCGTCGGATGAACGTTAACATCAACCGCTTGCGGGTCGATCTGTAAACTGAGCATGTCTTTGGTGACTTTACTACAGCACCAGGCAGAAGTCTGTTCACCTCAGGTATATGAAAGGTGAGGCACCTTTAGGAAGAATACCGGTATACACGTTCTCTAAAGCCTTCTTGATCCTCGACGAGTCAACAAGACGGTCTACGACAGACTCAGCATGCAAATAGAGCCAGTACAGTGCAGCAGCCTCACGATTAATGAACAGTAGTAGTACCATCTTCTTAGCCTGGTAATGCGCGTTGGTGAAATGCGCTTCCGCAGACCAAGAGCCCGATTGAGGGACTCCATCGGCGTCTTCTTCGTCATCGGACGTCGTATCGGCCGACTGTGACGATACGGTCGTATGCAGCAAATCCTTAGCAATTGTCTGGCCATAGAGCAAGCGGATAGCCTGCTCGGTCGTTGATCCCGAAGGCGTTGATACTTCGGGCCCTGATGAGCCAGCCTACGAGAAGGTCAATGTGAACGTTTGTAATTACAAGTTAGTGATAGGTACCTTTTTGCAGGTAAACGCCACATGAGGATTGTGCACAGCGTACTTGGTTACTACATCCAGAATACGAGCATACTCTTCTGAAGAGCTGCGAAGCGCTGACAGACGTGTCGGAGTATTGTAGAACAGGTTTTCCACCTGGATACATTGTTAGCATGCATTCAAGCGTGCCAGCGCATTGTGCCGTACGGTAATTGTTGTACCATCGGTGCCTGCGGTAGCTTTGGGCTCTGCCGAAGTCGCACCTTTCGTTGGGGTAAGTGCACCATCAGTATATATTGCCCTGCGAAAGTACGGAACGATCAAATCTAAGCAAGGACAGGTCAAATATGTACTGACTTCCATGCACAGGCGTCTGCTTTAGTCTTGGTGACAACCATTAGATGCGCTACGTAGGATATAGAGGCCAACGCCTCCCCACGGAAACCATAGGTGGCTATATGCGCTAAATCTGAAAAGCTAGACAATTTGGACGTCGTAAATCGTTCCGCCAGAATGGGCAAGTCAGCTTTCTGAATCCTAGTCATCAGAACACGCTCCACAGAGTACACGCCAGAAAAGTGCTCACGCGGATGCCACATCCATTATCTTGAATCTGCAATAGTCTCATTCCACCATCCTTAACCGTAACGCGGATAGACGTGGACTGTGCATCGAGACTGTTCTCAATAAGCTCCTTGAGGGCAGACGCTGGACGATGGATGATCTGACCTTGTCATTGTCGTCAGTTTATTCTACACTTCATTGCTCAAACTCACTTCTCCAGCTGCTATACGGTTGATGACTGATTCTTGCAAACGTCGAATCGGCAGCGGACCTGGTGGCGGAGGTGATGGTGAACGAGCAGCCATTCTTACGTCTTATTTCAATAATAAAGTGCAAAAAGACGGCAGGCCAAGGGCACTCTGATAGCTTGACCAACGGCCATGAGATAGACGCGTCGGTGAATCGTGCGTCGTAATCGACGTTACCCCGCAGCACGTGACTCTCGTGGTCGGAAGCTGCCCCCCACTTCCAAATTCATGCGGTCACTCAAGCTCTTCCTCACCTTTTTTCTCAACGACATCGACCACGGCGACCTTAATCTTTTTAATCTTCTGGCGGAACGCCTGGACACTTAGCAAGTGCCTGAGGGTCTAGTCTGACCGTTCTGCCGCCGCATATACTCCTCGCACCCTCGCCCTTCCCTCAACTTGGCACTCCACGAGTTACACAGACCCAGGGTTACGACCCCATAGTCTGTGGTGGATGAGACAGGGGATTTCAGGGTCCGCTACACGACTTCTAGCACTGAACGACTCAACGCGAGCCCCGCTGTAGTCTTCTCTAATGACTGCCCCATTCTCCGACGGCTCTGCCACAGTGCATTCTGCTAAGGTGCGTGGCTTCTACTTCTACTACAGACATTTGTGAATTTTCCTTGTAGGCAGACAGTCCCCAGATGACGTCCACGAGCCTTGAGCTACAACCGTCCACACCTCCGCGCGGCCGTGCCTCAGCCCGCTACCCTGTGTCGCTCGCCCGTGGCGAGCCCGGACGCGTTCCCTTGCATCGGCGTGGAACGTCCAATACGTATGAACGGCTGGAGGATCTCCTGAGGGAGGCGGGCTACAAGGAGACACGGGTGTTCACACCGGAGGCGGAGCGCAGGGAAGCACAAGAGGCAGCGCGCAAGGGAAGCATGCGTGGCGGCATGGACACAGTCGTCGGATACATTGCGAGCTGGATGCCAGGGGCAGGTAAGGGTGCGAGTCCATCCACTCCGACGGGAAGGCCACAAGCACCGGTCAGGCAAGTTCACGAGCCCATGGCACGTCGGTCCTTGCCCGCGTCCCCTCTTGCGCACAAGCGCGACCTGCATCATGATGGTTTCGCACGGGCCCCGAGCCCGCTCTCCATCTCACCCTCAGCCTCTGCGACGACGATTGCGTCCATGCGGAGCCACATCTCCGACGGCACTGAGGGACACATCGTCGCCTACCGGAACGTTGTTCACGGCATACAGCCACTGCCGCCTCTCCGCCCTCAGTCCTCAATGTCGAGCAACCTACGGACGTATGCGCAAGTCTCCGCAGCTCAAGGGTATTTACGACACATGGCATCCGCGCCCAACATGCCTAAGTATCTCCCGTCGACGCGGGTCGGCTCCGTCTCGCGTATGTCCAGAATCCCGCACGACGGCGCGCACCCGATGCCGACCCGCTGGCTTGAATCCGTCAGCAAGGCTGTGGCGGGGACCGGCCATCCCCGCGCGCACATCGGCGGCCCGCAATCTGCGCGTCACTCGAGTAGGCCATCATCTCGCGCATCACGGCCGAAACGGGAGACAAAGTTCGCGCTAGGGCAGACGCGTAGCGTATCAGGCGCGCCTCCTGGTTTGATGACATACCTCTCACCCGCGGGAAAGGCGCCGGGCGCGGTGAGCACGGCGAATGTTGTGTGCCGATCTGCGCCGGCCTCTCGCTCGTCCTCGCGTGTGGGCGAGCGGAAGAGCGGGCCTCTCAAGGGATGGGCACTTGCCGAGGTGACCAATCGAGCAGGCAAGAAGCCGCGGCGGCAGAGTAAGTGCGACGGCGTGCCGGTGCTCGCGAGTACGTGCGTCGAGAATGATGAATGGAGCACCCATTGGGTGGACGGGCGGCGCGTGCCCCTGTCTCTGAGCGGCGCGCAGGACGGGCTGAGGATGGATAACGATTTAGAAAACGACGATGACGATGACGATGACGATGACGCCGAGCTCGACTTCGCGCGGCTGCTCGTCCCGCCGAAGCGCCAGTACTCGATCCAGAGTCTGCGTCGGCACATACACCGCAGCCAAACCAACTTGCGCGAGCAGCGGGACCTGTGGGGCGACGATGACGGATATGGCACGCAGAGCCGTAGCCGGCGAGAGTCGATAGATGACGAGGATGGTCATGGCTGGGAGGCAATGGGTGCCCCTGGCTTCGGCAACGCTAAGAGAAGACGGGGTCTGCCCGGCGCATGGGCAACACTGTCATCCCGTTCATAGTCGGGACTTCTCGCTGGATCTGCATTGCCGCCAGGTGCCCGATCCAAACGCAAGACGAGGACTCGGAAGAAGACGAACCCAAGGACTAAGCAACCATTACATTCGCGATCGCAAACAGGCTTCACTCAGGAATATGTACATTCTAATCTTGTACTACGAACACCGATCATTGCTTCATCACCCACGTATTACATCCTTTCCCCAGCAATGACTTATAATGGTAAACGTAATCCGTCGAAGTTCATAACAGGGTTTTCCTTCATTTGCAGACTGGTGATTGTCCCACATATATCGCTAATGGACATTATGCATCCCCTCCTTTCGTAATAGACTCCTGTAATGGTGTTCAAACTTCGGTGAAAATAGCTGTATATTGTTCGATGTTATCCGGAATGTTTTTGAAAGCATCTTCGATTACTGTTGTCGACTGTCTGACTCAATTGCCTTGAAGAAGCCGCCTTCACCGCGTAGAATGGAAGCTTTCTCGCATATTGTGAAACATTGCGAAGAAGAGGTCTGTGACCACTCTGAAGATACACCGCAAACCTACGTGATACAAGTCCATGGCAAGAGAAAACATTAGATTAGTGCGACGATGATAGCGATTACAACTCCATTTTGTCCTCCTTCTCGTAACCAGGGTTCTTCTGTAGGATGACGAAACTCTCTAGTACGTGTGCGAAGGGGATGTACTCCTCTGTCGCCAGTTCCGCCCGCTCCGTTGTACCCAATCGCACCGGTGTGGAGTGTGTTTGGAAGCCAGATATCGTTCTTGGTTTGCCAGCTTGGCCGACCACGTCGACGGCCTAGATGTCACCAGATCAGTCATAACGCCCAAGACAACCATGTCCGATGTCAACACGTACCTGACCCACGCGCACGGTCACCGGGAAGCTCTTGAGCTCCTCGTCGAGGGTGATCAAGAATCTTGGGTACATTGCGGTGACAAGGAAATACAGCATCCAGTGATACTTATCCAGGACGACTACAGGATAGGATTTTCGTCAGGAGACGCAATGAATCAAAGCATGAAAGCCACTTACAGCCCTTGGCTTCCGTGAAGGCGATCAAAGTCGCCAGTAATCCCGCGACCGCTGTTCTACTCATAATGTTGCGATCGGAGAAGAATGGGTTGACAGTGATCGTTCCCTTGCCCATGTGGACAAGGCCTTGCGCTATCCGTACCATGAATAGACAGTCGGGCTCCTTATGGTAGTAACCCGCCAGCTGTCGCAACATCTGGGCTAGCCGAGCATTGTTGGTGCCCGCGCCGATCAGACCCATGGCGAAGATCGCATTGAGCGCAACAGCCAGATCGTTATCGTGGCTATACTTCGACAGTGTGTCCATGACAGGGAGTTGGGGATTTGACGCGCTCAACAAGCCGAGCGCAAGCGGAACAGTTTTGCGGATGATCGGTTCGCCGTAGTGCATCTAGAGAAAATGCTTGAGTAGTTGACCTTGAAAGCAGACTGCCCAATGAACGTACCAAGTGATTTAGTGTCCGCATAGACATCTCCGCCCCGACTTCCTCTCCCATGGCAATGAGAGCGATACCGAGCACCGCAAACGCCTGAAAGGTGTCATCTTTTGGAGGCTCTTCTGGCGCATCCTTATCCTTGTCATTCTTCTCGGACTTGACTACGTGCTCGTCACAATGGTGAAGCATCGCCTGAACCTTCAGTACCTCGCCCGAGCCAGCGTACGAGCACGCCTCAACAAGAATGACGGCCTGCTTGGAGATCGGATGTTCAATAGCTCTCAGCGTTTCGATGGTCGCATCAGAGCCGTCTTGCAGGCCGAGGTAGAGCAGCGCAAGACCGAGAAGCATATATCTAGACCATTTTTCCTCGAGCTGCTTGTCATCGCGCTCCATTAGTGTTTGCAAAATGGTGCTGGCAATGTCGCCATTCCCGCTGCCGACAAAGATAAAGCCGAGCGCAAGTGCAGATAAAGAAGCGATTTCCATCGACACGCCTTCATCCGCGACGTGGGGGAGGAGGATCGCCAGAAGATCTTCTCGATGAGAGCCGGCATATGCAAGGCCGAGACCAGTGATCGCACTTGTCTTGAGAGGCACAGATTTGTTATCGACGTATTCACCGAGAAGCGCAATCGCAGCGTCTGCTTCAGTGCGAACACCGGTGTTCAAGATGCCTGTTGCAAGAAGCGCTCCCGCCTAATCATTACTGAAAATGTATCCTCGACGACTTGAGGGAATTGACTACTCACCTTAATATGCTCCTCAGACGAGTAGGTGTACTTATCCACATGGCTAAGACCGACGTCCGTATCCCAGAGCAAGCTGAGACCGAGACTAGCAGCAGCGCTCATCATACCTGAAGATACACGTCAGGCACGAGTACACGCCTATGTATTGAATGGACGCACCATGGTCCTTGTTCTTGTAGATCCAGCTGTTGCCCTCCTCAGCCTCAACCATCAACTTGTCGTTACCGAAGCCAGCATTGACGAAGGCATTAACGAAAGTACCAGCCAAGTTACCCCGAGCAGAATCCACATTTGCAGACGGTACTCCTGGAAGATCGTGTAAGCAAGCTATAATCGAAGAAAACCATCACACTTACTCGTGTTTTCAAGGTGCGACTTGTAGATGTCCTCCAAGCTTTTGGGTTCCAAGATGCCAAGTTCCTTACCGAACTCCTTGAAGTGCATACTCAAATGTGTATTGCTCAAACAGTCCAGGAGGTCCTCTGGCATTTCCTCGCTTTCGTCGATACTATCCTCCGAGTCTAGCCACTCCTTGGGTATCTGTGCGCGCGCGAGCATGAACGCGAGCTGGCGCTTCATAAGCGGGTTTGCAGGAGCGTTGAAGTCCCGTCGTATAAGTTCAGGCTCGCCGAGACGTATTGACAGGGCAAGTGCTTGAGGGAACTTCAGGTGCTCAGAGTAAATGCGGTGTGCTGCGCGCAAGAAAGCACGGTCGTCCGGTGTGGGCAGGAGATTGACACAGCTGAGATACGGTCAATATCTATGCAATACCTGGAAAGTGTCGAACATACCGGATCATGTACTGGCACACTCGCTCGTATGTGTTTTCATCCACGAGCTCCGCTATCCGGTCGGCGATTTCGAGCTCCTCGAGCAGGTCGACCGCATCTGGCTCCGCATTGTGCTGCAGAAGGAATGTTGCACATTCCATCGCCAGCTCCTGCAGCTCCTCTGTCGAGCCGATCACCTCTACAGGTTTCCGCGCCTCCTCTTTCTTCTCCTCCACCGCATCCTCCTTGTCACCCTCGACCGGCTTCACCTCCGCCTCCACATCTTCGCCCAGGGTCCGCGCGTTGTGTTCCTCTCCCAGCTCTGCTGCGAGATGGCGCACGTACTCGTGCCCCCACGAGCCTGGTGTAGACAGCGGTGAAGAAGAAGCAGACGGTCGCAGAGAGCTAGAGAGCAAGCGGTATCGGAGAGTCCCCCGAGGCTCAGTGTCCGAATATGTCATGGCAAGGACAGACAGGATGTCCGCAAATAGGCTCTGAGTCGGAACGTCAGCATGCACAGGTACCACGGGAGGTAGACTAACCTTGTCCTCCGACGCGAGCCATCCTTCGTATATTGTTTGTAGTTCGCGGTAATGAGGGTGAAGGAACTTCAAGGGTTTCGGTACGGATGTCATAGACGAGGTCGAAGTCCTGATCAACGTCCGTAACGTCTCGAGCGCAGGTCGATATAGTTCAGTGTTAGGTTCCTGTGCGTACGCGTTCATTTCATCAGAGGACTTGTACCATGAGAATGACCTGCCCACCTTTAACCGTTCCACGAGCATCTCCAGTTCATTCTTGAGCTGCAAATCCTCTTCTGACTACAATGCATATTAACCTCAACCCTCGCATATACCTCAATGCGCATACCAAGTCCTCCCCCTGCGCCTCCTCTTCTTTCTTCTTAGACGCATCGGTCTTTTCTCCCTCGGCCTCCTTGCCCTCTTTCTTCTTCTTCGGGTCCTCAGAGGGCACAGATATGGCAATGGTTGGCTCGGGCATCGTGAATGTCGGAGTGTGACGGTAAGAATGCGTACGCGGAGGTTACGCGTCGCGTCGCTGACGCAAGGTCATTCCGCGCGACTGCCCTTTATGGATTTAGCACAAATTATAACCTCAACTTTCACTTATCTCACGGTATATAGAGCGATAGTCCACGAATTACCCTTGCCCCGAACCCTCTCAGGCTGAGATGCAGAACGAATTTCGACAGTACGTTCTCTTGCTGTTCATGACCCTTATGACTCAAGCTCTACATTGACGTTAGTCCGCCGATACTGCTCAAGGTGAAAGCACGATTGACGCTAATTCTGTCCTCTTGTAATCCTTGATAGATCTGTAGGGCCTCATGCACCACCTGAATCTGAGTATCCGCCAACAGAAAGAGTGAATGCTGCGTTTCAAGCTTTCTTGAATGGCGCAGGCAGATGTTGGCGACTATCTTGGCATTCATATCGCGGGTAGGTCGGTGTACTACCGGCGGACCCGCAATATGATTGGCTAGTTGGTGATGTCAGCAGCTCGAATGGAGGCACTTCAAGTAGGGGTGCAGACAGGGGTGAGTTCCAGTTCCAAGGTTGCATTTATTTAACATGTTCTGATTCCATCAGATTGAGATGTAAGGCATCTAATGACAGAAATCATAATATGTATACTGCAATGGTTGATTTGACATGGACGCGGGCAACGAGCTTGACATTCTTGCCGTGGGCTTGTCGATATAATACCGATCGGCCCACGGCAAGATGCCCAGCGAGATCAGCCCGATGATGTTGGTAGCGTAACAAAAGCATACCGGTCCGCAAGAGCAGAAGATAAAACTGAGAGCAAGATCTCCGCTGCGCTCCTTGATTAGGTGAAGTAGCAAAACTGGGTTAGCTGTCGAGGGCACTCATTCTGCTCACACTTGTTTACCTATTCTTCCTACTGAACCTACTGAGGATGTAAGGCACGTCCTTCCGTTGAAGTCGTTCTTGACTACTATTAGATAGATGAGGCAACCAGGTTCACAGAAAATCTGTTACGCACATTCTGCTTACATGCTGTACGAGCACGAATGTATTCTTATCCGAAATATACACATGTTTCTCGTCTTTGTGAGATGCTGTCTGTATCGGTGTTTACCGCAAGTCGATCGAGCAAGGCAAGCCCGCCCGGCCCTTCTCGCCACACCGAGCGCAATAGCACGAGCAGAAATGGTTCGATCCCCCAGCGGCCGCACAAGCTGCATAGCTTCGCACACCATCTCGTTCTTAAACCAGTTCCTTGTCTCCTAGTTCGTGTGTTATACCTGGCCTGCTACTCTCCGCAATGGCAACAGTATCCGTACCAGCAAACTCGTTACCGTCGGAGAAGTACCGTGGGGCAGTCGTCGAGGTACTGCGGCCTTTTGCCTTGCGATTTCCACCACGGGACCATCACACTGATCCTTGACGGCCGTGCAGGATCTGCAGCTGCCTCCTGCGTTCGCACTGCCGTCGAGTGAAGCGATCTCGCGGGCCATCGAGCTCGCTTACGAGCGTGACTTCTCGTATATTCCGTGAGTCTATTTGTACTATTACATATTCGAGCTGCCTTTGACCGGTTCGACGACCCACGGCGTGCCATCATCGGATAGGATCCTCGACCAGAAGCGTAGACCAATAGGGTACGTCGATGTCGCCGTACTCAAGGCAAAGTGGGAAGCAAGCGAGGCCAATCCGGTCAGTGTGTCGCAAACTACATAAAATTGGATCATTGCTGATACTTCAAGGTTGGATTGTTAGAGTGACAGAGTGTCGCTATACATGACCAAGTTCGACCGTTCGCACTCGAAAGCATACACGCTGATCACCCCGTCGAGTCCTCTCGCCGACCTGGAGGAATTCTTGCGACATACTATATTCGCCCTTGGTGCGTACACAGCAGATTGCCTATAATCTATTCGTAGTTCATGATAACTATACACAGTCACAGACCGCGACCGCAAATTCGTCCTCGCTGTCGCTACATCACAAGATTTGGAGGTGAGCAAAAGCTGCGCGTTCCCACTAGAAACGCCCGTCAACTCATCTCGTCGTGTCGATCTAGAACTTCGTCTCCCGTCGTGGTTTCTGATACTTTCGCTTTTGTATTGCACTATCGTTTCCCGGTCGGCGTGTCTTCAGTACGATCATGTCCTCAGTCGCTCTGTGCATGTATATTTTTCGGAACCGTCTATCTACTAATGAAACGTCAGTAGAACTGTAAAATTACAAATACGCTACAAGGGTATACGGCAAGATCAGCAGCAAGGAATGTGAACCGAGCGAACACGAAAGCATTCTCAGCATTCGTGTCCACGGATTAAGAACCATAAGCTAGTAAGACAAGGAGTGCTCCTAAACTACATTTCCACAGGAATGGGGGAAGCAGGTCAGTGTTCGGTTGCTACCGCCCACAGGAGAAGTACAACCTAAAAGAGCGAGGGTGGTGGGCCAAGCGGGGCGTCAGCGCGCCTTTCGCCGCCATGGAAGGATACCAAACGCAAGCACAGGTGCCCAGGCTGCCAGTAGTAGCGCAACGTGCTGCGTGCCGAAAGGGGTGGGGACACCGCGGCTGGCGAACATGTCCACAAGTGACGAGATGCTCGCAAGGATCTGCGTCCCGGAAAGAAGCAGCTGAAAGAAGAGCACGCGCCATACCACTGTGCTTTCGTGCGCCGGCCGCGGATCTGGCGCCGAGCGCTCCCATATTGATATCGAATGCGAGTGCGGATGGGGCACCGCGATATGTCCCGCCTGGAATGCGGTGAATTTCCTGTCGGTGATAGACAAGTGCGGACGATCGTCGGAACTGTCGTCCTCGCCCCCATCAACCGCGAACTCCAGGTCCGACTTGGAGCTTGCGCGGGAGGAGGCGTCCGAGTTATGTGCCCAACGGAGCGATCCGCTCATCGCGTCGTTATCGAGGTCCTCGTACCCTGTGATGACCGGTCTAGGCCCGTCGTTGCTCGTGCCACTATACGCACTGAGACTAGGAAAGACGGGGAGTCCAACTGGTGTCGTGCGTGAGCTTGGCGGGTTGGAGGGCGGCGCGAAGAGCATCGGCGAGGGTGACTGCGAGTGATGCGATTGGCTGAAGAAGCTGGTGCGGTCGCCATGGCTGGGTTCGTTCTCGGGGGACGCGCGGGACGAGGGCGGCCGCCACGAGAAGGGAAGGTGGAACCGCTGGGCGTGAGCCACAGTAGGTTGCGTGGGCGCACGCCCAGGGAGGGCTAGCGCAGTGCCAGACGAGATGGAGTGCGGAGGGGTGGGGAGGGCATGGAGCGTCATGCTCGGCGACGACATCGGGGATGTCGCTGCGGGCGTCCTGCGGCTCGCGTCAGGGAGAGGCTGGGACTCGAGTGACGGAAGCGCTTTCAGCTCAAACGCCGCATCGCCCAGGCCGCTTGGGGAGTAGAGTGTGTGCCGTTTGTCCCGGGAAGTGCGGCGCCGAGGGAGGGAGGTGAGCATGTCGAAGACTTCGCCGCGTGGGAGCTGAGAATGAGCGTGGAAGCGCTGCCGGGTGGACAGCAGACAAATTACGCAAGTGCATGAGAGCACGAAGGAGGGGATAGCGAGGAGGAGAGGTAGACCGGCGAAACTCAAAAGGCGGACCCTGCATGGGCAGGCCGTAAGCTGGCGGCAGTGTCACAGAAACATGTAGATAACGACGCACCAAAGGGGATCGGATGCATCGCAGGTCATGTCTACATAGTTACGGACTGCGTGCAGTCGCGAAGAGACAGCAATGTATGCCGTAAACGCTACCGCGGGAAAGCCAATGACCAGGGACAGAAATGCCACGCGAGACCTCAGAGCCTTTTGACTATCACGGGGGTGAGCTCGAGTGAAATAGGTACAAATGGTGTACGACATACATCTCCAGCTCACTGAGAACGCGCGCTCCCTGGGCCCGCAAGATGGCAACTGAAGTCGTGATTGTCATGGTCGCACATAAACTTGTCATGACAAACCATGCCAATGCCTTGAAGGCTGCTTGTGCTGCCGGGGGCTCAGCTTCTCACATTGAACTCGACGTAAGATTAGGAGACGTACCGACGCAAAATGTCAACGGCATGATGTAGGCGTTCATATGCCAAATCATGCCTACAGTCGATACGACGGGATGAATATGTTCTGCAGACTGTGACAAACATGTGCACTCACCGAGACAGAACACAACCTGCAGCGTCACGTTGGCGATCCCGTACGCTATGGGGATCCACAAACCACCCAGCGCAGACACAAACCGAGGCGAGCCGACCAGACTGCACAGCAGACCTATGTGGACACGACAACCCGTTCCGACATTGTGTCATTTCTCAATAACACAATGCACGCACCTGTAGCAGACAGTACGACCCACGCCACCCTCAGCGCAAATGGGAGCATTCGGAGATGGTGCAACGGCGACCTCACCGCGACGAACAGCGGGAGTGCGGGCTAGTGGTACCAGTCCAAGCCACTGGGGACAAGGTTGGGGAAAGGGGACAACGATAAGGCACAACACGGGAGAACTGGCTGGGTAAACTACCAGCCCGGAATGTCTACGGATCGCAGAAGCGTGATGTCGAGACCAGATGCGCTTCTAGTAGAGCCCGTCTATCAATGGCCATCCAGTTAGGTATGTTGGAACCGAGGTCGGGGCCCTCTTCTCGGCAGTCAGGGCAATTCGCTATGCCAAAAAGCGACTTCACAGATATTCTGCTCAAAGTTACGGACACATAGGGCCTGAGACAGATTCGTCATTCCCCGTGCCAGCGTCTGTATCCAGACTCTTTTGAATCGTCATTGGGCTGCAGGCAGTGCTGATATGAGATGCGGATCTCTCGGGCCCAGGGCGTTTGGGGGAAAGGATTTGCTGATGACGGAGATGGAGATGCTCTATCTCGACTGATCGCGTGTAACGATCATAACATGCAGCACCACGTGTGTCGCCTTTCATCTCCGATCGGGACTCGGCGTCTTGACCACTTGCTTCAACTTGGGCCCGGGGAAAATGTAGGCTGCTGTATAGCAGGCAGGTATAACAGGGCTGCAGAGTAGATACCGATGGAACTGAGTACTGTTCGACAATCTCTCGTCTGAAACATGTCGTATTGTCCCGTTGGTGTCCTAGCATCGTTGGTAGATGCATCACACATCAGCGTGCGCCCATCTGCCATAGACATTGCTAGCACTTACTCCACCTAGCCCTCCGCTGTCCGCTTGGTCTCTACGACTTTCGCATCATCGCGCGGAGCTGCGGCAAGAGAGGGTACAAGTCCTACAGGTTCTCTGTCTCCTGCCTCGGCAGACACTGGAGGAGGATTGGGTACCCTCGCATCCTCCGGTACCCACTCAAGTGACACACTCACATCCAATATGTTCTTCCCAATCCCTACCGGGAAGTCCAGCTCCTTCCGTGTCAGTGTAATGCCGCTGCCCTGCCCCGCCTGCCCCGCCTGCCCACGCGGGTGCGGCAGGTGAAACGTCGGGATGAACCAGAACCACCCCATGAATACCTGACACGGCGGGTCTTAGCCGGCCTTCAGTAAAGCCAGAAGGCACACTGCTCACCTGCCCCATGTATAGCTTCACCCGAACCTCTCGGTCAGCGTGCAGCACGACCCCCGCGTCCGTATCATGCCTTGGCGTCTGCAAACCCGCATCACTGATCGATGCCTCACCCGCCGTCGTCTTCTGTCGTATAGTCTCGCGCCTATTGTCGGCAGCGGTCCCGCGCGCATCGCGCATAGCGCTTCCCTCGTTATCGGTCAGCGGGCGCAGCGTGAGCATGCGTGTGGTGGAGATTTCTGAGCCACCCTGCCATGGATACTGTCAGTCAGACAGATGCGCCACCGTCAACCCCGCAGACAGCTCACCGAACTAGTATCACCCTTCCGGGTATCGTCTCCCGCCACACCAAACCGCGCAAACGTGCGGACCATCTTGTTCTTGTCCCACCGATCGTCCTTGAACATATTCGCCAGGCGCTCGTCGTTCATGCGCTCCGATCCTAGTCGACGCTTCCCCATGTCGCCTGCCTCATCTCGAGTGTGCCGCTCCCACCCCTCGAGCGTATTCACCAACTCATCGTCGTAGCGGGCGAGCGACGCCCATATCTGCCCGCGGCTCTGCGCTGCACCCTTCGCGTAGCTCGTGCGCTCGATCAGCGCATTCGCTGCGCGGACAATATTCGTCTTGATACCCGAGAGCTCACGCATACGCACTACGATTTGCGTGAGGCGCATCTTTGACGGCGGCACCTGCGGATCGCCGGCCCAGAATCTTGGCGGGCCCTCATGTGCGATGAGCAGCGACCAGTAGTACAGCCATCGGCGCTGACTCGGGATGCTCACGCCTTGTTTCAATTTCTTCGCTGGTGAAGAGGGCCGCTTCATACGACGGGACGTATGAAGTTCAAGAATATGATCTAGTCTGTCGGAGCGTATCCCCTCCCCTCCCGATTGTGTCTGGTTGACTGATTCGGCAACACGGGCATCCAATTCAGTTGCGACCGAAGTTGTTTGTGTCAGAAGATCGTCGGGGCCGTCATCCGATGGCTCGTCAGACGGCATTGCGTCCATGATCCGTTCGGCGCGAACAGTGGCCTTTTCTTTTTCAGTTGCGCTGCGTGATCCAAGATCCGAGCTCGAAGCATCATCTATGCTGGTGATGAGGTAGGCACAAGCCATTGTGCCAGACCTGCCCTTGCCGGCTGTGGGAGTGCTCCATAAGCAGAGTTCATTCGTTCGATAATAAACGCACCTTTGCAGTGCAACACGACTACTCGCTCAGGCGAGCCTTCGAGCCAAGCACGAATCTCACGCGCAATGAGAGGCATGATAGCAAGAGGAGGCGCACTAGTATTCAATGAGCGAGATCAGCGAGTATACACTAAAACGAAGCAGCTGGCAATTGAAATGCCGGAAACAACAGTCACAAGCCCATCGTGTTCTATGAATGCTGGGTTCCAGAAGACGGCAGCTTGGTCAGGAGAGATGGAAGATTGACCGTACAAATACAGAGAAATGCAAGACGTACTGATGATCAGGGAATGGGTATCTGCTGACCCTTCCGTCGAAAACACTAGAGGGGTATGTGTTCTCGTTCACGGGACAGAAGTTGAAGACCCAGAAGTTCTTCCCATGTCGATGTTCCAAGAACCGTCTCGCGTCTTCACGTCGATTACGATACAGGGACTCAATGCCGGAAGCAGGGTATCCCATAACTATGACCTGATCTGTGACATATGCAAGATCTGTGGTCGTCTCAAAATGTTAGACAGACATTGCCCGCTTCAAGACTTATGGGTGTACCAATTACCGAGATCGAGGTCCAGCTTCTCATCTCGTAGTCTGGATTTATCCCCAGATACCAAGCGGCGAACGAAATCGGTCATTAGGTCTAATGAGATGAGAGTAGAGTGAACGCAGACTCTGCCTCAAACATGAGGTCATAGTATAGCCCCAAACGGAAATTATTGATTTTGTCGGACAATCCCGTTCAGCAGCCTTTAGCAAAATGAGAGCATACGCGACATGTTATAAACATTCGGCGATAAAAGGCAAATTATGGGCGACAATTTGGTTGTTTGAGTAGGAGTAACCTGAGTGAACAACGGGCGCGATCGCGTACAGTCACAGTCGCGTGATCGCGTTGCGACGCGCGTGTCACGCGCCCGAAAGTGACTCATGGATCATGGGATTATCGTAGACATCAGTAAGTACTTTGATAATATTGCAACATTGCATGAATTGTAGCCCGGTGTAAACGCCGCCTAGACATCTCGAACACTTCCCCCGATTTGCTGGTCGAGATCAATATGAAAGCACCTACCAAATGGCAACTCGCAGATTTGTCGCTCTTCCTCGCAACCCCGGAGCAGACAGTCGAATCTCGCAAGCGCTCTGCGCAGGAATGGCGGCGAGCGTTGACTGAGGAGCAATATATCCTGAGGGATATCCTCATGGATGAGCATGAGCACGCAGCGCATGGCAAGGGCGCGACATGGTCAGCATATCCCCTGTATCGTAATCGGACTAAAGCTGACACGGGACTGCAGGGTTCTCGCACCCAGGGCTAATCCATCGACGCTCGATTTCATGTGTTCATGTGAAACGTGAGCGGCAGAGACATCCATATATCCGTTACGAACTCATGACAATGGCAGTTTTCGTCGAGCCGGATTAGTCTGCAGGCTCTCAACGTCGTTGCATGCAGAGGAAGTCACTGCGTACGGTATTGCGTCTGTGTTCACGCCGCTAGAGAAGCGTAGGTGCGGTTACGCGCAACACATGATGCGCCTCCTCCACTGGGTGCTCGCTCCACGTTCCACACTGTCTGCCGACTTTCCCGACGCATGGGGCGCACCTCCTGCGGCACCGGACGGCTTTGGGAATGCTCAATTCTCGGTTCTGTACAGCGATGTCGGGCCCGACTTCTATCGCCTGTGCGGGCCGACGCAGTACCCGGGTAATGGCTGGATCGAAAGAGGTTCGACATTGACTTCCTGGAACGTCCCTCCGTCAGAGGACACATTGTCGTCAAAGATATTGTCATCCACATGGAAGTACCTGACAGAGGACGATGCTATACGCGTCTGGGAGGCGGACGCGGCATGGATGAAGATATATCTGGCTAACATGAGGCCTTCGACGTCGCGCACTTGTTTCACGTTCCTCCCCAACCAGGGTGTTGCCAAATTCCTGATTCACCGCACGATGTCATTCAACAAGGACTTGACTCCGGTGCTGCCGCTCCAGACATGGGGTATCTTGCGCCTCCCTCACGCCAACGCGGGTCTCGAAGACGTCCTCGGCGACGACGAACGCCAGGGGAGCACCTTTGCGACGTGGTCACTCGACCCGACGTCGGCATCAGGTACTCTTATTGTAACACGGCTCCGTGCGACCACGGACACGTTCCCCGAACTCTTTGGCAGGCTCACCGAGTTCTCACGCGAACAGAAGATAGAAAGAATCGAAATATGGGCCCTGCCAGAAACTCTGCAGGGGATCGCGTCGGATCTCGGTGGCGTGACTGAGCAGAGGCAAGAACATTTGTCAGCCTTCAAGTGGTATGGAAAAGAACCAGAGGAGTTAGAATGGATATTCGACGAGAAGTCTGTTGTTCCCTTCGCCATAATCTTGACGAGGCCCGTGATGGACTGCGGCTGGACTGACGTATATTTCACAGATTCTGTTGGTGCTGAGCCATTCACTGTGTCGAGCACTTGCAAATACATACATTTACTACATTTTGGTTGTACAAACATTATGTTATTTTGCCTATACCGAAGCATACTGTACGACGACGCTGGAGGGTTCCTTGTATTCCGCAATCGGAGTAAACGGTATGTCATGCAGGCTTCAGTAGCAGATATGAGTTAGTGTACAAAGTTACACGCAGCGGAGCAGTAGAAGACGAACCCAAAGGCTGTTGGGCCACCGCATGCCAGACCTTCCGGTGTTGTGGTCCACTTTGGCTCGCCCGCGAGCGCAATGACAGTAACACGCAAGCCATACCTGGTTCAATTAGTCACAACCATGGATGAAGTAATGTAACAGTGCATCTCACCGGTAGTCAGGCGTCCCGAGTGCTGCTCCGTTTTGGGAGTCCAGGACAGTAATAAGATCCGGAACAGTGACCAAAACCTGGTGAGGTATGTGAGCACTGTGGTGGAGTTGCTGTCGGGGAAAAGAATATTTACCTTCTTATCGCCGTTAGGCTTCTCAATGTACGCGTACAGGTTTTCGTTCTGGAAAGGAATGATGAGACGGTCATCGGAGGCGTATCCAGGGGAGGTCGAGCTTGTCCCAGTGGTAGGCTCTTCCTCTTCGTCCTCTAGAAGCGGTACAATTGTTACAGAGCCCCACGTGAATCCTTTGCGGACTTCCTGCTCAGCGGCGCGGATGAATATACCCTCGATATGCAAGAGACAAACATATGACTAACACGTTGGACGTCGACGATCTTCCCAATGAACAAGCAAGCGCCATTCTGCAGTTCGAGGATGGCCGAAGGGATGGACTTCAAGTTGTTATGTTTCCTACAGAGCGCGATCGCTCGTCCTATGCGCCATGCCTGTGAGACGGTATGCGTAACACCTGCGCCAGGAATGTCAAGACGAGATACCTGCAGGTGACAACCGATAAACACGGACCATACTGTTGGCACTTGACGCGCGTCAGGGGCGCCATACCAACTCCCGCTCTCGAGCCCATCTCGGTGGCGACGATGCGGAGAATGCTCTCCACCGCCTTAGGATTGGCAGCGCTAGGCAGAAGCTACAACCTCATGGAAGACGAACCAAATGGAAGGACGAAGACCTCGTACCACTGTATTGCCCACGCCGTCAGAGACAGCACAGGGCCAGAGACCGCCAGGAATGTTGAAAGCACCCGGTAGCCTAGCGCCGTCGAAGCATTTGAGACTTCGATAATGACCGCTTACAGATGTGCGACTCACGATTGGTACATCTAGCTGGGCGGTCAGACATTTCATCTGATATTAACGAGAGAGAGCGGTGCGTACGTTTGGATATGCACGGCCCATAAGGTCACCATCGAGAACCTTCTTGCCCATCTCGGCCGCGGTGATCATAGGCTGTACACCATTACCACCACCGATCTCGTCAGAGATAACGCCGGTGACATCCTTAAGTCCCATGTACTTCATCAGAGCACGTATGGAATCGGAAATCTCCGTAAATCCCTGAAGACGTTCAACCTGCACAGTAAAGTTAACCAAGCCTTTTCATGAGAGTCTTCGGAGAACTCACAGACACGCTCGGTGCACCCTAGGGAACATTTGGACATTGTCACTTACGACCAAACCGTCGGACAAGGATCTGCTTACCATCGACATGCAACGCAGGAAGATCGCGTCTTCAGGAGCATCATCCGGGTCAACGACCTATAACGCAAGCGTCACACATGGAAGACTCTCATCGTCGAAGCCACTCACAATGATCTCCTTGCCATTTCGCATCAGCTGACGGGCCATGAGGAAGGGCGGGTACGTCGAACCACCACCACCCGTCCCCAGAACACCACACCCTTCAGCGATCCATTCTGAAGGAGCGTCAATTGTTCAGCGTCGCATTTGAGCGGTCGTCAATATAGTAAACACACCGAGATCGAGTTCAGAAAGATTCCACGACCGATCTGCACGGATTTCCGGTTTGTACGCCTCGATGTCGATGCTCGGCTCTTCCGACTCCTCGTCGACACCAGCCTTCTCGCCTTCCTCGACATTGACGTCATCAGCAGCGTCGAGTTTGCTGTCCGGAGTGGCTACGGCAGCGACTGCCTCAGGCGCAAGGTCTCCGGCTGCCTTGACAATGATACGAGTGGCTTGGTTTGTGACATACTACACAACTGTAAGGCACGATGGCTAACGAGAGTCGGGGCACAGGCTGACCTGAACTGGTAGATTAACGACCTCGACAATCTTGGTCGTACCTACCGGCGAAAACAATATCAGCATTGAGTCAGACCAAGGAGAGCGAAATAACGGACTTGGGTCAGCGCCGGCCTTAATCGCCTTTTCGAGTGCTTGTGCCTTGAGGCCCTCGATGATATCGCGGATGTTGCGGCCCTCCAGTAACTCAATGGTATCAATCTCACCTGCCACTATAACACAATGTTCATAAGAGCATGCAGACCTCAACGCATATGAACTTACCCTTCGCCATGGCTGCACCAACTGCATTTGCGACACCAAAGTGCGGAGGCCGAAGGATCTCACCCACACCGGCCAGTTCATCAGGAGCAATAATGCTACCGCCGCCGACAAGAAGCACCGTAATGTCTTCGGGGGACGTCTTCATCCTGCACGCACATCAATGGCCAATTCACGACAATACAAATACAACGCACTTGTCGATGATTCCCTCCAGCTGTTTCTTGATGCTCTTGCCGGCCTTCTCGACGACTTCAGGACTGACGTCGCCTACTCGGTCCTTCGCACCCAGGTCAGCGCGCCCGCTTGCGACGACTATATCTGTCGCGGTCAACACCTCTCCTCCAAACACCCTCGCGTCCCGCGTGAGGTAATGCCCGACGGAGTCAGGCCCAACAGAGACGTGCAGGCCCTTCGGCGTCTCGTGTGCCCTGACGCGCGACCCGCCGCCCAGCCCAATCGATTGCACGTCCGCCATGGCAAAGTTCGTGCGCACGCCGCCAACCTCGATGAACGATGCCGCCTGGCGCGGAAAGCCCGACGGGAGCAGCACCCCGACATCTGCGGTCGTCCCGCCAATGTCGACGACGATCGTCGACTTGCGCGTCTGGGAGGCCTTCTGCTCGTCGAGGCCCGCGAGGAACGCCGCCCCGCGCATCGAGTTGGTTGGCCCAGACGCGAAGGTGCGGATCGGCAGCTGCGCCGCGGAGGCGGCCGTCGTCAGCGTGCCGTCGTTCTGGGTGAGGAAGAGCGGGCAGGAGAGGTTCAGTGCGCGCATAGCGTTCTGGAAGCCGCGGATGGTGCGTTGGGCGAAGGTCAGGATGGACGCGTTGAGGATGGACGCATTCTCGCGTTCCAAGAAGCCGACCTGTCCGACTGTAGCCGGCAATTAGCAGGAGAACTGACTGAAGTTCAGTTACTGACCATCACGGGAGCAGACGATGTTGACCGAAGAACCCAGCTCGCGCTCTATGATTGCCTTCGCAGCAGCTTCATGTTTGCCGTCGTTATCGAGCGGCGAGTAGACACCACATAGGACCACCTAGATAGCAGCTCTAAGCGTACAATTCCACAAGCTGCCGCCGATATTCACATTCTTCAAACCTTTCTCCTTGATGAGCGCACACTGCTCAACGACCTGCTCCTCCACTAGCGGTACAATTTCACGGCCATCAACTAGCATACTGTTAGCACGATATGTGGACTGGATAGCTTACAACTTACTTTGCAGGCCCCCGTCGACATAGCCGACATGACCCTCAGTTAGAGTACGCAGTCGAAGGGGGAAGTCGATGAATGGTGGGCACTGCTTCGTGTACGGACCACACAGACGAATCACAGCTACCTTGGCAAGCCGCCGGGCATCCGCCTCCAAGACTGCATTGATGAAAGCGGTCGTACCGATGCTGAGGCAGGAGACCTTTTCCGGAGGAATGCCAGCGATCTTCAAAACCTCGCGCACTGCGATTTCAATCCCGTCCGAGACATCAGGAGTGGTAGGGGCCTTGAACTGGGCCAGTACGCCCCTCGAGGGTTCGTGAAGGCGAGTCACGTCGATGAGCACGCCGTCAGTGTTAGTGCCTACAGGGCGGGAATCAGCATAAGGGTATTAGGAATGCAGCAAATCCATTCTAAGAGAGGAGCCATCGCCATTTGTGGATCTGCGCGGTTGTAGAGCCTTGGTCTAGCTCGGTAACCCCATTGACAGAGAGCGTCCTCTTCACGATCACAATGGATCGACAATGATCGCCAATCACAAAATGGAACAAGTGCTCACCTCCGACATCAACGCCAATTCGCAACATATTGGCACCTTGCTTTCTTTGCCCAAACGACTGGTTGAAAGTGCGAGGCTGCCCCCTCGTCGAGTACTTATCAGCACCGTAGCCTACAGCGAGTGCAGATAACCAGCTGTAGATGCCGATAGCACGAATACATCACGCCAGTAAGAAGAACACCGAGAAATCGGTTCGATATGACCACCGTGCAGTCCGTCCGACGTAGTCGGAGTAGTAGTGCCTGGTATTGTGAGGCTACAGCTTAGAGACCATGCGTTGTGCATCTCGGAGTGGCATGGTTGTCTTCAATGCAGACCAAGAATGAAGCACTCGATGGCTTGAGAGAAATGGGCGTCATGCGAACAAGGAGGGTGGATTTGTGGATCTGAAGACATGAGACCGTTGCTGATTATCCCCGCCAAGAAATAACCCACTCGGTATTGGCAGGCCCAAGGGGGACCGGACGCGAGTCAGTTTGGTGCCGGGGGTCCCAACTTCGATTTTCAATTCGAATTTGTTATATTCCATCTGTGCTCTGCGGATCATGCGATTTCGTTCTACAAGTTTTGGTAGCTTCATCAGCGTATCATCTTATCTCGTTCACCTGCGACAACGCTTTTAGCGCTGAGCATAAAAAGATGTAGTCTAATCTTATCAAGTAGTGCCTTGACCTGGGTGAATCCCCCCTATCGAGTTCTGATCCCCCGAAAGGAGACCCTGGCGGAATGTTACATCTAAATCCCCTGAAATGTACATGCCAAACACCCTGAAGGCAAGGCTTCATGGCCGAGGCGTGATCCTCTGACCCCCGAAATTGACCTCCAAGACGTGCCATGCTTGTGACGTCACATTACGTTAATTATTCTCGATATCAAACGCTTCATCGGCCATTATTTCATATCTGGAAATGTCGTTGACGCAGTATTGATAATGGTCAGCGCTTGAACTTGTCATGGACGGAACCCCTATACTACCAGTCTCTGGCACGGTCCGCTGCTCAATTGATTAAACGTTTTAAGGCTACTTACCAGTTCATATATATATATATATGGGCCGCGTTTGAAAGCTGTGATGCTATAATATAATCGGATAGCGTATACAAGAAGACAAGCAATGAGTACTCGAGTACGTAGGGCTACACTATTGACTACGCATTCTGCGATAATTATAGTACAGTGATATGTTGGGGCCATATGCCCCACGCGAGCTGAAATAGTTATCTGACACATAGTAAATACCCACCAGTAAAAATGTTGCATATGGTTCAGAACTTCTTCTGCAGAAAACCTTTGCCAGCATCCCACAATGCGCGCTCGAGCACCTTCATCCCCGCAAGCACCTTCTCCTCTTCTAGTCGCCCGCCTACAACCTGCACGGCCACCGGCAGCCCATGCATCGCGCTTGCGTCGTACAATGACCATGCACTCCGCGCGGCGTCGTTCAACTGCAGATACGAATCACTCTGCTGGAAGTCTGCCGGCAGTCGATCGAGTCGCTCGTCGACGTGCGTAACCGGCTGGACGCCGGCGGTGACATCTAGCTGTGTGATTGCACTAGATATCAGACCAAATGCCAAGCAAGAAGAGGAAGCACACGCACGACATTAAACAAAAACGCCGAACCGGCAGACACCAACGTGGCTACGCCGCTCATGCCAAGCGGGATAGCTGGAAGCGCATGCACAGGCGTAATTATAAAATCGATTCCCTGTTCCTGCTGCCTTGCGAACCACGCTGCCTTGTACGCCTCTCGCGCAACAATCAGCGCGTTCACCTCCGCCACAGACTTGGTATGTAGAACCTCAATGAGCTCGGCCCAGCGGTCGTTCCGCCCCGCCGGACGCGACATGAGGCGTAGCCAGAGAGCATAAATCAGTTTCATGAAATACGGCATTTGGACCAACTGAACGGTTAGCGCCTGTGCACCATTGCAGAATTCGCCGCGGCGTAGAGGTGTGGAGAGGCTGGCACCTGGGTCGTGTCAATTAGCTTAATGAACGTAGACCATTCACCCCACCCCCGTCGCGACACACCTCCATCGCAGAAGGCTAGCTGGAAGCCGATCTTGAGCCCTTCAACGGGGTCCACTGATGGAGAGCTGGCGGCGCGTGCATGAGGCGACAACGCCTAGCATAGGAAGAGGAAGGGGGACTAACAAAAAATCAACTACTTCGTGCCCGGCTCTCCTCAGGGCGTCTATTGACTCTCGCATCCCGCGCACGACCGCAGGCGAAGGTGGAATCAGACCTGCCAAACCGGTTCGGGTTCGTCAGCCTCGACACCTGCCAGGGTATAAAAGAAGCCCATACCGTCGGACCAGAGTACGCCCCATTTCGCCTTCCGGCCTTTCAGTACGAAATCAACGGGACGCCACGCGAGCGGTATACACTGCATCGTCCGACGGCAATCGGCGAAAGCAGTCGGTCAGCACCCACGAGCTAGGACACCGGCGCACGGATGCGAAGAGGGAGAAAATCACACGTACGGTATGGTCGTACCGCCAGGGTTCCATTTGCACTACACGTTTCCAGAACTCCTCCAGGTCATCGAGCGTGCGTGCAATTGGCGCAGTCACGGTCGGCGCACCCTCGTTACCGGGTGCACAGGTCATGCAGCCATACGCCGGAAAGCGGCCTACGGACCCCTTGACCGAGTATACGCCGCACCAGCCCGCGGGAAAACGCACGCTCCCCCCGATGTCCGTGGCGACCTCAACGACACTGCCCTGATACGCAAGCAATGCACACCCACCGCCGGTCGATGCGCCGGGGCTGTACGCGGTGTTGTATGGGTTTGCGGTCTCGCCAAAGAGGTCGGACTTGGTCTCGATGGATAGCAGGCCCGCAGGGACCGTCGTCTTGACTGGCATCAGTGCACCAGCATCTCGCAGGAGGCGCACTAGCGGTGCAGACGTCTCCTTGGGATGTCCAGCGCGTGAGGAGTACCCGAGTGTTGTGTCGTGCCCAGCAACGTCGATGCAATCCTTCAGGCTTACAACTATGCCCGAGAGCGGCTTGTCAGCCGGAACGCAGTCCTCCCTGATCTCGTCGAACATGATGTCGGCGAGGCAATTGACTGAGTCATGTGCAAGAATGGCCCTTTTGCCGTATGCATGAAGTATGTCGCAGGGCTGGAGGTGATTCGAGTTACACGAAGATACTACTTGTGATAGCGACAGTGCAAGGATCTTCTCGTCGAACTCTGTGAGAGGCTCCGTGTATATCGGGGGAAGATACTGTCTCTGGTTCTTAATTTCCTGCTGCTTCCGCTCACTATAAACACGGCTTCGGTCGCGTAATCGATGAGAACGGCCAACTCACTCACCAATCGGCACGGTGCTTCGAGGAGAACATGGCAAGGATCAGGGGCGCCTGCTTGGCGGTGGACGGGATATTCGATCTGTATAAATACATGGTCAAAAGGCGGCTGATAGTCAAAACCGCAACGTTGATCGTGACGCCCCATGCATCGTGTACAGGTTAGTGGCCGAGGGGCGACACGCCGCAGAGGACGGAGAAAATGATGGCGATGTTGCGCGCTTTACTTCGGGGGAAGACTAGCCACAATGAGCTAGTCTGCTCCTCCTTACGTTAATTCGAGCGTCCCATCACCTTCCCAGGGTCCAGCGGTTCCGTGAGGAGAGCGCAAAATTAGGCAGACGAACAGCGGTCTAGGACCGCATCATGACAGCCCTGAAGCAGATTGGCTGTCTACGCGTGGGTACGACAGTTCTAGTCGATGTACGCGTGATGTGAGCAGGTGTATAGCTGTTAAAATAATACTAGGCTACCATCGTGTTGTGCTAATAGCTCATCATGATCAGTGGCGGTGGTGGCGGATAGCAATCGCTTCCGCGGGAATTCTGACAGCTGGAATAGCCGAGGCGCCTGACCAGGTACCGCGGCCCAGGAAGGCACTCGATGCCGGATTTCTACCGCAATGACCCAGTCGGGCGACAACACCGAGGTTTATTCGTATCTTTCACGACCTCGGGCTCCGCTCAAGTCAGACATGAAGGCGTTTGCGGTAGTAATGGTATGTAAAATTATCAGCTTCCGATGAGTCGGGTTTGGGATGTTCAAGACACACGGAGATTGAAGCGCTAACGTACCGCGCTGAATTTTCCTCCCTGACCGCATGCTTTCATTTTAGCTCAAAAGACGTCATTTGCAGACGATATCCGCCGGCTTCTAAAGGGTAACTGACAATATTCATGGGCCAACTTGAATGACCGGCTCCACGGCGAGTCGGATGGGAAGCGAGACGAGGTCGGAAAAGAAGCAAGACGAGTCGAAGGCCGGCAAATGAGGCTGCTCGAAAAGTGTGCGCCAGGTCCGTCATCGCAAGTGGGACAACAAGAAAGCCTAAGGTCATAGACCGACTCGCCGGCGATCAAATCGCACACCATCGCGAAGGATCTCTGCGTCCACATCTGCGTGCCCAGCTGCAAACTCAAGGAGTTGCTCCTCAAGTCGATACTAGTGCACTCACAGTTTATCGATATCAAACACTGCGTTGCGCGTAATTGCCGCAAGGCGCGGCCACTAGATGATACCCGTCCGGCAAACTTCACGTGGAACATCGTTAGCGTCCGACATTGCTCGGAATGCGGGGAACTTGAGATGCCTACTTGCTGATGCACTGCTCCGACCGCTCCACGTAACATCGCATCTATCCCTTGTTGAAGAATCTACCCGTGCCATCACCAGCATCGCGTGTGGTGGACAGGCCCATTGAGTATCGCGCGGAATCAAAAGGAGGAATTGAACATGCCAAGTTTGGTGTGCCCGAGAGGTCACATTCGCGGACAGCGTAGGACATGTTGAGAAGATGTGCGGTATATCCCCATCTGCTCGACGCTAGTGGCTGGCACAGGGCATGAAGCAGAAGATAAGCCGCAAAGGCCACTGCCCTGGTGCCAACGCCGTCGCTATCTCAAATGCTGCCAGGAAATGTGCATGCACCAGAACCTTCGTTCATGACAGCGCAGTCTCGAAACTGTCGTCAGTAGATCTTTCGTCACAGCGAGGAGGAAGACCGGATACAGCCTTGATGTATGGCATTCGCTGCGTCGACGCGATGGCGACGCTCGGACAAACATTCGTAAATAACGCGTATGTAATTGCCTCGACGCGTGACCCGCGTTTGTTGTGACTTCCCACCCCCAAAGACCCTTTCAGCCATACGCAGACATACAGTCCTGCCGGCCGCGCAACTCGACTGGAGCACATACCAATAATGTTTCAGCATACTCTTTTGTTCCCGTCGCCCAGTACGCCTTCGAGGCCCTCACGGCACGCCGGCTACGCTCACCAGCCCCAGAACTCCTCTCCCCTTGCGTCTTCCATACCCTCTTCGCCGACATCGTCCCCAGGAGCCGAAGCATCTGCACGACGGCGTTCACAATACAAGAGTCATGCTCTAAGTTCGCCCACTGCCACACGCACGCGACGCCGCGTCACACTGGGTGACCTGTCCGCCCCGCGTTTCGGCCCAGATGACACGCCCGCCAAGGCAGAGGAGGCACCCCGTAAGACTGTCCTGCGGGAGCGCTTGCGCGCACGGTGTTTAGAGCGCGCTCTTCGTGACAGAGAGCGCAAGATCGCGGGCAGGCGCCACGCCCGGAGCGAGGCAAGCAGCGACGGGGACGATGATATCATGGAAGACGACGACGACGATGAGGAGGAGGACGACGAGGCGGTGATCAATGACGAGGTACTTGCCACTCTTTCATTCCCAACAATTCCCAACAGCGTGGCACTGGCACTGACTGGCGGCGGCGGCGTACGCAGCTCTTTCGTCGGCTGATTGCGAACGGGCGGCGGAAGCAGCAGCACCAATATCGGCTCTCGTACGCGTACGACGTCGGTTCCTCGTTCGACCCCGACATGGAGGACATCAATGAGTGGGAGCAGGGTCCGCTCGGTGCGTTCTGTTCCATCTCCGCTGGCCTTGTGTCGTGCCCAGCCGATAAGATGACCGCTCCCCACCAATTGTGCCGGGATGTAACGTCTTATCGCTTGGGGATAGACGGGTGCAATGCCCTGCTTCTTTCCGCTTCCGTCGGTCGGTGAAGGCTGACCGGGTGCTCTTCGCTTTCGCCGCGCAGACCCGCCACCGATCAGCACCACGCCTGAGGACCTCGACGAAGAGGAGCTTGCAGCATACGCAGAAGAAGCAGCGTTACTGGAGGATCTTCGGCCTGAAGACCTCTACAGCCTCAGCGACCTAGACGCCTGGGATGTGCCCGAGGCACCATTGCCGCCACTGCCGCACGACAAGGGAAAGGGCAGGGAGCTCCCTCCGACGACGGACGGCGATGTCGATATGACGACGTCGTGAAATCATGTATTCGGACAACAACTTCCATTTTCGTCTGGCATGGGTGCATTGTTCAGTGTTCTCAAAATAATCTTGGAACAGTACTGCCTCGTTCGTGGCAGTGGATTGCAGTCCACGTTACGGCGTGTTTGAGCTGTACCGGAGACTCATGGCGGCGCATGTTCCTTGTTAGCAATGATGCATCTTGACATCTCAACCGGCTGCTGCTCCATACAGCCTGTATGCTGTCCTTCTCCCGCGAGTCTATTCAGCGAGATCATGCAAGGACCCGAATTGCATCCGAGTGAGGCGGTTCTTGCAGAACCCTAGCTTGCGATACGCACGCATGCTTCATCTCATCGGGGCTGAGCAAGTATGTACGTGAACCAAGATCAACGTTGACGATGATATACATTGAGACCCATGGACGAGATCATGACTAACTACAGGACGCTACATAATTACAACGGGGATGCATACACGTTAAGGTCATTACGACGTAATTGGCTGCGTACATATAATAGCAGGATGCATAGGATTTCATATCCAGGTCCATTGTGCACATCTATATGTCACTGAGAAGCTGTAGAGCACGAACCGATGAATGCATGAGTCCGAAATAATAATGCGCACCGACCACAACTCCTTATCATCGTACACCAACGCCTGCGACCCCGCGCGAGAAGTTGCCACATTTAGCCCGCGCCGGACTCATCTTCATCGCCCTCCCACCGCTTCTCCAGTCCTACGCGTCCATCTCCGTCGCCGTTCACGTATAGCCATGCCTCGAGCCGGCGGCCCAGCTCGCCACCGCGCCCGCCACAAATGTCGCCCGTCGCATTCAGCAGCTTCTCCTTCTCCTTCTCAACCGCAACGACCTTCTTCGGCAGGCCCTTCGCGCGTGCGGGGTTCTCGACCTTCGGCAGCTTCTCGTTGTCGCTCGCCGAATCGGTGAGCGTCGGCGACCCAGACGTGCGCGAGCTCGGCGTCGCGCTGCCCACGGGCGTGTGCTCGTCCACCGTGGTGTCTTCCCAGCTCTTGAACCAGTCCTCCTCCTCTTCCTCAGGACCCAGGATGCTGGGAACGAGCCCCTCCTCCCACCCATCCCACTCGATGCACCGGTGCGCCATGCGTAACCGCGTGCCGTGCACTTCATGGTACAGCCACTCAGCAGCGACGGCGGCTAGGTCCACCTTCGTGCCGTTGACCGGGGTCTCGCACGGGTGCCGCGCCATCCTCTCAACTGTGGCCCGGAAGATCTTCGCAGTGAACGGGCTCGACTGCAGGAAGGTCGGAACATGCGCGCATGCCCACAGTGGGCGCGTCGTGGTAGCTTCCCAGTCAATGATGCATGTCTGTGACAGGCACCTCATCAGTAGCCAATAGACAACACACCAAGGTAACACTTACAATCTTCGAGTTGTCGTGCTCGTCCACGAACACGTTCTCCAAGCTCAGATCGTGGCAATCAAGCCCGAATTCCTCCCCACCGCCCGCCACACCCTCCTCGTGGCTCACGACGGTGAGCCGCTCCATCATGTGCACGAACCGCTCCATCTCGTGGCGTACCTTCTCCTCGCGCTCGCGCAGGTGCGCGACGAGGAACGTCGTCCGCTGCATCCGCCGGTAGTCGCGGTACATCGAGTCGCCCGGACCCTCCCACTCGCCCTCGCTCTCCTCCCAATCCCACTCATCGCTCGTGTCGCTCTCGTCGCCCGCCAGCGCCTCCACATGGTGGTGCCGCGACGCTGCGATCTCGCCCGGGTCCAGGTGCAGCCGGTGCGGGGCCGCCTTGCCCTCATTCTCGAGCACCACGCCGCGCACCTCGCGCTGTGCACATGCATGCAGGTACGCGTGAGTCGTCCGCCACGGACCGCGATCGATCTCCTTCGGGTGGGTGAGGTCCCCGCGGTGCGAGCCGAAGAACGGCCACGACACGATGGGCCCGACGTGGAACTGGGTGGAGGTCGACGCGCGGGCGGAAGCCGACAGCGCGTGGCGCACAAATTGAGGCTGATATGAGGCGACTGTCGGCGTCGGCGCAGCAGAGTCATGCACTGGGTCGGGGTCCGGTCCGACATAGAGGGAGCCGATCCGCGGGAAGCGGTGTGCAAAGAGCGGGACGATGAGTGCCGCGATGTTGTCCATCAGCGTGATCAGCTCGTTGTGCGGCATGGATTGGAACACCTTGGCTAGCGGGACGCCGGGGGCCTACGTAGAGCATCAGTCTGCGATATACAGGAAACACGGGGGCGAGCACACCTTGGACATGATGATGTACTCGCCGCCGAGGCGATTGTATGGGTTCGCGTCGTAGTGGTAGACCGTGGGCACAGGGATGTCCGTGTGTTCTCGCAGGTATTGCATGGTCGCGATCTCCGACTCGGTCTTCAGGCGAGGCATGAAGCGGCGAGCGACGCGAGCAACTACCTCACGACCATCGCACAGTGTGATAGCGTAACCCTAAGATAGAGATTGAACAGGTCAGTGCTCGACGTAAATTGCATATGGGCACACAGAGTGGGGCCACAGGCCTAATCAGACATGGGCAGAGAGAAGACGAATGTCTCGCAGCAAACATACATCCACTGTCGGGTCTGTAAGTCGCAGGTCTAGAGCAAACCGCTCTACAGCAGTCGTGTAAAGCTTGACAATGCTTGTCGTCAGCACAAGTCAAGTCTCCTCCAATCAGTGAAATGCCATGAGAAAGGAAGCGCCTTTAGACCCTTGTTCTCCGACTGTATGATCCGAGTCTATGGGATTCCGACGATTCATTTCGCTGCCATCCCTTTACAAAGTGCGCCCGACAAGACACCGGCGGCGCGCAGGGAGATCCGAAGAGCAAATGACGAGATTTCGCGTAGCCTATATCTTTGTGTAGGCAGTTGATTGGGGAATGGTAACAAACCCAGTTGTTTAATCACGACCACACGACGGAGATGAAACGGCGTTCTTCCATATCGCTCTCACACTGAGAGCGGGACCGAGCCCTCTGCAAGAATGACTGTGATGACCATCTGCCTCCGAGAGCAGGCTTCAAGTAACACCGAGGCCTCGAGGCCTTCATGATCGATACGTCCTTAGTCCGAGTCGAGTAAAGTGAGACCCACCTTGTGGAATGTCCCTAACGAGCGAGCCGCCGACGTTAGCCCCTCGGACTGCGCCTCAACGATGGAGACACTCACCTGCACCCAGGAACCTGACCCGCACGACGTCTGTGCCCATCCTCTCCTGCACAATGTCCTTCAGGAGCTTACGGTCCACCTGAAATGGCGGATGGCCATGAATGGCGGCATCCGCCTTCGCTTCCTCCTTGCGGTCGGCGTGCTCGATATCCCAGTCCCAGACAAGCGGTGGTTTCGTACACAAGTCGGGCTGCATAGGCGTGTGCAATGCAAAGGTCTCCGAGGACGCCACTGGGATGTTCGGAAGCGCTATGGGCGCGAGGTTGTCGCGGTGCATGGCTGGTATACCAGCTGTGGCTGACGCTGCAGTGTTCATTCGCAGAGCTTTGTTGCCAGAAACTCGCCAGTGCGCGGGGGATTTCGTCGAGTGCAAACGGTAGAGGCTGCGTAGATATAAGGCTCGAAGCCGTCGGCTGGTGGTTCTGATTGAAATCACGTACTTGAGTTTCTTGGGGAAACCGCGCTCGGCGTGTTCACGTTCGCTAACCGCCGCATGTGATAGAAGGAGCGCGGGCATGATGTCCTCCTGTGTCGCGGCTACGAACACGCAACTTTGAATTATTTCTTTCATGCTCTTGGCTATATATACATGATTCTATCTACACCGCCGCACGCCGCAAGGGCAAGGGCAAGGGCAAGGGTAATCCGCCGCTCTGTCTCCGCACATCGCAAGAGTTGCATCCCCACCGAACGTGCACCGAAGACGAATTGGTGCAATCCTTCGGCTTTTCGGATATAAGTTCGTCATCGGCCCTGACTATGTTAGGCGCCGCTCAGCGCCGTCGACGCAATTGTCAGCATTCTTTGATCAAGATCAGGGCGCTGCGCACCAAAAATGGCGTTTCCCCGTGGGCAAGGGGCGGGCTTGGCCTTGGCAAACTTCCAATATCGGACAATTCCGTCGCACCGCTCGTCTACAGGCGAACAGGAAGCGAAATACCAGTACTGCGAGCAGCGCGCCGAGGTGCCAGGACGTGCACACTTGAATGCATGGCAACAGGAAGAGATACGACCAGAGATAAGCACCAGAGTCATGTAGATCCGACCGCGCCTTCGAAAGTGGCGCGGTGGGCCTCGCCCACCTCCCCGCTAATCGTGGGCCGAAGTGGCAAAGAGCAATTAATTGCAGTGTGGGGTGTGGACCCGAAGGTGAATTGAGCGCGTCTTGCCGGTCGCACTGGTAATACTGCCGAGACGCATAGGCGCGATCCCGGGCGCGCACAATGGCGGCTGCCAGTCTGCCTTTGATGACTTGATGCTACGGCCTGCGCTCGCCCTCCCGCGGGAACTGGAGAAGGAACTCACTGCATTGCTTTCGGACTTAGAGCGGGCCTCTGTGGCGCGCCATATCCGCGTCGGTGAGGGCTGCTCCTAATCGTGTGAAGGCGGCAGTCGCGCTGCTTCATATTGTCCAGAGTGAGTCAGCCCGCCTGGCGAAGAGGGCGGGCACCGCGAACACAACTCTCGGAACTACGAGGTCCGGTGACACAGTGATATAGAGTGTTTTCATATAGGTTCCGGGTGCGGGAAGATACGCCAAGGCGAGTTACCGAGCAGTGGGCTCTCCAAGTGGGGCTCGGTCCCGATCGAGATACTATGTGCCGCGGGGTAGTCTGAGGCTGGATGCATCTAGTCCACTGCCAGCCCTCAGTCACAAGATGACACGACCCCCGATCCTGAGAGGGTATACCTAGTAGAACATGTCAGGTAGGATATCTGAAATTCTGCAAGGGAGCCCTCTGTTTAGGTAGTCAAATACAAAAGCAGGATGTCCTGAACAGGAAAGACTATAAGCTAACGCTGTATCGTGAAGTCCGTCATGAAGGCTCAGTGATGAATGTGTACGTTGCCAGGTCGAGGGACATACTGTGTATACGTCCGAAGCGACCGAACACTGCTCGAGGTCACTTCTTTACGGCATTATCGCAGCCGCGGCTTGGCTGAGCGTAGAGCGCGTGTTATTCCCTCGAGCCTCCGCAAACTGCACAGGAGACATGGTGTAGCCCAAATTTACAGCAGGCAAGTCAATATATGACCTCGAGACCAGCATGATCTCACCTCGGTCGCTAAATTCATGCTGGTTTCAAGATACTACCTGCGCATATGTATGCGTTTGAGACGTTAACGGAGGTCTCGCAATGCCAAGACACTCAAAACTGATCATATATGTTCTTGGTTCATTGCAGGTGTCTGCCAAGAAATGATAGACGAGAGCTCCATGAACAAAAAGTACTTGTCCAGGATACTTCAAAAAGCGCCGAAAATTATTTGCCTGCCTGCTTGGTGCCACTGAAATGATGCGGGAAGTCTATCGAAAATACGGTGATGCGACGCACCATGACAATGACTGCTGCCTCGAAGCACTGCACAGGAAGACATAGGCGTCACGAGCATGGATGCTCGGACGGATCGGAGCGACAAGCACTTACCACTAGTCAAGAGAGACAAGGCTTTTCATACGGGTGGACTGTATGCGCTATGGAGGCGATTTTCAAATCGCTACCGACGTTTACTGGGGTGTCATTAATGTAATTGATTGACTTGAAAAGGTTGCACCAGATACACCGACCTGTTATGTCGGAGATGAGACCAGAAGCGCACTTGATTTACGCACAGCCGCACACGGGATGTACCTCACTTTTCAATGGACGTTTCAGATGTCACCGCAGATGAGATTTGGTGTCACGAATCCGAGTCGAGCTGGCAGCGGAACAGTGGCGGAGCTAGAATGGCCGTTTGAGCGAAGCTGTAACGTAGAAGTGTGGCTTGTTCCCGTTTCTCCCCGCTGCTCCATTGTCCTTGAACATTAACCCCGCATCTAGAACTCTGATCATACATTGAAGGCCTGGTGCGATCTCCATGGTGTTATTCCTTTCTGAACAGTAGATTTTGAGCCAAACCTAGCAGTTGGCAACACCCAGCGAACTGGCACGCGAATTCGTCCATTCATCAACCGAGTCTCGAAGTGAGTGCAGAAACCTGTTGTAGCAACCATCTCAGATTGACCGGCCTGACCATGTGGGTCTAGCCCTCTTAACGGCGGCACAGGGGCCGAATCTCACACGAGGCCCACTGTCGCTTTCCCCAGATCACTCCCTCTTCCGGCAGTGCCATTTGGTTTCTCCATGTCCTACTTCCACCTACCCGAGCCACCAACGCAGGCAACGCTCGCCGACGCCCGTAGGCAGCTTGTCCACCAGCGCAAGTCAGTTCAAGCGCTATCCACCCAGATCCAGGCCGCCGAGGACGAGCTCGCGCGCATTGTCAAAGAGCGGCGGTCTGCTATTCGCGAGCTCGAGACCGAGCGTGCTGCCCTCGAGGAGGATGTCTCAGCTACCCTTGCCTATGTTGCGCCGATCAAGCGCCTTCCCCACGAGCTGCTTCGCCACATCTTCTTGCTGAACTTTGAGGAGTATCCCTGCTGCGCATGGGTCCTCTCAGCTGTCTGCTCGCTGTGGCGGAGGCTGGTACTTTCAATGCCCGCATTATGGTCGAAGGTGAGTGCCCCAACTTCAATGTGGCTTTATGCAAGACTAGCGAGCCCAGCAATACCTGCGAGTCGTTGAAGAACAGTCGACCGTTGCTGCTGTTCCGCCATTGAGGGGCGAGACGATCTGCATTGACCGGTCCCAGGGTATTGGTCGTCATTTCCAGCCCAGAGGCACGTTCAGACAGAGGCACACGGGCGCTACAAACCCCATGCCCCAGTAGATCTGCCACTGGAGTCATGGAATGCAAATGAATATTCATTATCCCCGACAGACGTGGATGAGGACAAACAGCATCGCTGTTGCGGTTTAGGATGCAGATGCATTCATCTCAGGGTTCGATCAATGTCCGTGCTTGACGTGCTTGTGCATGCGGCTTGCGATCGAATTCATGACTTGTATCCATCTCCGGAAGTCCCTGCATTAGGTTCTATGGACATCCTCGTCGTCATCTTCATATCAGGGGCGTTCGCCTTGAGGCTTCGAGCACCGACGATCTCCATTCTCCACTTGGCCATGCCTTCTTACTTCGCGCTATCGAACGTATTCTGACCAAATGATTCAAGATCCGCCTTGTGACCACACAAGCAGCCTCCCCAGACACGATCCGCCTCTGGCTTGAGCGCTCAGGGACAACGGTGTCCCTCGACATCGAGATCTTCCTCCGCTCACAGCCCATCACCGCAGCAGGAGTGGAGCCCACGTTCCGGCGGCGGCTGACATCCCTCACGTCGCACTCGCTTACAGACTGGGGCCTCGGCGGGACATGGGCGCAGCCGCCGCCCTTGGTACATGCCTCGCTCGGTGCCGCAGGGACGTATGTACAGGTGCCACAGACGCCAGGGATCCACATCTTCCCCCTTCAGGCGACCGCGGGCGCAGGCCTACTTGTGACGAACGCGCCGAACGTCTTGTCGGCGACAGCGACGCACGCCCAGGACGACCTGTGGGGCATGCCACCGTTGGTGTCCACGGAGCGCGCGAGTGTGCATCAGCGGTCAAAAAAGAACATGCACTGGGGGCACATCGCGTTCTTCTACCTCGTTGAGCAGATGCACCGGTGGGAGCGCTTTGTGTTTCGTTTCGACAAGCAGTTCGCGTCGATTGGGGCGCTGAAGTCGATAGAAGGTATGTGCCTATGACGACTGTTTACGACGTGGTATATTTGACGAGTCTATATAGGCGATGCGCCTCTGCTGCGTGAGTTCGAAGTATCGTCGGCAGACCCGGCGTTCTACGGCGACTGGAAATGGCTGCCGTCTATGCCAGCGAATGCGTTATGCAACATATCGAAATTGCGCACGCTGACACTGCAACATGTGCCGTTCAAGTGGTCGTCACCCATGCTGCGCAATCTACGCACACTTTCAATCCGCACGCTACCCACATTGCACCTTCCACTAGACCGGATCATGTTCATGATCGCGGCGAGCCCGCAAATGGAGACGCTCACGTTGCACTTTGGCTCGCCGACGCCGCCGGTGCTCCCGCTCACGTTGACTACGCTCTCGGAGCTCAAGTCGCTCACGCTAAGTGGGCACTACCTGCTATCGACGCTGGTCGAGGCGCTGTGCCTGCCCGCGCTGGACAGCCTTGTGCTGGACATCGAAGCGCGTGAGCCGATCGAGGATGTCGTGTCGACGCTGTTAACGCGGTCGGGCAATCCGCCATTGATGCGTCTCTCGCTGGCGTACGCGTCGACCAGCGCGTTTTACTACGGCGGGGGCACGGGCGTCACGTCATGGCACTTCCTCCAAGAGCTCGACCATCTGCGGACGCTGCAGATCGGCAGTGCGCCGTTCGAGCCATTGCTGAGCGTGCTCGCGGGGCAGGACGAGGACGGACAGGGGCAACCTGACCATTGGGTGTGTCCAAACCTGACGGCGCTTGCGCTACGCGGGTGCCACTCGCACGGGGACGGCGTGCAGAAGCTCGTGCAGATGGTTGAGGCGCGCAACCCGGATGCCGGCAGCTTGAGCACGTTCGCGCATGTGGGGCCTGCACGCCTGAAGCATCTGGAGCTGTACGATTGCGCGGCGCTGGGCCCCGACGTGCTCAAATGGCTGAAGGAGCGGATCGACGATGTTGTGTGCACGGAGCCCACGTTTGAGGGGTGAGCGTGTGTCTGCTGGCTGCTCCGTAGCGCCGCCGTACTCATGCGTGTCTGGTAGCAGCTCCCCACGGAGTCCTGGCTATCATTATCTATAAGTGTTTCTCTAGTTCACTGGTCTATCTGTATCGTGTATTACACAATCTGTCTTTGGGTTTGAGGGTTCGTGTCCAATGTTGTGATTCACCCCCTAATTGTATCTGGTCCACAAGGTGGTATTGTAATTTGCATTTGCGCTATTGTTGGAAAACAACGCTTTCCCTTGCATGTATACTGTCGTACACGAGTGACCTGATACACAAATAACGCAATTCGATTGCATCTAACGGGGATTGCCTATGATACACACAATGGGGACAGCATGACTAATGCGCACAGCAAACGTAAGGTACAAGTGGATGAAGAACGGTTGAAGTAGCTCCAATGGAAATGAAGGATAATGGGCTATTAGAACTCATTTCTTCCCCGCCTCGATCGCGTCACCATTCTTACATGCCACAATCTTTATCTTGGGAGCACCAATGATATCATTCGATTCCATCTTGAACTGAGGGTTCTTGACGATGAATGTCCACACATCGTCGCACAACCGGTATGTGTGAAGATGGCCCTACGTAGAGGGGCGAGATCTGCATGAGCAGGACGAGCAGAGGTACAAACAGGTACCGGAGGACGAACCTTAAGCGTAGTCTTCTGCTTAACCATTTTGACCATGGTATCCGCCAGGGACTTGTCAAACTGGAAGGGGGCACTGCGTCAGCCACTATATGGGCGCGAGAGAATGAGCCACAGGACCTGCTGTAGAACCTTCATAGCCAGCTGCGGCGTTATTGCTCCGCTTGTAATCAGCTCGTCTAGTGAGTCTGTAAGGGCCATTCCAATACTGCAGCCCGGTATGCTAGTTCTTCGGATGCAACTGCGAACGTAGCGCATGCACTCACGAAGACCCGCGGTAGAACTCGTAGTATGCTGAGGCCATTGTGGGCTACACACGCAGTCTCTGTCTTTGGGTTACAGTTGAAGGTAGGACGAGAGGTAGACTGAGGGTCAGGCTACCGAAGACACCGATGAAGGAGTCCGAGAACGTTTGCCTCTCTTGTCGCCGCTGGTGCGCTGACTTACCCGGGTGACGTTCGTGACATTGATCGGTGTGATTCGATCCTCGGCCGTCACACCACAATGTCACGTCTCCTCGGTCTCGTCAAAGTCCTTGCTCAGCTGACATCAGGTTCACTTTTGTTTCGATTGTCTTGTTTGCTAAACGTCTCTGGTGCAGTCCACACTGGGTAACTACATCAGCCGCTAAGAGTACCAAAATACTTCAGTGAAGCGCTTTAGTGAGTCGGGACACTCAGAGTAACACCCTGAGCAAGATTGAACCTCGCTCGCGCACGTCGAAGCCTTCTGAAATCCGGCTGGTTGGAGTATCACTGAGCGGGTGCTAATTGCTGCGGGAACATTGTCGAACAGGAGGGACGAGTGCAGATCTCACTTAGCGAACCAAGGCATGTACCTTCTCGGAGGTTGTGATGTCCGTGTTTTCGCTTTCCCAGACATTTCTCAATGTTTATTGTACAGAATACATTTCGCGGTGTAACGCAAAGATTTGTTCTGTTGCATGGGTGTAAAGATCTTCTCGTGCACAGCGTAATCACTACCAACCGGTGTGCAGGCTTGCAATCGCACGTTGTGTCTCTACTCTGTCCGACGACAGCTCAACTGCTGGAAGTGTTTGCTACGCAACGTGCACTTGGCAAGCCGCTCATTGAGGTCAAAACCGGTGTTGTCGTTTCGTTCTCTCCAACAGGATCTTTGAGGTGCATGTCGAACAAACGCCTTGATGCCGTTGCACGCAAAGATATCAACAAGCAATATGCAGTGCCGTCCCGGTCGATCAGAGCTTAGCACCGACATCGTCCCAAATGGCAGCACAACCCAGCACATGATTCCCCACGTATAAACTGAGCGCGGTCTGCTTTCCCAAAAACATTGGCGAAGAAGATCGCAGATCCGGTGCTAGATGAGTATGCACATATTGATATGAAGCACCAAATGATCATGGATGAACTACAGTCGAGCCTTCTATTTAAACGCCCTGCCGGAAATGAGGTTACCCTTACGTGAATCTCATTTCATGCTGTTCATGGTGCGTTGACACTTCGTCTGATTCATATGGTTACTGGAACTTCTCGCGCACCTGATTCTGAGACAGACTTGTAACATTCAATGTCATCTTGGTTCCAGTAGATGCGCCTTACGAGACAGTCAGTGCTGTCGCTTCTTGCCTTTGCCTTGAGATAGTACGCCCCGGTCTAGTCGTGATATAGAACCGGACGCGCGGCATACATCGAGCTTTGACAGCTTCCCAGCCTTTTAATCTCCGTGGCAGCGCACAGCAGTGTTTTGTTGATATGGCAAATTATCATCCAGGTAGCGGTTGACTTGATCGGTGTACAAGTCGGTTTACTGCCCCTGTGGCGTTTTCTCTTCTCTTGGCATCTCGACACTGAGACTACGACGACAAGTTGGGACTCTATCATTTGCCTCAGTCCTTGCTCAGAAAACCATGACATCCGAGAACCGTGGAGCCAATGTCATGCCGTAATCAGGAATCGAGCGACACAGAGCTTCTTACATACGTGGACAGGTGTTGGTATCGCCAATGGATTTCGGAGACCAAGTTTGGTCCAACGGTGCACTGTATCTGGAGGCAGAAGCTCATCTCGTCCGCTCAAATCCGAAGAAGCCAGTGGGAAACGAGTCGCGTGCGCTATCTACCACGATGTGGTCCGACGCCGAGTACAGCAGTTCCCGTTCAATTACGCTATGGCACTATCTAGAAGTCGTTAAGGCGCCTGCCGTTTCCTGCATGCGCGATATCCATCGCCATGTGTACGATCGGAACGCTGTGGAAGAGGTGTCTGCGCACTAATATAAGGCGCAGATATCCAGATATCTGGCTCGAGATAGGCTTTCCCTGGTTGTGAGCGGCCAATGCCCGGCGCGACAGCGCAAAGCGATGCCTTCGACAATAACTGTAAGCGGATTGCATCCTCACATCATCAGGTCTCTGCATTGAATCGACTCGGACTCGGTCAAATCACCTTTAATCAGTGACATTCAAATTCGCGGCAGGAGCCACTTGTTTCTTGGTGTACGACACGGTGCTGCATGTTGCCGATGAGGTATGCGTCCCTTTCGGCCTAGAGTTTATTCTTGCCTTGACGCACACGGGTTTATGGTGGCAGGTCGAATATATATGGAGGTCAGCAATAGCACACCGCGTTGCATGAGACATTGTGCCATTTCATATCTCCTTAAAGCGGTCAAGGCATCTGGGTAAAATACGCGTACGCCTTTGTGAGACATCTACCATATCTTGTACAAGGGTTTGTATCTGCCTAGCACCTCTGGCGTGATTCTCATAGATCTTGCGCGTCATAGGTCTATTCTAGCTATGATTGCGGCCTCGGACGCGGGACACGCATGGAAACCCGCTCAATGTCAAGACTGGATAATTTACCAACTCTCCTTTAATGAATGTCTTACAGTCGTTGTTGAAGCTATCCTTATTGTCCGTAGTGCGTACTATCACTGCCCTGACTGCTGGCACTGCCATTGATGCGCTGGTTTAGTATATGCCTTGTTCAACCACAATGTACCCATTCTCACCCTTATCGCGGTGCTCTATGTCGGCGAAATCACAGCCATGGTCACGGTGCTCGCATTGAGCATACCGAAAATGACGTTCACCTCCCAGTGCGTGATAACATCCACACCAGTTGTCTTCACGTCCTACTGGTGCGTGATCTTGTGATCTCAGCTCGGGTCTGGACTCATGCCTGCGGCGCTCAGGATCATATCTCTTAGCTTCGAAACTCTGCTATTTGCTCTGACAATCATCAAGTTCTGTACCAGCATCAGCCATTCGGCCCTTGGGCGCGGTTCCATTCTGTTCGTCCTTGTACGTGACGGAACGTGGGCCTATGCCATTATCTTCGGTTCGTGATTTTTGACTGTGCTCATGCACAAAAGCTGACTATCGAGCAGTAATCATGCTAACGAACACATTGCTATACCACCTAGTCGACAATCCCTTGGCCGGGCTTTGTTTCTTGTGCGTCAGATATGCTCCCTGTACGGAAGGGATCATCCTCCTGACTCCGTTCCATACCAGCTGGCAGCTTTCAGTCATGTCATTTGCAGTATGTAAAGCATTAGCACCCTGGGGTTGCGCTACTCACTCCTATCGCAGGGCTCTCACGTTCTCCTCAATCTGCGGCGTCTCGCTGTGCGTCATACTACACATTACAGGCGCAGCATCTGGACCGCCGGCAGTGCACACACTATGCAGTTTACTCCGCGGTCGACTTTCATGTCGGACAGGATGTCCGACAACGATATCGAGCTTCATGTAATTCAACCCCGGATGGACAATGGGCTCTCGGACTCAGATGATACGACTTAATGTCTCAGAGACAATTTTATGTTACTGCAGTGTAGCTACGGCGTTGCAACCATTGAATTTGCCGCTTTGCCTCACGAGTCTCCGCCGAAGCCCACAAGGACCAACTGTCACCTACATGCGAAGCGTGACCATTCCGGCTCGGTCGATGTTCTAGCAAAACATCCGGCTTTAATCACCGCGACTCCCATGTATGTATTTCAAAAAGCAATCTAGTTTAGACGGGTGTCAAGAATTACTAGAATTAGCGTAAACACCCCGGGGTTTTCTGCAGTATGACTCGTTCAAACACAACGTGTAGGTACCCCTGCAGGATTATGGCGCAGTGCGTTCGGTGAGCTCGTCGGACGTAGGTGGCGAAGCTAGCTAAGATGAAAAGCAGAATGAATGTTGTATGGCCTTATGTATCTGACAGCGTCATTACTATATGCGCGACACGCATTCGAACTGGCACGCCCGACGGTGAACGATGGTCGAGGGTCTATACACGAGATTTCGTAGACACAAAGATGATGCGGGGGACATTCGAGTTGCCCGTGCGCGGAGCGTTGATCAACGAACACTAACTCTGACGTGTTTCGACGTGTTCGTCAAGCGCGGACTCCTCCACCATACTGCGTTGAGGCCTTACCCCAGAGACAAGCGTTGGTTTTTAATGCCAAGGAATTATACAAGTATTGAGACCATTACAATTATATCGGAGAGTTTTTGGTGCATCAAAGGCAGATATGTAAGAAGCACAACAAGGTAGTCCTGAATCAGCGTACACGATGCATGAGATTCCAAAGGATAAACCCCCACAACACACACGTTATGCGGCGGCTACCGCCGTTTGCTCTAGTGTAGATGATATAGCGTCCTGATTACGCCCTGCGTGGTCCAAAGTCTGTGTATGCGTGAGATTGATACCTCTGCCTACCAATAGCTTGCGAGGTTCGAGCTTAAAGCGCTGCTTGACCTTCGCCTGTTTCTTCTTGAGCCGCTCCTTGCATCGTGCACACAGGGTGCCAGCATAATTCGCAGGAAGAGAGCGATGGCAAGATTTATTGCCACATATCTGCACGTGAAGAACGTCGTCAAAAAGTTGTAGAGTTTGGCATATGAATGACTTACCGCTGTGGCCGGAGTGGGTTCTGCCAGAGTCTCTTGAATACTCGGCGATGCAGCGGGTTCACCTGCGATGTTCCCGTTCGTTGTGGCAAGAGTAACAGACGGCACAGAGGGAGCAGACGAAGCAGGAGCGGCAGGAGGCAGCTGAGGCGCAGCTGGGTGCTCGATGTGGTGCTCTCCTGCAGTTGCCTGGCGCTTGTTGATATTAGACGCCGAAGCTTCAGAGTCCTGGTCGAAATGTCGCTTCCGCCTTGGGGCTGCTGCCACAGAAGTCGGTCGATTGTGAGGCTCGCCGGTCTTTGCAGAGAATGCGCTGAAATAGGTCGATGCTGAGGGGCTTGCGCTCGAACCGTACGATGCCAGGGTTTGGTTGAACGTCTGCGAAGCGGCAGTGTACTCTGTTCGCGACACGAAGTCGGCAGACACCTGGTACAGGGGTCCAGAAGGGGGAGGTGGCGGGGCGTATGGCTGACCATAGGGAGGTGGATAAGGGTACGGTTGGCCATATGGGCCATACGGAGATTGATACATGGGGCCAGGTCCATAGGGAGGGCGGGCATATTGGTAAGGCGTATACGGGTAAGGCGACGGCTGACTGCTATAGTAGGGAGGCATGTAGTAGGGCATATACGATGATGGCATGGAGGGGGCCCCTGGTGGCGGAACCTCGTGATGGATAGGTAGTGGTGAAGCAGCTGACGCGGGCGGAGCTGTTACGGTAACGGACGGTGGTAAAGGCGGATGGGAAGGCTCGGCCAGGACTTGGGGCACGCGCTCCGACGCGGCATGAGGAGTAGGAACCGGCGACGTTTGATGAAGCAACTCAGGTGGCTGGGTGCCCTCAGCAGGAGCCGAAGGTGTCGAATTCGTGCTATCGCCGGATGTGTTGGCCGACGCAGCCGCTGCTTTCTTTCGCCGTGAGCTCTTCTTACTCGTAGGCGCCGTAGCCGCACTTTCCGCCCCCAGACTTGCTATCTGGTCTGCAGAAATGAGGAAGAAAGGATCAGAGCCCGGCGGAGAAAGGCCAGTTTCATGAGGAGTTTGTTCTTGTACAATTGAGGGGGCTTCGTCAAATGATGGTGGCGGCACCTAAGATAGAATATGAGTACTGATGACGACAGTATAGTATACCTGGCGAAGGAGCCTCACCGAATCGGCTAGCAGGGGATCCATGAATACAAGTGCGGGCTGTACAGTAGTCAACTGCTCGATAGGTTCAGGCTCCGAGGAGGGAGCACTACTTTCTGGTGGGACTTCGGCATCTGAAGGAGGTTGCGACATCTCCTCAGGGCTGGGTCTTTGGTCTACCGCTTCCTCCGGTAGATCACCGGCGCCCGATGCTATAGGACTATCCTGCGCAACAACTTCTGTGGTTGCCTGCGCCTTCTTTTTCTTCTTCTTTTTCTTCTTGGGCTTCGTAGCACCCTCTTCGCCCTCCAAAGCTTTGGACTTCAGCGTTCTCGGTGTCCGAGGAGGCCTACTGGGGGGCGGGAGGAGGCCGCTGTCGCGCAATGCCTTCTCGCGGCGTCCCTGACGGTCCTTCGCCCGGCACAGATCGCACATCTTCCAGGGGTTGGTGGGCGCAAGGAGGTTGTAGCAGGCCTTGATAGAGCACACGTGGTTGGTACGTCGCGTTCCTCGCGCAGCAGGTGGAACACCGGTCTTAGGCTCGCCAAAGGGGGTCTGCGGTCCGGACAGTCCAGAAAGGATTGCAGCCGTGTTCGAACTGGCATTGCCCTCTTCGGTCTCCTCGGTCTCCTCGCGTACTTCCTCGCTATATTCGCCGTCGGCATCAAGACCATTATCGTGTTCTCCAGACGAGGTGGCAGCGCTCAGCTCGACTATGCCGTCGTGACTATCCACGGACATTGCGCGGGCATTGGCACTCGCAGCGGCAGCCCAACCGTCAAAGGCTTGCGCCTTCACTTCCTTGTCTCGCACGCGCTTGAGCTTGCTGTGATACCGGTTCTGCAGACGATGCCGCTCGCAGCGAAGAAACTTGTAATCGCCGGAGAGGATCTCACGACAGTGCGAGACAGTGCACATGCGAGGCGCGAGAGGGATGTTTTGTAACGCCTGCATTGCCTCCGGTGCAGGCGTCCCATCCGCGCGCCATTCGCGCCATTCTAAGGGGTTTCCACGAACGAGAGGCTGCGTGATTGTGATCAGATGTAGCTCGCGAGATAGCTTAGCTTAGCTTACCGGAAGCCCCGCGGTGGCCCTCTGAAAGTCTTCATCGTCCTGCATTTTCTGCATCTCAGTGACCGCAACCTCCTTCTCGCGCCTCCACTTTGCACGCTTTGTCGTACCATAACTACGATAACGATCTCTACAAGGCTCACACATCTTGAAGAAGGAACTGCCCGAGACGAGAGTTCGGCAACCCTTGATAGAGCAATATCGAGGAGGCATCGCAGGATCCACCAACTCCGGGGTACGAGATGTCGAGCCGAATTCATTCGAACGTTCGGAGTCAGGTGCTAGGGAAGCTTCTGTATGAATTGTGACAGTCAGTAGGGCACTCTACTATGGGGAGTTCCATTTAAAAAGCGGGGGTAATCGATAGCACTTTTGTCCGCAGCACTTTCCAAAACAGACCACCGGGAACCTCAAATGCTGCATGAGCTGCTTGCAGTGAACGTGCGAAAGCAGCCATGATACACAGTGTATGACAAAACTGCGCCATAGTAGGAAATCATCGTACTACAGATTGGACACAGAGTGAGGCATCCGATTCTAGATAAATGCACGTACCATGATGGATAAAAACAGCAGATGAAAAAGCGCGCTCTGTGAACACACGACAATGAGTGATATGCTATATTCATCTGACAACCTTTCCTCCAGCCGCTCAACAGTGTTTTCTGGCCACAGTATCCAACATAGGTCACCAATCTCATCGGGGCTTGACCACCGATTGAAAGAGGCATTTGTGCAGTATCATGCCGCATAGTCTCGTGAGCCGATGAGATTATAGGCACACCCAGCGGATATGATCGAGACATTTTGAAGTGCATATACCCAGGAAGAAGGAAGGTGAACACAAGCACCTACCGTTATCTCCGCCTAGTTGATCATGGATCGGATTCGGGAGTGCTGGGACAAGAGCGCGAGAGAGCTCCGAATCGTTAGATATCAGGGCGGGATCAGGAGGCTCATGAGAGAACCCTGCTTCAATGAGAGCAGGATCAATCGCACTTTCGTCCCAGATCGGTGCAGAAAAGTCGAAGGGCTCCGAGTCATTGTGGACATGACGGGCAGAGGACTGAGGCGTCAGTAATGCCATTTGAGTGCGGAAATATCTCATATGTATCTTTGCAGCTTACAGCAACATTGGAACGTGAAGAACGGGTGCTTGTTGCAGTCTGCACGGTGTCATCTGGGGGCATCCAGACCACAATGCCCTGTTGCGAACCCAAAGCCGCCTTCTCCATCTTGCGCTTGGCCCGCTTTGTGCTCGCGTAAGTGCGATGGCGGCCGCGACATGTCTCGCACATCTTGCGCGTATATCCGGCTGGGAGAGGTGCACCGCATCCTCTCACCGAGCATCGTCGGGGCTGTCCATCGTCAAATTGAGCATCGTCCGCATGTGCGGGGAGTTCACCGCTGGTCGCGCCATAGAGTTGTTGGCCAGAAGGAACGCTGGGAAAGGGAGCAGGTTCGCGATAATACTCTGCCATCCAGACGTCGACTCGGCTCTAGTCCATCCACTGCGACTGACACGATTTGGGAACGATTGGGAAGGAGCTGGACGGATGCAAAGGAGGGGATGGCGGAGATTGAAATCCCTCGTACGCAAGGACCTCGGCCACCGCGGATTATAGACTCCTTCCATATCCTATTCCCGACTTGCAGAAAGACTGTCTACTTCGGCTACTCTGCATACCGCATTTCATTCATGTAAGGAAGATATGGCATACAGAAACACTTTCCCTGGTAGTGCAAGAAGTTGCTCAATGAATAGGTCAATTATTCTGGACGCCGCATCACAGATCGGAGGCGGTGGCCGGAGTCCCAGAGTCTGGACCCGTTTTGTGTAATGCACACGAAGTCCAACAGCCACCTCCACTTTCCAACTGCGCTGACATTTCCATCTTTCATCTTTACTATCATGGACGACCTTGACGAAATCATGAAACTTACAGGAACGCATCGCTGGGCAGCAGGGCCTTCCAAGCCCACGTTTCCACGGGTCAAAGGATATTTCGCGTTCCCTCCAACCGTCACCCCAGACGGACACATCGCGTTCACGTTCACAATCAAGGGAGCAATTGAAGGGGACTCACGAGAAGGCCGCGAGCGGCAAGAACGGGCATCCCGGGAAGCTGCAGAAGCGCGCAAAGAGGCGGCCTGGCAAGAACGCCGCCGGCGCGATGTCCAGCTGCATGAAGAGCGTCTAGCACGCGAACGCGCTGAGGCGTTGACCGGCGAAATGGCATGGGTGCGCGCAGGCGGTTCACTTCGCGACGCGCACGGGCGGCGCGACAAGGTGCGCACGGAGCAGCTGCGCGCAGAGATCCGTCTGCTCGACGAAGAGGCGCGGCTCACGGCCCAATGGAACGCGTATGAAGCACGATGGTGCGCCCTACTGGCCGTAAACACCCCTGTAAAATTCAAGGATGTGCCGTGGCCATTGCCCTCTGCCGTAGCATCGGTCGACGATCTCGTCCCTGGTGCGATTGAGGAGTTCCTCTTTGGGCCACTGCGCGTGCGGCGGAACACAGTTACAAAGCGTGAACGCTTCAGAGCGTCGTTTCTCAGGTGGCACCCGGACAAGATGTCTGCCTTGCTCCAGAGGGTGGTACCAGAGGACGAGTCTGCTGTGCAAGAGGGGGTGAAAGCGGTATTCAGGTGCCTTAGAGCCTTACAGGAAGCTCAAAGGCGGGGTGGAGATCTTCGGTGATTGTCGCTGTACTGTCTTCCATGTTTGTTGACGTTCAAAATTGACACATTTTCATGATCAATCGCAGGACATGATCCTTTCTGTCTTGCACTCACGGCCTGTCATTACGCACATAGGAATCCTCATACTCACCACATCAATGTTCGGACAACACCGTTTGATCGTCTCAGTACTCTATCAGACGCTTTGTACTAGTGTCCCATCATAATGATATTGTCTCCAAACCAACAATGCCCTGGGGCGTCATCTTTTCACAGCTCCTTTTCACATCTCATGGGGGCCTTCGCGGGAAGACAATAGTGAAGCCATCACGTTCACCTCGGTGGTAGTCCGGACTGTGGACTTTCCCGAGGTGATGTGATCGATGCTGCGTACAACCTGAGATCTTCCCGCTCCTCCAGGAATGCGCGCATCCCGACGAGAAGATCTATGGGAGTTGATCACGAAGGTAGGAACCAACAGACAGAAGTCCAGGAGTTACAGACGATAGGCTTTGGCGCGATCTTCTGCCGCGCACTAGAAGATGACCGAAGGCATGTTTCAAGTCTTTGTGTTCTCAACATCGAGGATTTCTGTCAAGTCACGTAAGCAACCCGACTTCGCATCCCATGTAGCCGTCCGGACGCTACAGCAGAAGTCTCATACCACGGTCTACAGCTACTGTAGGACATGGCCTGAATGGTTGTAAACAAGAAAGGCGAGGAACCGATTGCCGACGGGACGCTCGGCGAACGGATTCGGCGTGGAGGTCGTGGTCGCGCCACAGCTGTCAACCGAGATTGCAAACCCCCATGACGCAGAAACATTGGTTTGGGCAACAACAATCTGCTGCATTACTGCCCGCTTTTCCGCCTTCGTCGGACAGATCTTTCCATAAGTGCTGTTCGGCTCTTTGAGTTCTGGTTTAGGCTGATAATCTGTGTAGTGGAGCCGAGTTGCGGTGTGCCCTGACAAACGCAAGTCAATCTTCTGTGCACTGGTACCTTTTCCTAGGCGCGCAAGCACATCAATATCGCACAACGCATGAGGGATTTTGAGGATTGATAGGCTATCAATCCTCAATATCCCTCATGCATTGTAAGTGCGACTACCTGAGCAAGATGAGGGTGTCTTAGCATGGCGCTGATCATCACCGAGCTTACTAGGCCAAACGCGTCTTGTGAAATTTGAATTCGTCAGGAGCCGCCACATCGACTCGCCGACCTACCTATAATGAAATTGTGCAAAATGCTGGACAGGCCCGTCGCGACGCACCTTTGACGATAGCTGTGTTCGACGCGTCAACGACAGGCGCTCCAATGTCTGACGCTTGATGTGTCCACCGCCGGCCTGAGTCTTTCATCATCGTGTGGCTCTGGATCTTGGTCCACCCACAGATTCGCGAGATCTCCGCAAACCCGGATCTAACGATCTTGTTTCTTTGACTAAAGTCTTACATGCAACCTTTGCCGCCGTGCCTACAGCGGCAGTGTCGTCTTTCATGTTTAGAGCCGGACCGTGTGCGCGGAACCTGCGATGTGTCAAATTTTCCCTCACAACTGTAGGCTCCCGAGCTTCAGACTGACGCATTGTTCCTAGTATATCGCTGGCGAGGGTAGCGGCATTTGTTGTCAAAGTTGTGTCATCAAGAATCACCGACCGCCCTGCCTCTCAGAACGCTAGCACGGGCCTCAAAAAGTAGGCCGGTCTGTTGACCGGATGCAAACAGTAGAGACGGGGTAGGCACGGCGTCATCCCGGGGTATAAAACTCCCTGTATGGAGAAAATGTGGTGAGTTGCATCCAAAGTTCGGTCCGCGGCAGGCACACGCAACTCTGAAACACGAGCAGAGTCGGAAAGAATACAACGTATGTGGCTGGAAGGCCCCACTGTCCACGAGTCTGGCCGCAGCCTGCGCATTTTGTCATGATAATTCAGCGTTTGCCCAACTCCTGCATCCTTTTACACATACGAGCATCCTCCGTGACGGCGGAGACTTACAACATTGCTTCCAGCATGTCTACTTGGTGCGTGATTCGCATGCGCCCCAACGCCACTGCTCAGGGAGCTATCGATGGAAATTGAAGCAGATCATAACATACGAGTGGCCGTGGATGCTTGACGGAAGCTGAAACTGTACCAACATACTAATCTGAGACATGATGGGGCGGCCCAAGTAGTAGCACGAGGGTTTGTCTGAGGGTCCCCGCAAGATGTAGGTACACCATTAATCATAATGCTATACCCACTATAATGCACAACGCTGAAGTCGCCCGAAGGCTTCGAAGTGAGCGTTTCGGTTTGAAATGATCGTCGTATTTAGTTTTGCCGAGATTCCGCAAATCTGACTAGACACACAGTTGATTTGTAGTGCCACATAGTGACGCCAACCAGGGCTGCGTGCCTACCGCCTGCTGCGAGCAAGTAGACGCCGAGTAAGCACCATCGCCGCCCAAGGCTTATCACATTTAATATCCGATGTTCGACATGAACATCTTTGTCGGACGTCATATTGAGTGGACTATAGGGTGCTCCGGACAATTTGATTAGGGGGCATGCGTTTGAGACTGAAAGCTCTAACTGACGATCAGCGCCCATAAGACACATACACATTGCTGATTTCCCATCCCCAAAGTCCTTCATACGGTGACAATTACGTATCAGATCAATGCCTGATAGGTCTGCTTTCAGGGCGGAGAGGCGGATCGAAGCAAATCGTAAGTAGTTTGTCACAACTTTTCGGTACAAACTGTGCCAATCTCGAAGCGCTTGTACGGCATTCGGGGAGTAACCGGATCGTCTGTCCGAAAGGAACGAGGGAGGGGTTCATAGCGCCTCCCGCGACGCATGAAGTCCCTCAAGGAGGCGATTTGGTGGATTGTATCGAGATATCCCGTTCACAACGGGCTCACACGACTCTGAAACTCGAGCACAGGTTGCGGATATTGTGCCGTACATTCGCTGGGCGAACCTTGTACTCCACGAGGTCGGCCGGAACCAGCACATTGCGTAAAGTCAAATCGGCGCCATAACGACAAGTTGGCATTTAGACATGCATGGCTCGCGTGAGGCTCCTAATGTGTCTGATACTGATCAGTGCTGCGGCCGCCACAACCAGCTAGGGCGAGGGAGGTAGCAGGTGACGTGGAGAGGTGGCGGACGACCTTCATGTACTGGCGTCCTGGCAGCGTCTCGAGGAAGCATATGACGTTCGCATTATACTAGGCGGCGACGGGATGGCAACGAAGCGTCATCGAGATCCGCTAGCAGAAGCAGCTTGGTAACCATACGCACATGAACAATTGGCGAACGCCTCACAGCCGACCGCCGTTCGTATTGTCGTGGCGTTAAACAGTTCGGACCTCGTCGTGCGCTACACGGGAGCGGTGCAAGACGAAAGGGCGATGACTGATGGCTAGAGACTCGGAAGACAATGCGGGGGCACGTACCTCGGTAGAGGCTGTATCCCGATGGATATACACACATGTGCTCGCCCTGTCATTCGGTGATAGTGAGAGGACCCTGGGGGCGGTGTCTGCAAGCCCGTTCTGCTTGACTACCGCTGGGGGTCAAGCCAGCTTGCTAGAAGGAAAGGACTGCCTATGCTTGTCCTAGAGGATGATCCTCGACCGATGGTGAGGAGGTTCCGTCGGAGAAAGATTGGATGCGTGTGAGTACGTACATGCAAGTTGTCCTTGTGACGCCTATGTCCTGCCGGAGAATCCGGCTTCACACGAGCACAGAAGGGCGCCTCGAAACTCCCGCGGCCGGGCAATTCCCTGCAATTCCCCAGAAGAATATTTACCAGTCCGCGAATGTTGGCACTGCGGTACACGCTCGCCTCTCGTGGTGGCCGGGCCCACGTGGCGTGATCGATGCATCGAGATCCAACTTAATTTGTAGCCACTCTTGCGGGCCAAGGCAGCACAGGTTGACTCGCTACGTGCATTTATATAGACCCCATGTCTCCCCCGTACTTCATTCCCATCCCTTCCTCTCGCCGCCACTACCCACTTCCATAACATACCGGATATCTCGCGTTACCGAATATGGCTGGTGCTACGCGAGACAGCCATGCCGTTAACGGCTACGACGACTGCACATTGTGCTCTCACGATGCACGTCACTTTGCGGGCCGAGGGGAGCTCATGTGAGTCCTGTTAGATAGATAGCGAACCCAAAGCAGCTAACGTGTTCCCCATTTGGCAGAGGCGCTCCTACGGCGGGTCACACGCTGTGAGAGGACCGCTTGCGCATGCTATTTGGAGGATAACTTACATTGGTGCTGTAGCCCCGACCATGGCTACCCCGAATATGGCTACACAACTAACAGCCAGTATCACGCTCATTCACAGTAAGCTGTGATGTCCTACCAGCTGACGTTGTGCTGACGTTGTTCTAGGCAGAGTAGCATAAGTGGAAATACTGCGTTCAATAATGCATATTATGGCCGCACGCAGTAAGTCTCTGACAGCGTCGCATACTCGTGCCGTCATTGAGCAACACGGCCCAGAATGCCTAATCAACACATGACCATGAACGCGCCCTCCCTGCCAGTTCATGGGTACGCTCACACTCGGTTCGTATGTGCGAGTGGATATCCACATATATTTCAAACTCACTCTATTACATTTGCAGGATGGTGCCGGCCACGGACTCTAGCGTCAGGCCGCAACAGCCATCACATTACGTCTATCCGCATCAGGAGGGGCATTACGCGCCCTTCCCCGTACACGAGGAAATTAAGGATCCCCCGTCATACGCGTACACTTCGGTCCCTCTGCCCCAGCCTGCGGCTATATCGCCTTTGGGAAGTAGTCGGCCTTCGATCTCGCCGTATGAGAGTCTCCGCCGTCTCCCTTCTATCGCGGATCCATTGTCCCAGAGCGCTCCGCAAAGCGTCCGCGTGCGCTGTCGCTGGAACGCGTGTATTATCGACCTCGACGATATCTCGGCCGCAGGGATAAAGCGTCACCTCCGTGACTTCCACAAAGAGCATGCGGTCGAGGAATACAAAAGCCAGCGCGGTGTTTGTCTATGGGCCGACGGCACCCCGTGCATGCGCGACCTCGACCGCGCAAGCTTTGGGAAGCACATCGCCTCTGTGCACCTGAAGAGCACTGCTGCGGAGTGCCGGTACTGTCACAACGTGATCGGGAGGCCGGACAGCCTCAAGCGTCACATGCGTGACCACTGCCCCTACCGTCCCTCTAGCTGTTGATGCACGTACTTTTACGTGCTCTTTCAAACTTCAGGCGGTTGGGTTCATCGTCTTTGTAAAATTGCTCTCGTATTCTCTCATGTGATGACTCTGGTAGTCGCCCTTGATGCCGACCTGAATCGAGATCTACACGACCCTGCTATTGGTTCCAATTCTCTCCCTTCGTGTAAAACAGCGTACGAACGACATCATGTACATTATGCACTTCGCTTCACGCATTCTGGATTGTTAAAACTGAGCTTCCACCTTGGCGCTTCGGTCGCCGTTCTTATATTGTGGGCGCAAATGGGTAGACGTTCAGCGCATAAACCAGGTACGCACCTCGATCATGCTGTTGATCGCCGATGCGCCCAGCGATCAGTCGCGCCCGACTGAAATCGATGAACTGAAGTTGGACCTCATATTCAATCAAAAATCAGGCCCCACGCCGCACATACCTCGTGGCAGGCTACACGCGACTGCTAAGTACTGTTGGGCGCGGGCCACGGCCTCTATTGCTCCACTTGTTGGCGATCGGATGCGGGGAAAGGACCGCCGGGGTTTCAGGGCTGCATGAACAACTTTACTAGGGCCAAGTCGATGGGCAACTTCCTTCAGTCGGCATCCGTGACAAGGCTCAGACTGGATATAGATATTGATCCGAAGCCCCTGAATGGAAGGTGTCGACTGAATGGGAGTGCGGACTATCTATTTACCGATGGCATTGTGCGGCGGTAATTGCAGCTACTGTTTGCTCGGTGCGGCGGGAGACAGATTGAGCGGCGGAATAACTACAACTGAGGAAGTGAAAGAACCATTCCAGCCCGATCCACGCCTCGTCATCGGGCCTCAGGATACCGGGCCGTGAGTTAACCTCATGACCGCGGAGCCAAGTTTGTTTGCATCCTCGAGGCGGTGAGGTCATTTAGAACGGCCTGATTAGAACTATTCGCAGCGTTTAATGGCGGATATCCAGATATGCCGCAGGGTGTGTGGCGTACATTATGCTAGCACTCGTCCATGCCCATGGAAACCACACGCAAGCTATAGCTACTGACGCCCATCTTCTCCCGGGCAGTGCCAATAGGTTGTGAATGACAGCACCCAAGGAGCACCGCCTGAGTGCTAGCGGAATATCGGACCCTGTTGCATACTCGCATTGCTTCTCGCAAGGCGCCCCTGTGTTCATCCTGCCGCGCCGCACACGGCTGTGTCAAGACCCCAATAGGGTTCTTCGGTTGTTTGACTAACCCCGGGCCGCGAGTAGATGCTAGTACTTGGAATAACACGCCTCCACAGCACAGTGCCCCTGATAGCAGCCCACGAAAATTGACTCGGGGATGCCAGAGAGTGCCTTGTACAGGTAGGCGCGGTCCTGTAGCGTGTCCACCATGACCGGTCAGACAGTAGTACTTCTGAAACGACCTCATGTTCATGATGTTTCCTCAATGCGGACGGAGCTAAAAGATGGGCTGCATGATGTAATGACCTCTACCTCCCTAGCGTCGGCCATGAAGATTTCTATCCCCAGCCACGTCGCAGTTGATACTAATCCTGGCAGGAATCGCAGAGCATCAACGTATCGTTGTGCCAGAAGTAACGTACTCATCGATAGTGCGGCATGTGTGGAGCCTATGAAGATGAAAGTCAGCTATACCCTTGTCACAGAGGCTCACTACGCATCCAACACGTCAGACTGCTCAATTTCGTCAGCCCAGAGAATATACCTTCGGGGAAAATCCCAGTGTATCTCGTAAACTAACCCAATCTTGGAATGCCCGGCAGTGGGCACGATCAAGATAAGAGGCAAAAACGTCGAAGATGAAAAGTTGTAGATAGCGTTTAACAGGCATGAATAGAAGGTTCATCCACCAAATGGCCCTGCTACGTGCAGTATCAGTAACTGTGCCATATGTTCAACTATCACGCACATATAGCTTGTGTTATCATTCGCGCGTGGAACATATTGGCTACCCCTCAGTGAAGCCGCAACAGGCATCAATAGCGCCAGGAACGGCGCTCAGGCTTCATGGGATTTCTATATCCACGCCTATGGCTACGAGTCGCTGTCAGCGCCCACAGCCGAAGGATCTACTTGCAGATACATCTGACCGCAGTCGTAAGGTGTTCTGACCTGGGTAGGGATATCATGTTTCTGATGATGTCGACTATGGGCCCTTGTGCTGTTTATGGCTTGGAGCGTTCCTCGAGTTTGAGACAATTTGCAAACAATAATCCGCGATGACAGTGAGAATGTTACAGCCTCAGGCAACAGCCGCCCTAAACAGTCCAGAGTGTCCGTGGTTACGATCGATTACCCAGGCACCAATCCGGCATGGACCGAACGTTGTTTGTCCTTTACGATTCGTACAATTCCAAGAGTGCAGTCGGAAGCTGCAGCGAAATTTGTAAGTTTTTCCGATATTAAAATTCTGGCTAGATCGTGACGGCTTCATGCGACCTCCGGGATGCATCGGAGAGAATGTTCAACGCTGCGGGCCCATAAGCTTATCTTGCAGCCCTGGAAGAGCAGGAGAAGTTCATTATCTCATGGGCATCTGGCTGCCTGGCTGTGCTCATCGGGCCACCGTCAGCCCCGATGAGCCTTCGGCTTGAGATCATTGTATTGAGAAGCTCTGGTCTCACGAGGTCCAGAGGGACTTGCTTCGATAAGCGCTGCGTCGGACATGCCCCGCCTCAGGCTGGAAACTGGATCACCGTCGTCCATAATGAGAAACGGCAACGCAATGCCCCACGCTCCCACTGAAGCTGGAGACTCCGCGCAGCTGTGGACCTAGGACCACAATTAGATATCAGTATCATTCGTCAGATTTTCTAAGTACTTTGGGTGTGGCCAGACGGTCGGGGCTATCCGTTCGCTGAGGGTCAAATATATGTGGCCGCGAGGAGATGATCTTGTTTTGCTGGTCGCGCGCCACGTCCCGATCAGGTTTGATCGACAATCCAAATAACGATAAGGTGGATATTCAAGTTGATATCTCAAGTCGAACTTCCACACCCTGTTTCCTCGTTGTATTCGTCGGCTCATACTCATGATCCGAAACACATCGCATCATGTGCTGGATGGCCGGACGAGATGTCGAGTCGAGAGAGCGGTGACTTCTGGGAACCTGACCGTAGTTCCTTAACGAAATCGCAAGCCAATCGGACCCGCTGTGACTCCGTCTCTTCACTGATAGCTATGAGGGTCGCTGTGACAACCAGGGAAAGATGAGGGCGCGAGTGTCGTCGCGCCGAGGGAGGAAGAGTATTCCTGAGGTGCGCGCAGTTAATATTCGACTGAGGGGCAGGAGCCAGTGCGGGTCGGGTACTTTGGCCTGGCTGAACGTGATGGGCACATCGTGGTCAGCAGGAAGGACCTTCAAGCTCAGGCGTGTTCCCTTGCCGCTGTCGTGAACAAGCGTGACAGAAACCTGCTCTCGCACTCTACGACTCCGAAGCTCTTGAATGAAACATATAGAGTCGTGTGGCCGTTCAGGCCTCGAGCTGAGCCGAAGTCACTCGTGGTTCAGATTTGGCTACAGCAGGGTCGTTCATGCCGAACCCATGACAAGCGCTGCGCCCTGCATCTCTCTATTAGAATGTCTCCAGGCGGAGCCGGGTTTCCCCTTTCGGGATGCATCGTGCGCGTGCTGACGCGTGTCAATATCTTGACCGGTGATTCCATTCAGCGAGTGTACCTCCCAATTCTTGCCCATCGCCGCGCAAAGCAAAGTTTGATTTCAAGATCGTATAAATATCTCTGCGGTCCTCGACATGTGGGCACACCGATCTTTGCCACCACTCGGCCAGTCCTCCTTTACTCATCACATCCCATGGCCCTCCACTACCCTACGTCTAAGGAAGAAGAGCCTGAGCAGCAGCTACTATCGACATCGTGGAACGATATCGATTCTGGTGTGATGTTGCTCTCCAACTCAGGGTTGGTAGCCATTACCCTTCCGTTGGAGGCTCTCAGTTGAGACATCCGCAGGTTCAGTCTCTCTCCTACGGATCCGAACACACCCACACAAATGGCAGGGTACTGGTTCCCGTTGTACTGATCCCAGAAGAGAGGTACTAACACTGTCATCCAGACCTTCCCACTGGTCATACGCGATGCATCCCACATATCCCGACGAATATGAAACGCAACAGTGAGTGTCATTCTCCTCGAGTTGCAATTCGTCGCAGACCGTTTCTTCTACTCCGACAGAAGACATTCAGGCACTGTCCAACCTACTGAGGATGTTCATTATCGTCTATCCATCGCCACCAGCGAACGTCGGGACAAGTAAGTCTAGCCCATGTACAGCTATCGGCCGGTCATTCTCACACATTCTCAACACTCAGTCGCTTCGCGTGGCTGTCAGACCCTATGGATACACTGGCAGGCACCTCCCTGTACGTAATTCTATCGAGCATGTCATTTCTGTGTCTATAATTGAATTCACTAGCCATCCGGACGACACACTTGAGAGCCACTACTACAGCCTACCATCATCCAACCCCGCCTACGATCCACACGGGGCCGAATTTCACACAGGTTTCTCCAGTCACACCACCATGCCTGTATATCATGAACCAAGGGGGCAACACGCCTCGTTTTCCCCTTTCACGAAGGCGCCGCTCAAACGATCATCGCCCCTTTCCAACACATCTCCCACAGATCTTCCACGACCGTGTCTATGGAGGGGGTGTCACATTCAGCTCGACGATGTGAGCGTAGGCGGGATCAAACGCCACCTTCGCGCCTGCCACCACCAGGATGCCGTCGACCAGCACAAGTCGCAGCGCGGATTCTGCCAATGGGGCGGTTCTAAGCCCTGCCATCGTGAAATGGACGTCGCGTCGTTTGGCAAGCATATTGCCTCCGTGCACCTCAGGAGCACAGCACACGAGTGCCCGTACTGCGGGGCTGTGATCGGCCGCCTAGACTCGCTCAAGAGACACATGGCGCACAACTGCCCCAAACGAGACGAGCTGTGCTGCTGAAAAGACAGCGTCCCATGCCAGGGCTGCGTTTCGGCGCCGCCTTAGGTTGTCAGGTCATGCATTCGAAAAGCCAGGCGTACCGTGGCTGGGAGATGCAGGACACATGGAAGCATATTTTTAGGTCAAGCCAACCTCTACTAAGCCCAATTTGTGATCGGCATGTTGGTATTCTCTCGCGCTGGTGGATTCGTTCTAGCCTTGTTCAGCTACTCATGTGTCCTTATCCATCGTCTAATCTTCTTGCGATCCCTGATACCGACAATGTAGGAGTTATCCCATACTACAGTCTCCCTGAATCGATGACCGGTCATTCAGGCCCAATCCGAACAAGTTGCAGCCTGGGTCCGCAGCCCCCGGTGAAGTAAGCAGTCACTTCAATCTGTCCTTTTCCGACAATCATGAGAAGATGGCTGGCAGCCAGCGCGGGTCCAGGCAGCGAAACATCGGCGATTGAGAATCTCGATACACATGACTGCTTTAGGCGGCTGTTTTGATCAGCGTCGTAGCCTAGACTCAAATCGTGTGAGCCCGCTGTTAAGAGGATGTCCACAACTATGGAAGCATCTATGCATATTCTCATTGCGTTCTTGATACGCGCGGACTAGCATCCATTGTATCCCGGCCGTCGTACATGCCCGATGCCTGTCTTCCAAAAGCCAGAAGCATATGTGGGACTGTGCTAATCGCCTCAGACCGTGCGCTTGGACTTCATGTGCACCCCAGAACCTAATAGACGAAGCGCTTGACAATCGCTTCCTCCGATCGGGGATGCATTAGAAGGACAGCATCGACAATGAATGCCCGATATTGTGCATCTTGCAGTTGGCGTTGGCTCCGTTCCCGCATCGCTCGCACGATCCAACCCTGCGCAGCGTGTGTAGTCCCCGATGATAGATTGCGATAGACTTCGGAACATGGCTCAACGCGATATCGGGAACGCTACACGACGTTCAAGGGCAGAAGACCAAGGTCAGAGTGCTATTGCTAGCATAAGGTCACGCCATGAACACGACGGGGCGCACGGGATTCACGCGGGGTGTCTGCTAACTGCAGCGACATGTTGCAGAAATGTGCGGCAAAGCAACGGCAAAGGAGCTAATGCTACGGACTATAAACTGCACCTTCTACGCCCGATCGATTCGCGTTCGAGGCTTCTCTTCTCCCACGTTCGCATGTCATGCTAAAGTCTGTCACAATGTTATGCCGATATCCAACATTGCGTATACCTTCCGAGGCCTGCCAAGAGCAGACAAAGCAGAAGGGTGTAGAACCACCAGATATTCGGATATACTGGCTCCTTCTACGTCCCATTAACGTCTCGTTTCTGGGGATACCCCCGAAGAAGACAGAGATAAGCGGGGGAGGGTGTCCGGGTCTGCGCAATCTAAGCAAAAACTTGCAGGAATAAGATCTCTTCAAGGACCTCGTCCATTGTGCATCATATGGACAGGACTTCCGGCAGGACTTGAGGCTGAAGATAGAAGAAACGCGTACATGTTTGATCCAGCTTGTAGTCAACGAACACGTGGGGTGTAAGTACCATGCTCGGTCATGTGACCTACTACAGTAAGTATCTGCTGTACTTCAGTGACTGAGATTGAGTCTTCCATAAATACGGTCTCACTTCGACCGGAGGAGGGCTAGCGGAACAGAGTGCATGGAGCTCTATCCGCGGAGCTTGGGTCGCTGCGATTGAATTTTGCCAGTGCCACCGCCGCATCGACGATCTTAGATCCAAGTCGATGTGGCGCAACAGCTATCACCCGATGCACGCAGATCTGCATGCTCCGCCTATGTTGCAGAATGTGCGTCGACTGTGCTGAGTAGGGTTGGTCGTTGGTGCCCATGAATCGCGGGATGCATCCGATACGGAAACGCCGGCCGAGAGCGTCAGTTCACTGCAGGACCCGAGCACGTCAAGGAACTCTGCCACGGTCCACCGGGCTGCCCGAGCGTGGATAGACGTTTAGAAACTGGAATATGGTCAAAGATAACGGTGCTCTGAAAATAATGAGGTATCAGCAATTCTGACGGCACGGAAAACGATCTGAAGATGAGGTCTCTGTCATATCAGATGAAGGTGTATCAAACGGCCAAGCTCAACGTTGGAATCGAATGAAACAGTGGTCATTTTGCCTGCTTGCTCGTTGTGCGCTCCCACTCGAGGACAGATAGCAGCCGGGAATGTGAAGGGAGGGGATACTCTGAATAAACGTTGAGCGGGAACACCGGGATATGCAAATTTTGGCGATGGTACGTGAAACCTGTTGCCGTGTAATTGACTGTCAGGAAGCGTACCTATCGAACCACGGTGACATATTTCTTGAGGAGATGGACACGGACTAGCAGCGCTGGGATGCACAGATATGCCGCAGTCGCTCCCTGAGGCGTAAATTGGTCAATCAATGGATGACTTTGGGTGACATCGGCGGGGTCAGCGGAATCAGCATTCTGGTCTTCGAGACGCACCACATTCCATTGGCACTGGATTTGTGACAGCGAAAACGCATAAGGCAATGCGACCAAGGCGGTGAGCGGCTTATGAGGAAGAAGATACCGGCATGTGCGGCGAAGAGGGTGTCAATCACGACGTACCGTGGGTTTTTCTCGAGCACAGGTCGTCCACAGAATGTATCGGGAGAAGCTGTAATTGTGGTAGCAAAATTATATTGCGCTGTGAGATAACAAATGACAGCAAATGTGTAAGGCTCACTGTGTAATAGCCTCTGCATCAAGTGTCAAGACCGTCGGTGGGAAAGATAGCTCCCTAGTACTGAATGGCGCAAGAGCACACTCAAGGATCAAATCAGAGGTACCAAACCCGGTGTATCCTGTAACGGGGTTTCTAGACTTTGTCGGGAAAGCGGTACTATGTCCTCGCGCGAGATACATCACGGCTTACATTGCCTGCGCTGCTGTCGGTGAAGACGTAAGACCGCCGCTCGCATGTACGGACAGCTGCAGCTCCGAGCGGTCCATATTGCGAAGAGACATCGGTGGCGCATTTATTAACGACGGTTCGTTCGCAGCGCCGCGCTTCTTCGACTCGGAGTTGCCAAAATAGTAGACGCTCGGGGAACGGCGCGATGCGCTCTCTCAACCGTAGGAACAGCCTGCTTACCTCATTCTTTCGTCCTGAGATTCCCCAAGCCGCTCTTTTCTTGCATTCGCGCCGCTTAGATCTTGACCTTATCTCCTGAAACCAGAGAACATTCAGCTTTCAAACCTCCGCGAGCTCCGGATACGCCCACTAACTTCAAGACGGTAAGGTCGATTGCCATTCCGGCATGTCAGGTGGATGTATAAACAGACCGATGGCGTGTCTCGCTCGGACAACGTGAGAGCATTCTGTGAGTACGTCCCAGACTTACCTCAGGCGACATCCCCTGTCCCCGAGTCGGACTTTTTAGTGTGACGCCCTATATGTGATATTCTGGATTGACTAGACGCCCGCACTGAATTCGCGCGCATCAAGCGCCCTCTTTACCCATATTAGTTTGCTTATGTGAGATTTTCACAGCCCGGTTTCCCGTTAGCTGTCCTGACAGATTTATGCGGATTATATAGCCACTTGGTGGCTACAACTTTGCGACATAATGTATAGCCGGCGAATGATATGATACGAAATGTGGGGACCCCACGAATTGACTCAGACTACAGAATAGTCACTTGTTTGATGACTGCCACTCGGAGCCGGCGGGCGTAGCTGTCAACAAGTGAATCATCAAGGGCGGGTCCACTCGTTTTTAACTTGTTTCCTTCTCACAGGCTTCGTCGATCTTAAAGTCCAAGTGCAATACTCTTGTTGGTGACAGTAATCTACCCTACCGAACATTCTCCCTGCTACGCTCATACCCGTCCTGCCGATTCAGTCAAGTATTACTAATCCAACGACTCTCTGCAACCAACCTGCGATCAACCTCTCGCTCTCAATGACCGAAGCTCTGTCTTCCTCTGCGGGAACACACACAGCAGGTCAAGCACCTACCCTCGCATCACATACTGAAACAGTGCGCTCGTCAGGATCTGACACTGGACGCAGATGGCGCCGAAAACCGCGCACCACCGAGCAGGAGCAGGAGCGAGATAGACCTCCTCGGTATGTCACTTCAGACAGCAATAATGCTGCAGAAGGGCCCAGCAAGAGGCCTCCGCGCAGAAAGCACCCGAATCGTGCGCCGGACGAGGGATCATCGCCGAGAGGCAGCTCGTTAAAACCGCGCGATTCCTCTGCGCAGCCGAGCACAACTGACAAGCAAGTGTCTCCGCAGAACTCAGCCCCGAAAAAAACTCGACGGGGAAAGTTCAACTCTGCTCTCACGGAGTCAGAAGTCGCGAGTCACTCGACGCCTAGCGAGGTGGATGTCGAACCGTCGAAGAAATTCAAGAGCAAACTTCCTGAGGCGGACGACCTGACTTCACGCCTCATACGTGAATTATGTACGCCACCCTTTCCGGATTGTATCATCTGTTTTGCGCCTATACGCCCTGCACAGCCGACATGGTCCTGTTCTCCCGCTTCGCCTGTACTGTTCCCTTCGAGTGACGACAGCGACAACGAGCGTGCCCGCGCAACTGATACCGCACAGTGCTGCTGGACGACGTTTCACCTCAAGTGCATCAAGCAATGGGCTGTAAAGAGCGTCAAGGACATTGTAGAGGCCTGGCGGGCGCGGGGCGAGGACCGTGTGGGTGATTGGCGTTGTCCAGGCTGCCAGTCAAAACGGACGGCGGTGCCCAGCAGCTACTGGTGTTTTTGCGGATCGATGCCCGAGCCAAAGCCGTCGCGCCTTGCGACGCCGCATTCATGCGCCAACCCATGCTCGCGGCCTCGCGCGTGCGGGCATTCGTGTCCTCTTGCGTGTCATCCAGGGCCATGTCCTCCATGCCAGGTGACGACGGAACTGCCGTGTCATTGCGGCAAGGAGACGCTCTCGTTCAAATGCGCCAAACTCGCGCCAAGCAGGGCGCAGAACAGCGCAGCGGCCGAGCTGTCTTGCGGGAGTGCGTGTGGGCGCCAGCTTAGTTGTGGGAACCACCGGTGCGAGGACGTCTGCCATCCCGGACCATGTCCTCCTTGCAAGGTGCGCGAGACGGGAAGATGCTATTGTGGCAAGGAGGAGAGGGAACTAGGCTGCGGGATCGGCGAGGAGAAGGAATGCAGCGTGCTTGAGGACGGAGAGCACCAGCAGTGGACGGGTCGATTCGTCTGCGAGGCCGTGTGCGGTCGTCCGTTCGACTGCGGCATCCATACCTGCTCGAAGCCATGCCATCCTCCATCTTCCACTCCTGCCGTCTGTCCCCGCTCTCCCTCTCTGGTCACCCACTGTCCTTGTGGCAAGCACGCGCTCAACGCCTCCTCGGCGCCATATTTCCAGCCCCGTTCGGTCCTCACGCGCACGTCTTGCGCAGACCCGATCCCAACGTGCAAGTCCATCTGCATGAAGCCGCTCGAGGGCTGCTCACACGCGTGTGCGGTCCGCTGCCACACAGGCCCGTGCCCTCCCTGTACGATCGCGCTCGTGCGCCCGTGCCGATGCGGGGCGACGACGCGGGATGTGCCGTGCACTGAGGACCAGGCGCGAGGGCGCGGGGCCGCAGGGGTGGAGGAGATTCTCTGCGAGCGGCGGTGCAACGCCCTACGCGCATGTGGGCGACACCAGTGTAAGCGCATGTGCTGCCCGCTGGCGTCCCTTACGGCAACTGCGAAGGGGAAGGGGAAGAAGCGCGCTGGCGCGGATGTACTTGTGGACGAGGCAGGCTGGCATGAGTGCGATCTGGTGTGCGGAAAGCCCCTTGCGTGTGGAAACCATCAATGCGAACTGCGCGACCATAGGGGGGCATGCCCGTCTTGCTTGAGGAGCTCCTTCGAAGAGGTGTGTTTTGGATTTGTGCTCCGTCTTTCTGCGCATGGCCTTGACGCGATCTCACAGATGGTTTGCAATTGTGGCCGCACTGTCCTCCAGCCGCCTGTACCCTGCGGGACGCGCATCAATTGCCATTACCCGTGTGCGCGCCCTCTTGAGTGTGGGCACTCCAGTATCCAACACGCATGCCATGAAGACCCAGCGCCGTGTCCGCCCTGCCCGATCCTGATGAGCAAGCGATGCTCCTGCGGAAAGAAGATGGTCGACAATGTCAAGTGCTCGCAGGAGAAGGTCTTGTGCGGCACGGTATGCGGCAAGTGAGCTAACGCTGCCATGTCGATTGTGACGGTACTGATCAATTCTCCAGACTGTTATCTTGCGGATTCCATCATTGCGAGCGGTTGTGTCATGGAGATGCGTGTGGTCCATGCACCACTGTCTGCGGGAAGGCAAGGAAATTATGGTATGTTCCGATTTCGTCACCTTTTTGATCATACGTTAATTTGTCTCTCCAGCTTGCCCGCGCACCATCCTTGCACGCTTCCCTGCCACGCACCTGCTACCTGCGATGAGACTGAAGCTTGCCGCACAACTGTTTACCTGACCTGTCCCTGTGGACGCATTCGCCAGCCTGTCGCTTGCGGCGGGAGCATATCAAATCCCGCTGGACGCGAGGGGTCCCAGCAGCTGAAATGCTCCAATGAATGCCTCGTTGCTAAGCGCAACGCGCGGCTCGCCGATGCCCTTGGAATCGACCCCAATCGCACTGGTACCGCGGATAGACAGGTCGTTTATAACGACGAGCTGCTCGCATATGCGAAAGCCAACTACAAGTTCTGCCTCATGGTTGAGAAGAGCTTTGCTGAGTGAGTACCACGGCAGTTCCAGGTGACCGCGTCCTAATGTGTTTTTGAAGCTTCCTGTCGTCTGACAAGAAGAACCAGGTCTTGGCGCACATGCCAGAGAGCCGTCGCAAGTTCGTATACGACGTGAGTGGAATATGGTCCTGTTTGGTGATATAAGGTTGTATACTGATATACTCCCAGCTTGCATCTATATACAGGATGGATACGCAAATGGTAGACCAAGAACCCAATCGCAGTGTCCAGCTCTTCCGGCGCATCGACTCTCGCACCCCCAACCCTCTTTTATCTGCCGGAGCCCTGGCCCCTCGTTCGACAGACGTCACGCCTTCTCCAGGCGCCAGCAGGCTCACCGCTTTACGTGGATCAGGGATGCAGGCCCTCCCTCGATCTGCAGCATCTCCTGCACCCACTGCAGGCAGTTCCTCTGCGGGCGGATGGAGGGCGGTCGTTACTCGGCCGTCACAGCCCAAACCTGCGGCGAATGCATGGGGCCCACCTCCGTCGACTAGAGCAACCTCGCGCGCTACTCCTTCGCCCTCGCCATCCCGGCAACCCCAGCCTCCTGTGGCCTCCGCCTCCACCACGACAGCTGAGCCGCGCGAGGACGTCCCAGAGAATTGGGAGGACGATCTTTGAGAACGTGAAGCACAAGACGATTAGATTATTGCGTAGATACTGGAAGGGTATCACTCAGTGAGGAACATCACCACATCCGTCAGACAGAAATTGTACAGACGCATAGAATACATGTCACGTATACTTCTGTGTAGGACATTTCATCATTTATAGATTCGCTACACAATGTAGATCACTCGGCTAGAACTGGGTCTGCGATCTTGATGACCAGCTTGCCCGTTGTCTTCCCGCCAGTCAGGTCCTTCTGCGCCTGCTGCACACCTTCTCCGGTGAACGGGTACTCCTTGAAAACATTGACTTTGAGCGTGCCATCAGCGATGAGCTGGAAGAGCTCCGTCACGTATCGCCGGACCTCCTCTGGAGTCGTGATGTAATTACCCATCCTGCGACAGAAAACCGGTGAGTTGACATTTCTATAGACATGCTGGCAACTGACGTGGGCCGTAGCAGCCGCAGGTTCTTTTCTGCAAGCTTCAGCGGGGAGAAGGGGGGCACTGCCCCAGATGCATTGCCCACAGATACAAGTGTACCCTTACGGCGAAGGACCTTGAAGTCAAGTTCGAAGCTGCACCACGAATCGTAAGCGCGGGGACCTGGCAATTGAGCCAAATGCGACGCACGTATCCTTCCCGACGCCATCGAACACAGCATGCACCCCTTCTCCGTTCGTGATCTCGAGCACACGCTGTGCGGTGTCCTCTGTGGGGTACAGGATGACATGGTCCGCGCCGTGCGTGCGCGCGATCGCTGCTTTCTCCGGTGTGCTCGTCGTGCCGATCACAGTAGCACCGCGTGCCTTGATGAGCTGCGCGAAGAGCAGGCCGAGGCCGCCCGCGACGGTGTGCACCAGGATGACCTCGCCCTTTTTGACCTTGTGCGCCTCTTCGACAAAAGTCAGAGCGGTAAGGCCTGTCGAGGGGAATGAGGGTGCGCGGCAAGAATGTCTTAGAGGCACGCACCTTGGGTGTAGGCAGCTGCAGCCGTAATCAACGGCACAGAGTCAGGGATAGGGAAGACGTCCTTCCACGGGACACTAGCGTACTCCGCAAAAGCACCCAGGCGATACTAGGGTTACCATTTAGGCCTGTACGGGCTATCGAGCAGGGGTTGCACGTACCAAAGCGACCTTAGCCCCGACTGAATATCCCCGCTTTTTGTACTCTTCGTTGTTGACGATCTCCGGGCCAGTCGGCAAGGCTGCAATGGTCCCTGCACCCTCACCCCCAACGATGAATGGAAATTCGTTGATCTTGTAAAGGCCTTTTCTGGGAAGGTCGTTCCGCCGTTAAGTTGCCCAAGGACGTCCTGATTGCACACGCGCTCACCTGAAGTAGGTGTCGATGAAATTGACACCACCGTACTGCATCTATCCAATTCTACCTGTTACATCGTGAAGGATCACGACCGTAGGACGTAGACCTGCCTTCACGAGGATATCTCCTGGTGCACTCTTCGGGAACGGCAGCTCCTTCTTCTCGATAACATCGAAGTCGCCGGTCTTGGAGATAGCTATAGCTTGGATGCTCGAGGGAAGCGACATGGTACGTCTTTGTGCGATGGTCGAGAGACGGGCGAAGCGAGGCAAGAGTCTCATATGCAGCTCAATGCAGCAGGGACACTAGGGCTGTTTGCAAGCATTGTTATAGTTTATGACGTTGAAGGCGTGCTCAACTTACTCATCATCGGCGGCCTCCTCGACGCTGACTTGCCTTCGCCGAGCCAACCATCTCGAGTGCAGGTCTCCGTGCGTCGCTTCTCATCAGACTGGATCTGGACCTCATGCTTTCAACTGTCTTAGTCTGAGACGGGAACACCAAAGAATCGCGCTGCGATGAAGGGCAGCATTGGGCAACCCTGATGTACTCGGAAACCTAGGATGGGGTTAGGGGCACGGCCTGCAACGGTGGCAGGCCCTTGCTATCCGCAGGAACAACGTGCAGACAGAACCAAGTTTCTCCAGAAGTGGTCATGATTCCTCGAAGTACAGATAACATTTCAGCTCCAAGGTGTTCTCATGAGCTGGGTTGGTTGTGTGAGCTGGATATTGGAAACTTTGATTGCCGGCCGAGCCGGACGTAGTTGATAGCTTCCACTTCGACTCTGAGCTCATGGGGCTCCCGAGCCATTCGAATATACCTTGCTGCCCTTTGTCGTTGCAGGAGGACATTGTGGTTTCTCGGGCTGAAGCCTGACTTCCGCTTGCCAAGCTGCGATTGCCGAAATCACATGCCTGTCAGTGCGTTTGAAGTTGGCTCGATGTCAGCGCGCTTCTTGTCCGCGGCGAACACGACCTCGCATTCCCTCGCTCTCGAGAATGAGGCCTTGAAGACTGGCTTTAAATTAACCTAGCCTAATGTCGCGAACTTCTATGTCCGCACCATTTCAGATGTCTGGGCGCCGTTCGACTGCAGCGTTGCTGCTGTTCACTCTACTTCTTGTGCGGTCTCGCTTGCTTTCTCTCCCAGAGATCCTCCTTGAGAGGCTGAAATCTGTTACGGCGAAACCACAAATCAGCCAAGAAGAATTGCTACAAGTACTACAGCAGATTTACGTGAATAGACCGGATGGGAGCCGAACGATATTGGTACCACATGAGGACGGGATATCTAAGGTCTGTGTCAGTCAAGCTAGGATAAAGGCGTTCTGGGGATGACCTGCGAGACTTCCCGTCCATAAATGAGGCCTGATAATGATACCGTCCATTCGTCAAACTCGTGCCGGTTCTCTGTGAGCCAGCATGCTCTGTAAACCCATCTGACACCCTCCGTAGGTTCCCATTCGTCCTACTTCATCTGCCTTTCTGTCCTCGACCGCTGCACACTTCCCACCGTTGCCGACCTCGCACAAACCCAACCTTGACCGCACCTTCCTCCGCCAGCTCCGCGCTGTCTTGCGGATCGCACTTCCCGGCTGGCGCACACCCGAGGCCGCGCTCCTCTCCGCACACAGCTTCTTTCTCGTGTTTCGCACCGTGCTCAGCATCGCTGTCGCACGCCTTGATGGGCGCATTGTGCGCGACCTCGTGAACGCAGATGGGAAAGGTTTCCTGAAGGGGCTCGGCCTGTGGTTCGCGCTCGCGGTGCCAAGCACGTACACCAACACGATGGTGCGTATCGCGCATTTTGACTCCCTTGTATGTGTGCTGAACGTCTTGAGCTGGCAGATTCACTACTTGCAAGCAACACTCGCTCTGCGTCTCCGCTCGCGGTTGGCGCGCTATACTCACGACCTATACCTTTCTTCCGCACCGGACATGCGATACTATCGGATTGCACTCGAAGGCGGGCTTGAAGACGTCGACCAGTATATCACGTCGGACATTGCCGCCTTCTGCGAGTCACTGGCAGGCATTTAGTGCGTGTTTGTTCTGACCTTCTTGCAGCGATCGCCCTGACAAGCACCTCATTTTAGCGGAAATATTCTCAAGCCTTCACTCGACATCCTACTTTTCACTTCCCAGCTGTCGCGCACACTTGGCCTCCGCGGGACGGTTCTGCTCGCGCTGAACTACTATGCCACCGCGCGGATTTTGCGAGCAGCGACTCCGGCGTTCGGACGGCTCGCTGCCGTGGAAGCGCAACTTGAAGGCGAATATCGCGCCGGCATGGGGCGGGTGGACCGCGAAAGTGAAGAGATCGCGTACGTGTATAATAACAGTGTGCTTGCGATCGAGCTGACGAAATTTGACGGCCTGCAGATTCTATGGAGGCGGTTTGCGCGAGCGAAGTATCTTATGGCGCGCATATCTGCGGCTAATCAGGCACGTCAACTCGATATACAAGGTTGGCAGTCCGCATGGGATGCAGCAAACCGGGATCCTAATAGTACTCTGGCAACGGCACAGATCCGAATCGCGTACGAGTGGACAGAAGACTTCGTGATCAAGTACTTGTGGAGCGCTGCGGGATACTGCTTGATCTCTGTGCCCGTATTTCTTACGAGGCGACGAGACATCGGTATCCAGGCGGACGGCCCTGGTCATACGGATATAATCAACAATCGGATTGCAAACAGGACCGAAAGTGCGTCGCGGTCACGTCTTCTTCCACTGCGGGAATCTGAGTCCGTGTAGCATATATATCCTCCCGTCGCCTGCTCCTCTCTCTCGCTGACGCAGGCGGGCGCGTTATGTACGCATACAAAGACCTACTCGAGCTCGCCGGGCTCACCACGCGGCTCTACACACTCCTCTCCACCCTGCACAACCTCCCATCACCACCCACCTCCTCGTCTGACATCCCCGAGGACCGTATCGAGCTCGTGCACGTTGACGTAGGCGTCCCACACGGCCCGAACGTGGAAGGCGCGCCAGCGTGGATTCTCGTCAAGGACCTCTCGCTGGTGCTCCGCGAGGGCGAGCACCTCATGATCACGGGTAGCAACGGCGTCGGGAAGACAGCGGTTGCCCGTGTGCTCGCCGGTCTGTGGGCGCCGCAGGGCGAGGGCGAGGTGCGCCGGCCGTCTGCACGGCGGAGTGTGTTTGTCGTTCCTCAGCGCTCGTACATGGTGACGGGGACGCTGCTCGATCAGTGAGCATGCCATAAATGTTCGAGTGTGGGGCTCGTGATCTGATTGCTGCCGGTGTACAGAATTATATATCCCGACGCGTACCCAGACTTTGTTGCATCGGGGAAGACGGAGGCAGACCTGGTGGAGATCCTGACCGCTGCGAATCTGGCGTATCTTCCTGCGCGAGAGGGCGGATGGAGTACCCGGAAGGAATGGAGGGATGTGTTGAGCGGAGGCGAGAAACAAAGGGCAAGTCATCCCACTGGAAATATTGTGGAGTTTCGTATCAAGTGCTCATTTCTACGTTGCGCAGATGGGATTAGCACGGGTCTTCTATCATAGACCGAATTTCGCTGTCTTGGACGGTATGTATACTGGCGATTTTCTCTGGGTGGTTGCACTGACGTATTGGATGTCTGACAGAATGCACAAGTGCTGTGTCAAGTGACGTAGAGGGTCGCATGTACGAACATGCCAAGTCACTAGGGATAACCCTTATCACAATTTCGCTACGGTAAGCGGACCCTCTGTTGCATCATGTTCTCATCGGAGCTCACGACGCTGCAACGTAGACCTTCCCTAATGCGATACCATACACACCTCTTGACGCTCGCTGGTGACGGGACAGGTAGATGGACGCTTTCCCAGATCGGAACGGCCGCAGAGCGCATGGGCATCGACCGCGAGATCATCACGCTGGAAGACAAACTGGCTGAAGTGGAGCGCTGGGAAGCCCGAGTAAACGAGCTGAATCAATTGCTGTCTGCACAGGAACAATGAACGGTATGCAGCATCGTGTGTTTTGGTTTGCCAGGAGTAGATGCTCCTCGCGCTTTTTTATATGGAAATATCAATTTCACGGACGTTTGTATACACACAAGACCACGGATGTAACGGCGGTGTAGAAATAGTTGTAGTCTTTGTCATTCTTCGCTGTGCTTTCGATATAAATATGTGGACACGAGTGGGTTTAATCTCTTCTAAGGATTGAGACTCGGACACACTGAGGTCGTTCTTCTGTCATAAATCGAAGTAAAAAAAAAAGCAAAGCCAAAGGATTGTATGGTATTCTTTCGTTGTGTGCGCAAAGGAGGAAGGGTACTACTTACATATGGCTGAACGTGCGACTCATCCTACGAACCCCGTCAAGTCACCATCTCAGAACCCCGATTACCGATTGATCGTAGATCTAGCCAACAGATCGGTCTCGCGAGAACGTCCGTGGTGGAGTGCTCAATTTGTTAATCAACTTTTATGTACTGTGTTTGCAGATCCAATGTGGGATGCATTTCCTCCAGGAACTTATCATGATCATATTGATTGCATTGTACTCGCGCATGCTCGGATCTGAACAAACAGAAAGTTAATCCAACCAGCGAAGTGTGAAATGTAGGTTGTGCGACGGTGTAATATGTCGTAGTCGCTGATGTGGTCATCTTCGTACAAAAGCACAAGTTGAAGCACAAGTTCACAAACTCAATATCTGTCAGGCCAGAGTACGAATGTCCTAAACTCTGCGCAAATTCAACGCTGGATCGCAAAAATGTGCATCAGACTCGCAATGCTAGCAATTATGACATCCGTGCGCCACCGTGCCGATCCTCTAAATTCTTATTCTTTCTCTGTGAGGCTCACAGCCACACGTCACTCGCGCTGTGCCAGCTAGAAATTATAACGATAGGCAATTTATCGGAAAAGCTTGTCAGTCGAATACGGATTGAACATCATGTGCCAATGAGAAATAGAGTTGAGAGTTGTCGGAAACGACCGTGTTATGTCTCACAGGTGCAGTTCCAGATATTCCCAGAGCCAACGACTTTCCCCCTCTCGCTCGCTTTCTACTCCTTCTTCGCTGCCTCATACTGGCATGTCCCAAATGTGAGGTCATGCATGCGTAACATTGAAGACACACATTGCACACCACTGCAATCTGCTCGGGATTCCAAAAAAAACAGGTGCACTCGGGCCGACATGTGTCCTCGTCCATATTTACGCTGCAAGCAGCTTGCATCGCGAAGCGGAATCAAAATACTCTATGAAGCTTCGCGAAGTCACAAGCTCTTCTGCCTCAATGACCGATGGCAATCGCGCACTCACGGTTCGAGGGGGAGGGAGGGGGAGTTGTGGGGTGGCCAAGATTGTATATTGTGCGTAACAGACAATCTCATCATGATACCATCTGCAGGAGATGCACCAGTACCAGTACATGCTCGTCTGCGAGCGACAGTCAGTGCGACAGTCCTTAGCTCGGCATCAGAAGACAGGGCGCAGTACAGTAACCTCCGACAATAGCAGAAAAACAAGCTGGTCTTCAGAAGACACTGTGCTGTCTGACCACCCGAGCCGATGGCATCTTGTGGACAGCATATCGAGGATCCATAAATCAGTACTATGCGATCTTCATTGGGTTGAAACCCGGTACAGGTAAGTCCGTGAATAAAGTGTGCCAAACCCACTAGAAATAACTGACACACACGCAGGGCAAGCGTTCGTTCGTTCGGGAAAATATTAGAGAAAAGAAAACGATCAAGAGCACGTCGGTAGTCAAAACGCAGGGACAAGAACGGGATAACTGGAATGTATGAAGAGCAGATTTAGTCTGTTCGATGCGTCTGATCCACTTGAAAATCGGCACAAGGGCAAAACACTGCTCCGCTAATTGTCCTTTTCAAAACCGTTAGACAGCACAGACAATATTATAGAGCTCTGGGTGAATATATTGTGTTGAATTAGCTATTTGCGTAGTCTTAAACCAATAATCACGGCTTACCTGGGGTTTCGAGCCGGCAACGGGCATTTCCGCGGTCCACGGATGGAAACGAGGCAAGCTAGTGGCAGTACGCGACGAGATTGGATAGACAAACCGGGATACGAGGGCCGGCTCATCCCGCGACTTCACGCCCACGCCTCAACAAGAGCTGCTTGTCGTAGAGGATTGATTATAGCACAGAACGTCAGGTAAGAGTCCCCCGAGCTATACTCGAGATACGTTTGCTGAGTGGTGAGCGGATAGGATGTCAACAACCGAAGTGGTGCACGGCGGCAGCGGTAGCAGCGAGCACATCGAGTTGGTAGTCGTCGAGGGTCGCCGACCTAAGTCTCCAGTGCAGGTAGCGAGGGTAGCGCCAGCAGATCCAAGGAGGAAGGCAGGAGATGTCGCGAAGCACGCAAGCACAGAGTCAGCAGCGCGCAATGCGTCTGAGCCTGTCGAAACAACGACTCCACAAAAGCTGTATAGAGAGACTGTGGTCGGGAGTGTAGCGACAGACCGTGAGCAGTATTACGTCTTCCGCTACACATATGTTAGTCTCTGACCGAAGGCAACAACAGATGAAGGGAGCACGAACAGGGATAGAAGCGACGGGAGAACAGAAACACCACTTGAAGAACAAGACATTGCGGATGCGCTCACGCCCGAAACGTATCCGCTTACCGGTCCAAGCCTCAGCGTCGTTGTCGATGACGGGTCAGTCACACGGACGGCTGCTGAGGCCGCACACGAAGACCCGTTCGAGAGCATAGAAGCGGTAGGACACTCTCAACAATACGATAACACCTTTTCACGGAGAATGTCTTCGGCAGGCAATGGTCATGGTTGCTTTCATGGGCGGAATCATAGCCACCGGTCCACGTACGGTTGCACGCTACGGCATCTGGCTCCCTTTCCTGACCCTGGGCTTCTTCTGGTCCAAGCCCCGACAGGACCTGGTGGCTGAATTCTTGTGGGACGTGATCTTCGTCCTCTTGGCCTCGCGCTTTGGGTTCCTGATCGTGGTCCCCGTCATGATGAGTGTAATATGGCAACATATACGTCATGGTGGGCTGAGGAGGATTGGAGAGCATAGCCTGTCGCGTTTCAGCAGGTGTGTCCAGTATAAATTATAGCAGAGTAACATGCAAGACACTCACAAATTGCTCCAAGGTTGTGAGGGTGTATGGTGATTGACTAGCAACATGTATCAGTAACCGTGACGTATCAAGGAATTCACTCGAGAAATGAGTGCGATGCTAGTTCCGCTGTTACAAAGGGGCAGTCAATCAACAGTCACGCCTTTTAAATCCAATGGTGTGCAACGTTGTCCTCGCCAGGGAGTCCACCGATGAAGTCAAAATGGTTGTGTTGTAAGTACACGCAATGACTGAGTTGAATGAGAAGTGCGGCCATAGGAGCTGTGGTAATGACACAACTGCATGTGTTAGCAAAGTGCATGCAAGGCGTGCACTTGGAGCGGGAGGGAAGGGGATGAAGGAGGCAGAGAGAGAGGAAGACATGAAGAAGTTAAAAAAATGAGGCGAGCGAGAATCTCATAAGGTGTGTACACCGTTACACGGCGCCAAAATAGTGGCGAATGGTGGCAACAAAACCCGGAATGCCCGAACGGCGACGTAAAATTCTGCCCCTCCTTCGACAAGCAAGGCGGATGACATACGAAACCTCTGGAGCAATTCGTAGGGGTCCAAGAGAAGGTGAGACCGAAAAAGTTTCAAACAATCGAAAATGCGCACCACGGACATATAATTGACATAGATGCCACACCTGAAGGTGTATGTGCCATCAATATTAGGCGGAACACAACATCACGTCGTGAGCAATGCATTCCTCACATAGACGACTGGGGATGCAGTGACGCTGTATGCGAGGGGGGAATTGCAGCGGGGAGGTAAATAACAATCCCTTCAAGACCGCTGCTGCTATAATTTCTCTAATCACATGCGAATAGTCTCGTACTCAGTCCCGTCTTTGTCTGTTATCGGCTGTTTGACCATATAAGGCAGGTTGCTGCTGCCCCATTTGGAAACTCCGCATGTGGCAGTCAATGTTGTTTCGTAGGCGTACGTTATAACCCTCCTAACGGCGTACAGTAATGTAAGTTGTTCACCGCTGTTGCTAGTACATCTCGAGCCATAGGATCCTATAACTTTTCCTACTAAAGCAATCCTTTGCGGCGTGCACAAGATGAACGCGGAATACTTAGATATCAACATAAGCCGCTGAAGTCATTTTAGGTTCTTGTTGCGAAGCGTACATCTGCCAGGTCAGCTGTCAGCCTTTGTGAACCACAGTTCCTTGACGTCCGGGAGCTAAGGCCGAACATCAATTTGAACTTGCTTGACGCCAACTCGTCATATCGACCAAGTGGCAGCCTATGATTGGTTTGGTTTAGCTCCGCTCAATACACGTCACCGATGCAGCCCGCAGCTTCTACTTCCAAGGTCCTGCCGTGTTGCTCGATATCTCAGATCCCAGGGGCCCCGCTCCGACCTCCATGGGCGCAGTGAGTAGTTTACTAAACTATTCGCTAGTACTTGCTCACACATAGCGCTCTCACTGGGTGGGATCATCGCACAACGCCTGCGTTACTATAGTGCGGGCAACCTAGAGGCCACCTGTTTTGTGCAAACTTTCTGTGGCATTCAAATTTCCCCCGGATACTTATCCCTTTAGTAGAAATGCCCTAAATCATGCTAGGACCAATCCTACTAAACGGATTTTCATGAAAGTCGAAATTGCCCAAGATGGCCGCTTGAAATTGGCAACATCACGTGCACATGTCTATACTTGGTAAGTATTACATAATATACTTCCTAAAGCGGTATCTAAGCGTCAAAAAGACGAGCCAGGGTTTCGGGAATACGTCTGTGGGATGTGTATTGTCTGGAGCTGAACTGATTCACCAGTTACTGTGTGTCTCAAGCCCTGATCAACAGGCATAGATTCATCCCCCACACTGAATGGTGTTCCCAATGATGGATGGTCTCGGTGTCGACAGAAGCACAAACCTCCAATAAGTTAGCCTCGAGGGCTTGCAATATATAATGATAGTTCTCATGCAAGTATCGCTTCATTGCACCCCAGGACAACTCAATAAAATTGAGCCTGAAATGGAATCCTGGCAATAAAATGCACAACATGTCTCTTGACTTGAGTCTCATCGAGCTGAAGGTTCTTCTAACAAAATGATTCATGGTCAAACACAGCTGTGGCACTGCTGTATCCCGATAAGTAAGTAGTATGCTATACTCTATACGATATATTACCCCATGTCCACGGGCGCTTATTAGTGAACAACTGCCCGACCGATTTGGCCACTGCACATTGTAGGTGGTGACTAAGCGGTGCGCACCATAGCCATCGGATGTCGCGATAATCACCCAAATCCACGATGCTGAGAACAAGAACCATCACACATGTGTCAATTCACCGAGCCGAGATATCAATCACCCATTCACCTTCACAAGCGGTCGAGATGACGCTCACGGATCATTCTTAGACTGGGTCTGTTCCCGCGACATTAGGCTCCATGAGATGCGTTGCTCTCTTTGGGAAGTCCTGTGGCTCATAGATATCCACCGGCATAGCGTAGTAGACAGACGTTCCTGGAACGGTGGTGGCTCTTGAAACGCAGATGCTCCCCTACCCCTGATGCTATGAATTGAGTCTACAGTGGTGAAAGCGACAGCCCCCAGGCCATGCATACTCCAAGCTCACTAGTGCCACATACAATGCGCTCGGCCATTCTGCCTTTAAACCAGCGCGTTGGCTATATCCAAAAAAAACATTTCCGTGGGCGCGGTAAGCATCTGACGTTGTTGCTCCCGTCAAGCGTCTCATTGATGGCCTGGGTAGACATAGTGCGGCTCATCTTGACACCGCAATCCTGAATCCCCCTGCCATCCCATGGTCAGAATTCTCCGTACACGCTTGTCCTGCTCGCTCACCATTGACTGTCTCGTTCTCTCTGTGAGTTCACGCTGTTCGCCTTTGTTCTCATAAGCGAAGCCCAGGCAATGCCAGAAATGGTTGCTCCGCACCGTATACTCCTGTCCAGAGAGTTCAAGTCATATCCTTGGCTATTCTGCTCTAGGGACTGCTTGCTGGATATTATCTGTGGGGGCTTTCCGTCGTGGTGATCAACAACCCCAACAAGAACAACGGAGGGACAATGGATTCACTCAGTGACTGATGGCTGATACAGCGACGCCGTTCGTATTGGTTTCATTCATCTTTCCTTCTCTCCTAGCTCACTGTTCTTGGTTTCCAGACAAGACGGCGTGGCCTGTTACTCCTCTGTATCGTCTTCGCATTTCCTGACATGCAGAACTCGTCTGTCATGATCGGTATCGTCTTCTAGTCCTTGAGGTGTGCTTCTGGTGGTCTTGATCTTATCCTTGATATTCTTGAGCCGTTCACGACGGCGGATACGATGCCTACTACACCTTGTCTTCGTTCCGCTGGGTTCTCCTGCGTGTAAGGATACTACTCTCATGACGACATCTCGCGACTCGAGCTACTTCACTGAGCCTGGGAAACGCGTATTTCGGCCGTCATTGTCGCCGTCAACGTTTATCACGGCGCACTAGCATCCTCGATTTTAATGACCGTTGGTGCTCATTCGTTAAAAGAGGACTTACACTACAGAGGAAGACTCTAGACCGTTCTCCGGTGATCTATGTTGGCTGAGGTATGTGAGTCATTTCTATCCACGACATAGCGACCTTGCCGGTCTCGTTATTTGTTTGACGCTCAGCACACATTCACAAGTCTTCCGAACTGAAACCTCTGAATACATTGTCCAATGTTGCCTGATACAATCTGGGTATCCATCGGCCGCTATCGTGGCCTGTGCAACGTTGTCAATGCGTGTCCAATCTACGTTGACTCACCTACCTCTGCTTCGACAGCTCCCCGAACCCTACAACGCTGACATGACCCTCCTCATACTCCTCATACTCTCATACATCTTATTGATCCATTCCTCTGTCATTGGTGCGACGATCGCGTACAACCACCCCCAGCCTATGGCTGCCAAGAGGAGGACGATGGCAACGACGTTTACGTGCAGCCACCAGGCGACGCAAAATAGGCCAATCCCTATCAAAGCATCCGTGAAGAGACCGACTCGTGGGAGGGAGATTATGATGGCGCATCCTGTGATGGTCATGTAGATCGGGAGGCGCGGGTATCTCATTGAAGGGTCCGCCGCGGCGGCGAGGGACACGGTGGTTTCGTAGAAACCAAACGGGATCCCGGCCTGAATACACAATTGAATGAGTCCTGGCTACGCTCATCTACTGCATGAAAGCAACCAGCTTTAAGGGACGCGACGAAGGCTTGCATATGGGTTTCTTCCGCTGATGTCGCCCAGTGCATGTACGATACATGAATGTGGATCCATGCGTCAGAGCTACTTAATTCAAGACCTCGCCTGCCACTTACAAGCTGGGTCCTTGCGCGTCATCCGTTTCAGTATGAGAAGGAGCGTCATAGGCAACATTTCTGAGTGGCGGCGATGGTTTGTGAGAAACTGGCGAGGAGTATGTGGAGGGCAGTGAATGAACGCGTCCGCGGACCGATCCAGTATTTCCAATTTAGGTAAGGATCCGCCAGTTACAGCTCTAGCGAATGCTGCTCATTATTCAGAGTGCGACTCCAGCCTGCACTGACCTCGCGGGTGGGTATCCCAGGCCATGTTGCCATACTATACACAGACGAGAGACGGTTGTCGAGAATGGTTGACGTCACGCACGAATATAAATAATGTGCTCAGAAAAACATTGCATTCATTTAAAAACAATTATAATTTCCCTATACTTCCGTGCACCCGAATTTGTATGTGGACATCTAAGCACAACATAACTAATGATTCTTCCCCGTTCGGTAGCTCTCTTCGTAGACGTGCGGCGTGCCTCGCTCGCTAATCAATACTTGGTGGTATCAGGTAAAGCAGGTCGGATGACGACGCAGCCCGTAATCTCGGAATTGCGTCCAGTCGGTCTGACCTTGTTGCGCAGACAGCCATGGCCCATGCGGACCCAGACTTCTGCGTCCAGGTCCTAAATTGAGGTTCGAGGGTACTGGCCAGGGGCCTAGATTCGGGCATGAGATGCAATTATCCACCAGAAGCTAATTATCAGTGTGCTTCCGCCTTGCTCCTGGGTAACGAGTCTGAGACATTGGCGACCAGTGTTCGCCCCTTACTATATCGAGCACAAAACCGACGATCGGGTGCCGCCGATCGAACTCCAGATGTAGATCCACTGCGTGCCGATGGATGAGGAACGCCGATCGTCGATTTAGTAGCAGATGCAAACATAGTGCATACCATATTTGTGCGTATATTCCTCCTCCAGTTCTATGCGCGTATTTCGACGTGAAGAGGATTCAGGAAGAGCCGCGTTGACGTCGAAACTCAACTTGGCCGTGCACGATGGTGCGGGTGTCGACCCCAGCGTGATGCAGACACTGTCATGACCATTGACGACTAACAGTGTCCCTTAGAGATGGAGTGTTTACATCATGTCAACTTCCCTAAGCAACAAACATCAACGAGTAGAATGCAAGCTGTAACGGGCGCTTGCGTTGCAGGTGCGTCTTACTAGACCGTAGCTGTGGTTGGAAATCACTGGCTAGAGGTCCCACACCATTGGATCCAGTAACAAACCTCTCTGGCCGGTGCAAGAAAATGCAAAACCTGTACAGAGGAGTGTTCACTCGGTGCATGCTCGACATAAAATGGAAACTTACCAGTGCCGCCAGGCGGCATCATGGCCTGGCACCCGCCAACTCATCGCGAATTGTCTTGATGTTTACGGCGCATCGATCGTATTTTTGTCGCGATCTCTTCGTTAAACCTGGTTTTTCTGTCATTATCCAGGTACTTTTGAAGAACAAAGAACTTATACTGTCACAGGCACCTAGTATTCCGCTGGGTTTGGTCCCCCGGAGAAATGGGTGATGTGTCCATAGATTCGTACGTCTAGCTCTGAGGCCCAACGATACCATCAAAGCCTTATATATGCCTCGTGTACGTCACCTCTCCCGACTTCAACGTGCAAGAGATAGCGCTGGCTTCACCAGATTCTCCTGGAGGCTACAGATAGTGTGTATATGTGTTTCAACTTTCATGAGGTATATAGAACTAACCATGCTTGAGCTCAGCGTTGTTCCTCACGAATGCCAGACAGACAGCTCCGCAAAGCAACGATGAGACGCGGGGGAGCTCTTGAGCTCCCTTTGGCCTCGTAGTGAAACTTGGCCGATGGTCATGTGGCAAAAGCATGGTGGGATATTAGGTTTGTCGGGGAACACCGCACAGCAGTCCCAAGGGTTCCCAGGCCTTCCATCTGCCATCCCTCGCTCTGACCTTAACGTCCTACACTTCCTGTCTCGACACCGTATCTATGTCACACTCCCAGGAAGGCGGCAATCGAGGCCCTCAGCATGTCATTCTGCGCTCCTGCTGCGTTGGGAAATACATGCTGTCGAATTAGGCATCCCCTTCACTCTGTGGATCCAGTAACAGAGTTACCGAATACCATCCAAGGCGAGTGGCTCCCCACGTTTCGAATATGAATCGCAGTGCTCACACCACGCTTCGCGAAGTCACCGCCATGGTCGCGCAACACGCAAGGTTCGATCAGCGATCTGCTCGGTGCCGCAAATGCTATTCTCGTTGCTCTGTCCGCGATTTTTGACGGCCAGCATATACTCTCAAAGTATTCAAACACGATCCCACGGCGAGGGAAGAGTGGGCGCGTGATAGAAGCGAAAATGCGTCAGCGCAGTCGTAGCTAGTGGTGAGTGCTTCTCAACTGCACTCGACACTCTGCTGATCGTCGCAGCCTCTATTAGGAACCACTCCAAAGTGAGGAATCAGCCATACCGTAAATTGGCGATTAGCATAACGCCAGGTGCGCCGTTGAGTGAATTCGCATAGCTTGGATCTGACTGAAGTTGAATAGTTCAGAGCCGCTATAAATTCTGGATGGTTCGCACAGCGTTAGAAATATATTAGATTGGTCACGTTCTGGACACATTCAGAGGGCTGGAGCGGCATGACACGCTTTCAGTTATAACATGGGAATGAAGGGTTAGCTGTAACCGGCGAGAAAGAGAGAAAAAAACAGAAAATGACGTATGATATCGCACAACAAGCGGGAAATCACAGGGTCCGTGCGCAGAGGTAGCCGCAGCCAGAAACTAGCAATTTATGTCAATAACCTGTGGAACATGAGCTCTACACATAATCGATTACTTAGTATTGCGACATACCTGGACAAAACAGGGGGAAAACCAAGACTAGACATACTAACCGAGCATGTTATCGTTTGTGAGAAGGCTTGCTGCGTATGTAAGCTCCCGAAACAGGCGCGTGCACTTCGCCACCCGTGCTGCAAGTCGACCAAGTCTTCGCGTAAAGCCTGCAGACGAGGATCGAGCATTCTAAAGTGAGTGTGTATGAATATCAGCGAGCCATAAGCCTCAAGAATATGTACTAACACGTCCTAGTTCACAGACATGACGGCGACCACTGAAGTTGCATGCAGCTCGAGTAAAGTGGCAGACCTCACAACCTCCGGTAGCGGATGCGACTCAGCGCAACTTCTGCCTTCCAATGAAGCTACAGCCGCGTCAGCAGAAATCGACAAGAGTTTGGACCCTCTGCTAGGTCTTGGAATGGCCGACGACCACAACGCGAAGAGCAACGACAAGACAGAGGCCGCACAGCAAGATTCTGGTAGCATAGAGCCTCCTGCAAGCGTAGTGAAGTTCAATAGAGAGTCTATTGGCGGTAACGACCCGCTTCAAGGTGAGCAGAACGATACACTTTGCTCCGAGGATCTGTCTTCAAGTGCACCGTACCAGCCAAACAGATCTCTAGCAGCGGGAAGGCTCGCACGCATGGGGATGCAATGCGAGACTCGGTCGTGCATGAAGAACTTACAGTCAGCGCGCCCGTTATTACCAACATATCCGAGAATATGAATCTCCGCATGCCATCCAGTCGAGACGAATTGGAGCACGAGCCGGTGCTTAATAGATTTGCCGGGGCGACCGACACAGGAGACGCGAAGGACGAGGCGCAGACTTGTCGTGAGGAAGCATTCCAATGTCGCCGACATGTACCGGCAGCCGAGGTCATGACAGACCAGTCCGGTAGGAGCGGCGCGGAGGCGGAGGAGATTGAGAGACATCGTCACAACCACGAAAGTGCGGCTGAAGTGGTCGAGCCTGATCTACCCTCAGAGCAGGACATCATGGAGGCGTTCGTGAACGAAGACATAGAGAGTACGGGCATACCTGCCCAGCCGAGCACTGAGGATGTGACGTCTTCAGCGGAGACCCTTGAGAAAGAGGATATTTTGAGACTAATAAACAGGACGGTGGTGCGTTGGTCAGCTTTGGAGAGCGACGCACGATAAACACAACACACAACAGCTCGCCGATTATTTCTTCTCGTTCACGGCACTAGTCGTCAGTGTCTTTCTGGCGCAGGCTGATCCTGTCCTGTCAATCGCCTTCGTGGCAGGAGTTGCAGGCTGGCTCTGGACCTTGCCGCGAGAGGACCTAATAATGGAATTGGGGTTGGAGGCAGCACTGACTGTCACGGGCCTTACGCAAGGTGTATGGGTGGCGGCCTGTGTGGCTGCGATGGCAATGTTACGGGTTATACATCGGTTTGCAAAGGAGGCAGTCCAATACGTACATTCATGGCGAAGCTCCGACGGATACATCTCAGGGGGAAATGGTGGTGAGTGCCTTTAATATTGGATCCTGCATGAGGTGCTAAAGCATGAAACGCAGGTCGTAATGTAGACGTGTAACATGTTGAATCAGGCCTACGATATTTGGATCTCATCCTGACGGCTGTTCGCGATGGTGGCGTCTATTGGAACACCGGGTCAAAGAGCTGGATAGGTTCGGACCTAACATTTGCAGATTGTATTCAAGCCTTCACATGGCCGTATGGTAAGTACATGAATGAAGTGAATATAATGGACTGACCACAAGAACTTGGGCAGGATGGGCAAGTCCACATAAATCGCATCACAAGGCTTGGCTGCGCGCCAAATACAGAGGAGTGTTGTACATGCGATACGATGTCCCGGGCAGTCAGCTGAATACAAGTCCCATCGTCGGCACCGCACATTGATGCATGTCTGATGCAGTAACTGAGGTGTCGCTTCCAGCGTATTTTCACCTGCATAAATACTACGTGTAGACTGTACCAGGGAAGAACCTGTGAGGGCAGTGATGAGCATGATAAAGGAAGAATTGGTGAAGGCCTGAGATATTCAAGGGCACATGACACACAATGTCTGGCGAGACAATGTACAACAGCAAGTCTGACTGATGCTCACAAATAAAGCCGCGCGTGCACTCCCAGCCCCGTACATGTGAGTTACTGTATGTTCTACAAGGGTTTCTCTTCAGTGGGAGGGATACGCGCACAGGTAGTAGCGGGAAGTGCGTCGTGCACCAGCATGTCACCTCTTGTTGGTACTTCCAATTCTGGGTCTAGTGAGCGTATGCGTGCATCACGATCGGATCGGATCGGATTTGTTCGATAGACGCCCAAGTTAGTCCCGTACCCAGTCCATCTGCCACACCCATGTTTGGTATTATTGTCTCTATAGGGTAACCGGACCTGTAGCTATCAGTAATGGCGTTGTTGCCGTAAACACCTCACCCGTTCGACCTCGCGCGTATTGACTATCAATGCTTCATCCCCGGTACTTCACACTGCTTATCAAGGTTGTGCTGTCTTATAGCACATATTTCTCTTTAGCCCTGAGGTCTACAGAGAGCACTCATCTCACGTCCTGAAGCCTCCATTGAGTATGTCAGCGTCTTCTCAGTGATAGAATATATTTCATTCTATGTCAAATCACAGAATACACTCGTCTCCCGCCAAGTGGCCGTCCCTCATTGGAAGCACACGGAGCGCGGAGAAGCGCAGTGCCTGTATGAATGCCACGAATCACGCATGCCGTACTGGCCGTACTGCGCCCATTCATCATGTGAAACTCTCGGCATGCTCGGTTGGTCAACTCACCGGCACAATAGCCATCGAGAGAATCTGTTTGAAACAATTGCCTCTCGTGAACACCGCCAGCTTACAGTCCTTACAGGTTGTTGTGTGCCCACAGCCGCCCTCACCATATAGCTGTTGGACGGTAAGCCTTGATTTGATATCCGCGTAGATTGAGCGGCGAGCACTGAGCATGTGTCGTGATACATTCTCACGTGGTGAGTGACTAAGAGGATCGTCCATTCCCGCGTTTTGTGGCAGCCCGAGTCTTCGAACCACTAGATTCTTGTGGGGAAGTGACAGTCCATTCCCCATTGGGAGTATTGTCCGCGAGAGCCTGGGTGTCTAATGACCAGAACAGGTGGTACGTTCTTCCTCATCAAGGGCGTGCCTTTGGTGTCCCTGCGCCCCAGTGTTGCCGGGTATCGTAAGCACGCTCCCACTATCCAGACCCACCTATGTCAAACATGGGCAGTTGCAAGACGCCGCAGCAATCTTTCGGGTGCGGTTGTCCCAAAGATGATGGAGTGCTGGTGACATGTGTCAAATATCATCCCGGATATCCAATAGGCCGGTATCCGAGGAATGCCGAGCTATGTATGATACGACTCGTCTCCACGGGTGGGGGTAGTTGTTGTTTGTGTCTTGTGTCTTTCATCGCAGGTTCTGCGCACATCCGCTTTTCCTCCTCTGGAGCACTACCTCGTGAGGACATTTACTCGTGTTGAATTTATTGAGTTTACTCACAACGAACAATAGAATAGAGCAGCTCCCTTCGATAACTAGAGCGGGATTTCTTGGGTAAATGGCAAACAAGGTTGATCCTCATGCGATACACGCTGCTCTTGCCCCATAGTACGCGCGTCGTTTTATGACGACCTCATGCACATCGGTACGCCTTTTTTTAAACCTTGTTTTTCGTGACTAGTCACCTCACTAGAACAAAGAGAACAGGATATGCTCACTGTACATTTGATGTGTTGGTGCGGCAACACGGGCAGTTGCTTCCCTGGATAACCTCTTCGTTTGTTAGCCCTGCAGTGTCTCACTTGGCAAAACCCCCATCTGCGTATATTCCTCCTCGCTAGATGTAACTCTGATTTCGCTGCCGACGCCAATATCCTTGCTCGAGCTTCCACTATGTCTTCACTTGCCGGTCGATTGCGCACTTTGCGAGCTTGGTATCGACAAATCCTTGTCCGCTGGCGATCTTGTATATGCCTCGCTCGGCAGGCATCCGTCGTGCGAACGATTCTGAGACATCACCGCGGCTACCGGCTTTTCTGTGAGACGAACCCTGCAATAATGCGGATGAAGTCTCAATTCATCAAGTTCTTGGCTTCAGCTATGGCGACGCACCAAATGCGCAGTAGCTCTGGTCGTCTGGCGCTTGTATACTGACTGCATAAGTATCCTCTGTTACGATTTGTCGCTGCTTGTGAGGATCGGCGTTGGACGATGGATGGGCTGCCACGAGCTAGTAAGCATCTTATTGTTCTTCATACCGTGTGCGACGTGCTCCGTCTGGCTTATAGTTTTTGGCTCAGGTGCAATGTACATTTTCTTACTGTTGTTGCCATAATATGAACGTTTCAAATGAACATGTGCCCCTTGCGATTACAAATTGTCCTTCAGTGGTGCGTACAAGTATGAATTCTCTGTCGGAATGCGGTCGTCAGCGTGCGCTCCCATACTAGGTGATATGACGCACCTCAACACTGTCGACTCCTACACTGGCGCCTCATTTCTCTCTCTTCTCCGCGCGTTCCTTTGCTTTATCCACCTTACTCCATATTGTCGTACCACCGCGATGACGAACGCCGCCAGGATGCAGGCTGCGGCTATGGCACTTCGCATCCATATCCACGATATAGCTGCTCCGCAGAGGCAGGTCATGTACTTTACGTGCATGGCTGTCCAGCCTGTGTATATGGCTAGACAGCCACAGATTGCTATAGCGATTTGTGCCGTGATATCCAGGTCGCCCTCCCACTGCATGAAGCCGAACACTAACATCATAGGCGCAGTTGACTGGGACATAACACCGTCAACTGAGCCTCGGCATTGTTTGTTCATCAGATTAAGAAGACATACAAAGCTGGCTTGATTCCATTTGTCGCGTTGGCTGGTGGTGGTGATATTGGTGGTGGTCTCGCGGCTCGTCGCAGCTACATTGGGCTTGTCAGTATCATTCTGCGACACATTCCATGCTGCTTCTACATACAATCCATCGTTTCGACGCTGGTTATACGCAATCTGAGCGAATAAGACTGCAAATACGTTCACAGCGCGTACAGTCTGTCTTGAGGTCGTCGAGGGCGGCGCGACTTGGGTTATGATCGTAACATTCGGCTTCCGACAGCTAAGTCCGAGCGCCCGCTGCGCACCTTCAAACATCGTAATTGACCTTTCGAAATGACACCTGCTTCAATATGAGTCTACAGCATTAAAAACCATAGATTATGTGCATCCAACATGCTGTCTATTTCACAAAACACGTCCTCTTGGTCCTCTAGAATATCTAAGCTCGCGCACCGCAGGCTTGAAGCTAAAACCGTGATCATGATGGCATGTCTCATAAACATGCCTACTGTAGTTCCTGCCCCCAATTTTACCGTCGATTTAGATCGTCTGTGTTCGATGCGCGTCGGATAGAACACGCCATTCACCACGTCGGACACTAAAAGGCAGCACTTTGCATGAGGTGTTCCAGTTGACGGGATATGGAGCCAAAGGCGGTGACTTGTGCATGCCGGAAATCGGCGCTGCTGCGTCATTCTCGGATCCAGTATACGCAACGCAGTACAGGTTAAGGACGCGACGACTAGGGCCAACTTAGGGCAGGTGTCGCCAGCCGTACATCTACTTTCACGTGTAGTGAAAGTGAGGCCTCCAACGCTTCGGCTGCAACAACCCCCTAGCCGTTTTCGATAAGCCTGGGCTCATAAAAACACTAAAAGAACAAACTTATGGTCCACTGTGTTGCTGGCATACAAGCCTCTTGCGATCCGTACAAATGCAACAGGGTGAGTCCATCAGGAATAATGAACGTAGTCGACCACGATGATGGATCGCAGGTGAGACGACGCACGAGGGTCGATGGCATACATCGCTACCGCAGTATATTCTGCCCGTGACTACTCCATAGCACCCGCCCGCCCAGTGGTCGATCGATCGCTTGGCTGAAAGGTTCCAGCGCACGACCCCGGAGCAATGTGGATCCATATGTACGATGATCGCCGGCCCCTTGTAAATCCGGAAAATGCAAGATCCGCTCTGCAGAAAGTCAAATTCGCATCAGAATCAGAGCCTCTAGACCGCACCCCGACGAATTAAAGCAAACACATACTGCGGCGTTTTCCACTGGCCCCCTCGAGGGTCATCGGTACGTCTCAGATGGGGTACGGCGGCGCAACAGGACAGCTTCCCGCCTTGGTACGCACAGGACCACAACGAACACATACGGTTGGAGTCTGGATACGGTTAACTGGCTCATTATAGCCGAGCAAGTCGTGTATGAGAGGCGGCATGGAATAGCGGCGCTCCCGCCCACCGATGGAGGATCAGCAGAGTGTGGCACGAAGAAGACATGGCAGCGGCCCTTCATCGCGCCGCCTTACCGTTATACTGCGGTTGCGACCAGGCTTCGGTCCGGGATGGTGTCGTACACAATATACAATTACTATGATGTAAGCGTATGCATGCAGGAATATGTTGTCCTTGGCCGGGAACACATCAGGCCCACGAGAACCATCTACATCAGGCATAGAGAAGCCAGGCAGTTCGAGACAGTGGTGTATAGTGGACGATGAGCAGCATAGATCGCAAGGGCTGGACACGGCATCGGCCCAACAAGGCTGCCTGCACCAGCCGTTTTTCCGCCTCATGTAGCGTAGTGTGTTGGATCCAGAAGACGAGATAGGCGACGACGGCCGAGGGCTCGGAGAGCCTCCTCCCAGTCAAAACCACGCTATCCCGTATCACAGAGACCTCCTTCGCCTCCCAGTGATCCAATAGGCCAAAGCGAGGTATACCGAGGCGGCTAGTTGTAGGGCCATACGAGACACCCTGGTAAATGTGGTTGGCCTCTGCAGGCATCTTCTCCGTGTGACCACCGCGCAGAGCTGCTTCAGTAAGCGGCCAGCACGCACCGCGTATGCAGGACTCAGCCGCATTCGCGACGTGCGCCGTGCTCCTGCTGTGCGACATCTCTGCGCGTAAACGCGCATTCATGGCAGTAGTCGCGGCGGGCCTTGCAGTACAGGCGCGGAAGCTGGGGTAGGTAGCAGTAGTTGCTGTACTGAGGGTCGGGATCAGGAAACTTGCTGCGAGTACAGCACCTTAGGCAGGTGCAGTGATGCTGCAGCTATCGGCAAAGAGATGGCCACAATTCCTGTGCAGCGTGCGCACGCCGCGCCCTCTCCCGAGAGTTGGAGCCCGGGCTGGATCGCAGGCTGTAGAGCCTCGAGGTTATGTTGCCTGAACACCTCACGCCTCGGACTCGCACGGTGCATTCTGTATCCCATTGACGCTCTAAATATAGGTGTGAGCTCGCAACCCGAAACGACTGCTACTGGCTTACATGTGTATTCTCGCCGGCGACATCCGTCGATGGCGCCGTGTCGCCAGATTGCCTGTGTCCCCGCCGCGCTCCCCGCACAGCGACGTCACGATCGATCGCGGATGATTGAAACGCCGACCCCGCATGATGACCCATATGTGTCTGCTGTCGAAGGAGTTAGTAAGTCTGGGTCTTGGATGTGCTGACGGCCGCGTTGCTGGACAGTACAACTGCCATGTACCGAGCATTCAGTCAAGGTACACCGTGCGACGGCATTGTCGTGTCCGATACTGAGAGAGAGATGGGTGCATGGTGTCACCGAAAGGACTAAAATGTTGGAGTTTCCGCTTCTTGTTCAGCCTGAAAAACATGGGGGAAAGTGACAGAAGCGCTGAGTTCAGACCAATTTGAGACAAGTGGACTTAGAACGAATGCAGCTCACGTGTATGCCTGCGCCCTAACGGCGCTACACTGTTGTCAGTTTGTCGAGCCTGGCTTCAAGTCGACGAAGGAACGAGGACGGCCGGTGCCATTGAGGTGCGTGAACGAACATTGGTGACCTGAGCGAGACTTCGAATGCATGCTAATATCAAGTTCCTAGGTCATAACTAGCTACGCGCAGAACAATCGACAACTTGCGTGCTATGATTACAGGACACATTCCCCAACACTAACATGACGCGACATGGGTCTCGAAACAGCGGCAATGTAGCTGAAACTTCACCTCAGATTTACACGAATACTCCTGATTCTCTGACGAGACGGATGAAGGAGATGACAAGCGAGTAGTGTAGGCTTTATCAGTAAGGAACGACTGGATGCGCATGCAAGGGGTAGTGAGGGTTAAGCTGAGGGCCAGTCGGGTAGACGAAGGTGGCCATGAGAATATCGAACCAGTTCACGACGGATGAGGCATGGCCCAGCAAGCGGTTAGCCCTCGCAGACAGTCTGAGTCGACTGCGACAACCGCCGAATAAGATACGGCAGCATCCCGCCAAGATCGGAAGACTTCATGGGAGCTCGGGCCATGCGCAATGACCATACAAGCCGGCTGATTGGCATTGTGCGAATGTATAAGCCAATCTGTCTGGTCTTCGTGTGATGTCCTCGCAGAGACACCGGGCACGGTGTGATCCCGGCGCCGTTGTAGGCGAAGACCCGGCAAGCAGCCGCTCAGCGGCCCATGCCTCGTCCTGTAGTTGGGCACAACACAGCCAACACACTTCAACGACGCACCTGCTGCAGTATCCTCAACCTACCACGCAGCCACCGCATCGACCACCACCAGCGATCGCACCTTCCCGCTATGAACATCCCCATGGAAATCGCAATGGTACAATTGTGCTGGAAAGACAATTCGCCCGATTTTGTGGATGCTGGTGTTAGATCACAAGTAGAAGAACAACCAGAGGATGCGATCGCGCACGACGACATAGACAACGAGGACGCGCATGTAACATGCAAAGGACCGAAGCTGTCGTTGGAAGGACAAGCTCGCGACCAGGTCATCGTCGAAGGTTATCCATTGGTAGAAGAGACGGCTGAGCGTATTGAACGAGATGGGCCAACATTGATGCAGGACAGTGGAAGCCTCACAGCCGACGGCGACAACGGTGAAGCTGGAGACGCGAACGAGGTGAGAACCCATGTCTCCGCAGACGTGAGACGTGCTGGGGAGATCGCTTATGTGTCATGCAACTACCAGCCGTCCGATAGCACAGACAACTCTTGGGCCATGACGACGGGCTTCGCTGTTGCGGGGCATAGCACGTGCATTGTATGTGTCGCTAAGCCCAGCTGTGAGCGAGAGGTCCGGGAGGTCGATGCAGAGAGACATACCTTCGCAGATCTGGGACACGCTGTGGCTACCAGCACAGCCGTGCGAGCATCCATAATCGAGCCTACGAGCAACGAGGCCATCGAAATGGAAGCGACGCTGTCCGAGATTGTCATTGGAATAGGACGTGACGAAGGAGCCGTCATCGAGACGGACACAAGCGATGAGCATAATGGACGGGGGACCGGATGGACGGGGAAGGTCCTCCAATATAGGAGGAGAGTGGTGAGCACCTTCATGAGCACACGATGACAGATCACTAGACCAGAGTGGCAGCTAAGGGCGGCGGAGAAGGCCATAGAGGGAGACCTCAATATGGTGCGTGATGAGACCTGGTCAGTACTAGACTTATCGTTCCACTGTATGATACAGATGAGCATATTCATTGGACTTGTAGCAAGTGCCGTTCAGCAATTCTCTAACCCACCATCGCGAAGCGATATAATCGCATTCATAATCTTTACTCTGGGCATCATCTTCTACGTGCCGCCCCGCAGGAAAGGCCCGATGGTTGCTGTAATCATTTGTTTCGTGGCGCAGGCGTGGAAGCTAGGGGTAGCAGTGGGTGTCGCACTTTTGGTCCTTTGCACAGCAAAGTTTGCTGTGGTATTTTGCATGCAACAGGATACAAGTTCGGCTGACAATCCTCGTGAGTCGTCCAGCGATATAACCAACTAGATCGTGGTTAATTATACTTGTAGTCACGAACCAGTGACGACGTCCCTGGTATTGGAGACAACATGTCATTAGAGAATGGACGACCCATGACTATAATATATACTTATTCCATGGCGGCTACGTGAATTGAATCAATGGCTGTGTCCTCTTGCAGACCCTCACACAAGCTATGTTGTAGGCCGAAGAGTTCATACGACACCTTTGGTCGTACCACGCAAAATGATACTAAGAGGGTATGAGCTGAGATCTATACGACAGTGGAATACGCCTTACTTTGTGGTGTATTTGGGGTATACGAGTGTATCAGTGTTTCGGATGAATGTGATCGTGCTGAGCAAAAGCGAAGTGAGTCGACATACAATGAGTAGCATTTGTTGGCATGCAACTCACCATGACTCGTCATGCTCGGCGTTCTCGTCATCCTCGAGGGCGTTGTGATTCAGCTATTTTCGGATGGCAGGTCTACTACCCATGTCACGGTATTCCGTAACGACCTGGAGCGCGGAGAAGGATGCTGTTCCAGTAAATGGCATTCGTCTCCGTTCAGACGGTGAAAGTAGAGGTAATCGCAAAGATTGCTGGGAGATGTGCCAGCTGGGGCAAATTGCAGCGACGAACGTCGAGAGCTGTTGGGGTATCTAGGGTCCTTAGTGAATGCTTGCATCTAGACCTTACGATTTGTATCCGACAAAGTTGACCTTGTAATGATGGTGTCCATAGACTAGACCGCCGTATCACACACAGAAAACTTCAATATTCTTGTAGCATATGTTACGTGCTCTCACCAAAGATGACAAACTCGATTCAGTCCGTCGGAGTCAAAGCCAGCAGCGTTGCGCCCACATAGGGCTGTCAGCTGCTGCAAACCTCAATTGGCAATAGGAATCCCGGGAGATGCCGCCAATCAGACTGAGGAGACCACTGTCATGCTCTCTGGCGGGATGCCGGGGAACCACAGTCATTCATCCCAGTGGCTATCACCGCGGTAGGTAGCAGGCTCCTTCCCGCCGCTGTGGGAGTTATAGGGGACTTCATCCGAATAGCGTAGTCAATGTTTTATCTTGTGTATCCGAGAATAGAAGTCTTACCACAGATCATGTGCCGTAACATCACGTGCATATCATGTGACATCCCATTTGAACCTTAATCCCCTCTAACTCCCTACAGCGGCTGGCACAAAACATCTACAAGCAGCGGAGGACCGGCGCCGCACCTCCCATACGAGGCAGGATTGATTCCCGGAAATGATAATTGACATCCAAACATTTCAATTTCGTCAATTGAGGTCATCGCAACCCCCATGAGTGAATGTAACAACGATGCGCAGAAAGCCCATTGTTCGCAACACTTTGCATCTTGGAAGCCACATCATCAGTGAAAAAGTCGAGAACCTGGATCGCAGGTGCATGGAGAGTGCTGAACTTGAAGTGCCAGCCAGGCCGAGGATGGGTTATTCAACGAAGGGATGTTGCATGAGGCCTTCACCAGTCAGAAGGACGAAAATTAACCTCGGCAGGGATGCACGCATCTGTGTCAAAGCCAGATATAAAATTTTTATCAGAGGGGTGAAGGCCATGGTCACAAAGTTGCACCGAGGACGACGAGACTCGACACTGGGACACATAAACGCTACTGTGATACACGGGACCGTAACGATTATGTAATGATGGGCCAGTATCCTGCCTTCCTAATCTAGGTGACATGCGCCGCTCCTCCGCTGTTTGTAGATGTTTTGTGCCAGCCGCTGTAGGGAGTTATGGGGGTTTAAGGTTGGGATTCGGAGATTGATCTTGCCTCGGATGTAGCCGGATTGTGGCGCAAGTGTGGCGGATGGGTTTGCAGGACTTAGCTTGCGTCAAATTTGTCGGATTGAGCCCCTATAACTCCCACAGCGGCGGGAAGGAGCCTGGGTAGGTAGCAGCATCTCGGGGTGGATGTATCCGGACGGCTTTTCGGGGTTAGCCAGAGCATCAGGGCGTTGGGCTCCCCGGTTCCCCGATGGAGGTAACTCTCGGAATGAGATTCCTATTGCCAATTGAGGTTTGCAGCAGCTGACAGCCCTATGTGGGCGCAACGCTGCTGGCTTTGACTCCGACGGACTGAATCGAGTTTGTCATCTTTGGTGAGAGCACGTAACATATGCTACAAGAATATTGAAGTTTTCTGTGTGTGATACGGCGGTCTAGTCTATGGACACCATCATTACAAGGTCAACTTTGTCGGATACAAATCGTAAGGTCTAGATGCAAGCATTCACTAAGGACCCTAGATACCCCAACAGCTCTCGACGTTCGTCGCTGCAATTTGCCCCAGCTGGCACATCTCCCAGCAATCTTTGCCATAACTTATACCTTCATCGCCTGGACGGAGACGAACGCGGGTCACTCCAACAGTATCCTTCTCCGTGCCCCAGGTCTCCACAGAACACATGGGCAGCAGATCTGCCATCCGAAACGCAGCCCTCCACAGGCTCGCGCGTGTCATTCGTAAGTCATGCAGGAACTCTCTCGACAATGAAGTCGCTTTACGATGGTTGGCTCTCAGCCATGTTTCGACACAGGATTCACTGGCGGCAGCACCTTTGATTTGTGGGGATGCCTATATCTATGACAGGTATCCGAGTGAGTAACCTCACCGGTCTTCCCCTTATTTCCGCCTATTTAGTATGTTTACGGATAGCCTGCCGCTCCTCCACAATTCATGGCGCCATGGCGCCGCCGACCTTCATTATCCCCGTCGCAATGATCGCGGCGAGGGGTAGCACCCCAAGTTTCCACGCTTGGAAGGCAAGGCCAGCTGTGGCCATCATCTCAAGCACATCCGCCGGTCCGCAGGAACGAGACACAGCAAGGCGACGTTGCAAGTGGTGAAGGCGACAGCGTCGAGGATTGATGGCGGGTCAGAGAATCGCTGGATCACAACGCCCTCAAGGACGATGAGAATGCCGAGCTTAAGGAGTCATGGTGAGTACATATCAACAAATAATTTTTTTGTACGTCGACTCACTAGTACGTCGCTTTCGCTCAGCACGATCACATTGTCCTGCGGCACAGGCTCGGCCCGCGCAGCTGCGTCCTCTCCTTGTGTGACACGCTCGTCCGTCGCTGTACCATGCAGCTTAACTTCGGCTCGACCGCTTCTGTCCTGTCCGGGCACTAGGGCTGTGGGTGTTGTCTCCACAGCATGGATTGTCACCTCCACCACATTCCCTGTCCATCATACAACTTCTGCTTCCAGAGTCCCGCCGTGGTTTGTCTCATCGCTGACGATGCACTGGTGGTCGGGGTTTATGACCAGCGAAGGGGGAACCTCTACCGCAGTGTCCGTGGCGGTCTCCTCATCGACCGCCTCGAGTCGACTGATGATCTGACTAGGTAGTACGATCCGACGCAGGTCTGTCGTGGACGATGCATGGCTCGCTCTCTCTCCACCCATCACGGCCCCGTTGCCCTGCCTGCCCTCCCCTCCTAGCATTCCGCAGCCGCCGTTGTCCTCGATGTTCAAGACCGCCTCCCTGATAACCCCCGGGGTCGGATATCCATGCTGCCCGAAATCGTCATCCGCGCCCGCCGGTCGCTCTTGAAATTGAATCGCATGGTGCTAGGATACAAAGATTCAGCAGTGCGCGCCCACCCCAGGGTACCAAACGCTAATCTGACCTCTTGTGTCTGCCTTGGTCCTGCCGTCTCTCCCGGATCGCCCTCGCAAGGGTCGGAGCACTCTCCCTGGGTCATCGTCTGCGTGTGTGGTCTTGTAATCCAAGCAAATGTCGCAGCGAGGGGATTGACGACGACGTTGATTGGCTTGGTAGCGCTAGGCACCTCTGCTTCATATGGTCTGTCTATCTTGCTGGACGGCCATGATATGACGGAGCTCGTACAGACTCAATGGAGTTGCTCAAATTACTGGGTCTCACACGCAATGATCTTATGGGTCTCAAGGATAGTGTCAGATTAGTGAGGTGGAGGCTGTGTGGACGATGGATGTTCGCTTTAGCTTTCTGTCTTTTACGCGCGCCGGCTAGGGGCATATCGTGAGGTCTTTCGTGCATGAGCACTTCGCTCCGTTTGTCGGTGACCATGTAGCCTATACACTTGTCGGTACGCAGTGGCCGCGACAAATAGTATTCGACATTAGCTCTTGCATGATGCCTTCTCGTTGTACGTGAGACTCACGCGGACTCCCTGAATTGAGGAGTGCTTCGGTCTGTCCTGCGGACGGTGGCCCTTTGGACGCCTTACGGGTATATGCTGCTTGAACTTGAATCTCTGGTATGTTTCCGGTAATATAATCCCTTCGTATGGTGGCACCACGTGGGCCACCGGCCTATAATGGGAGAATGACGCTCGCCGCTGAGTTCCTCCACCGATGTACCCAAGGGCTCTCACGATCATCAAGTTGAGTACAATCCTCGTTCTTCAACAGATTGGTAAAACCACCTGATAGTACTGTATCTGCGACTTTCGAAGATCTATCCTCCACTTTCTGATACATCGTATAGCTTGCAGATTCGTTCAGCACGGCTCGGAGTCGCAACTGCGGCGTTGTGAGGGACGCACTTCGGCGCTTAGTGAACCGTCCTCTAGCCGCGGACGGTGCAAGGATCAGTACGGTGGGTGCCTGTGAATTGGTAATGGGTATACCATGAAGCGATGTCTGTTTGGTCTATGCAATGAACACGGTTGGCCTCTGTCCTTGATTAATATATACTTATTCTGGTCTTCTTACTAACTCGCACGTATGTTGCGCGATGGCCTACCTCGGCTTCCTGCACCGCGTATACGAACCCCCTTTTACTAGGTATCGTGTCTCCTATTGGCAGAGCGTGTGGCTGACTGACGAGACTGACCAGGCTTTGTAGCCGGATGCGCTGGACCGGAATGCGAGGGCGCTCCCTCTGCGCCATTTAACAAGGCAGTAAACATCTCTTTGCTTACAGCATAAGCGCAGTCCCACGTGCACAGTTGTCGTCCTTGTCATCCTCAATGTAATGCTCAACTTCGCCCTTGTGAAGGATGCAAGACGCATTGCTGCATCTCGACCGAGGCCTGCATCTCACTATAGTAAGTCTCCTCTATGGATACGCACCATCGTCGGCGTGCTAATCATGAGGTAACTGTCATTATCTAGGCTATCTAGGCTCCGATGTCCCATCGCGCCTTCCCTTACTATCTCCACTGCCGGATATCCACATTTCTGTGGAAGAGAGCATCTGTTACACCATGGACCACCCCGGATCTGCCGGTGAGTGGCTGTGGACTGCAACAGTCAAGTGCGCCTTGGGCCGAACCGGCGGTTCTTCTCCCTTGTGCAAACGCACGAGCAGCACTGCATGCGCGCTGGGCTGGCGGCGGAGGACGTTCTGACAGCCCAGCGGGCGTACATGACACACTGCCTCAACTTTATGCGACCTGAGATGCCCGAACTGGAAGCGCGCTCGCGCTCCGCTAAGACGCGCCTTCCCTCCCTCGAGCCTGCAGCTACAAACACTGCTCAACGACCGAGAAGCCCTCCCGCTCCTCTTCGACTACATCAAGATGACCGGCCGCTTCGCGGCCGGCGGGAACGATCGCAACCCCCCCGGATAACGTCGACACAAGAAGCTCCTGCTTTTCAACGTCCGTGTTACTCATACTCTTCCTTTTCTTTTCTCCCACTTTCCTCAAACTCGCCTCTTATTATGCGATGACACTTTCCATTACCGGAACACTGATACTGTACAAAACCTAATCACCTACCTACAATCACCTATTCTCCCTCCTCCCTGCGCTTATGCACTCGAATACGCCCTCACCCGGCCCCTTTCCACATGACCGCCCGCGCACCAGATGGCCACATGACCTACACCCCGGAACACGCACGATAGTTCGCTCGCGCTCCCCCTTCCCCATGCTACCTGACAGCCTGTGGCCTTTACTCCCTCCGCTACGCACTACACGCGCATGTATTATCCGGCATAGGGCAAGGCCCTCAAGCGGATACAAAACTGGATTAAAAAAATAAAAAAATAAAAACTTTATGCGACGATTGGACCTGTGCCATGCTGATTCCATATTGGAGTCTCCCTACGTCTTGACGCGGAATCGGATCATCGATGTGTTGACTGGCATGCCATATACGACACTATGCGTCTCAACTACTTGGGTTGGAATTGTATGGTTGACGGATGCGATGACGAGATGATAGCGTGCGTATGTGGTTGTCTGAGAGCGTGACATACATATGATGTCTAGCCCGTGTTCGAGTAATTGTGTAGCCGGTTCCGATGCATGGCCGTTGTTGCATCGTTATCTTTTTCTTTGTATTGACAACAAACTAATGAGCCGTCAAGACCATTCTCCTGTCAATCCTCCTTCGTCTTCCAGACGTAAATCCAAGCTTGCCAGACATTCCACGGCGAGGGAAAATCTCGCAGACCTTTCAGCTCGAAGCCAAGGCGTTTGTAGATGTCGACCTATACATCTGTCAGTCATTCTATTCCAACACAAAACATATTTATGCAACACACATTGCGTATGTGGGTGGTGGCAAGCGCCATGGTCCAGCCGTTTGCTTTAGCCTACGCGAATATGTGAGTGTGTGCCAGCAATGATATCATGTTTGACCCACCTTTCGGTACGCAAGCTCAGTCATCGCCTTCGATATACCCTTCTGCCACCAATCCTCCGCCACAAAGTTGAAGTTGCACCAGTATGTGTTCAGCTCGGTCTACCGTTAGGTGCGCACTCAGTACTTATGGTCAATAAATCGCGTCAGGAATGTGCCACCAACCTGATCCATCCCTGCGAGGACATCAATAGCGTGCGGGAAGTCCTTCCCCAGCTAACGGCCAGCACTTCAGTCAGACGGACCAAAATTCGTCGATAGGCATGCTTACCGCTTGTGGACAGTACGACTTGGCCTCGTCCGACAACTGACTCAAGTAGTCCTCGAAGCCAAGTTTACGCTGCTCTTCTCTTGTGTTCCACTGACGTTTAGTACGTACTTGCAATTCGATGAAATGGATTCATACGTGTTGAAGAGGAGTCTCCCGGGCGGTACCCACGCCTGAAAACCAACCAATTTCCCATTCTCGTCGGTTGCTGTGTACATATCACCGATCTGGAGAGCGATGGGCTTGATCATGGCGCGGGCCAGGACGGGGAGCAGACTAATGTCGCCTCCGGTCAACGCCACAGCTAGAGGGTCTATGAACACGCCTCTATGATTAGCCAAGTGACAATACGGTCATTGCTGGTCAAGACATCTCGCCTGCGGGCATTAGTTTGGCGAACATCTGAGCGGCTTCTTCAATAATCTCCTCTGCATGATCCCCAGTTGTTGGATCGTGAATATGGAGGTCAGACGCATTGTCGGTGCGCACCGGTCGGCTTCTCAACGAGCTGAACATGGACGTTAGACGGGACCATAGTATGGGAAGCGGCGCTGCAGCGTTCGTTACAGACGTTGGAAAAAAAAGGAGGGAGTCGTCCCTAATCACCGGGACTCGCACACATGAAACTTGCAATATATGCCGTGATCGGAAGAGGCAGTTGGGTGTTTCAACCCGGTAGACCTCCGAATCTGACAGAAAGTAGTATCCTTGATCGCTGTTGAGCAATCTGTTGCAGGCATATCGATGGACCACTGCTGTGGGTCTACCGTCCGACCGGGTGCGAGCCGAGTAACTATCTAAGCTATCAGCAAGCTTGCGCGGGTGGGTGGTATCATTCGGGATCGCACATCGGTCAAATCAGAAAGCTTCCGGCTCGCGCCAAATCGCCGTGATGCCCGCTTCGACACTCGTTTGGAGCGCGCAATAACTTGCTGCAAGTTCACTGTTGTCTCGTACCCATCCCCCCGTATCCGCACCCCACCACCGCGAAGAGGGGGTCTGGGGCAGTTGGATAGGCGCACCCCCCTGGCTTAAGCGCCCTACAAGCGCCAGAATGTAACGGTCACAGTAAGCTTCTGGTACCTAGAAATCATGCGATCTTTGATCGCTTTCCAAATCTGGTACTCACACCTAGCAGGTCGTGCTCGAGACTAGTAGACGCTACATTGTGGTCTGCCACAGAATCTTAAGTTTACTTGTTTCAAGCATCTTAGATAAGTCTCATATACTATATCCACCAGCAATTTAAGTATTTCATGAGACATACCCCTCCAGTAACATCATGAGGATGCCACAGATACTGAAAGGAGAAGTTGCAGCTTTCATCATGATGCTTTCCACATGATACTTTATTCGGTCATGAGCTTGCAGGCTGAGTTTAGCATAGATATTTTTTGTGTGGCCTTTAAAGTATTCCTACTGTGACCGTTACATTCTGGCGCTTGTAGGGCGCTTAAGCCAGGGGGGTGCGCCTATCCAACTGCCCCAGACCCCCTTTTCGCGGTGGTGGGGTGCGGATACGGGGGGATGGGTACGAGACAAGTTCACTGAGGCTGACTAGCTAAGGAAACACATTACAACTTGCTGGACACAATTTGACTGGGCTCTTTCTAGGGGCCCAAGCCGGTTGGCATGATGTTCAAAGCTATCCATGGTACGGAAGGGCTGTGTGGACTAGGGTGCAACCTCGGTCTGACGGATGCATTATTTGAGATGACCGGAAATCGTGATCGGATGACATTTCCGGCGCTACATATGTAGGCATCGCGCGCCGTAGATAGCTCCATTGATTTGTAGGATAGGAGAGACACGCCGAGTGACTGAAATGTTTGGATGCTAGGACGCATATCAATTCTGTCAGTCCCTACTTCCCCTCCCTTGTGGGAACGACGCCGGAAAGCCTGAACATCCTCGACGAACAGGATCAATGGGTGATTGGGTCCATCGCAATGCAAGCTTCCACTCATGGATCCTACTGGCCACTTTCTCCTATTTCGGAGTCACATATGCAGATTCATCTCCGAAACGCGTTGTCCGTGACGCGTGAATGACGGAGCACTTCGCCGAGTCGGTACAGTAATCGACGATGTAGACATGGCTCATCCTGCAAAACAGTTTTTAGGGCAAGATAAAGCGTAACACTCTTTTCGAACGCACCTCCAGAGGCTCCACTTGTGTAAAGGCCGTATGACCCGCCCAGATCGACCGAGCGGAGGTTCAGCATGGCTTTCAAACTGCGCCTTTGATACGCTCAGCTCAGGGTGAACTCCGAACGGATGTTCGCGCAGGATTTTGACTCACCACTAATGCATCGCCAATGCGCCTTCTCTGGTTCCCGCGGCGCTATGGCTGGCCATATGTCGGATGTTAGATCTGCAATTGAGTCTTTGCTGGGTGCATCCAAGTTCAGAGGCAGTCTGATCGCAGGGGACATGCAACGCGAATTGGGACATGTAGGCGACGGACTCGCCACGTCTCGGGGATGATTGAAGACAATGGACTGAGAGACTGTGGACATTGTCTGCGCCATTTCTTGTCGAGATATTGCACGGTTCTCCAACACGCGCACAGCGATCAACAGAGACGGGATAGCCTTGATACAATTCAGTTGCGTGAGATATCGAACATGGTATTATTCCAGAGGAAAGCTCACCTGCGTTTGTCCGAGAAAGGGCAGCAGCGACGTCTGCCATGAACTACCGGTCCCAAGAGCGATGAGCGTGAAGGTGGAAACCATAGCATACGGGAATGCAGATTCGATCAGGATGCCAGCGACAGAAAGGTAGGACACGTCTACACCACATTGACGGGCTGTGTAGCGCAGAAGCAGCAACTTGCAGATGATGAGTGCCGTGAGCACAACGTTGAACGCCAGAGATAGAGTCAGACATGTAAGTTCTGGGCCAGTGGGGATGCTTGCCCAGAGATTCATGCTCAGTGAAGCCAGATGCCTTGCGTAGTATGATCCGAAAACTGACAAGATGTGTAAGTTATATCATCATAGATCCAGTATGGCAGTTCCTACCAATAAGTGCCAGCAGAGCAGCGGTCGGCAGGAGGACGACCATGAGGCGTCTGTGAAAGATAACGCAGAACCTATAGAGCTGTTATTTATTTAGTGCACCCAAGAAAACGTCTGCTCATGACTTGACATACCAGCATGCCGTCCGATACCCAGTTCAAAAGCATATATCTACTCCGTCAGGATGAGACATAGAAATGATACAATGGCTAGCGATGCTTACATCACGGTGAGCGCCAGGATCATGGGCTGCGTCCGGTCTACTTTCTCAACGAGAACCCGAGAGAACTCCACACCGTCTCCGGTATTAAGGAACGCTGTGGTTTCCCAGACAAGATGGAGCGTGATGCCGACAGTAGCTAGACATGACACGACGCAGATGTATGCAAATAGAAGCCACTGCCGTCGGCCTGATGGGGATGGCCAGACATAATGCCGCAGTATTGTGAGAAACAATGCAACGTGGACACCTAGAAACGGATACTGCGTGAGTACGACACCGAGAGACGCGATGAGCATGCCGACCGTATGCGAACATTGAAAAGGCTACGCCAAGCATGTTGTAATACAGGATCTGGCCATCTGAGCTCAAGCTTGAGTCCACGGGTGATACTGGACGAGACATGGCAGGTATCGCGGATCATGCTAATGGCTCGACTCGACGGTCTTATAGTCCGCCTTACTCCTACAGGAGCACGTATCCTCTGGCTAGTACCCACGAGGACCTTACGAATATCCGGAAGCTGTATGAATCAATAGCACATGTCAACTATACTTGTATGTAGCGTGTTAGGCGCGCCACCTCGTCAAGCAACTGCAGCGCACAAAGCTCTGCTTCAACCCCACAAGGCGACACATCCAGCTGAGCTAATTGACTTTGTGGGATCGACGGGTACTTTTTAGACACCCGGTATGCATAACACGTACACAACGTATCAGCTGGCAAATATACCGATTACCTGTATTATGAACATTCATGCAGCGCTTCTTGCACAGCATCAGCTACTCGGCCTAGCCACATGTCTAATATAGCAAGTTGCATTGCCGCGTGTTCTCCGTCGAACACGGATCCACCTGAGTCTGCGATAGCGATAACCTTTACATCAGTCCACCGAGAAGAATGGAGCCGTCCATACCGTTATCCCAGGTCCTCAGCTGTCTCCGCAGAGGCTCCAATAACGTGTGTTCAACGTTCCTTAGATTGTCTGCATCCCGTAGCCCCGTCTATCAGAGAAGCTAGGGTATAAGTATAGCATGGAAGCCAGCTGTCGGAGAGCGTACCCGGTTCTGGACGTCCCGCAGTAGCCAGACATAGCAAAGCGCAAGGCACTCTACCAGGCGAAGGGGCTCTGCCGTATCCAAGAAGTCTTGCTGATCTAGCTGGTTCGCAGTATCGAACAGACTAGGTGGGTGCGGCTGCAGCAGGATGGGTCCGAGTGTGCGTAAGAGCAGGTGTGATGCAAACACGTTCCGACTGCTCTCTTCAGATCCGGCAGGCGCAGCTAACGCTTCAAGGAGGGCGTCTTTAACAAGGCCGATGGCGGCAACGCGCATCTGCGGTGCTGTATCTTCGTCCGTGAGGAGCTCGTGGAGGAGCTGGAGGCGGAGGGGCGACGGCGCGAGCGCGAGTATAGACGCGAGGAGGCGGAAGGTGTGATGGCGCGTCGCAGAGTCCGGGTGGACGCTGGCGAGAGAGGACAGGATGTGTGCGAGGGGAATGAGGAGATCAGGCGGGAAATCGGATGCTGGTGAGTAGGCGCGGAAGGGGACAATGGTGTCGATAAGCAGTGCGAGGACTTCATCGAGTGCATGATTCGTTTGTAGGGCCATCAGGATGACGGCGAAGAACGCAGTTAAAAGTGATGTGGTGAAGGTGTACGAGGGGGTGTGCGCGAGGAGGATGAGAGAACCTAGTGTAGGTTCTGCCTGCAATCGACTCGGCGTGAGGTGAAGATCTGCAATGGCAGTCTGAACCAGTTGATAAGGTTTCGTACAGCGGTATAAGCACACTGCACACCTGTAGTTCACGAGTAATGTCTTCAGATTGTGTGGAAGAGTCGCCATCAGAAAAGGGGACTACGAGTCTGGGAAATTGCCGCTGGAATGCCTGTTGCGCCAGATGAGAGTCGATGTTGTTTGCACATGCCTCTACGACCGTAGTGAGGAGAGAATACAGTACATCCTAAGACATCACTCTGTATGAGAGACATTTACTGTGACGAGCTGGTGGCACCTACAACGACGTTGTCATGCTCACTACTGTCATGACTAGATTCTGAGGCCATCCATCTATTGAGTATTGAGACGGTTCGCACAGTGGATGTTATCAGTTTTCGGTGGTCAGAAGGCATGGCGTCAGAGGCTGTATGTGACACGACTGATCCGAGCTCAGCGAAAAGCGGGCGTAGCACCTCACTTGGTGTTTGCTTTCTTCTCGGTAAGCGAGGGATCGCTGTAGCAAGGACAACAATGAGGACAGCAGACATCTTGGCAAGGAATGTAACACACCTAGAGAATAGACCATGAGGATGCAAGCTAGCTGCTGGAAGGGCGGAGCACTGTCCTGCTCGTCATCATATTGCTCTGATGATTGGCTCATCAATTCTATTGTCTCTACAACCTCTTGTGTAGCCATTACCACTTCCTTGGCGCTTGAACTCTCAGCCATCAAGCGTACGAGTCGTTCAGCATTCTCGTCGCGCGATGCGGCAAGGAGTGGTAACAAGGTTAATGGTTCCTATTGACAATAAGCATCATTCGATGGCTCGTGTTGCTAGGACATTACCAGAGATGCAATGCTATCGGATCGACATATCGCATCGTATGCTTGTTGAAGAGTACGTGGTGAATCTTCGTCACGGACAGCCGACGTTATCAAACTGTTCAGGGCTATGCTAAGATCCTGAATCCCGATGTCCTGAGTTAGTTACACTTCTGCCGCATGGATTGGTCTACCTCGTCAAGATGTCCATGTGGTAGATCGAGTATTTGGTGCAGCTTGAGTATACTATCTTCCGACATGTCCTGGATTCTCTCTAGAGATGCTGACCTAGATAGTTTGTGAGGTTCGCGGTGATGCTGAGATGTACCCGCCCCACGCGTCGGGGGGCGTGGGGACTCGGGATTGGCGCTTAAGCTCACATCTACACGAGATACCATCTCGGCGTTTGTCTCGGCTGATATGTGTAGTACTCGATTCTTGCAGTGCTTTGACGCGCCACTCCCGTATTAAATGCGTATATGTCTGCTGTTTCCGCAGCTTTTATAGGCTGCCAGATACTTCATCCTCATTGACTACCATTTCCAATCATTAAGGTCGATTGCTCCGACCGGGAGCTCGATGAGCATATCTGCGTTTCATTCTTGCTGCCACACGATCGTGTTTGCGGCTATACGTAAACACATACAAAACGTTCTATGGTAAGCTTCTAGCTGCTTAGCACTGTCAAGCACCTCCAGCTGATTGAAACATTGCTGTAAATAGATGTATGCAATGACTACCTAGAGTCTGCGCTCCTTACACGCGCTAAGAAAATGTGTTGACAACCTTGATTTAAATAGTGGCTGTACTGGGCCCCGGCAATAGCAACATTAATGCGTTCACCTAGAAGGGTCCCGACTCCGGTCCTCGTCGCTCCGGTTCAGTGAGGTCATGCCGAGGAAACATCTCCTCTGAAGAGCATAATTAGATAACTAGTGACACAGACAACTGTTTGGCCTAAGTATAAAGCATGTGTAGCCTATGGCGGTACTCACCATATCTTGAGCGCCGTTCCTCATGCTTTCCCAGCTGCCCACATGCATATTCGGGTCTCATCTTCGGCACACGCGACCCTTTGTCTTTGCTCGGCGAGGTCTTCGGATCTGTAGCATGCGTCGCTCGCAGACTGTTGGTATGCGATAGATGCAATAATAAATCATTCCGGTGCCTCAGAGGCCGCGCGCATCATCTACCGATGAACATTTGCCCTACCCAGCGAGAGCCGCATGCTCCCCAACGCACTGTGAACGCCCGAGGCACTCATGGCGAGACTAGGATTCAGCAACGGCAACAACGCACCAACCCAAACACGGAACCAACGCTAGGTCGGCACATCCTCTGCGACATAGCCTCAGTGACCTCCAGACGGGTCAGTGCCTGGTGTGCTCAAACCGAAGTCCCGACTTACCTTCCCCATTGCTCGTGGCTTCAGGTTCCTGACACCTGTGGCATCAAGGGCGAAGATTGTACCATAGTCGAGACAACAACGTGGCTGTACGACGGCTACAGCAGCACAGACATCACGTCGACCTCTCCGTAAGTTCTCGCGCACGCTGGTAACACGCTGTTCGTAATATCTATCCGCACCACTGAGGCACGAGTTCTCCGTGATACGGGGTTCCGGGTAAGTCCTGTGGACGATGGTTGTGGCATGAATTAATGCACATTGTTGTTGAAACGCGCTGACCCGCGCGGTCAGGAACGAGCTCGGGCGCGCGAGTAGCCGGGGGCCGGAGGCCCCTATCGTAGGATATAACGGCCCCGCGCGATGTACGTACCGCACGCGATTGTCCCTTACGGGCATCGCTACGCTCGTGGACAAACGCGGCCCCGCGCCGTTCGCACTGTTGTTCCAACAATTGTTACTCAGATATTACAGCGGCTAATTTTGAGCTGTTCACGTCATTTTTAAAGAATTATGAGGTCCAGTAGTTTGATGTTCCTTGCAATCCCCTAGACACTAGAGCTAACGAATCACGCCGCAGGCCAGTTGCGGCACCTCACTCCAGCATGTCCGAGTCCAGGCTGACGCCAGGTCCAGCCCATTTCCTTCAGCTCGTGCTTCTCGCAGTCGTCCTCTCTATCGCCGACGAGGGCGCATAAAACAACATTGACATTATACTATTACAGTATTGTAGCGCTGCATCTATGTGAGACTTAGCCTGTATGCATCTACATATAGTATTGTATGTCTTTGGATTACCAGATATAAGGTAGCAGTGAAGTTGGCACGCGTTAGACAGCAACGAGGATAAGCTACAGTATACATGAAGACATAAGCCCACTGGGATACATGGAGGCATCCTTGCACATATAAACCGGAGGAACGTGAAATAATAAGATAACCTGTAAAGCTAGCAATCAAAGAAGTAATAGGACACAAGCAGAGAAATGCAAGGGAGCCAACGAGCCAACTGACAGGCCGGACTGCAAGCTTCTCAGGCGCGCTCGAGGAGACGGCCTCTGTGATCCAGTCCGAATACTACCAACGTCACGGATATTAGCAAAGGCTCATGAAGGTGGAAATCATTGACATACAATTAGCCAATTCTCGGACGCTCAGGCCTATCACGAGCTCATCAGACAATCATCATAGCAAATAATCATTGAGAACGCACGTCCGAGCTTCTTCCCATTACCCTCGCCAAGACTCCCGTCAGCAAGGTTCTTCTTGCGTTCTTGCAGGGCGAGCACGCGGTCTTCAACAGTATCTGCAATGACGAGACGGTGGACATAAACGGGACGAGTTTGACCGAGACGATGGACTCGATCGAATGCTTGACTCTCCACAGCTTCGCTCCATCCGAGATCAAGCGAGATCACGCCTGTCGAGAACGTTGATTAGGCTTTGCTCCTGATGACAGGTGGCATAATACTCACGATTGGCCCGTGTAAGGTTAAGACCGACACCACCGCATTTCAGGCTGAGAACATCACGGGTCAGCACAATGGGGACGCTTGTTACGCATTTATGCACTCACCTCATTAGCATAATAGTGGCCTTGTCCTTCGCCATGAACACGCGTATAGCCTGGTCCCGCTTGCGACGGTTCATATCACCCTGATACCTGATTGTGATATACATTCAGAATCGAGCTTAATTGATGAAGGCGAGTTTACTCACTTGACGTGCAGGAAACCATTCTCAGTCAAGTAATCCGAGACAAGCTGCAAGCACTGAGTCCACTGGGATATGACAAGGGTCTGTCATAAATTTATGAGTAACACAATGGCAGCGGCGGTGTGTATAACCCACCTTCTCGTCTGGGTTCGATTCCGCCCAAGCCTTCAGGAATTCCATCATATGCTAATGGTATAAGTTGAGCGCGCAATCGTGATGAAGTAATGCTCGTGACAACTTACTTTCATCTTGGTGGAAGGCAAAAACCGCGGCATTAGCTTGACTTGCTCTGGAGGAATCTCAACGTCGGGCTTGGCGCCACAGATAACATCATCGTCGATGTCCATCTCATCGTCAGAGAGAATAATCGCACGACGCTTGCCCAAACGCTTCCTGAGAGCGAGACAGGCGTCCTTCTCTTCCTCATCTTCGTCGTCTTCTACAACGAAGTCGCTCAGGTCGTCATCCCCCTCTTCCTCCTCATCAGAGTCGTACGCACTCTTCTTCTGCAGCTTGCGCTTCCGGAAAGTACTACCCGGCTTCGGATGCTCGACCTCTGCGAAATCGTCGACCAGAACTGCCGAGGCGCCGCCTTCGATACTTCCATCTGCCCCATCCGCTGTCCCCAGGTCCTTGTCACTCGGTTCGAACGCACTTCGTGAAAAGAGCTTGTGTTTCACAAGAACGCCACGGCACGCAGGGCACGGTCGTTCGTCAAACTTGTACCGTGCTTGCTCGCCACCGTTCTCAACAGGCTCGGTGTTGAAGACGTTGTCTGCGGAGCTGTCAGCGTACTGATTCTTTAGGCGTTATAGGACACGTACTGATGCACTCCCTGCAGAAAATGTGCGCACAAGGCGTAACAATCGGGTCAGTGAATGTGTCGTAGCAGATGGGGCACTCTTCGTCGTCAATAGTCGCGTCAGGGGACTGTTAAACAGTCCATCAAATTTGAGCATGTTGACAGGATCCTACAGTCACATACCTCCTTCTCGGCTTCAATCCTCTGTAGGGCGATGTTCTTCATCTTCGTTTGTATAGACTCCACGAATTCGTCGGATACTAACTGGCGAGCACGACTGAGCTCATAACGTTTGTCATGATTGCCGTCATTGAGATCGGCGGCAGCGATGAAGGCTGCATTGTGCTCTTGAATTAGGCACGGATGCGAGCAAACCTGACGCAAGCGAAGCAGGAGAACAAGAACTGGGATCCAGGATCAGACCAGAGTTAACTGTTAAATTGTCACGACCGTACACACCTTGATGATAGTTTCTGTACGCTCAAACTCAATATCAGAGTATCAACATCACGTCAAAGCGACTTACTTGAGCACCGTTCCGGCCTTCAAGAATCTGTTGAAAATGGCCTGTGATTTCAATTCAACCTTGAAGCAGTATGTCAGAGTGTATTAGCTCGTGAAGATCAATCGGAGTATACCATCTTGTAAATGTCGCGCTCCTCGAGGGTGAACGTAAGTTTAGTCAAGATGACCTCCTTAAGCGGCAGCTCAATCAAGCGCTTCCCGTCCAACATCTGCCAGCCCACGTTAAGTTAATTGACGAAGGTCAGTAGATGCGGAAGCATGGCTCACCGAATCCTTCTTTCTGCGCAGCAGCATGGTCGCAAAGATCGCCTGCAAACGGGAGGTGGCAAGAACGGCTGATACGGCGTGAGCAATGACGATACGCCAAACAGGCCGCTAGGAACGTACGTTGTTTCCGCTCGAATCTGGAGATATGACCGTTGAAATCGTTCCAATCATACCAGGGGCGGATGCGCAGGAATCTAAGCAAACCGTATGCATCCGACAGGCCATTGATAATTGGGGTTCTGTGAAGGCGCTCCTTTCAACAACAGTGAAGCCAACGCATTGTGTCACAAAGCACCTACCCTGTAAGGCACCATCTATAGTTCGACTCTAGCTTGGTCACGGCACGAGAACCTCCTGTTTAGCAGACATGAGCTGGCTTATATGAAGCAAGGGCATAACGAATACGCACTGGTTCTTTTGTTTCTGATGTTTTGCGCTTCATCTAAGACGACGCGATACCACTAAGAGAACAAAATTAATGAACAGCTAGTGAGTATAAAGAGTGCAGGAACCTCACCTCTACCTGGAAAAGCAAGCCTACTGCTCAAACAAGGTAAATTGTACTGAATCAAAATGGGAGAAATTGATAAATGCAACGTACGTTCCTGTTTTTTCTTTTTCTTCGACTTCTCGTCTTCCGAGACGGATTCGATAAAGTTGTCACTCGTTCGCTTTTTCTTAGCCTTGCGCTTAGCTTCCCTCTCCTCGGCCTCGTCGTCAGGCCACTCAAGCGCCAGAGTCTACGGGACCGTAAGTTCCCGAAATGCCGTATTCGACTTACACCAGGCTAACACTAACCTGATATGTGGTCAAGACAATGTCGTATTGCATGAGGTCTCTCTTGTTCTTAGGTTTATTCGATCCTGTAGACGCGATATTATATACACGCTTAAACAATTAGAGAAAGAGGACATGCCATGGTAAATCAGACACTTCAAATTGCAGTCCGTCTTCATCTCAATCTCGAGCTGCCATTGGTCGAGGAGAGCAACAGGTGCGACAATCAAATTTGTCTTGCACAACGGATCTTGGGAACTGTTCGACACCATCACGGCGATCCTACAAAAGTCGACCATTAGCATGTTTGTCGGTATCGCATTACCCTGAGCACATACATTTGCACAGTCTACGTGCAACCAAAGACTTGTCAGATTTTGGCTGCAACTTGCAGAGTATATGCGCACCTTTCCCAAGCCCATCTCATCGCTCATGCAGCCACCTTTGTCGGAGCTCTTCTCTTTATCGAGCATCCAGGCAACGCCGATCGTCTGGTGGGGCATCAACGCAACCTGCATTCCTGGCAGAGGCTTGTATTGGCCATCGAGGCCAAGCTTCTCAAGAGCCTGGTCAACGTTGGCATTACCGTCAAACTGTTCGGCATTGCCAGCCGACACGAGAAATTTGTCAATACTAGCAGCATGGTCAATATATGCGTCATGAAAACCGAACATGAGACATACTCGTCTGCCTTGGCGACTGGACCAGCGAAGTTGTCACGCCCACGGCCGTAAAAATTGCCGTCCTCGTCATATCGGTCGTCCTCATTGAAATTGGGTAATGCCTTAGAAACTTCGAAATCGAAGTACAACGGCTCGTTCGGATATGTTCCTGCACTGTCAAGCCTCTCTTCTTCCGCGAATGCGTAAGGAGTTACGATCGAACTTCCGAACGAGCGAGCACTGTAAGATGGCGGAAGCTGGTTGCTCGAACCAGACGCAACAGGCTGAGTAAACGTATTGAGAATGATAGGATTCATATCTGCTATGACAAATGGAGGAGGGAGCTGGACATTCGAACCAGATGCAATGGGATGAGACACAGGTCTGCCCACCACGAAGGGTTTCGATTCGGTCTGGGTCGACGTGACTGAAGCGAGTGTGGCCGAAGGTATAGCGGCAGTGTACTCCTCTTTCAGCACCTGTAGGTTTGAAAGCTCGCTTGCAAATGTCGCCATCCTAGTGACATCCGAGTTGGTCCTGTTACGCTTGCGAGACAGATTGCCGTGCAGCCGTTCCAGGTTGCTGATCTGAACTTGGACTTCCTCAAGTTGAGACCGCACGTCTCCGACGATGGTAGAATTTTTCGTTGGTAATGCGGTTGAAACGCCAGTGTTGCCATTCACGATGGAGAGAGGCCTTTTGAACTCGTCTACTTTCGGTTTCTTGGCTGAATGCTGCATGTTATCTCTCATTGGCCCTTCGGATTTCGAGCTTCGTTTCTGTGCGAACGTGAGATCTATAGGCTCAACTTTGAAGGTATGTCTGGAAGACCCCGCAATGGTACGCCGCTGAAAAGATCCCTGAGAAGTATTCGCTAAGCTCGAAGATGGGGTGGAAAAGGAAGGCAAGCGCGCGTCAAGCAAGTCTAGCAGCTTTAAGCTCTGGGGGAAAGTGGTCGTGGCGCTCTTTGTGGACGGCTGAGGGTGGCAAAAGATCTCATCAACCAAGGACCACCACGTGAAGGAAATTAAAAGCACGGCATACAGAATCAGCTGCGGACCCTGCCCTGCTGGTGGCGGTGAGGCGGGTGCCCATGTTGCCACCCGAACTATATAACATGCGGATGGTCTATAGGAGAATATGGAGAATAGATGAAGCGAAGCGACGCGACGCGACCAATTTAATTATACGGGTGGCCGCGTTATTTGACTATATTTGGCTTTGGCGCGACCGCCTTATTTCCAATTGTGGTCAAAGCGCCTCCGCCACAAAGCGCGAACAAAGCTCTAAAGGCTTATGGCGAGTCCAGATATATTCATTGGACATAATTTCTGATCAGAAGCGCTCACCGGAGTAACCAGAATTTTTATGTGGGTGTCCCAATGTAATTCCTCGACCTGCGGATGGCAGATGCGCAGCATGGTGGCGCCACGCAAAAAGACCGGTGCCCCTGCAGATTACTGCTGGTCGAACGCTTTGGGGCTATTGTGGCTTTGGCAATAATAACAACAAGGCCAGCGTGCGGCGCTTCTCCAGACATGCCTGGCCGGCGAGTCTCATTCATTCACTGAGCCACCGGATGGCCAAAGTGCGGCTTATCCAGAGCCACGTAGGCTCTGCCATTGCCCGAGATGCTACGGGAGGCGGTGTCTGGTGAGAGCGCGACAAAATTGCTCCACCTCAATGCGGCGCTGGATATACAGTGCATCAACGGTATCCTACAACTGTATGTGCTTTACCTCAATGAGCTGCTCGCCTATTCGGATTAGTATACCAGGGACACACCTAGATAGTCCTGTCATGACGAGCCGGCGCCATCCTAGATAGCATTCCATATGCAGTGGCTCATCGGCTCATCGGAAGCATACCTCAACCTCCGGCGAATACACTACTGGATGACCTTGTGTCGAATCAATAGCCATCGATGGCATCGAGACACACATTAGCATTGGACGAGGTCGAGAGACAAAGCGCATGTCTTGCATGTATGCCTCATGGTCGTCCAGTTTTGTTATCACTGTACAACATTCGGATTCCAAGCATATCCGCGGCAATTCCCATCGGGAAGTTGATGACAGCACATCAAATCCAGATGGTCCATACAGCGGCCGTTACCATGCGGCGACGTGTAGCGCGTCCAGACGGCTACCTCCGCACCCCCATCACTGCTCCGGCGCGGGAATGAAGTCAATTAGGGCACTAAGAGCACTCTAATGACAGTCAATGGGGCCTGCAATGCCTCAAAAGTCGACAGGCCCGAGATAGACTGTATCTGCCTCATGTAACAGTATGTATGTGAAGGCTTAAGGTGTCTCATGTCGGAACATGTCAATGCGAACGTATTTATGATCGGCGAGATGCATTCGGTTAGATGGATGCGTCAAGACGAATGCCATTACGCTTAACCCTCACAGCACCTGACGATACCAAGATGAGCGCGAACATGTCCTTACCGCGATTGAGACACAACAATCGCAGCTTGGGGGTAAATTGATATGAGCATAATGATAGCTGACAATACACAGCACATGATGAGCGCATGATAGCTACAGACACGCAGGTCATATCAAGCAACATTTGGGAGGAAGATAGATGCACGAGAAGATCTTAGGATTGACGTAGAAATGGAAGCCTGGTGAAGAGGAGAGCTCGAGTGCCGATGAGCTAGGGTGTAGAGTGCGGGTCCACTGATCTTCAGAGTTGAAGGTGGGCGACGAGAGCCGTATTCTTCCCAGTCTCCGGGGACACCCTGCCCGCGATCCACGTCTTGAAAGCGCGGTCTGTGGCAATGGGACGCTCGCGCATCTTCCCGGCCTTCGCCCGAAAGGCTACTGAGAACCCCACCTTGGCCTGGACGCGGGCCAAGAACGCGTCGAGCTCAATGTCTTCGGGGACCTTGAACTTCCACAGGTCGTCCGTGGCCGGGACGGCGACCTTGATGATGATCTTCCCGTCCTTTGGCAGCCACTTCTGCCGATCCACGAGCTGCGACGATGGGCTGGTGATGAGGGCGTCGGACGAATACTGCGGCACGAAGTGGATCTTGGTGTTCTCGCCGGGTGGAACGTTCTCCTTCCCACCGGCACGACGTTGCTCGAAAAGATAGCCACTCTTCATCTTCTTGGGGATGTTGTGGATGGCCGAGAGGACCTTCTTGGGTGTTGCAGTGGTAGGACCAGGCATGATTGACAGCCGGAGCGAAAACGAGTGGAAAGCGTTGGGAAGCTACAGATGGAGACGGCGGCCGCGAAGTACGAGTACAATTTGAGGACGAGAAGCCGCCCGTTGTCATCCAGGAGGCTGACAAGCTCCAGTGACAAATAAGGCCGGAAGCATGCCGTGTAGGACGCCTCTGGGCATAATCGAAATGAACGTCGTGAGACGCCATTACAGCCATTTCCCTCATTTCCCATGAGCAGGGATGATCATCAGTCAACTCAGGCTGCTCAACATCCAATGACATTATGCTGGCATAAGATTGGTGACATCACAACTGTCGAGCAGGATAATCAGAAAACGGCGTTTCACAATGAGTCAAATCAGCAGAAGTGGGTACTTCTTCAGCTTTCCGTTCTAAGCCTGCGGCGCTGCACGGTTCCTTTCGCGCCATTTGGCCATAGTATACCAGCGCAGCGATGCAGGCTAGAGTGTCATAGAGGCGTAACCTCTCGACGTACATGAAGTGTCATCAAGTAACTACGAACGATTTGAAACAAGGCTTACCGTGATGAAATGGCTTCTTTGTAGAACACCTCTGAGAAGGTGAACACTAGCCCGAAAGCGGCAGTCCCATTATTCCAGTAATACTTACAAAGCGAGTGCCAGACCAAAGTGATCCGCCACATTTTGATGTAGGCCGTGTTCGTTTGCATCGCCATCTCCTCTTGCATGCAATTCGGATCTGTCGTCCACCGTGTATGAGCTCCAGGGCTTAATGCTTCGGACCGCCCACAGATGGCTTTCAGCAACAGGTGATTGCTACCTGAAGATCCTATGCTTGGATGTCTGAATTGCCTTGACAGACAACATCAGTGCTAGGATATCCTGAGCCCGCATGAACAGAGACGTGAGACAGTCAAAGCCAATGTCGTTCGTCTGCGTCAAGAGCAGAAAGCAACCTTTGCAGAAGAGTTGAGTCGTGGGAATACTGGGGAATGAGCCAGACCAGCGCCAAGGCACCGGTAAGTACTTGGACTCGAACCTCATCTAAATTGAAATTGCTGCTCAAGTCCCATTGCATTGTGTCCCCGTCGGACCAGAAATGCGCCCTCGTCACTTGCAAAAGAATATTCGCATGTGTTGTACTCCAGTCTTATGAGCCGTAAGTTGCGGCTGGCGCCGCAAACATAACTTGTTGTCTTGATGCCATGTAGCAATAACGGCATTTCTCGGGAAATGAACACGACTTTGGCTTCCGTGGCGCAGCAGACAAAGATATATCGGTACGTGACTTTGAATCTTAATTCTGATATCTGCTGAGCACAGATAAAAGCTCACTCAGGACAGCACTGCCTCGGAAGCCGCGATCTTATCCAGAGGTTCCAGTTTAATATGTCTGGTTGCTACCCAGAGCGCGTGTTGATAGAAGGGTTCCTTTCTCATAATCTACGCGCAAAGTGACCGCTTTATTCCCATGTCGAATGGGCGCCTGTACGGCACACTTCAGCAACTTGCACTTCGAGATGCCGCCTACAACCGCAGAAGCCCGCACAATGGGCGTTGTTCTCTGTGTTATTACAGGTGCCCATGACTACTATCAAATCCCTATCTCGCAAGACGGCATGATGTCAACATAGTTAAGATCTGAATGATGTGATCCCAAGGAAGGGCACGTCTGCCGTCGGTTGTCCTATGTAAGTACTACTCTAAAGACGAAAAGGGTTCACCACACCTTTCTCCGTTCTTTTTCGTCGTTTCGGTTGTCTTCCCACTCGGTCGGTCTTGTTCTCTGACGCAGGACGTACTTTCGCTTCGCAAGTTATGTTACTTGGTATCTCTGTTCGTGATGCCACCACTGTGACGGTCATTTATGGCACTTCTGAATCGGCGGGCATCAAGGTGAGTATCAGGGATTTAGCCACCCAGCACACTATGAAATCTGAACCCTACTTAGAGCCTGGTTGCTGCGGGTGCGCTGTCTGGTGTGGCTGTGATATGCTTGCTTGTGGTACGTCTGAGGTAATAGATAGTCGTTGATGGCGGAATTCACGCATATGTCTAGGTCATGCTTGTGCGGCCGCCGTGCTACCGCAATACCCATGTCATCCCGATCTTTCTGTCTTTGCTGTTCGCCAATATCCTGCAGGCCGTAGCCTCCATGATGGACGCGAGGTGGATCATCGATGGTGCCGTTAAAGGGGGAAATTTCTGCAGCGCACAGGGTGGTCTAAAGAACGGCGGTAACGTTGCTGCTGCACTGTGGTGAGCGCTACCTTCAGTTTAGCCTGTAAAGCTGCATTGACAATGTTGCAGGTCTTCAGTCTTATCTGTGCATGTCTTTATGCTGCTGTTCCTGCGCAAGGGTATGACCGACACTGTCTGTACTGCAATCGTCATCGTTGGCTGGGTTCTTGTGGGTGTGGTCGTTGCCGTTGGTCCTCTCGCAATTCAGACTGCGGCGAGAGGTGACTACTTTGGTGTCTCAGGCTATTGGTGCGCATCTCATTCCATTTGTGGTTCTCACACTGGAACGGTGTTCGTAGGTGCTGGATCACACACGACTATCCGGAGGAGCAGACATTTATGGAATATTTCTTCGTACGGTGCCTTGATCTCGGGGCCCGGTACGCATCACTGATCGTTCGGCTGTACAGGAGTTCCTCTCCGCTTCGTGCTCGATCATCCTCTACACGGCCATCGTGCTCCGAGTGCGCGGCAATCTGACCGTAGCGAACGGCAAATGGCGTCTACGGTTTGTGCCCAGGGGCGAGCGCTGGTTACTGGCAGTCAGCCGCGATTTCACCGACACGTGTATGATGAGCGTCGCTGCGCGCATGGTGTGGTAGGTCCGGTGATTTGTGTTCACACGTCATCACTGACTGCTCGGTGAAAACTACCAGGCATCCTGTGTGTGAAGCTGTCTAATTGTTCGATTGTTTCTCATTCAAAGTATAGGTGGCTTATACGGTGTGCCTACTACCGGTTACCCTAGCTCGTTTTATATCGTTTGGTGGTCGCGAGGTCCCGTTTTGGGCGACCGTCAGTTCGGATTTCATCTTCAATCTCCAAGGTTCGTGTTATTTACTCGAATTGTAATCGCCGAAGTGAGTTACATTGTGCCTGATTCAACAGGTCTCGTCAACGTACTCCTTGTCTTGTGCACCCGCCACCTCATACCTAACACGTCCTCGCTCCCCATGTTTACGCCGAGGAAGGTTATCGAAGAGTCCTCGCCAGAGGCATACGGCATAACGCCTTACGTTCTAACAAAGCCTCCTGAGCGAGACGTTGAGAAGGCTCTGCCAGAGCCTCCTAGCGATGACAATGGCATAAGTCTGTCAGACAATTTGGACGGAGACTTAGCAAGGCTGAGTTTGTCAACGACGGAAACCAGGCTGAGCATGGCGACGGTCGACACTGTCGACTCAACTGTCCCACTAGTCCAGAAGTTGAAGTGGATATCTTTCTCGTTTTGCCGGAAGTGAGACCGCCTTCCACTCTTTTTGCATTGTCGCCTTTGTGAGACACTGCTGCCTTGCTCAGTATGTACAGGATACTGATGTTGGCGAGTGGAGACTGTAATGAACCATTTTCACTCGTTCTTTTTTCGCTCATTTTATCTGACTTTCGTTACTTGTTTTGCCGGTGTATACATTTTGGCGCTGCGGCAGGATGTTATCTGACCGTACCTGTTGTGGCTGATTGCTATTTTGTAGACGATTTGTACTTTGGTGCGTCTGCATTATGCACCCTTGAAAGCGCTACGGACATGATTAACATACTGGACAGCGCATATTTATTCCTACGCTGGTGCAGGACATTGTTCTACTAGGTTGGCTCTTGCGCGTAGCCTTGTATCAATACATTCCGGGAAGAGGATGATCTCTGTTATGCGCGCATGTGCTTCCTTTCGCATTTTGCAAGGCCGACAGGTGATTTGCTCTTTAGGAATGAGGTTCTGACTTGCAGGTTAATGGAGTCGTCGGCCTCAAATCAAATGGCTGCAATGATCATGGTCAGCACGTACCTTGTTCTGACTCAAGAAGCAGTAAATGAAGATTATACTGGTATCCCACGTACTTCTCGGACAGGGATAGATTTGAACGGCTGTCATCGAATCATGATGCTTCCGAATAGGCCAACAGTTCTGGGAGTATGTGAATTCTATATGCTCCTTGCTAATAGCGCAGCTGATATGTTTATATCCCACTGGACCGGGCCGTGCCTCATACGTCGGTCTTGACATACTCAGTGGCATTCGCAGCCTTTTCTCGCTCGGAGCACGGGCGTTGAACCGGCCCGTGCCGCATCGCACAAGGCGCTTGTGACTGCGCCTTCATGAGATATCAGCTGCGCATAATCCTGTGATACTACATAGCTTCAGACTAGCAGCGTATATTGACCCATTGAGTATGATAGGTGCCATGTGTATGTTAATCACGCAGCACATTTGCCGAACCGCAGAGGGAGATACACACAGCTACATCTAGTAGCATTGACGGCAGTCTCATCCTCCGCCAAGCATTCTCACTCAGGCTATATAATACGCGGATCGACGCGACATATCATGAAGCCCCTTCAACTTTCCCGGTGTTGATGATGCAGGTTGCAGAGATGGCGACTGGGTATTCATGCGGTGAGTTATGATTGCTAGCAATGTAATATTTGTCTCAACGAGTCTTCGCTTCACCGCATTAGTAGCTGCTCTGTCCGTTTTAGTCTGGGATACCATAACGCAAATTCCTGATGAGGTTTGCAGTGCCGTTGTTGATTTCCTACATACATTGACGTTCTAGTACGTAGGTCGAGTATGTCTGGGGGTATGTAAGCCTGACCATCGTGGCTGACTGGTCAGAGCTGAAGAGGTACTCAGGTGGCCTAATGGATGGGCTACATGGCTGTATTGTTTCGTACGCTATTGCCCTCTGGTGGCAGAAATGTGAGTGTCGCAGAAATTCTGATATATCCTCGCTCACTTTCTGTCGTGTAGCATGGTGTTCTCCTTCTTCACTCAACCTCATTTCCGACCCGATCTATCATTTTCATACAATACATGCGCCTGGTCGGCGCTTTTCGAATCTGTCACACAAACCTGCATCGTAGGCGCGGTCGAGGCGATCTCGGTAATCCGAGGTTCGTCTATTGATGAACACTCTGAATTGCTGCTCAAAGCGTTTGATGCAGTCTTCGTTATATACAACAAAAGCAAAAAGTTGCTGTTTGCCATGATCGCATTATACATAAGCAGCTTGGTAGCCTCAATGATTGGGCTATTTGCTCAATCATCATCAGTCCATTTCGATACGTTATGTCGGGTTACCCATGCTCCTGACAGTCAGATAGCTGGCTGGTACGCATCCACACAGCTTTTTTGATTTCGCTTCTCGCTGACCTCATTTATTCAGGCTTGCACCGGTTGTCTGCGAGGCCGTTTTATGCACCCTTGTACTCTTCAAGTTCGCGAAGAATTTCCAAATGGTGCCTACCTTGAAGAGACAGCCGATTTTATATGTTTGTGTCCGGGACGCTGTTTGGGCATTCCTTTTGATTCTTGGTAAGCTGCATCATTGTCTCATACGATCTTGTATTGATCGAATAGCGTGGCGCGTGAAGTTGTGTCGATCGTGACCGCACTCAGCTATACAATCTTCCCATACGTTGCTTCAGCAGGATTCTATTTGTGAGTGGAAGCCCTTCCCATGCACTCAATTTCACCAACGTAGAAACACAGTGACCTCACGATGTACTCATTCGCTGTAAGCAATGCGCCCGGCCGAATTTCTGAATTCTTACAACTTAACCTCCTCCACAGGGATCGCATGTTATGCTCAACCTAAGACAAGTTGCGACAGATGCGGGTCAATGCTCTTCCTTTTCCCTATCTGAATTCGAGGACGAGTATGGGGACATAATTTTCGTGCCACAAGACCTAGCACCCAAGAGGGCAAGGGAAGATGGCAGCAGTGATATCCTACATGCTAGCGAAGATTCCGAACGGACATCACACACAGATGCGATGGTATGACGTGCGGACTTATACAATTGTATGATAGATAAGGACATACCCCGTGTAACAGCACATGTAATTGTAGCTATAAAGTAGGAGCAACCTAACCGCACAATGAGAATGTCGCGACTGAATGCTGGATTCATCGAGTACGAGGAGGCGGGTCCCGATCCACATATTGGACAAGCTCCGGTCTCAGTTGATCAAGGCTGGTCACGCCCATGAGCTGCATACCAGTGATGATCTCTTCGCGCAAAACTGTAAGAGCTCCATCAGCCGAGAAGGGGTAGGCGTCAAGATGAGCACGCACTCTGTACGACTCTCCGACACCCTTCCTCTCCCCACACCCCATTGGCGTACAGGAACGGTCGGCCGAGACCCACTCCGCGCGCTCCGAGACAGAGCGCTTTCAGGACATCCGTCCCACGTCTTACCCCGCCATCAATGTATACTTCATGCTTTTGGATCAGGTCAGGGCGGCGTTGGTGAAGCTCATAGAGGACAGTCATTGGCGCCGGCGAGCTACATAATCAACATGAGTGTCGAGCTGAAAGGAGACGAGGCACAAGGTGTACGCACAAATCGAGTTCTCTACCGCCATGATTGGATAGAACGATTGCCTGTACCCCAGACTCAAATGCCCTTTCAGCATCCTGTAAAGGAACACTAGTCAGTCTCATGAAGAACTGGGCGAGTGACATAGCCTACCTCCACACACTGTATACCTTTGATAATGATAGGTAATTTTGTCCGACTTTTCAGCCATGGGACATCATCCCCTAATCACACGAGCGGTGATTTAGCCCAAAATGAAGGCTTATAGGACGAATGTATGCTTACAACAAACATCGGGATCCTGGTATCCAGAAATAGCCTGCATATGAATAATAAATCAGGATGTCCAAGTCTGACCTGGTAAGAGTACCCACGTGCGAAACACCCAGGCCACCGCCCGTGTTTGACTTGCCAAACGCGGCAGGCATATCCTTCAAAATGACGCTTGGATGAGGCAAAGGGAATGTGAGATAGCAAGTCCGGATGTACCTTCAGATCGCCACCCTTGGTACGCTGGTCCAGCTCACGTTTACCAGGTACCGCGGCATCCACAGTAAGCATGATCGCCTTGAAACCTTGGCTCTCAATATTCCTTATGAGTGCCTCCGATGCTGCGCGGTCCTTGTTCAGATATAACTGCAGGTCTTTGTGAACACGAGAGGCGAAATCAAGACGCATGAATTGGAATTTACCTGGAAGATGAGATGTTGTTCGGGTCGCTTGACGGCCATACATTCCTCCGTTGAGCAGCTAGCATTGTTCGAAATCTGATTACCAGTGCTCGTATCATGGCGCGATCCATTCAAGCATAAATGACTTACACCCTGCAGAATGCCTTCCTGCCCAGCAGCACGCGTCGCATTCATCTCGCCATCTGGGTGCCCCAGTCGCATAAGAGCTGTCGGGGAGATATAGATCGGCAATGATGACGGGAGGCCGAAGAGTGTGGTCGACGTAGATACTTGCGAGATCTTGTTCATACTAACGTGAGCCTGTAAGAAAACTTTGGTCATTATCAATTTCACGGGAAAGGAGACATACACGCGGGGGCGGAACCAGAATCGCTTGTAGGCAGCGCTATTCTCGTAGTAGGCTGAGGTGAAAATTCAATATAGGTGCTGGATGATCAAATAGCAACTACTGAACTGTTTTCGTCATCCGCGGTAGACCGATAGTAAGCCCAAGCCGTGGTGGTGAGGACTTTCTTGGCAATGTCCTACAAAGTCTGTTAGTACCGAGATGGTGGTTTACGATACACTTGTCATACCTCGATCTCATCTAAGTTGATCACGGCTGAAGGCGATGGAATATGCTTTCTAGCTTCGGCTATGCGCAGCTCTTCTTCAGTTGGTTGATTCGCGTCTACAGGCATTGTCGCAGGATCGATGGGTCCCAAATGCGCCTCGATGGGAATACGTCGAAGCGTATTTGGGGGGTGGATCGATTTGAACACCTTCCTGTGGGTTCTATGAGCATTTGTCGTACGTTTGTAGGAATATACGTCACAAACGTTATATCCTTCCCGGAATTATTGAGAATAGCTGGCACGCCTCCCGGATGCCACCCTAATACCGACGTCACGTCATAGACTTGTCCTTCGACGACGACCCAGCAACTGTCAGGGGTGTTGTGTTTCTGCACCTCGTCATACGAGATGTATCCTGCAGCGGCTTTGCTTGGTACAGGTGTAGGTGCCTGTCGCTCCTTTGAGGCATCAAGGTTCAGAGGATTGAACAGAGCGTATGTTGTCTATGTATACGTTAGAGAGGAATATTCCGCCAGATTGAAAGCTCAAATCTCACAAACAGTCCTGCAGCAATACCGGCCCCAAGCAACCCCGCAACGAGCGGCCTTGCATGTGTGACTCGGTGCGCGGAGGAAGACAGACACCGCACACGCCACCTAGTATAAAGTTTCACCGTGTCTGCCGAGCATCGGCTTGCGCGCATGAACAACATGCTCGACGGAACCGCAGCTGTCCAGCAAACGTGGGCGTTGAGTCGATGTTCTCATCCACGCTGTGTGCCCGATAGGCCGTCTTATAAGAGGCGTAGGAGGCCAAAGTGAGCACGGCGGCCCGCCGCGCATCGCATCTGGTCACATGAAAAAATGACGCGGTCATGTGATCGCGTTTCCCCGGGCATACCGGAACGTCATCCGCACTTGCTGGCACTTGTCTTCCGCTCATCTCACGCCCGGGCGACGCGTCGCACGATACCACACGGCCTCGTCTGGTAGAACGCGACTCACATGCATCTGCTTTGACCGGTCGCAGAGGTTCCCTGCGTCGGGATCCAATGGACTCGCAGGGAGAGATGCTTTCCGAATACGTCGGAATCGTTACTAGCGAGTCAACGGTGAGGGATTTGACTTTGCCTTCAGTATGAGGACTCAGTTGTCCCATTTGGTTCCATCCCATAGGCACCTATACACATGCAAATGGAAGCAGCTGCCAGACACTCAACCTTCCTGAGGAAGCGAACTTCGCGACCTGGGAGCCGCGAGGGTGCTTCTGCGGCGGTAAATCCATCTAACGGTCATGGTAGGAGACCAGAGGAAATTTTGCTTCCGTGCCAGTCTTGCCTCGCAAAGTACCAGATAGAGCGCCCGATGAGCCCGCCGGCGGATATCACCATGTTATCCTCAAAGTCCGACAGGCGGAACCAAAGCGACGAATTCGAGAAGGGTGCTACCAGAACCGCATCGCACAAGCGATAGGCCTAGTTTGGAAACTCGGTATAACTGGGTGCGAGGGAAGGGGCGGAAGGCGGCAGTCCCTTAAGCTTCGCGAGTCCCGACTACTGATAGCTCATCAAGCGTAGAATGAGTGCGTCGTGGGATTACATGCGAGTTATCCAGAGCCCCTTGACTACAAGAATCGTACGACCAAGGTGAGCACTCGGTTTACGTACTGCTGCGGAAATCATTAAATCCGCGTGGAGAAGTGCTTCTTTGGCCAACCCTGTGAACAGGGACGGTGGCGCGTTCCCATGACCGCTATGTCGTCTTCTCTTCGGAGCCACAGCACTTCCCACTGCTAGAGTGGTTGCGGGAGGATGTTACCGTACTCATGAGCACGCCCAGGCGGTAGCGGTAATGGCAAAAGCAGTCATAGCAGATTCGGAACCCCGAAGAAAGGGTCTTGACGGTTGGCAAGCGCTGCCGATGTGCCCTGGAACCGCCGGAGGAGAATGCGGCACATCACTGGCAGCCGTAGACGTGCGAAGGGAGCTTGTCATCGCTAACTGTAGACATCTGCCCTCGTGAAGGAAGATTCTATGGTTGCAATCTGCCGACTTGCTTCTGCCAACACGACATACTATATCAGCCAGTCCTTTGTGCGCTCGATGTTCTCTGCATCTAAGCTGTGAGAATATGCGCTACTGAGGGGACTCACCGGTCATACATATACATTTAAGTAGCTTGTAAAAATTGCAAGTATTTCTCTATACGGTTGCATGAGCAAGCTTAAGGAATACAAAATTGTGTAATGGCAACTTGAGCGAGTCGTGGTGACCTCGAGCTCGCGCGCCGCCAGTCGCGTCTCTCATCCGATCCACCATTCACTACATGCAGCCGCGACCGCAACCGGGCTCCAACAGTGTGCTCTTCTCGATGTTGCCGACGCAGTTGCCTGTCATGAAGTCCAAGAGAGTTGCTGGGTTAGTGCTCTGCCATTTACGCTAGTCAACCGTAACCAAGCCTGCGGGCCCTTTCGCACCGGCAATTCGAGAGCCTATCGCGGGTTCATCATGGACGCTGTCCAACAAGATCCGTCTTCTGGAAACCGTGCCATCTCCGCGACATCTTGGCAGAGGGCAGAAAAAGCAAGCGCCCCTCGGCTACAGGCCGCCGGGCCTCGAGGGCTGCGAAGACGAATTCGGGCATATTTCAGGCGCTCACTTCGTTATGTCATTTCCGAATGGCTCTCTGGCCTTTCCGTCCAACCTCTACCCGCCCCACTGAGCGCTGAGGGACGTCCACAGAGGCGCAATGATGGCTTACTCGAGCGACAAAATGTTAACTTCGCCCTCCACATTGGACCCTCTCGATGTGCTACTCTCCCCGCCGGCCGACGAATCCACCGAGGAGCGGGCGGCCAGATTGTCTGCAGAGGCGGAGGCGAAGAAGATTTCCGACATGATTGACGAGGAGCTGCAAAGGCAGGAGCGGGCAGAGAAGAGGGGACAAAAGCCTATCAAAATATTGCTGCTTGGTGAGTCGCAGCTTTCCGTGGAGCGTAGGGTGTGTTTACGACCGTGACGACTACAGGGCAAAGTGAATCAGGTATGTTTCCTTGACATTGTCAGTGTTCTGTGAACGTTTACGAGTGTCAATACTAGGGAAATCGACATTGCTCAAGAGTGCGTTAGTTGACATCCTACTGCGTGCGCCACACTGACAGCCCAACACCAGATTTCCAGCTCATGAACTCGCCAAAGGCATGTCCCAAAATACCATACGCATGGGTGAGGCTAAACCTGTCTTACAGGCATTCCGCGCGGAACGAGCGTCATGGCGCGCCGTAATACACCTCAACGTAGTGCGCTCAATCCGTGTGATCCTGGAAGCGATGGCCGAGGCACAGACCGCCCAGTCTACTCCCACACCGCACGCCCTATCACCTAGCTCGTCTCTATCCAGCGTGCCGCCCGCTCTCGGCAGGCGTTCGCCTGAAGAGCCCAGCGCTCCCCCGCGGGTGCTCCCCTCGTTGACAGCAGAACATCTGAAGCTCAAGATGCGTCTGTCGCCCTTGGTGCAAGTTGAGCAGGCGCTTGTGCGGAAGCTGACACCGCCGGGCTCGACAGAGTTTGAGGCGACTCATCTCACGAACGTGTCGAACTACCAATATACGCCGCGCACGAAAGAGGTTGCGGTGAATTCGCAATTTGCATGGAAGCACATGTTCAGCCGGTTCCTGCCCGACTCGAGGGACAGCATGGATAGTGAAGAAGGCATCAATTGGGACGACCCGCAGGATCCTGGCAGAATCATCTATGCGTGCGGCGAGGATATGATCCGGCTATGGAACGACGAGACTATCAAAGCTCTTTTGAAAAGCCTCAACATAAGACTAGCGGACCAGCCAGGATTGTACGTCTGACCTCTCGGTGCTATTGCGTGCTATGCTTATTTGTTCCTCGTCGCCACAGCTTCCTCGACTGCCTAGATCGAGTGACATCCCCGCGATATGTGCCAACGGATGGTAAGTGCAGATCGCTGACCATACTTACGTATCCTTGACGAAAACGTGGATTAGATGATGTCCTTCGCGCGCGGCTGAAGACATTGGGCGTCACCGAGTACCGGTTCACGATAAAAGAAGGTGAGTCTCCCCTGCTAATCATGTTGTACACCCTTTCACATCTGTTCCTCTAGGGGCACTTGGTGGGGTCTCGCGAGATTGGAAGATCTTCGATGTCGGTGGGCACAGATCATTAGTGGGTCTAGTTTCTGCTAAACGGTAGGATCACGCTAACACACTTCACAGCGAGGTACTGTGGTTGTGTACACCTTCCATGGAGCATGCTTGCTCAATTCCAGATCTCTGCAGCCGCGTGGGCGCCATATTTTGATGACATGAAGTACGCTATTCCCAGTCTCTTCTCGTTGTACCCGTGGGACTAACATCCCCCTAGTGCAATTATCTTCCTCGCACCCATCAGCTGTTTCGACCAAATGCTGGAGGAGGATCCTACCGTTAACCGGCTGGTGCGTCCTGCATCTTTTCGTACTTCGCTATATTCACATTCGTTGCAGGAGGATTCGGTGCTTCTCTGGAAATCTATTGTCTCAAATCCCTTGCTTGCGAAAACGAGCATTGTCCTCTTCCTCAACAAAATTGACATCTTCAAAGCTAAGCTCGAGGCTGGCGTGCAGCTGGGGAAATACATTGTCTCATACGGGAACCGGCCAAATGACTTCGAGAGCACGTCAAGCTGTGAGTCTATTGCATGTCCTCATAGGCGTGCGAAGGGAGCTGATCTGGATGGCACTGTCATGATGATTCATGCAGATTTGAAGCGGAAGTTTGCACAGATACATAAGGACAAGTCGCCCGAGCTGCGGAGCTTCTACTGTCATTTCACCACGGTGACGGTTCGTGTCTAATCTCTCAAATATCAGCACATCTTGCCTTGCATTCCACCACCTTGATCATATTGTTACGTCCGCTATTTCTGCGCGACTTCTATGAACCTCCTTCGCAGGCTTCTGCATCTGGTTTTATGAGGCTGATGTGACTCACGTTTCCCACCCACAGAATACCAAATCGACACAGCACATTCTATTCGATGGTGAGCGCCCTCTGTCTTCTAGCCTCCACGTGTGCACGTCAGCTGACCCACCGCTTGATAGTCCAGGACACCGTGGTGGTCAAGAACCTCAAGAACAGCAGCCTCATATCATAGCGCACGCGGGCCGTGCCATACTCTTGTACTACTGATAATTGCTCTATACTACTGTACGCCTCGACAGGACACCATGTACGAAATATAATCCCCTGATACCCTCAGGAACGTGGACACCACGCGTCGGATCGAGCGAACACGGCACTGCTGGGCGCTTGACCTTCGATTGAGCTCACCATCGGGCGCCATCGCGTATACATAGCACTCGAATCTCCTTGTGGAACGACAGCACTCAAGGCCTCACACCGAGCCCTCGGGTGCATTACCCGTCCTCGTTCGCCCTAGAAGGGCGAAGTATGTCTAGAACCTCCCATTTCTTGTTCTAGAGCAACGACAGCCAATCTTGTCTTCGCAATATTTTATGTATTCGCATCAGCTGTGCCGTTCCTTGTCTGCAATAATATATTCAGGTAGGTGAACTTCTTACACATGCAGCTCGCCGCGGACCCGAATTCCGGCGCTTACGGCCCGCCCTAATATACGCGGACGCGATCACGTGAATAACAGGGCGTATCGCGGTGGCTCACGGCTTCGCAGCTTCTCTCGACTTCAACTGGGATATTTTGGTTCTGAATCCAACCTCGATGTCGGGCGGGCCCTTCTAGCGACAGAATCTCACAAATAAGGGCACTTTGGATTAGTCTCTTGCGGCTCGGACCAGCTCGATCTATAAAACATCTAAGCCGTTTTCTTGCTTCATCTCAGTGGCCCTGCTCGACTCGACGACGTTCATACACGAAGTTTTACCCTGAAGACAACATTGATTTGCTTTCCTAACACTGACATAAACTTGTGCTTGGCTGAAACATCCGCTCCTGACTACTCTGGCGACTACCTCGAGATGAACACAAGTGATATTGTACGCTCAGGCTCGTCGATGTCAATGGCGTCACAGGTGAGTCTGAACACTCCGCCTTCTCAAAAATTCATTGGCTGTATCTGCTTGTGTGGAATGCGACCAAAGTGCTGGAATGACGATGGGGAGATATTTCGATGATCAAGGGAATTGTAGCGCAGTGGCAGCTTGGCCCACACGGGCGCGTCCGCGACACTTTGGTCGCACCACAGCTGGAGATTAGGGGAATAAGACTGTCCATGCTCGCTTTTGTAGCAATAGATTTTGGTCCTCCCATGCTGGGTTGATGTACAGAGGGTGAATACCCTGAACAGTCGAGGTTGAATGACCAATCTGGCAGATTTTAGCAGAGATGAGAGCAGCGGGCTATGCGAATATGTAACCAAATGTCGAGCATGGAAGTACGCTGGTAACAAGCTCTGTGTGGGCTTGGTTCTGTTTCGATCGTCGGAAATGTATATGAATTTAACTGTGATCCAATAGAGTTCCAACTATTCCGATATGCTTGAGAATGTTGACGATTTCATCAGAGCAGTCCACGAAGGTAAATAATTCCGCATCAATGATATTACGTTGATTCTCACATGCACCAGGAGACCACGGCATTAGGCCTGCAGGCGAAGGTGAAAACGCCGAAGCAGAGGTGCTTTATGTTTCCCTAGGGAAGCGCAAGGCCTCGGTTACGCCATCAAGCTCAATCAAGCGAATTAAAGTCGCCAAAACAACTTCCAGTGCCTCCTTGCATTCAGGAGCAAGACCCCCTACTTACGTAGAACGTGCACTCGCTGCAAACACGAATGTTCTGAACGCCGCCATTGACGACTCCTCCAACGCCGCCGTTGGCAACTCCTCCAGCGCCGCCGTTGACGACCCCGGCGATGCCGATCTCACGCCTCAGTCTAGTGGCCGTACTCTCGTTGCGGAAGCAGGGCCGGTTGTTGTTGTGCGTTGTGCGTAGCTCTCGATTCTTGGTCACTGACATAGACCCCTCGTAGGCTTATTGTCATGCGCTGCGCGGATACGTGGGGCAGCTGCCATTCGGTGTGCAGTGGGAGATCGCCCGATTCGTGAACGCAGGCTTCGCATGGGACAAATTCACCGTCGACGGCCTTCTTGAGTTCGCGAAGCTGGGAAGCAACGCAAAAGCGGCACCTGAGGTCGCCCGGATCGTCGCTGACAATCTGTCCGAGCAGTCGGAGAGCACGAAAGACATGCGCGCGGATGCCTTCGCTTCTGCGTACGCGAAAGAAAGAAGCGTGAAGGTGAGCCGGCATAGCACGTGCAAGATCGACCCAGACTGACGGATGTGCAGCTCCCCTGGGACGAGCTCGACAAGGAAGACACCATTCTGAGGCACTCCCCGCATGGCGGTCTAGGCTGCAACGAAAAAGAGCCGTACTTGATGGACGACCCATGGTACGGCGGACGTGTCCATTTCACGGCCAAGGTCGTCCTCTCCAGCATGATGCCTAATGATAAGAGCGAGCTGTTCTCCCTACGGCTTGATCGCCCGGTACTCGGATCATCAAACCTGTTCGCACGGCGCTTCGGGTCGCGCAAGTTCATTCGAGTCCGGATGTCGAAGGACATCTACATGGGTCCGGACAAGAAGGCGCGCGAAGAACTTTTGATGCAATTCTTCCAGCGGCCTTTCGTGATCAACGGCTTCGTCTACAAGGCGTTCTACGCGAAGGAGCAGAACGTCTTCCTCTTCCAAACGAACGAGTTCTGGGATGGCAATCGGATTTGCGACCCGAAGCCAATCTCGTTGAGCCCCTTGCACCGCGAGCTTTCCTTTATCGAATTTATCAACTTTCATAACGATTTAACTCGTAACAAAGATCAAGTGAGCAGGTCCCCGCTATTGACCACGATGTGAACCGTAATGATGTTATTGCTAGACTATGGTCAAATGGGCTGCTCGCTTTGCTCTTGGCCTGTCGAACTCTGTTCCAGGGCTGCGGCTACATCCGTCCAACATTGCATTTGAGGAAGATATCGGTGCGTTCTACCGGTCGTGAATGTACCTGAGTCTCATAGACAATACAGTCTGCTCGGCATGGAAGGGTGAAGGCAAAGCGCCGAACGAGCAAATCATGACGGACGGGTGTGGCCTGATTCGTCTGGACATTTTACAACAAATTGCGGACCGCTTGGCATGGCCCATGGTACCGATGGCCATCCAAGTCCGTATATGTGGTAGCAAGGTACAGGCTTGCCTATGAAACACGGTGAAGGTCTACGTTGATACGAACAATCTATAGGGCCTGCTACTTGCCCATCCGAACTCTCATCAGCTGAGGGATGGGGATGCCTGCATCTGGCTACGTCCGTCCCAGGTCAAGATCAAACACGCCGTAGACGGGAAAGTGCCACTCGACATCGACCCAGCTATGCTTACCATCGACGTTCTGCGCCCGTCTCGCATGACGAGCCCTGCTAGGCTCTCCACAGAGACAATCATCAATCTCGCTGAAAACGGGGTGCACACCAGTGTTTTTGTCAAACTCATGCAAGAAAGCATGCAGAAGAAGGTCGAGGGACTGACGACGTGGCAAGGGGACTACGGCTTGTATCGGCTGTGGATGAACGTCGCCCGTGCAGGAGGTATTGTCTCTGCCCGTCTGGCTCGAGAGGCTGCTGGCGCTGCCCGCGCGAAGGGGTACATCTTCGAGGACTTCACTGATGAAGCAGGAGACGAGGACGGCTTTGATCAGATGGACAAGGCTCTTGAAGATCACTCTACTGCGTGGTGGGATGATCCGATCAGCGGTTGCCCTTCAACGCTCGAGGAGACTGTACTGGTGCTCCTTGACTCCGGCTTCAAACCCGACACTTGCCCGGTCCTGGCAGCCAAACTCAAGGAAGTCGTAAAACGTGCGATCAACAGCTACGTGAGACGCTATCGCGTCGATGTCCCTCAATCTTGCACAGCCTACATTGTTCCAGGTATGCCAGTTGTCGATTGACTGCACACTTCATCTGGTTCACCGACTTTTGAGATCCCCTTGGCGTTCTGGAGCCCGGGCAGGTGCATATTAAAAGTAGTCGACGCAATCTCGTCGACCAAGATGGTAGACCCACTGATATCGTGTTGGGGGAAGTGCTGGTGAGTCGCAGCTGCAAGGCGTCGTCAGGTTCGCTATAGCATCTATTGATACACCCTCATCGATAGGTGACACGGCACCCGTGCAAAGTGCCTACGGATGTTCAAAAGGTAATTTATGTTGGGCTCCGTTAGCAGGGAACTCAGCGAGGCAATGAAAGGTCACTGCTGTCTTCAACCAAAAGCTCAGCAGCTACGTCGATGTGATTGTAGTTTCCATCAAAGACCACGTATCCAACAAGAAGCTCATGAACCGGCATCTCGCGAGTTGTACTGGCGGTGGTGAGTGACGGAGACGTGCTATTAACTTTCATTTTCATTGATGTTTTCTAAGGCGATTATGACGGTGATACCATGGAAGCCTTCTGGAACTCGGACTTGGTCGAAGGATTTAAAAACGCCGAAACAAAGTTCCTCAACGAGCCTAAGAACGTACAGAAATGTCTCGTCAAGAATACCGAGACGGTTGCGCAATTCCTGTCTCGTAACCCACTTTCTACTGATAAGGACATCATGCAACCGGAAATACAAAAGTATCTTCTGGGCTCTCTGAGAGATTCCTCAATGGTGGGGACTTACTCTACGTGGTGGGAGAACGCCATTTATAGGTACGGGTATCAGCACAATCGGACAGTCTTTCTCGCCTACATGTGAGTAGACCAAAATACGACTGGAATGACTCTCAACGTATATTATAGGTTTTGTGCCATCCTCGATGGTTCAAAGACTGGCGTCATGGTTGCAGAGTCCGCCTACGAGAGCCATAGGAAGCAATACGCGCATCGTCCGCCTGTCTGGAAAGAGACCGACGAGGAGCGGGAACGATTACTTCGAGCATTCACGAACGACGCGAATTTGCAGCGAGAACGGCGATTAGGACCCTTCGTCATGGACGAAATTTATAAACAAGTGAACAAGGAGAGCAACAAGCAGCTCCGACACGTTGAAGAAGTACTCACAGCGAGGGTTGCCCAGCTAGATGAGCAACTCGCTGCGCCCTGGAGAGAAGCTGTAACGCGTGTCGCCCTCCTCGCGAAGCGAGGCAATCCCGACGCGGAGGCGGAGCTACAGGCTATTTGTTCGCACGTCGAACAAGTTTATTGGAGATGGCGTACGGGCCGTAATGCCGAGGAGGGACGCGGCGCTACAGGTTCCAACGGTAACCCGAATGCGAAGACGAAGTCAGGCTTCACGGGTCTGCCTATCGAGAAGCGTCAAGACAAGTTGCGCGAGCTCTCGAAGGAGTTCAATGCTGCACAAGCCAAACCATTGCTCTACTTCAGCGAGGCAGACCTGCGGCGCGTGCGCGCATCCTATGCTTTTGTCTTCGACCACGAGACTTCTCGGGATCACTGGTCACGCTTCCCTTGGGACGTCGCTATGCGTACCCTTTGCGAAATCAAAGCGGGAGCACTGGGACTGAGCAAGACGGTCACGGAGGAGTTCTACGCAAGGATGACAATCCCCAGTGCATTTCTTCATGAGACCTAACAGCGCCCCCGTAGGCTGGCCTTCCCATTTGCACTGTTGTCTTCAATATCTGTTGTTGCACTCTCCGTATCCGCTTTTCTTCTTGTTTAGAGAATGTTTTGACTTTCGGATCGGCTGATACCCACAATGGAAACACAACTGTACTTGTACATTACTGGCAGTCTGCTAACTTGTATTCTTGGCTCATTGACCCATTCTGTACCAGTAGTGTATCACAAGGCAAGCAGTGTGCCTCGTCGCTCCGGAGTGCTCTTTTGACAGGCCGACCAAGACAACGCTGACAAGTGGTGTCGGTGAATCCAAGCCTGCGTTTCCTTACAATGTTATGGATATCAAAAAGCGACGACAGCGTAACAAATAAATACACGCGGATCATGTCAACTTGTAGACGGACAACACGACCCAGCGCATTGTACGACGGCATTGGGTCATCAATCCACCCTTTTACCTCGAACACAAGAAGGTTGTCCAGAACACCTCATCGCCCTTCACCCGCAGAGGCGTCCTGCTGCATATCTGTCTCGGGCTCCTTGACACTGTCGTCGCTTTCCATTGCTGGCACGACTGTTGGGAGTTCTGTTTCCTCCTGGGCAGCTTCAGCCTCCGAGGACGCAGAAACTTCTGCAATTGTGTCCGCTACCACTGTTGTGGTGTCATCGTGCAGTAGGTCATCCATAGGCCCAGAGAGCTCAGTCGCAGGGTCAGGTGTAGGCTGCTCCGAGATCTGTTCGGCTTGTTCCGGCACAGGAGCAGGCTCATCGTCCGCCTGCGTACCAGCCTCGAATTGCACCTCCTCTGGTTCAAGAGCTTCGGCAGTCTCAGCGATGTCGGTCTCCTCCGTGGGTTCATCTCCAGTGGGTGACGGGGGCATCTCTACGCTCTCGTCAAATTCCCAGATGTGCTCCACAGGAACACTATCGTCCGCAGGCACAATCTCCTCTAACGGTGCTGAAGGCCCCTCGTCCTGTTCAGCAGCGGGTGCGACATCGTCTGTCTCTTCGGAAGGCTCAGAGACATCTACTGGCGCAGCATGGGTCCACTCTTCTGCCGCCACTACACCTTCCTCTGAACGCGCTTCCGGCTCCGATGCAGTCTGCGCTTCCGATTCGTGAATAAGAGGTTCTGCAGCTGCCTCGTTTGTGATCTCTGACTGGGCTTCGTTTGACGGGGTCTCATCTGACTGGGCTTCGTCTGACTGGGTCTCGTCTGACTGAGCCTCGTCTGACTGAGCCTCGTGCTGACCCTCCACTTCGTCCCGCACAGCGGAAAGGACTACCGGCTCTTCTCGAGGGCGGTTTTCTGCCTCTGCCTCTGCCGCTGAACGCCCGAGCTCTTCCACCACGCTCGCGATCTCGCTGTGCACCATTGTGTCTGTCCTGTTGCGTCCCACCCTCTTCGGGCTCGGATCATGCGCCTGCCTCTCTGCAGGTGGGGCACTAGGGGCGGCGTCGAGGCGAATAAGCCCTGGCTGCTGAATGGGCGCATACGCCTGGCTCTGCGCATCATCTGCTCCCGCCCGTGGGGGCTCGCGCGCATACTGCTGGTCGATGGACGCGGCGAGCAGACGCGGGTAGCTGTCTGCCGGATCGCGGCCCTGGTCACGCTGGTGGTCATCGAAGCCGATGCCTGGGGGAATAACGAGAAACTCGGCCGGGACGAGGTTGAAGCGCGACGTGAGCGCGAGGAAACGCGCGTACAGCGCGGACTCGGCCTCTGCTTGCGCAAAGGCGGCGCGGTGATGGAAGTATGCGTGCGCAAAGATGCGTCCCAGACGGCGCGCCAGCGAGGAGAAGTGCCGGTGTGAGGGAGCGGGGATGGAGAGTCTGAACGCAAGTCAGTATATGACGGTGCAATAGACTGAGTGGTGCTTGCCTGGACGGAAATGCGCGTGGAGAGTTCAGGAGTGCGGTCGCGCTATCAAGTGTGTGCAGGATGTAGTCTATTGCACAGCATTGCTGCCAACAGTTATCAGCGTGCATATTACGACCTCCTAAGGTGACCGCGAATGCATACCTCCATGGCTCCCTCGTTTCCATGTGCGACACACAGATATAGCCATTCGCCGGCCTTCATCTCGGGGCATGTCTGGCGCGTGCACTCTTGCTGGAGCATCGTAATGAGGGGATGTGACAGGTCTTGTGCAAGCCGTCTGCAGTATGAACACAAGTCGGACGGAATGTAACCTCAATGAGCACCGTACATACGTCCAAGCTGTAATAGTGTGCGCACCTCAACTGCTCATATATCCAACACGCCTCGTCCACCGCTACCTCCTTTGCTTCGCTGCCGTCCTTCTGATCGTCGCCATTCCTCGAGTCTCCCTCGCTAGACTCGCGGCCCTTCCCTTTTCCGGGGATAGACACGATCGCGTCCACGTCATGCACGTCCTTCCGTATCAGCAGGGAGATATATTCCTGCAATTGAAACGCGCTGTCGAGTGCGGAAAGCGGCGGGAGCTCCTTCACCGGATAGAACGACGAAATTCTGGAGCCTTTCAAAGGGCGTTGAATGGGGTGAACGGTGGGCGACGCAACGGCAGCAGCCATTGGAGCAAAAGAGCGTACAGACGAGTGGTCTTCGACGGCGCCGTGGACAGCGTCAAGCAAGTAGTCCCAACGTAAGAGGTGGTTAGCCTTGCATTATAATCTAGTTGAAGAGTCTCAATGTCGGGGTTTGAATTGACTTCAATTGGTGGTAAGTATGTAAATACTCAGGCTCCACTAGCTGTTCGGGAGTTCCCCTAATGAAAAGTCACTAACGCGGTATTATCTAAGTACAAGGCTTCAATGCAGCAGTTGCTTCCCCTTATTATCATAAAGTGCAACCCCAACTATTGTCGAGATCAGGTTCGGGTAACACAGACAAATGTATGCCTACCATCCAACTTGTCGGAAATGTAATTGACGGAGAGAAAAGCACGCTAAGACGAGAATGGCAATTTGAAACAGAGTCAGCGACGAGCGCGTTGAGGGAGACAGTCAGCTGTACGCAGTAAACTCATGATTTGACCCAGGACAAGAGCACAATCAACGAATGGACGTCACAGTATGAACTGGCGCCATTAGTATAAGGGGTGAGTCGAGACGAAAGCCACTTCAGCGAGTTAAGGAGAAGGTAAGGCAGTGAAGCGAGGGTGGTGCCGGTCGCCGGTGCGTCTTCGGAGGGGCTGTCGATTCTTGTGGATGGAGAAACCAGATCACGCTGCAAAATAAATCGAGAAAGCACAGCCTAGAATGTCAGTCCAACAGCACCAAAGTCGTTGACAGACCCATAGTACGAGGCCGAAACGCCTGAGCTGAACACAGGCTCGGGCTCCACAGCCTTGACCACGACATGCGGAACACGCAGGTGAGATGGCGGAGGCAACGAGAGCAGGAGACCGTGGTACGGCACTCCCGTCTTCGTGCTCCCCGTGGAGTACACCGAGGGAGCATTGGACAGCCATACCGACGGAGAGTCCATCGAGAATACAGACTCTGTGTCCGCGCAGCTGAGCGCAGGAGTAGATGTAGGAGACGATGCGCGCGATGTTCGGATGGCATGGACATGTCAGCCTCCAGATCGTCCCAGACGTCGCCCGTCAGCATCGCCTTAGCAGTAGCGATACGCGCTTCGTTGTCGCCAGAATTGAGAGCGTCGAAGAGCGTGCAGACAAGACTAGTACAGGACTCAGATGAAAAGATGCTGCTCGAAGACGGAATGTGTGCGAGACGGTGGACCACGAGCCGGCGATAGAGGGTGCACGAGGACACTCATAGGCAGACCGGAAAGTGTCAGCTATGGGCGAAAAACTGAGGTGTGAGTCGAGCCGCACTGAAAGATCAAGCTCAGTCGCGGCAGGCCAACAATCGCTTGTCTGTACAACATGTCACAGGTGAGCACGGCTTACAGGTGTCCCGGCTTCGGCTTACCTCTTCCCTAAGAATAGAGTTGAGTGGAGCATATACATCTAGACCTCGGGCGCTACCGCTGGCGCTTGGTTTATGTTCATCGACGGATGCAGCCTCGAGGTCCTTGATCTCTCCCTCGCCAGTGACAGAAACTTTGCGGCAATATCGCACCGGCTGCATAACAGCCAGAGACCAGTCGATAATGACGAGAGCCGCGATGAAGACCAAGACGATGATGAGTCAGCGAGCACCAAGGCCAAAGTGAGAGCCAGAGACCAGAAGGCCAGGGTAGACTGAGACCTTGTGGGAGGCGGGGAGAGGAGCCATGTCTAGAGCTTGACGTAGCAGTGGTTGAGAGGACCTGAAGATCGACGAGGCAGTCTTAGTTGGAGCACGACTGCCTAGAAGCGGACTGCCAGCCACACCGCCAGCCAACATCTCCAGAGTTCGGCTGTACGTTAGCGTGACTCATGAAGCCTCTGAATGACGATTGAAATAAAAATGGTCACAGAGAAGTGGACGGTTAGCGAGGAACAGAAAACACGATATGATAAACGCTGCATGGGCTGACAGAACCCTAACATGTGGTTAGGGCCCACCATAGCTGCTGCGCACTCACTAACTGCATAACCAACGGGTAACTGTTATTCGGACGATGCTGGATGTATTACATGCGATCTACGAAGGAGAATGAGATGGTCTAAGCATTATATCATGGAGGAGAGAATGAATGTAGTGCATCAGTCGTGAGATGGAGAGTCTAGTATATCTAATCTGAATATTGCTTGGAGATTGTTCATAACGATACCTCATGAACGTCGACGCGCAACGAATCGCTTGAACCATCCAATAAGACTCCCGGCGAGACTTCCTGTGCGGATACGGAACAGGTACGTCAAAAGATACACACACACGATCTGTGGCATTGACAGGTGAGCCAACTGTTGAAGAAAACTAAGGTAAAGACTCACGTTGAAGATGATGAATGCACAGAAGATGCCGAAGTCGCGCCAGTGATGCGCATAGACGATGTTGAAGCTCTCCTCCAGGAACGCATCCGTGGTGCTGTATGCGCAGTATTCACAGTTGCTGGTCGCCTCCCCGTTAGTGAGATAGCCACCAGATGTCTCGATGAACGGTCCAAGATATTGCTGGCAAGTCTGGCCAGAAGGGGGATCGAGGTTGACGAGCTCAACCGCTGCGCAGGTGATCTTGCTATGCCCGATCGCTAATGAAACAGCACAGTTAGACACGCCCGACTGTAAGAATGCAACTGACATACCTTGCCCGAGGAGCGCCTCGATCAGGTAGGTGTACGGGGATAGACGATACATCCATCGCCACCAGCCGAGCAATCTGAAGGGCTGAAGAACACCATTGCTAGAGAATATACGGTTTAATACGGAACAGCAGAAGGACATAGAAACCACTTACAATGAGAGCACGAAAGAGAAGAGGAAGCTGAACAGTAAGGCCGCGATTTCTGCATTGGGGCACATGGCCGCAACAGCCTATTCAAGGCGATCAGAAACTCTAAGTAGCAATTTGAATGGGGCAACACTCACTTGACCAATACTAGTGTAGTAAAGCGGGGACAATACACCAAGCATGAAGTAGGTGAATCCGCCGCGATCACTCGGGAAACCGACTGTCCAATACCAGCAAATGAAATACAGCGAAGATCCAAAAATGTTCCAGGGAATCTCGACGAGAAGCTGGGACGTGATCAGCGCCGTCCAACTGTACATGTTGCTGTGGCGCTCTCGAATCTCGTAAATCGCCCGAGTGTCGAGGAACGGCACTTGGAGCTGGTTAGACAGAGGGACACTGATAATGGTGGACATGAAGATCGCCTGTTTCGCCACATGTCAGTCAGATCCATACAACAATGCTGACTATTGACTCACGAAAAGCTTGTTCTGTGTACCCTGGATACTGTCTTTCGCCTTGAAGAAGGTGAAGCCGATTAGGAGCCCAGCAGCAATGTTAACACCGAGCTTAGCGATCAGGTACGGAGGATTGCGCCACAAGGCTTCGAAGTTGCGTTGAAGCAAGGCGACGAGCTGATATCCCCACGAGGTCGCAAATTCGCTTGCCTGTGCAGCCTCGGTCTTTGGACGCTGTCGCCCTTCAGCATGGATGGCATCCAGTTCCGACACCAAGTTAACCGCATTCTGCGACTTATCCCACATTTGATGCCAGTCAACATCTGTCGATGCAGTAGCACCAGCGCCGATGACGTCCAAGATGTACTCGGCACTACAGAATTGTTATGAGCAGCAGTCGAACAAATTCAGATCAATATTGCTCACGGATTCTCCGAATCATCGCACGTCCTCGCGCCGTTTGATTGAAAGTAGTTGATGAGCGTCATTGACTTGTGACCAAGGTCGCCGAAGTAGACAATCTGCCCACCCTTGCGGAGAAGCAAAAGGCGGTCGAATTGTTCGAAAAGCTCCGCAGAAGGCTGGTGAATCCTGCATATGGTATTACGAGCAGATCTTTATTAGAGAGAGTGATCACTCACGTGCAAACAATAGACTGGCCGCTGTCTGCCAGGGTGCGCAGGAAACATACGATAGCCCACGCGCTCTGAGAGTCAAGTCCAGACGTAGGCTCATCAAGGAAGATCAACGAAGGCTAAGAGTCACGGCTCGTCAGTAACGCATCCCAGTAAGCAAGATATATTCCATACCTTAGCGACCAGCTCAACACCAATCGTAGTCCGCTTTCGATGTTCAACGCTCAAGGAACCGACGATAGCTTCCGCGTATTCCTCCAAACCGCACATGCGGAGACATTTGTCGACGTACGCTTCCTTCTCGGCGAGAGACACTGAGGCTGGCTGGCGTAGTTTAGCAGAGAACAATAGTGCTTCCCTCACGGTGGCCGTCGGCAAATGGGTGTCCATCTGTTGAACGTAACCGCTATCAAAGACAAGTCAGCCATTGCAGCGTATAGACCATTAGTAAAGGGAGACTTACGTCTGAGCGCGGAAATCGACAGGCAAGCGCTGACCATTCATCAACCGGTCGCCCGTAACAACTCCACCCGCGGTTCGCTCGGACAGAACGTTGAGAAGCGTGGTCTAACGGTCAGATATCATTTAGTATAATTGGTTCATTTCTCGATGCATGCCACGTACCTTGCCGGCGCCGGACTCGCCCATCAAAGCGGTCAACTTGCCGGGAGCGACGTATCCGGAAACACCATCCAGTAGCTTCCTCTGGCCATCCTTGACCGGGACGACGTAAGTCAGATTCTGGAAGGAGAACGTGTTCTTGGGGGAAGACGCCTCGGCCATCGCTTTCCGTGCCTCATCCTGGTCTTGACCGTCTTTCTGAACCGTGGAACTGTCACTACCCGAGCGCCTCTCCTCGTCCACAGCAATCGCGCTGGGGCGGATCGGCTTGGAGCCACGCTTGAAGAGCGTGACAGAGGACTGGCCCGACGAGGAAGTGTTGATCTCGGTGGCAGCCAGATATGCACAGATGAAGCCAATTCCGAATGCAACGACGATGCCGAAATTCTACCGAACAAACTAACCTATCAGCCACAACGATTTGATAGGACAGTGTTGGCACTTACGCGCCACAGGTCCTTGTAGTAGTACTCGAACGACAGGTTAACATATCGCATACCGTTGACGAAAGCCTGTCCCGGTAGGGAGCCGACCGTCGTGCAAACCTGATTCGCGAGCGTGATGTTCTCATAGCCAGGCCCTTGAGGTATGAGACTGGCGCAAGCTCCGTCCAGGGTATGGAATTCATTGAGCACCATGGCCTCGAAACCATATTTGAGTGGCTGAGAGACGACTCGTCAGTTATTGCCTCAGCGGTAGACGGATAGGGGACGTACATTGATATACGTGATCCATCGAAGTGCTCCGATCATGTATGGCTGCGGGATGTTGTAACCGGTGTAGAGCGTCAGAATCAGTACAGAAACACCAGCAACAGCCTGAGCAGGAGCCGCATTCTGGAACGCAGCCGCGAGCCCTCGGAACCAAGCCTTCATGGTGAGTGTCATGCTATATACAAATAGTAGGAAAATGCTGTGCGTATCGCAGCGGGCGTGAGCGAAGAAATTTAAGCTGGTAGACGTGCACTCACAAAAATTGTCCGGCAGATTGCTGCAGCCCAACCGTGAAGTACAGTACGATAGAGAAGAAAATGAGCGTCACTCCAGTCATAGGCATGTCGACAAGCGTGAGTGCGAGCGAATCGACAAAGGGACGGTACATCGCCGCGCGAGATTGCCTCAGGACGATAGGACGTTGCACAAAGAGCGCCGGGATTTCGGACATAGTGGACAGTGCCGCAAACAAGAGCGCGCTGTTAATATCAAAATCAATGGTGTGAGTATCTAGACAGAAATGAACTGTCGTTTGACGCACAAGAAAAGCACACCGCCGCGAGAGAAATAGGCCGCAGTCGAGTCCTCAAGGCGCAAGAAAATCGTACCAACAATAACCGCCTGCAGAATGAACGAACTGCAAAACGGAAGCTCAGTACTCCCACAAAGAAGCAAACAGAAAAGAAGCTTACCCCGTCTGCATGATCTGCGCACCTTTAGCACCCTGGATGATCTGGATGCGCCGCAGCATCAACGCACGTGCCTGCATCGGGATCGAGGTGATGAAGGAGCTGCTGGGCGGCGTTGTCTTCGCGTGCTCCGCGCGATGGCTTTCCCGGTACTCGAGAGCCTTCTCGGGGGTGCGCGCAGATTCCTCCTTGTACGCCTCGATGTCCGCACGGTTCCGTGCGCCCATCTCGCTCTCCAGGAAACGCTGCGCGAACTCGTCCGCCGTACGCGGGGCGCGCGCCTCGTATCCTTCGCGCACAATGCGCCCGTTCGGATCTGTCACGGCGACGACAAAGTCCGCGGTCGTCTGTCGGTTGGCAGGTTCGAAGCCGAGGTTGATGAAGTACTCGCGCGCGCGGTCGGCCGGGCCGAAGTATGCCATCTTGCCTTCATAGATGACGCACACCTTGTCGAACAGCGTGTAGAGCGACTCGCCTGCCTGGTAGATGGAGACGATAGTGGACGAGCGGCCGATGTCGGTAGCGAGACGGAGCGCCCGCACGAACTCAAGGGCGGTAGATGCGCTGTAAACTATTTTTAGAATCGCAGGACATGCACGCGGAAGAATCAATCGTACTCAAGACCACGAGTCGAACTGCGAGGCGCGCATTTAGCACATGTCCTCGCACGAGAATACGAGAACCACGTACTTGTCCCAGGACGTCAGCAGACTCCTTGACGCCATGACCTCACTGATCGAGACACGCTTCTTCTCTCCACCACTGACACCGCGGACGCTCGCGTCACCTACGAGGGTGTCCTTGACGTGCCGCAGGCCGAAAATTGTAGTCACCACGTTTGTCACCGCCTCGATGTACTCCTCGCGGCTCTCGCCGAGGCGCGAGTGAGGCGTGCGCAACTTGGCGGCAAAGTCGAGTGTCTGTTTCACCGTGAGCGTCGGGAAATGCACGTCGTCTTCAGGGCTGTACTGCACGTCGCCGCGGTAGCGCTTGTGGATCTCCTCCGGCGTGAAACAGTCGTACCGCACATCGCCCAGCACCGCGTGGAAATCACTGCGCTGATTGGCGAGTGTGCGCAACAGGGAGCTACATCCCGCACCGGGACGCCCGAGGACGACTAATTTCAAATTCAATACCCGGATCCCAATGATTCAGACTGAGGAACTTACGCAGCATTTCCCCCGGTCGAACACATCCTTCAAAGCCACTGAGAATGTCGCGCACAGCAGGATGGCGGATATTCCTGATGATTTCGACGATCTTGAAGGGGTTCATCTCCGAGCCGAGTGTGGGCTGGAAGGACGAGGAGGCGGCTTGGCCTACCACTCGCAGACCCTCGAACACAACGCCGAGCTCTCTCCGCTTGATGTCAGACTCGTCGATCCTGCGTGTCTAAATGAGTGCTATTGAAGCTGGAAACAGCAGATAAGACTCACCTCCGCACGACGTGCTTGAGAGTCTTCTCGAAATCGAATGGACCATCGCCAGGTGTTAGCGTGAGGTCTGAAGCGTCGTCAGAGGTACGGTTTTTCTTAACATCCTGTGGCAGAGCTGAATGACCGTGGTTGGACTTCCTGCTGGAAGACATCTGAGACATCGTTCGCCGTAGTTCGTTCACGCCAGAAGGGTCGAAATAGGATACATCGACATGGTGCGCGTCACTGCGAGGAGGCTCTGAGGCCTTTGGCGCGTCTCCGAAATGGACAACCGCATCTCCGTGGGGCGAGGTAGGGGAGGAGCTGGGACTCGAGTTGAGGTTGTGAAGTTGAATCTGCTCGAGTTGAGCGGGATCCATCCCAGAAAATAAAAGGCAGCTGTAACGTAGGGACGTGAGGCGCGCCAATTTCTGGAAAGCATTCTTAAATATATGAAGTCGCGCCACGCCTCTGGCGATGCGCCCTGCCCCCCTATGGACGCGCGGCACCCGGCTTGTGATTATGGCGAGCGGATTTATGTTTAGCGCCACTTCAAGACGCGCAAGATGACTGATCGATGGGCCAATCGGGAGCCGTTGAGAGGGATGCAATGAGTCAAACCTGATTTCGGACGTGTTTCCCCGATGACACAGACGTTCTGACACACCGCGCCCCTGAGCGCAGCACCTACAACATCCAACAGCCTTGGTAATTATGACAATACTCTCACCTCGCGAACCCGGCCACCATTCCTTACTCGATACATCCCCTATCTCATGGCTTCGTGTCGCACAACTCATACGCCACGATCAAAACGTTTGTTCTTGGTCTTGCTGTGCATTGCTAAGTGAACAGCCAGGAACAGGTCAAGAGCCTTGAACGGGCATGATTTTACTTACGACTAGCCGGAAAATCAAAATCGATTTGTCGCGCTGTTGCCTGTTTAGGCAATGTATCACCGCGGAAAAGTGAGATGTCCTTGTACTCGACTGTCGCTTCTCACTAGCATAATCTCTAGAGCGTCGGAGATTTAGTCAGAAACTAACTAGCGCGCGACGCGTGTTCCGGCAGCAGAGCAAAATGCACTCGCTTGGCTGGCGAGGTTCCCATGTATCCGCCAAGTAACTGACATGAGATGTATCCACAGCATACGGGTCTTGCGTCGATGGAAGCACTGTGTACAAGAAAGAAGCACGCCCACAGTATGTGGACCAGTGCTCAAGATGCTTCCCCCCGCGTGACCCCAGCGGCATTGATAGAGTTGGCACCATTGATCGAAATGTCGCCGACCGGCGTTGACCGAAGTTGGTTCACATGCCTCGGCCGTCTTTTTTACGGCATTCACGGTCCTCGTTGGATCTGCAGGGGTAATAAACAGATTGTAGTCACTGCCCGTTACAAACATAATTGTTAGACATCTTCGATGGGGTTCGGTGCCGTACGGTACGCGATATCCCATTATCAATAGTATGAATCACCGGCCCGCTATGCGTCATACTCCGTGAGTGCCTCGGCGCAATTATTAAAGGCTGCTTCCGCCGCCTCACTAGCTTTATCTCGAAAGTTGGCACCGGTTGCTCGACGCAGCTACGAACGGTCCTCCCGGCTATGTGAAGCTTCGTCAAGAGGTCGTCTCCGCACCAAGCATTTATTCGATGGAGATACAGAGCATCGCGCAGTACGTACCGTATCAGCCGCTGCTTTTAGACGAGTAGTATTCGTCTATCCTTGATACCAAGAGCAGCTCTCCGATACAAATGAGCCGACGTTCGAAGCTTTCTCCATCGGCGTTGCTACCTCCTTTTAAGCGTTCGTTGTCCATTGAACAGGTCGCAAATGTCAAAACCTTGACCTCGGTCGCTGCAATTCTCCAGATCGGCATCTCTGATGAACTGCGTCTTCTCTTATTGTCTCTCTTTTTTCTCTGTGGATATCGCTCGTCATAATATTCAAATTGATCGGCCTGCTGTTCGCCATTGTCTAGTGCTCGCAGGTGATGAGCACAACTGATCTGACCGTGCAACGTTTCTGTTCTTAGCGCGGCTCTATGCATTGGAACCGGGAGATTGTGGTGCCATTGGCCTTGCGTTCGAGGCTATACCATATCTTGCTTTCTTGCTTCTCCTGCGTTGGCGCTGTGGCCACGGCCTGTTCGACTGCCTCTTCTCCATGCTGTCAGGAGATGAGGGCCCGGCAAGCGATGCGACTGTCGCTAATAAGTATGGCGCACAATGCAGTGTCCAGCCTGAACGTTGCTCAGCTGCAGTGCGCACGCCGACTGGTCGTTATCAATCCTCAACTGTGTGGAGCGCACCGTATATTGTTGTAATGTTGCGTAGGTGTGTAGTCGAGCCGCGTGTAGGCAACGTATGTCACCCTTTGTATTGTCGGCCCTCTAAAACCACCATGACGAGGCTCAAGCTGGTCTCAAGTTAAAATCCCTGTGGTCACCGAAAACGGTAGCAACAAACTCTGTTATAGGGTGGAGAAGAAGTAGAGGAAGAGAAACTTGCCGTGTGCTGCAGGTACCTGCCAAGATGTCAAGACAAGGGCGACAGCATGATTTCCCGCCATGATTGTGCTAAATTCCGCTGGTCAGGTAAAAAGCGATCGCACAAGAAACCCCAAAGCCGAATTTGTATTTCAACAATTGCACCCCACTGACGTACATGGAATGTCGCACGTGTATGGTCCCCCTCCGTGCGGCTGAATATGCGCCTAGTACTTGAAGCTTGAAGCCTGAAGTGTTGCGTGGTACTTACGTCTCCACGGACGCTGGCAAAGGCGGCTGCTCAACCGTGGAATATAAACAGCTTGCAATTAGTAGACCAAAGGGATGTCAAATCGCTTTGTAATCTGAGATCGAGTTTACCTTGAATCGATGATGTATCCAACAATGCTAAATTGATGACATACGTGGCATTGACACTGGCCGGCCCGAGCACGTACTTGAAGAGTGCGCTTATAGAGCGTGTGAGATAGCCGTTGGGCGCCTCTAGCCTCATACGGGAGTCACCACACCAACTTGTCCCAGCGTAGGTGAGACCAGAATTTTCTGCGCAGTCTTAATGTCATCGTACGTGGGTACCAATGCCATGCTGAAGGTGACGACTTTGAGAAAACGGAATGCTTACAGCGGCCTTGCTGCCACGCTTGTGTTTTCGTGAATGGCCGGAAGAAAACCCCCTATTTTGACTAGTAGCAACCTGGCTGACCTTCACCCCGTCACGAACATTTTCTACTGACAGACATGACCTGTGTAGTCGCATCTTCAACGACTTGTCTGGAGGTGCGGCTGACTGAAATATTCCCCACGCAAGTGGGTCACCGGTCAAGAGCGCGGCTGGCAGTCAATGGCCAGCCTCCAGGTAGCCATGCATAAGCTCCAACCCAGGCTGCCTCGTCGACCCTGCTCTCAACCACTGCTACGTCAAGCTCTATACATGGCTCCGCTCCCCGCCTCTCGCGTGGTCTCGGTCGACCCTAGCCTTCTAGTCTCTGGCTCTCACTTCGGCCTTGGTTCTCGCTGGCTGATCCTTGTTTTGATCTTCGTCGGGGCTCTTGTCATTTTCGGCTGGTCGCTGGCTGTCATTCAAGTGATGCGATATTGCCGCGAAGTCTCTACGGCTGGCGAGGCAGAGGTCAAGGACCCCGAGGCTGCGTCCGTCGATGAACATAAAGCAAGCGCCAGCATTGGCGCCCCGGGTCTGGATGTATATGCTCCACTCAACTCTATTCTCGGGGAAGAGGTAAGCCGAAGCTGGAAAACCCTTAGGCCGTGCTCATCTGTGACATGTTGTACAGACAAGCGATTGTTGGCCTGCCGCGGCTGGGCTTGATCTTCCAGTGCGGCTCGACCCACACCCGCAAGATGATGTCGTTTCCGCTCCTGACGCTGTCCAGTACGAAGACCTGTACCTGGCTACGCAGCTCAGCTTCTCGTCCATAGCTGACACCTTCCAGTCTGCTTATGAACCTCCTCGTGCACGCTCTATCGCCGACTCGTGGTCCACCGTCTCGCGCACATTCAACGTATCTCCGTCTTCGAGCAGCATCTATTCGGCCGAGTCCTGTCCTAGTCTCGACAGCATGCTCTTCGACGCACTCAACTCTGGCGACGACGAAGCGTGTATCGTTGCCGCGAAGGCGAGGCTGACGTGCGACGTCTGGGACGATCTGGAGGCTGACATGTCCATGTCATCGGAGTGCTCTTCGCGCTCATCGTCTCCTACATCTACTCCTGCGCTCAGCGACGCGGATACCGAGTCTGTCTTCTCGACAGACTCCTCATCGGTATGCTTGATGGACTCTCCTTCGGCATGGATGCCGGACGCTCCGTCGGTGTACTCCGCGGAGAGCGTCAAGACGGAAGTGCCGTACCTCGATCTCCTGCTCTCGTTGGCTCTGCCATCTGACCTGCGTGTTCCGCCTGTCGGGGTCAAGACTATGGAGCCCGAGCCTGTGTTCAGCTCAAGCGTTTCGGTCCTGCACTATGGCTCTCTCGACGACTTTGGTGCTGTTGGACTGGCATTCTAGGCTGTGCTTTCTCGCTTTCTTTCTTTTTTTTGCAACGTGATCTGGCGTCTCCATCCACAAGAATCAACACTCCTCCCAAGATGACCGGTGATTGGTACCATCCTCGTTTCACTGCCACACCTTCTCGGATCTAACCTTGAACTCTTCCTCGTCTCGACTCGGATCTGATACTAACGAAGCCAGCGCATACTCTGGTGATGTTTCTTCTCTGAGTGTGTTTTCTTGTCGTAGACTGAATAGTGCATGCAGCCAACTGTTACATCCCCTCACCACGCTCATCGCTGACTCTATTTCAACTCATCGTTCTCGTCTTGGCTTATCTTGTACTCTGTACATCATCCATCCGCAAGGTTGGACGGTAAGCGTATATCTACTCTGCTGTGCTCTAGCTTACTTTGTTTTTAGTTGTGGTCGTGCTCACCGTAGTTGTCTTCCGTGACCTTCCAAGCAATTTTTATCAACTGTATGCCACAGTGGCTCGCAAAAATCGCTTCGTCAATGTCATATTCTTGATCGATGTGTGCTCAAACGAGGCAACATGGCCGCTGCAGCATGACATTCGCGAGGGTGATGTCAGTGCCCTGATTGTGGCAGATTGTGATTCTGACCACAAATGGGAACTTGAACGAAGTTTAACTGTGCAACGTATTTTCACAGTAAACGCGAGCTATGCATATGCTATGTAGGTTTTGTATCTGAGTCTTCTCTGAGGCTGAGACGACGACGGGAAGAGCAATGTCTGTACCGACGGCTTTAGCTAGAACCGGTACTATTACAGAGGAGACACTCGTAGTCGCAACCCGTTCGTCCTAAACCTGGTACCGTCCCACCCAGGCCATAGCGCATTCATTCTCTGACGTATGCCATATTGCCTGGCACACATCGGTCGCGTCCCGAGCTGTCGAGGACTGCGTGAGGCATGGAACAGCCATACATAACGAAGGCCTTACTGAGCCGACTGGAGGCTATACAACTTAAATAAAAATAGAATGTGACCTGGATCCAATTCACTCATACTGCAATCATATACATACCACTCCGGCAATGTGATGCCAATAACCTCGCGCAGAGTCTTTACGCGCTCCTGTATTTCGGCGAACCAATGGTCTGCCTGAGCACACCCCAATGCAAGCCGTGCCAATGCCTCCACGACGTGGGGCGTGAACGTATCAGCATCCCACTGCGCGATAGGCACGCAGGTATTGAACAGTGTCTGGACAGTAAGCCAACCGCGAGCCTCGGTAATCTTTGCTGCAAATGCTTCGACTGTGCTTGAATTAAAGTAGACGGCAAGGGCGGACAAGGCACGGCGGATCTCCCCGCGAAGCCCAGCACGCTCCTGGGTAGGCAATCTCATGCAATTCCGCAGCGCAGTGGTGGACATACGCAGGAGCTCCGAGATACTCATACGTTCACAGCCGTCGCTTATGGTTTCGAGTAGAATCATGATGTCTAGACCAGATGTACCCGGCGGGTGCGTCAGCAAATGGAGCGGTCAATCAAAGGATTTCCTCACGAGCGACGCCGATATGGAAGTGTTCGTCATAGTGCCAGATATACATCGAAATCTTGCCGCGCACTTCCTGAGTCACCTCTGTACTGCGCAACAGCCCGACAAGCCGGCAATAAACAGCGGGTTCAGATATTGGGATGACAAACAATAGCCTCCTAATCGTTTCGAGAATGCGCCTCTGATGCCTTGTGCGGTCCTCCTCGTCAGGGGCCGACTCTCTGCTAACTTTAGAGAACACATCAATAGCTATGTGTCCGAGTGCTACCGCGGTCTGGCCGCCACGTCAGTATGAAACGGCTTGATGCTGCTCGACGTTGGAATGTCGCGTTGATCCGATTCTTGGAAGTCTGATGGTGTTCTTGAACGCAGCGATGAAAGGACCGAATCCAGATGCGTCGGCTTTAGGACCTCTGGCGATGCTCAGCAGAGATCGCATCAGCCATTTGTAATGATCACAATCACCTAGTATCAGACATTATGTTTTCCCATATTTTATAGAAGGCGTCAAGTGAAGCATTTACGCCAACACTCTGCAGCCAAGGACGCGCAACGTATATGAAAAACGGACCTATGTGGATCGTGGATGAGATTTCCGCGGAGTTCATCGGTGGCAAGAACGTACCCGTTGCATCGATACACAGTTCGCAAATACGTGCTGAGCGTTCTTCCTCGAGAGTCCAAGACGACCAATGCAGGCGCAGCTGTTTCGTGATGTCCGCCGCGCGCTCGCAAGTCGCAATAGCAGCCTGGTTTTCTGGAAATGCACTGACGAGATATGTCAGAGACCGAAGGATAGGTTTGGCCTTGTGGAGGCTTCCAAAGCGATATTGCGAATTGGATGGCAGCAACCTCTCTAGCATATCAATACAGATGTCTGCCAGAGCGACGACAGTGAGAGCATGCTGCTCGCCGGGGGACCACTTCAAGGTTGGAGGATCTGTCGATTCATCCATGCTATGTGCATGATGCTTCAGGATTTGGTGACATGCTGGGAGCGCAGCATCCAGAGGACTCTGTGCAAGGCACGGCTTCGCGACAGTTCTCAGAAATGTGTCGTCCATGACAGCTGAATCAGCTTCAACGAGGATATCCAGCGTCCTGCTGACCTCCAAATCCAGTGTTTGCGAACGGACAATCATGTTCTCGAACTCTCTGTCACAGTTTCCCTAATTTTACCTAATTTTTCCGCTATTTCTGCGGACATATCAAAGGGTATAGGGACTTATCCATACTTATCCGTCCGCATATGGGTACATCTACATATCTAAG